CCTCGAGGGCCCACGTACCTATGTAGGCCGGGACCAGCCATAAGTGTCTGGTACCAGGCTCGATTAATTCCTGCTAGGGCTATTGGTATCGCACTATTAGCAATGTATCACGTAGAGGCGTTGATGATGCAGGATCTTTGCAGATTCAGATTCGGAGAGGTAATCAACGAGTTTCTAGCCGAGCAAGCACAACAGAGAAGACCGGTGAGCTCCTCGCTGGTGCTGGTAATCCAAGGGATGCAGCATCGACGAGACCGAGTTCTCTTGCGGGGAAGCAGATGAGGCAGCACATACTTCGTCGGCGAATGGTCAAGGCACGGGGATCGCTCAATAGATAGGGACAATACACGTACCTAGCTAGTCGTCTGAGTTTTCAGATCAGGTCCGCAATTGACGGCGCGTAGCTGAGCCAAATGAGACTCTGATAAATGCACCGTTGCATTGTACTGTAGGTAGCTTTCGAGGTTGGGTATCAGCCTCTAGTATCTCGCTCGAAGTTGAGGATTGAGCACTTTCAATTACGTCAGCACGCTCAAAGTTGAGACTTCCAAATACGGCAAGAGTGAAGCTAAGCGTTGTGGCATGATTGGTCGATTAAGATCGCTAGATAGCTCCGTGTTACGACGTCTACCGTCCAGGCAGCGGTGATAGTGCTCCGTGTCCGTCAGCCATTGCGGGGATTGCCAAGGGATCGGAATTGGGCAAAATCGCTTAGATCACCCCTCTTCAGCGGGGATTATGACGAGTGGGGCATCGATGCAAGCATATTAGGTAACCAATGGTACTAAGGCGGGGATGGCCGAGTCGTCCCAGCCTATCCACTCGCGCAGCCACATCCGCATGTCGTGCTGCTGAAGCCACAGAGCCACACATCCCCGCCACGCCACCCAGGCCACCTAATTCAATCAATTGGCCTACGCGCTCTACTGGTGCGGGACGGCGGCGATTGTGGGTGATTGCGGACACCCGTCGCATGCGCCTATCTTCCGATTGATCTAGCATCCTTGATACACAGATATTCGTTCTAAATTTTTGAGTCCATGTAGAGCCTTTGACTAGCTATCGATTAAACCTAGATCCAACTCTGGGCACTTCATATTAAATATCCTAGAATTTTTCCAAGTCCACTGCACGATTGGGACGCTGGGTACATCCATTTATCCTGCGGATTGCGTGACAGAGGAAGTAGTGACAGGACGCTATACCTGATTTGGCTGGGCCCATAAGTAGTAACCAATGAAAACCTCAGGTCGCCTACCTCGCAGCAATCGCCAAATGCTTCTCAATTTCGGACCTGAATAACTTCGTGGGTTTACGTATTCTCAGGTCACAATTGATATGTAAGTATAGCCATCGATTGGATTAATTGATCGAAGCTGGTTGCAGCTCTTTTGGACCACCTTTTACCAAGTTATTACCATTTCAATTCGCAGTGTGATCTCATCCCCAGTAGGCCGTAGCGCGTCGCGCGGGGTTGATCTGGAATTGCCCCAGGGTGTCCGTGTCGCTGCATTCAAGGACCGCGTCTAGATCCCGACTCGGGGTAATGTCCTAGGTGCGATAGAATCATGCCCAGATCTCATCATTCAGATAGTTGATTTAAGTAGTCCATGATAGGCCTTCGTGGAGTTGGACAACGTCGCGATGGACGAGGCATCCGAATGATCGAAGACGTATCTGCTATGGGACTTCTAGGCAAGAGTAGACGTTCTCGCAGGGCATCCGACATGATAACTATCAATTAGCACTTGCGCGGAGCGGGGTAGAGACCAGCATCACTGAATCCATCGACAAAGCATTCGGATCATCGCGGTATCTTGCGGACTGGACGACGGCGGACCCAGCCCGACCCTGCAGTCTACTATCTGCTAGTCCTTCATCAACCCACGGCATTCGCGCCTCACGTCTGCCATAGATGGAAGTTGGATGGGACGGTCTAACGCCAGAGGTCATGCACTACACTATCAACATCGCGTTGTTCGTCGGGAATAGTATATGGTCGGAGCACCGCACCTGCAAGGCCTGGATCGGCGAGATGAGCTGTTGATCATATGTCTCTGGTTACGTAGACTACAGCGTTCGGACCGCGCCGCCGCTAGATGCCGCGGGATCGCCATCCGTGCAAACGCGGCCTCCGAGTATGTATCGCGAGTCTCAGGGCCTCTACGGCAAGCTGACCATGTGCTGTCGTGCGCATCCAGCAGTTGTTACATAGATAGTTCTTAGGATGGAGCTAAGATGTCTCGTGAGTCAAAGGTTGAGGGCACCGCTGAACTAGGTAAGGAGCAGCAATGGAATATCACAATTGACGAGGCAGATGGAGTGAGAAAGATATGACTTCAGACTCTATATCCAACTAGACGAAGTGTAGCTGGCATGTCTATATACAGTGATGAGCGTGCGACCTACGAGGCATCGACATATGCGACATCTACGTACAAGACGCGCACTACGGCACACGATGAGTCTCCCATCATCACATAGCCATCTGCCGACCATACAATGATTAACGACGTCAAGATCCTCATCTCTCCTAAGGCATATTCGCCACTTCCCTTGCTTGCTCCCCGTCCCAGTCCTCGAGGACCCATTCTATCCCCGTTATCACCCGTTGCGCTAGCTTCTGCATGTCCTTTATGGCGGACAGGGCCGCCGTCAATGGTTCAGAGGTGATGATGTTGAGGGGTGCTCGATGCACGCAACCTCCCTTGGTTCCTCCGCTGTACCCTATCCCTCTAGGATGCACTCCATCCTGGTTATCATCGGCTCGGCTGGCTTCCGGATAGCCTTCATTGTAGATGGGGTAGTCATCTTGGTGGTTGATGGTTGACATTTGGTGGACGGCGGTGGACGGCGGTGGATGGCGGTGGATGGTCGGTAATTGATGGTGATTGATGTTTGGTAGTGGTAGATGGTGGGGTTCTACTTAGCTCTCTTCGCAAATCGAAGAGCTATTAACTGCTCCGTTCTGGGAGGAGGAATAGCCTTCGAACGGGTTGTCGTCGATGTCTCGGATCAACTCTGATGCCGAGTCACTTACTAGAGGAATGCCGGCGCATCTCGTGGCGGGAACCAAGTGTGAAGCCGCGGCGCTTCGGATCGAGCAAGTGTTAGGGATTCAGGTGTGGTTTGATATGTGAATGGATGTGGATGGATTCGATGAATATGGAAAATATTGATTCTAAACGAACATGAAGAAGATGGAGTAGGTAGATGTTGAAGTTCACGATTCGTCGGATGTGAGCTGATCACCCGATCAGGTAAATCAGGGTGGCAGAGTGAGATGAGAAGACTCCCAGAATTGGGAATGAATTGGGGAAGAAATATCCAGAGGGTTGGGTGGTGGGCGGTGTAGGGTTATATACTAATGGGCGAAGGGTGTGATGGGGCCTACGCCGTATGAATCTAAGTTGAGCAATTTGAAATCTGCTCATACCAGAATAACTTTCTAGCAAATAGCCTTTATTACTCTACCTGGGAGACCGCCTGTCATTTCCATACATGCAAACTTTATCTCAAAGGCAATATTACAGTTGCCGAAGCCTAATTCCGGGGCAGCCACAGCAGCTGCTAGAAGACGGGTACTTTCCAATGTAGGTGGGTGATGATGGAACGGCATGAATAGTGGCGTCATGCTGCAATCGCTTGGGCTGGTTGGGCTGGTTGGGATGTTGTGCATCCGTCGCGAGCTTGTTGCGGTGTCCGTCAACAGCCTGGGATAGGCTGTGATGGGCTGTGATTGTTCCATCTGATTGTGACCTCTGGGCTTGTCGCTCACCGTGAACCTAGGCGATTTAACCGCAGGAGAGTAGGGTCGGCTGCCTCGTCCAGCCATTTCGTAGAACCTGTAGTGCACGTAGGTATCTTCCAAATGACACCATCAAGCCATCGGGTGACCCATCGGGTGACCAACGTAGGATCTATGCTATCGATCTGACTTCCCTGACCGAGATTTGCTGCTGAGATCGGGTTCCACGATAGTGTCGCGTCGGCGCGGGCTTGAGATCTTGATACGTAACCCACGCCACCGCTATACATCGAGACCTGTGGGATAATGATGAGAGGAGAGAAGGCTTAGGTGTTGGTAGTCGATGGTTCGCCCTGCCGTGGCATCAACAGGGCAGGTCGCGGTGCGCGACTGTGCGAAATGAGGCGAGAATGCCATCTTATGCGGTAGTCATCTAGGTCACGTGGCCTCTTACTTGACGATCACGTGATGTAGATAGCTTCAATTTGAACATACGCCCACGTCCACAACTTCCACCTTGACGAATGAGTGCCACTACAGGATACGGAATCCACGGACATGAACCAGCATGCCGCGTCACTGCCTATGCGCGAACAGGTCAAGACCTAGAAGCATCTACCTATCATCAGGGTCATCACAGTCACGCAAGATCACAGGCACGCAATCATATTCAAGCTGATGAGAATGAGGTGAGATTCCAAGGGCAAAGCTCTTGAGTCAATTGATACCAAACTACCTAGTCCCAACTTCTCGTCTGTCACATAGATTGTCAAGTGAACAAGTTGCGTCCGAGAAGAATTCCGTCGTCTCACACGTCTTACATCTCACACCAATCAGTCTCGTCCATGGTCGATCGCAGCCAACCGTGGTCAATCGTGGTCAATCGTGGTCATTGCCGCCAGTCGTGGTTAGTGATGGTGAATGGTGGACGGTGGTCAATGGCCGTCGATCGCGGTCAATCGCAGCCAGTCGTGGTCAATCATGGTCAGCCCTAACCAATGATCTGGCCAATCGCGGTCAATCGTGGTCGATTGTGGCCGTCGCCGTCGGTCCTGGTCAATCCTGTCCAATTGTCGTCAGTCGTGGTGGTCATGATCAACGGTGGACGATGGATGGTGACCGTGGTCCGTGGTCCGTGGATGCTGGACGATGGACCGTAGACGAAGGCTAATGGTGATCGATGGACGGTGAACGGTGGTAGATGGGGGTCGGTAGATGGTGGTCAATGGCTGTCGATCGCAGTGCCCAAGATATTCCATCCCAACTTCAGCGCAACACGCGGGCCTCGTAGCCGTTCACACCACATATTCATACAACATGTAACCCAGCACGCCATATCAGACATTACCCGACACGCCAAAATCTCATACAACGCTGCGGCCACCCAACTCCCCAACTCCCAAACTCCCATACTCCCATACCAGAATCTCGTAAAACACTGCGTTCACTCAACTCCCAGACTCCAAACCAAAACCTCGTACAACACTGCAGTCGCCCCAACTCCAAGACTCCCGTACACAACATCTCATACAACCCCGCACCCCGCACCCCACACCCCGGCACGCCGCGAGGGCGGCCCATCCTCCCCTGGCTACCTAGGCTTTCCTAGGCAGTCAATTTTCCTCCTCCTCGCCCCCTTGCGGGGGGTTGGATTCGGGCAGCAAGTATCTTGCGTGTATGAGTATGTCGAACTCTCGGATTCGTCTCTCGTGCTCAGCTATTCGGTTGTGTCTCTCCTCTATGAGCCGCTCGATTAGCGGTTTGAGTCGCCAGAACTTGTCCTCCAGCCGATTGATTTCGGCTACCATCTGCTCCGCCTCCTCGGCAGTCCAGCGCGCCTGCGCCCTTTGCCAGAACTCTTCGTAGAGTGGCTTGGTCGCCCGGTACAACCTGGACGCGTCGACGTTGTCGTTCAGCCATTCGCGTCCCACGATCACGAGCATCTCGTTGTCCTCGTACCTCTCGAGGGACTGGTTCCTCGGTATCCGGCTCGTCCCGGGCTGGATGACGTTGAGGCCGGCCGCGGAGATGAGGGACCGGGAGAGAACGGTCACCAATACCTCCGCCAGCCGGACCTGGGAAGGCTTCCACGCCAGCAGGATCGGGTAGGAGCGCATGACTACCCTCAGGCCCAGCTGGCGGATGCTCGCCATCAGCAACTTACGTATCATGGACGTGCAGTGCATCGAAGACGAGCTGGGGTCGTGCTGCGCCATCCTGGTGGCGATGGTGTCGGAGCAGCCCACGTACGCCGGACTCGAGAATTGGTAGACGTCCGGGTCGGTATCCTTGTAGCGGAGCCGCTTCTGGAGCTGTCGCTCGAGGAGCTTGATGGTGGCGACGCCCTTGCCGGCCATGCCGGCGGGCTGCGTAAAGTCCTGCCCCTCTCTCCAGCGCCTGTGGTCGGGGAGGAACGTGTTGTCGAGGCTGAGAGCGAACGTCAGCCGCAGCCTGTCTTCGTCTTCGAGCTGGCTACCGCCGTAGTCAAGCTCGTCGGCCTGCGCCAGCAGCTCGAAGGCTTCGCAGCCCTCCCGGTAGAGCTTCAGGGTCTCTATGACCTCCTCGATCTCGTTGCAGCTCAGGAAAGCCCCGTCGCGGCCTTCGATGGACATCCCCGCCAGGTACGCGCCGGCGCCCTGGGCGGGATATAGGTACTCCCTGTTGGAGGAGTTCATCTCGGGCACGTCGTGGGGGATCGTACCTAGGATTAGCGCTCTCAGAGTCTTCCGGTGGAATGAGTAGAAGAGGTACTGGAGGTTATTGTTCTCCTCGGTCCCCTTTGCCTCGAACAACCCCACGATCCTCTCGCAGGGGACGAAGCTCTGCTTACGGAGCTCCTTGGCCATCTCCACGACGAGGGGGAACATCTCCTCGTATACGACGTCCCCGTCGATGGCCTCGAGCAAGTCCAGTGCAGCCCGACTGATCACTGGAGTACGGGCGCATCTTTTGGCGGGGATCAACTGCGAATCCATGACGTTAGGGGATTCCGGTCTGATATAGACGTTTGGTGTGGATCTACTTAGCTTTTTCTATACGAACAAGAACCCACACCCGGCTAGGAGAGGGGAGTATAGCTTGGGAGTGTTGTGGTGAATCGGTCGGGGTGCTAGGATCAGGTGAAGGGAGACTGCCGAGCTTGACACCTTGTTATGGTCCCGTCGAGAAGATAGAAGATGAGGGCTTGGAATAGTAAACACTTGGGATATCAGAAGATGAAGTGGTGGGAATTTTGATCATTCAATTGCAATCTGAAGTGAGATCTGAAGGGAGAGTTGTGGTTGTGTTGGTCTCGGTTGAGAAGAATGGGAACATGTCGAGATCTCTGACAACTTACCCCTCACGCTGCCAGCAGCGCTTTCCTATCGGGGGCCTCCGCCATGGGAAAAAGGAGGGGGGTCTCGCAGTGCCTTCCATCGGTATGGACATCATGAATCATCACTCGATTTGAAACAGCTAATTCTTGGGCAACCACAACGACTACCAGAAGACAGCCATAGGTATCCGGTGATATCCAGTAGAGACCGGAGAGGAGCATCGGAATACGTCGGTTGCTTGGAGCCACTGCGAGAATAGCCGGTGTGGTGGGAGGGGAAGACGGCGGCGGGAGCCGACGAGCTCCTTCCGGCGTGGCTATCAGGCGCAGCGTCGCTTAGATCTGGGTGTCGACGATGTCAGTCGCGGCGGGCAGGTCTTGGATGCGGCGGTTGAGTTGGTGGGGTTTGCACCAAAGTCCTCTTGTGACTAGAAGCTATCGAGATGGGTAGTCGAGGGCTATCGTGCAAGATATCCGAGCTATGTTGTGTATATCTCCTTACTAGGTAGGTAATTGGCGCAGGACTAGATTGTTCACAAACGGGTAGTGTACTGGTGATAATTTGTCAGGGGCATAAGTGGAGACAGGGGCTAGCTAGCGGCTAGGCCGCAGATATATAAGGGAGGCTTCGCCTCCCCTAGATTTAAGAGGGGTTGCGCGATACTCTAGTCACCATTCTACCCATTTGCTACCTACCTGCTACCTCTCACGTTGACTTGCCGCCAAAACCTGACATAGTATCGCGCCCTAACAATAGAAGTAGGCATCGACCCGTTAGGTAGCAGGAGGTATGCCAGCGATCCGAAGCTATCACGAAGACGAATTATTCCACACGAGCAGTTTCGAAGACTTGAGTTTGCAGCTACCAAGCAGCAGTCAAGAAGAACAGTGAGAATAGCGAGAATTGAAGACCACAAGGAAAGTGCGAGGGCTCTGGACCCTTTGTAACAAGGCAAGTAGGACCCCTTTTGAGCAATCAGCTGACGTGGCCTTTTTGGAGCTCCGAACACTTAGAGGCTAGCCTGTTTCGAGGTAGCTTCTAAGACAGAGCAGGAGTTGCTTTCGGCCCGGCCGAGCTTGGCACTTAACTCCCAGCTTTAACCCAGCAGCGAGGCAGCTGGTGAAACAGCTAGTAGGCGCTAAGAGCTCGGGGGTATTCCCAAAACAGCCAAGTGCCGTTGAAGAAGTGCGAGATCCTCCAAGGAGTTGTTCGCGAACAAAACGAGCGTGTGGTCTACTACAGCGACCTAGCCACAGCGACCTAGCTACAATACAGCGATCTAGTAGCAACCTAACAGCGATACCGATTGCCCCTATTACACGTTCTCACCCGCTGGGCCAGCTTCCGCCACGGCTTCGTCGTCAAGCTCCCCTAAGGACGAGGGTGAAGGTGGATTCAATATATTGGCATGCTACCAACAGGTTAGCTGCCGGCTAGCTACCTAGCAGTGGGCTAGCAGGGTTGAAGCGGGTACTCACCACCCCTTCGTATGCCTCCAGCAACGCCGCCAGGGTGTTGCCCACCTTCTCGACGGCGTCAACGAGACGCTCCTGGGCGATTAGCTGGCGTTCCTCCCGCTCAGTAGCAGCTAGCTTCTCGGCATCAGAAGCTTTGTGGGCAGGCAACGCGGCAGCATTCTTTTGCCCCTGAATCGCCTTTTTCACAGCAGTTTGCGCCGCTTTTACAGCGTCCTAGCAGCAGGTTAGCAGGCTAGCAGGCTGGCAGGCTGGCAGGCTAGCGAGCTTGCAACAGGTCAAGAAAGGACCTACAGTATGGCCACCGTTAGCAGTAGCCAGGGCTTGAGCCAGGGCTGTAGCGCGAGCTTTTAGGGGGCCTATAGGAACCACGCAGGTTTTGTTGAGGCGACGGCAGCGAGTACACTTCGTGGAACCAGCTAGGCAGATGCCGATTAGCAACCAATAAAGGGCACGAGCGGAAAAGGACCACTTACAATCATCATCCTGGCAAATCACGAGCTGGCCGCCTTTCCACGACTGGAGCGAAGCGAGGCAGCGGCGGCAAGGTGCGGTACGAGAAGGCATCTTCGAAGTAGTTGTTTTGTAGCTGTTTTGCAGTTGTTTTGCAGTTGTTGTTGCAGTTGTTGTTGCAGTTGTTTTGTGGTTGTTTTGTTGAAGTTATAAGACGAGGTAGAAAGGACCTCGCAGCAGTATATATATAAGAGCAGGGAGAGTGTTGATTGGCTGGTTGTGGGTGTGAGATCGATTCACGAAGATTCACGAGGCGCGTGAATGAATTACGGCCGCCGTACAGCTGCTTAGCTGCGACTTAGCAACCGCTACGCCCCTGCCTCAGCTGCGGCAAGGGGCTTGCAGCTGACTAGCAGGTGATTCTACTAACGAGTACAAGGTTGTGCAGGTGAAGGAGTGCGGGGTGCACAAATCACATCTTAGGGCTTACTTTCAACCGCTACCTAGCAGTTGAACAGCAAGTGGTTCGAAGCTGGACAGCTTGTTTATGGTTAATTTTGGGATGTTTTATTTTTTATTTTTTATTTTATTTTTTATTTTTTTTATTTTCTTCATACTCGCTCCTTTTTCGTGGCTTGTGAGCTGGCTAGTAGCTGCTTTGAGCATGAGGGATTGTGATCCCAAGAAGGCAAAGCAGGTGAACCCCGGGAGCCACGAAGAGCCGTGAAAGAAGTGGCTTGCGAGCTGGCTAGTAGCTGCTTTGAGCATGAAGGCGAACGCTGGGAGCCGTGAAAGAACTGGCTTGTGAGCTAGCTAGTAGCTGCTTTGAGCATGAGGGATTGTGATCCCAAGAAGGCGAAGCAGGTGAACGCTGGGAGCCATATATTGATAGCTAGGCCTTGGAGAACGATTAGCCGGGGGATAGCGGGTGCTTTATGGGTTTTGTCCTTACAAGAAGGTTTCCCCGTATTTAACACGTAGTGTTAGCAAATGCGCACTCAGCAGCAGGGCAGCAGCAGGGCAGCAGCAGGTTAGAAGCTACCACGTTGAAGCCGTCCTTTTCGTCCCCGTTCGTGGCCTCGGGACGAGGCCACGGAGGAGAGGGAGGAATCTGTCAGGGGCATAAGTGGAGACAGGGGCTAGCTAGCGGCTAGGCCGCAGATATATAAGGGAGGCTTCGCCTCCCCTAGATTTAAGAGGGGTTGCGCGATACTCTAGTCACCATTCTACCCATTTGCTACCTACCTGCTACCTCTCACGTTGACTTGCCGCCAAAACCTGACATAATTGGTGGAGCGACCCTTGAGCATTGAGGCTTTCAATGTGATCGTAAAGTGAATGTACCTAGATAGCCAACTAGAATGAGAGTTTTCAAGGTGCCACTAGACCTTGGGGACAGTTCGCGGTATAACTACGAATTCTGGTGAAGTTGCAATCTTGTGATAATCAATGGGGTAGCAAAGGCCAAAGGACTACAGGTTCTAGGGACTGGACAGGCGTTGATGCCTACGTAGTCATTCAATTATTGCGTGCCAGTGAGCCTCCACCGAGCTACCTACTACTATAGCTACCTAGGCATGAACATGAACAAGCAGTCTTCCATATAGACAGCCTTCTCTCCGTGAACTTCGTCGGGAATAGTCCTAATTCTATCTCTGGTTCTGCATATTCGCATGGGATGTCAATAGGTCTCCCCGATCCATTCTCGCATTATATGTAGGTGGGTAGGTATTGATCTAGAAACGCGTTGAAGCGTTCAAGATAACTAGTCAAATGACCATCGCCCATATAACCACTCAATAGTACATCTGACCGAACTACCGTGAACTCCCTTGAGACTCTAACCAGATATATACTGCTGAGACCAATCGCGGTATTCCCATCCTTCTTGTTTGCCGTCATGGCAGGGACGTCCGTTGGCCATCGTGTATTCTACGTACCTATCCGGGATTAACCCCTCGCGTCGAGGAAAGCCATGCAATCTTCCCATAGCGGGACTACTGCAGCGATCGCCACGGTCTTCTCCGTGGGCTGCGGTTGCTGTGGCTCGCCACCTTTGGGTTAATTGATATCGGGTGGCAGCCTGTGGGCAGCCACTGGTGGCTTGCCCACCTGGATGAGGACGTACCAGCTGCTCGCTTGAATGAGACAGTGGCCTCTCCCTCGCCAGTAGGCAGAAGGGTGTCTCGAGGGTTCGTGTGGTCGAGAGGGGCGGGAGGGGGAGGCAGATATTGGATAGAGGGATACGGTTCTCGTCTTGTAGGTCCTCTTGGAGCTCTTGTAGCGATCTGGGTAGTGGTGAATTCGTCCGTATTTCGAACTGCCACTATGTCTGTCAGTCGTACGTTGCTGGTCAAGGCTGATTCACTTACCGGATACTTGGTATCCGAGCAATGTCAAGAGGTTGATATGGCTGAACGAGCCAACATTAAGCTGGAGGAGTCGTCCAGAATGTAGCCTGCCAGCGTGTGTTGAGCAGACATGTTGAACAAGTGGATTGAACAAATGTATTGTAGAGGTCTGGGTTTTTAGGACGGGCAAGTCCAGATATATATTCTAATATATCCCTCAAATTGAGCGAGATTGACTTTCTGTTGTATTGCCTAGGTACCTTAGTAGGTACCTCTAGGCAATCTCCCCGAGAAACTGTAGATGATGAGTTCAGAAACCAATTTCCAAGGACACGGTATTGACAAGTAGGTAGGCACGGATGCTGAATAGCAACCTACATAGCACACCATGTATAGACAATGTATTGTGAGCTGATTACGGTTCGAGAAACCGGCGCAGTGTGTATGGCGGCGGGTGGATGTGGGTTTATCCATGAATCTGAAGTCAATCAAGATTAGGCGCTGACAACAGTTATTAGTGCGGCTTTTAGGTCTTAGGTGCGCTAGATACAGGGGACTGAGCCCTGTAATACCTGTAGTATTGAGGTTGGAACCCCACAGATAGTAGATACTACCTAGGCAACGATCAAGTTCTTGTGTATGGAGAGCCACGCCGACGGGATGTCTTGGATGGCTTCGGAGCGAACCAGAGTAGCCCCAGGGCCACCTAAGTGCATGGGTGAGGAGGTACCCTCAGACCTGATAAGTGATGAATTAAATGTTGGGTGATGTGGCGAGCTGGTATCTAAGTAGGCAGGTAGGTATGGATAAGACGGCCCAGATATTGCTACACCCATCGCAGATCGAGTCACCAAATCAATGGATGGATTGGATGTCGGGTGATGTGACGAGCTGATATCTAGAGAGGTACCTAGGCATGGATCGGACGGCCCAGACACTATTGCACCCATAGCAGATCAAGTCACGACAAAGTCACAAAGGGATACATTCGTTTAATTCATCGTCATCACAATAGTTGTCATTGTCCTTGTTCTCTTCGGCAGATATGTTCCATGTTTCGTGTGATCCGCTCCAAGCATAGCAATTCCACTGTCCCCAATAGCAACAACCATCTAGTCCCGGTCCCTGATAGCAATGTCACCATGCTCCCGCTCCCCGATAGCAACATCAGCGTGTTCCGCTCTCCAATAGCAACCATCTAGTAATGCTTCTACCCATCGCCTGATCCTCGTCCTCGCCTCATCCTCGTGCTCGTGATCATCCTCGCCTCATCCTCATTCCCTCCCTCTCATTCCCAGCCGCCGCACTGACCCAGCTCCACCCACACCCAAGACACCGACGCCCAAACACCAACGCCCAAACACCCACACACAAAGCACAAAACACACAACACAACACAACACAACACAACACAACACACCAACACCAACACCAACACCTCATCCCCCCATCCTAACCACCAAACAAACAAGGCCATCCAGGGAATCTCCCCTTCTGACCTGTAGACACTTGTCGTGTGTACGACAAGTGCCATCTGACTCGATTTCGGAATTTGGGTTCATATACCCTCGTTCCGCGAGTTCTTGGAAACAGTACCACTCCCCGCGCATGAGATGGGAAATTGACCTGTCAATAGTCCGTCTGCGCCGAGCATATATGATGACTTTCATCATCTCGGCGACCGCTTCGTCGGGGGTTAGGGGAGAGCCGGCTTCTGGGATGGGCTTGTGGGTGAGAAGCCATTGGCCGAGGGAGCGTATGTTGGCGTCCCAGGTGTCGTCGCCGCCGGGCTCTCGGTTGTCGGTCCCGTCCCCCCCTTGGGCGTCTGGTCGGGGTCGCTTGCGAGGATGGAGTGCGTTCGACTCCTGGGCCTCCCTCTTCAGCCGCTCGTTCTCGCCTTGGAGTTCCCGTACTCGCGCGAGAGCGGTTGACTCTCTCTCGATCGCGCGGTCCAGATCCTCTTGAAGGCGGACGGTCGTGCTCTTCTCTTCCTCGAGCTCGGTGTTGAGGCGCTCGATCTCCCTCGCAGAGGTACCGTCGACGACCTGGAGCTTCTGGAAGGAGTCGGCGAACCGAGCCACATCGGTGGAGTACTCGTCGACCTTTCTCCTGTACTCCACCCTCTCCGCTTGCAGCTGCTCGCGGATTTCCTCGGCCTTGCTGGTCAGCTCGGCTATTTTCGTCTCGGCTTCTTGGCGTCGACGATCTGCGTCTTCTTCCTCGGCTTCTAGTTTTCCTAGTAGACGCTTAGCCGATGTCATCACGTTCACAAGAAGGGCAGTCTTGTTTCCCGCTTCCCTTGGCTGCTCCCCGTCCCAGTCCTCGATGGCCCATTCTATCCCCGTTATCACCCGTTGCGCTAGCTTCTTCATATCGTTCATGGCGGACAGTGCCGCCGTCGACGTTCCCGGGGTAGTCATATTGGTGGTTGATGGTTGATGGTTGATGATGATTGATGATTGTTCTTGATGAATGGTGACGATTGATGTTGATGTTTGGTGAGGAGGAAAAAATAGAATCGTCTAGGCGATCTGTGTTCAATACAAAGTAACTTCCATCGTTCGTGGGCGTAGGGTTACACTTTAGCGAGGGTATACATGACCCTAGGAAGCCTGCTATATAGGGGAAGTAACTTGTAAGCCGCGCTTTCCTCTATCTCTATGGTAAATATCATACATATTCGGTCGACATTCGTTGAAAGGCTGGACATGCTCTCACGTTTGACGGATTTTGATCGAATCAACTGTGAGATGTAGTCAAATTAAGCATGACCGTCCCAATTAATTCGGAACCGTGCATTTATCTTCCCTATTCGGAAATCTGCCGCTCAACAATTGGTCGAATATCCATCCTATCGGCATCTCGCCGCACATCCGCTTCTGGAACGAAGTACCAAGGCGCTATTCCAGATTGGGGTTAGTTAGGTATGATAACGGACAATCATGATAACAAATGATCTCAATTACCACTGGTTGGCACCTATGATCTATAATAACTTCGCGAATATGAGAGTAATCATCTTATAATATATCTTACTCGCTCCTCTACTACGTGCACTCTCTAGCGAACCTGGGTGGACCGTTACAAGTACAATGAACCAGCAGTTATCAGTAATTGAGGGCCATCCGAGTATTATTCACCGAAGCTGCCAGGATAGGTGATATCTTCGGTCCACCACAGCTTTACACGATGTGCTCGAAAAGGGGTGCAACTAGGCCCTTGATGCTCTACTGTGCTTGAGCTACACTTATAATCCAAATAAATGCCATGGAATCGTTGGGGCAAGAAGTTGTTCAAGTGAGACGAGGAGCGATGGATGATTGCTATGGGCGGAGGACGGTGGAGAGTGCAGCCTATCTAAATCGGCTTAGTGGCTTGGCACCGCCTAATAAATGAAACACCAATACGTGCCTCACACCACTCGTACCAGTAGTCTTCTGGTGCGCAGGCGGTACTTCCGTCGACTATAACTGAGATGCTCAAAGTTCCTGCTGTGTATATCTACAGTAAACATATTGAAGCGATTTTGATACGCTACCGCTTGAACGTAACGTAGGAGCGACTCTCGTCCGGTTCGTAGACCCCGCTACACATCGCCATGCTCCTGCGCCGCGAACATGTCAAGGGAGAAGGCCACACACACTACACGGAGACTGGGAGGTAGAAATAGGACGCTGCATTATTTTCTAATGTACAATCTATTTGAGCTGAGTTAATAGGCTAGTCCTGGTTTGCAGAGATGGTTAAAACCCGTATTGAATTGGTCGAGCCAGGGTCAAGCTCAAATATGGTCAGAGACGGCATTTTCAAGTGGCAAGTGGAGGCTAGCTATATGTACAAGCCTACGTATCTAAGTAAGTTGGAGTTCTAGGTATGGTCCACCCTTCCTACAATTAATACGTCGCCGATCTAGATCTAAATATCCAAGCTCGAACGCGCGAAAGATTGCCGGGATATCCGACGCAGAGGCAGTGAAACAAGTTAATGCTCGATATTTCTAAGACGTACCTGAGCGTAGCCGCACGCGACAAAGCCTACGACTAGGCGGCAGAGCACCCAATCGACCGCGCGCTCGACTTGCAGAGGACGTACCATCTAACCGAAACGGCAAGTTCCAGGTGATGCTTATAACTATTAGATACCTAGGGCAATGTGATATATGCATTCTAATCAATTGGGGTCATCTCAGGCGGATCGCGTGAACTGAGGTAAAGGATCTACGCCATCTGAGTAACCTCGCCGTTGCTCACGGCTCTGACGGCGATCTTCCACGGATATGCCGAACAAGAGCTAAAAAGGTAAGAACGGGAACCTTTCCCATTCCAATTCGCACACTCCCAAGAGGCCGGAGGGTTCCAGCGACAGCCATGAGACGGCGTAACTAGGCCGACTGGTACTCGACGATCATTCAGCACAAAACTATTCGTGGTAACATAAATAGATACCTAGGTATTCTTGTTCTACGAAGTCGATATGGTTCCAAGGAATCGACCTAAATTCAATTGATATTGGACGCGGGTTATCTTCTACACATCCTAGAGTTGAACATATTCAGGAGCTTTGAACAGTTATAACATCATTCACAGATAAATCAAGTCTAACTCACAATCACAATCACAACTAGCCATGTACGAGAAAGGATTGGAGGGAGATATAATGTTGTATTTCTTACAGAAGATTCAAAGCTTCAAAAGCTTTTTGATTAGCTAGATCTTGAAAACCAGTACAGTGTGTGTCCCGCCTTTCTAGCCTGCATGTTCCATCTATACATGGTTACAGTCCTTTCAAGTCTACCTATCCCGTGTTCCTTTCTTACATGTCTTCGATCCCGAAGTAAACTCTGAGCTCCTTGTCCAACTCCTCGTCTGTTCTCTCCCCTGTTATAACACGCATTTGGCCGGTGCTGGCCCAGACGACGCGGTCGGCCCGGAAGGCGCAGTTTGCGCGGGGATGGCCGGTATGACAATAGGGGCGGCGGCAGCTGAGGCAGCTGAGGCAGCAGCGGAGGCGGCAGCGACAGCAGCAGCGAGGCCTCGATGTTTGTTTCGGAAGAACACCATCCCAACGTCACCCAGGTGACCCCCATTCGCCTGCTCCATCCGATAGAGCGCGTTCCGGGCGAGAGTCGTTGCCGACTCCATGTTATTTGCGGAGCCGATGGTAACGTTGGGGGTGCTCGCCTCGAAGTTGCGGGCGGCGGGATCGGTCGGCAGGGCGAGGCCATTCAGGGTGCGGCCAATGTATTGTCTGTTGATGTCGTCGAGGAGGACGGACGCCACCAGCCCTCTGGGTCTCCGGACCCCAGTGATATCCTCCACGAGAGCAATCTTTGCTTTCTTGGGCCTTGGCCCCGATGGTGGCTGTTGACGCTTCATTGTTATCGTGGTGGTGATGGGGGTTGGTAGAGAAAAGAGTTGGTGAAGGAGAGCATTGGTGGTGAGAATTACCGGAGGCTAGGCGTCTAGTAAGAAGGGAGTTCGGCCTTGAGAGACCATGAGGAGCTCCGGGAGACCCGTTGGCGGTTGGCCATGAAAGAAATAGACAAAGGGCTTCTGCTCTATGTATACCGTAGCCCCTGGGGGACAATTGGCATTGTTGATGTGAGAGAGGAAGGTTGGTAAGAAGGAGAAAAATAAAAGTTGAGAGGGGAGTGGAAGAGGGGGCATTTATAATCTGGGGTGATGGAACGTACCCGTTCACTGATGAGCGAATTGCTCTTATGCACGGAAGCGAAGAACTCCTGCAAGAACCTAATATATTTCTACCTAGCTGTAGGCAAGCACAAAAGCAAAAGTACGGGTACCTTCTAAAAAGGTACCTATGATACTATTCTATGGAAATTATCGACTTAACGTCCATGTAGCTACCGTTGTGCGATAAGTGGTGACTACCTCTGCCAGTCGAGGCATTTTTCGATTATAGGGACCGCAGCTTCCAAAGGTAAAGCGTCATGTCAACCAGATGAGGGAAACTTACCGAATATGGTAGCAGGAACAATGATATTAGCTCGGCGAGCAGGTTTTGAAATCAAACCGATGACTTAATCCTCTCGTAATCAATGTCGCTCTTCCCATAGGAGTTATATTCCATCTGACACATCAGATGGTGGGATCGTCATCAAGGTTGGGCAACGCGGCGCAGATGCCGTCTATGTAGCTAGATTCATACGTGTTACGCTGATGGCTCTTACTATAGCTTTTACTCACCGTACATCAATAATGCTCGAGCAAGAAACGTGGAAGGCTACGCTATGAACTAATCAATGCAAATCATAGACCGCAGGATGTTGCCTACATAGGTAGCGAGTCTACGTTGACAGAGTGCGGCTGCACGATTGATAGATTAAGATGCATTTTAGAGATCGGATGAGTTTTCTTGGAGATTTTCGGCTTACAGAGTTTCAACTAGGTAGGTAGTAGAAACGTCATTCAACATTGCAAAGAGCAACCTTCTAGACAGTAGGCGCTCGCATGTTCCAACAGTAGCAAAGGCAACAGCGTTCTTATATGTCTAACGTAAATAGGATATGGTTAATGACGTCTTTGATTACGTGTTCCGGTAGATTTGTTCCGGCAGGTGAGCATCGCCATCATGTACCTACCTAGATTACAGTGGAAGCTTCGTGAGGCGTACGTGGCGAGGATCTCGTGAAGCGAACAGACGTTGCATGATGATTGATTGATTAATCGTGTGGTTGAACTGTGAAGATGCACCCAATCTCCATCAGCTAGAGCTCAGAAGTGATATCACATATGTAAGATCTCGAGTAATCGACCAATAGCTACTCGTAAGAGGTGTGTGCCTAGGTAGTCTCCGGTCTCAAGTGACCCGCGCCTACTCTGATCGCTGAGAACAAATGGTGGGATGTCTCTGGTTCGCAGAGTGGAGCGTTGTCGATGTAGAAGTAGGTAAAGCATATGCGGTTTGAGACTGAATGAGACCTACGCAGGATGGCCGGAGTTCATGCAGACGAGGTGATAGATATCTACCTACCTGATTGAATTGCAAGTTGCTCCCCTGAAAAAGTGAAGTCATCACAAGTTTGCCGACTGACGGATTGCCCAAGGGTCTATGTAGATACCACCATTAGGTTTCCAATAGGATCCGTCACGTATAAATTGAAGAGTGGGAGTCTAAATCATACGCAATATAGAGTGATAACCGCATGGACTATAAGCTACCAACGTATACGGCATGCTCAAGAAGTCTCGTTAGGTATCCATTCCGCCAATGTTAGGCGTCACCGACGTCTACTTGCGTCTTATGGCGTTCGTGATCAGGCAACGGCCTCAGTTTCTCGTTAGACACCATGCCGGATGAGTGAGACCGTACACTGTCAACGGGCCGCAAATGAGAGACCGATATGATGTCTCGTCCTGATCAGTGATATATACAAGGCAACAGGAAGGGAACAGCTATATGTGCACATAGCGTGTAATGATATGGTGCTCGTTTGCCTACGGTATGTGACGACTACGACGGCGAGGTCGTTGATGGGTAGCCCTGGGAAGACTGCTGCTGCCACGGAACAAAACTAAGGAATGATGCAGGTTCGGGTAGACATTTAGAGTAAAATCCTCCCAAGGAGCAGGCCCCAGCAGTGCGTATTAATCACTATTTCCCTATGATAACTGTCGTTTTGGAGAGGTCAAACCCCACGATGGGGTTAGGACGTAGCGGGAAGCAACATAGACTTGTGATGGCTAAGTGGCATTCGAGTCGTCTGCATGGATAGTTTGGCACCCACACACATACTGCCGGCAAGATACTAGTAATGAATGCCAGATGGATATGAAAAGATCCACTTCATCAAACAACGACGCTATCAGCTCTACATGTACGGAATGTCACGAAGTCGATCATTTATGTTAGATGTAGTATTAATGCAATCTGACTAGTATACGTTTGTTTACCTTTCAGGCGAGTCTCCCGCTCGAGATGACAGTAGGTTGATGGAGTACAAATGAGGTAGCCTCTTTCTGATCATCTGACGCCGCGAAGCTTGCCAACAGCCACCGTGTACATAACTTGTTTCCCACGCTATCCTGCTGGAACTGCCCGTCAATGAATTCGAACACGTCGACTCGCCCTGGAGGTTCTGATTGGCGATCGAGTTACCGGGACCATTCAGCCCAGTGGAATTATGACGATAGACGAGTTGGCTACTCGTCGAAAATGTGGCTATCGGCCGACCGGAGTGCTGGTCTACTGCATCCGAAAGCTATAGAAACGTATCGACGGAAGTGGTGGGACTAGTGATCGAAGTGGCTCGCGTCTCTGTCCGGTAGACTAGCGTATCGAAGGAGATATCGCGCACCTATGGATGTTCAATGTCAGCTTGATATTGATATGTTCGCAGGAGTCAAGGGTAAGTGGGGACCTACCAGGTACGCAATTCGACTATGATTGTGGATGGAGTCCACTGCCACGGAACTTCAAAAGGACATATCCGAGATCTGGCGATAATGAACATTATCGAAAATGTTGGATTGTGCTGGGTTCGCGTATTGTCAGCAGTCTACGAGATAGATCCTTGCTTCGATTCTAGTAGCTCCTGCCCGACCGATGTCACCGCACCAAATGGAAGTGGGGATGGTCTCACGCAATGGCACACTTGACTTGGCATTTTGGGATCGACTAGGGGTCGATTTCATAAGACCGCCTGGCCCGGTGATGAAATCACCCACCAGACGATAACTATGGAATATTCGAGGTTCGTAGTAAACAATGCGCGTCGCGTAAGCCCGCAAACCCCTCCCAGCATAATTTTGCTACAGGTCCTGTCCAATAGGTTACCTTATAGGTACCTATCTTCCCACACTCACGGCCAACCGCCATCAACGCCCTTGATGAATAAGTGTTCTGAGATCGTTGGAGATATAGGCTGATGTAGTACCGCACCCGTCTCGAGGTGGCCGGCTGTGGGGTAGCGTGAAGGTGTGGTTCAACGTAGATTCAGATGTAAGTCTTTAGTCTCGCGGCCAATCATCAAGCTCTAGCATCCCGTGCTGATAGTGATCGTTTGCATCCTAGGTTGCGTAGGAACAATTAGATCGACCGATTACTCTACATACGGCTTCAGCGACACGATGATAGGATAAGAGGGTGGGAGGAGCATCACGAGCTTTGACGACTCGTCCATTTCAGGGCTGTGCACCGCTCTTTGGATGCTAACTTAGTGGATTCAAGTGCCTGAGGGCCTACAGGTAACTTGTCGATGTTAAGCTGGATACGAATGTATATACCAGGCAGCTAGGCAGTTGATGAATGCCCAACCGTGTTGCTCTTCTCGTGTTCCCCATGATCTGACGGGTTCAGAACTGACCGTCAGCTATGTTGATCTCCGTCATCTTAGGCCCAAGGGGATTTATTTCGTTCGATGCGTCTGTTGATCCGAGTTTAGATATCTGACTGACACAACTCTGATCATTGGAGGAACTTCGTGGAGATAGACTTCGTCTAGGTTGAAGCTGATTCGAACGTGGCTTTTGGTATGGTGTGATGATCTGCGCCCCACGCACATCACCATATTCTCCTCTTATGCCAGTCAGGCTACCGGCCTCCATCATCTATGGTCGTCTGGACTAGTCGTCACTCGAAATACGAGACGCCAGAGCCGCGTGGTTGGTGAATGTGTGCTTGGGTCGAGGTTCAGAGTAATTCGGGATATATTCTCCCATTTCTGTCATTGTCAACCCAAGTGGTTCTAGGTGTATCGGGATTGACGTGGCTTAGGGAATATGCTGCGGGTTGCCTACTCGACAAGATGCAGCACCTATTCGACCTGAAAGCCGCCCAGGATATTCCTTGGAAGAGAGAGAATTACCCACGCAACCATCGCCTGCTATTGTGAGAGCGCTGCAGCGCGAGCAACTATTTCCACCACCCATCCGTTCACCGCCACATGTATAGATTCTTCCTCCTGCCTATCCTACTCCCCCCATTATTACTTTCATAGGTACTCTTCGGGAGCCTAGACAAGTACAACCTCACTTTGACAACACTGCAACCAATCGTACGTGCACCTAATGATTAGTATCTGGCTGGGTATCCGGTAGATGCCTCGCTACGATATCGCTTGGTGCTATTGTTTCGTCGACGAGGTGTTGAGAGCCAGGTACGTTGCTGAAGTGTGAAAAATCGTCATCGGCGCTGGCTTTTCTTCTTCCTCCCTTATTTTCATCGGGATGGCCACCTAGCACGACAAAAATTGTAGACAACTATCTTCTCTGGCTATGGGGTTGTGGGCGCCATGCTGTCCATGCTGCTTTGGAAATCGACACGCCCTCGCGTACATACTATACGCAAAACAAGCACATGGTATCTCGGCGAAATCATGCTAAGGGTGCTCACTCTTAGATCATCCTGTCGCTAGCAACCGTCTGGTAGCGAGTCTGCGTCGAACTTCTTGTGGCATCTTCTACTACGCGACGTACATTGACCAAGGTCCTCGACCTTCTAAGGTTGGCGTTACTACAAGCTTACGGCATATTGATCACGGCATATGAAGTGGAATGAGACAAGCAGATGTTAGCACGTTAGATCATTGGCATCTGCCAGTTCAAGGCTTCTCAGATGTGGGATTGGCTAGCTACGTGGTAGATACAGGACAGGACATTGGATTTAGCAAACAGAACCCCAAACAGACCCCAGGTCTAGGATGTGAAACGCATCTCTCTCATCTCCCCCCACTCCCTTTCGTCTCACTCGCCTTCCCTCTCATATCCCTCTCCTCCCCCTGCCTCTCCTCCCCCTCCCTCTCCTCCCCCTCCCTCTCCTCCCCCTCCCTCTCCTCCCCCTCCCTCTCCTCCCCCTCCCTCTCCTCCCCCTCCCTCTCCTCCGTGTCCTCTTCCACTGGCTTACCCTGGAGCGGCATACCAGATATCTCACCACTTAGCAGAGCTATATAGAAGGGATTCCGGATGGACTCGGTGAGCGAGTGTCCTGGGCAGTTGTTATACGGGAGGGACCCTCGTGGTCGATGACGCGGTTTGGGGGCTGGTGCTCCGTCGTGGGGAGAGCTGGGAGCACCGTCGTCGCCGTCGTCGGATAATCCACCAGAGGGGGGCAAGTCAGGCGAGGGTTCTCGAGAGCGTCTCTCGTTAGGCATGGTGTCGGTAGGATGTTGCGTGTATGGATGTCTGAATAGGAGTAGATGTGGGTGGATGGGTGTGTATGTGTGTATATGTGATTTGCTATGTGAATGGGCGTGTGAAAAAAACGATATCATGAGAGGTGTGTAATGGTTATGGGTGAGAAGGAAAATTCAAAACAGCACCAGGCCAATGTGACATTGGAGAATTGACCAAGGTATTTTAAACTTTGGTGCGCTTCTTCGCCTAACGTTTTAGGAAACTGCTCTCTTAGACTGCGTAGGGCAATAGCGAGTTGCGGAAGTCGTGCCTGGGAAGTTGAAAAGTTAGAAGTGGTGTAAGTGGCCCGCCCTCGCTTGTCCGTCGCGCCTGCCATCTCAAAGTCACATAGCCAGTTTGCCACACGCGAAGTCTCTGCCTAAGGGTTGACACAGACGGCTTCATAGGATGATATAGGATGCCATAGCAGCGGGTTGAGCAATCAGTCGTTTGCCATGGAGGCAAAAATGAGCTGAAAATAATTTTATAGTATTGTTACCACTTGGAATTATTTTCTGTGACCCTGTCTCTTCCGAACTTCCCCCCTTTCAGTAAATATAGACCTAGCCGTGAGCTGTCATCTATATGAGACTAATACTAGGTAATTTCTATGTCACAAGAATCCTATAGGAGTTTAGCTAAGACTGAGAACCACCGTGCTGGGCGAGAGGTATGGCCTCCTGTAGCTGCTGAGATACCTCGATCTTGGCAATTTGGATGTGGATAGAAGAGCCGGTCTATGAGTGAGAATTACGCGACGGCTTCTACTACGATCTGTTGAATGCCATCACTCACATATTATACGACTAAGCTGAAGCGTCGTCAACCTTTGAAGGTGCCCATTGCTTGACATCTTAATTGTCCCTAAGCCTCGACGGCGCCCGCTAGTCCCTCCCAATCCGCCTGTAAATTTCTAACTCGCACGAATCTCATACATAGGCATGTACCTATTTCATGTCGTATCTACCATCGTCACGAACAAGGCATGGTCAAATCCTATTACGATCTGAACAATGAGACTACGTTCATAGGTACCGACGTATCCAGATAATGTCGATAGTGCTCTTTCCTAGGTACGTTCCAGTTTCCTAGTTGTCATGTGACATCCTCAGTATCAGATACAGAATACTTGGTTGAACCTTGAGCTAGGTACCTTAGAACTTAAACAATACAACCTCAATCCAACTCATAGCATTTTCCTGCTACGTGTCAGGGGACAGTCGGCACTAGTCCCGTCTAGGTATAGTGCGTGCCCAGGGTAGACTATATATAGGATGCTGCGCACCCTCGAAGGTGCTTTGAAGGGCAAGTGTTAATAGTTCATTAATACTACACTACTAGGTACCTAGTATTCACTCTGTGCGGATGACATCTATCAAAGGAGCACTACTTTCCCTGACACTACACTAGTAGTCACCAGCCAAGGGTATTTTTTATATCTGTTTTTGTATGATGTGGTCCGCTGGAGTAGGGCTAAAGCCTTTAACTTTACACAATACCTATGTAGATTTCGCACATCAACCCATACTTAGGTAATCATCATGTTCAACCATCACCAACCCTATGAACTGTTATCAGCAACTATCAACCGCTACTAACATAACCACCGTCCGCCAAGATGAGCAACACATGGGAGATGGCTTCGGCCTTGTTGGAGGGAGAGAAGGCTCGGCGAGAGGAGGTAGTGGCTGCCATTTGCCGCCGGAAGGGAATGACACCGGAGCAGGTGAGAATGGTGTACGAGATGGCCAAGGAGCACATGTGCCGTCATCTAGCCGATAAGGGAACTTTGCCGACAGAGTCGACAAGGTATTTCGCGTGGTTGAAAGACGAGAACATGTGGGATTTTTCCTGTAACTATGTATACCGCGGACGACTTCTTAGATACCCAGTATGGAGAGCAAACTTCGCCTTAATTGGAAAAGGAGAAGACTCGCCTCCACTCCCCTACGAAGTAGCCTAGCAACGAGGTCTACCTCGCTTCGCTTACCTGCAGGACGCCGCCGAGGACAGGCCTCCCTCGAGGCCCGCAAGGAGACGCTGGAGAGACGCCTGTGCGAATAGAGAGCACCCCGCGCCGAGGACCCGGAGCGCGCCGTCGAGATGCTGGCCTTCAGGGCCAAGTTCGTCCTCCGAGCCTCTCGACAAGTGGTCACCGAGGCAGCGCGCCCGGCAGCCATCAAGCGAGATGGCCTTGACAAAGACTTTGCGGCTGTCTCAGACTTTGTCTTAAGCCCACGCTTTGGCTGCTTAGCCGAAGCTGAGCTGTTGGGCGTAGTCGAGGACGCTGCTGCAGAATTCGTTAGGCTACGCGTGCAGCAGCTGGTCGAGCGCATCCTGAAGCCCAAGGATCTGAAGTTACTCACACATTCTGCTTAGATAGCCAAGCAGGCCGAGATCGAGGAGTTCGTCGGGGCCGCCGCGTCAAGCAGCGTCCCGCGCGTGGCCTACCTGCAATCCCCGTCCGCGTCCGGCAAGAGCAGCACCCTCATCATCCACTTACTGAGCCTGTTTCGCAAGCAACAGGAGTCGGAGATCAAGTCTCAGCTCCGCGCGTCAGTGGAGGGGGAGGTCTTCTTCACGTCGTTTATCGATCCTTTAATCCGCGATCCCCGCGACCCGGGCGAAGGCATCCCCGCCATTGACGTCCTCTTAATGTCGCCGCACGTATCTTCGAGGACGGTCACGGCGTTCGAACGGCTCGCCTTCCCCCATATTGTGTACATAGAGATCCCCGACAACGACCCTGTGCCAACCATCGAAGTCGTGAGCGACACCAGACGCTGAGGCCGACATACCGCTCTCGCTGCCGAAGATCGACCTCCTCGTGATCGACTGCGCGTCAGAGGCGGTGCTTTTTGACGCCCGCACCGACCAGATGGTCGTCGCCGAGAGGGTGATGGAGAGAAACGAGGTGGACAGAGCGCTGTCCTGGGCGCGCAAGGTCCTGAATCCCGGCAGCACCCGGGTCGTCGCGAGCCTAGACCCCGAGCACCTCCACCGCGTCGCCGACCCACCCGGCGCGGCCTGGAATGCCGACCTGCCGCTGCTCGTGCTGCGGATGTTCGACCTCTTCCCCCGCCGCAAGTTGGAGAGCCAGCCGATGCGCCCGCCTCCCGACATGTCGGCCTTCATCGAGACCGTCATCCGACTCCGCAACATGGGGCTCGTCGAGACGACGGGAGACGGGCCGCGCTGGGCCAACACCGGAGAACGGGGCATTCGCGCTGATGAACCTCGCGAGAGGTGCAGAGCGGGTTCCTTTGGAGATATTCATCCACGCCGCCTGCCTCACGGCCAGCGCGCTCGGCGAGCAGGACCCCAACGTCAAGCGCGTGCTCATCCGAATGGCGGCCATATCGACGGTAGGCGTCAGGGCCTTCTGCCGGTTCGCGTCATTCAACGAGATTCGCCCGCCTGAATCTGCCCCTCTACGCCTGCAGTTGCCCAAGGTAAAGTCCGAACATGCTCGTCGACGAAGAAGTCGCAACCGGCTCGACAGTCCAAGTTTCACCAGGGTCTAGTCTGTGCACAATCTGACATTTCTGAAAATATTTTCCTCTGGATCAGGGATATTTCGAACAACTACAACCAACTACAACAACGTCAACAACAACAACAACGTCATCATAGCAAACATGGCCGGCCGATATGAGTCAAGGGGACGCCAGCTCCTCGATGAGCGCGCAGGGAAAATGAAAGAATTGGTGACGGCGATGAGAGGTGGGTTGGAAAGGGACGAGGACATAGAAGTCGGTTACCAAGAGTTGAAAAGTAAGTTGGAAAAATACGACGATGATGACCATAGGCACCGAGTTGTCCTTGGAAACTGCTGTGCAAATAACAGAGAGATCACCGATGCCATTGAACAGGCGATGGATAGTTGGACGGACGCGCGCGGACATCTGATGAACGAGGTATTTCTGAGGGAGATGGACAATTACCGCGACACCATCTTCGCCCACGCCCTGATGTTGACCGCGGCCGACGACACTGCCCAACCCAAGATCCAGCCGTGGTCCGTCCTCCCGAACTGGACGGAGGACAGGAACCAGAGACTCCCCGATCCCCCGTCCCCCGTAGGCGCTATGGAGTTGGTGAGCATGTTCTTCAGGAACGCGCTGGGCGAACGGCCTTGAGGAAGGGTTTGCAGTTGTGTCGAGCTTCGTTTCAAGCCCACGTTTCGGTTGCTTAGCAAAGACTGAGCTGTTGGGGATGATTGAGGGAGATGCAGAGCTTGGAAGACATTGACTCGGAAGAGATTGGCTCGGAGATTGACTCGGGATCACCATGTAGGTTTCGCTGGACCTTTGTAGATTAGTCCAAACTTCTGTGAGCTTGGAGGTTTGGGACGGTTCCAATCGAGTTCCCCTGTTCAATTTAGAGATGATTGGGTGATATTCGATCTACTTTCTGTCTCTTCATCTTCATATCGTTCTCTGTGTATCTTGCTCTAAACCGAGGACTTGGTAGCAGATATAGTGATAGAGTCTACATCGAGAGGACCTTATTCCATTCTTCCTAATACAACAAAGTCTCTACTGCATCTTTTCTTTGGCTCACCAGGGTGGTATTAGCTTCTTATATGGATAGATGTGGCTCGATATCCCCTTACACAGTACCAAATTGCGCTGGAATTCAACGAAATCGACTTCGGTTGGTTCAAATTTGCGTTTTCTTATTCATTATGTTGATACCTTACGCTTTGCGTCTAGCACAGTTGGGCGATTCGAGCGGCCTCCAAATTGCTCAATCGCAAATTCTAAGGGATATCCGTGGTTGTGGTTCCAAGAAACCTTTCGGAACCGTGGTCTCGTCTTTCCTGCTTGGGAGATGACTAAGATGGTCAACAATCAGTCGGAAGGTTGGCCGAAGACGAATTTGTTTCGTCAGAGGTCAATGTCTAACAGTCACTGACAGAACACAAAGGTACAGCAGTTGAAAATTTCGTGTTCGAGGGAAAAGCTAAGGACATGAAACTCCGTCATATAAATCACGTCATATAAAATACATGCCTCATCAAAGTCTACCGTTAGACGTTGCGAAAATCCGTGGCCGCTTGTTGCGCCCTCGTCAGACGTAGATTCTCCTGCCCAAACCAATACGGCCTCAGATCCGCAATCGAGCTTTCCAGCTCGGTGTACGCGTCTCCCAGCGTCAGGATGACCCGCCCGTTCCACCTCTCCTGAGCGCCTCCCAGCCACAGATCGCCGTCGCTTTCCTTCCCGTAGACCTCGACCCTCCGGTCTTGCTTCGCCGTCGCGGCGTACACCAGCGCGCGACCTACGAAGCTCGCCTCGCTGGTCGGCAGACCCATTGCCACGATCGGCGCGGCGAAGTGCGGCGGAAGGAGGTTGGTAATCGTCGCCGCCGGCGCGACGCCGTTTATAGTGATGCCCTCCTGCGAGAGCATCGTCGACCTTAGCGACCGCACCAGTCCTACCAGCGCGATCTTGCTGGCCGTGTACACTGGCAGCGACTGCTCCGGCGCGTAGGCCAACGCGCTGATGGTGATGACGACGCTGCCTTGCGTCACCGCGTGCTGGCGCATGCTCCTCCTCGCGAGCGTTACGGTGTGGAGGGTGCCGATGAGGTTGACGTCTACCAGATGCGCGTAGCTAGGCTCCCGGCCCTCCGCGACGGACTCGTGCGCGAAGTCGTCGTGCTGCTCTCCCGCGCCGGCGTTGGCGAAGACCATGTCGACCCGTCCGATGGAGTCGAAGACGGCGAGCTGTTCCGCCCACGAGGTGATGTCGCACCGGTGGAAGTGGAAGGCCTCCCAGCTCTGCCAGGGCTCGGGGTGTCCGGGGTCTGCGCCGCTGGGCTCATTGATGTCGATTACGTGGACGGTGGCGTTCTTGGAGAGTAGGATCTTGGCCGCCGCGAACCCGATCCCCGACCCGCCGCCTAGATGTGTACTTAGTTAGCAGGCGGTAAACGTCCGTGGGTAAGGAGTCTAAGCCGTACCGGTGATCAGTGCCACCTTATGGGTGAGATCTGGGATAGAGTCCTCGTCGATGCCTATTGATGTCATGTTCGCGTTTCGGGAACGTCCTTAATCAGCGAGAGCGGCTACTAAGAGAGGGTTACGATCTTGGGTGCGACAGTCAAATATAAGAGGCTGCGGTGCATTAATGATATCGGTGATTTCCTAATCTGGCTAAGCTACCTGGATGATCTTGCGTGTACGCATCCTGTGCAGTTACGGCGTGTCTAGCCCTAGTTTCGTATGTCTCGTATGTCACTGTATTACATTGAGCCGGCGGCATCGATTATGTCACCCATGCATTTACCCCCATAACCTTTACCAGTTACTCTAGTTAGCTACCTCTGCCTACTGCTGATCTACCAACTTCGCTGTCACGTGGAGATGCGGTTTCGACCACAACGTGTACATGCGCGAGTCCCTGTGCCAGTCGAGATCCGGATCTGCGAGCTCCAAGTCGAAGTTCCAGATCAATTTGGCCAAGATCTGACGCATTTCCATCCAACCAAGGCTATGGCAGAGAGGTACTCGTTAGCTCTTACGTGACAGGTCAAGATGTCGTAGGCGAAACTTACCTCTTGCCGAGACATCCTCTCGCTCCTAAGCTAAACGGCTGACTGGCCTCGAGGTCGTCCTCTCCCTGATAGTCGTCGAGCCACCGCTCCGGGTTGAACAGGAGAGGATCTGCGAAATTCGTCGGATCGAGACTCGCCGCAACGGGATTGGTTGCGACCACGGTCTTGTCCTGTCGTCAGTTTCTTTCGTTGCAGCTGAACCAATGAAATAGCGAACCAATTGAGGTGCCCACGTTCAAAACCTAGGTATTTAGAGTGGAAATCGACTTACCCCAGCCGGGAGAAAATGTCCGTCGACGGTATCCCCTCCCTCTGGCACCTCTCTTGGAAGGGCGAGAGGTAGCGGGGCGTAGATGCGCATCGCTTCTTTGCAGACGGCGTTCAGATACGCTAGGTCGCGGGTGGTCGCCTCGTTGATCTCGTCTGCCGATTCGAAGGCACGTCGAATTTCGGAAGCCAACTTACCGTAGACAGTGGGATCCTTGAGGAGGTAGTAAGTCGCTGTAGAGAGGACCGTAGAAGTAGTCTCGCTGCCGGCTAGCACGAAGTCTGAGACGTGTGCGGCTAGTTCTACGTCTGATACTTTGTGCTGGTGTTTGTAGTCCGCGTCTGCGTCGACTTTGGTCCGCTGCTCGAGAATACGCGTAAGGAAGTCTTTTCGAGTAATCGGACGAGAGACGCGCCTATTAGATGAAAATACCTCTTAGCTCAAACTCGAGGCGAGGTTGTCCACCATGGCTTCTACCGTGGATCCGCGGTAAGGAGCCTCGAACTCACCTGTTGACCAATTTGATTGCCAGATCCTCGTTCTTATTGGTGTCGTCGATGAGTACTGCTATTTGCTTGTGCATGACAAGTTTAACGATACTGGCTAACATAGGGAAGCGCTTTAACGAGTCCACGAGGGCGCCCTTGGTTAAAGCTCCCATCGCGATGGTGATCCAAGGATGACGCTCGTCTTTTGTCCATTTCGTGATCAGCATCGACGCGTCTGTACCTCATACTTCCACCGCCACGTTTGCTCATCGAACATACGGGAAAATACAGAAAAGGTCGAAAACGCAACTTACCTGTTTCCAGTGCCCCGAAAGTCTCGCCGAACGCCAGGTTCCCTATGATATCGAACGCCATCCGTTCAAACAAATCCGCGATATCAAAGCGCTGGCCGACCTTCGTCCTCGTAAGGGCTACAAACTTATCCACGCTATCCGTAACAAGCTCTTCCTGCTCCAGGAGGCTCGTGTTGCTGAAGGCATGCGATAAGAGTCGCCGCATCTGCGCGTGGATCGTGGGGTCGCGCTCCGACACGATCGAGTGGACTCCCTTGGCCGCGAAACTACCTCCCTCGTAGAAGCCGGACTTCGCGAAGGTTTTGTGCCCCTGGCGAAAACCGTAGATGTCGCGAAAGGACTGTGCCGTGCTGAACGAGAGCTCGTTGGGCGCGACGCGGACGACGGGGCCTGACTTTCTACGTTAGTTCGAAGTGTTGACGAGCTATCCCTCCCTTCTCGGGAACAGAAATAGAACCTCGCCAAATCTAGGTATGTTAGGTATCCTTACCGTAACGGCGATGCAGGCCCAGCATCTTGTAAGGTTGTCTCCCTCCGAGGAACGCTATAGAAAACGGTGCCTTGACGTCGAGAAGCAGAATATGAGCTGGCGAATGTCGCATATCCCCTGAAAATTACCCCCAGGCATATTGGAACACATACATTGCTGAAAGCTGCCAATCTTGGCCCTGGGAACCGGCTCAGCGGGTGGAAGTACGCATTGTATATCGCGTCGCGCGCAATCTGAAAGGGATATTTTATTATCTACCGTGCGACTAGAGGCGAGGACTTGTGATGGCGCACCTTTGCAATGATACCTACAGCAAGTAAAGCCCAGAGGTTCTGCCACGTCCATGCCACGACGTGGAGGCTGGTGAATCTGGAGATGTCCATGCTCGACATGCTGCTACGGCGTGTGGTCGAATGTTAGGTACTCAACTATAGGTTCGGCGCGTAGCTGTAGACTTGCTGGCTGTAGATTGAGTAGACCAGGGGATCTCTCTTGTTGCGATCCCTATATCTAAGCATTTACTAGTTCTAGCGATATACATGGATGAGATCTTTGCAGTACCTACGACATCCTCTAGGTGAGGGATCTATCTACCCATTCGGGCTGCTCGCCAAGCTCGGTGACATGAGGCGTAGATCAGCCTGCCGTAGCAAGCCGCAGAATGTAACCCCACCCAACTCCTACCTCTCGAAATCTATATATATGGCCTAAGACGCTTTAGGAAGTGTCCGAATGAGTCTGCTATGCTTGGCCGAAACGCGGCATATGCGAGTCATGATTTACAATGCCAGCCGTCTCCCGGCTGACGTGAGCCTATATGAGAGTTATATGCCGTCCAGCATAAGCTCGATCGCCCTCCTGCACACGCCCAGGCGTCTGCCCATCGTCTCACTGCCTAGCCGTCTCCCAGCCTCTTGCAGGGCGCTCACAAGTCCGATCAGGCCGTCTAGTCCGAGTTGAAGTAGCACACGTGCGACCGCGATATACTCTGTCTCGCTCTCAAGCCGATACTCGCCCATCGATGTAGCCGGAGCCTCGTTGATACCTGGGTGGTATGTCGCGCAGCGGGATGAGAGCGCCGAGGCGGCGCGGCAACACAGGTCGGCGAGCCTGCTGGCGAGAAAGGTAAGAATGATCATATGATCGACACGGGTCGCGCAGGACGCGCAGGCGAGCATGCTCTCGGCCTGGCGCAGCGCTTTTCGATGTACTACGAGGATACCATCTACGGGGAGATGCGCCTGAGTAGGCTCGCCGAGAAGCTCCAGCTCGTCCATCAGGACCACCACGTGGTGCAGGCATTGGCAGTCGGACCCGCCGGGCCGCGTCGCGTCTGCGCTACCTTGGGTCTGTGCTTCGCCGGAGAACAGAGGCTCGGCTTGTGGCAACCCGGACGGGGAGGGCACGGCCGGACTCGTGGCCTGTTCGCTCGCGCTAGTGTAGATCTCCGGGTGTTGCGAGCCGCGGAAGAGCGATTGCTCCTGTGTTACCAATATCTGTTCGACTGCCAGCCGTTCGCTCTGGACCTCGCAATCTGCCATCAGGTCGAAGCCCGAATATTGCGCGAACTCGTGGTCGAGAGGGAAATTGGAAAAGTCTACGCCGTGCGGGTAGCCTTTCTGAGACTCGCGGATCCACTCGTCGGCGGCGGCATGATTTGCGGAGGCTGACGATGCGGGTCTCGCAGAGTCCTCCGTCGGCGCCGGCGTGGGAAGCTCAGGTGGATCAGACCGCGTCTCCGCATCCGTGAAATCGGGTGTCTCCTCGCCCGTTACGGCGCTGCTACGTCGTCGAGGAGGGAACGTGCATTTTCTACGCATCGTCTGGCATCGGCTGCAACCCTCGCCGTTGCGCTCGCTCGTGCAACGCACCTTTTGCGCTCTACATTGAGAACAAGCTAACGGCCTCTCCGTCTTGGCCGTCACGGGGTCGAAGGTGTGCGGGAGCTTGCGCAGGAGCGCGTTGCTGCCGTCGCTGTTAGAGACTGGTTTCCAGCTAGCGAACATAATTTCCGATAGAGGGTACTAGTTTAGTCGCCATTGCTGTCCCTGTCGTGCACTAGGTGATATCTAGTTCTGCGCGAGCCCAATATACATACCTACCTAAGTATGTAGATAGGTACCGATCTGAAACCCCTTATTCGTCGTAGGACTTACCGAACTCCAAATTTACCTTACCTATCCCGGCTTCATTCCACCTAGAGCTGGTTGGTTGGTTGGCTGGCTACATGGCAGCATGTAGCGCACCGTACGTGGGTAACACGATAGCCTGGGTAACACTGCAGCGCTGAGATTTTGTTCCGTCTTATGAGATCAGTCGGACCAACTTGTACTGGTACAAAGACATTAGGATACGGAAGGATTCGCTCGACGACCGTCAGCCGCTTTTCCGAGTGGTCGCTCATCCTTCCCTGGAATGAGGCGTAGTCCAATCAACCCCCCGACGCCACATCTCGACGAGCTTGGTAATCCGCGCCGGTCGATCTTCAATTCGTCAAAAGCCTTCATATCACTTCGCTTTGTTCGTAACCTGGTATATCTTTCGCGCAGCACAAAGGAAAAGGGCAAAAGATAACAATCCTACCTAGGTAGCTTTAAGCCTTACCTACGTACTCTGATTCTACCTTCCTCCGTGACTAAACTAGGCCGAGATGGCAAAGTTGGACTTCGACCTCGAGCGGGATGTACCCCAGCTCACGGGGAAGGTCATCCTGATTACCGGTGGTAAGCATATCCTTCCGCATTATACGTACGTCGTTGTAGGGTGTTTACGGCTCCTATGCTAGGCACGAATGGACTTGGTGCTGCTGCTGCTACGATGCTAGCGAGCCGGAATCCTGCCAAGATCTACATCACTGGGCGTAATGAGTCCTCCGCCCGGCGTGTCATCGATGACATAAAGTCTAAGGGTTCAAGCACCGAGATAGTCTGGCTACGCTGCGATCACACCGATCTCGCGACCGTCAAGGACGCCGCGGAGGTCATCTCCGCCAAGGAATCCCGCCTCGACGTGCTCATGGCCAACGCCGGCATCATGGCGCTCCCGCCCGGTCTTACCAAGGACAGGTATGAGTTGCACTTCGGGATCAACCATGTGGCGCACGCGCTCATAATTCGCAAACTGCTACCCTTGCTGCAGAAGACCGTCAAGGAGCACGGCGAAGCGCGCATCATCCCTATCTCTAGTTTGGCCCTCGTCCTAGCTCCCCGGGGATACGGGATTGTTTTCGATGATCTCAAAACGACGCAGGCGTACTGGATCCTCGGCAAGTGGCAGCGCTACGCCCAGAGCAAATTAGCAAACCTGCTTTACGGCCGGGAACTTACTCGCCGGTACCCCGAGATCCTTACGCTGATAGTCGACCCAGGTCCGAGCAACACGGGGCTAGTATCTAGTCTCGGGTTTCTGGATAAGATGATCGTGTACCTAGGGAATATAAACAAGTTCCTCGAGGACGATCAAGGCCACTTGAACCAGGTATGGGCCGTCGGCGTGCCTAAGGATCGGGCGAAGCAGGGGGAGTTCTATGAGCCGGTCGGTATACCGACTCAGGGTTACACGCACTGGTGTCTAGATCAGAAGCTGGCGGAGAGGTTGTGGGACTGGACGGAGGAAGAGCTTAAGCCCTGGATGACATAGCGTAGGTAGGTATGTAGAGCAGGTCATGTATCCCTTTTTCTTACTGCGACGGCACTGTCCGCGAACCCCAGGAGTTTCAATTAAACTCGACGCGTTCACGCGTGTGCGCGGCGTCTCTGGTCACTACCGCCACCACCACCACGTTCCACGGCTCTCGAGCCCTGCTCATGTCGGATATCAGACTACGCCGAATGGTACTTGGGCCGATGTATTTATACTAGCAGCAGGCACCCTTGGTTACACTACATGCAATAGTATGCACGGTGATGAGGGGAGGGATGAGTGTAGTGCAGGTATACGATGCGGGATGATCCTACAAGCATCCCTACATTCCGTATAGGTACCCAGGGGTGTAGCTATCAAACCAATATTGTCCTACGACATCGAGGCTTTCGTTGAGAGTAGATGAGTCTTCTTATACATCGTTATCGACCTAGCTAGTAAATAATATTTCGTACCTAGATAGTATTTCGACTCTTGAGGCCTACTTGATTATAAGATACGATGGAAGAAGTGATGCCGATTTTGAAGGACCGTTGGGTCCAAGCTGCGGGAACTCTAGTGAGATAGCTGCTGCTCGTGCGAATGAATCACGTATCTAATGTAGCTGTCAAGGTCTTCGGCTATCTATTGAGCAGTGTCGTCTATAATCTCTACCTGCATCCGCTTGCTAAATATCCAGGGCCTCTGTTGGCACGCGCTACACAAGTGAGATAACAGGCCTTGAGGATTTGGCATGAATGCTGATACATTGATAAATGTGCATGGCGAACTAACTGCATTTCCACCAGTTATGGCGATTCAAGAACACCATGGGCGGTCGACAGCATCGAGTATTCCGAGCTGAACATCAGAAATACGGTACTTTACCCTACGAAATGCCCCAGGGCGCATTTCGTCTATCTTACCACTGACAATGCGCTGTAGGCGACGTCTTCCGGGTCTCTCCCAACGAGCTGAGCTTCGCCTCGGTCCAGTCTTACCGCGACATCTACGGCTTTCTGCCGCCGGGACAGCAGCAATTTATCAAAAGTGATTTCTACGACGTGTTTGGGTCGGGCTTCAAGACGGGGTGCATCGGCAGCGAGCGAGATCCGAAGGTAGTCCGTTATCCAGTTGTCTAAGGGAAGTATAACTGACTAGAAGTACAGGTACACTCTTCCAAAAAGAAGAATCTTCTAGCAGCCTTTTCTCCGCGCAGCCTCGCGGCTCAGGAGAACATCATACAGAGATGCACGGATGCGTTTGTCGCCAAGGTGGGCCCACTGAGCCGCAAGACAGAAGCGGGTATCGACATGACGAAGTGGTTTGAGATGAATGCCTTCGATCTTCTAGGTGAGATGGCATTCGGGGAAAGTTTCGGTTGTATAGCTGAGGGTGAGTTTCCCGTTGCGCTCTTTCGGTTTAGGTGATGTCGCGTAGGTAGCTAACCGACAAACTGATACGTAGAGAAACACCATTTCTGGATCGACCTCATCCTTACGCATCTGCGCGAGATTGTCTTGATCGACAATTTGCGACGGTTCCGCATTCTGGCCGTGCTAGGCAAATGGCTGCTCCCATCGCTCGCGACGAAGGTGAGAGCAACTCATCAGCAGTATAGCCGGGATAAAGTACGAAGGTTCGTTGGATATCCTCTCAAGAAACCTTTTCTAAGATATTGACGGAATCCAGCCGACTCGAGAGCAAGTCGTCGCGGCAAGACTTCTTTACAAATATCGTCGCGAAGGTCAAAAGCGGCGATGTCGGATTAGAGGAAATGACCGCACACGCGAGCACGCTTATGTATGTTTGTCCACTCTCGTCTCTCAACATCCTACGCGATATTTACTCGCCCTATACCGTCCTCTACAACTAATCCGCTTTCACAGCATCGCTGGCGGAGAGACCACGGCGACAACTCTGACCGCGGCGCTCTACTACATACTGCGTTCAGCCGGAGTACGCTCTAAACTGGCAGACGAGATTCGCGGCCGCTATAGATCTTACGATGAAATCGATTCCGCCTCCGCTCTCCAATTGTCCTATCTCCAAGCCGTGATCAACGAAGCGATGCGAATCCACCCTTCCGGCGCCGGTGGCTTTCCGCGCATCTCCCCCGGCGCAACCGTCGACGGGCACTGGGTGCCCGCTGGAGTAAGTTCTCGTCGTAAAAGATTTTATGAGTATGGTTAGCCATTCTGACAAAAAGCAACAGACAGAAGTATACACCAGCACGTGGTCAGTCTCTCATGACAAACGCTACTTTGCGGATCCGGACGAGTTCAAACCTGAGAGATGGATTAATCCCGAGTGCGAGGACGTAAAGGAAGCAAGCCAGCCCTTCTCCCTTGGATACAGGGCTTGTATCGGTCGAAGGTATGGAATGTCCGGATATATATGAGATGCGTTTTGCTCGTCTACAACTTACTGACAGATACCTAGCTTTGCCTTCGTCGAGATGTCGCTCGTCCTCGCGAAGCTATTCTACTCGTATGACATGGAGCTCGTAGATCGAGATCTCGACTGGGAAACGCAATCAAGGCACTGGGTCATGTGGTGGAAGGCGCCGGTTCGGATCCGTGCACAAGATGCTCAATCGTGAATGAGGTATAACAACTCATATTGATAGCTTTTAGGAGTGCCTAAGAATAAGAGTCGTGATCAATTAGACCGTCGCCTAAGGCTAGTGAACTGCATAGGGAGGTGCACTAATTTCCAAAGGGGGCTTTAGTCGGGTACCCTGTAGTATAGGTAAGATAAAAGGTTACAGTCACTATAAGGCAGTGAGTTATAGGGGTCATCCAACTGAAGAGTGTACCTATTGGATAGTAAGTTCCAGTTCAATGAGTAGATACCTACCTGTTGGGTGCCTAAGTCAACTGCTGGGTAAGCACTACCTGTAGGTATGTAGGGTAAATTGGAGTGATGAGGTCACTACCGGTAAGGGCTATAGGGCCTAAACGTTAGTCCAAGGCTTGCTGAAATATAGGGTCAATCCCCTAAATTCAACAGTAATTTACCCATACAATATTGTGGAAATGACCATCATACCTACATTTCAGTCCCAACATGACCTCCTATGTAAATTTCTATCCTTTTTTACCTTGTCATATAGCTACTCCAGGCTCCTTTCTTATCTCCGCACTTGCGTGGTCACCGTCCTTGTAATGGCCGTCGGTCTTCTCTGGCAGCGGCTCCCAGCGGTGATTCGCTGGCGTCTGGCTAAGCAGCTCGATCTCGTCCGTGTTGGTGATCCTGTCCCACGATACGACGGGCCTTCGGCGGGAGTCGTCGCTTCGTCCCGAGCCGCCGGGAGTCTTCTTCCGGCTGCTAGGGTTAGACTGCTTGGAGACCTCGGTCTTGCCCATGGCGCGGTGGAGGAGCACTGGGCACGAAGGAATGCACGCGACGAGGAAGCCCGCGTTATCCCCATTTTGGCTGTTAGTGATCGTGAGCTCTAAGTCTTCCAGACGGATAACTCATATCGAGGGTCGACCGTGACATTCAGATTGCCGATGTAGCCGGCCCTGGTTATTCCTACTACGCATGCGCCGCCGCCCAGTCCGAATAGGGGAATCAAACCTAACCGTCTCTGGTGCGACACGTTGAGATTCCAAACTAGTGGCAGGGGCAAGATCAAGATCGCCATGTCTGTGAGGACTTTCAGGATGCTGGTGGCGAGCGCAGCTAACCGATGTTGATGCAGTGGCGCCCTCGATCGTCGTGTCCCAGTTATACTCGATAGGTATGCACTGGAAACTGATGGCGAAGACGGTGGTGAACATCCAAGCACCCACAAAGACGGCAACCCCTAGAAGTGCCCAGCGGAACCACTTCTGAGGGAAGATGAGTCGGTAGAAGGCGAGGATTCTCCACTTGATAGTGACGGTGACGACGCATATTGCAAAGGTGAATCTAAGCTCAGGTAATCGAAACCTGCTAGTAAACGAGACGAGGCGAGACGAGACGAGACGGTTTTCAAGGGCACGGTAGGGACGGTGGTAGAGTACGTAGGGTAACTGTGCCGAGGGTCAGCCAGTAAGCCCCTATATAGTTTTGCATTACCTATCTACGTGGTATCTACCAAGGTAGGTGGCATAGAAGGATCCAGCATGGTCTGCGATACATGCATCCCTTCATGCCTACTGCCTATTGCCTACCTACCGCATATACAGGGCGATGGGACGATAAGAGCAATCAAGTTATCGCCGATGGTTCGCTGCAGAAGCACGTAACCCTATAGTCACAGCGTCTGGAAAAGATCGCTAACGTACTCGTGCGAGATTTCGATCGCGTCATGTTGCCTTTGGCAATGTAACCTCTCCGATCGCTAAGCCAACGCTTCTAAGTTGCAATCTGACGCCGGCAAGATGCTCAAGAATTGGTACGACCGAATCTGAACCCTGGGGAACATGCACTACGACGTTAGAGCTGAAAGATTCAGAGGCGAATTTAACACAACTGAGTGGTTTAACCCTCAGGATAAGTCTTCCTTCGAGGTAAACCACTTCAAATTATTTGGTTATGTCTTCAGGGGTTGTCAAATTTGCCGGGGCCAAAGTACTGTACATATTGTCTTTGAAGCACTATAGATGAACCTCCAATGTAACTCGATCATAGATCGCTATAAGCTTATATTAAGCATACATCGTGGGTCGCTAAGGTAGGGACCCTTGAAATCGCTATCTACCTACCTACCCGTATATTTACATACCCATAGTAGTATCGATCACCCAACGCCTATCTAAATACGACCTTGCATATCGCCTATGGCAGATCATTGCACCACGTGCGAATAAAGCGGTCTTCAGGCTATCCTTCGTTTCTTACACAGGATGGTAGCAGCATGATCCGGCAAGAATTGCGTCTCGACCTCCAAGCTCTTAGGTCGTGCCTGTCCCTCTGCAAATTTGATATCGTAGTTATTCAGCAGATACATCGTGATCGCCTTGATTTCGTCGCCAGCGAAGAAGCGACCGGGACACGCGTGTCTTCCGTACCCGAACGCCATACTCTGCGGATTCGCCTGTGGCAGGGTGGGTCAGTGATGTTCCTCACAGGTCGCCCTTGTGGGGTAAGTTATTCCCAGCTCAGTCTGCGCCAATATGACTCTTAAGATAGAACTACAAGTTCCCAATAAATCACATGAGGGGAATGAGCAAGGTGACTAGAATATACGTACTGCAACAAACTGCGCCTTGCCTTTCGTAGCCGGATCATTGGTCGTCTGGCGCAGTTTCGCAAATCTTAGACCGTCAAAGGTCTCGGGCTTGGGATACAGCTTTGGGTCCATGGCGATGGCCTGTGCCGGCACACCGATGGTGATATGTGCCGGTATCACGAAGCCATCCGAGAGGCGCCAGTCCTCGATAATAATACGCTCGAACGTAACTGGGTAGTTTTGATTAGTCTAGAATAACATTAGAGTATCAGCAAGGGAAAGTCGTACTTAACAAGAGCGGATTAAATCGCTGGCTTTCTTTCATGATGCTGTCCATAACGTGCATCTGGAAGAACCCCTTTTTACCAATCTTCCCGTCTTCATCAACGACCCTTCCATACTCCTCTCTCACAAGGGGAATTAACTCGGGGTGTGCGCAGAGGTCAAAGATTAACTGGCTATTCGCCCCAGCGGTGGTGTGGATAGCTGCGAAGCTGATCTTGAGCAGGATCCTCGCGATGAATCGGTGGTCGGTCTCCTCGTCCACCGCGGCGTCCTGCATCCACGAGAGCAGGTCCTTCGGGCGCTCGCCCGTGCGCTTCCGCTCCGCAAGCATGGGGAGCGCGGCTCTCTCGGCCTCTCGGTGATACTTGGCGAGGACGCGCACCTCGGGGATCAGGCGCGCGGCGAGGGGCTTGAGAAACTCGGGGTACTTCTTCAGCTTCTGCGCGCCGGCATACCCGTCGATGGCGAACGCGATAGATGCGGCTACCCAAGATGAGTTGCGGCTTAGCTCGCGTCCTCCGAACATGCGGGACGAGACGCGCGCGACGATGCGCGTGATGACGTCTACGAGAGGCACTTCCGTCCACTCCTCTTCGGAGCACTTCGGGAAGATCTGGTCGAACGCTTCGACGATCTCATCCTGCACACTCTGCATGACGTCTGGCAAGTGCTGGTTCAGATCCGCCTTGACCGTCCTAGGGTGCAGCGTACTGCGACTGCCGAAGGTCGTGTACTTGCCCTCGAACATCTCGATGAAGGTCCCCACGAAGTCGACCTTGCCGACAGGCGCCGTCTTCAGATCTTCGAGGTAGCCGACCGGAATCATCAGGCGCTCGCCCAGAGGGGACGGCACGTAGAAGAATCCGCCGCCGACGTTGTTGTGGAAGTACCCCTCGGCGAGCATGGCCTGAGAGCCATGTTGAAAGCGCTCCCGATTTCGGATTCTCTCCTTGCTACCGGCATCGCCAATTACCGGTATTCCGGGAACGAGGCGCTGTCTGGGCGGCGAAAAGTAGTACCATATGCTTGCTGTGAGGATGGTTACGAATAAGATACCGCAGATGTCATTCATATTGAGTGACGATGTCCATGCAATGCAATCATCAAAGACACGTGGACTCAGCAGAGCCGTGTCTAGCATCGAATCTAACGACATGGCTTTAATTAACTTGAGTCACGATGCCCACTTGGGAAGAAAGGCGTGCAGTGAGGAGCATTTTGCGTCTAGATCTGCAGTATATGTAGGTATATTGCTAGGTGGTAGGCCGCTCACATTATGCTGTGCCTCAGTTTATGTGAAACTTATCTAATCCGGGCACTTCCTCTTAGGGATAAACCGTCAGCAGTTGGGATTCTGGTGCAACATGGGGGTGTTTATGGGTACCTGGGTAACTTTAGACTCAAGCCGACGATCGTATTGATGCTTGTCGGCGTCTTGATCCTCGGCATCGGCTATGTTGGCCTTAGCCTCCTCGACAGTATGAGATAGATGAGACATGCGTGGAGTCTTGCCGTCTAGATAGGTATGTATGCATACATACCCGGAATTCGCAACCAAAGCTCTCCGCGCAGCAACAGCGCCGTTCTTCTCACTCGGTTGATCCCGTGCCACTGCCTTTATATTAACCGAGGTTCCATCCCCGAAACTCGAAGATATCGAGGTATCAGTAATTATTTGCCAAGTCCTACAAGTCCTGGATAAGTTAAGCATCATGGCGCCCATGATCGAAGAATATGTCCCCGAGTCTATGGTCCCTCTCGCTCGGGAGCAAGCCAAGCCCGTGGCTACGCCGGCCCAAAGGGAAATTAGCATCCCTTCGTCGGACTGGACGGCGCAGATTCATCCGCTTCACGAGAGTGTTATCGCCGAGGTGGACGGCTATTTCCTCCAGCACTGGCCTTTTCCCGACGAAAAAGCACGCAAGAAGTTCGTGGCCGCGGGTTTCTCACGAGTTACGTGCTTCTACTTTCCTAAGGCGCTAGACGACCGGATCCATTACGCGTGTCGGCTGCTAACGCTGCTCTTCCTGATAGATGGTAAGCTTCTCTCCCAAAGCGGCCGCGGCATCGTGAGTGCAGTGCAGAATTGTCGTTGACGAGCGGACAGACATCCTCGAATACATGTCCCTCGAGGATGGGCGCGCCTATAACGAGAAGCTCATGCCACTCTTTCGGGGCTCCGTTCTACCGGACCGCAGCGTGCCGGTTGAATGGATCGGCTACGATCTGTGGGAGTCCATGCGCGCGCAGGATAAGGACATGGCCGACGAGATCATGGAGCCCGTTTTTACCTTCATGCGCGCGCAGACGGATCCCGCGCGCCTAACCGAGATGGGGCTGGGCCGATATCTAGAGTACCGCGAGGCTGACGTTGGCAAGGCGTAAGTTGAACCCCTTATTATCTGAACCCTACCTGGGTATCGAGCACAAAAGGCAGCTAGAAAATATGGGCGACGGTGCTAAATCTTCTCCCAAGACTCCTTGCCGCACTGATGCGGTTCTCTATGGCGCTCGAGGTGCCGGCTTCGGACCTCGAGATGGTTCGTCCTGTGGACCGGAATTGCTCCAAGCATCTCTCGATCGTCAATGATATCTGGTCGTACGAGAAAGAAGTCTTAGCTGCTAAAACTCTCCATGAGGAGGGCGGAATTCTGTGCACGGCTGTGGCCGTGCTAAGCAAGGAGGCCGAGATCAGCACCGACGCCGCGAAACGCGTGCTCTACCATCTATGCCGAGAGTGGGAACTCGAGCACCGGATGTTGGTCGCCGGTATCTTGGCACGGAAGGACACGCCGGTGTTAAGGGCGTACTTGGAAGGTCTCGAGCTGCAGATGAGCGGAAACGAGCTTTGGAGTAGGACAACCCTGAGATATGTGCAGCCGAAGGCTTGACTGGTCCGAGCTCAAGATGGAATTGGCGGTGTGCTGCCGTTGGAGACTGTGATGCGAGAGTCCTAGAAATGGAGAATCTGATAGGCTTCGAAAAACGACCACTACAGCGCACATAGTATGTAAGTGCTGACCTGTATTGATCGAAGCTCGGAGGGTAGTTGAGGGCGATCTGTGGCTTTGGCTGAAGACACCCTTCGGAGAAGGTTTTGCTTTTTCTGCATGTCTCTTATGCAAGACAAATCTCATCTAGTATCTTCTCGCCATTCGCTGCTATCCATGTCATCGACATGAGCATGTATCATCCTGCGATAGTTTTCTTCTATTCTATTAGCTCCACCATGTATCGGTACATCTATTCGTATCGAGTACCGTACTGATACCTGGGCGATATTCGGGTTCTCCAACTAACAGGGATACCCGTAGTCTACGCCCCAATGAGTAAGATGGTTATATGCTTAGATGCCGAGCCTCGTAGCTGGTGAAGGGGATGTCGAAGGTACGTTAACGCAGAGGGTTCACGCCCCCTTTGAGTCAGCTTGGGTTCGAAGTAGGGTTACATCAGCCTCATTCGATAAGCAATTAAAAAGGGGTTGCTCGATCTTGTGAAACCGGACACGTACAGTGACTTACGGTGACATGTGTATCCTCTTGTGGTGTGGGTAGTATCTAATGGATATAACACGATAGCTGATCAGATAAGTGACAACTACTGAATCACACGTAGGTGACGGGGTAGTAGATACCTACCTAGGTAAGAGTCTGATTAGGTAATTAGGTACTTACCTAAGGGATCTCGGAGTTAGTGATTAGCTCTTCGGCGTTTGCGGAATATCTAAATCTGCGCTTACATCCGCACATCCGATCCAAACAAAGCACATGGCGAAATGTACAGTGTACGCACATCCACTTCATACCAGGAGATGGTCACTCAAAATGCCACGATACGAATTTATCAAAGTAGAAACCTGGAATGGGAAAACGAAACCTACTGGCTCCGTAAGAAGTCACGCGATACGTGCAGGTCTCCGAAAGTCCGGAACCCATTCAAGGACCGGAGGAAGGCTGCAACTCCGTCTTCCTACAAGACTCAGGGGAGGCTTAATATCTCCCGAGACAGAGGCCGTAGAGTATGAAGGTTCAGATTCGCGCTCGGTGCTAGACGTGTCTGTAGAGGTAAATGATGCCACAAACTAGGTAGGTTGTATGGTCGTCCAGGCTGACGATGTTTCCATACCAGAACTCGATACGACCGCCGACGTATCACGTAGAATCCGTGGGCGCCGGAAGAGTGGACCCGTTCGATTCCCTCCCGATACCTTCGAATCTAGAGATTGACCACCTGGTAAAATATCGTAAGTGTCCCGATTATCGACCATCGGGATCTAAACGTCTCCTCAAACCTCTGACTCGACCTGTTAGTCATCACAAAGTTCGACATCAGCTTAGCGTCGGTTCATCGCGGGAAGGCATGGTTTCCGTACGCGTTGCAGAGCGCGCCGATGATGCACGGCACTCTTGCGATGGCTGCGGCGGTATGGCGAGCAGAGTATCCCGTTCTAGAACGTTCGATCCAGATCGAGGGCATCCGTCAGAAAGGCGAGGCGATGCGACTTATCAGAGCTCACTTAGCGCTTGTCAATTCCGTGACTGATGAAGCATTTACCTTTGTAATGTCAACCATGTCGACTTTGGTGATTGTCGAGGTATTTGAACCTTTCCTTGAGAAGTGACGGGGTTTCAACCCGCTGACTGCCGAGGCTCTAGGTCCTCGACGGTGACTTCGAGGCTGCGGAAACGCATTTGCGAGGTGTCTATAGTCTCTTTACCTCGAGAGGCGGTAGTGACAACTTTAAAGACGAATGGATCTTTTGCAAGTCGACCAATCTGTAGGTTTCTGAGAAGCCATCTCTCAATAGTCTTACTAAACGAGCTATTAGAGCCGATATACAAGTTGCCGTTGCGCTGGGCCGTCAACTTATATTCCCGCGCCTCTACCTAGATCAGGGTTACCTTCCAGAGACTCCGGAATCTCCCGCTGGCCATGCTCAACACCAACCGTTAAATTGTTCGATAACCGACAGAAGCTCTCACGAGTGCGTTGCGATATTTATTCAAATAAGGCAACTTCTTTCAGCACGCCAGCTAACGACAGGTTCGCCCGAAACCTTTCGGGTTCCGCCAGCCGCTCTCGACGAGTTAATCCTGCGATATCTCTATCGAGACTGCGTCGACGACGTATCCGATTCCAGGAGACGCTCTTATGCGCTGGTCCTCGCTGCTCACATATTCATGTATGTGACTTTGCGCCAGGCGCCGCCAAAAAGTCCTCTAGTACATCGAATGTGTATAAGGCTGCAGGGAGCTGTTGGAATAACACCGCCTGCTAGGCAACTCTGGGCGGAAAATGAGGCAGCGTTGTTGTGGATAGCTTTCGTCGGGCTTCTTGGGACCGGAGAGCGGGCAGAGACATGTCCGGCAGGCCAGTCCTTCCTATATCTTTTTCGGTCTGTTGTAGAGCGATATCCAAGTGATTCGCCTCAGGGCGCTGACAGCCTCCATGAGATGCTATCCGCCTTTCTATGGGATGAGTCTTATTGTCGGCCATTGCTACGCTGGTTGGACGATCATCAGCTGATTGGTCAGACGTGAGATTTCGACCCATTAATTTCCTATTTAGGAAATATGTCTGAACATAATCCGCGATACTGTATTCCTCATGGGCTCAGACAAAGACATCATACTTCCTAAAGTGGTAAGCCGGACAGGTGCAGCTCACCGAGTGCTTTTAGCAGAGGCATTTGACCTAAGATTTCGAGCATAAAAGAATGGCATCAGACACGAGGGTTAACCAACAAGTATCGCAGCGACACTTCCCAATATTTCTAAGAACATACAGGAAGTCCTACCGAATATGGCTGGAGAACTTGTTCTACTTACTGGTGGCACCGGCTTCCTAGGGTATGTGATCCTTGCGGATCTGTTGAAGAGTGGTTATCGAGTTCGCGTCGCGGCTCGATCGCAAGCCAAGATCGATAAGATCCGGGCAGCTCCCTCTGTCTCTGCCTTGGACCCTCCCGTAACCCAGCTCACGTTCGTGATCGTGCCGGATATGACGACCCCCGGCGCATACGATGATGCGGTATGCGGAGTTGACTTCATTATCCACGCAGCCGCGCCGCTTCACTCGGGTTCGGCACCGCCCAAAGAGCAATTAGAGGAGCTCTTCGTCGCAAGTTCAGTGAAAGGTAGTCTAGGCATTCTCAAATCTGCGAGCGAGAAGGCCAAGACGGTAAGACGCGTCGTCATGACAAGCTCCACGGTGGCCATCGCCCCCGCAGACATCTACATTAAAGGCACCATCGAAGACGACGTCATTCGCGGGCCCGATAGCCGCATGGCCGTACCAGCGCCGCCGTACGACTCCGAGCTCCGGGCGTATTGCGCAGGTAAGACGGCGGCTCTCGAGGCGTCCGAGGCATTCGTCAGAGACAACGCCGTAAACTTCGACCTAATCTCCATCCTCCCGTCCTGGATATTAGGGAGAGACGAGCTCGCCGTCAACACCGGAGATTTCCGAGCAGGGTCGAACGGCATGATGATCGGGTGGCTGTTGACCGGTAACCAGAGCTTTAGCGCCGTCGGAAACGCTGTCCTCTGCGCGGACGTGGCTCGCACGCATGTCAGATCACTGGATCGGGATATTGAGGGAAACCAATCGTTCCTCCTCAACACCGAGGTAAAATGGGAAGACACCGTCAACATCGCCAAAAAGCATTTTCCTGATGCATTCACGTCGGGCCTCTTTCAAGAGGGAGTATGGCAACCCACTCTACCCTTAAGATGGGATATAAGTAAGGTGTGTGCTCGCTAGGTAATTATGTTACGCATGTTGACATCTCGGTTACTAACGTTACATAAAACAGGTGCAAGACATTCTTGGGATTAACCTTACCACATATGACGCGATAGTGAAAGAGGTGGCAGGCCAATACCTTAAATTGGCCGAGAGAGAGCAAGGGGTAAGCCGCTCTTCTTGACACTTCATAATACCGTTGCTCCTTGTAGGTAGGCAGCAGAACCCCTTAAGCAAAGATCACCGGAAGAATATTTGGCTATCAAGATCAAGGAAAAGGGATGAATATAGAGGACCACATTTTATTGTTACCTAGACATTATGATTCCATATAGGCCTAAATGAACTTCCGCTTCGGTCAGGAATCAGACCGGTAACGTTCCATAACTAGGTACCTTTCACCTACATAGTAGGCGTGATTCTTATACAGTACTACGAAGGATAATCACGAAGATTACTGACGGAAGATTGCGTTCGACGCCTTAATTAGTAACAACCCCATTACTAGCTACGAACGATTTCCAATTATATCCCCCCTTGGTCAACACATCCGCGTCGTGACCAAATAACCACTTCCGTCGCTCTTCATATCCCCAAAATATCGGATTCTCCTCGCTGTCAACCCGAAGCTTCCGATCCCTTAACTCCTGCTCTTCGCCGTCGTCGATATGCAGGATATACTGATGCTCGCGCGTCTTCGCCTGGATGAGCGTCGCTCGCGGCTTCCGAATCGCCTCGAACCGTTCTAACGCGCTACCGAGCTCCATATCCGTAGCCAGCAACTGCCGCAGCACAGCAGCGTCCTCGAACGACTGCGCAGCGCCCTGGGCGAGGTACGGCAGCATCGGGTGACAGCTATCGCCGAGCAGCATAACCTTACCAGACGGATGCACCCAGCGCGACAAGTCTGGCAGGTCGCAGAGGCGCCACTTCATGAAGTCGCCGGTGAGGGCGCACAGCTTCCGGATGCGGGGCTCCCAGTCGGCGAACCTCTTGCGCAGCTCGCTGTTGTCGCCCTTGATGACCCACACCTGGTCCGTGGTCTCGTTCTGCGACGTCGCGCACACGACCAAGTTGTACAGCTCGCCGTCGCGCACGGGGTACCCGACGAGGTGGGCGTCCGGCCCGCACCACGACGTCGTGCACGGGTTCGTGATGAGGTCCGCCAGGTCGGGGTCTGCTAACAGCTTTTCTCCCGGCAGGACGATCCTGTACGCCACGTCTCCCGTGTCTCGGGGAACGTCGGGCTGGCCCGTGAGGAGGGGCCGCGTTATCGACTTGATGCCGTCGGCTGCGATGACTAGGTCCGCGGCGAAGACTTCGCCGTCCTGCGTCGTAGCGCTGGGAGCTTCGAAATCGTAAGACACGACCCTCTTATTGTTTAGGACCTCGACGCCGGCTTTCCTCACCGCAGCCAAGAGCGCCTCGTGGAGGTCCGCGCGGTGTACCAAGTAGTAAGGGGCCCCGTGCTCCTCGACGATGTTGTCGAATGGTATTTCGACCATAGTAGACCCGTCTTTCCACCGGACGAAATGGTAGCGCCTCGACACGGATTTCTTCATCTTCTCTAGGTCGACGCCCCAGCGGAGCAGGAGCCGGCTCGAATTGGGCGGGAGTCTGATGCCTGCGCCGGCCTACCCGTGAGAGTAAGCTTCGATGTCGCGATTCGCGCTTGATCTGAGATTCGCGATTGTTACGCGAGGCTGTAGATGCTCACCTCGGCAAATTCTGGGACTGCGTCGATTACGCGAACCGAGTGTCCGTCGGTCCTTAGGGCTAGGCTAGCGGCTAGACCGCCGAGCCCGGCACCGACGATGAGGATGTCGAGAGATCTTTTAGCCCCGGGCATTGGGATAAGCTACGATTGGAAGCCTCGGATTAGGTAGGTAAGTGAAAGCTCCAGAAGTAAAGTTCTACCGCCAGCCTAGTTGATTATTCAACATCCTACTAGCAAGGAACATGTACTTCGCATGTTCTTCGCATGTTCTTTATATACCTGTCGAGGTGAGTTGGTCTTGTTGGTCTCATGGCGACTTGGTATTCTCATGTAAGCTTTCGTGTAATGCGGCTCGTCGTCGAATATACCGAAAACCGTTGGCTAGTGTCGTTGATTGCAACTTAGTCCCGATAAATTCTAAGCTAGCTGGGGACACCAAGATATAATAGGGCGGTTCCATGATTCCGGTGCCCACCTTCGCGATACCAGATAAGCGGAGGCAGATAAATTGCCATCTACCCCTGTACGTCGCGACTCGCCGGCTTCGTAGACATATTTTCACGTGGCAGGTGAAGAGAGGATAGAGAAGTACCTATGTAGAATGTAGCCGTCTGTACCGTTCTCGGATCCATGACTCCTGGTCTGATTTGATATTATGGTTAGAACGGTTTAGTTCGCGGGTCATCCCCGCAACCCCAGATCTGCTAAATCTTTAGTTCGCGAACTAGCTTCGCGGATCCCACTAGCCTCTACTAGCTCCCGCTGTGCCGTCCTGTCGGAGATCGAATCTGAGCTGGGCATCGGCTTTCAAACGGGACTTGCGAATAGAACTCCACCAAAAATATCTATGCGGTCGAGCTTTCGAGCGTGACGAGATCTCGTATATTGAGTCTCTCCGTTCAGTTAGTTGGACTGAAAAAAGCCTCATTTTTTATTTGCGATTTTTCGCGATTTTTCACGATGGGCTCAAGTTTAGATGGTCCTCGTCGCCTGTCGCGTGAGCCGTCCGAGCTTGAGAAGCAGAACATGTCTCATTCAGAGTCTCCCTCGGAGTCTTACTCAGAGACCCCTACTCAAGAAGAAGAGATCATTGGCCCACTTCAAGCCAAGCAAATCCTTCGAAAGATCGATTGGCGAATCATTCCTCTACTTCAATTCCTATACATGTTAACCTTTCTCGATAGAGTGAATATCGGAAATGCTAGGTTATGGAATTTGGAACGAGATCTGAAGATGTCGGGTTACGATTACAACATCGTCGTACTAAGTCAGCTTACCCTTTTTGGACCTCCTATTCGACCTCCTATTCGTCCCCGTCTACGAGTAAGCACATGCTAACTATCCAAGTCTTCTATATTCCTTACATCATACTGGAGATCCCGTCGAATTACTTTTTTAACCGCATCGAACCCAGGAAGTTCATGGCTATAATAATGATGGGTTGGGGATGTATGACAATCTCGATATCTGTACCGACTCGGTTCTTTCTGCAGCGTGACTAATTCTTCCAAGTGACAATCACATTTTCTGGATTTTCGCAAAGCTATGCGGGGCTCCTTGTTTCCCGCGTACTTATCGGGGTTTTCGAAGCTGGCATGTTTCCCGGTTGTATATATCTGATCTCTGGGTAGGTCGTCCTTGGCGGCAGTCAATTTCTTGGATTCTTGTGAAAGCCCTCGCTATGCGCAGCGCTATTACCTCACCTGATTCTCTATTTCTTGTCCTTCTTGTTTTCTTCATTTTTATAGATTTCTTGCGCGTCGCAGTCTAATATGAAATAGATGGTACCGCCGGCACGAACTTGTAACTCGTATGGCCTTCTTTTTCGTTGCAAACGACATTGCAGGGACGATATCGGGACTCTTCGGCGCAGGCTTGGGGTCTCTCGACGGCTTAAACGGCTATTCGGGATGGCGGTGGATCTTCTTCATCGAAGGTGCGATGACCAGTCTCGCGGCGATCCTCGCTTGGTTCTTCGTACCCCCGTTTCCGGAGGATAGCTCTTTCTTGACTCCCGTGGAGAAGAAGTGGCTGTTGCGGAGGTTGAAGACGGATAACAAGGGCATGTCCCACGAAAAGATGACTATAGGATCGGTAGTGGACTCGCTCAAGGACTGGAAGGTCCTTACGTCCGGTGTCATCTATCTAGGAGTCTGCACCACGGCGTATTCTATCTCGGTCTTTCAGCCGACGATTCTGCTCACGTTTGGCTGGGATGATCTCAAGTCCAACCTTTTGAGCGCGCCACCGCGAGTCGCGTCCGGCATCATCTCGGTGACGATCGGCATTTGGTCGGATCGGATTCAGCTTAGAGGGATCTTCTGTCTAGGCGGATTCTTGTTGAGTATATTGGGTATGTTTCTCATAGCATATTTAGAGGGAGCTTTGAGATACATGGGGATATACTTCGCTGCGATTGGAATCTATATCGTTCAACCTTTATCCATCGCCTGGTGGTAAGTCCGCTTCGATCCCATTACTTACCTACCTAAGATACGCTCGCGTCTAATGATATCCGCGCAGTACGAATCAGGTCACGAGCTCCAACAAACGGGGAACCATCACTGCATTTGCTGGAACTATAGGACAGGTTGGCGGCATTATCTCAGCTGTCGTGTTCCCGTCCCAGGATAGTCCTCGATACATTCCCGGTCTCATGACATGCATCGCTTTACAGATTGCAGGAATCATTGCCGTCGTCAACCTATGGATCTGTTGTTATTATGAGAATAGACAGCGCGAGGCGGGCAAACGTGACTACTTGCGAGACTTGTCTCAGGAGGATCAAGATCGACTGGGAGAGAAGCATCCTGACTTTCGATACACTCTGTAATTTTGAATTGTATTATAGTAGGCATAGTTGGGGAGCTCTGTCATGGGTCATGTAGGTATATCAAAATAGCTTTCACTGATTTAGTATATTAATGCATCCTATTGGAACGTTGTGCCACGTCTCACTGAGAGGGGGAAGCAAAAGTGGGTTATGGCGTTATGCATCTCAACACATTGTTGTACTAGGTACGTGGGAAGGACTCTGGAGTGGTCCACGGGTAGCTCCGTACGGACGTATTGTCCACTGGTCGGATTTCAAGTGCATGGCAATAAATTTGATGTGCTGAATACAAACCTATATCCACCATATGCCCACCGTCCATGTGTCCATCATATGCCTACCACATGTCCACCATATCCGTTTTTTTGATCCTTTACACTATTGAGGCCTTGCAGGCGAACTCCCATATCCCATAGAAATATCGATGCCTCCACCCGGCAACGTGGTAACCCAGTCTACGTCGACCCCGCCAACGTGCCCAGCCCACCCGCTAAACCCGTCGAGCTCGGCTCCCCCTTCTATAGTCTGTGCCAGGGGTATCATATCATTAGACCAGTAGAAGGAATCTAACGTCTGAGAGCCTATGAAAGCACCCGGCGCAATTTGCGTCGGATCCAGCGGCGGATTACCAGCCACCCCATTAACCTGGTTCACCGTAGCATGGTTATCCAGGCCTTCGTCCGCCGCTAATTTCGGCGACATGTACCGATAATTGACGTAGTCAGCAAAGTCAGCCAGGAGCGTGGCAAAGCGATTCATCGTGCCGCTCTTTTCCACTCTCACCGACACGGCTCGGAGCTGCGCTACGAGCCCCCTAAAGGTCTCGAGGACCCTGTATTCCTCCGGAGTATTGTGATGCCGGAGCATGCCTGACGACAGGATCATGGACGCCCAGTAGACGTAAAATACGTCTAGGCCCGACACGCCGTTGACTAGGCCGAAAGAGTCCAGCAGGATGATGATCATGGCCATCTGGCTCGCGTGGCGTAGGCAAGTACCCGCGAGCGCGGTCTGCCGGCTAGCCGCGTGGCTTGGTTCCTGGCTAGGTGGTTGGTTGACGGACAGCTCCTGCAGGAGGAACGGCCGGGTCGTGAATAAGCCGGTGTAGTGATACAGCAAGTGCAGCATCAACGCCGCCCGCAACGACGATCTCTGCCACCGTAGTAGGGATCTCAGATCGTCGAAGCCTATGGGGTTCGGCTCCTTGTCGTCCAGCAGACGCTCGCCGGTTTTTATGGGCGGGATATTCAGCCATTGTTTCTTCGAAACGTCGGTTCTCCACTGCTCGAGATCTAGAAGGATCGCTTCCGGACTTCGAAGTGCCGAGCCTTTAGCAGCTACATCATCTCCTATTCCCTGGCTTGTTCTGCTTCTGCCGAGGATTTGATACAGGCGTATGCTGAAAGCAATGAGCACGGCATCACCGCCGCCGCCGCTGTCGTCCACTGTGATACACATCAGCATATCCCTTTAGACTTAGGTGTATTGGGAGCGTGATTCGCAGGTAAGTATTCTAGGTATACCGCCAACGTTCAAACTTGGCAATTACTGGGGAGATACTAGGTATGTTGATCTAGAAACAAAACCCCCCCAAAAAGGAGACGAAAAAAGGAGACGACATGGACGAGGTACTCACACATCCCCGGACGTGGCGGTGTCACTTCGACGTCGGGGTCGTTGATGCCGCTCGGTCGACCGAGGGTAGTAGCTAGGAACTGCTCGAAACCGTACAGCGTACAGAAGACGCGTTTTCTAATCTCCCTCTCGATCGGGTTAAATGCGGACTCGGTATCTCTCCGATGAAGTCCCAAGGCAAACGCGAGCCTAGTCGCCGTTCCGACAAGGTTCCAGGTCGCGTTTCGTTCGTTGTTGTTGTGTAGAAACAAGCTCAGCAGGAGCAGAGCCCGGAGGTTATACAGCGTGCATTTGCTGATGAGATGCGGTAGGAGGGATCTGGCCGACGATACGCAATGCCTCCGTAGCGCGTTGTGATCGAGGTTAGGTTCGCCGATGTCCGGTTCGCTCATGCTACCGAATACGAGCATCATATAGATACATGCCAATAATCCAGGATCCAGGTCTTTCTCTTCGTGCTCCTGGCTCCCGGCATGACGGAACCTCCGGGTCTGTGCTTCGTAATCACCCTCAAACGTCCCGCGATGGAAGAGGACGAAGTCGTCGTGGACGTTTTGGAAAAATGACTGCAATAGTCTATCGAGCACGTCTTGCGGCGGAAGCCGTTTCCAATGCTCCTCTATACCAACGGACGGCCTCCGAGCGCGATTGCTCTCCAACGAGGCGATGCTCCTAGGCGAACGCTGGTCGCGCGCGGTAGATATGGAGACGTCGTCGGCGTGTCTAGAGTCGAGAGCATCTTCGTGGACGTCTTCGACCTCGAGTGCCTGAGCTCCGTCGTCTTCGGTGAACTTTGCGACCCTGGGAGGCGCTAGGCTCTGCGCGCCGGGACTCTGGTCTCTCGAGATGAGGAGCCTTCTTAGCTTACCCAGAAACTGAAGACCCCCGGACGGCCCTATGTAGTGCTCCTTGCCGGACGTGTCGGTTACGAGACACGTCGTGCTATCTACCGACTGCGAACTCTCCGGTTGTGCGGAGGGGTGGGTGTTATGCCTCGCTCCCGAGCGAGTGGATTGGTTGGTATGCGTTGCGGAGAACCCTCCTTCGCTAGGAGGCTCCGACTGTCGCGGTATTCGCAACGCCTCGTCTATCTTCGCCGGCACTTCGGTGCTGTGAGATAGATCGGGCATCTGGTATCCTCGGGACTGGCCGAGTCGCATGAGATCGGCGACGGAGTCGGTAGCCTCGTCGGCGAACGCTCCTTTGACGATGGCCTCTAGACAACGGAAGCTATGCGCAACTTAGCGTGAGCTCAGGGGATGAAAGTCCCGGTCTTCGATTTCTCCAGAGAACAGCACGTCCATGTTGATCCGAGGAGCTGAACCTACCGATCACTAAGATCTTCCACGTTACCGTAGAACCGGGTCTTGCGAGGGAGCGTGAACGTGCACTCGACGTCCTGCGCGAGGCATGCCGTGCAACGGTTGGCCTCTCCCGGAGCCGGGATACACCTGCAGCGTTTCTAGCTCGTATCGTTAGCTGGTTTGACGTTCGATGGTTTCGAGGCTAGCCGACTTAGCGTCTTGGGTCGATCTCCGTTTACCTTTCGACACAGGTCGCAGCTCTGGATTCCGCGTTTCCGCTGGTCTTCCGGCACGCGACGGGCGCGCCGCTTCGCCTCCGCGGCCCTGGCGGAGCTGGCGCTAGCACTAGCACTACTCATCGTTGGTCCTCGGGTGAAGAATCCCTTGGAAGCGTCGGATCGCTCATTCCTGGCCGGTAAAGTGTGGAAACTGCGAAAACTGCTTTATGTATGACTCCGTGACGGCCTCAGCTGGCCAGGGTATGGGCTCCGCACGAGCGCTAGACGATCCATGCTGCCGGGTCTAATACTTTACTGCAAGAAGTATGGTATTCCCGTACCCCGCATAGGAATCATGATTCCGGTCCCGGATCTTAGGCACGTTAGTGTCCTTTGGTATTAGCTGCTATTAGGTCGTATCTCGAGAAGACGTGTGCGGAGTAGCTTCTGACTCGAACCCGGCAGCCCGGTCCCAGTAATTAATACCTACCTAGTCAATCGTCGACGTGCACCAACATGGCAACTACAATTTCGTCTCTAGCACTTCCGTCTTCGCGCACGATTTCCTACGCCCTCACTACGGTATCATCCGATCTCGACGCACCGACTGTCCTGCTTTCTAATTCTTTATGTGGGCCATTTGCGACCTGGGACCGCGTTGTCCCGAAGCTTACCTCGAAGGGGTTGAACGTATTGCGCTACGATCAACCCGGGCATGGGACCTCTGGCGTTCCAGCGGATCTATCCTCTACTAGCTTCCATACGCTGGCCGACGATGTTCGAGAGCTTCTTAACCACCTCTCCATTAAGCGGTTGCGTGGCTGGGTTGGCGTTAGCATGGGTGGCGCGACTGGCATGATATTTGCCACCAAATATCCCAATATTATCCAGAAACTTGTTGTTTGCAATTCATTATCCTGCTCCTTCGCCAATGCCGGGGCTACCGACGTGCTTGAGCCGATGGTTACGATGGCTCGCGGAACGGGTAAGATAGATGGAGTAGTGGATGCCATTCTTGTGCGTTGGTTTGGTCGTGCGTGGATAGATGCCAACCCGGACGAAGCACACCGCATGCGCGAGGTGATGCTCCAGACGAGCATCGAAGGTTTCGAGACTTGCGCTGCGGCCCTCAGGAGCCAGGCGTTCGATCTACGGCCATCACTTACAGAAGTAGGCCACGGAATCGACGAGGCGTTGTTCGTTGTCGGTGAGAAAGATGCGGAATTACGTGAGACTATGCAAGATCTGCAAAAGGGTGTCGAACGGGGACTGAAGGAGAAGAACGAGCATGCTTCTGTAGATTTGCAAATCATTAAAAATGCCGGCCACGTCTGTTATGTTGATGGTTATGACGAGTTCGTTGGTGTTGTCGCTCGTTTCTTAGACCATTAGCGAGGACTGAGGATATTGACAATGAGAATCACGTTGGTTCCAGCACAGGAAGCCAACCATCACCATCCATTGACGTCCTTCATAGAGCACATCGCCGGGCACTTTCAGTAATGTCGACGTAATTGCATGATTCTTTATAGATACTACTTCGCCAATGGCTTCAACATTAAGAGCCATTCAGGAAGGCAGTCGCAGTAGCTAGCCAAGGGCAAAAGCCGCGCTGCTGGAACTAGGCTTGCCAACTCGTCTAGCGATGATTATATGATCTAGTCTCGATAGCTATGCTAAGTCATATTACTTTCAGCCTTACGATAAATCGACCTATTTGGTCGAACTTGATCATTCGACTTGTAATAAGATACACCAGCTGTTGGACTGCACGCAGTGGATTATACCATTACACAATATCCGCGATATTTGGCTTTCTCGTACTCGTGGTATATCTATTAGATAAACGTATACATTTCTCATTTCTACTCCCTTACAATCAGAAGAATCCACAAAGTGGACTCCGGATGAGGTGCCTTGGATCCTTATGTGAGCGATGCTCTAGTACCTTCAGTGTAATGAAGAAATCCATCATCCACTCGAGATTCTTGTAATATGTCGCAATATCCACGACGAGTTACAAGCTAAGGATGCTCAGTCGGATTTCAGTCGGATGAGCGTCTGGAAATTCGTTAAGGCGGCCAAGGAGCTTCAGACAGACCATTCGATCTCGTACGCACTCCTATTTCGTCGTCGAGGATCAACTCTCTATTCCACCACTTTGCGACCTCCTGATGGAACTCGCTCGGTCCCTCGTAGGTCATCATGCGGCGGATGTGGTCTAAGGTGGACACGCCTTTAGCGTTCTTCTTATGTAGGTCGCGGTCTTGATACCCGAGTAGGATGACGATGCACTTGGCTGATCTAGCGGCAATTGTCGCCGCCGGCCAGTCGGGTTCTTCTAAAGGCCAGATTTTATCGATCGTCTGACAAAAGATGGAGGGAAACGAGTTGCCTTCCTCGTCGAAAATGTAGGGATCGAGGCCCATATAGGTTACGAACTGCATTATCTCGGGGTTGTGTCTGCGACAGGCGGCTCGGACGTAACGCAGCATCGTCTCGGGCTCGTCCGTGAATGGTTCCCGTTTGCAGCAGTGGTATACCAGTGCTTTGACGGCTTCGATAGGGGCGTTAAGGATCGCCCACTCTAACGGCGTCGATCCTTCGAACGTATTCGATAGGCGGGTCTGTACAGGAGGTTCGGCTGGGCGAAGATAGTAGTGCATGTCAGCGCCGGCATGAAGGAGGTATTCGATCGAATTTAGCCTATTTAGCGCTATTGAAATGTGTAACGGCGTCATGTTTTCTCTAGTGAATACCACATTCGCGTTCAGATTACCCTCGTCCAGCAGAATTTCGAGTATGGAGCCGTTGCCGTACGCGGCGGGATCCGCGCAGCAGGCCATCTGTAGGTGGGCGGCGCGCTCCTCTTTAGTCGCGTCCAAGAAGCTCGGGTGCTTGACCATCGTCTCCACGACATCGATTAAACCAAAAAAGATGGCGAGATCGAGCGGGCCAAAGGTCCGGCCGTCGTCCTCGGTACCGGTGTGATGCTCGTGCATGTCTGCGCCGTGATCGAGGAGCAGCTCGACCATAACGAGATTCTCGTTCAGGATCGGGTATGTTAGGGCAAAGATGCCGCCGACGGGCTCGTTCGGATCTGCCCCGCTTTGGAGAAGGAGTTCGGCGACGTCTGGGTCTTCTAGCTTGCAGGCTTCTATCAAGCAACTCTCGTCGTCGTCGGAATGGTAGCATACAGGGGCGCCGGCGTCGATTAAGGACAACGCGCAATCGGACTTCCCCTTCTTGATCGTGTCGAGAAGTCGGCTCGGGCTCAACAATATCTCGCGCCCGTGAGGAAATTTGAGCATGTATTCGAGAGCTAACGAGTTGTCTTGCGCGATTATCTTGTCGATCATGACCTCGATCTCCGAAGGCGTAGGCTCTCTAGATCCGCACTCCAGCAACGTGTCGCAGAGCCCCACGTTATCCGATATCAGCGCTCTCGTGAGCAACAGGTGAGCGCCCTTCGGTTCGAGGGTGGCGGGTCCTCCGTGGTGGACGAGCAGCCGCACCGCCTCGGCCTTGTCGCTGCTAGGCCCGCACGACCCGCAGACCCTCTCGAGGGCGTCGAACATGTCGGTATTCGGCGGGATGCGTTCGAGCAACGCCTCTACCGTGCGCAGCATCGCTCCTTCGGGACGCATACCGAACATCCCCGACGGCCTGCAAGCTTTCAGCAGCGCCGTGTCGCCCACGTCGTCTCGCGCGTCGATATCCGCGCCTTCGTCGAGAAGAACCCGGACGACGCCGTCGACGTTGACAAGAGCGGCTTTCATGAGCGGCGTCATCATATCTTTATCCCTAACTTCCAAATCGGCACCGGCCTTGATTACGGTTCGGACGACTTCCGTCCTCAGATGTTCCTGGCAGGACTCGCGGTGATAGAGAGGGCTCCGGCTCGGCCGGACGGGCATGCAACAGCAGTGTAGTATAGACTCGGCTTTGCCGGAAGGCTCGAAAGAAGCGGCGATGTCCACGCCTAGTTCGATAAACCTAAGGGCTTCGGCAAAGCGATCCTCGTAGCACGCGTGTTTGAGGAGCGTGAAAGGACCCAGTGTGGCGTTGAGCGAGGCGCCCATCTCCACCAGGAAGTCGATCGAACGCCAATTACCGGCGAAGTACGCATAGCTTAGAGGCGTGCTGCCGGCATGGTCTTGGACGTCGACGTCGGTTTGATATCCCTCGTCTATGAGGAAGCGGGATACGGAAACCAGATCGGAATAGCAAGCCGCGTGAAGAGCAGTGATATGGCGAGGATCGGAACCCAGCAGTCTCGGCGATACGTTGATCGAAGCCCCTCTAGATATCAAAAGTCGCGCGGTCGACTCGTGGCCGTGGCAGATGGCGGTATGCAGAGGCGTCCAGATTGGCGTGACGGGGTCCGCGCCCAAGAACATGCGAGGACCCTCCTTGGGGAGGATGCAATTGCAGAAACCTCTTGACAAGGCATTGACGTCCGCGCCGTACTTTAGCAAAAGATCGACGATCTTGTCGTTTCCCCAACGCGCGGCGATGTGAAGGGGCATCCAGTAATAATGGCTCGCGAGATCGCCATGGTTTTCGTAACTCTTGCTCCTAACCTCCGACTCTAGATCGCTGTCATAGTAGTAGTAGCTATCGTCGTCGTCATCGTCGTCTTCGGACGAAGAGAAAGATATCATCGAGTCCGAGTCGTCGGGATCGGTAGATACGTGTATCCTATCGAACGGGGGCTCGGAACCGTAACGGCGAGAAGAGTTGAAGAGGCGTGTGGATGGTTTACAAGCTTCGAGAACGGTGAGCACGGTCGACCGGGTCGAAGTTTGAACCCAGGCAATATTGGGATTTGCGCCGGCTACGAGCAGACGTTCGACGGTACCTATGTGGCCTTCGTCGACGGCCCAGCACATAAGGGAGGCCTCATCCTTGACGAGGCGATATAGCTGGGGTGAGACAATGCCACAGATGGCACGGCAAGACCTTGAGAAGGCGGACAGGTCCTGGATATCCAGGTCACGCGTCACGTATGATATGATCTCTACCGGGAGACTGAGGATAGAAGGCATCTTCGATTTTGTTAGATTCCCACATGAATGGCCGTCGATCTCTCATGGAGAATGTCGATATGGTGTAGCACGTGTAGTTGTAGCTGTAAATGCAGTCGTGGTTGCAGTTGTATTCGTGGTTGTCGTTGTCGTTGTCGTGGTCGTTGTTGTGGTAGTGGTAGTTGTAATTGCAGTCGTGTAAAGTAAGATTAGACGTCGCGTTCAACGCGTTTGAAGATTACATTACACAGATCACACTAGAATCAAAGCTAAAGGCTGAGAATGACGACACTTGTCTAGGCCGTTGGGTAATATTTCGTGCCCCTGACTAGCCCTATGGATCGTTGCATGCAGGGACCTACCTAAGAATTCTAGTGGACGTTAGCCCTGGAGCGTTTCAAGGATAACGACCCCCACTGCTAAATAGCGGATTAGAGCCCCTGAGTAAGATCTGCTGGTTTTCTCGGATTATTGGATCGTGAATCAACGACTTCAGGCTTGAAACAGATGATCATCGAACCCGATTTTCTTGACCATGCCAGAACCACAGAATGTCGATAAAAGACTCAAGAGTTAGAAGAAATAATTATCAATTGTTTTGAGGTTAAGTCTAAACACATAGACGAGCCTTTCAATATGCATATTGGAATACCTTCACAAACATTTTACCGTCTCAGTCTACGGTCTAATAGTGAATATCCAAGTCTCAAGTGTCAATTCAAATTCTCCATTTGGAATTATCAACCAGAGAAAGAACAGGCCATTCGATAATATTCTCCTATCCTTTAGCATTACCCTCAGACATACCTGAATGGAAGGAATAGTCTGTACAAGTGGACAAGAAAGGATCATGTTGTCAACTACATACTTGCTACTTACATGTAAAACAGGGCTTACTTACAAGTAGTAACTTACGAACGGTATTTCCCAAACTTGCGTGCGGGTTACGATAAGGCAGAAGCCCAACTTTTCGTATGCTTTAAGATTCTTCGCTTCGTTTCATCAGCCAGGCCCTCCCGAGATCGGTGTCCACCAGATACGCTAAGAAGGTGAAGTTGATCTATCACATCCATCTACCACCGCCCGCCTTCATAGACGTTCAGCCTTCTTTTAGGCAGTTAGGCATCGTACATCGTCTTTCAACTGGCATGTCGGGTTTGTCTCCGGTGCCTTGGTGATAGATCCTAAACTTTGTTTTCTTTTCTTGCCAGTCAACTTTGATTTTTCTCCCATTTCAAATAAGAAGGGAGCCCATCTTCTCACTCCCCATTCATCGCCCGCAGCTCGATGACGCGCAAACAAACTAAGAAACAAGCGAGCAAACACGCCAACATGACGACCAATCTCGCTGAGGATATCTCTCAGAAGACTTCTGGTTTTATCCAGTCTAGCAATCACAGGGATCTCCTCGATATCGTTGACTCTCTCAGATCTCATGGTGTGAGCCACTACATCGACCTGCCGCAGATCATCGTGTGCGGTAGCCAGTCGTCGGGCAAGAGTTCTACTCTCGAAGCTCTCTCCGGAATCTCCTTCCCGACGGCGGAAGGGCTCTGCACCCGGTTCGCAACTGAGCTCGTTCTTCGGCGTGGGGATAAGCACGAGGTCAAGGTACACATCCAGCCTAGTCCTAACCGGACTGATGTAGAACGAATTCGCCTGTCGTCCTTCGCCGGGGAGACGAGGGATATCGATGCCTTCCCTAAGCTTATAGAGGCCGCCAAGGAAGCGATGGGACTGACCGGAAGCGACGGTTCTAAGATTTTTACCGCGGACGTGTTGCGTGTCGAGAGCACGTCGCCCACCGCATCTAATCTGACTCTCGTTGACTTGCCTGGCCTGTTCGGCGCCTCTGACAAGAACCAGTCAGAGGACGACGCCACTCTCGTCGAGAACCTGGTAACGGGCTATATGAAACAGCGCCGCAGTATCATTCTTGCCGTTATCGCCGCCGATAACCCGTTTGCCAATCAGCCTGTGACTCGGTTTGCTCGAAAGATCGACCCCGCCGGCACGAGAACGCTTGGTCTCATTACGAAACCAGACAAAATCGACGTTGGCTCTGAAAGCGAGGCCTACTATCTAGAGCTGGCGCAGAACCTGAACGTGAAGCTGAATCTCGGATGGCACGTCCTACGCAACAGGAGCCATGCTACGGCCAAGGACAGCATCGCCGAGAGGGACAAGAGAGAAGCCGAATTCTTCGCCGACTCGGTCTGGTCAACCCTCGATGAGTCGCAGCTTGGCGTGGAACGGCTTAGGTCTCGCCTAATCAACATCTTGTGGAAGCAGATCCGAACTAATTTGCCAACCGTCAAGGTCGAAGTCCAAGCCGGCATTGCGGACTGTAGAGCCAAGTTGACGCAGCTAGGACAGGCACGCAGTACGCAGAGAGAGAAGCACACGTATCTTCAACGCATTAGCAGCCGCCTTTCGAAACTATCTCGAGCAGCTATTGACGGGGTATACGCCGATCCGTTCTTTGAGTCCTTTCCCGGCCAGCAGGACGCTTTCACGAGACGGCTACGTGCAAATGTGCAAAAGATCCTCGCCGACTATGCAGAAAAGATGAGAGAGGATGGGCACGCCCTAGAGATTGTGGAAGACGACATGAATCCAACCCGAACAGCAACGAGGCGATATATGATGAGAGGGGATTACTTGAGTCTGGTGAAGGAGCTTACGATGGAATGCCGAGGTCGCGAGTTGCCAGGAACTTACAATCCCCTCGTCGTAGGCGACCTATTTTGCAGACAGTGCAAGCCTTGGGGACCTATCACGCAGAACCTGGTTGAGCAGATCCATGAAGCTGCAGCTGACAACTTCAATAAGATCGTATCGGAGATTTGCGATGAGAATACCAGATCTCGCCTCATGAAGTGGCATATTCAGCCAGCGTTGCATCTGCTCCGGCAAAAGTTGAAGGACAAAGTCGACGAATTATTGAAACCGCATTCGGCCATTCACCCGATTACTTATAACGATTATCTCACGAAGGAGGTTCAGAAGATCCAGACAGAGCGTCACGACAGGTTGTTCGACGAAATTTCCAAGGCTCAATGCAAATATACGTCAGAAACTGCGCCGGTCCAACCCGTACAAGTAAACTTGAGATCACTCCTTTGGGCACTCAAATCGGGGACTCGGCCTGATGTTGAAGAGTACTCGGCTTCACTTGCAGCTGATGTCGCCGCGGCATATTATCAGGTACCGTAACACCTATATCATTTAGTTGGATGGTTCAGGATCTCGTGAAAGATGTTAACGCCGCGCAGGTTGCTCTCAAGAAATTCACCGATGATATTAGCGTAGATGCCATCGAGACCTGTCTAATACAACGCCTACCAGAAGTGTAAGTGAACATACGAAAACTATAGCAACCATTACTAACTTTCTTTCCCCGTAGGCTCAGCCCTGATGTGATATGGGACCTGTCCCAGGAAGATGTTGAGCGACTAGGATCCGAGGACGACAACACGGTCAAGGAGCGCGGAGAACTCACGAAGCAGCTAGACAGTCTTGAGAAGGGTCTGAAGGACCTAGATGCGTTTACGGCCCGGGCTGCTGTCCGAGCAGTAACCAAGGATGAGCTATGAAGGCTTTAGCATAATACGTTGTGAAGGGAATGCCACTTCTTAGACGGCGACGTTAGGTTTGTAGGTGTTCGGACTGGCCGTACTGTCCATCAGTAATACAGACTATGGCAGATGTCTCGTGTTGTTCGTGATTTCGAAACTTGAACATATCTCCTTACTTCCATACCTAGAGTAAGTTGTCGGATGGTGAAAGCGGATTTCCATCTGGATCAAGATTTAGAGGCAACGAGGATGATAGCAACCTCATTGTGGCTGTATTGCGATTCCGCGATTCCATCTGCCGTCCCCGTCACTCTCGGATTCCCCTCGGCGCTCCGTTTGTCCCCTTCCAAGGCGCTTAGAAGGGCGCCGTCTTCACTATGACCACGCGATAAATGAAGAAGATACTTATGTAAGTACCTAGGTAGGCGTGGATGAATTCATGACATCTCTGTTTTCCTCATCCATATTTTACGACAGCGATAATTGTCCACAGCTTCCGGATACTGAACCACCTATGAATGGGGTTCAACGGCGCGCCAAATAATCCGTCCACCCATCAATATCCTCAAACTCCGAGGCAGCCTTCTTCGCAGCTTCGTCCGCAACCTCGTTCCACTCTCTCGGGATTCTCCAGAATTGGATAGAGAGCCCTTGATCCTTCCACTTCTCAGCTTCTCCCATAAGCATTTCCCACAAATCTTTGTTCTTGACATCCGCGCCTACGCTCGTCTTCCAATTATTCGTAACCCACGTCTTGGCCCACTTCGTAGATCCTTCAACCACGTACTCCGAGTCGGTGGCAATGGTTATTGTTCTGAAACCTTCTCCGGGCCAGTTTTGGTACCGCAAAGCCGCGATGACGGCGCGAAGCTCAGCCCGGTTACTGCTCTGAATGCTCTCGTCACCCCAAGGCCCTTTAATCTCCAACCGAGCGGATATGAGTGCCGGCTTGTCCGCGCGTCCCGGCCCCTGTACAAATGCCCAGCCCGCTTTAGGATCCGGCTTGCCATTGTTCAAACAAGCACCATCGGTGAAGACGAGCACTGCTCCGGTGTCGTTGCGATGGATGTATCTTACAGTTCATGTTAACGATATTGGTCTAGGATACGGGTTGTTCTGAGAAGACTACGCTTTTCCCTAGACTATTCTTACCTGGTCACTGTCGCGGAAATTTCCTTGCTGGGAAACAACTCTGTTGGCATAATTGAACTGCCAGTCGGTGGAGTGAATTGGGTAGGGAAGACTTGGCCAGTGCCTCTTTTCTTTCTCAGGCGGAGTAATTCCTGCTCATTGATACGAGGGTTCTCATCATCTGTGTCACATTTGGCAAAGCCGTCAACTTCTTTCGAATTAAGGTCCGCGAAGCTGTAATCTGTGCAGCACTTTCCACAAGTGACGAGGCCGTGTGGGCCGCAAACGATTCGGCCGTCGGGCAACTCGCAGGGTCCCTCTTCGTCGTCGCTGCTGGATGGGCCGAGGGGGTATAAACCCTGGGCGAGGTACCATCCGAGAGGCATTCCGGCGGTAGTTGTGACGGACCGATGGAATAGGACTCTACCCAAGCGGGGTAATTTTCTGATAGTTGTGAAGAGGTGATTAAGCTCAGAACTACGTGGTGAAAGAGTTGGATGGAGAGTTGGGCATCTCAGCATCCAATCCTTACGAGGATGTAATGAGGTTAGAAAAATGCGAACGCCAAGATATACCTTGGTAAGTGGAAGTCGTGCACAAGCCACTCTCAGTGACAGTGAGGACCTAATCACCTTGTTAATGACCATCTAGTTGAAAACAAACGGTATTAAGCAAACGGTATGGTGACTCATTTAAGCTTCATGTGACGAAATGACTAGGTACTTGAGCCTGGTTTGAAGGTAATAGGATGACGTAATTGAATCCAGTGCAACGATAGTTTCTTAGGGATTAACCACTGTTTACGTTCAACGAGCCACCGCAATTTAGGAGAAGTTGTCGTGTGTTGAAGCGTAACACTCAATCTCAATATGCGTTGGTGTGGTAGGTGCAAACACTATCAATGCTTGGGGTACACGTGATTCGGTAGTCCGGACCTAAGCCACGTGACCCCAGTCCCTAGGTACACTATTCCCATTTCCATTTACATGTTGACTCAGTCCTGAATTGATTCGATGAAGGGCATTTGTAGTTGGTCTGCCGTTATCCGTCAGTGTAACATCCCCTCATGACTCAGATGTGAATAGAGCCCCAAAAGAACTAGGAGATAATGCATAATCCTACTACTAGGTAGTTTGCTTAAAAGGGTTGATTGGCCATTCAGGAGTGTGCCAGGGTATCCATATACTACAGATGAACCCCTTAGATTCCAGCTTCGATTCATCCGACCTAACCTACCATATATCTCTGCGGGATATGATGAAGCCAAGCATCGAAAGGGCTCAAGGCTCGCGGGTTAAGTTGAAAATGAAACTCCGCGAGGGACGCGACATAGCAAGGGAGCAATCTGCTTACTGCAAGCCCTTGTTGCGGCTAGTCAACAATCACCCACTAGGTAGGTACTTAGCTGGGGGCAATATAAGGTAACAATTCTGAGAATTTCATAAGTCAATAAAATAGAATCATGATACCCATGAATGCATTGTTTCTCCGCGAATTGTATCATAGTAAGGGATTAGTAATTTTACCTGGATAGACTAACCAACCGAACCGCTGGCTCGTTTGCCATAGCATTTCAACATCTCGGAGGTAAGGAGGCAAGTCCCTAGATACCACTTCTATCAGGCGAAATACGTGGTGCGAAACAGCGGGTGAAGTCGAGTTAGCTCCTATCAAGTCGCTTACCTAGGTCCTCCCTAAAGCATAAGCCCGCCAGAAGGATTCAGAGGGGCGAATTAAGTGGATGAGCTACCGGGACAAATGCAGAAAAAGCCGCGCACTCCAAAAACCAAAAGGACGATTCAAATGAAGCAATCGTACGAAGTTCCTTGAATAATGTTGGCAGCGATAAAATTGCATTGAATATTGGCTTTGAAAAGGGAAAGGCTCTATAGGTCGCTAAGTAGCGCGTTCCCTTTTTTTTTAATAGAAGTCTTATATAGATGGTTTGTAATAAACATGGGACGACGTAAGAATCGGCACCATGTAGCATGTTGGGAGAAGCTACCCCGGCGAGCTGCTAATCTGCGCGATGGGATCGAAGGATCGGACGTGCATTACACGTGTATGCTATATCGCCGGGCAAGGACCACAGCTACCCAAGTTGGCAGGTCGTATCGCTAACCCGAGGGGCCTCGAGGCGGACCTGGTCGGCCGGACCCCTGTTACGCGCTGACGCTATTGGACGGTCCGGCGAGGAGAAGGATGGGCTTCCGTGCATGGGTTACATGGATCTTAGACACGCTGAGCCTCGCTCCGTCCACGTGGGAGGAATGCGTCCCGGATCTGCGATCCCTTATTTTGGGCTCGTCCCCCCCTCTCAAGATTTAGCCTCCAGGTACCGATTCGCGTTCCTGCATCCCTCAGCTAGGCAAGCAGTCATTCATTCCAACTCAGGCAACTCAGGATGCGATCTTCTACCGGACTCCTTGGCCTGTTGGCCAGCCTCGGCATGGCATGCGCCCATCCGGCGCGCGGCTCGATCGACAGCGACCTTATTGGCAAGCTCTCGACCGGCGCCAGCATCTCCCACAACGCCTCCGTGTTTCCCCGCTGGAGCGAGTTCGGCGCTCCCCATCCCGGCACTATAGTGTCCGTCGCGACAGAGGCCGATGTGCAGGCGACGGTTCGTCATACGCTCGTGTGATGGTTGGACAATGTTGCTAACATATTCCAGGTCCAATACTGCGTCTCGAAGAACATCCCGTTCTTAGCCCAGAACGGAGGTCATGGCTGGAGCGGCGCATTTACTCTGGGCGAGAGCGGCGTCCTGATCAACTTGCGCGGCCTGAACAACACCGTCTTCAGCGCCGACAAGACGCAGGCGACCATCGGAGGAGGTGCCATTATCCAGGAGGTTATCAACCAGGCGTACGCCAACGACGTTCAGATCCTGACCGGTAATTGCAACTGCGTCGGAGCTCTCGGCGCGGGTCTCGGCGGAGGTTACGGCAACTTGATGGGTCTCTACGGCTTCAGCGTCGACAACTATCTCTCGTTCAACGTCGTCCTGGCCAACGGCAGCCTCGTCACCGTCACGCCCGAGCAAGAGGACCTCTGGTGGGCTCTGCGCGGCGCGGGCCCCAACTTCGGCATCGTCACCTCGGCCGTCATGAAGTCGACTCCGTTAGCCCAGGCCGACAACGTAGCCTGGACCGGCGGTCTGTGGTTCACCGAGGACAAGATCGAGCAGGTCACGCAAGCCATCGAGGATCTCAAGCTCGAGGCGCACATGAACATCTTCCTATACTTCCTGACATCGAACGGCGAACCCACCGTGCTCGTGACCGTGTTCTACTACGGCACCGAGGCCGACGGACGCGAGGCGTTCAAATCCATCATCGATATCGGGCCCTACGACGACACGACGGCCGTTCTGCCGCAGAACGAGTGGAACGCCGGCGCCGACGGCTTCTGCACCAAGGGCGAGCGCAAGCCCACGTACAGCGCCGGTTTCGACCACTTCGTCCCGACGACCTGGCGCCAGATCTGGAACGACTACACCGAGTTCCTGACCAACCCCAACACGAGCGCCACCACCGTTGTCGTCGAGTGCTACTCGCTCGACAAGGCGCAGTCGATCGGGTCCGAGACGGCGTCGTTCGCGAACCGCGACATCCGCTTCAACGGCTTTGCCATATCCTGGTACCCGGATGCTAGCCTCGACGCGACGGCCAAGGCTTTCGGCTCGAATTTCCGCAACCTGTTGCGCGCCGACGATGGGTTAGCTTCCAACCGCACGTGAGTATTGCCTTAACTTGTTACAACGATATTGCATTGGCTGTTGCTAACTGCCTAATCTAGATACGTCAACTTTGCTTTCGGGGACGAGACCAACCAGGTCGTATACAACAACAACACGCAAAGGCTTCGACAATTAAAGAAGAAATATGATCCCAAAAATGTTTTTAACCAGTGGTTTGACCTATAGGAACTGTCTACCTACGATAACTGAAGCTAGGAATGGTTATCCTGGATTAATTGCATGGTTCCGAGGAATATTCACCCCGAGGGAGTGCGTATATTCTGTAAATAGTTCATATCTACAATTTTAATTGAGTTGTTTGCCTGGGATGTTATGGAAAAGGTGGACAAACAGACAGCGACGGGCCTAATAGGAGTTGAACATAAACGTCTATTTGCTACATCTTCGCGTGTTTGTTGACTGTTGTGAGAGTTCCTATTACCTTGGTACCTAGGACACAGTACACGACATTATTGCATTATACCGTGAGCTTTCATACATTTTTATTTGTGACTAGGTAAATCAAAGAGCATCGAAGTAGCTGACATTGAAGTTTGGTACTATCTTGATACCTAGGGGTGCTGAGGGTGGTGAAGATGAAATCAATTTCCTGCCTAAGCATCGGCGGCGATGATGTCAGCGGCTTGTTCCGCAACACCATACAAACTCGCCATTGGGTGTCCGCCCACGGGGGCTGGAAAGATGCTAGCATCGCAGATTCTGAGACCCTGCACCCCCTTAACCTTCAGATCCCCATCTACGACAGTGCCCATGGGGCAGCTCCCCGCAGCGTGAAAGTGGGCCACGCCGACAGCTCTGATCCTGTCCTCGATCTCGCTGTCGGAGGACTCTGGCGTCAGCGCCGTCAAACCTGGAAACACCGCCTCCGACTCCACATAGCCTTTCATAGCTTCCGTGCCGAGCATGAGTTTGAGGACGCGCCTCACGCCGTGGATGAGACAAACGCGATCGAGCGCCGTAGTGAAATAGTTGGGCTCGATGAGCGGGGTCGCGCTATCGACGTCTTGGGCCAACGATACGCGACCGCGGCTGCTGGGCAGGGTGAGCATGGTGGACGTGCACACGATGCTGCCGTCGAGAGGGAACGCGGGCGCTAACGGGTGGTAAACGACCAGTATCTCCACAAAAACGCGCCCTGGCTGGAGCAGGGCTTCGCGCTCGGCCCCGGTGACGCCATCTTCGTCGAGAGCTTTCTCCAAAACGTGGCGTGGGGGACCTTCGTTGTTATTCCAGTCCGCTGGCATGCCGGCTACGAAGGCCGGATCGGACAGGTTCGGATGGCCCACGGCGAGTCCGCGAGAGGGGTCTTTGAGCTTGAACCATTGGAACAAGGCAAAGTGGTCGAAATATTGCTGGCCTACGCCGGGGAGGGGCTGGACTAGGGGGACCCCGTGTGTAGATAGGGTCGACGGGTCCCCGACGCCCGAGCGGAGTAGGAGGCGTGGCGTTTGCAGCGAGCCTGCAGATAAAACGATCTCCTTTTTCGCCGTGATTGTCTCGCCGTTTGCCAGCTTGACTCCCGTTGCTCTTGGCAGTGCGCCTCCTTTCTCGAAGAGAATCTGCAAGGCTGGGCAGGACGTCTTCACGGTGACACCACCTAACGGGTATGCGAGTTGAGCAGGTCGCCTTTTCCCATCTACCCAGCTCTCGTAATATTCGCTCAGCCCAGCCAAGCCGCCCACGAAAGGGTCTGGATTTTTCTCTACGCCGAGCTCCTTCCATCCCTGCTCGATGGGATTGCGAAGAGGATATTTCCTAGCTCCGTGACTCGCACTGACCGGGGTAACTTTCAAGGGGCCTTCGAAACCATGTCCCTCTTTGTCGGCGTTGGCATCGAAAAATCTCTCAGAGCGTTTGAAGTAAGGTAAGAGCCCGGCGTAACTCCAACGATCGTCTCCACCTAGCCGCCTCGCCCACGTATCGTAGTCCTCGGGATCGCCGCGGGACCATCCGCCGTAGTTGAGCATGCTTCCGCCGCCTAGCGTCTTTCCGGCCGTGAGAGTGTGCGTGCGGCCGGCAGTTGACGGGGTGGCGGCGGTAGGGAATTGCCAGTCCAGCGCGCTGCCCTGTAGAGCGAACCCTCCCAGAGGCGTTACGACATCGTGCTCCGGGGCGGGGTCCGGGCCAGCCTCGACAACTAGAATAGAGCTATCAGGTTTCGAGCTTCTAAGGCGAGAAGCTAGAGCGCAGCCGCTAAGACCCCCACCAACTATCACGTAGTCAAACGTTGTGGATTCCGACATGGCTTTGTTTAGTAGCTTATCATATATTGTCTGGTAACTAGGGAAATTGCGGAATGTGAAGGGTTGGCAGAATACGGGATTTTAGGACACAAGTTGGGGCAAGGCTGTTGATAGGACTACCGCGTGGTCGTACGGTTGGTTAGCTTACATATACATGTTGTGGTCACCAACACTGCGACCTTGATGCACATGGAGGGTTGCGCTACCTATTGTCCAACCTCCTCACATGTCTGTGTAAAGAAGCCAACGAAACCAACGAAATAGCTAAGACTGTTAGTTGCACATGTGCACCTTAATTCAGGTTACATGCTACCTAAGTACCTACGACGTTATGCAAGGGATAAAACGTTAAATGCACTTCAACTTGAAATATCTACTTACCTAGATACATATCTCGACCAAATGATGAGTCCCCTAGCTAAAGCGGGATAGGTAAAGATGTATAGGGAATACAAATATCAATGTATCGGATTCACCATCAAGAAGGAATATCGAATATGACCTTCGGTAGATCATTGTAAGTATTTGCAAAAACAAAAATCACATGATTCGTTGTCATCAATAAATCATGATCATAGTTTCGAACACGAACATTCTCTAACCGACATAAACAGAGGTTTGTTCTTCCGAATCCTACGTACCAAACTACCTGAATAGGAACACATAATCATCCACTAATTAGAAATTACTTACGCCTCAGTTAGGTAGGTAGATATTATGTAGATGATTCGCTAACTCACTAACCAGGTTGGAACTCGATCTCTCGCGCCTTGGAACCCCCTCTAGTTACCGGAGTCCGACATCCTTGAGTCGATCTGCTCCAGAAACTTGTCAACCCTTCTAAAATGTCGTGATAGCGAGCTAATAACAGGCTGGTAGGTAGTGGTCAAGGTTGACAGCACTTCCGATGATGCGCGCGAGGTTGTCGCCTACCTGGGCCTCGGAAAACATGTCTCATTTGGACATCTCTTCGCAACGTGGGCTTAAACATCGCAATCGAACTCCTCATCAGGATAAACCCCGGTCAACTGGCCGAACTCATCGATGTCGATAGTCTGGCCCCGCTGCGACTCGCCCAGGCCATTCTACCGCTCCTAGCCAATGCGCCGGCGCGCCTACGCTTCGTGCTTCTAGGGAGTATGCAGGGTTCTACAGGGGGTATGAGAAAGTACCCGCTTCCTCTGGCAATCTACGGCGCAAGCAAGGCAGCGGCGCATTTCTTGGTGCGCAAGTTGCATTTCGAGCATGCCGAGGAAGGAATATGCATATTTGCATCGGTCTAGGGTGAGGAAGAGAAGGGTGAGCACGAAAATCGAGCACGAGGGGTACCATTCCAGACCTCTAACGACGCCAGCTTTATGCGAACGGATACAGGAAATGCAAAGGAAATGCAAGAGTGCAGGAGCCAAGATTTCGGTATGGATGAAGCGGTCGTATCGGTGGACGACGCGATAGATTCTGCGAAGGATCAGATAGGTTACATGACATGACGCCGTCTAATGCACTTCATCAGATCAGAAACTCCTGCTGACACGTAGGGACGCCCGCCACATGCAGATTGTCTCGGCAACCTCAGAAGTTTCCTTCGATCGACGGCGGGGAGACCGAGTAAGCTTGTCTCAATGCTTGTCTCTCTCCAGATTCTCGGCAGGTTACCCTTTTGACCAGCTTAATTTCCGATCTTTTACCCTTTTCCTGATTTCGTGTGGGCCGTGGTAGTTTTCGACATTCCGCTAGCGAGATACAGCGTCGTAACATAGTCCAAATAAGCTTAACTAAGCCTATAGCTTTACACGTGTATAGCTTCACCAACTAATACACCAACTAATACATCAACTAATACTGCCTGCACTGCCAACGCTACTTCATACCTAGCACAACAACCTCTTGGTCACATATCAAACGGTACTGATTTACGCAAGTAAGATCCCTTGGTTCCCGTCCCATTCTCACCGAATCCCGTTCCACTTAAGATCCATTCCTCCGCCTATCACCAAAGGGGATAAGTCCTAGGTAGGTTAGCCAAAGTCCTGGGCAAAGGATGGCAATTCCAATTAGATAGGATTTAGAATTCCATAATAATCCTATGCAATGGCTGTCAGAAACGTACATGGCGTAACTCGCGACCTCCTGGATTCGGTCATACTTAGGTAAACATTCATATAATCATATAATCAAACTCGAACATGAGGCCCACGACGTATCATAATCTTATCGCCCTCCAGCGGGGTTCGCGATTGCGTCTACGCCAGCATCACCATCCTAGCCTAAACATTTCCGGGTGCACCTCAACCGGGTTTCAGAGATGCGCCATCCGCGCCCAGGCGCCTGGGAAGACGCAGGCGAGAGTAAGATACTTCAGTAGCACCGCCACGCTCAGGGAGCAGCAGGCAGAGGACTCTGAAAACTTCTGGCGTGTTTCGGCGGACGACTCCCAGTTTTGGGACGACTACGTTTCGACCCGCCCGAGCTACAACACCGCCTTCTACAACGAGATCTACGCCCACCACAAAGCGCACTCGTCCAAGTGGGAGGTCGCGCACGACGTGGGCTGCGGAGCCGGCCAGGTCTCTGCGGAGCTGGCCTCGCGCTTCTCCCACGTCGTCGCCTCAGATATCAATGATACCCACCTAGCCGTTGCTAAGCGCCGATTGGCGCCCAGCTTCGGTCCCGAGCATATCTCGTTCACGCACGCTATGGGCGAAGATCTGATCAAACATCACCCACCCGGCTCTGCCGATCTCGTCGCTGCGGCCGAGGCCATGGTGCTCATGGATGAGACGGTAGCGTTGGAGAATTTCAAGCGCTTGCTCCGGCCTGGCGGCACACTGGCATTTTGGTTCTACGGCCGTCCTACGTTCTCTGATCTGAAGCTGCGTGCCCAGGCCCAGCCGCTAATCGACGCTATCATGGTGCGGAACTGGTCCAAGGTGATCCGTGGCAGCGGCGAGCGGCGTATAGCAGGCTTCAAGAGAGCGGCAGAGGGTATGGAGTCGTGGCTCGACTACGTCCCTCTGGACCCGGAATCGTGGACGGACGTGAGGCGCATCAAGTGGAATACCAGCGCGACTCTACCCTTCTTCGGCGAAGAGGCGTGCGGGTTCCCGATTCACCCCACTAGCAGCGTCAAGGCTTGGGAACACACGGAGGAGCGCGAAGATCCGGAATGGTGGAGAAACGACTGGGACATTGCCGAGCTGAAGCGGTATTTCCGCGTGCTCTTCCCGGGATTCAAGGAAGCCGTAGGGCAAGGCGACGAGGAGATAAACCGCATGTTCCAGGAACTCGAGACTTATTTCGGAGGCGAGGGGAAGGTAAAACAGTTTACTTGGCCCGCCGTGCTGGTGACGGCTACTCGGAAATGATTGGAGCAGACTGCAGCGTTTCATCATAGATCTGGGAGAGTACCTAGCTAGCTGGCTGGGTATTCTAAGACATGCCCACCTTAGTACCCGTGCAGTCCGTGCAGCCCGTGTTGCGGGATTTCTTAGCGTTACCGTTCAGCCGTTCCATAGCAATCTGGAGGCTAGCAAGGAGTAAGGAGATCGATGTTCAACTTCACGATTAATATGAATGAGATAATGACAACCAAATGAGTCAATACAAATGAACCATTTAACAATTTCCTACCTAGGTACTCCCACTTCAGATTTATCGAGTTGCAAACATTTACGATGTTGGTAAGATTCTGGTTCTGTTCAAATTTTTCATTGCTGTGCCGCTGGTTGGGGTTGTCTCCCGAGACCGTGAAAAGGGGTACCAGTTGGGAGAAAAATAAAAATAAAAAATAAAAAATCGCCAACAGATCGTTTGATTTACATATTATACACTTATGTATATTAATCTTAGGTAATCTCGTAATAAACATACGTGACCGACTTTCCCACGGCGTATATCATTAGTATTCGTCTTAACATAGTACAATGTCCGCCCAAATGCCCAACGCCGAATTTATACATGTTCCACCGGCCGACTGCCTAGGTGGACGCTGCGCTCGACGGTAATCCCGCGACCCGGCCCAATGTGCTCCTCCGAGTGGTTGCCCTCGGCGCTGATATCTACGTCTACTCCTCGCATGTTGTCGGTAAGCCCGATGTCGTCTTTGTAGTCGGTCACCGACCCTAAGGGATAACCCCGGCCGGTACGGCTGATGCCGCTGCTGTCTTGGTTTCGCGAGAAGTAGGAGCCCTGATGCTTCTGCCTGACGGGACGGCCGCGCATCAGAAGCCATATCGGTCGGTACGTCGGAAGACAGGCGCTGAGCACGGCTGTGGATAGCTCGATAACTGCCCAAAAGAAGACGGGCGAGGTGTAGTCTACAAAAGTCAGTTCCAGAACAACAGTGCAAAGGGTGAGCGGGCGATCTTACAAGTCTCGTCATTGAAGTGGAGAGCCAGACGATCACCGACGTGGACATATATGAGAGCACGCGTGAGGCTGAACGCGCATACTCTGTGTTACGGTTAGTAAGTCGGGCTCTCGCAATTAAGGGGTTGACGAAGAACATACGTTGCGCCCAGAAGGAACATAACCAGCACACCCAGCTTCTGCTTCCACGGCAATTGCAATTGCAAGACCATCGGAATGGGCATGACGAGGATGATCACGTCAATGAGGATATCCGAGATGGCCATGCCGTACCACAGCGCAAGCCCGTCGACGCACTTGTTGTGGTAAAATGCCTCGATAAATGGACTGATCGGAAAACAGGTGAAGAGGTTTGCGAAGAAAAATGAGATCGTCCAGCTCACGACGATGCCGAGCACGATCTGGGAGGCGAGCTTGAACGGCCTTCCGTAGAAGATGTCCATGTAAAAGACCAAGATGGACGACTTCACGAATCCGAGACCGACGGTTGAAAGTATGTTGACCGCGAGTTTGCACTATAGAAAATTGGCACCTATTCCCTTTTCTCTAAACCAAAATTGAAGCCTACCTTCTCATAGATGACGAATCGAGGATCGTCCAGGAGCGGTGCCCCGTCCACTCCAACAGTCTGGTGTTGGCCGAGTTGGCCGTTGATGGCGGCAATCAGCTGTACCACGGCACAACCAACAGAAACCGCCTGCATATGTCAGCTGCTTATTTCGACGTCCAAAATCGATATAACTTACAGTTGCAGCTATTACGAGATAATCATCCATCTTGATACCCTTTCCGAGGGCCTTAGCCCACAATCGTAAGCCGACAGCAACGATGGGTAATATCATGAAGGCTATCCCGAGGCCGATCATCTGGCCCTGGGAGTAGTTGTCCGCAATATCTTGAATGACGCCCATCTTGAATGTCTATGCGCGCCGGCGCAAGTTGACAAGAGGGGATGTCGGCGGTGGTAAGAACGATGACGATGACGAAATCTGAGTTATCTAGTAGTGAAAACCACTCTAGAAACTCGAAGATGCTGACTTTCACCAGCCAGAGAAGTATCTACAGCGCTACCATCACTCATACCTACTAAACTCCGAGAGCGTCAGCGTGGGGTCTATGCATTATAAATATCCTCTTACGCATGTGGCCGCATCTTACAACGCCTACTCTTACCAATGGGGCAGGTGATGGCCAAGGTCGGATACTACTGTGCCACCAATACAAATCCCACAATAACACCTTGCCCGTTACTAGCGACCTATTCCAACAATAACCCGAATGGTAACTAAATAATCTTGTTTTTCGTCTTTCCTCCTTCTGGCCTTTTTTGTCTCAACTCCGTCTTCGAAGCGTTACCTAGTTTCTTTCCTACCCTCTATTCATTTCATTAGTGACTACTACTACTACTACTACACCACCACCCTTGGAGGGACTTCGGTATTCTATAGGTGGGGTTTGGGATTGCCTCAACCCATATTTCCCACCACGTAACCCCTCATTAGAGGTCTAGTCGCGACGTACTGCGCAGTAAGACGGTTTTAGCATCCGTCAGAGAGCCGAGTGAAGGCGATCAGGTTCAAGCGATTTAGGTGGTGGGCACGACAGCGGAGGCACAGCAGTCATCTACGCAGTCATCTACAGCAGTCATGTTTCACGGGTTCTAGAATGTGAATACGGTTCGTTGTTTGGCCGGCTGGTACGCTGGTAGGGTAAGATACAGGATACAAGATACAAGACACAGGACACAGGAGGAGATCTTACCGAGTCGAGGGTTTGGAAAAGCAGGAAAGGTGCATACATCATGCCCAGCGAATATCTTTAGCGAATGCCGGCGCTAATGGGAGCAAATAGGCCCCGCGTTGGGTTTCTTCGAGAATCCTTCGGCCGTGCTGACACGCATGGCGATGCGGTACGACCACCTGGTTTTTCGACCAACCAGGGGGTGCTTATCGTCCCGTCTACCTCAGATTGGCCAATAGAATCCTGAGCAGAGCCTAGTTTCATACCCACTTTCTTCCTTTGCATATGCTATAAGCGACATCGCCCAATTAGATGACCAAATTTAACGGAGAGACCCAGCATCTAAAGCCTCGTGGCAGTCGTGGCGCTGCTGAAGAAAATCCAAAACTCCAAGTACCATCGTCTCTGATGTAAAACTGCTCTGCTACCCTACCCAGTCTACCTACTTTACTTTGCTGGGTAGTAATTGTACCTATGCAATCCTGGAACATGCCGTCGCAACATCGAAGTCTTCACATACATGCCAAGCACCTATGTAGGTGGTAGTAATCTAGGTAGCCAAGTTCCAAGCCAAGGCAGCCTCAACCTAGGTTAATACTAACTAATACAAAGGACGTCTAACCAGTAACTGCCTATACGATATCTAGCCCTGGCAGAACTTTTCCAAAGGGCCGAAGCCAAGTACTTGTGCCGTCTACAGTTATAAACAGAATACACTTTTGGGTAAGCTTATCCCGATCCTTCCCTTACTAACCGTTTCCGTTAATAGGTGTTTGTGAGATCATAACCTTTCCTAGATCAGTTAATCGATAGTTCGTGAGCTTATGCGTGGAGACGTTCCATTGCATAATTGGGTCAGGCCGGTCAAGCTGATAGGGTGTAAGTCTCCCGGAAAGCGGTATCGGTTAATCGGCGGATGTGGAATCTATCATGACTGCTGCGTATACCTAGGTCCGTGAGTGAAGAGAATCGTCGAATTTGTCAACGGTATGATAGAGTATATCAATGATTTGAAGATCTTGAAGTAGTGATAACGACCCATACGCTAATCCATTCCATCCTCGCCATACACACATATTGCTAGAACCAAAAGGCATAGGTATTCACTATTAGTTTTAGATCAGTTATTTAACCTAAATCGATGGCCATCTCCTTTTGTCCAAGGTTCCAAGCCTACACGATACTAGTACAACATAATCATCTATCTCAAGAGGACTAGATAAAGTATACTATGATAAATTGAAGGATTGAAGCAAGTGGGTTAATCCACCAGGTTATTGGTTATGGATGGACTTTTAATCAAGTGGCAGGATCCTCCATCGCGTAAATAGATATGGTGGATGAGATGAAGGAGCACGATGGTTTAGAATGGCCCATCAAGGTCTCATTTTTACGATTGCGAGTTAAGAACTCTTTGCTACCCAGTCTGCATGTCATAGGGTAGCCTTCATCAAGACGAGTAACTCCTATATCTTAACAGTTTGGCAAGGGGCAATCAACCCAAAAATGACAACTCATAATTGCCCACCTTACAGTTCTAGCCCTTCTCCTCTTAGCTGAGAGTTTCCCCCAGGAGTGAAGTTGAAAGGAGAGTACGATTGTATCTTGGAACTAATACCTGGCTCTGCCTCCGTTCGGGGAGGTACTCCAGGTGTCCCATGCAGAGGAACGCGCCGACGACCTCGGCCTGATGCATATAGGTAGGTACTTTGGGTAAAGGACGTCCTTCGATGTAAACGATCCATCATCATTATCATCTTGGAACTAGTGCACTTCAGGTAGAATACTCACTGAACAACAACCATATCCACGAAGCTATAAATGACGACGTCAGCGTTGGTAGTTCTTGATTAGCCATTGTTACATTTATAGCATTAATTCTCCGGACAAGGAGATAAGGGAAGTCCATTGGGTCCTGGATTTTGTGACATCGTGCTGAATGTCTCCTATAATAGGTAGCTGTTCCAAGGTTTGGTTATGTTGACACTTGACTTACGCGATTGGTACTCTAATCATGTATAGTTAGTTCAAGCATATTAATCTATCAGATATAGCTAGAGGACGAGTTAAGCTCATAAGCTTACCTATAAACTAGAAACAGAAGCATGCTTGACAGTCACGAACATTCTATTTTCACCATGCTCAAAATACTTTGCCTCACTCGACTCCTTCGATTTGGCTGAGGTCAGATCTTGCTCGGACACAATACTGTCTTTGGTAAACTCCGTGAACTTTGGTCTAATGTCTGCCAGTCAATGAGCAATGCTTAGATACGACCGGTAGTTGTGTTAGACTTGCTTAGTGTTCTTTTGCCAAGCTAGCCAGGTTCACGAACATCTTGACTCTCATCGTCTTGAAGACCAAAACGACACAAACTGGAATATCTAGCCGTCAAGGTTACATCCACATAGCCAACAATGTAACAAACATAAATCGACGAGCTAAGCGACGATGGTATCAGCAAAAGGGGTTTCCCAAGATGTCTAAGATACGACAGAAGCTAGAACTAGGCCAGGACATATACGAACCCCTACCATTATCTCGATCACGTTCTTAGGGGTAGGCCCGGTAGATGGCGCAGCCCCCATAGTACCAAGCATGCCTAGCCCTAGAGTACTAGTCGTAGTACGTGAACTCGGAGAGATCCAGGAGACTTGAACATATCTGGCGGCCATACCCCTACGGATTACCCCTCGTCTCCATTATACAGAGTTGTTAGTCTTAAGGCTCTCGATATGATCAAGGGGTGTATCTGAAGTTTCCGTGTCTGGCCCGTTCCCGTGTCGCGTAGCCAAACTAGACGGCGCCGCGCGGGAGCATTGGCCAAAGGTAGATTTAGAGTTCGGCCTGTGCCTTGTTCCTTGCATGAAGACCACTGACAGCGGGTTCGACGTAGCCGATATCTCGGAGCTGTCATGATTTGGGAAATCTTTGGAGCCGATATCGAAATATGCAAGGAACCAATTCTTCGGTCTAGGCTATCATGGGAATAGAACCGGCGGGATAGATCTTATATGTGTAGGGTTTTCCGTTATGCATGGGTCCGAGACCTGCTTTTTGAGCCGTTCTCTCCTACCACCCCCGCAAGCCACATGCTTCGAGTCCTTGATTTGGACCGTTGAGGTTGGGGGCTAGCCCCTTGTCTCACGATCTGTTCTAGATTCCAGGGGTCCATGACCTACTTTAGCTATCACGATTAGACGCGTGCGGCGTAGGAAGTAAGCGATTCGTCTATTCCCCCTTATACAAATCGCGTATATGCAGTTCGGCGCAGTTGACGATGCTACGGGACGTTACTAGGCTGTCGACAAGCGACAACTTCGCAGGAGTTGGGATTTAGATCGGAATAATAATCCGGAGGAAATCAAGATTTAGAGACAGACCCTTGCTCGCCGACTACCTATACCTACCTACTTGTCAGACTTGTATAGGGGCGCATAGCACCGAGTAAACATATGTATCGTCTTAAGCGATAAGCTTACCTATGTCGTCGGATCATGCACTTCTCCGTCGATGTGGGTATCGTACCCGAGACTTTAATAATCAAGCGACCTGATTGGGCGATTAGACTAGATTCCATCTACCAGTCTACTGGACATGCCCACGGTACTATGCGAATGCTTGCGCAGAAAGTGAGCTTATGTTTGTGAGTTTAGGGGCGACTCGGGCTGTCAGGAGCATCTCTTCCTGCTATTGCATGGTACATACATCGTATGCACACAACAAACATGGTGCTAGGCAAGGATGTATCTTTCTGCATGTCATCCCGTCTTCTCTGCTAAAAATGTGACCTAGGGTCATAAGAGGCGTTCTATTGATCATTTTTGGCATCGAAGGATCATATAGTAAATGTACAGCACATAACCGCAACCACACAACTGCTACACGATCCGAGAAGAGTAATGTGGCTTCGAAGGTTATCGAATTGGACAGACAGACAGGCACAGGTTGGATTGGATTTGCGAAATTGCGCCTAGAAAAAAGATCATCGCCTCTCTGGGCAATCTGGGTCAACATTGATGAGATATTTGTCTGCAATCAATAGCTAGAGCGACATAAATATGTTGGTTCTATGTATCCCTGAGAGCGGACCGCATTGTACGGCGTAAATGGAAGCCGAAGCAAAACAGACCAGAATGCAGGGTACATGACCAGAATGGTGTCCGAGGGACGGGAAGCAAATCATAAAATGACTTCGGTCGGGGCCTTTACTTGGTCCCTGACATCCCTAGGCCACCTATTATGTACCTAGTAACAGCCTAACAGTTGCTTAAGAGTTGCTTAAGAGCAGTTCGAGCTAGAATCCCTGTCCTTTCCCCGTCCCCGGTTCGCCGGTTCCTGCTGATCCTGATGAAATCCCAGCTCCACTGTTGGATCGATCTCCTGATGAGCGTTAAAGTTGTAATAGCCCAGGTAGGATCCCAAGACGGGTGTTCTAGTCGAGTAGAAGCTTGTGACGGACGTATCGTCTTCAATGACATCTATTTCAAATCCCATCAAGACTGATAGCTTAATCATACCTTGTTTTACTAATGCTGTCTGTGATGATATGGATCTGTACTAGTGAAAAGAAGTACACACCTACTGAAAAGATGGGGGCTAAAAAGGCTATGTAGGTACTAACCTAGGTACGTTCTAGTGTTGGTTCGTTGACCATCACCCTCGGCCTAGATCTTCCCCTAACCGCACATGTGCATAGCATCATACGCCTTACCTATCTCATCTGGTGCTCGGTCAAGCTATCAATTTGTGAGCTACGTAAGCATCAACTTAGATAATACATTGAGCCAAGGATCTTCTGTTAGCTAAGAATTCACTCTTGTGTCAGATTGATAGGCATGAATAGATACCTACAATTATCTACGACAAACATTGGACGTGGAGGCAACGTGTTCTACTGCGTTGGTGTTGAAGGTTAAGTAGGTACTGTGTTAGTGTTGAACATTATGAAAACATCGATATGAGCAGGCATTATCACATTATTCCCAATTATTTCATTCAGGCAGATTTCCCCTGAATGTTTTTTTCTTCTCCCCCACATTCGACGCCCTTCTCCACTCTGCATAGCTGGAAGCCGTCCGATTGTTCTACTGACCTAGGTACTGACCTAGTTAGATAGAACCTTATGGTACCATTAGACCTGTTAGCTGGGTAGACCTGCCCAAAAGCGAATAAGAACGGACGAAGAGCCCCTCCCCCTTTACCAGTACCTAATTCATCCCTAAATCATCCCTAGACCATACGACCTTGGTGAGCTCAGGGACCATGGGTACGTGCCCCTCCCCATTGGTTTCTGCGCTGATCTGATCGATCTTATTGCTTGATCGGGATGGGTGCTCGGTCTTGGACTTACACCAGAACGGGTCAGCTAGCCAACCAGAATACGACCTGCCTAAGACAAAAAAATAAAATAGGTCAGAAAAGGGAAAAAAAAGGGTGTTCGTGACACACGTGGTAGTGAGCGAGAGTGGAAAAAAACAAAACAAGAAACATACAGGAAAAAAGCAATTGGACCTACATACATACATACATACAATACCTACATATACATACATACCTCATACATACGTATACAAATCTATACAAGGCCTTACGTATCAAGCATGGGTCTCTTCTCACGAAGGTCCAAAACGCCGAAGCCGGTCAAGGCCACGGCGGGCGCGGATGGGGGAGGAGGATTGGGGACGGGGAACGACTCGGCCAGCCTCAACTCGGAAGGGTCCAACATGAGGAGCTCGTCGACGGGCAACTCGCGACTGCAGATTCACAATACCAACCGCACGTCGGCCAGCAGCGTACAGACGCCCCTAACTCCCATGACGCCGCATCACCCCCTGCCCCGAATCAACCTGCCGAAACCGCCAGACCCGTCGCTCGACGCGGTGGGCTACCTCAAGAGCCTCGGCTCCGTACGCGAGCGCTCCAAGATCGTGACCGACAAGGCTCTGCGCAACTCCCTAAGCCATTTCGACGTGGACATGGCCAAGTTTCCCGATGTGGTCACGTTCGTATGCGGTATCATCAAGGTCTGGGAAATGCCGAAATCCGCCCCCCATTTTTTTCTTTACTAGACACTACCTACCTAGTATACTATACTAGTGTGATGTATTATAGTAGGGTGTGATGTATAGGGTGTGCTGACTAGGAGCTATACTATAGCGAGACTTCGACCCGCCGTTTTCCTCCATCCCGCCCCACGGCCGGTATCAGCACTTCTGCGTCGGCGGCCGGGATCGGGTCGCCAACCTGCTCGCCACCTTCCCCCAGAACGTCGACAGCACCGAGAAATGTCGCAGCCTGATCGATCTGTTCCTCGTCAGCGTCCTGCTCGACGCCGGCGCCGGCACTACCTGGAGCTTCAAGAGCGCCGAGAACGGTCGCGTATATAGGAGATCGGAGGGTTTAGCTATCGCGAGCTTGGAGATGTTCAAGGCTGTATGTCACCCACGATATATATATAATATTTATGCGCACGAATGAAATGCATTGATGCATTTCTTCACTCGCTAAGAAGTCGGCGCTAACTGCATCGCAATAGGGATTGTTCTCCGGGAACCCGAACAACAAATTCCAGGTGGACAAAGATGGTCTCCGAAAGCTCACCGTCGAGCAATTGGCCAAGGGTATGCAATCGCGGCCCGGGAGCGAGGTCGCCGGCATAGAAGGTAGAGCGCAACTCCTGATCCGGCTAGGCAGCGCGCTGGAGGAGAAGACCGAATATTTCGGCGATGATGGACGGCCTGGTAATTTGATCGGTACGTGGTGTATCTCATAGGACTGGCTAACCCCCTGATATTCGGCGAGTAGAATTTCTGACCGGATTGGTATGCGCAGACTATCTCCTCGCCCACCCGACGACGCAAGCCACTTCAAATCCCATCGTAGTTCTTCCTGTGCTCTGGAATGCGCTCATGTCCGGACTCGCCCCAATATGGCCTTCGTCGCGAACGGCAATCGATGGCGTCTCGCTCGGAGACGCATGGCCCTGCTCCTCGATGCCGCAGCAGACGCCGTCGCCCACATCTCCCAATCTATCCCCCTTCCCCAACGCGCAGGGTGCCGCGGCTTGGGAATCCATACTACCTTTCCACAAGCTCACGCAATGGCTCACGTACTCGTTGATGCAGCCCATGCAGACCCTCCTACGGATCCAGTTCGCCGGCACCGAGCTGCTAACCGGCCTACCGGAGTACAGAAATGGCGGTTTATTCATCGACCTCGGCGTCCTGACGCTCAAGAGCGACGACAACGAGCGCGGCCTGCAACACTACAACGACTACTGCCGACGGACGGGCACTAAGGGCGTGGAGGTAGCGCCTATGTTCGAGCCGGGCGACGACGTGATCGTGGAGTGGAGAGGTGTTACCGTGGGTTTCCTCGACAAACTCCTAGTCGAGGTCAATAAGGCTCTTAAGAGAGAGCTCAATGGCGGCGAGCTCACGCTGGCGCAATTACTTGAGGCGGGAAGCTGGAAGGTATGTTTCTGGTGTAGCGATGCTGCCACTATGTCCGACTATCCGCAATTGTTTGACTCACATACTAATACTGATATCTACAGGGCGGCCGCGAGATCGCGGAAGTCAGCCGACCAAATACAAAGGAACCGCCTATCCTGATCGACTCGGACGGGACTGTATTCTAACACGGAGGCCATCGTCATCCCCCTATCGTGTTTCTTCTCATCTGTCATTTTTAACCTCCCTTCCCTTTCCCTTCATAACTAGTGTATTATGAGATATTAAACAAAAAAAGGTCGCCGGACCTGGTTAGACATGTTTTGGGACTTCATACCCCCTTTCTTCCCTTACTATGCACGCGCTCTTAGCTTCGAAGCGCGGGTCATTCTCAAAAGCCGGTTTTCGAAAAAATACAATACCACTACCACCACCTACTTGGCTAGGGCTCTCCTAATTACTAGAGATTAAAAAGAAGAAATAAGGTCGAGGAAAAAATCAAGGAAAATTCAAGCAGGTTATAGGTGCCGTCTCATGGATGGGACGTGGCGACAACACCCTCGTCGGCGCAAGTTGCTCGTGATTCTCGACGAGGTTTGCGGTTTTGCGCTGGGGAATGATCAGAGGATCGATCGGCACTTTCGTCTAGGATAGTATCGCCGGAGAACCTAATTAATCATCCCTACGAGATATCTTGTCCTTCGCGACGTGAAACTTCCTTTGTGAATAATGTTAAAGTGGTTGAATGCTACGATAGCACGCAGTCGGTAGTCTCAGTTGGCTACGTAGTAGCTTCTAGTAGCTTGCTGCCGTGGTAGAGGATTAGCTGAGACTTCATCTGATTTGAGATCACTTTGTTACTATTACACACGATATATCCATACATGTATACATAGTACAATGCAATTCCGATTGAGTGCATCATACCTCACCCAAGCCAGATGCCTTTCTCAGGCAGCGAATACCTTTCGTATCCGTCCACGTCATGCTACGATCCCGGCCTCCGCATCGCACACCAAACTAACCAACGGACTTCAAGACCGTTTCTGAGTGTGCCGCCGGCGCATCTCCTCCATTCGCTGTGCCTTCTGCTTTTCTTCCGCGCTCCTACGCTGCTCATACTCGTAGGCTCTCTTATAATATTCCTTCTTCTTGTTCTCGGTAGAATCCATGAGGGATTGCATGATCCCTCCGCCCGGGGAACTGGTCGATGCGACACCCGCCAAGCTAGCTGCTTGAGACTTGGTCGGAAGAGGAGGCATGCCGACCCAGCGACGAATCCCCGGGTTGAGGGTCGCCGACGACTGGATGACGGAGGTGACGCTAAACATCAGGAAAAACCACTGCAGGCCGGCTGGTAGCCAGGCCGTGGCGAGAAACATGACGGGAGGAAGGACGTAGATCATCCCTTGTTGCACGCTTGCCATTACGCCGGTGGGGGGGGCCAGGTTAGCGGCTTGCGTTTGCTAATACGTAGCCTGTTAGCATGACGTCCTAGAGGGATCGGGAAGTCGCTTACCTTAAACAGGAGCGCCGTGATGGCGACGGATGTGAAGGGAAGTATAAAATAGGGGTCGTGCACGGTCAGGTCCGTAAACCACAGCACGCCTCCCGTCTCCAGGCTGGGTACGGGGATGGCGGCCATGTTCCGGAGTAGTCGAAACATGCCCCAGCTGAAAGGAAAAGACAAAAACGAAGCCAGCGACTTTATCGTACTAGCACCTGACGATTTTTTGAGGGCCATCATCTTCATCGTTGCCTGCCTCTGACCCATCGGGTCGCGTCCTGCATAAGAAGCTTCGTCAAATTGCTTCTTGGCCTCTAGATATTCCGGACTTCGAGCGAGCTCCGCCAGTTTCGCTTGGTGCACGCTACTTCGTAGGGTTGGTACGAATAAAAGAGCGCGCCATGCGAAGGCCATGATAGTCAAGGTAGCCCACCAGGGCATGTCTGCGTAGATGTGTATGTGTTCGATGAGCCATTCGCAACAGGCGGTAGGGCCCCATCCGAAGTCCAAGCCGAGGCTCTTGAGGTATCCTATCTGCTCAGGGATATCAAGTATAGACGTAACTTCCAAATCGCTGAGGAAGCTCGGTTCGGGCTGTGTCGAGCCCAGATCGACATGCTGCGTCGGACTTGATGGCGCAATATCTTGAGGTGCTGGAGAACTTTGCGCCCAGGCTTCCGGGGGCGCAACGGGTTCCGACGGTTCCGATAGTCCTGACGATTCCGGAGCAGTGGAGGGAGAAGCAGGCTGCGTCTCAGCAGGAGATTTCTGTTTCGAAGAGAAGGGCCATAACGACAAGTTTCGCGAAGTTCCGGAACGCTGGGCAAAGACGCCAGACGCAGTAGCCGCAAGAACGGTGCGGGAACCAATTGCAGATATCGGCGCAGAAGACGCGACTCGGGATCGACCCAACAGTAGAGATCGAGACTGCGCCTGAGAGAAGTGGCGTAGGGGGACTTGCAGAGGTCGAACCGACTATAAGAGAAAGAAGCTCTGCATTAGCGATGAGATTTAGGAATCATGAACTGCCAATCGGGGGAATATGTTATACCTGTGTCCGAGCAGATCTAGTAGCCCGCAGAGCGGAAGCCGGGCTCGACCTCGAAAGTCCTCTGCTCGGCAACATGACGCTGATTGTGGACTCTATAAAGACAGAGTCGAGATGCGACAAGACTTCCGAAGCGGAATAATTTTTTAATCGGATTGACCACAGTACATTCGGTACTTCCCTACGTAGATCCTCCAATGTTCTGCTATCGATAAGTCAAATACCCACTGTGGGGTAAGAGCATAACCAATAGGAGCAAGACATTGGTATCTGGTAGGAGCGGCATCTGTCTTTCACTTTCTGCTTCATTAATAGGTACCTATCCAATGTCGACAGTAGGTACATAGATACCTGGTATAACACACTCCAAGAACTGTACCCGTACATATCAAATATTCAACTCGAATTATAATCCGACGAGCCTCATGGTAAGTGGATAGGCAGACACATCCTGAGAGCAGGACAATAAGATGTGGGCATGCATGTATGTATGCACGCACTTAAAGCAAAGAGACCCTTGAAATTTAAGATGGCCCCGAGGAATTCATGTACATTTTACTGTAATTATCTTAAGACTGGGTTTCCTTCGTCGAAAGAACCTTTATACACAAACAATACCCAACATCCAACGTCCAATGTCCATCTCTTGGCCTTTTTGATTTTTCCTTCCTCTCTCCCGCCCGTCTAGTTTGATAGGTATTCAGCGTGTCAGATACATGTAGTGTATAGTGTACCTAGGTACGTATGTCTATGAGATATGCCTGCCATTTCCAGCCCTACGGTAAATGTACAAGTATTGCAGCTATCCGGACAGCAGTTACTCCAAGCTCGCAAGATCTCGTAGGTCCGGTCGCGGTTTTGGTCGATCGCGAATCTCGATGCCCGGGCCGATGGGGTGCACTCGTTGTCGGGACAGAGGGAAGACCTGCGCAGTTGAACAACGTCAGCTCTGCTTTCCGAATATATATGCTGTAATATTATGTTAGTTCGATATTGCTTACTCTTGTACCTCCCCACCCCAACCTAAAGGCGGCTTCGTGCGCGAACAGCTCTCCAAATCCCAGCATCATGCCGTTGATAAATGGCAGCAGCAGGTTAATGGCCGCACCTCGGAGCATAGACCAGACGGTCGGAGGTTTGTATAGGACCATAGGCGGCGAGGACGACGAAGGTGGCGAGGTTGATATGTCTTCGCCGGCCGAATATTGCTCGCTATCCGAGTGCATCGTGACGCCGGACTCGGCGAGCGGATTTGTTTCTTCGGAAGACATGGCGAGAGTGTCTGGTTATGTTGAGGATATCTAGGAGTATGTGCGGGAAGTGATTATTTTCGGAGATTATCTATTTCACCTGTCAGGTCTCATATCGGGGGTTGTCGTGACTCGGAGCTGGAACAACAGCAGCCAACTGACACCTATGGTCTGGGTGCTTCAAAGTTGAAATGGTTGGAGAAGGCTCAACATTGAAGATGTCGGGTTTAAGATCGGTACCTACTGGTGTACCTAGGTAGCTAGGAAAGTTGGAAACGAAATAACATTGGAAAGAATAGGGCAATGTCTCTAAACCCATTCAGGTAATCAGCTAGCTCTGATTCTCCTAAATCAAGTTAGTGATGTCACTGTAGAAATCCCATCTCATCCCACTTGCACTTTGTAATTAACAAGGTCAAAATTAGGTAGGTACTAAAGTGCTGAGTGGCACTGGGCAACTGCTCGTCATGTTGCGTTTGGAGGGGCCGGAGGGGTCTACATAGGTACATATCTAGGTACCTACTGCCTAAGCTAATGAGATTTCAGTGGAAGGACCCCCCACCAACCTCCCCCGCGGTTGCTCTCGTACCGGTAATGGACTGCGATTAGGCCACTGTGGGGAGCTTGACGTCGTCGCTGAAGCTGCCTAAGAGCAGAGCCTTCCTTCCAATTAATTCTACCAACAAACGTCACATCATAACCTTAGCTTCGAGGTACAGTTTCTCATTCGTTCAACGCTAGAGTTACCTGACAACTTCTCTTCTTTATCTTCATATCTTTGAACTGTGAACCGTGAACCGTGCAAAAATAAAAGGTCGGCCGTTTATTTTCACGAACCCCATCATTTTACAACAACACTCTACTTCTATTTGTCCGTTCTTCATCCACGCCCGATTATCAACGCCGCCATTTATTGCAACATGGCGAGCAGCGTCGATCACGATGCTCTTACGAGCGAGCTGATGAATATGACTGGGGCCTCGACCGAACAGGTATGTGCAACCTCTAGGGCTATTTTTTGCTATGATTAAATTACTGCATCTTACCATATAGTCGACGGCCCATTCCAATCCTACTTCTATATCGGCTAACACTGCTTTAGGCTACCCAGTACCTCTCCGCAAGCAACTGGGACCTTGCTTCCGCTGCCCAAGCCTTCTTCGCCGACGAGGAAGAGCAGGACGCCGCGGGTGTTCCTCCCGTGACTACTGGTGCCACCAGCTCCTCGACTTATACGGGCCCGCGCACCCTCGATGGTCGACCTGCCCCGCAAGCCATTCCCACCATTTCCAGCTCATCCAAGAAGCCACCCAAGAAGACGGGACTCGCCACCTTGAGTTCTCTCGGAGGCGGCCACGGCCATGATCACGATGACGACGACGATGATGAGGACGATGAAGATATTCACAGAGACACATACGCTGGAGGCGAGAAGAGTGGACTTGCGGTTCAGGATCCGAGCCAGCGCAGCACCGATCCTCGACGAATCCTGAATGACCTTCTTGCCAAGGCCCAGAGGTACGGATATCCGTCCCCTTATTTCGCTATTGTACTGGTAAACTAACCTTGAATGGTACAGCAATGCGCAACGTCCTGAGGCCTCATCCCCCGCCGGTCCCTCCAGCACGCGAGCCTTCCGCGGTGCCGGTCAGACTCTGGGTGGTGAAGGCACACCCAGTCGTACCATTCCCGACCCCCTCGGACAAGCTGCTGCTGCCCCCGGAAGCCGTGCACGCCCTCAAGGCGGCGAGGTCCAAGAGCGAACGCTGCACCTGTGGCGCGATGGTTTTAGCATTGACGACGGAGAGTTGCGCCGATTCGATGACCCCGAGAACACCGATGCTTTGAGTATGATCCAGCAAGGCCGCGCGCCTATTCATCTGATGAACGTTCGATACGACGAGCCCCTCGATGTTAAGTTGCAGCAGCACGACGAGAATTACCGACCTCTTCCCAAGGTTTACAAGCCATTCGGTGGTGAGGGTCGCCGTCTTGGAAGCCCCGTGCCGGGCGAGTCTAGTGCCGCTACTACTACCACGACTCTATCCACCTCGTCAGCTCCTGCCCCGGCCGCTGCTGCCGCGCCGTCTTCGTCAACACGTCCTAGCACCTTGGTGGACGAGTCTCAACCTACACTCATGATTCGCATCCAGATGCCTGACGGCACGCGATTACCGGCTCGATTTAACACCTCGCAGACGATCAACGACGTGTACGACTTCATCTCCCGTTCCTCGCCCGGACTTAGCGCCGGTGGATGGGTGTTAGCTACGACTTTCCCCAACAAAGACCACACGGACAAATCCCTAAAGCTGGGTGACATGGCAGAGTTCAAGAAAGGTGGTACTGCTATGGTGAAGAGAGACAAATGAGTACGGGTATGACGTTTCTGATATGCTGGGCGTTTATCGCGATAGAACTGCAGTTCCTAGATAATTTGCCTAAGTAGCTATGGCATTAGATGCAGAAGTCATAGACACGAAGAATCGCCTATTGCGATTAATTTGAAGAAACGATCCCTTGCATTTTTATCTTGACTTTGGATTGTGCTGGTGATATGAATCAACTACCTAGTAAGTACCTGATCTTTATCAATGTGGAATAGTAAGCTCGTCAGTATGTCAAGCCGAACGAGTCGATTCAATACTTCGAGATGTGTCCCATGAAGTGGTTAGTATCAGTTGCGGGCGCACATTTCCAGGTTGATAATAGACCTAACAAGTCGCCAGCATGGAAGTCAACGCCGTCTTCTCGGCAGACGAAATGGTCAACTTCCAGTAGCTCTTGACGGCGACCCAGGAGCTGGCGTAGGTGCAGTAGAAGCTCGACAGCGGCGGCTTCCACGCGTCGGGGGACTTGTCGCCCTTGGACTGGTTGACGTTGTCCGTCACGGCCCAGAGCTGCGGCCGGGTCACGTCGTTGGCGAATTGCTCGCGCTTGGCTGTCGTCCATGCGTTTGCGCCGGACTGCGAGGTGTTAGCAGGGTGAAGTATGGGTATGTGTATATGTAATACGGCCAAAACTAGGCAGTATTGAGCCCATTGCTTAGGTAGATATCTACCCCTTAATGCAAGACTCTACACATAACCGAATAGACAACGAAAATTAGAAAAGGGAACGTACGATCCAGGCATTCTTCAACGGAACCATGTGGTCGATATCCACATCGGACGGCAGCGTCCACTTGCCGCCGTCGTAGGGGCTCGTCCAGGTGCCGCTCGTCGGGTAGCAGTCGGAGCCGACGACGACGCTGGTGCCGTCGCGCTTGAGCACGTACTCGCGCGTGTTGCAGGTCCCCTCGATGGTGTCCCACGTCGGGAACAGGTCCCGCTCGTAGGCGCCGTCGTCGACTTGCGCCGCGACGGTGAGGGCGGCGAGCTGGGTTTTGGCGGACGAGGCGGAGGGGATGCCGGGCTAGTTAGTTGGTTAGTTTTATGTTTATGTGAAGATATGTACGACGAGGTATGAGAGTATGTTGTCAGATTTGAAAGACTGGGAACTTGGGAAGCTTACAGGAGTCGGCATGGGCATAGGCATAGCAACCGGAGCCGGCATCGGCGCAGCGAGAACTGCGTTCGCGGACAGGAGACCGCCGAGAGTGTACGAGAACCTCATGATGAAGGTGTCGAAGGTGTCGATTCTAGTAGTTCTAGTAATCTACCTACGGAGGAGGAGGGTGTTACCAGGCGAATCAAGGAGGGCAGGTTGGTTACACTATATACCCAGGTAATGCCAGGCACGAGTCAGTCCATTTACCTAAGCTTGTGATCGGAATCTGGGCGCTGGTCGATCTCTCCCGGGTTCGACTACAATCCCATCCCATGGTTATACACATGTGCATGCATCTTACACCGCAGACGCCAACTTCCCGAACAAGCAGCGGACTTCGGATCAATTGGCGCAGGCACAGGAATCAAGGCAGGCTCCGCGGGGGATTCTGACGTCGATAGGAGCATTCCGATATGGAGGTAAGTAGCTCGATGTCTTACTGTCTTACCCCGGGGCGGGGAGGACGCTCATATCTCAGGACATGTGTTACATAGTGCGAAGCTGAATCTGACCTGCCGAATTGAACGAGTCGTCGGTAGTATCAGAGGCACGCTGAGATCTCGACGGGGCGGCGATCGTCCGTAGCTGGAATAGGCGAGAAAGTAGGTGCATGCGCCTGTGCAGCTTTAACTTGAAACTACGCGATCAAGTTCACGGTATTAGCAAGCATAGGTGATATAGCCTCGGCGTTATAGGTCCAGTGATGGAAAGCCAAGACGAGCCATCGTGAGTAAAGTCATCGTGCCATTCATATGCTCAGCAGGTATTCGTTGAAAACTAACTACATTCATGGGTATCGATTGACCCTTTCATCAAAGTCGTGCAGCATACAGCGCAAGAAACGCTTATCATTGGCTAGGAGCTCGTCCCAACCAACCTTCCTAATCCGGGAAGTAGACCGATCTTCAGGGACCAAGACGCCGCGCCGATGAACCGTCGCTCCCGGCGTTCACATTGATAAGGCCAATAAAGCTGCACCGCATACGAACGTGCCGATATCATCAATGTTCGACCATCATCATCCTCCCCGTGAAACATGTCGTCCGTAGCGCTTTTGAATAATAGGAATGATGTATGGAGAGAGCATGTCCCGAATTCGGCCAGGACTTCGCGATGTCCATGGAGTATGCGAGGTCCTAATCTCAAATACGAGGACCGACCATTCTCATCCCGTCAAAAACCAGGTACCATGAGCTCCTGCCACCGTATAATTCTATCCACCCGGAACTCTCTAGATAAAGAGGCCGTCTAGCTCCCTTCTACCTCTTCTCTAATCTTTCAGCGCAGTATCTGCAGAGCGATACTAGCGTGATGGATATCAACATCGTTTTATCGTGATTCGTCGAAGTGCCTCGGATTCGTTGCATTTAATACGCATGGTATTCGAAGTCGTCAATTCAATCATAACATCTTACTTCTTCACTCAGCTCGCTGAACTAGGAATTGAAATTTTGACCTGGCCCGGAGACAGTGACAGGTCCGTCTAGGAATTTGAAGCTCTCCCTAGCTATCTGACAATTCAACTTGGCGGAATTGAATCTCGCCTCGCCAGGTGGGAGAATGACCATGAGGTAAGTGTTGGTGGTGAACTTGCAAGCGAACATGGAGAATCTGGACCCCGCCTTATGCTCCTATGAATATTTGTTAGTGACGATACTCGAGCAACCTGCGAATCAGCACTATAGTGATAGAGGCATAGATAGTGACTCTTGGCAATTCCTACGAATGTCATGGCACACCTTTGGCATACCTTTGGCACATATCACTCAACGCAGTACAAGACAAGACTTACCATCAAAGTGAATTGCTCGGCATTACGAGGAGTGCCGGTAAAGCGACTTATACTCTGCTTGAAATGCTTGAGAATGTTCGAAATACGCTCTTGTCGATCCCCTGTCGGATTATTCTGACCCTCTTCGGATGTCCAGTTAGAGACGACAAGGAAACTAGTTCTCTCGAATAAAAGCAGCTCTTCAGCTTCAATTAATACCCCCAGAGACCCGAGTTGCGACTCGATGACGGACAGATTAGGTACTAGATCGTGAATGATGCTTGCCCATGCCTTATACAGCGACTGATCCCATATCGAGGTCGCAAAGGGTATGAGGTCCAATTCGCCGGTGTATCCGATGCCTTGGATGTATTCGGAGGTCTTCTGCCTAACCAGTCGTACGCGATCCACGAACACGGCTTCCCGGGCATGCGGGGTAATCAAATCCATCTTGTGAATCAGCACGTAGACCTTCGCGGTGGGCGAAAACTGGGTCAGGGCGGAGATGATAGAAACGTAGGTAGCCATGTCACGATCCACATCTCGAGACTCAATGTCAAAGACGTATATGAGAACACCGACATTGGAGAAGACGTGGACACGCTGCTGCGATAAGTAGTTTTCCATAAAAGCTTCTTGACCGCCGCAATCCCAGAGGTTTAATGTCAAGTTCCCTAGGAATTTGACATGTGAGAGGTCGACATCGATTGTCGCACCACTGTCATCGTATAAGCACACATCAGCCTTCCCTCACACCGCCTTCGACTTGCAAATGTCGGATATCAGGATAGAACAAGACTCACAGACGCCGAGTATCTCGCGCGATATAGTTACTAAATATTATACTTCTCATACTCGACTTCCCGGAACCGCTCTTGCCCATGAGAAGAACCTTTTTCTTCTTCGGCTTCTTGACCTCGTTCCGAACGTCGTTCGCCAGGCTTAGGCTGGGCGTCGACGCTTCGAGATCCGCCATGGTATTCGTAATACGAGGTCAAGGACGATGGCTCGCACCCTATCCTATATAATAGATAATATATCGCGGAGGTCCGCCGTGGTCTCGACGCGACGTTGAGGAATTCGTTCAACTCGGCAGGCGCATCATCTCTCTGCCTCGAGAATAAAGCAAGGGCAGTTCCGTGTTTGGTGTTGGGTGTTTGGTGTTCGCGGTCACGGTTCGCAACAAGTCGTTTGAGGTCGTCTGAGGTTGTTTGACTTCCAGTTCGTCCTCTACTTTCTACCCCCGCGTGACAATTCAATGGACCTCGTTAGCGTAGGATGATATTCGATGGTCGTGGAACTATGGCGGGGTGAATTGCTTATGTAGCTCGAATGGAGGGAACTTGCTTTAAGTAAAGATCTTCCTTATAAGCATATGAGATAAGATAGAGATATTGAAATGCAAGGCGCTGACGTCACGTGTCACCTATAGGTGCATATACATTTTAATAGCATTGATAGTCTCAGTTTAGCAATAACGAATACCGATAAGTACATGGCTGAATCGTCTCATACTTCTGTACAACAAAGTTACAAATAACCTCAAGTCTTCGAAAACGTCTACCCATCTATGAAATAATACAAATCTTATCTATCCACACCAGTCTTATAAATTGATAATCCAAGTAGAGAATGAGGCAGTTTCGTTGCTTCTGCTACTCTTCGGTTCACTTACACTAGCTCCTCATCAGGGGTACACGTTCAATATTTACGACATAGTCTTGTGCCATATTCGATGACTTCCCAATCTTCAGTCCCCGGCGTCGAGATGGCGTAGAAGACTCCATTGGGATCCCACTTCTTACGAAGTTCTAATAACTTGGGATATTGCGGACCCCAAAAATTTTCTTGCCACTCAGGCTGAAAGGGGTTCCCCTAGATGAGCGATCAGCATCATATTCGAAGTGGTTTGTTTGTTCTCGTCGATCAATGGCTGACTTACCTCGCTCACATACGCGCACCCATTGGGGCCTGCCTTCTTCAACGCGTCATCTTGAATGTTGGTGAGAACATTTTGAAAGTCCTCTCTTTGAGCCCAAGTTATACCGTCGGGGACGGTGAGGGAAGCGATGATGAAATCGCTCGACTGTCTCATCTTGGGATTAGTTGCGCTGTTCGGGATCGGCATATTTAGGCCGGCATCCCACATATGACCGATGATGACCCCCTGACCTTCCAAGTCTTCGCGTGGAGACAGCACTGTCTTGAAGGCATTGACTATCCCCTCGTTATTCTCTTCGACATCTTGCTGGGTGAACAACCATCCGCCTATGAGTGCTGGTGTCCCGGCAGTCTCGTCTTCAAATAGGTCGATATACAAGTCGTATAGCGTGTCGAAATCCTTACTGGTCGTATCGTAAGGAACACCTTTGGCCTTGAACTCATCGAACATGGGCTGTAGGATAGCCTCCACCTCCGCAGAAGTCTTTCCGACGCCCAAGACTGGCTGTATATGCAGGCGTTGCGGCATGATCTCGAAATAGACGTAAAGACCAGCCGCGACGAACTTGTTGGAATATTTATGGAATGACGTGACTCCATCCCAGAATACGTTTGTGTCATTGGTGAGCGTCGAGTTGATGTTGATGAGAACGCCAGCCGCCTTCTGTACCGGATACGTTTTGAGCGTCACGGAGAGTACGACGGCATATGTCGATGGTCCACCGCCCTTCAACGCCCAGAACAGGTCGGGATTTTCTTCGGAATTTGCTGTTAGGTATTTACCGTCCGCGGTAAGCACGTCAAAGGACAAGGCGCTATCGGCAACCAATCCATACTGTGGTGTCAGAGGACCGTGACCACCACCTTGAACAAGCCCGCCAGCCACTCCGACGGTCTACTAGCAAATTAGCTACAGCTCAGTATGTTGTATGCGCCAACTACTCACCGGACATTCTCCAGTTACCACCGTTACAGGTGGACTCTGAGCATTAGCCTGAGTCAATAATGCCCGCGCCTGGACTCCCGCCTCTATCGTTACAGCACCTCCGTCATAGCCACCAGGACCTTGATATCCTGCGGTGAACTCGACACCTTCCAAGTTGTGTGTGTTGACCACCAATGAGCCCCAACCTGTACTACGTCCAGCAAAGTCGTGACCAGTATTTCGAATGATGAGACGCAAATTATTTTCCCTGGCGAAGTCTACACCCGCCTTGACGTGGTCTCTGCATTGAGCCTCGATCACATACACACCATAGAAGCCAAGGGTGCAAGATTGGGTGGGATCACTCGTTGGTCGACAAGTGTCATTTGCGTAATATGTCCACAATGCCGCGGCTGGTTTATCGACACTGACACGACGTCAACACGATGACTACTTGGGTATATCATACCGGGTGTTACTCACTTCCATTGCTCATTAGACCACATAGCCGTTGCGTTCTCGCAAGCAGCGGCATCGTAAGTTGAGATGGAGCCAAGAGGGCCTTGAAATGTCTAAGGCGACTTCAAATTAGCATTCATTCTCACCGCTCACTCGTCACTAACAGAACCCCCCTCGACATGAACATACATTATGGCAAGGTGCGCCAGGTGGAATGTTCACCGCTAGGGTCCCATTCACCGTTGAGTTCAGGCCGGCCCAAGTGTTCTCGCTCGGCCAGCATTCGTCGCCAAAGTAACACTTGCATCCATACAGGCTACCGTTCCATGTTCGTTCTGTGAGGGCCGGCGATCTTGACTCGACACTACTGATAAGCATCGAAAAGTTCACACCCAAGGTTAGCCAGGACCAAGCCATCGTCACTCGTCACAGATGGTGAGATATGGTAAGCGGATAGGCACTCGAGGCACTCGGGATTTTATCTGGAACCTAACGTCTATTTAAATTTCTTGACTTGACAGCGTCTTGTCGCGTCTGCATCCCACTACCCCGGGTCTTCGGTAGTATCAGTATGACCTAAGGCGGAATGCTTTCATCAGATCAACGATTGGTGAATTTCAGCAACATCTTCCAATAGAGTCGTGCGATTCTCTATCCACTACCAGGAAACCGGGTACATGAATTCGGCATATGTGTAGGCATATTATTGTGCAATCTACCATGCATGCGAATTCTGGGGTATGGGGTCTAGACTGGTTGTCCTATACTCCGTTTGAATATTCTCACCTTGGCGATGATCTGGGGAAACGCTTCCCCGGGTTGGCAATTGGACTAACACTAGGCGAAAAGAATATTATCGTAGTTCACTCGTAAACGGTATCTGCGTAGTCTAGATACTCGGTTACGTACGTCGATCTTACCTGGTTACTGCAGTATTCCCTATAGAAGTTGACTTAGCATCCAGAATCTGATGAACCCTCTTAGTCAACAATGCCAGCCAACCCAATTCCCCTTCTATGCTCCAAACCATGCATACAATTTCTCCATATGTACCTGTTCATCTCGTAAGTGTCTCGGACCTCTCCACATTTGACCCCTCATAAACCCAAGCCTGTGCGTCCCCATTGTAGACTAGATGATCGACGATAGTCCTATTCAGGATTCTCGGCAGCTGTTCTCTTTGCGGGGTTAAGGGTTAGTATCCCTCAACGAGCTCACCACTCTTGTTAAGTATCTAGGATTCCCCATCTAAGATCTAGGGACCACGCGTAGGCGAAGGCTGTCGATTCTTGGTTAAGGGCTCAAGGATCCATAATAATATTTCTGTAGCAACGCAATTCTGGGAATGATACATACTCACGATTGACAGGTTTCTTTGTCGAGTGTTATTCTAGAGATAACAGAACTAAAATTGGCAGGTATTCGAAGGGCATGAGCCCTAGAAACCCTTTGACTACTGCAAGGATTCATTAGCGAGTCGGAATCGGGGTCGGTAAGTGAGTCACATACAGGACATCGAACCACCATGTCCTGAATCACATCTTCCCGGGTCTGAATAGTCTCAAATCGAATCCCAAACAAACCAATTCTTCGTATCAACAAATGATCATAATTTGAGGACATGCTTTAATGAATCATAAACTCCTATATCGGCATTTTACTATAACCGGGATAAAGAACTCATCTTGACAAAGACCAATCATATATCCCCGGTTCTCATCCCATAATACCAACTATAAACTCTCACATATCACTCTCGCTACAAATCAGCATGTCAATCCAAATTCGAAAGGCGACTGAGTCTGATATCCCAGCCATAATAGACACCTATTTCGACGCATTCCGCGACCATCCGCTCACCCTGAGAGCCTTCTTCCCGGGCTCGGAATCTGCGGTGAGATGGTGGTCTGAGTCGATAGGCGCCGATCTACAAGATCCCAACGCTCACTTTCTAATTGTCACCGACTCGGCCTCCGCGGACCCGGAGAGGGTCGTCGCCTTTGGTAAATGGCGCGAGTGGCTTACGTCTACGACTCCTCCGGCACCACCAGCGCCTAAGTGGCCGGAAGGTGCCGATGTCGCGCTTCTGGAGAAGTTCTTTTTGACGATTGAGAAGAAGCACAGGGAGATACTAGAAGATCGGCCACACTTGTATCTAGATATCTTGGGTGTGCGGAAGGAGGTTCAGGGGAAGGGTATAGGGAGTCGGCTAGTGAAGTGGGGGATAGCCAAAGCTGATGAAGCGGGAGTTGAAGCATTCCTTGCTGCTAGTCCAGCTGGAGCTCCTATGTATCAGAAACATGGATTTGAAATACATTCGACGGTACCTATGGGTGAAGGAGGACGCGTGGAAACTTTTATGCTGCGGCCAGCCAAGAAGCCCTAGTCCTGCCATCCAAGCATCATAGTGAGCGTTCTTGAGATGAGAGCAGGTTTAAAGGCATCAAGCGAATGGCGATTAGGTATCAAGCCTATGAGACATTCACGTATATCCATAGTTATACACAAGATCATGGTTTCCTCAAGGAAACTTTATGGTTATGAGAAGATGAAGAGATGTATTAAAGAGAATAAGAATAACTATGAATAACAAAGAAGTCTTCGTTCTGATTAAAACAATATGCTGAAGAAACATTCAAAACCCCACCTAACTCTCAAAACAAGCCGGATATATATCCCGGATACCTACCTCCTACATCTCTACCTACTTACTATTTCCATTCAAAAGAATAGATCTGCACCAGTCAATTTCTGATCCCAGAAAAAGCTAAGCTGGTCATTGATAATGCCGCGAATCTGCGTAAACACCGAATCCGAGAAGAAGTCAACGAAAAGTTCCCAACCGGCGTAAGTCAGCGGGTTATTCTCCATCTTCAGCTGAGTATAAACTCTGTTAGCAATATCAATCACCTCGTCGGATTCGAGACCGCAGGCATATTCGGAGATGATCTGGATAATCGACAGACGGCCAGACGCGTTGTCGTCATCACCTCCTCTTACCTTTTCAAGGGGCTTACCTGCTGAGGAGAGGAACTCGATGTCCTTAGGGATTTGGCTCAATACTTGTCCCTCCCGATGACGAGCGACTGTACATTCGGGACATTTCCCAGAACGGGTGGGCTTTTGGCCTCTCTGCAGCAAATTCAACACGGCGCCGCTTCTTCGCGCCCCCTCAAAGCATAGACACACCGGGTTTCGGTTGAAAGACTGCATCTTTTCCCCCGACAACTTGGTGACAAAATAATTCATAAAGAGTCGTCAAAGGTCTCCGCTGAAACGTGAGCAAACTATCTTGTCACCCAGCTGTCTGACTACACAGAATGACGAATACCCGAAGAATGAGTCTCCGAGTCAATGAATACACTAGAAGTGTGTGGTGAGAGAAGGGAGAATGATTAAAGAAACTCGGGAATCTCCATCCTTATACTAATTGACCATGTGACAATTGTCTTTGTCGTGAGATCAATGGTTCAGACAAAGACACAATAGCTTTGTTAGAAACCTGCTATTGCGGTTCTAGGCACGAACAAAAGCTTAGGTGATGGTGGCTGAGAGCCTTCTAGGGTATATCTAGACAGAATATGAAACAAAACCTAGTTCTTGTAGCCATTGAAGCGAGGTATATGGTTCGAGCGACATAATTCATTATCGTATCTAACAAGCCTCTATTAGACGATATATCATGAGTATCATTGAGCGGAAAGTATGTAAGTAGTCATCCTGTCAAACATCAGAAGCGTTCTTCACAAGTCAACTTAAAACATCCAATAACTTGATGCCACGGGGAACTGCGATCTATTCAGTCTTCGCGGCGATGCAGATGATAATGTATGTGCGAGAGGTATATGGTAGATTTTTGACACGAACTCCCAACCGTTTACCTGAGAGGAAAGTACAGACCGAAAAACTCTTTGAAATCCCGAATGCCTAAGTCCATGTTGAAATCATCGCCAAAGTCGCCAAGCCGGAATTGTCCTAATGGTAACAAGAGTAGCAAGAGCAAAAGTACGTAGGTAATTTGACCTAATCGAATAGAAGTGAAATTTTGCAGAAGAGACAGCGAGAGCGGCATCATGACGCCCGACAACAAAGCGCTCCGAATATGCGCCGTATGGGTATAAGCTGTGTCTAGCAAGATTCGTGATAGCAAGGAAAAATAAGTGTCGTCGGTCAAGTGTGACCAAGGTCGTCAGCATCCACATGAGCTGGGTAATGTAAATCGTTCCGTCCCAAGATCACCAAGTTCAAGATCGTTTTGCAAGTTAGCCGAACCTAGACCTTAGTTCTTTCGTCTCGTCCCCCGGTATTCCTCATAACCTTTTTTTTATCCTGCGATTTTATGTGCATTTTCTTTCTTTTTTGTCTTCCCCGTAAAACGCCTTAGGACTTTTTCATACCTTTTACCTACATGCCTTTCAGCCAATCTTTACCTCATCTAAAGGTGCTTGAGGAACAGGGGCAGCCCCGAGGAGACTTTCTCGCTGTTCCCGCTTTCGCCTGCCTAATCGATCGCACCACTCTTCCGCGCTGACGATGGTGCCGTCAAGAACGCCGGATACTTGAGACATCATGTCGAGGCCTTCCTTAGCAAGGACTAACACTCGTTGAGCACTCTCGCGCGTCTCCTTCTCCTGCGCTTCTCGACTCTCCTCCCCGTCAGTCTCTGCACGGTGCCCATCCCGTTCGCCATCGCCGGCCATGCTTGCGACCCTAAATCTTTGAGGCAAGCTCGTCAGATGACGTCGAACAAGCTCTCGCGCGTTCTCTGGCAGGGAACCGCCTGCGTATCTGCTGACTGTGTTGATAACATCCTGGAGCGTCCTGAGTACGTCCATCCTGAGTTCTGCTATCTTGGCCGCGAGCTGATTCCTATCAGCTTGTTCACCAGTAGACGATGTACCACCCATCGGATGATCGCCCTCGGTTGGTCCGGCTTCAGACTTCTCATACTTCTCCATGGTGGCTTTCAAGGCGTTGATAACGTTACCAATGCGAACATTGGCCCACCGAAGCCAGCTAAGGCAATACTTCAGACTACGTAGGCTTTCCTCGCTCATGGCGATACTTAGACCAGATGTCGACATGATGAGACGTGATTGCCATGGCGCGCTATTCGAGCGCGTCTCGGATGGCGCAAACTGCTCGGCATATGGCGGAGATCGCAGCTCATCGTAAGCAGGCAGTGTATCTACGGTGCTTGCGACCGAGAGTCGACGATCATGTGGGTTGTCGAAGAAAGCTCTCGGAGTCTGCGCGCCAGATGGAGGTTCTGGCGTGGTCTCTTTGAAAGTACCGGACCCGTCAACCCTCCGGCGCTTATTGGAGCCCATGTCAGCAGATTCGATATCGGAACTTTGTGACTTGTGTCTTCTTCCGCCGCCCAAGAACCATCTAACACCACCTTCTACGCCAGTTACGCGGCCAACGGACCCCACCGTGTTTGCGATAGGGATGACATATCCCTCTACATATTCGGCACTCGATTTGAATCTCGGAGAATAGTTCTTGGAGCTAACGTATGCGGATGTAGCTCCCTCGATCGTCGTGGCTAGTAGGGGATGGGATGTAGTCAGTAGCGAAATTAGTGGTTCTGAATGTGACCCGTTCGCCTGTGAACTTGGCGAACCAGGCGTGGGTGCATGCTTGTTCGACGGAGAGGAGATAAAGTCTAACAAATATTTCATGTTAGTACGCTGACCGGTTACTTTGATAGGTGGCTCATGACAAAGAGGCGTCGCTCGACACTCGTCACTCGTCACCTGTAATCAATGACCGGCTATAACTGACCTGCTCTCAGATCGCCCAGGGCCTCAGCAGCCATCCGTACATCTGGATCATCCAGGCTGACGCTACTGGCCCTCCCATCCTGGAAGCGATCCGGCGACGGAGCACTCACGCCGCTGCTACTACTCGTGTCTACGTCCATGCGCAAGGGCGATTCGGCGTTCTGCGCATGACTCGGATTATAATATGCGGTAAGAGGATTAAGACTCGGCCAGTGACTAAGAGGCGGCGGCGCCGGAGGAGAGTATGCTGGCTCTGGAGGGTTAGGCGGGGTGTATAGAGGATTAGATGAAGCTGTTAAAGTGGATAGGGAAGGGAGGTGGGTATTGCTGGGTTTGAGGTCGTCGTAACTCGGCGCATTCAATAACTTGATCGGAGCGAGCTCCGTCTTTGGGGGATCGGGAAACCTTAAGCCTCCGGGATCGTGAGCTTGCGCATAAGATGGTGGAGGATACAATGGAAGTTTAAAGGACCGGTCAAATCGATCGAAAATAACTGCTGTTGGATCGGACGACGGCGATAAGTGTCGGGTATCTGATTGTTGGAGACCGTGCTTCTCGTGAGTCGGCGGCGGGGGAAAAGACATGTGATGCTGCTGTTCCATAATGGCTCGTTCGCGGGATGCGCTTCTACCGAAGACGACGCTGCAGGTAACTAGCGATAGGCCGCAGAGGAAACGCAATAGATAGTGGTCATTTGCGCATTTGCGACAAATTTGATATAGAATCTCGTATCATGTATGCTGAGTGCGCGTGAGATGTCGAAAATCGGTCCCGTTATTGTACAGATGAAACAATCGCTGTCGGTGGGATATGAATGTGATGTGTTGGGTCAACGTCAGGGAATTGCTGACTCGTCAGATCGAATTACCGGATTATTCATGTGAAATACGGGCAAATAATGATTAAAACAGGATAATTACACACGCAATCGACGAATGAGATAGGATGCGTATATCAGGTAACAGTGAACATAAAAATGAAAAGATGTAAATGAATATCACAATAGTTGGTAGAGAGTAGTAGGTACAGTGAGAGAGAGTGAGAATGAGATCGGGTCTGATCAGGTTTCGGTGTGAAGAATGATGATGGAAGGATTCGAGATTCGAAGGGATCGATGTGAGAAACACCAAGTATCAACTGCTAGAATAATCATTATGGGGCCCCGGGGCCACTTTCACAATATGCAGGTGCTTCGTGTGTGGATCGCAGTCCCCAGGTGCTTGAGTGGCAGCTGGAGGTGGGTTCATTCAATGGATTCAATATTGTAGGTAGGTATTGAGGAATGGGGGGAAGGACGAAAAGGTTCCAAGGTCGCTGATGCCCGTGGGAATGGCGGAACATCGAAAGAGCACAGGTTTGCGCATTGGGTTGCAGTTGCAGGCCTCGGGATGAGGGGGGTCTAGGCTGCTGAAAAACCTCCTATCAGCGACGCTACGAGTACAAATTCAGGGTTTCTTAGTGGTATATTTCGACAGGTCAGGCGCTCATCGGTTGCTGCTACCGTGTTCCGCAGGGGAGAGGCAAAGCACGCGGCAGCCGGCAGGGTCTAGGTGGAACCCAGGGGATCTCGCATTCTAAATGGCCAATGTGAGCTTGGCACCGATCTCTATTGGCCAAATCTGTCTAAGAAAACCCCACAACAAGCTTCCCCAAACATTAGCAAGGAAGTACTGTACAGTGCATGTCGTACCGTACAGACACGACGCCAGTTGACCATCGGCTTGTGAAAGCCTTACAAGTTACGGCTCTGCGACTGACGACACGAACCACTTACCGAATCATGGTGGAATTAGGTCCACGTATCGACAGTTGGATCTCTTAAGATGGTCACATGTTTGAAACCTACATGAATGACATGTTCTGGACCTGAGATGAGTTTTACAAGATTCATGGTATAAGTCCCGTACATATGTACATACATCCATGATACTTACGTACTATGATTGATCTTTGCCCATTCTGCCATTGTAACAAGTTGATTGAACAAGCCAAAGGATCAAGGAGGTAAATTCAATGGAATAATCTTGTAAAATATGCCCGGAAACGCACAAGATCAACTGCGGAAGTGAGACGTCTAGTTTCCCGACGGGCACAAGAAGGTACAAGCACGTGTAAATCAGCCCAAGTTATGTGGTCTAAATATGTCGGAGTGATCACATGCAACTAATATATCGTTCTGACCAGTAAGAAGTAAGGTGATTCGTCACTATTGACACTGTGAAAAGAAAAAGAAAAGAAAAAGCATATGATAACGCCCTTTCTTTCATTCACTAGGATCCGAGACGATGCCCATGTGGAAAACCGGCATCGACGGGCAATTACTCTTCCAATCTAACATGTTCTCGATCCCTTTCGCCTGTCCTTGGAAATCTCGTTTTCCGAAATGAGTTTGCGTCAAATAGAGATATCCATATCTCAACTATGTTTTCTATTCCTAGCCTTCTAAAATCGTTCTATGTATGCAGCAAGGAATGTGCCTGTTACGTATCTGGTTCCACTTACAGCTGATCTCAACGTCAGAGCACTATCCTCGGGACCAGCTTAAAAATAGTGAGAGGCGGATGGCGGACTTCAGGTGATAGTTGCCGACTAGGTAAGTGGATAGGCTTGGCAGGTTTGATAGGAAACAACCCGAATTGCCAACGGCTCAAAGGCGGAACGACATTCCGAAGTGACATTTAGGGTCCGGCGTGGCAAACACGGGAATACTAAAATCCAGGAAACCCACGATTCCTAGTCAAACCTGTCAATCACCAGTCTAGACGGGATCCTGGTTACAAGACTGAACAGATTTACGGCCTAGGTACCATGCGTGCAATTGGGGATTGACCTGACTCTTCAAATGATGAAAGGTCTGGAGCCGTCCGTGATTAAACATAATAAAGTTGAAACGTGCGAAAGGAGCCTCATGTCATAATCGCTAGACTTCATGTCAACTCATACCCTAAAACGAATGCGAGTTGAACCATAGGATTCCAGCATAGCCATGAGAGGCTTGACACAATTTCCAACCTCCCCAGAACACACCAAAGACACTGATTAAAACAGTAAGCACAATAGAAATAAAATGTCCGGTCCCTCTGACGCTGCCCAAGCAACAGTATGTTGCCAATACGGCAGATAATACTCGGGCAGCTCTTATGGCACCATATCGATTGAATCCTTCTCCGCGTCTCGAAATCGCAGTCTACATCAACGACGACACGGTAGGAAAACCAACAGAATGCCGGCACCAGTTGTGTGGAAAAATGAGCTGCACTGTCTAATGGACGCGTTGAAGAAGAAAGGAAAAGAGAATTCAAAAAGTTGCGCGCAAAAATTGTTATCATGAAAATTTCAAGTGGGTCTCGGCGATAGGTTCCGCCATAGTCACGTGATAGTACGAAAAAGTTGGAGATTAGCCACATCTTTAAGCTGATGCCTTCCAAGATTAAGAGAAGTGGGGCTAAGAGCAGTGAGGCTGAACGTAGAATGTGGCTTGGCATGATATTCTAGCTTCCAATGGCAACCCGACATCTAGGTGGGGTCCTTTGAAAGCTGTCTGGCATCTTGGAACTTTGGGATTGTGTGCGTATGCGATTTACGGAATAGACATCTTTTGACGACAAACTTCTCCGTTTCATAGGTTTTACGTGCGCGCTACGAATTATGGTTTATTGATGCGTTGTATGACTGAGAACTTCTAAATCCTTTTGTCTGGCCTGAGAGCCAATTGACATCCGTCCGCGACCCCTGAATCTAATCCAGACCGACATCATGGCCTCAGCGGTTTTCTTCCTCGATCTGAAGGGCAAGGTATGACTTTTGCGGCCGTATGTCCATATCGTAACAAGGGAACTAACATTGACAATAGACCCTTCTCGCCCGAAATTATCGCGGTGATATTCCCATGTCGGCTGTCGAGAAATTCCCCATACTCCTTAGCGAAGCCGAAGAAGAGTCCTCCGCCGTACCACCATGTTTCTCTCACGAAGGCATCAACGTGTGTATCTCTGGGTTATCTTGCCCTTCGGCCATGGACACTGACTGCTACTAGTACTTGTATATCCGACACAACAACCTCTATCTCCTTGCTCTAACAAAGCGAAACACGAACGCCGCCGAGATCCTCCTATTCTTACATAAAGTAGTCGAAGTGTTCACCGAGTATTTCAAAGCGCTAGAGGAAGAATCGATTCGCGACAACTTTGTCATCATATACGAATTACTGGACGAGATGATGGACTTCGGCTACCCCCAAACAACCGAGTCCAAGATTCTACAAGAGTACATCACCCAGGAATCCCACAAGCTAGAAGTACAGGCCCGGCCACCTATCGCGGTCACAAATGCTGTCTCGTGGCGGTCCGAAGGCATAAGGTACAGGAAGAACGAAGTATTTTTGGACGTCGTCGAAAGCTTGAATTTGCTAGTCTCGTCGAACGGAAACGTGTTAAGGTCTGAGATCCTGGGTGCGATCAAGATGAAGTGCTATTTATCCGGCATGCCAGAATTGCGACTTGGGTTGAATGACAAGGTCATGTTCGAAACGACTGGGAGGACAACAAGAGGCAAGGCTATCGAGATGGAGGATGTCAAGTTCCACCAATGTGTTCGATTATCACGCTTCGAAAACGACCGTACCATCTCCTTCATCCCACCAGATGGCGAATTTGAGTTGATGAGCTATCGGTTGAACACGCAAGTCAAACCCCTGATTTGGGTCGAGTGCGTGGTCGAAAGCCACTCGGGGTCGCGAATCGAGTACATGCTCAAGGCGAAGGCGCAATTCAAGAGGCGGAGCACTGCTAACAACGTCGAAATCATTGTTCCGGTGCCGGATGACGCCGACTCGCCGCGGTTCCGAACGAATATTGGCAGTGTCCACTACGCCCCTGAACAGAGTGCTATCGTATGGAAGATCAAGCAATTTGGTGGCAGCAAGGAATTCCTCATGCGAGCTGAGCTGGGGCTCCCTAGCGTAAGAGGTGACGACGAACATGGTGGAGGTATGACTGGTGGATTTGGCGGAAGTATGGGCGGTGTCAATGCAGGCAAGGGCGCTAAGAGACCCATTCAAGTGAAGTTTGAGATTCCCTATTTCACAACTAGCGGTATTCAAGTGCGATATTTGAAGATCACAGAACCTAAGGTATGTTATCATCAACGCTGTCGACGTATCAGTTAACGCTAACACTCCATAGTTGCAATACCCATCATTGCCTTGGGTCAGGTACATCACTCAGTCAGGAGACATAGCGGTACGATTACCAGACGCTGTATGAGAGGTCAGTGTTGACCTGTAATGTTCAACGAAAATGTCACTTTTCGATAGGCCTAGAGAAAAGTCTCAGTTAGAGTTGATAAGTCACAACTGATCCGTGGCAACGCCGGGCATGAATATCAAACGAATTTCCGAATCCACGTCGTCCGTATACCCTAGTTTAATTTATGTTCTTTCATCAGATTCAGCTGTGTTCTACAACGGGACCCCAAAGTTGGGATACCCCTGAGATTATGCTTGGCGGCTGATCACAGCTGTTGAGATTCTTGGGATTACTGACTGCAAGGTACGTTCCCCTGGAGACATGAGGTGAGAGTTGATAGTTTATTGAACTTCATGGTTTTCTACTTGTCATTTTCATTTCTCTATTCAGGGACATGCCCCCTAGGTAAGTGGCCATGTTGATCACGACATAGCATCGTAGAGAAGCTCTCATATACGATGACTATCATCCCCCGACCGTCACTCCCTAGAATCATCAAATTCCCTATCCTCAGATTCACATATTTCTCTCATCTTAGACTACAGTCGTCACTGCCAGTACTACCCCTTCAATTCCTTTTCTGTACGCTCCAACCCGTCATTATGCGTCTCATCAATGTCAAGACACTCGAGCTTGGGCTGTTCTACGGGAGCCAAACGCCACGATACGCCATTCTCTCCCACACGTGGGATGGCGATAATGAGGTGACATTCCAAGAGTGGGAACGCCGTACCGACAGCGCTGTCAGACGCAAGAGTGGCTACGCCAAGATCGTGGGGGCTTGCCGCCGCGCCGAGGCTGATGGCCTGCAGTATCTCTGGTGTGACACCAATTGTATCGACAAGAGCAGCTCTGCTGAACTGAGCGAGGCCATCAATAGCATGTTCTCTTGGTATCATGACTCAGCCGTGTGCTACGCGTACCTTGCTGACGTACAGGCGAAGACGGGTACGCTTGCTAAGAGTCGTTGGTTTACCAGGGGTTGGACGCTGCAAGAGTTACTCGCGCCAAGTAGAGTAATCTTCTTCGACCACTGCTGGACGGTGCTTGGAGATAGAAGCATATTGGCAGGTGTGATCTCAGACATCACTAGGGTTCATGTTGGTGCCTTGGAAAATCGTGAGACAATACGGGATTACTCCATTGCCCAGCGCATGTCATGGGCTGCTGATCGTCAAACAAGCCGCTCGGAGGATATCGCGTACTGTCTCCTTGGTATTTTTGATATTAACATGCCATTACTCTATGGCGAAGGCTCCAAGGCATTTACTAGATTACAACTGGAGATTATCAAGATATCTGATGACCAGAGTATCCTTGCATGGGACCTGGAGCCTTCTCAAGCTTCCTTGTTCACAAGTGCTTTAGCACGATCTCCTACTCAATTTCGTTCTTGTGGCTCGATAGTGAGAAATCATGAACCTCAACAGAGCGCCTACTCCATCACAAATCTCGGCATATCCATGAGGCTTGTTCTTATTAAGACTCTCATTGGGGGAATAGTTCTAGTTGGACTAAATTGCGCAAAAGAGCTTTATCGGGTGGCACCTCACCCTAATCTCCCGCACGATGTGAAGCTACGCAAGCATTTTCGGGTTTGGATACCTCTAACGCAATTAAAGCATGATACTTATGGCCGACTACACCATCCGGCATCGAGGGTCTTTCTCGAACAGTCATATCCAACATTTAGTCGTCTGGCGCCCACGAGTTTATTCTTAACTTTAAACGCCTCCCAACCTCAGCTTCAAGAGAACCCGACCAAACCCTTACGGCATCATTCGCCCGATACACCATCAGGTGTGCTTCTCACAGTCGCATCAGGCAACATGACACCTAGATTTGTTTTCAAAGAAGTCTATCCCCTAGGTGACATATCTGTTGTACAGTTGAAAGGTCGTGGCATATCTACTACCTCTCATCTACTCATCGCATGTGATGATCTTTCGGTATTCCTTTCGGTATTCTGGGGCAAGGATGGGTCTCCTCAGGATTGGACATACTCGACGATCTTTGATCCACAGTTAAAGATTAGCAACCAAATGGCTTGCCTGACAGAGTGGAAGTGCCTTTTTGAGACAAATGGTCATAAGAGGTCTTCTTCGTGCTGCAATAATACTGCTTCTATGCATTCTCTTCACAAAAGATTGCAACATACATACGGGAATTCGTTGGATGTTTATGTGAGGGAAGAGAGGGACCCGATGGTCATAATAGGTGATCAACCTCTGATGGATTTGTTTGGTCAACAAGAATTGTTAGTCGACATTATTTTCAGGCAACTTCCAAAGCGTATAAAAGTTGGCTGAGCTCAAGACAACCTAAGTTCGGTCATACAGTATTATCAATAGTAGCAGAGGCAATGGACGTGTTGCGTAGGTACCTACCTAGTCAGAACAACTTATAATTTAGTTAAATACTCAGGCCCGGAAATCTCCATGACTTTTCTTAATGTCTTATTATCTAGGTAAGTAGGTAGATACCCATAATGGAATCTTAGGACTATTCTAGACTCCCATGCTCATTGTAATCTGCAGCGGGTGCCTGTGCCTGTAGCAGGTGTAATATGAATCGTGCGTTATTTCCGGCTATGTTAAGCAAGTCTTGATCGTACATTACATTCGGCGTCGTTTCAAGCGCTTCTTGAAGTGTACTTGCACAGGATTGTTCGCTTTGAACTTGCCATATTTTTTTAGTATCGAGAACTATCACAGAATCTGGCAGCGCCCAATGGCCTCTCAGTAGCTCTAGCGTGGTGCCGATATCGTATCCGACGACAACTATTCTTTGGAATTTAGTCCTCAAAGACTCAAAAATATCGTTGACCGTTGCCCCTATTTGATCTTTTTTGATTGTCCCCCTTTTAGCAAAGGTAAGAGTGTGACTATTGTTTGGCACGCGTTTACTGTCAAGAACGCTTATATCTTCGACTTGCCAATGGTAACAGCTTGTGTAAGAATCCCCTAAGAAATCCGGGCGCCAAGTAGACACTCCAATACCAGTAATTAGACTTTGGTCTAAGTCCTGAGTATCGACAGTGATTGAAATGAAGACGGTGTTTATCCTCCTGGTTTCTCTCCAAAGGACAGCTAGCTTGGTATTATCGTCCGTATGTTGCTTTAGTGCTGGATCTGTCCAATTATCTCCAGATAACTTCCAGTTATCGATCAGTGATCTCATCTTATCACAGAAATATGTGACCGGCCAGATTGGCAATGTGAACATTCTACATATCCAAGTCAACATCTTGGCAATCTGATTAATAGTTGATGAACTTTTAAGTATCGTTTAAAGGTTTTGTATTGGTTATGAAAAAGCTCAAGGAGAGTTCCTGTGGAGCACAGAAAGGATGCACCATCTGTATTAATTAAAAATGTGAGTGAAAGCTATACGCACATAGCCACATGGGGAAATCTTGTTATGGAGTAAAAGGGATTCAGCCATTGTTTGTATTCAAAGAAGGAAGCCTACCTATGCATCTGATGCTTTGTATGGTTTATGGAGGCTCTTCGAGGCCTTATCGAGGTCGATTCAACACTACTATATACCAAGTATGGATGTTATTATCAAACCCATTCAGCATATCATGGTTAACAATATCATCAAGGCTCTTCATTTATATTAGAGTTACAATTGTATGCATCAACATATATTAACCCAGAATAGGGCCATGTTAGAAATATTACGGACTACCTATCATTCACTTAGAGCAAATACAACCGGAATCTGTTTTGTACTCAATGCCAACACTCAATGGGAAATTCTTTGATTTTGAATGACAAAGAATCCTTCCATTCTTTCATTCTTCCATTGGTACATTTTCATGAGCGAAGACACCTTGTAGGATTTCTCGGGATTAGTTCCCAGTATCCCACTGTTTTGCTACCGCAAAAGGAGGACAAAATATTACACATCATGTGTTTAAGTGCCTAGGTATGTATCAAGTTAGCTATAAGTATGAATGAGGTTACTGCAAATCTCCAACACTCGGTAGGGCGACGGAGGAAGACTCGAGGGGAGCGGAGGGCAGGGACCCCCACGTCTTACAAAGGGCATGGCGCTAATAGGCGGCGATTTACCCCGGATAATTAACGATTGGAGGAAAACCCCCACGCTAAACTCCGCAGGGTGCAGCAGGAGCAGCAGGAGCAGCCCCCGCGTTGGATTCTTGGCGAATATTCCCATCTCAGCCGTCCCGAACTGTGGGAAATCTCGCGCAATCTTGTCCCCTACATGTTCCTACATGCGAATACATGTCCCCCTTACCGCTCCCTTACCACTCCCTACCAACCCTACCAACCCTACTCGTTCCTGTTGAAAACTAGCCTGACCCCCATCGACTCCGCTCACGGGTCGTCTTAGTCTGGTTTCCCCTTTCTTCCCCCTTCCCCATTCCCCCTTCGATCCGCGGAAGACGGTTCACGGCGAAGCGCATATGCAGGTCATATCATAACTGAGTGATCGATCTAGGTGCATGCGAAGGTATGGGTGAGCCATGTCGCGGATAAATGGCTTCCCAGCGACAGCCGCCAGGAGGAGCAGGAAGGGTGCGCCACGGAGATTTTCGTGCGACTGGCCCGGTTGCGACAAGATCTATTCTAGGGCCGAGCATCTTCAGAGACATCAACTCAACCGTAAGGCTAGACCCAAGACTCGGGACTCAAGACCTGAGGCCCGAGACCCTAAAGATCCGGGATTGCAGATCACAACTCTCCTAGTTGTCCTTTGTGGGTCTATCTCAATGATATACGTCGATGCTAACATAGTCTCAAGATGACCCCAAGACCATATATACGTGCGATGTGCCGGACTGCACACAGACATTCGTAAGGCCGGACTTGCTAGCACGTCACAAGAAGCGCCATTCGGCTTCCTACATCCCTAGGAACCGTACTAGCAGCTTCAGCATTCCTACGAAGGAGACAGCTCAAGACATTCCTGTGATGCCTTCACCTAGCATGGCCACGAATGTAGCTGGACCACCACGACCAGCAACGTTTCCTCAGCAGCCTGCGAGTGCTCCTCGTAATGCTGCTGTTCTCTTAACATCTGACTCTCCAGTTCAGGCTCAACCTCCACCTTTGCCACCTCCTATAGCGCCCACGCAGCCAAGTCCGCTTGCTCATAACGTACCTTGGACATCTTCTATGGATGCTGTTAACCTTATACGCCAGAAGCCCAGTTTCTACGGCCGTGAACATCCACCGATGCATGAACATTCTACCTTCGTACCGTATCATAACGTACCAGTGCCGGGTGGTGCTGATGAGCTGGACACTCGAGAAAATTTTGGTGTTTGGCTCTTTGATCCTCAGCAGACGTACAGAGACCTAAACTTCGCGAACGTTCCCTTCCTCGAGGGCGGTCTGGAATCACCATTCAATAATAATATCCATTATGACCACGAATCACTCGCTAGCCGATCTCAGCTAGATCTTACGCCCCCACGACACCCCGATATGCCCGACGAGCTTATCTCCGAGTACCGCCGTCAAGAGGTTCTACGTTACGTGCAACTATTCCACCAGAAGCAAAATAGGTTCGATTCGAAGCTAGCAGGTCTTATGCAAGAGGCTGGCGACGATATACCAGGTCTAAGCTTGGAATTCCTACGAGACTGCATGCGACATTACTGGGATTTTGTATCACCAAGGTTACCCATCGTTCACCAGCCAACATTTTCTTCGCCGCAATGTTCTATCTTCCTTCTCCTGGTTATGATCGCTTTGGGAGCTGCTCAGATCTATAGTCGAGAGAAGACGCGCGAACTAGTCGAGTACAAAGCGTTTGCTGACCTCATAATATCGAACGTCCGTTTCGAAATATTAACCGCCGACGACGCATCTCCTCCGGTGGAACTTTGGGTTGCCCAGGCCTTACTCTTGCTAGAGTTCTATGAGAAGATGTACTCATCTAGGAATCTCCACGAGAGGGCGCACGTTTATCATTCCGTGACCCTGACTTTACTTAGACGAGGTAGCCCCTTGATTGGAGGCGCGGGAGCCGAATCGCCTTCCGACGAGCAGAATGGATCAGAGCATCCCGCAACATCAGACGCGAGGACTTGGTGGGTGAAGTGGGCTAGGACGGAATCGATGCATAGAGTCGTCTTTGCTGCGTTCATGATGGATATTGTTCACGCCGCAATGTTCGGGCACGCTGCCGATATGGCCCCTCAGGAAATTCGCCTACCCTTACCTTGTGACGAATCCTTATGGTCTGCGTCGAGTCCGGAGATTGTGCGTCATCACGATTCGAATTTCAGGTTATATGGTGTGAAACCTGTCTCGTTTCTAGACGGATTAAAACGCGCCATTCACGGGAAGGAAGTCCAAACACATGCGTTTGGCCGAATGATCATAATGTGCGGTCTCCTAAGTGTCGGCTGGCATCTTAGACATCGAGATACGCATCTCAAGTGGCTGGAACTAGGATCTGGTTCCTCAGATACCCGAGAAAAATGGTGCAATATGTTGTTGAAAGCATTTGATGATTGGAAGACCAGCTTTGATGCGGCTATTGGCTCAAGTGACCCCGAATCGGACGGCTCTGGACCGCAATCTCATTCGAATGGACTCATCCAAAGTGCATCGGTGCTCTACCACCTCGCCCACATCAGTTTATACATCGACATCGTTGACTGTCAGGTTTATGCGGGAGCGAAACGGTTACTTGGCCGCAAAGTGTCTACGAGAGATTACACTAATGTCGTTAATCGAATGTCGAATTGGTCGAGTCAACTCGCGACGCGCCATGCAATCCTACACGCCTTCAAACTGCTTCATCGGATTCTTGTGGATCCTCGCCAGAAGAAGAATAATGGTTATGTCCATAATCCCGCGGATGTGTTTGGAATGCAATATTCGTGCCGTCGCGACCCCGATCCCCATCGACCATGGATTATGTACTATGCGACATTGAGTATCTGGTCTTATGTACGAGCACGAACCCAGTCAAGGGACCAATCGAATACACTTCGACCACTCCCGCAACAATTGCAGGGCAATTCTACCGGGATTTTCGATTACCTATCTAAAATCACGAAGCTTTCAGAGCTTGATGCCACCACACCAGCGAATCTCCAGGATGGATTGCCCAATCTGCTTGATGCAATAGGGACTCTTACATCCGAGTCACCCTCGGAGTTGCTTAAAGAAGCGTGTGGTCGACTAGATATGTGCAAGCATATGCTTTACCACGGAGAGGCTTGAAGTAGATCTCTATCGAGCATGTCTGTCGAGGCCTAATTTTTATCTAGCATGCGGCATGGATTTCAATGGGCATGGAAAAGTGCGTTATTGGTGGAACGAGTCATGCGGAATGAGTCTTCATTACTATTACTACCTAGGCACCTACCTAGTTTCTACATCTCGTCACTAATTACTCCAGAAGACCGGCTTGAAAATAGTCAGGTCAGCTGTGTGCTTACATTGGGGCATTGGAGTTTTCTCATCTGAGGCTTATCTTACCCGAAAACGATGAGTGGTTCGATACTCGGCTCGTTGACAAAGGTGCATCAGGCGAGTGAGGCGCTCGATATTGTACAACACGGAGCAGCGGTTTTTTGATCACATATAGAGGGTTTATGAGCGCTTGGTAGACGCGTATCTATTACTACATTAATGATAACGAGATTAGGACTATCATTTGAGTTACACCTTACCTTGTTTCTCTCTGCATGCAGTGCATGGCCCGAAGGTCAGGTGTTCTGTGCCGAACCCTTGCATTTATCAACGCCACATCCCATCAAGATCGAGAAGCACGACCTAGCAACTCACCTTAGTCTATCGACGCCACGATGCCACCATATAAGCTTTCTCCAAATATCACGCCAAATCTTACGCGGTATTTAAAACTCCGGCACGTAGCCGGCGCCATATGCGGCTAGCAACGCACACCGCTTCTTCTCCACCAGATCCAGCAGATACTTAGCGAATTCTGCCACGCGCTCTTCATCCGTCAGCGTGGGCTGTTCTGACGCAGAACTATCATCATGGTCGTTGCGGTATGCGTCGAGCTCTCGACATCCCTCTAGGAGGGAATCGTACACGCAATCCGGACATTGGGACGGGATCGGGACGGTCTCAATTTCGACTTCAACGCTATCGTCGGTCCCGAGGGTCTGGTGGTGTGTGTCTAGGCTGTGTAAGCAGGCGTACGCCTCGCGTGTGACGAGGGTGGGCATGATGATCGTATGTGCGGGATGCGAGGCGTCGGGTTGGGCTTGGCGTTATGTGTATGATTGTGTAATCGTGGGGAAATGTAGAGGGTTAGACATAAAGTTGGGGATTCGACAACAAAGTATTGTATTTTTGGAATATTATATGGGGGTTGCATCATCTCGATAGCTTTGATCCCGATTCGTGAATCCCTTTGTCTGTTGTTTACGAATGCTTGATGCTGAAAACAGATTCGGCGAGGCCGTGAATTTTTCTTTGTTCTCAATGTCGATTGTTGCTCGGCATGTAAACCTCATGTTACGCTTTTACGCTAGCTACAGCTTCTTTTTTGCAATCCAGAGAATGCCACACGAGGTCCTTTAGCATGGTGTAAGGCACTTCACGCCCATCTCAGGGGTAACTAGTAGGAGTCTTTATTTTCGAAGGAAGCTTATCCTACCTCTGACACGTAACACTGTGGGATATCTCAATGATATCTGGTAATTGCGATCGGAAACCCAACTAGAGTAGAGTTGCGTTCCGTAGGGGCCCTGGACGTATGCCAATCATCAACAAGTTAGGGACAGACCGACAATTTGTCTTCGTCAGGCAAAAGTACGGTGAATAGGCAAACTAGGGGCTACTTTGTTGGTTGTATATGGCTTCATAAATAAACTTGAGGTTTTATGTGGTTTGGTGTAAGGGAGAGGTCTCTCTGGGTAGACTAACGTCTCCAAGGGGACGACTCAAGGTGGACTGCAGAGTAATTAATCATTGACACTCTTGTAAGGGAGCTACTTAGCCACAATGAAGTTGCAAGCCCTGGTTTCGTTGGCATCTTCAGGTATCATCGCAGACAGGTTAGTTACAGTCATAGAAGGTAGGGTTACTCGACAACTCGATGTTGGAGATTGTTGCTTTGCACCGAGACAGAAACCCAATCTGAGAATTAACTCCTGAAATCGTCCCTATTCACTTGGGTGCCCAGGTAGGAGGTAGACTTGCTCATAACGAGGTAGTCCTTTATGTTATTAGTGAAGCGAGATCTACGTAGGAGTCGTCTTCAAATTTTAGGCACTCGGCGCATACCCGTAGTATGTCTTCAGAGAAAACTTCCTTCCTATCCATCTAGTAATATACTCCTATATTCGTTTACTCCATGTATGTAGTTGTTGTATTTAGTCATCAAGCGATGAAGAAAAGGGGGAATTGGAGAAGCGTGATTGGCTGAGGCCGCCAGTCAGCGCAACGGTTTCAGAAGAGTCCCCACGATATCCCCAATGACACAATTTCCAAACAAACGAAGTTTCCGACTTTCCATCGTCTCCTTCCTATTTGCCTCTCCCCATAATGCGAATCATCTTCGCTCCGACTTGCTTAGGCAGTAATAAAGTTTCTAATATGATCGACGATAATATGCGGTAACGATGTGGATCAAACCAATGATCCGATCAACACTCGCATTGATTTTCTGTCAGTCTGTCAGTCTCGAAACTTCAATGCCAAACGTTTTGCCACGCGCTATTGGGACGAACAGGAGGAACGAAGTCCGCTGTCAATATCTTCATCCGATGCTTGAAGAACGCCTTGTGAACTAAGTGGCTCGTACGTTGGATTTCTTGCGAGGATGTCGTCTCGGGATTTATTGCTCGGACCGAACTCCCCCTTATTGGAAGAATTCATTATGGGTGCTCTAGTCCTCCTAATGACTATCAAACAATATTCGCATTTCCATCTGTCCTAATAACTTAAAACTAAAGAGTGAGATAGGATCTGTCATCCGATGGCTCTTGATGATAATCCATTCTGTTTTGCTTTGAATGATCCTATCGTGATCCTTGATTGATGCGAGGGGTTTACAGATTATCATAGTAATATGCTAAGACTTGATGTTGTCAACCTGGAAACGCTAGAAAGAAAGGGTTACTGAGTCTATATTGCGACAACTATCTATAGAATACCCCTACATAAAAGTTTCTATCCATAGCTCTCCCTAGAAAGCGCCTTTCTATAGCCGTCGGCGCCAAGCCAACACATCCTAAGCCTCAAGACAACAATTCAACTACCTATCATAGGGATACTAACATATCAAAATGTCGCCAAAATAAACATCGTCGGATAGATGCGACAGCATTTAACGCTGCAAGGGACATGATTGCCGAAAATCCGGGGTCGATTAATATTTGACCTTCCTAAGAATATACGATGTGCTACCATTCGACCTACCAACGAGGTGCGACGTATCAAAACAAGGGGGTCCCGTAGCTGAAGCCGCAGGCGTAACAGAAAACACCCGTACTCAGCCTCACGGTCCCCATCAAACCCGACTTCAGGGAGTATGCCGTTGGGAAGTCTTCGAGAAAGTAGGGAGGCGACGAGGCAGATTCAACTCCGCATAGCCGGCGTTTGTTTTAATATTTAAGCTTCTTCATGATCCGCTCCATGATCTCCAGTCAGTGCGATCAACAACCCAGAAGACAATCAGATAAATCAACACTTTTCATCCCAACTCCAGAACAGCAATCATACCTTCTCCACCAGTCTCTAAGACGCTTTACGAAACATCAGTCAAAATGGTCCGCATCACCTTCCTCGCTTTTCTCTCCGGTAAGTCCTAGTTACCTAGCTCCTGTAAACCCCTTCAAATCCCTATAAATCTACCCTCTTGTCTCCCCACCCATCACTAACATACCACGCAGTCGCCATCCCAGCCCTAGCCATCTCCCCGGACCCAGCCGGCGCCAAGAACGTCGGCAACGGCAAAGGCATCCAGTTCATCGGCGGCCAGTGCCTGTCTTCCGCCGACTGCGCATCCACCTGCTGCGCCACCGTCACGGGCCAGAACTTCGGGCTCTGCTCCGGGCTGGGCGCGCAGTTCGAGGCCGGAAAGGCGGGCTGCGGCTTCGGCGACGGCGGCGCGGCGGCGGCGGCGAACACTACTGGCGGGGCGAACAAGAGGAGTTTCCGGGCCTAGGTACCTGGCGATCGCTGTCAAACTTGCCTATGTAGATGACGCGGGTTGCTGTCGGGCATAATGAGCCCTATGTGACGTGATCGGCAACGCCGGTAGTGGAATAATCTCTCCTTTAACTTTCTGGATATCATCGGGACTAGGTATACACCAGGGTTTTAGCATTGGCATTGCATTTTCGGGGAAGGGCGCGAAAGAGACCTCCTTTGGGGCTCTTCGGGGGATGGACGCCGGCCTGTCCTTCATTGGGTAATTTGCATTTTCATAACTTTCATCTCTTCAGATAAATAAAACTTTACATTCGATCTATAGTCGAAAAAAGGGGTAGTTCGCGTGATGATTCCATGGCTTTCGTGGCCGCAAGCTGACCAGCGATATTCGCGCGTAGTTGGACAGTTCGCCGATGGAGGGAATGAATTGGGTTTCGTAGATCTGGTAATGTCGAGGACAACGGACGAAGCACGTGGCAAGTCACAGGAAAGCCCCCAAATATGAACAGCTGAAAGTGCCTTTATATAACTATTGAACACCCTCGTAGAAACGCATTCGCATGATGTACCCGGAACTCGATCGAGTCCGACGATACTTTTAGATATACCTTACAAACAGTCGGAACGCCTTGGAAAATCGTCAAGGGTTCCCTATAACCAGTAAACCAAAGCGAGAAGACCACCCTCGCAGCCTTCCATGATGAGATATTATCGAACCGATGAGAGATAAGCGATAATGCAATACGGCCACTCTCCTAATGTAGCCAAAACAATCAACCTCCTTTTCCTCTAAACACCGCCGGACATAATGATCCGTTGCCGCCGTGTCGTCGTTATGTACTCCCGTTATACGCTTAAAACGTGATGCAACCTCCCATCCCACCATGAATGCAATGAGGCCGCTTAGGCGTCTCTTCCGAATCGAACATCGAACTCCCTCAACACACCCATGATGCTAGCCGCCTCGACCTCGATGGGTAATCTAGCCGGAGCGTTCGGCTGAGGGGGAGCGGCCCTAAGTCTCGGCAACCAAGTTCCGATCTCTTCGGTGGCCTTTTCGAAATTTCGATGACTAGACAGCGTCTTGTATGCGTCCGCGCATGACACACTAATGCCAGACGACGAACCGCTAGGTGTGGCCGTTCCTGACGCGGATCCGTTAGACTTGCAACATCCAGAGCCTCCAGATCCCCCGCAACACCCGCCGCTGGACTTGCCCGCGTTACGGGCAAAGTTTGCGGCGAGACTACGGCAGAAGAGACCCGACTTGGGATCTCTCAGGCACTGAGCACAGGTTCCGGGTCCTTTGGGGCCGCAACCGGTAGAGGGACGTGTCGACGAAATCGGTGTGTGATTCAATGAACTTATACCCGGCAGCTTGATGGCACCAGTTGACGTGACTTCTACGGGGGTAGGGCCGACATCGTTCTCCGAAGGCGGTGGGGTCTGAACTTGTTGGGATACTGGGGCAAGAGTCTGCGACGCGGCGGCCTCGGCACACATGCAGTAAGTACCCTCTTTGCAGAAGCCGCACGAGTCTCGCGGCGCCACGGCAGGTTGGGCAACGGGTTGATACAAGGCAACTTCTGGAACGGGGTCCTTCTTCTTAGCGAACATGGCAGTAAAGTCAACCTCGTGAGGATATGGCTCGGGTATCTTTTGCCTCTTCTCTTCCGGAGCCATGGCAGATATCGAGGATGGCTTCCGCTTGAGCTCGGATTCCGAGTTCGGAGCTGGCCCCTTAAGCACAGCTTCGAGACATTCGCATTTAGTACCGATGCTACACTTACCACATCCGACGGACGTATTGGTTAGGACATCGTCGACACAGGCGCATGGTCCGGTGGATTCGCAATTGCCGCAGCCTGCGGGATCTGCCGACGACTCCCTAGGCCCCGACGAATTCGAAGAATCGGGAGGAGAAATAATTTGTGAGATAGAGAAGGCCGTAGTCGAGTTGCGGTGCTCCGGTGCGTTGCTTGTGATGCTTCCTCGAGGTGTCGGGTGTTGAGAGGAGATGCTTGATGAATTGGGCGCTCGTCCGTGATGGGACGTGAAACTTCCGTTCCTCGACGGCAAGGTGGAACCTTCCAACCGCCATCGTCGTCTCAAATCTTCGAGTTCGTTTTCTGCTTTGGTACGCTCTGCGCGCTCTTTCTCCAACAAATCCTCGAGGACTACGCATTTGCTCCGTAGTGACTGTACCTCGGTATCTAGATCCTGCACCTGATCCTGCAATTGTTGCTGCGTCCTCTCGTACTCTTCCTTCTGCTCCTCCAACTGCTCCTCCAATTCGCCGACACGGGCGGCCCTTCGCTCGCGAAAAGCGCGCTGAGCAGCCCGGTTCTGAGCCTTCCGCTTGGTCGGTGGTGTATCTGTGGCGGGCTTCCGACCGGGCTTAGGCCTCGGAGGAACCACCCATTCCTTGCTGGTAATCGTGCCCTTCGCGACAGCGACTGTCGCCATTGTGGTGGCCTGCAGGGCAGCGGCAGCTGGTTTAATAGCAAGTTGGTGAGCCGATGTTGGCGTAGACACGCCGGAGATTGGTGAAGCGACAGACGAGGCGGGGGGAGATGCAGCTGAGATAGGGGTTATGGCGAGTTTGGTTGGTTGTGGCCTGGAATGGCCGTTCAAATTAGCAGAAGAGATGGTGACAGCAGTAGGGGTCGCCATGTTATTCCGATCCTGGAGCAGAGAGGCGGGTTAACCATTTAGTCAATCCTATTCGCTGTTCTGTTCGGAGACGCAATGCAGGCTCGGACATCAGCGTATGAGATGACTGTGGTCTTCCGCAGGTTTGGCTCCGCAAAATTGCGACCTGAACTTGATCGTATGATAGGTCCGAAGTAGGTAAGTAGACGGGTATATCAAAGAGGATTAGTTTACAAGTTTTAGTGATCCTCACTCCTTCCTATAGGTCGATTCTCTTTCTTGGTTAGATATCGTCGAGTTCCTCGGATTCGAGGGATGAGGAGGAGAAAAGACAACTGGAAGAGAATGCCGCCAGGATTGTGTAGCCCCAATAAAGCAAGCAAACTTGCGGGTGGCAGGCAACGTATGTAGAAATCGATGAGAGTGGGAACGGGCCGAGTTTCCCAGTCCTCGAGAGGGTCCGAATTAGGGCTTCCAACTTGCGCTTGGGAGTATTTTGTATACCGATACTTGGTATACTTGGATCAATTAGTTGGGGAGAGAAACCGGCAGGTTAAGCTTCTCCCTCTTAGGTTGATGGACCGCGAAGTGTGACTAAAGCTTGAGCAAATAAGGAAGATGAGACGGCAATCCAGCAGAACACCTCGTCAAGGATTCCCTCATCCAAGTTCGACAACCCTCACGGTAGTACCGGCGTGTGGTGGGGGTTTGACGAATTTGGGGGGTCATGCAAAGACTCAGACTCTGGACGGAGGGTTCACCGTTACGCAGGTATGTAATCTGGTAATGTAAGTAAAGTGGGAAGGGAAGAAGACGGATGGACGACGGTGGTTCGAGATCACTGATCAGATTGATAAGATTATGCCAGGGCCCTGTAACCCACACAGCCCATAGTAGTCCGTTCGCCGTTCGCCCAGACTGAGCCGACAAACGTCACATGGATCCCCAGATAGGATAGGCTCGGCAAGGGAGGGAGAAAAACTAGTATCATTGATCCATTTCTGCATCCTCGGGCCTGTCGGAAGCCGAGTTCATTCTTGCTCGTAGTAATTGGCAGCTGGTTGGATCGAAAATTGATTTTTATTTGTTCCTTGTTCCTTGTTGCTCCTCTTATTGTGGTTCTTGTGGTGTTTTCTTGTTCTTCTTATGGTTAGGTTAGACCTAAGCCAGTAGGGAAAATAGAAAATTGGCGAGAAAGAATTGGTGCTCGGGTGTGGCCGGAGAATAGTTTGCTCTAGCTCGACCGGCCCAACCAGCTCAAGCCACTTCAAGTCCCCGGTACCGGAGCGTTACTTGACTGCCCTAAAACGATTGCGGTGAAGATGGGAGACCGGGGCTGACCGGGCTATTAATAAACTTACGTCAGCAGCGTAAGGTGAACCTTTGGTGTAACACCAGTTGTAACTTTCGACCCCACATTCAATCCAGGAACTGACGTGCAGGGAATCTTCCCTGTCGCGACTCGCGATTCACTTTTGTGGCTTTGGGAATAAGTTTCAATCTCCAAAGATTGATGACTTGAAGTTTTTATGGGCTGCAGCACCTTCTAATTCGTAATAGGGGAAAGCAGATTAATGCCTGCATATCAAGACATGCCAATTGTCACTTTCTATACTATCGGATAAAATCCAACGAGGCAGCGAAGACAAGATTGAAGAACAAGAAACACAACATCCGTGGTACATATCTAGGTATCTAGGTATCTAGATATATAAGACATCAAATCTAAACATCTTTCTACTTCACCCCGGTTGTCCCCCTCAAGACTCGATACCATGTCCACTCTCGCGCCATTATCGTCGAATAGGCCAGTATCCTCCCGCAGCTTCGCCTTGGTCTCTTCCTCCTCTTCATCAGATAGCGAAGATGACGCACCTCTCCCTTTTCCCACCGCCCTCCCGCGTTCCGACTTTCTCGTCCCAGACTTCGACCCGGCAGAATACCTCTCCTCTCTCGCAAATCGCCATCAGACGCTCGAAGACCTCAGATCCGACCTCCGAGAACGCAGCGCCGCCATCAGCACCGAGCTCCTAGAACTGGTCAATTCGAACTACACTAGCTTCCTAAGTCTAGGCGACGAGTTGAAAGGTGGCGAGGAGAAGGTAGAGGATGTTCGAGTGGCATTGCTAGGATTTCGGCGAGCCGTGGAAGAGATCAAGGGCAGAGTACGAGAGAGGGGGTCTGAAGTTGCAGGTTTAAACCAGGACTTATCTAGCGTGAGAGGCGAGATTGAAACCGGGAGAAAGATGCTAGAACTTGATGAGAGGATATCTACGCTTGAGGGTCGGCTAGCGATCGGAAGTATAGGACCTGACAGTGACGACAGCGACGAAGACGACGAAGATGGAGACGAGTTAGACGGGGCGGTAGGGAGCAGCTCGGCGAAATTAGCACAGCTGGCGAACGAATACGTCACTATAGATGAGTTGGCCGACGATATAGGGAGAGATACACCATTCGTGCGGAAAATGGAGGAGAGGTTAATAAGGTGTCGAAACACCGTCCTCTTAGACCTTGGCGCCGCGTTGAAGGAAGCCAAACAGGCAGGCGGCAAAGGGCAAGCAAAGCTCCTTAAGCTGATGGGAATCTATTCCCTACTAGATGCTCAAGCAGAGGCAGTCAAGACATTGAAGAGCAAGTGACTAGACAAGATCAACGACATTTAACGAGTTGATACGCAAATCATATCATAGCAAGATACCCAAGCACCCCGACTCTTAAGTATGGTACAATTCTTAATATGGTCCTAATTCGTAAAACATGGATATTTACATCGCCGTACTCAGGTGCTCCGGCTGGATCTTCTCGTCGGTAGAGGCGAAACTTCCGCTCAAACTAAAACCCGGACCATTTGTAGAAGTCAGGACAACTTCGATCAAGTCCTTCTTAACCCTGTCCTCCATGTTTATGATATTCTCCCTCACTTGCGCCACAAGCACCTTGACGTTCTCGGACAGCATCTTGGGGGTAAATTGGATGTTCCCTATGGGCATACGGATCGCGCCAACCTTCTCCCTATACGTTTCGGCGCCGACCATTTCGTGCATGAGACCTTGCACACTTTTGGTGAGGGTGTTCGTCTTTAAACTAGGCATTAGACCTTTAGGACCTAATATTCGACCGAGGCCGGCCTGTTTGAGTGAAGCCTCGCAATCGACGTGGCAGATTAGACGGTTAAACGGCAGCTTTCCCGGGGTCGTCCTAATGAGCTCGTATAAAGAGTCTTCTCCAAATGCGACGGCTCCGTTAGCGCGGGCTTCGGCCATCGCTCCGCTACCCTCCTTGCAGATGACGGCGATGCGCGTGTCGTTCTTGACCGGAAATGGCAGACGTATCCGATTCCGAAGCACGACGCTGTTCTTGGGCGTTCTGATTTTCAAAGAGACTTCGTAGGTAACAGATGATGGAGGACGGCCTACTTCGACTGCTCGTAGGTATCTATAGTCCGTTAGTGATCGAGGACGAAGGACGAATGACAAGCAACTTCGCAGGTTATGTGATAGGAGGGAATTCCAATTACCGCATAGCGTCGCATAGAGACCACCTCTCGCTCTCGCTTGGTGTAGCGTATTTGTACTCCTTAAAACGCAGCTGCCTCTTCTTCTTCTTGAGCTTCTCTTTTTCGCGCGCTCGCATAGCGACAGTACCAGCGCTCTTACATCGCGTCTGGACTATCGACGGAGCTAGAAATCTAGGTATTGTCGCATTGATTGGTCTTATAGGCGCCGAAAGACTCAGCCTCGCCAGCGAAGCGATACATTGATTCGCCGTAGCCATCGTATGCCTGGGGTATCGTGTGGCCGTCGAGGGTTGTTGAACTGCAGTCTAAATCGAAGCTTCAAAAAACCAATATTCAGAATATGAATTTTAGGACAAGGATGTAAAGATCAACTCAGCCACAGTTAGCCTCTTTGGCCTCAGGCAGTCCTGGGCCTTGGCAGCTTAGGGAAATGCTGTGAGAAGCCACATTCACTATCTTATCTTTATCTAATCGGTACCTAGATACGTACCCCGCCGACGATGCAAGAGCTTTTCTATCTTTTCTGTGTAACGCGGTTAGTGGGGTGACCCCGCCACGAAATCGGTGGTGTGGTTGTTGACTCAATTCATTTTTGACTCTTATACAAATTCAAATTTCCAACGGCTAAAACATTGACTCACCACTTCCACAAGGAAGCTTCACACAACTTTGACGATAGTTCAACATTGCCAAGATGAAGGCAGATGAGCTCGTCGCCGTGTCCACCTCTCTAGGAGGGGACTTCAAATCGATTGAGCCCCACCTCATCCGACTCGAGAAGCATTTGACCTTAAGGACTTACCTTGCCGGATATTCTCTAAGCGAGATTGACGCCAAGATTTGGGTCGCCATCAAGAGCAATCGCGTCGCTGTCTCTTTCGTCCGCAAGGGATCCTACGCCAACCTCCACCGATGGTTCACGTACGTCGAGCAAGCCCATCCGGAGATCCAAGCCGAAGTCAAGGCCGCCGACGAGGCGCGTAAGACTAAGGTCCAAGAGGCTAGTCGAGCAGGAGCAAGTTACAACTTGGCCTTGCAGGAGACCAGTAAGGGGGTTGTCACTCGATTCCTCCCCGAGCCCTCGTAAGAGCCCATTGCCATTACTTATACATTTAATCTATAGTCTATTATGGGTATAAGCATCAGCATTTCTAACATGAGCGCAGGGGATACCTTCACATAGGACACGCCAAAGCCGCCTTGCTTAGCGACTATTTCGCCCACCAAGCGTACAATGGCACGCTCCGCCTAAGACTTGACGATACTAACCCGAGCAAGGAGAAGGAGGAATACCAAGATGCCATCATAGAGGATCTTGCTCTTATGGGGGTTAAACCGGATGTCGTCACCTACACCTCGGACTACTTCGACCATCTCTACGATACCTGCCTGGGCCTTATCAAGGATGGTCACGCCTATGCCGACGATACGGACGTGGATACTATGCGCGAAGAACGAGGAAAGGGTATCGCATCCAAGAGACGAGACCGGACAGTCGAGGAGAATTTGCGGATTTTCGACGAGATGAAGAACGGCACGGAGGAGGGCTTGAAGAACTGCATCCGTGCTAAGATCTCCGTCGATAACCCGAACAAGGCAATGCGCGATCCCGTAATCTACAGATGCAACCTCAACGACCCCCACCATCGGACGGGTACTAAGTGGAAGATTTACCCTACCTACGATCTGGCATGCCCCGTCGTCGACAGCTTAGAGGGTGTCACGCATGCCTTGAGGTCAACAGAGTATACCGATCGAAACCCTCAATTCCAATGGTTCCTCGACACGCTCAAGTTGCGCCAGGTGTATATGTGGGACTTTGCGCGTATGAACTTCATCCGAACTTTCTTGTCGAAGCGAAAGTTGGCGAAATTGGTCGATACCGGCCGGGTCTGGGGTTGGGATGACCCGCGGATGCCCACGATTCGAGGTATCCGAAGACGAGGCATGACGATCCCTGCGCTTCGCGATTTTATTCTGCGACAGGGCCCGTCCCGAAATGTCGTATCCATGGACTGGGCTAGCTTCTGGGCCACCAACAAAAAGATTGTTGACCCGGTCGCGCCACGACACACCGCCATTCTCAAGAAGGACCACGTCAAAGTCACCGTCACGGGAGACGATGCGCCTGCGGAGCCACGTTCCGAGGACAAGCCGCTCCACCCTAAGGACCCTAAGGTCGGAACGAAGAAGGTGGCTTTTAGCAAGGAATTGATACTGGATCAAGCCGACGCCAAGTTGTTCAAAGACGGCGAGGAGATTACATTGATGCAATGGGGCAACGCGTTCGTGAAATCTGTCGCCAGCGGTGATCCGATCAGCAGTCTCACAGCCGAGCTAAACCTGAAGGGAGATGTTCGCTCTACGGACAAGAAGGTAACCTGGCTCTCAACGCAAGGACAGAAGCTCATCGACGCGGAACTCTGGGACTTCGACTACCTGATTACCAAGGATAAGCTCGAGGAGGATGACGACTTAGAGAAGTTCCTTACACCTGTGACGGCTACGATGGAGGAGGCATTCTGCGACGAAGGCGTGTCGAAGCTTAAGAAGGATGATATTATCCAACTAGAGCGAAGGGGGTACTATCGCGTGGACAAGGGATACGACGAGGGTGATGAGAAGAAGATCGTGTTGTTCTGCATCCCAACAGGTAAGAACAAATAGATACCTAACTAGACTCGACATACGGTTCAATAAGGTCTTGATGATCGGAGGAAAATCAAAAAGCATCTGATGATAAGCTCAATTAAGCTTGCGCTGTCATTACGTATGTGAGGTGACCGTAAAATCAACTCAAAAATTCGTACTACAAAATTAAATCGAGGACTATTCTGAGCTATGAAATAGTGGTGACACTGCTAATACTACATGATTGTTTGCAATGCTTTCTACATAGTGGTAACATTAGCAAAGTTCCAAAATGTCATTTGTATAGACAACGATTATAACATCCCTGAAAAGAAGTATACGCCCGACTATAGACTACTGGATATAAACCGGAACAGCTCGAGAGACAACAAACTTATTACTCTAATTACCTAGGTATATGTCAAGGTGGAATGTCTTGGAACTTGTGAATGATATGTATTGTTACAACTAACACGGTTCTACATCACAATACAGCTAAGAGTATAGGTACGCTTGAGTAAATTGCATATATCAGGACCTAGTTATTACTCAATAACATAACCCCGTCGTACTGCAGTTTCGAAGACATTTACCACAAGCGTTAGATGTCATCGTGACAACCTATTATAGAACACAATTAGGGATATCATCATGACAGCTGTCTAATCTTACGTATGCAGTAAGCGTTGTATTCAAGAGCCATCTAGACCCGAGGTTAGTACGTTGAGCTATATAAATATGACCATATATGTACAACTAGAAATGTTAGGTTATGCTACGTTACTCTAAGGCTGAGCCTCTTATAATAAGGCCTCAGCCTCTGATCCAGGACACCGACCTTATAGGACAATCCATGTATTCTTCCCACTTATACCAACGCCCCTCATCCTTGATAATGAAGGTTTATCAATAGTTTCTTAGCTGGGTCCAGCCGTGTTATTAGAATCGTAGTAAGCATCAACTGGTTCATTATTGGTTCTATAAAAATGTTTGATGACCAAGCCCCTTAGTGACCGACTACGCAATCAAGACTCAGCCAGATTGCCTCGAGACAAATCGGTAGATTACCAGATAAGGGCCAAGGCTCACCAATTGAAGTCGGGCATCATTCTTACATTGTTTACCTGGTGCTCGAGGACATAAGTATGGTTACATATTTACCAATATCTTCAGTACACCCCCTAAGCTCTGAGCCCCCCTTTTAGCAACAAGCAGGTTCGAAGAGTCACTGATATGACACAGGCTGCGAGTGATCGTGCCGGACACGAGGCAGTAAGCCTTGGTCGCCCATACAAGTCAATTTCTCGAGAGATGACTCTTAACGTTGTGATGATGTGGCTCCAGTAGATATATCCATCGCAGAGCGGGCTGCGCAAGGGGTCCCCCAAACAACGCCGAATTTCCAGAAGCGCAGTTCTGCCTTGGGCGGCCTCCACCCCCATGGCCTCACGATCCGCCCATGATATGGGAGATCCAGATACACGGACTCGCGTCGTGAAAGGAAAAATCTGGAAACCTTCGTTGTCTCCTCTTTCTCGTTTCCCGAATACGTCCCCAAGTCCCTGACAGCAGCACCCCCGAACGGCACTCTCCACTCCCGTCCCCGGTGGTTCGCATCACGCAGCAGCTTTGTTAGCCCTGCTCCGGAATACGGGGCGAAGTACAGCTCAATTACAGCTCAAGGATGGCCCACCGAGGACAACCCGTTTTAAAGCAAGGGACCTTTGTACATGTCACCTAGCTCTACTGCTCTATTAGAGAACGACCCATAGCTGAGCAACTGGTGTTCCCGTTTTGGGCGAACGACTCTCCCGTTACGGTCCTTGTGAGAGGTGATAGATATTGCTGTGGATTCGACGATGTTGGCAACTATTCGTCGTTCGGTGAACGTTTTGCTTACAAGGAATAACTCCTATGTTTGCCCAATACCTACCTAGGTCATCTATGCGGACAAGATCGTATACTACTAGATTAGACTAGACATGTACCTCGACCCATATTCCACACTTAATACCTCCGTTATACTTCAATATTTGACAACGTGACACAACCTCGGATTGACAGCGGTTGGTTACATGTTCTATGTGGAAGACGAGAGAACCCTACAGTTTCACAATTGACTCGTACAGGCCAGCGGATACCATACCTACCCAAGACGGGATATGTTTGAATGGACAAATCGACTCTTGCAACCGAAGCCGGCGGATAAGAGGATACGTGTAAATCAAGTTGATATTTGTCAGGGGCTGCAGTATGGGCTGTATGGGGTACGCATATAATCATAGTATCGTGAAGAGCTCTGAATTTCTAGTTTATCTAAAGTCTATAGGTTTGCTCTGCCATGCGCCGTGACAGCACCAGGATTTCGCAACGGATCCGGGGTGTACGTATAGCGTGCTGTTGAATCATAGATGATACTCGGCCGGTTCGGCTTTGAGCTTCTCGTGTAATTGGGGATTGTGGACCTTTCCCGGATCTATACGATCGGGGTCCTGTGGGCGCGAAAGAGTCAAAAGTGAGAGTTGAGCTCTCAGTTAGGCAGGTGAAAGTCCCACTTTGCAGCTTTTCCGGAGTGTCGGTCCTTGGACGTCGATACTTACGCATTTGCTCCTAAACACGTCTGTCACGGCCCGTAAGAGGGACCTGCTATGTTGTACAGCGATGACTGGCTTCCATGAGCTAATGCCGCTTCGAGTCGACTGTCTGTAGGAAGCCGTAGCCGATTGTGATAGTCCGATGTTGATAGTCCGATTTCGAGAAAAGACAGTCTATTCTACGGACGGACCTGCGACTATACGCGACTATATGATAGTACACTCCACCTGCGTGACTGGATGAACCCGGGAACCTTGGGACTCCGTTACCAATCTGGGGCGCGTATACTAGATTTCGCGAGCGGTGGTTGGTTGGCTAGATCTATACAGTATACTCCAGCGCTAGAGATATACTGGAGATACATGCTGGAGTATACCCACATGAAATCTTCTATAACAGGATCTAAGCTCAGACGAACGCGTTCTCGTGAGGCTCCACTAGAAACTGGGATGGTGCGACTGACGTGCATCAATGAGATCTGTACAAGGCTGAAAGGGGGAATCGGATACCTGAACAGATTGGTATCGCGTGTATCCAGACTAGGAAGGATCGTGGGTGGGATTTGGTTGGGCTACATTGGGAACTCTTAACACGACTATGCCTGAAACCTTCTTGTGGTTGCCCGATATCGAGTTAATCAGCCGCTGGTCATCATGCATTGCAGCTGTGTCCAATGGTTCAAAGGCAGGGCACGAATAGGCCGCGACGGACTATTTGTATTGCTAGCCAACCGGTGCGAGGACGATTGGATTAGAATATTTAAACATAAAATAATAAAAATAAAATACAGAATAGAAACATAAAACAAAAAGAAAAGAAGAGCGGACGTGGTGGTCGCGTTAAATGAATATGTGGGCATGCAGGAGGCAATTGGATGCGTTGGCAGGAGTCGACAGGCATCCGTCTCGCGTGGAGGCCGGGGATTGGGCGAGATGCAGGTCTCCAAGGGCTCCCCTCGACCGCTGTAGGTTAGCAAGACATATCTTCACTTTTTTTAATTAGCGAGCCGCCGGCGGGAAATAATCCAAAAGGCTACGGTGGGATCTGCATCGTTGACCGCCGTGTCGGGCGATGCAGCCTTGGACTGCCAGGGCAGAGCGACGATTTGGGTAAGATTGAAATTTAAGAGGCATGAGAGGCATGGAAGGCGAAGAAGCTTAGCAATGCAATATGCAAGGCCAACTCATCGTGTCCCTCATCGACCCTCGCCTACCAGACCTACCACGTTCAGCCGATAGCCGTTTTCTGCCACTGGCCTATACTGGTCTATACCGGACCACACTGGGCGGCAGGGCTATCCTCCGGCCGCTGCCACTGGCTATAGCCAAATAGCGGTTTGTATCCAATGCTGGTTGATATGCTGGTTGAGATATGCTGGCTGAGTGAGATGATGGATTCCTGCATCCCGACATGCGAAGTGTACCTTTTCTGGATGATATGGAAGATACCTGAACGAGGAACGAACGAGAAACGAACTTTTCTCGACTTTCCATTTCTCTTCCCTCCGTTCTCCGTTCCCCGTTCCCCGCTGTTCCTGTTCTCCGGCACTCTCCTAAGAGGGATCGGTTATTTTCTTGGAAGACTTGCTTGTCGATATGTGTTTGGGTCATTGGTTATAGCCCCTCCTTTTTCTTGCGCCGTTTGCGCATTGTTGTCCGATGTGAAGAGCCGAAGATTGGCAATCGTGATGAAGTATGTATCTATGAAATTGGAGAGATCGGGGAGATTGGAGAAGATTGGAGAGGATTAGAGAGGATTGAGAGGATAGGAGAGGAGAGAATAAGAGGATGATATTATTATCTTTTTCTTCGTGTAGCTTGTAAGCCGTAGCGTAAGCCTGTAGCCGCGGGGCAAGGACTCGACTTCGAGTTCTATGCTTCGCGTTCACATATGTGATATTGTGTGCAGTATGACATGACCAGGGGGAATCTTGGGGAGTGCGAAAGCTGAGATAAGGCAAAGATGGGACGGTATAACCTTGAAACCTGGAACGAAGGGGAAAAAGCGAGGGAAAAAACCAAGGAGCTGGACTCAATCCCTTAGGTAGGTTAATCTGGCATCTCTAATCTTAACAATAACACGATTATTTCCGTATTGCTAGGGCTTATCCGGATTTGTCCAGTAAGAAGGGCCTCGAACTTTGCCTCCCTGACGAAGCGTGCATGTGTTGTTGTATCGTCATAATGGTCGCCTCTCATGTGTGTTGTACACCCGCCAGATGAGGGACTAGACCGTCCTCGAACGTGGTTGGTCGATTGGATGGTTGACTCAATCATTGATGTTTGGCAAACGTCGGAGGGGGGCAATGGATGTTCAATGGGGCTGGCGGTGGGAGAGAAGAAGAAAAAAAAGGAGGGGTGGACTCCGTATGATAATTCCCGACCTACTGTACACGGCTGGATTGCGGCAATTCTATCAGGTGTACCTACTTCCCTAGTACCGTACCTAGGGTTAGTAACTGCAGGTAACTGCGACGCCACGATAGTGGAGGTACTTGCTAAATCGTTACCGCTCCCGCACGAATTATCTTGTGGCACCTACCACCGCCATTCCCATCCGCCTTATGTCAGGTTCCCGATGCTGCCAATGCCGCTCCTTCTTCGCGATATTTCGCAGCCCCGGTACGTAGTTACGCAGCCCCGGTACACAGCTAACAAGTGGCCCAGGCCAACCGTACTAAAACCGTACTAAGCGGTACTAAGCGGTCTCGTTCTTACCCCACGCCGGCCAACGACAGTGCGACAACTAAATGCTGTTGTGTAACTGGATGCTTCGACAGCTGGACAAGGTTTACAAGGTTTGACAAGGTTTCTATCTAAGGTCGACAGCCAAAAGAAGTAGAGCCGGCAAGACACATCACACATCATCTGTCTCTGCAACTGCTGCTGGGTGTTGTCTGCATATTGTTGTTTCTCTACCTACTCTCGCTCTCGCTCTCCTTCACACTCTCTTTTCTTTTTTGCCCGTATCTGCATTTTTTACTCTGTCTGCTACTACCTGTCTGCTACCACACTACACCCTCCCTAGGCACTATCCAGTGGGAACACGCCATCTAACCTTTTTACTCCGAATTATATACATACTATATACCGGGCTGCCGGAGCCGACGAGGCGACAAAACAAACGGCGTTAGCCAAACAAGAACGTCCGAAAGAAGGGGAAGTAAGCAAGTTGTAAAGTGGCTGAAGAGAAGAGCTGAGAATTATTATTTATTTATTATTGAGCTCTATTGATTAACATATATCTTACCGTACCATACCATACCTACATACCTGCCGAGGATGCTTGCTTATACAGCTCACGCTACCCAATAATTACACTCACTTTTTATGACCTGGCTGGTCTGGGATCAACCGCACCGCGACCGCGACGGGACTAGCTTATATCCCAGCTAGTATCGATTATAGACCCTTGCCGAAAGCTCTCCGTCTCCGTCATTATCTAATTATATTCTTACTACTTGAAGCCCAACCTCTACCTTACGGTCTCTACCACCCTACCATTCCTGTCATCCTATCAACCTATTCCTAGGTACCTCGCATACTTGACCACGCATACCATATACATACTTCCGTACATCCCTTCCACCCATCCATAACCGTCGACATCCATACCTTTCCTAATCTTTACCCGACTTGACCTACGCTTAAACCCACGCTTAACCCACTTGAGCTATCCGCGCAACATCCGCCGACAAATCTGCTCTCACTTATACCAAGCCACACCAAGCCTTGTTTTTCGCTGCTTCATGTCTAGATGACATATCATAGAAGCACATCGACGACTTTGACGACGATCGAGTAAATCGTGTACATCGTGGCTACGTAGCAGCTCTCAACTTCGGGGGGTGCTGCTGGTCGTGCTGGGGTGAAGGAGAGGCGTACTTTGCGAATTAATCCTCATATGCGCCCACTATGATCTCCATGCAGCGATCTCTATCATCGCCCGTTTGCATACATTCTTCTCCACGTGAGTCGGGCGGAAAAAGACCAAGATGAGATGTGCCGGATCCAAACCCAAAGTCTCGACCTCCGTTTTCGTATGTCAGGTTACTGACCAGTCGCCTTCGATTATAGCTGCGTCTCCGACCACCTCCCATCCTTCTTCCCGTTCCCCGACCCCCTCTCCCGAAACCCGACCGGAAGTGTCACGCCCGCGACGATTTCGATCCCGAAGCCCTTCGAAGGGGCATCGCCGGCGCGAGTCGTCGGGATCCGTTCGCAGAATTGGCGGCGGCGGCGACGAGACTTCTCGCGATGCGACTTCGAAGCAGCAGTCGAGCGCCAACCCGAGCGCCGGCGCGAGTGCGCCGAAGAAACCGGTAATTGACCAACCCGTAGGCCCGTCGCCGAAACCCCCTCCGTCACCGTCCCCGGCCTCTAGCCCGCCTGCTCCGTCGAGCCCATTGCAGCCCATTTTGAAAGACCAAGATGATTCCGGTCCGCTTCCGCGACCTCTCTTGGCTGATGTATCCTTATATACCAATCCCCACTTGAATATCGAAGCCGAAGGTACCACTCTCGAAGAGCTTGCCCATTTGGTCCGGCTGTCCAAGTACCAGGAGCGCAAGTGCGCCAACACTCGAATTCGCCTTCAGAGGAGTTTGATTTCAACCGCTCTCTCGGCGCGGCTAACTCGCTGCGGGGAGACTTCGCTGCGCAACTTGGCGGACAGCTTCCGGAATGATGACAAGAGAGCTTTTGCTAATCTGTTTGGTGCCATTCATGATGTTCGCAATAGCTGCGACGCAACCCGTCGCTATGCTCTTTTGGAGCCGGAGATGGAGTCTTTGCAATCGTCGGGGGTAGCGTCCGTCGAGACCCTGGTACCTCCGCCCAGCACGGCTGGGACCGTTGGTCCCGGAACTTCCGTTGTCCCCTTCCTTAATGACATTTCTGCTTCTGCCAGAGAAACTTTCCTAAGCTTTCTTACCAATATTCGGACAAATCCGGACTACCTTGCCACGCGACTGTGCGCCTTGAACACCTCAGAACTCCAGGCTCTTACTACTTTTCATCAGGGGTTGGAGCCGATAGAATCTGTCTTGCCGTACCACGGTCGTTCCGGTGGACGCGGGCATTCCAGCGGCCCTAGTAGACAGTCGGGGCAAACCCCTAACGCCGTTGAGCGGCTGCTTTCTTTCCAGCGTCACGATCCCCTTTCCGCTCTGATTTACACCTGCTTTGCTAACTCGGCCGGTCCGGACAGCGCCGAAGACAAGCGGCGAACCGGGATCTGGGCCACCGCGTTTGCTCGCTTGATCTCCACCAAGTCTACTAGTGAGCCGGTCTTGATCTCGATTCTCAATGCTTGGTCCGCTATGCGTGATTGGTCGGGACGCGCTAACATGGAGTGGTATCTGATGAAGATACTCGAGGATGGCGCGTTCCTGCTCGACCGAGCCGAGGACCAGAATGGAACGAGGTTCAACCTTTCTGACTGGACTACCAAGGACAGCATTGCCGCTGAGGAGTTCTACGATCGTGCCGTCAACGATCTCTTTGGTATCATCGATGATGAAGACGCGACGGGCATTCCCGAAGGCGTGATCGAACTTGGAAATGAAATTCTTCGTCGGCTGGAGATCAAGGATAGCACTCGCAACCTTGTCGATACCACCCGAAGATGGTTTGTATACAAATGGATCTTTTCTAGTTGGTTGCTTGCTGTTGTTATCCACCCGGAGAGCTATGGGATGATGACCGAATACCACATTACTGAATACGGCCGCCAGAAGATCCTCAAACAGGTTGCTACGCTCGCCCAGCACTACGTTGTGGAGATGCTTGCAAGTGGAAATCCCCAGAAGCCGGTGTCTACCCCTCTCAAGATCAAAGGCCACATTGAGAATATCATGGGCCGCTTCAAGACATCGGCGAGCCGGGGGACTGGTAGGCTGCTCCCGGCTAGGTCCATCACTTCCTTGAGAGAGACCGTCGAGGTTCATCCCTATCTGGTGATCAGCCCGGCTGACCTTGTTACGCTTGCCAATGCTCTCTACCCGGAGCGTAGGCCGCAATCTGCTCACTCGAGTAGCATTCGGTCCGGCGCGCCCTCGATATCAGGCTTCTCTGCCATTTCGCAGCCGATATCGATAGGCACGTCAAGGAGTAACTTTGACACCGCCTCCGTGCTTAGTATGAGCGCGTCGTCTGTTTTCAGTGATGGGACTACTTCGGGAGAGCCTCTGCTTGAAGATCAAGTAGCCGGCACCCCCCAGAGACGCTCTCCGCCTGTGCCTGACGGGACGAGGCAAAGACCCGCTAACAACAATTACGAAGACGACGGTTACCGTCTCCGGCTGGCGATGCACGAGATGGGTCAGATCTTAGGTTCGGATGTGATATCGGGTTCATGCCATCCTTGCGCCGAACGTTGGGCTGTTATATTCATTTCTGCTGATGGGAACGGCCTTTCTTTACAGATGACTTATGATCCTGATGACGAAGCCGAGGAGGAGAATTCCTCCACTACCAGTGACACGGAGGATGATGAACCCGACGAGAAACCCGAACTAGACAAGGACTATCATCAATTGCGAGACTCCGTCCTAAAGCTAGTCGAAGATTTTGAAATCCCTCTGGGCCTCGAGGATCACGGTACTAAGACGACATTCAGCAACAGGGCTTCCGGGCTAAAGAAGTATCGATCTAAAAATAAAATCATAACGCCGGGGAGAACCATGGGCAGCAACAACCCTTTCCGCAATAGGTGCGAAGAGCAAAAGTCGAAGCGACCTGCCAACGAAAGTCCCCACGCTGAAGGTAAGGAGCCGGCAAGCGAGCACGAGTCTTCGGTACTAATCAAGATGCTCTCCGCCGCCTCTTCGCAATCGCGAATCCAGTCTGATTTCGTGTCGGCGCATCTCTATTGGAAGACTCTCCAGCAGCTGAATGCTCTAACGTCTCCGTCGCTACGTAAGAATGGGTTTGCAACGCTCCTAAACATATTCTCTCGAGGCCCTCGCGATTCTATCCGTCGTTCTGCCTCGGCTATCGAAGAATACGATGCATGGTTGGTATGGCTGAAGCAGAGTCAAGAACGTCACGAATGCCATATTGAGACTATGATGAAACGACTGAAGGCGCTTAGGGATAAGATGTGGTACGTGACGGACGTTCATAACTCAGCTCCTTACGAACAGACTCGGAATATTTGCAGCGCGCTCAAGATCATGGGCGTGCCGAGGAAATGGGGCACGTTTCAGCGCAACCGAGCTCAGCTGGCTCGAGGGCCGGCTGCCGCATATATCTATCGGAACGAATCTCAGATGTTGGATTTGCTGGCTGCTAGCGAAGAACAAGGAGGACCGAACAAGCTCAGCGACGCCCAGGCCGAGATAACTAGTAAATGGCTAGAACAGCTCGGCAACCCGAACATGTGTCAAGGAGAGGAACGCATACATCGTTTCTGCTGCGAAGTCGACAGTTGCGTAACCAAGCTTGTCGGCGAGAACATCGTGGATGGTCCCGTGCTTTGGTCTAGCGAGCTGTACTCCCGCGATCGCAAGGTATTCGAAGGTTCCCGAAGCGGCGGCGGCCGAGATAGAGAGAGCTTGTGGGGCGACGATGCTGCTAGCATAATAAGCAGCGAACATGACAGACGATACGCATCTCCCACGCGTCGTCCGGGCTCGATGGCTCGAGACCTAAGAAATTTGTCTACGTTCAACACCAGTCAGGTGTCTCTCGATTCGCACCACCGATACAGTTTCTCGCGAGCAAGTACTGCGTTGTCCGATACGTTCGATGCGCACGACTATTTTGGGGGAACTTCTCCAATCCATGCCATCGATTCGACATCCACTTTCTGGTCTCCCTTCCAGTCTACGATGTCGACTGTCAGCTCGGCAACCTCGCGTGCCCAATCGCCGACGACGAGTGTCACCAATCTCTCTAGCACCTTCTCGTCGTCCCATCCAAACCACCAGCCCCTGCCATCTCACCACACCGCTTCCCGATCTGGAGCGTCGGTATCTTCGAATGAGACTGTCCACCTGCGTCGTCTCTCCGAAGGAAAACAGCGCTTCCTCTCCGATCTACGACAAACGCTCACCAGTCTATTGCTCTCCGAACTCGGTAGCCTTGTATTTTCGTCCGGCTCCGAGACAGATGGTTGGTTTGGAGGTCTCGGCCAAGAATGCATTGAGCGCCGGGACGCCGAAGAACGGAAAGCGCGACGGCCTTCAGGAAGGAGGGATCGTATGAGTAAGAGTTCCAAGCAGAGGGTGATCGAGAAGAGGAAGAGTTTTGGTAACCTCAGGCAAGCGGGAGAAGCGAACAGGGCGGATCTGGGCCCGGAGAGACCTGATAGTGCTTCCGGGCCAGGCAACGACAGCTCTGCTACGAGCGACACGATGTCAGCTCGTGGAAAATCTTCGAGGAAGAGGGATACGCCAGACTTCCCTTATACGAAGGCATACCAGAGACTTTTAGGAATGTTCGCCGTCCATCCAAATCCATATACCAAACTAAATGCTCTACTTGAACTAGAGCGTCTTATAGCCGCATCTCTCTCTAGCGGCGGACGTCGTTCGCGGTGGGCCGCGAGGCACCAATCCGCGTCGATTGATGAGGATGTTGGCGGGCCTGAGAATGCCGATACAAATGAGCCCGGCGCTGAGAGCCCTAGAGAACGGCGCGCTCAGCCGTACATGTTTTACCAGCCTCGCTCGAACAAGAACGTCGAGACGCGCTCTATCATTTCTGTCAAGGAAGCGGCTAATACGGATGCGATTGCGACGGTGCTTCGTTCCTTATTCAAAGACGCGGGCATCCGACCGAAGACGCTGTTTCGCGATCTTCAATTTATTAACTCTTTTGTTTCTCCTTCCACTTTAGACGGTGAACGTAATAAGGCGTTTTGGGACATTGTAGTAGTAGCACTTTCGCTTAAGCAAGATGTCCTCACGACGATGGTCGAGGTTGCGGATGAGATCTTGAACTACTGGACCCCTTCGAGGAAGCGTCCTGGCGGCGTTGACGGATCACCGGATATGCTACGTCCGAAGCAACCGCTCCACGAGCTTCGCGACGCGGCGAAAATGTGGACGATCGCGGCGAAGGAGGGCAACCCGACGGCGCAGCGAGAGCTGGGGCTCTTCAACCTCAGCAACCCTGAGTTGGTGGAGAGAAGCACGCTACCTCTGTCGAAACCTCGGGATGTATTTAAGCAGGCCGTGATGGATAAATTCGGCCCAAAGGCCGGAAGTGGCATGCGCCATGCGCCCGACCGGAGCCGAAGCAGTCTAGGTGCGGCAGGACCGGCATCTTCAGGCATGCAAGACGCGGGCATGGATGGCGACGTTCGGAGCGACCCGACTCTGATGTGCGTCGCTATCCACTGGATGAAGGAGGCCGAACGTGGCGGAGACGAGTTGGCCAGAACGTTCCTTGGCCAGAACGAGATGATGGGACTATGATGATTGCTACGCTGACGTTTGCTACCGCATTCCTCCTCGTCTTACCTACGTTTTTATGAAACCTGTTTGCGCTCACGGATTATTTTTGTCAGGCATAAGTGGCTGGATACCGGGAGAAAGATACACACACACATACACGTTCACATGTTCAACACATTTCCCATTGTCAGTTGGATACCCCCCCTGACTCTCGTTTTTCTACGACTACCTCGGCGTAGTATTTTCTTTTCTCTTCTTTGTTTTCCGCACCTGTTCCAATTTTAAAATCGATACCCAAACACCATTTAGCCTTTTCCAGTCATATTGGGCTTAGGAAATACCAGGGTAAAAAGAATAGGATATGATGACATGGGATTTGCGGAATTGGGAACATACCTAACATATATTCATACCCGCAATTATTCGCTGGCCGGGAAGTATTTACCCATCGAATTGGAAGTCGGCAGGCTGTATCACTACTATTTTTATTCGTGTAAGCGTTGCATTATTCAAATCAATCTTGGCCCGCGTTTTACGGGTTTGACGGGATGCCATGCGAATGGATCTGAATGCGAATACCTTTACTACTCTACTTTGCTCATATAGACAGGGCGCGGCAGCATACGAGATGGATATACCAAATAGGGATCATTTAACTTATTTATGACTTTCAATAGATACATGCATTGTAACCTCTTAATATATCTGCCCTTTTTGAGTGAATACCTAGCTAGTAGCTGACTTGACTTGGTGTGAAGGCGTGCATGTGAGAGCCACTGATCGTTCTGGTTATTTCTGTAAAGCTCTTCCCACAAGATGGGTAAGACAGTGCGAGGCGTAATATAAAGCCCCCTTGTTACGAGATCGTCAGGCACAGACACGTGGGCTGGGAAGACCAGGGGAGCCTTACCAGGGGAATATCACACATGATAGGCTTAGGCAGCCGTCATAGTTGGATACAATGAATTATATATTACCATGGCTCATGCTGGGGTATCATAGGTCTAATCTATCTTCCCTCTCGCACTTGACGTCGATGTGCGACCACCACTATGCCCATCTTGGTTCAAAAGACCTTGCTCCTCCTCGTCATCGGCATCGATGGAGACGACGGTCATATCTGATCGAACCCGAAACCGCTTGCCCCTCCAATTCACGGTAGCACCGAGAAACACGGCCCAGGTCCAGATGGGCAAAGCCAAGACCTCGCGCCCCAACCAGGCGAGGAACCACTCGCCGAATCGGCGCTTCTCCGCTCCGCCGTGGCTGAAGCCGCGGGCGAAGGTGGGCGTGTGTTCGTCCACGTGGATGCTCTGGCCGGCGTGCAGCTTCTTAAATACGACGCGGTCGACGAGCATCCAGGCCGCGACGCCGGCGAGCCAAAGATACCCCAGGGCGCGCCATGTCTGCGGGACGCCAAGGTTTTCGTGAAACCACGGCACGCTCGTGAGCCCGAAGGACACGTAGAAGCAGCACACGAGGCTCTCGACGCCGTGCTCGACCAGCGTGGCGGATAGCACGGTCCATTTCCGCGCGCGCAGCCATCGCACCCTGCGCGCGACGTATGCAGGCACCGACATGCCGGCCATGGGCTGGATGGCCAGGTCGCCCCAGACCAAGCCGTGATTCGCGAAGCCCGGCAGGTCGGACCGCCACAGCAGGTCGCCGATGACGTGATCCTCGCACATAAACAGGGAGAAGTGGTCGAGGCCCTTGGGCAGGGTCGCGGCTCTGCCCGTCAGGATCGGGTTCTGGGCCGGGTCGGTCACGCGGTCCAGGTGCGATTTGCGGAACATGTTGCTCTTGCCTACGATGCAGGGCGCGACGCCGACGGTGTTGATGGCGCCGTAGAATTTGGCGTGCGTCGTCGCCATGAACATTTCTTCTAGCCTGCCGCCGCCGTGGGCTAGGGACCTGGAGAGGATGGAGGTGGGCACGTCGACGTTGGATTCGGCGTCGGATCCGCCGGTTACCGATGATCCGGATAGGAGAGTCTGTCCTTCGGCGTTCGAACTGCTCATAGAGGTGACGGTGTCCACGACTAGAGGTAGCTGGTGCACGAATTTGAAAGGTTTAGCTTGCTTGCCGTCTGGTCGGTACCCGCAGAGTCTGTCGACCATACGACCAGCCACGTCCCTCGCGATCCAAACATTACAGTCCAGCGGCCATATTATATCTCCTTTAGCTTCTCTATACGCCCTACTCAGATTTCGGATCTTCGGGTTTGGACCGACGTTGTCTATGTGGCCATTGTCGCCGTGAAGGTAAGGGTCTTCGGCCTCGACAAAGACTTTGGCGTCGAAGCCGTGGTAGTTGTCGAGAAGTTTTCGGATGACCGGATACGCAGCATCTTCCTTGGATGATACGCAGAAGTAGATGGTCAACTTGTCTTTCGGGTAAGACTGGTGAAAGACGGAGGCGAGACATTCGTATAAGCCAGGCTCAAGGCCTTTGGCAGGTCGGATTATAGTTACGTGAGGCACCTCATCTTTCGGCAAGTACGGAGAGACTGGTTTGGGCGGGACTGAAGAGTAGTATCGGAAGCTGTCGAGATTGAAGTTAGGAGATTTGTTTAGATGAAATAGACGCATACGAGCTTACATCTTATAACTTCCGATGGCCTGCACGAGAACGACGAAGAAGCCCCATAGGATGCCGACGCCGCCTAAAACCTCTGTTATGGAGGAGAACATTGGAACATGTCAAGACAAAACAATACATCTAACAGTATAACATTCGGAGGGAACACTGGGTGGGTGAATTAGACGATGTTGTCGAAACGAATGAATATTCTACGACAAGAATAATACGAGGCTTTAACTAAAAGAGAGACAGAAGCCGTTGGACAGAATAGAGAAAATCCTCATCTTCAGAGGCCACTATTATTTACTAACATTCCGCGATAAGTGACGATCATATGTCAAGCATCGTTGGTTGTCAAGTCTATAAATCCACTTCGGCATTATCGATTTAGTCTAGAGGAAAATAGTTTCGTTGAGAGGCCCGCTAATAGAAAATTACGCTGATGACATAGCTGGGATTATTATCCATCTATCCATACTTAATTCTGCTAATTAGATGCGCCTTGTTCTTTTTATTACATATCAGGCACTCCTATCTCTATATACCTGGTAACGGCATACATATCTTGAAATTGATACGGACAATACGGATAGGCGGATCATCCCGGGCCGACAATCCAATTGAATGAGATCCATTATTCGATTCAATTTTTCTTTAGCAATTGTTACAAAATTTCCTAACCATTTTCCCACACGTCGCAGTTTTCTACATATTCCTCTACGAGAGACAAGCTCAGTCAAGGCTACTTGACGAGTACTGAATGGCCCTAATTAAATAATAGGTGAAATTTACAATATTGTAAGCTCCTCCTTTTCCTTTTCGGTTGGGCGGTGTCACAATTCGCCCAATATTCAAGTCTTTAGTATGAGACGACGACTTTTTGTATCCAATCGCGGTGATGACAACTTTGTTATTTCGGAGCTTAGAGATGTCAAAGTCTCGATGAGTGCCCAAATATAGACTACAACGGTATCTGAGCGATTTAGTCATGTCTTTGATTTTCTTCGATTTTTGTGGTCGACTTAATTTTCTCAATTCTCTCAAACCTCTCACTTGAGCTTCAATCCTCTAAAACGAAAAGTTTTGAGACAATTGACTAACAGCCAAAGTAGGCCGACATGATGAACACCAGTCATGGCAGACACACCAAACACCGTGTCCGTCACCTCGAACCTACATGAAACTGTTCCCGTTTCTGTAGAATCAACCACATCAACCTCATCTCAAGTGAAGGAAGTGAAAACTACCAATCATCGCCCTAACCATAAGAAAGTTCCACTTCACCAGATATATGCACTGCCTGCCCCAATTCGCACATTCCCACTGCCAAGTTTCTATCCAAATAATCCCATTTCACTATTCCATGCCGTCTACGCTTGGGTGAGCCAGCTTGTCTACCCCCCGCCAAGTGAACCCGCAGTGATCCACCAGGGCATCTGGTCTCCCGAGACTCGGTCGGTTCACATTAAGGATCCCAAGTCGATACGGGCATTATGGGAACAAGGTTTCTTTGGGAAAGGTAATTATAGCCGAAGTGAACCAAACTGGTTCAAAAGAGAACAGGCTCGAAGGGGCGAACATGGAGGCAATGTCGCTGAAAACGTGACTACCCAGAGGAGAGAAGAGCGGAAGATGATGAAATGGGACCGCGCCAGGAAAGAGCAAGAAGCAATCGAACGGACGAAGCTCCTGGAGGCTTGGGTTGCTCCGGTAGGTCCCATGGAGTTATTAGCTCTTCCGAATTCCCTGGACGACCTGAAGCCCGCATTTTCTAGTAGCCTAGCGATTGGGTCGGCTCAGGATTCCATCACGGATGGTCTGGAAAGTGTCAACGGAACTCCCAACGGTCCAACTTTGAATGGCGCCACATCGCCATCAAGTAATGGAACGGCGAGGGCTCATGAGATATCGTCGACTGAAAATGGTACTGTGTCGGCATTGCCGGAATCAAACGGACATCCGTCTCGCCCCCGCACTCCCACAGGTGCCTCCAATTCCAAAAGACGTAAGTCGGTGCGATTCTCACCAACAGTCGAGTCAGCAACCTTCAAGCTGTCTGATCCCCCGAATCCTCATCACAGTGCCCAATCAAATGGCAGTATAGATGGCAATCTAGCAAATGGAGTCTCTCCGGTGTCCCGACCAACAGAGCTCGGTTTACCAGAACCTCTTGATAACACGAGAAATTCCAGGAGTCGTCCTGAGTCGGATACCCAACTCGTGGACAAGGAGCACCTTCAACTATGCCTCGAGGAAACCTTCTACCTTGTCTTCGCTCTTGGGGCTTTGGCCGTTCTAGACCCTGTGACTAGTAAACCGTTTACTGCATCGGAACTGTTTACACTCTGTCGTCAGACATCTTACATTCCCCCGAGGCTGACAGATCTTCAACCGGATGACCCTTTTCTTATGCATTATGCCGCTTACCACCACTTCCGTTCTCTGGGTTGGGTGACACGACCTGGAATCAAGTTTGGCGTGGATTGGATGCTGTACAACAAAGGACCCGTTTTCTCGCATGCCGAATTCGCGGTTATTGTTTTACCTGCTTACACTAATCATTGGTGGAAAATTCGAGGCCGTCAACCTCCCCATAGATCTTGGCACTGGCTCCATACTATTAATCGTGTGCAGACTACGGCCTTGAAGACCTTGGTCCTCGCATACGTTGATATACCACCTCCATTTGATGAAAGTCTTGGTGCGACGGAGATATTGAAGCGGTATAAAGTCCGGGAATTTATCGTGAAGAGATGGCTCAGCAATCGGAATAGGGATTGAGTATTTGAAATATTAGCATTGGGATGGATGCGTAGGGTGGCAGCCCTAGTCTGTACATACATAGATACAGTGCTTGATATAATAGGCCATGTCTAACATCATGATAGCCATAAGTCATGTATGAACAAATAACAATTACTTTGTAGTAAAGTTCGACAGCTAGCTCCGTTGGAAACTATGTGCACGTAAGCCCCGAGGGACATGGTCGTCTCAAGGGAATGAGACACAAATGAGACTCAGCACTTTAAGATGCAGTCTAGCCCATATTTGTCCAAGACGCTGTCTTCGTTTTAGCTGTACTGGCCCATGTCTCACATTAGGCCAAGACACATTTCTAGTTCCTACACTAATGGTGATGTCTAGCCTTCTCGCAAGCCCTTTTTCATTTTTAGTTTCTTCACTCATCACCTTCCCGTTCCGACTCCGCTGCCACGCGCTCATAGCCCTTCTCGCTAGTCGGTGGCAAGAACCGCGTCGAAATGGTGAAACCGACGGCCATAATGGCGAGAACAAGCCAGACTAGATAGCCCCAGAGGAGCTGCTTTTTAACACTAACGGCAAACAAACTCGTGAAGAGCGCAGGGCAGAAAGCGCGTAGACCGCTCGCGACCGTTAGGGCCATCGCGTTTAACGTGCCGAGAGTCTCCGGCGAGGGCGAGACGTCGTTGAGCGCGAGTTGAACTCCGGTAAACGCGATACTGACGCCGGAACCGAGAACTAGTAGTATCGGCATAAGGACCCAGAACGCAGTTTCCGCGGCGTGCGTGCCCTGGTACAGAATCAGGTTCATGAACGGCATGATGACCATGAAGAACGGGTACGCGGTCCCCGCGGCTCGCAGCACGCCGTTGGTGCCGAGCCGGTTCGTCAGCGGAGGGAAGATGAGCAGGAGCCATATCGCTTGCGATAGACCGGTTAGGCCGAGGAGTAGGGAGATTTGGAGAGGCGTGAAGCCGAATCCCCCGAGCTGAACGTTGGTGAACCAGAATACGGGGACGATGGCCGTGTACGCGAAGCCGAGGAGCATCACGTGCGCGTAGTTGTACAGTACGATCTTGACGCCGGGGGCTTTGAGTAGGTCTAGGGTGCTGGGTGAGGAGGGTCTGGGGGCGCCTGCTGTTGCTTCGCTGTCGTCGTCGGCGTTGGTGGAATTGGGATTGGGGTTGCTTCGCTTGTCTTTCTTCAGGGTCTCTTCGATGAGCAATGCGCTTGTAAGTGCGGCTGTCAGGCCAATACACCCAGTGACGATCGACGACAACATGTAAGGATACTCCTCGAAAAACCTAACGCCGCCAAACGCCCGGGGATACTGGTGCGCGGGATCGGCGAGCGCGCCTCCGATCAAGGGGCCTATGAAGATACCCAGGTTCCCGCTGAACGCGAACCAGCTGAAGGCCTGGGCCTGGGTGCGCGCGGTGCTGTGCTCGGAGATCATGGTCCGGATGGTGACGATGGTGCCGGCGAAGACGCCGGCTAGGGAGCGCAGCAGGTTCATCTGCCAGATGGTGCGCGAGAGGCCGAAGAGCGAGGTGGAGATCGACAGGCCGATCAGCGAGGCGACGAGGACGGGCTTGCGGCCCCAGCGGTCGGCGGCTCGGCCCCAGAACATCATTACGAGCATCTGGACTAGCGAGAAGTTGGACTCGATGAGCCCGGCGTAGAAGCCTACGTCTGCTTCGTCCACTGGTGGAGGGGTTAATCGCTACGTCTAATACATAATAGGTATTAGGAATGAGGAGAAGGGGAGGGGCTTACGTTGTCCGTTCTCCTGCACCATCTGGTTTATATATGGAAAGATGGAGAAGAAAGCAATGGGTTCGATGAGCCGCGCGTAGCAGAGTAGTAAGATCTGTAACTTAGGCAATTCCTTCTCATCGGGCTTAGGGAGGAGGGACTCGTCCTCCCCCGCGACGGCTGAGGCGACATTGGAGTCGGCCGTCGTGGCTACGGGCGATGCGGCTAAGAGCGGAGTAACCTCGCTAGCAGAGGCGGAGGCTTGCTTGGTGTCGCTGTCGTCGGCCTTGTTGACGTCATTTTCGTCGGGTGAGGTGGTGATGGTCATTGTGAAGGAATATTCAATTAATTGCTGAGAATCTTCATTGAACAGTGAGCTGGGCTTGCTGATTCAGACACAAATCCTCACGAGAATGAAATCCCGGGTCGTTTTATTGTAGATATATGAATGTTATATGTCGATTCTTTCAAAGCCCTACGGCATTAACTCCGCGTCATATGGCGGCGGCCTACACTTCGGCGTGACGATATGTGGAAGCCTCACTTACTTCCAAGCAATAAGTTCCCGTTCTAGGATAATAATGAAGAAAACTTTTCGTTTTCGGAGATCGTCGCACCATGCAGCAGCGCTGTAATGTACAAAACCCTAAATGGCTGCCCAAGACTGACTGGAGGATGCTTTTAGCTTATCAATATCTACAGTATGGATTGTACAGTGAATTATGGTACAGACTGTGTGTGGCCCAATGGCTTGGTTCATTGGTGGGTCCTGGTTATGTGACCTGGGGATGTCCCCCTTTTCTATCATCTCATCTTCTTACCTTTTCACATCATTCTTAGCTTTATGCTCTCCAACTCTGCTATTCTGCGATACTCAAACCAAATATTCTAATTCAGTTGTCTAATTCACCTCTTCAATGTTCTAAATACCTACATTATCCATCTCCATGCTTAGCTTGTCTCTTACCGATCGAGTAGTCAAACACCACCTAGATCTATGGTACCTCCCGGCCTGGAGGAAGCGATAAGAGCCGTGGTAACACTGCAGCAAACGCATGCATGACTCGGCTCTTACTGTATCTAGTATCAATTCGCGTATGCCACAATGGTTACTCTCTGATACTCTGATGTTACATTCATTAACCTAAGTGCTATTGAAGACATGGTACATATGAAAGAATCAGAAGGATAGCCTAAGAGGAGATTCCAATCTGATGTGAAACTCGTAACCCATTATACCCAAATAAGATCACAACTACATGATTAACTTTATTTACACGCGGAATGGCAGGCTCATCTCGCCGGGCGCGTGGTATGTCGGCACCTTCATGTCGAGAGCCTCACCGGAGTATCCGAGGTCTTCGGCTACCAGCATCGCAGCCTTCTCTCCGATGAGAAGAGCAGTGGAATATCTATATTTCGTTAGAGGCAATAAGAAGCAAGAGCATTCAGCTTTACTTACGTGTTGCATCCGACGTTGTCGGGGCAGATACTGAGATCTGCGACCTTGAGTCCTTGAACGCCGTGGACGTTTAGGCGCTCGTCCAAGACACCGTGCTTGACGATGCTGTTACCTTCCTTCGGGGCCATGGAACAAGTCTGATGGGAAATTTAGCATTGGTCAATTCCAACGGAACGAAAATAACGAGTACTTACGCCCAAACAGTGCCAGGTACTTTCCACATGCCTCCTCACCCACTCTTCAACCGCCTCAATATCCTTCTTACTGTACTTAAGCTCCTCTCGGACATCCGCTTTGTTGCTATTCAGAATATTGGCTTCCGCCGTCTTACTTGGCGCCGGGTTGAAGACGCTCCAGCTACCGTGCTGCAGACCAGCGCTCAGGTTACCGGGAAGAGCATATTTCTTAGTAGTCTCAAGGTCCATGTCGTTTGCGCGGGCCGGCGAGTCGTAGTCGAAGAATGGGTGCATTGCTTGGACTTCGCCTGCGTAGGCGTCCATTCGGCGGGCCGTCTCTCGAGACTTGATGTAACCCCATACCATAGGTGCCATATCGCGCTCGTCGTTCATGAAGCCCGGGTCGAAATCGGGGCTCTCATAAGGGTCGGCTGACTTGATATGCGTGAATCCTCGAGAGAAGGGGTATTCGAGGAAGTGGAACATCGTGAAGAAGTTTCCTGGCGGCCTACACGATTAGCAAGGAGTTTGATCCATTTTCAGTCAAGTATCACTCACATGAGCATATGGTCGCCAAACCACCCAGAAATGATGGAGTAGTGCATCACAGGCTTGTCGGGCTTGTCCTTAAAGTATGACTTCCAACCTTCGTTGAACTGCGGATGGGGCCAAGATTCAAACTCCTTCAATTCCTCTTCAGTTGGTCGGATTTTCACTCCAGCATCGATACCGTTGGTGGACAACGGTCCAGTTCCCTTCAAGGCCCATTCGTCGAATACCCCTGCAATCCAGTTAGGATCATAATAAGTCAAACTTATTGCTCCGGATACACTTACTCTTCTGGACTTCCGGTACACCTCGAACGAAGTCGTCGAAACTTTCCGTCTCAGGCTTCGCACGATATACGGAGAATGTTAAGTAGTGGTCCTGGAAGTTAAGGCCAACACCGGGGAGATCGACCTTGGGCTCAACGCCAGCCGCCTTGAGCTTCTCGGGATCACCTAGAAATGATCAGAGCTGATTCCTCCATATCCACGTTCTGCCTTGATATACATACCGATACCAGATCGCTGGAGGATCAGCGGGGAAGAAAGGGTACCTCCGGATACGACGATTTGCTTGCGGGCCTTGAAGATGCGAGGCTTCAATTGATTGGGGTGAAGTGGCTTAGTCGGCACCGTTTGAACACCGACAGCCTTGCCGTTCTCGATGATGACCTTGTCAACTTTGGTGTTGCAGGCAAGATATAGATTGCTATGAACAGCACGAGTCGAGTGGACGTATGCATGAGCACTGTCACTGCGTCGACCAGTCTGTATCACATGGTCAATTAACTAGGTATAAATCCAAAGCTGAATAGGGGTAAGGGGCCATACGTCACGGTTGATCCATTTCAACCAGTGCTCAGCACCGTGTCCGGTGGATAAGTCCTGTAAGTCGTCAACGAAGGGGATATCTTGAGATTCTGCGGCCCTCAAGAAGTCATCCTTGACGGGATATGTGCTGAATGATGGTTAACTCCATAGTCATTCTTTGAACTGAGATCTGACTTACTAGTTTCCGAACGAAACCTTGATCGGTCCCTCGAATCCGTGGAGCTCCCTGCGCTAATTAGTACCGTTTAGAAATTCCAGTTCTAGCCTACTTACTTGTTATGGCATGCTCGCTGGTAAGTCTCGTGCTTCTTCATAAGCGGAAGAAGGTCCTCGGTTTTCCATCCCTTGGCCTGGAAATCGTCGTAGTCCGAGGCTGAAGCACGCGTATACATCTAACAAGTTTTAACTTTGCATTCATTGGCTATCATGGGCCATTTGAAGTCCTTACCAAAAAGTTGATGCTAGAGCCACCTCCCAAGACGTGAGCGCACGGAACCACCGCCTTTCTGCCAGAGAGATGCTTGGACGGGCGAGCTTCATAGAAAGACGCCGTTTTCGAGTCCAACTTCATATTACGGGGGTAAACCCCCGGTCTGAATACCCATGGGTTGTTGAGGTTGCTCTCTCCAGCTTCGATTAAAAGAACCTTGAGGTTGTGGTCCAAATTTGCCAGACTGCGCAGAGTCAGTATACTATTTCTTGTCGACAGACTAAATCATGGAATAAGGACATACCGTCCTGCCACCACGCAACCGCAGCTGCCACCTCCGCACACGATAATATCGTATTCCTCAGGTAAAGGGCTCATAGCTTCTTGTTGTTTCTGGTCCCAGCCGAAAATCTTGGAGAACATGTTGTGAAACCACTCCGAGGGGTGATGGTTGTGTACTTATGCTTCGTGGAATGCTGGGCGGGCTGGATCTACAAATACTTGCGATGAGGGGCATCTACGAGATCCCAGACATCGGGGCGCCTCCCCTAGGATATCTCGTATGAAGCCGCCAATGACGACTCCTTGCTACTTGTGTTAGGCCGTGCATTCAGGCTTGACTGCTAGCTAGAATCCCCCAACAAACCCCTCCATCCCAGCATCTATTCGACAGGCATGCCAACTCATTGTCGAGGTCATCTGATATCTAGCAATGCAACATTTCTGCATGTGCGACTCCAGCCGAGAGAGCTGTTCGGATAAGATGGAAAACCGAATCCAAGAAAGCCCAGGAAATCCCAAGAGCACAGCGAAAGGTCTCATCCAACCAGACTTGGAACAACCAGGTTCGGCTTTCCACATTGCCCTACGTTAAGTGTTAGTTCTAGTTTATCCACGTCACCAGACGTGGCTCGCCCGTGGTATTCGATCCATGGTTGCCGGCTTAGATGGGCATGTAATAGGAAGTCAGTGATGTCGCCCAGCAGCAAATATCTCGGTGAGGCTCGGGATGTTCTTTCACAGCCTTGTGGTCACCCTACCCCTGTCTCTTAGTCTGCTACCCCAGGTTGCTTTGCGTATGCCTACGTGCTTATTGGCCACTAGCAGGATGGAGCTCGTATGCAAGACGGATACCAAAATGCGGGGGAGGAGACCGTGAGGCCAAATACCCGTCAATCTATATGCAGCCCCTGCTTCCCCGCAGTTTTCGAGGCGGATATTATAGTTCGTTTGTGTCGTTGGGTCTATAAACTATCCAAGAAGTATCCAAGAGCAGCACACTGCATGCGCAGCTCGAACCAATGGTCTCCATGCCGTACCTTAGCGTTCGACGCTGACCCTTTCGGCTGACCAACCTCGTTTATCTCCGTAGGGTTGGCAGCTTCTCGTCCGCAACCTGGACAGGCCTTTTCCCCATACTAACCGTCTCCAGTCTTCCCCGGGAATATGGCAGTCGATCAAGAATCGAAGGCGCACTAAATGATACTAAAATCCTTAATCACGAAACTCCCCCGTCAGCAGGAGGCGACATGCTTCCTGTTCCAGATCGAGTCGATCGGCGACGCGTAGCCGGGCCTTTCGAATATCATATCGCTGAACTGCCGACGAAATTTGGTACAAGACGATCCTCCCCGTGTTACTCCAGACGCACGAGCATCTTTCTCGACGAGGGGGAATTGGAGAAATTCACATCTTATACTGCAACAAGTAGCCCGTGATTTTATTCTTTCCGACCAATTCGGTTCCAGAGCCAATATCGAACCCTAGTCAGAGTCGCACACACACTTTCAGACGATTTCGTTGGGAACCATGCGGCGAGCCTATGAAACCGCAGGAGGAGTCGGATAAGCTCGAGTCTATTCCGTTACATATACCGATGGATCGTCATCATGATTAACATAACGCACTCTCGTCTCTCCCCTCACACTAAGTCTCTAAGTCTAAGCCTCTTTCCGACAAACCCCCAAAAAGAGTATTGCGAGTTAACAGATGCTTACGTAGGTAGACATCTACATTAGCAACAAAAATTACTAAATCAAAACTGAATTTACATTTCACGACGCGGCGAGCGGGTTCTCGCGGCAATTGTCCAAGTTTAGGTACGTGGCGGCGTTCATATTATTATAAGACAATGCTATATTACCTACTATACGGATGCTGCCTAGAACATAGGGATGGAGCATGATACTCTGCGAGACATGAGGAGTGTAACATGCATACTCGGTTAACCAATCAACGTAACATGAAGCTTCTGTCCCCCACGTCGAGCTGAGATTTAACCACAGTAACTCTGAGGACGGCGGTGGTAGATCTGTTCGCGCCTCGAGCTCATATGAGACATACCTATAGATTCCGCGCTTGGCCGCTCGCAGACTATAGCTATGCGTCCTAATCCGAGAAGCCATTGGAGCCCTTTGAGTAGCCGCCCATCGTCTCCTTCCCTATTCATAACATATACATCCCCAAACATCTGCATAAAGTGGTGTAGGCCTACAACTTCGGGGTTTAACCACCCGGCAACTGGATGTATGATGACATAATGTTCTAGAGGCCATGCAACTGCCGTTACACTTGCCACGACCCGACAGCCACCCATGGAGCAGGGTCGATTAATGCGTTACACTGACTTTGCACATATCCCGGTGATGTATCATGTTTGATGGTTCAGGATTTCCTGAGTAGGCAAACCTGTGATCATTAGGCTATGCACGTATACCCTCTTGTCTGGTCGTGTATAGACCCGCGGATTCATCTAGGAGAAAACTCGGTATGCTGGGGATCTCCAAATGATGTTAAAATATCTCCTTTTACACGAGAGGATAAAGGTCTACCTATACTCGTGACCAAGTTACACCAGATCAGACTAGGACTTTGAGTTGGCTTCAAGCTTAATGAAGATCCGTCAGTCAATAGAAGGGTGCATGTCTAAGTGGAAATGGACATAAATAGGTACGTAAAAGGTAATTGCGGGTGACCAACGTGACTGCTTTATGTGATAGGCAATGAATATCTCCATCGCCCTCATGAAGATAAAGCGGCAACGATACCTACCTACTTATGTGACGGCCGGCATATCAACACTGAATCTCACTTTTATACTAAATCCTAAATAGTCTCGTTCCGGCTGACCACCCTTTGATACTTACTTTCAGATATGGGGTTAACCTTGAGAGCAATCACGAATTTAATTGGTCTTGATCCAGATGCTTCAACCTAGATGGTGTATAACCTGGCAAGTTCCGTGTTGAATTGTAATAGTCATGTCGTGTGGGTGATTCCGTAAGGCGAATCAAGACAACTAGGATATCTATCATCTCTCCTAGTCCTCGTTCGCCACTGACTTATACTAACTTATTTCTGAACAACCATATTAATGGAAAGTAGTGAAAATGAGCTCAGTTAGGTCTATCTTCATGCAGGACATCCCAGCTAGGGGACTACGTATCTAAGCACGATGAGGCTGAGACTTTTAAATCTTTAAAAAGGGGTATCAGTAAAACTATTATATTCATTACAGTTGTCAAAGAGCCAGTTCCTCTTGACTCGGTTATGAGCTAAAATTAATGCCAAACACCTCTCCTCCGATTACCCCCTGGCACCGAGTAAACAGGCTGCAGAATGACATGCCTTCATTGCATACCTGCATACGAAAATCCTTCGGGACCAAGCAGCCACAATCACACTATTCACGCCAATTGCAAGGAATATCCAGTAAAACAGGGCGAACCAGATGTTACAACGATGCCACATAATTCTGTATGCACTCTAGACCGGATAGGGTTCCGGAGGCTTTGTCTCATACGCAAGCCAGATCTTACGGCGATGTAGCACAAACTATTGATCGAGATTGATATGCCGGATAGTTGCCGGACGATGTTTTTGAGTTTTCTGCATGTTGATAGAATAGTTTTATAGCATAGTCTCAAATGTTTTAATTGTACGATTACGTATATAGCACAAGCTCTACGCAAGAACCCATCGTTCAAGCCCCGTACATCGTCACTTATGATAGAAAACCTATAAGGCATCGACAGATAACCTACCTAAGTACGCATCAGTCGGCAAAACTTATTCATCAAAATAAAGCAAGAGATGAGGATCTTCATTCCGGCAAACGAGACGTGGAATATGATGTATTGACACTGAAGCGTTTCTGACCACTTCAGGTCACCAACATTTAATTCAACGCCAACTCAGCAGCCTCGAGAGAACAGGAAGATGGTACAATAACCTGGAATAGCGCATACTATATTAATACCTCTTGATCCATGTAGCGCACAGGAGATCGAATAGTACCTAACAAGAGCCTCGATTTACCGTGTGCCAAGGGCTACATGGGGATTTCGGTTACCTACCTCTTGGACATTTTTGGGTCGGTTGAATACTGACTGCGAATAGAGGCACCTACTACCGGTAAGCATGAATGAGGCTTGTGCACAAGCGCCTCACTTGAAGTAGAGGGTGAATCCGAAATTTGTGAGATTCAAGTTGTGCTATGCTGTTATGAATTATGACCTTAGACATCTTGACCAATGCTAGACGTTGTTTCTGACTTTATAGCTATCTAGATCCGGACCAATCAACAATCACTTCTCTACTAGAGTCAGTGGATGTTAGCGAACAAATGTAGCGAGTCATGTTACGCGTACGGGGTTATAAATATCTAGTATGCGTCAATAGAAAGGATAATGTCAATTCGCCCGAAATAACACATTGACCCTAATGGACATCTAGTATATAATCGATTTTAGCGAAAAAAACGTTCATCTACCAACCGACTCCAGTTCCATCAAAGTGGATAAGTTGATGATGTGGCCCGACTAGCTCACCGGTAGAGCGCCTCACTAGTATGTCATCTCTAATAAATACGAGAAGAAATGAGGAGGCAACAGGTTCGACTCCTGTGTTGGGCATTCTTTTTGCTCGTTTTTCTACTGAATTGTCAACTAGTTTTAGCTATTCTGCAAATTGGCGGACTTATTAGAGCCAAGGGAATACCTCTCTCTCAATGAGCATCTATCCCGGGAGCCGTGCTGGCCACCGACGACCGACGGGTTCTAGGTAAGCCATAGTCGCCAATTAAGAAGACAAATGCATTGTTTTACATGAATCCCTATTTTAAACAAAAGTTTCTAGGCTGACTCCGTTCGTGATGCGCGAAGTTGATAGTGAACGTGAAAGGGGACAATCAGACCGGCGCTAGTAGGCTAAGGTTTTTCCTTGGCCGAAGTTCTCCCACGGACTTATATGAATTGAATCTTCCATCCAATAGGAGCCTTCAGCTAGTAAAAGTTTTGCGATAGATATGTACGTCGATACCGGCCCGAAATTCACATCACACGGGCAAGATGGCCGAGTTGGTCCATGGCGCGAGGTTAAGGTTGCAATCTTAACACGATTTCCTCGTGGGGAAACCCTCGTGGGTTCGAATCCCACTCTTGTCACGATTCGATTTTTTGTATTTTTGAAGAATTAAACTACGATTAGGTTGAATGACTCCCTAGTAGTCTATTTTTTAAGCATCAGAAAGACCTTCTCCCCCGATATGATAAACATTGCCATACTTCTGGGGCAGCTGTGGATAAAGTTATATAATGAAGAATCAACACATGGTTTGAATGCTTCGCCTGATAAGACCCTGTACGGACGTTCTTGGTGCATCGTATTACAGGGCCCCATGCGCTGAAGGGCCTCCTATTTGTGATTGGCGGATGGGTGACAGGGATACCGCAGATACGTTGGTAAGCTAGATCTTCCAAGACCCATCCAGCCTCAGCTGCTCAGCTGTTTTAATTCTTCCTAACATCTCAGCCCACTGCCATTGCAAGATTCCTAAGATTGCTCTGTGAAAAGGCAGCCCTGGGTATTAAGAAGGTAGGTGACTAATTCGTCGTCATTTCTGCCTCACCTTCAATCGCTTTCCAACTGAACTTCTATCCTACCTTATCAATTCGTACCTACGCGATGGGTAAACCTTCAGATCTGTCTGCCAACAAGGCAGCAGCTGATTCCCTTTCGCTGCACTCGAACCCTGGCGAGAGCTCTAGACCCCATAACAATAACGATGACCTCGACACACCTGAAATTTCCATCGACGATTTGCCGCCGAACTACAGCGAAGTCGAGTCTTTGCTCCCACCAACCATCCCGCCCCCCAGCCCGATCAGCGCTCCAGTCACAGCCGCATCCATAAGGATGGAAGACGGCAAAGTGTTCAACGAACTCAACAACGGCGCACAATTCTGGATAGCCAAGAGTCTCGAGAATCCAGCCGCGCTCGAATCGCACATCCGAAAACTCGCCGCCATCCCCCCGCGACCGTATATCAATCTCGTCGGAACCCACACCGAGACGCGACGGAACGACAAGGACAAAACCGAGACGTCCACCGTCGTAGACTTCGACGTGTCGGTCGAGCTGACGCCGTACTTGTACTCGGACGCCCAGTACCGCAAGTCGTGGTGCCAGCTGCGCACCGTGGAGAACTTCGAGAAGACGAGGCGGGGCACCGTACTGCGGAAGCGGGCCCCGGGCACGAACCAGAGCATCGAGGTCGGCGGTACGCCGAAGCCGACGCTGACGGAGTGGTGTCATCGGTACGCTGCTAGTCATGCCGGGTTGAAGGTGTTTGCGCTTCAGCGGACGATGGTCGGGTTCGACGAGGAGCGCGTTAAGGATCAGCTGCGGACGCTGGTGAATAATACTAATTACCGCGGTCACCTTAAGGTAGAGCTCGTGATGAAGAATGCCCTGGTCGAGTGCTACAACGAGGCGAAGACGAATCACTGGCGGCTTACGTCGTGGATACAGACGTTGTTCGTGTTCACCCTGCTCTTCATCTTCGCCTGGCCTTACCTGTGGCTAAGGACGAAGAGGTGGGAGGTCGCCATTTCGGAATGGCCGTTTTCGAGGGCGGCTGAGGGCGGTGGTAAGGAGTATGTGAGTATCAGCGAGGACCAGTGGTATAACCTGTGGGCGCGCGCCATCTACAAGGCCGTGATGGAGAAGCAGCAGAAGGTCCTAGACCAGTCGGACCTCAGGAGAGCGCAGGAGCCCGACCCGGCGCTGAATACTGGCAACGCCACCGTTGACGGCGCTCTCGGCTTGTTTAGGGCTGGCGTTGGCGCTATGAACGAGGTGAATCGGCAGTTAGGTTGGGGCAGGGATTGCTAGAGACATTTTCCAGTTTTATTACGTCAACAGGGTTACCTATGTCGAGGTCTGTGCCATAGTATCGTTTTCCTCTCTTTTGGTTTGTTCTTAGCGCAGGCGTCTATGTGGAAGCAGGTGTTTGTCGTCGTTTCGATGCTCGGGGCTGGTTGCGTGATGGCTCTGTTAGGATTAGGGTAGCGGTTAGGTTAGGTAATAGCTACTAACGAGGACCATTTGCCTAAAATGGAAAATGACTAAGTGAAGCGGTTAGTCATCCAATCCAGGTCCATGCTGCTTCACGATGATTTCTAATGAACGTCGAATTTGGTCATGGAGAATATGGATATAAGTGGGTTGTATTCTACGTAGGTTATTTGTGTTCTATGTGTTGCGTTGTTCTATCGCTGTTCATCGATATTTGTCACTGTGTTTGCGTCAAGATGTCTCCTATTCGCGTTGCGCTCGTTGGACTTTCGCAATCTGCGAAGACGTCTTGGGCCGCTCAAGGTCATCTCCCTTACCTTTTATCACCACGAGGAAGTTCTCAATACGAAATTGTTGCTCTACACAATTCAAGTGTCCCGGCGGCGGAAGCAGCTCGGCAATCCTTTGCCCTTCCCCCGAACGTGAAAGCTTACGGGGATCCGAATGACCTGGCTTCAGATCCGGATGTCGATCTAGTAGTCTGCTGCACGCGTGTGGATACTCATGCTTCGTCTACAGGGCCATCTCTACGAGCTGGCAAGGCTGTTTTCGTAGAATGGCCTTTAGTTGAAGACTACGACAAAGCCGTCGCTCTGACGGGGAAGAAGCGCCTGGACAACACCATCATTGGCCTTCAGGGGCGTGTTTCTCCCATTGTTCTCAAGCTCAAGGAAGTCCTAAAGTCGGGACGTATTGGCCGAGTACTTAGCAGCGACGTTCGCGCCTACGGTAATCTTGGTATGAGAGGCAAGTTCTCAGAGGGTCTATCCTACTTCGCGGACCAGGAAGTAGGCGGCAACCACATCACGATCGCTTACGGGCACACCGTCGACTACGTGCACGAAGTTCTCGGGGAATTTTCGTCTTTCCAGAGCAGGATGCAGATTCAGCGACCGGTTGTCAAGATCATTGGCAAGGATGGCTCCGAAATAGAGGAGAGGTCTACTAACGTGCCGGACCTCCTGACAGTCCATGGAAAGCTTGCTAAGGGGAAGGCTGATATTGTAGATGACGCCACCTTGTCCTTGACTTTTAGGAGCGGACAACAATTCAAGGGAACCCCTGGTTTTGTGTGGACTATTAACGGCGAGTTGGGCGAGATCATGGTGACGGCCAACGGCGCGTACGTGCATTCCGACTCTTATAAGGATCCGATCGAGATCAAGTTACACGATCATGTTACAGACGAGGTCGTCGATGTGAATTGGGACTGGGAGGACTGGCAAAAGGAGCTCCCGTATGGGTCTCGGATCGTTGCGGAGTTGTACGAGAGATTTGCGGGTTGGTGGAGGAACGGGAAGCCGACGGGTGATCTTCCCGAAGATCAGGAATGGCCGCGTCTCCACGACGCTGTTGTAAGGATGGAGGAGTTAGATGAGGTGTTCAGGCAGTACGATGCGCAGAAGTGAGGTTGAAACTAAGATCAAGTGGCTAGACATGGGGTTTATCGATGAGGTTAGGTTTTGGTTTCTATTAATGTATTTCATGCTACTGCTATCTACATCGTCCCCCTGATAGCTAATTACCGCATCCTCAAATTTTCGTTACATTCCGAGATCCCGTTATCTATCGTCTCTAGTGTCTGATGCGGTCAATTGCGGTCTGACGAAGATGGACGAAGCTCGGGTTCGCGGAGAATCTGATAACTTGGATATTTCAGCTCTGTCCTGAATCGGTTTCCGAAGATCTGGGGTACCAAGAAGTCGAGGCGTGTTTCAACGATGTTATCGGCGTTATCGTTCCCTATCTTGATGAAACGGCTTTAGTGGACTGTTTACAGGAGTCAATCTTGGTGGTTAGATAATACTGTAGTTAATTTAATCAATGGTTATTGGTATTAGCGGATCTGCCATTGACCAATGTCGTTCGCCTGATAACGTAGAGATAATAGCATGATAATAACATAGGTAAGAATCGGTTTATTCTTCCGTATCGAGCGTAGGTGACGACTGCGGCCCATATTCAATTCGTCTTCTACGTCAGTCGTCGTTACCTATATATCAGGTAGTTGATTCATTCGTCCCGACAACCCGACGACTGGAGTCTCGTATACACCCAAGTCCCCAAAATTGTATTCCCGTTACATAGTCGCCTTGAAGTGAAACAAGTTCGACCGTACTTATTGTGTAAAAATCGCTGACCGAATCTGGAATAGGAGAGTTGAACCCACAAAAGACAGGCTTACCTCCACGTATCTCTGCCGCTAATGCAGATGCGTACGTAGCGCTTCGAGTAATAATGCGTCAACTCCATAGTACAAAGCAGCAACTCTTAATTTTCGTACGAGATAAGCCGGAACCCAGGGATTATGGAAGGAACGACTATGCCGACTAGATTCTAGGGCCGAAGAAAAGTCGGGGCTTAGCTTCGGACCCCCGGGGCCGTTGCCTTTAAAGCGGAAGCGTATCAAATCATCACACGCCATTGGTCGGGACGGGGTTTTCTAGAGAAGGGCCGACGAAAAATCTGTACGCGTCGGTCTGAGAAATGAGGTTTCTTGGTGAGTTGTATAGTTATGAATTGGATAAATGGGATTTTGAGACTATGTAGGATCGAATTTAGTATCGAATCAATATCAAAGTAATTGATTGAAGACATTGAAGTGCGCAAGTCTACCCTTGATGTTGTATTAATTCTATAAATGACAACTTCAATGCTAGAATGTTACACACGTTTGCCTCTTCTTATCTCTACCCAGGTACGTGCTACAAAGGTACCTACCACGAACGCGGCGTGCCCGTCGTTCTCACGTGTGACGCTAGCTACTAGAAGACAGGCCAAGGCAAGTAATCCTGGGTCATCCTGGCTTGTCTAGGGCGATTGGCAGGGAATTATCCTACTATGCTAGGTAGCTCTCCGAAGGCGTGGGTGAAGATCAGCTATGATATCAACCCGCAGGATTCTAGGTACTAGGTACCTACCTAAGTTACCTAGGCAGTCTTGTCCTTCCTTAATCAGCTGCCATTATTTTACGACTCCTTCCCATTCGCATTTTCGTAATTTTTTTAATTAAATTTCTTTGTTCCAACTTGAATTTTGGCTTGGGAAAAAAGCCTCTTTTTCTGTTCGAAATAGTGAAGCGATATTCCTATAGTATACAACAACAGCCTTATGGAGTAGAATACTTATCGCATAATTCCTATACTCTCCTTTTATCTACGGCGGCATTGCCAAGCGACGCTCACTTCGCTCAGTCGCGTGATCAGCAACTCTCGTTTCCAAAGATGACGGACACCGATCTCAAGAAACCCGTCACCACCAACGGTGAGTCGGGCCGCCCCGAGTCCGGGGAACATGCGGCCGACCAGATGTTGGTATCACTCGGATACGCCCCCGAAATGCAGCGGAACCGGTCTACTCTTCAGGTCGCCTTCATGTCCTTCGTTCTGGCAGCTATCCCCTACGGTTTGGCTACGACCATGTACTACCCCTTAGTCGGAGGTGGTCCGGTCAACATCATATGGGGATGGGTAGCCGTATCGCTCATCATCATCTGCGTTGCTGCGTCTCTGGGCGAAATCACGAGCGTATATCCAACTGCGGGCGGCGTTTATTACCAGACCTTCATGTTAGCATCTCCCGAGTGGCGTCGACTTGCGGCCTGGACCTGTGGTTGGCTTTACGTCGTCGGCAACGTTACCATCACCTTGGCTGTCAACTTCGGAACGACCTTGTTTTTGGTTGGGTGTATCAATGTTTTCGAAACCGCCGATGGCGAGGGAGTGCTCGCGGGCGAGCCCTACCAAGTCTTCCTAATCTTCTTGGGACTTACGCTCTTGTGTAATGCCATTTCGTCTTTGGGAAACAAATGGCTTCCTATTCTTGACGTATGATCATAGCCTAATTTCCCTTGAATTTATTCCGCGAGCTGTATCCATAGGTACCTATACTGACATTTCCGGCTTCTAGACTTTCGCCATTTTCTGGACCTTTGCCGGCGTCCTCGCTCTCATGGTTTGCGTCTTAGCCATTGCTAAGAATGGCCGTCACGATGCAAAATGGGTTTTCGGGCATTTTGAGGCTAACTCTGGTTGGACTCCCGGTTGGTCATTCGTCGTTGGTCTTCTACATGCCGCCTACGCCACTTCTTCTACCGGCATGATCATCTCGTACGTGTCAAAATCCCCTCCTCCCCCCCATCCCCCTATTCCCGTTCGTTATCCTAATTAGCGTGTAGGATGTGCGAAGAAGTTCAAGCTCCGGCGACGCAGGTACCTAAGGCAATGGTGTTGACTGTCTGCCTCAACACAATCGCTGGGTTAATGTTCATGATTCCGTTGGTGTTCGTCCTTCCCGATATACAGGACCTCATCCTCCTCGCGCAGCCGGTCCCGACCATCGTCAAGAGCGCGGTAGGCAATTCAGGGGGTGCATTCGGCTTACTCATCCCGCTTCTGGTCTTAGCCATGATCTGTGGTATCGGTTGCACAACGGCTACTTCGCGATGTATCTACGCTTTTGCTCGGGACGGCGCTATTCCCGGATCTAAGTGGTGGAAGGTTATCGATCATAGGCTAGACGACGTGCCGTTAAACGCTATGATGTTGAGCATGGTCGTTCAAATCATCTTGGGCGCCATCTACTTCGGTTCTTCCGCCGCCTTCAACGCTTTCTCTGGAGTGGGAGTGATCGCTCTCACGGCATCTTACGCTATGCCAATCATAGTCAGTATGCTGAATGGCCGCCGGGTCGTCAGTACCGCTAGTTTCTACTTGGGTTCGTTTGGATGGTTCTGCAATATCGTGGCGACCGGTAAGTTTACCCTACCCTGCCGAGCCAGATCCAAAGTCTGGCCGTTGTCTCCTGGGCTAACAACAATATAGCCTGGTCTCTCCTGGCTATTCCATTATTTTGCATGCCCAGTACCGTTCCGGTTGTCGATCCTACAACCATGAACTACGCGTCGGTCGTCTTCGTAGGCTTTGTCGCTATCTCTGCTGGCTGGTATGTAGCCTGGGGACGGAAGAATTACGTTGGGCCGCCGAAGTGATTTTTTTGCCGATGTTTGGGATACCTATGAAGCGCGGATAGAACCTCCTCGCTCATTGGATGGTTTGCTTGTGTCCTGTTTGATGCTCCGTGCTCAATATTTTGCTGTGATACCCAAGAAAATGGATGGATTTGTTATATACGGACACGGGGCCGTCGTGATGTGATAGCCCGCAAGTTGATACACAATGCAAGCTCTAGCGAGTGCAGCATATTTATACATGAATAACTATTGCGCCACAACAAGCGACCAAATAATTTTATTGCTTCCATGGTATTGGCCATGTCAATAATATGGCATTGCGATCAACCCCTTTTGCAAACTTACCTGCTTAGTCTTTCTCTTAGCTACCACGCGAGCAATATTCATTGAACTTTCTGCGGGTGCTACTTGAATAAAGGAACAGCGCACGGTCTGGAGATATTTGATTGTAATAAATCGATTCGGCTAGAGAGAAACCCACATCACGAAAGCCAAAACGAATGGAACTAAATCCGCCGTCTTGTCACGTAGGGCGGCGAAGGACCATGGTTCAGCTCTACTTCTGCTCGTCAGTAAAGCTGCTGTGCTGGTCAGGGTCATGATCTGAGAAGCGATACAGCGGACCCGGCTCAACGTTAAGCCACTGATATCGACGAGAATATTTAAGTCACTCGCCCTATACGCGTTGGACAATGAGATACCCGTGGGCTTAACGCTCCTACCAAGTCTCCAGGACCGCCGCTGCGAATTTTATCGCAAGTGTTGGTGAAGGTCTTGAATTAGGACAAGGAAGGTCCGCCGACGATCAAGACAATGTACCCGTGTACAAGTCTGTGGTAACTCCGGTGTTCAGGGGCCGGTTACCGGGTTACTATAATGGTAAGTTAACTAAAGATATTCTAAGTATAGTTATCATGAATCATACCTTAAAGGGCCATTTACTTTATCTACGTATGTATGCTCCGATTCCGTCAATTCTACTACCACCTCGGCATATGCTTTCGCGACTATAACCGTGCTTAGTCCTGGCAGGGGAATAAAATCCGGGGGACTACCCCGCGTATATCGCGACCCATGATGTAGCATTCACGGGGGTTAGTGCGGAGATGGAAATCGGGGTGAATGTGAGCCGCTACTATGACGCCTGTTATCCGTATATATAGGTAGCCATCTAAGTAGGAGGCACCTATCTAGGTATGTCGGCGACTTACTTAGGAAGTATATCTTTCCATCTCTCGATTTATCTGACTTTCGGCGCCACCGATGTGCTTGGGCGCTCAAGAAGGTCTCTACTAGCCCAGAGGATCCAATCATGGAGAAAATAGAAGCCCAAGAGCAACTTGAGGAGAACGCGGTTGCGTCGTCTGGAGATACCAATATTGAAGAATTCGACCATGAACGTAGCAAACGTCTCAACCGACGTCTCGACTTCCGCATACTCCCACTATGTTCCCTTCTCTACCTCCTTAACTTCCTCGACAGAGGCAATATAGCGAACGCGAAAGTCCTAAACCAGGAGACCGGCGATGATCTACTCCAAAAGACAGGGATGACGGCTAGTGGATATTCTCTAACCGTCACCCTCTTTTCGCTAGCCTACACCCTTTTTGAGGTACCCTCGAATTGGATTATGAAGCATTATGTGCGCCCATCCGTCTGGCTGGCTACCCTCCTTGGTTGTTGGGGCGCCTTGACTCTCGGGTTCGCAGGTGTCCAGAATTATGCTACGGTGCTAGTTTTACGTTTACTCATCGGCGTGGTTAGTACCTAGGTAGAGATGTTGAATGAACTCATAGAGGTATCTAACGTCTCGCAGTTCGAAGCAGGTTTCTTTCCCGGTAATAGGCCCCTAACCTCCGCAAAGATGTGGTCGTGACTGATAGAACCAAAGGAATCGTCTACCTTATCACGATATGGTATCGGCATGACGAAAGATCGGTTCGAATTGCCGTGGTGATTGCATTTTGCAACCTAGCCGGCGCATTTGGCGGATGTATCGCTTACGGACTAGGGACAGCAAACGGCGGTGCTGGGCTTGAAGGCTTCCGTTGGCTGTTTATCCTGGAAGGTACAATAACCATGCTTTGCGTGATTCCGACGCTCCTCGTGTTGCCTGACTATCCTGCCCGCGCGAAGTTCCTCAGCCCGTCTGAGAAGAAATTCGCGGAGGATCGGCTGAAAGAGCGAGGTGGTGGTTATAGCAGGGACCATGCAACGCGAAAGGAGGTATTGGAAACCTTCTTCAGCCCTCGCATGCTGGCCCACTACTTTGCCTATGTGAGTTGATGTCCTAGTGTTTTTAGTCAGTCTAGATGCTTATCAGTGAACAGATTGCCAACGTGGTTACTCAGGGGTCATTTACGTTCTTCACTCCGACTCTCGTAACTGGATTGGGTTATGGATCCATTCAAGCTCAGCTGTTAACTGTCCCTCCGGTGAGTCATGTACTTCATTAACCCATCCCGCTCAAGTAGTCCAGCACAGCACAAAATCCTCTATGCTAACGTAGCACGTTACACTATAGTGGGTTGTTGGTTTCGTTGTCGCAATCTTGGTCTCCTACTCGGCCGATCGTCTCAACGCTCGAGGTTGGCACATTACCGTGATCTCAGTGATCGGTGGCGCGGGATGGCTGACCGCCGGCTTGCTTCCCGCGACCTCGTACGTGCAGAAATACGGCGCGTTGGTTATGGCGGCGACAGGAGCATTCCCCGCCGCTCCGTTATGCACTTCCTGGGTTACGGTGAATTCGCCCAGTCTGCTTACGATCCCGTTCGCCATCGCCCTTCACAACTCTTGCGCTGGTATCGGACAGATCATCGCTCAGTGGATATGGCTTGATACTAGGACCGGGAACTTCACGTGCGCGGCATGTAATTTTTTCGTTGCGATAGTGGCTTTCAGCTTGAGAATATGCTACGGGAGGATGAATCGAAAGGGCATAAAGGACGCGAGAGGGGAGAAGAGGGTCTGGTCATACTGAGTGCCGGGCCGCCGTCGCGTATTACGAAGAGCTATGAGAGTACTTACGAAAGTTGGCGAAAAGGAGGAATAGATTGATTGTATTATACGGTGGTAGATTAAATTAGCCGTTTGAGTTCGGACCTCCGAAAGGGCTGTCACGTGACCTCCCAAATGCACATATCCGATCCGACCCTCACAATAAAACTTAAGAATCGATTATTTTCACCATCATGACTATCATCGCTACAACAACGCTATTTAGTAATGAAATTCCGGATCCGACAGTTTGTAACTCCCGCTGCCCAGTTGTAAAGTCTTCTTGCTCCCCGGCAATGTCACTTCGGCATTTGCGTTGGGCGGAATATCGACGGTCACATGAAATCCGGTATCGTCAACAGTCCAGTCGGTTTTGAATAAACCATACGGGCTTAGGTAGCTGGCCTTTGCCGACGTCAGGTTACCGCCTGGATATGGAGCAATCTCTGCCGTTTTCCAACCTGGCTCTGCAGGCGCTAAGCCGCCAATTGTGGAATGCATCCAGTTCGCCACCGACCCGACGGCGTAATGGTTAAACGATGTCATCTCTCCCGGGTTTAACGTTCCGTCTGGCTCCATAGAGTCCCACCTCTCCCACGTGGTAGTCGCGTTCATTGTGACTTGGTAAAGCCACGAAGGGACCGCCGTTTGGAGTATCATGTTGTAGAACGCGTCGCTTAGATTATATTTGGTGAGAGTCAACCCGAGTAGGTGGGTTCCGGCAAATCCTGTTCCGACCAGGTAATTATTCCCGGCGATGATGCTCTCCAGTCGACCAGCTGCGGCGTTCGCCTCGGCACCACTGCTGTAAAGATCGAAATAAAGAGGTAGCACATAACCCGTCTGCGTCTCGTTAATCGAACCATTAGGCCACGCCTGCCAGAAGGCAGTTGTGAGGTCCGCCACGGATTGTGCGTAGTGGGATTTGTCGTCCACAAGACCAAGCTCGGACGACATTTGGGAAACCAACCCGGTCACATAAATAAGATATGCGTCAGCGACATACGACGAATTTGTCGTTGCGTCTCCTGGTTCGTCATTGGGAGCCTTGGGATCGAGCCAGTCCCCGAATTGAAAGGTGGACGTGTTCCATAAGCCTACCTCGTTGCGTTGGATGCCTTCGTCGATCCATGCCTTCGCACCGACTAACTGCTCTTTCAGGAGAGCCAGATCTCCGGAAGTGTGGTATAAGTTCCAGGGTACCGCAACGATAGCGTCTCCCCAAATCGCTGTCGCCATCGGAGGCCCCGCTGCAGGTACATCTGGGATGACTACCGGAGGTACGCCTAGAGTTGAAGAAGTTAGTCTATCAGTACTCCCGGGCTGGCAATAATGACGATTAATCAGGCTGGGACGTCGAGACTCCGGTTAGAGCCCAACAATAACTGACCATTTACTTGTTCGGAGCGGAAGTCCTTCAACCAAGCTCGCCAGAAGCCAGATGTTTCCATAAGGAAATTGGCCGCCGGCGAAAATGCGTGAGCATCTCCCGTCCAACCTAGTCGCTCGTCTCGCTGCGGACAATCGGTCGGGATGCTCATGAAGTTGCCTTTCATACTCCAGCGAACATTCTCATGTAGCTTATTTAACAGTCCGTTTGAGCATTCGAAGGATCCTGTTTCTTCCAGATCGGAATGAACGACTATCGCCGTAACGGATTTGCTATCTAATGGGGTATCGTCCGGCCAGCCATCTACCTCGACGAAGCGGAATCCATGATATGTGAATGTCGGTTCCCAGGTCTCCGTACCCTTGCCGGAAAGTGTGACGTAGTCGGTCTGGGTTGCGTTCCTAAGAGGTCGAGTGGCAATCTCCCCGTCTTGGAGTACTTCGACGTGGACTAGCTTGATCGTAGTCCCCTCCGGGCCCGCGACGTTCAACTTAAGCCATCCTACCAAGTTCTGGCCGAAGTCCAAGATGGTCTTGTTACTCGGACTCGTGAGTACTTCTTTCAATTCGACCGTTTCGACACGGCGAATAGGGGGGCCATCCGGAGCAGCTAATTGACCATAAGGGGTCTCGAGTTCTTTCGTACCGATCCAGCTTGCCGTCGTGTTCGGTGTAAACTTAGGGGCTGACCAACCGTGCTGCACCAACCTCGAGTCGTAGTTCTCGCCATTATAAATCTCGGATGTGATTAACGCTCCCGTACTCGCGCTCCAGGATTTGTCCGTTATGATCTTCGTCGTCGTTCCGTTCGATGAGGTGATGACTAGCAAGGCCATGGCGCCAAGAGTATCCCCCCAAATATTCCGAACGCCTCCATTATACCTATTGCACAGTTAACAGATGCTCGTTTTGTGCGTAGGTAGGTATTGAGAAAAGCATATATATCCATGCACCGCCGCACGTTTTACATATCGTCTGGGGACCTTGACATACCCAAGTCTACCGGAATACCATCCTTCGCCGACGTGAATCCCAAACGCATTATCCCCGGCGAGGAGCAAGTCAGTGACGTCGTAGGTGTTATATTCATGCCGATACTTATACGATTGCCAGCCCGGAGCAAGCACATGATCGCCGACTCTCTTGCCGTTTATCCAGGCTTCATATAAACCATCCGCGGTAATATACAGCCTAGCTTTCTTTACGCCGCCCCCCACCGAAAATTCCTTACGAAGTAGCACAGGCTGATGCGGGGCATTTTGTTCGGTCTCTTTGTCGGCAGCTATCATCACCGCACCTGACCAGTCCTCTTGGGCTAGGAGTCCCGTTTCGACAGTGAAAGGATCTGACCAGGGAGTATCGGTCTGGTTTCCTTCGCCGTAAGCCCTCACCCGAACCGTCGCAGACTCCGCCGATGATAGTGATACCGTAGGCCATGGCACGAGAATAGAATCGGAGGAGTTATAATGAAATAGCTGAACCTGGGACTGCCGAGACAGCTCGAGACTGTATCCGCTCTGCGTCCAGTTTGGAGAGCTCCCCTCGAATCGCCACGATATGCGCGGACTGGCCTCGCCGATACCCAGAGCCGTGCGGTGATGCTCGAAGGACACCCGGGAAATTGACACTGCCGCCATTATGCTAGTTACGTACCTGTTAATATAGGCAGTGTAGCATCATGTGAGTGAGTATCAGTCCAGGACGAAGATGAAGGCCTATTAGGTCACGAAAGCCGGATATATTCAGTCGTGACACCACTTTTGTCTCTGCATGCTGCTGGCTCTACGGCTTTATTGTACTGTCGATCCATATTTGAGTCGGTAACCACGGTCGATTGATCCAATTCTTCCATTAGATCGTGCCGGTGTATCTTGAACCCGAGACATGTCCCCTCACGTAAATTCGGCAATCGTAATTTTGATTCTCCTCATTTCCAACCTAGCTGTTGGCCTCCCCCATGGACAGGCGAAGGAAGAACTAGAGCCCGTCCCTGCAGACATTGTAGCTCAAGCTCAGTCTTGTTGTAACCACCTTCGGCATGCTTTATTTCGCATTTACGCCATCATTCGCCGGATTCCCACCGCCGCCCCCCCTTGTTAATAGGGTCATTTTCGATCTTTCCGAGGCGTAAGGCACACCAATCAAGGCGATGACGGTCTAATTACGCATTAGCATGGTTCTCCAAAGGTATTCCCGCCCCAAGATTTAGCCAGAGTATCCATTTAACTAGCTGGCCTTGGTTGAATCTCCGCGTTTCCTATGCAGATCTATGCGGGGAAATGATAGAACTTGATATATAGCATCAGGGGATCTCCATGTGAAATCAAAATAGTTACATGTACTCCAAAGAAAATTCCAGGTAAGCTAACGTGAATTCAGTATAGCCAGCTTCATAGCATCTCCGCCTACCTTGTACTTACAAAAGTCACGCGTCATGGTGGAATTTGGAGAGTTTTTTTCAGCTTTGGTCAGGAGATGACGTCCTATGGGGTAGATATGCCCGAATTTTACGATATCTACTCGGGCTATTATTATACCAACATATTTCTCTGAAGATTCAATACTTCGATTTTAATTTTTTTTATTAGAAAAATGACGCTATATTATTTAAGTACGTAGTAGGCATGGTGTCTTTGAACATGCTTCGAGGTCTAGAAATGCATGTATGTCTTATAAAATTTGCAGCTTCTTTCTAAGGCTTCAGTTTTTGGCTCGAGCTTTTAGCCTGCGAGTCGGCGGCATATCCACTTGGGTAGGTACCTACCTACCTAGGTAGGCCGAGGGTTTTGCGTCTTGGGCCGGGTAAAGCGCCCGTTGCATAAAAGTATTGTCTATGCGCATACGGCGGTCTTATTTAGATAGATACGAAGTAAATTAGAGACATCGTCGTCATCATCACCTAAAAACTGCGGTGGTGTTTGCGCTAGCATTACTCTGCGGAAGTTGCAGCGACGGCGTGAGTCCGCCTCCGCCGGGCAACTCCTGGAGAAATTGGGCTATTATCGGTCAGTAGGTACTTAATTACAATCCAGACCTCAAGGGTGATGTGATTCTTACCTGCCCTCATCGCCAACGCGTAAGTCAACCCCATAGGATGCGCAGATGGCTGATAGGGGAAGACTGAGCCGTCTACAATTCTCACATTGCTGGTTCCGTACACCAATAGAGTCGTGTCGACTACGCCCCCTGCTTCCTCTGCAAGCATCGGGTTGCCGCCCGTGAGGTGCTCGGACGTGCCGGTCCGCTGCTTCACGATATCATAGTATTGATCGAACGGTATGTCGAAAGGTGGATCCGCCGAAGTGATAATGTCTTTCATAGGCGACGTCGTGGCTATTTTCGTTTCCCAGAACTGAGCGGCTTTGGCAAGAAACCACATGTCCCATTCGACTCTCGTGCCATTGATAGTAGCAACAACTCTATTATAATTCGGGTCAATGACAGGAGGAGCGAGCGGATCGCTATTGTTAACGTGGACAGTACCTTGGCTGAGAGGTAAGAGATTGTATGGTGTTACCTTTGGCTCCTTGAATTGCCATGCCATCTCTATCAGTGGTTGATCTGTAAACCAGAGGGTTTTGAAAACTTCGAGTTGTGCGTCTGGGAGTCCCGGGATGCTGTCAGTTGCGTTGAGCCATTGCGATGCTGCGGTATAGTCTTCGCTGCTGAGCATATTGCGAGCGCTCTCTATCTGGATGTAATTTTGAATATATTCACCCCCAGAGAGGCTCACGCTGAGACCGAAAGAGATTGGAGGATAATTCATCATTGGCCTTCCGCAGTGTCAGACATCGTAGCTGTATTGAGGCTGGTATTACACTCACGGATCTCTCAGTCCTACACCAACGTTTGGTAGATTTATCTTTGGCGTGATACCGATTGGTGTCAATATCGTTGGATCGCCAATGCCTGAAAGCTCTAAGATCTGTGATGATTGAATGCAACCGGCACTGAGGATAACATGCCTTCCTCTAATATGAGAGGTTAAGTTCAACGCAGGCCCCAAATTAATGTAACTAAGGCCTGCTGCAGAGATGGAAGTATCAGCAGTGCCTTCCTTCCAGTCAATCCTCGTTACTTGGCTATTAGTCAAGACGTGAAGATTTCGTCTACCTTCAGCCGAAGTATACGCAGATCCAGAGTATGACCTAGTGTAAGTAGATGGCTCTATGGCTAGAGGCAAAAATCCACCACCAACTGCATCACCACCGTTCCGGTCTGAAGGAACTTGGTAACCGGAATTCAAAAGCGTAGGGCTAAGGTATTGGGGGAATAGATCAAGAACACTTCGCTGGAAGACGGATTGGATGTAGCCACCACCACCATGGTATGCAGGATTATACATGAAATATTGAGACATGTTGCTTGGTGGCCCATACATCTTCTCTGATTGCCGATATGCTGTAGATAATGTCTCGAAGTTCCAGCCGGTAAGGTTGAGAAGGGATTCCCAAATATCCAGCTGTACTCTGCTGTCCGTGTTATGTATCATCCAGTTCATCGAAGATGTACCGCCAATGACTTTTCCCCTGGGTACGGGCTGGGCTCCCGTGTCCAGACCAGGTTGTGATGTTGTCCAAAATTGCCAGTCATATTTGGTATGCTGGATTGACCCTGACAAGGTGAGTGACAAAGCTAAGAAACATATACTTTGGTTATACCTCTCAGTTCTGGGTCTGTGATGTTATTCTCATATCTTCCATCACCACCAGCTTCTAGGATACAGACTGTGATATTGGGGTTTTCAGAAAGTAGAACGGCGAGAAGAAGGCCTGCTGTTCCAGCTCCAGCTATCACATAGTCGAAAAATGCCGTTTCATTTTGAGCAATGGCTAGGGCGATTATGCCCACAAGTATTAATTCCCTCGCTGTCATTTTGCCATTGTTGCTAATTGAGGAGAGTAATTGCGAAACGACTTGTGAGGAATATGAATCAATGCCCCACAACTAAATGTCTAATACGTATTTTTGAGGTAATCATAGTATGCAAATCGAATCTTCCTAGCTACCAGTCATTTACCTTGAGCATGACTATTCAATTCTCCTGCGACTAGTTTTAGGAGCCGTCATCGGATGGCCACCCCTAAGCATGTAGCATGGACGCGGCTGTCATAAAATTCAACCAGGTTGAGAAAAGAAAGTGAGTGTACCTAATCTTACAAGTATTTCGAACTTGGGAGAGCGTCATCATAGCAAGGATGGCTAATATGGCAAATAAGCCATACATGCCAGCATGAAAATAGCAATTGAAACGAAAGGCTTGCCGTCCAGATCGGGATATCAATGGCGTCTCAAGTATAGCGGTGCCGCAGAAATAGGGGTCGCAAATGTTGATCGACAGCTGGCACTAAGCTTTGGCGGGCCGTCGACAGGCCAACAGGCATGCCTTTTATGTCAACTTGAGACGAGCGTCAAAAAGACCCAGTCCTTCCCACCGATGACACAGTTCAACAACAATCCACTTCTCCTCGCGAGCCGGACACTCGATTTTCGGCAACAAAAATTACTTCATTCTCGGGTATTTCGACAATACCATATGTTATAACGACACACGAAGGGACCGCCTCTAGAGCCTTAATTTCGACCCTCGCACTCCCGAAGCAACCCCGCGCAAAAAGAAATGTCCGGCCTCGACTCCCCCGACATAAGCGCGGCGTACGACGCCGTCCGGTCCGACAAGGACGCCACGAACTGGCTGCTCCTATCGTACGCGGGCGCCGTGGGCGACAAGCTGGTGCTCTCCGGCACGGGGACGGGCGGTCTGGAAGAGCTCGGGGCGAAGCTGGACGACAGCCAGGCCCAGTACGCGTACGTGCGGGTCGAGTACGCCAACGACACGGAGAGCACGAGGGTCAAGTTCGTGCTGCTGATCTGGATCGGCGAGGGCACCAAGGTCATGCGCAAGGCGCGCGTCTCCATCGAGTCGGGCGCCGTCAAGAGGGCCCTGAGCCACCACAGCATCTCGGTTGACGCGCGGGACCGTAGCGATATCGACCAGAAGGAGATTGTGGCTCGATTGAGACGAGCGGGAGGGGCGGATTACAACGGTGGACGAGGTTAAGAGACGAGAAATGGAAGGAGATGGGAGGGGAGAGCAACAAATGAGACATACCCTCCTTGGAGTTGCACGACAGGTGTGGCTAAAGAGGGGTATCTTTCATCGGGTTTGCTTTTTCGACAATACATCATCGTCCCCCCACTCCTTTTCACGACAAGCCACGAAACCACGAAACCATACTTTTTTATATAACATAGCGAGGCGTAGAGATTGAGGGTATTCTAGATATTGAGATGAGACCGAAGAGATGATGGTGTGGTTTGTTTCTGCGTACCATATACCATTCGCATATATACAGGATCAATATAGAAAGAAGCATTGAGGTGTTGCCGAGTGCTGAGTGTCGCTGCTAGACGCATGCTTCATATTCGTCCCTAGAGGAGGCGCAAAAGGTTCCCAGTCCTAGCCCTTGGTAGGCTCTCCGTTCCAACCGGTGAGATTGACAACTTCGGGATTTCTCCCGCTCCTTACTATTGTCCATATCACATCTTCATCTCCGTCGTTGACTTCTTGGTGTTCCATGAATGCGGGAATAAGTGCGTAGTCGCCTGGTTCCAAGTCTACCCTTTTTGTCCCCCCTTCACTTACGACGGTGCCTCGTCCTTTAACGGCGTAGACTACGGTGTCTTGTTCGCCATGATGGTGAACAGCCGAGGCAGTATGTGGCTTCGCAAGCATATGAGTAGCACATATGCCATCGCATTTATCGACTATCGCGTTGGATCTTATCATTCCCTCCGTCTGGCCTCCGGATTGTTTGATGGAGGAAGCCTTGGTTAAGTGAACTGGCTGAGATGGTTCAGGGTGAGACATGATGAAGCGATCTTAAGTTGAGCTCGAACTTAGTATCAAATTGCAAACTGTTGGAAATGGTTCAATACCTCTTTATTCGCCGATATTAATGTTGTACGACTACCGGGTAAGTGTAAGAAGGCGTGGCTTAGTCATGATGATAACATCCGTTATGAATTTATGCGGTATAGCGGGATGGTGGGATGGCGGGGTTCGTTACCATCATCCGGCCTCATTCTTCCTCTTTCAACCGCTACCTTCTTCCATCAAATTCTTTATATCAGATCACGTCACATCGTAGGCGATATGGATATTTCGAATCCTCGTCGGATATTAGCCGTTTCATTGGCAGATTCGACCCAACACCTAACTAGAGTCATCAAGGGTAATTCTCAAGATTCATAAATCTAGCCTCCCTTTACCCCTCTATAGCTCCTTATTACATAAATCGTACGCAACACATGTGAACACATATTTAATATCACATCTACAACATGCCTATACACATATCTAGGTACATATCTACATATTATCATAAAAACTAACCTGTAACTAGATCTCACCGGCACTCACCCAGAGCAAACATCGACAACATTAGCTGGTTCTTCACATAATCTCTCCTTAAAGACAGCATACTACACAGCAGAGGTCCCCATATGGCTGGATCTCATCTCGTCACCATCAGAATGGGCAGACTCGTTTCTGTCTCCTGAAGCCAAGGAGGTCCTCGAAGTCCTCGGTGGCCTCGTCATAGTCTTTTCCCTTCCCACTCAATCACAATCAGATGAGGCCAAGACCGCGCGTGAGCTCATCCAAAACGTCGGCAAGGTTGTCAAGGAAGGACTTGGCGGATGGTCTTGGGATGGAGTAAGTCTATGTCTAGGCGTGGGAGAAATCGATGATGTCAACGAATGGGAGGATTGCTGCTCAGATTTGGGGCTAGAGTTCGTTCAGGTGAGGAATCGGACCATCCAAGAGCGTAACGAATTCGGTGGTATGTCTTAGCTACCAACTCTAGCTTTCACTTTATGAAGTAGCCACTCACCCGAAGTATAGAGAAAACCGGCATCCCTCGGGCTCTTGAAGCACTAGAGTCAAATGACTGGTCACAGACGTCGGCAGGAGATCTCGGGTCTGATTTCGAGGACTTCGAAGAGGAATTAGGTATCGGGAAAGATTCCAAAGCTAACGGCAAAGACAAGGATGGGCCTGATCTTGATCCGGAAAGCCTAGACTTCGGCTTCGACCGCGAGGACTTCGCCGGGTTAAGACAAGCGATATGGAATGCCGGTCAAGAAAATGACGAGGATTTTCTCAACGGTGAGCCGAGTACGGGGATCAACCCTAATGAGGGAGAGGATCTCGACGATGAGGAGATTAGGAAGATAGAACGCATGATGGTTAAGCTCCAAGCCGTGCGTGACACAAGTGCCGGTTTACCAGAAGAGCAACGGAAGAAGGTAGCTGCAAATGCGGTAGCTGAGGTGATGAAAGAGCTTTGAACGACGTTCGGACAGTCATGGCCACTACGCGAAAAATTTGTCGGTTTATGTGGAAGGAAAAGGCAAATCCGCAAAATTCGGTTGCGACTGTCTATAAGCTCATTAGATGACATGCTCTAGCATAAGATTCCCAACGCGATTGATAATCTTCGACCAAGATTAGGATTTTCTATGAGAGAATTCCAACTATACGAGATACTATCGTCTGTTCATAGCTACATCAACCTCGGTGGACTCTTTCATTTGCCCCTATTCGGCCCACATCTTTGAATTCTTGCCGATGATTTGAACCCGAATAAATGGCATTAGTCTAGACACGAATATGGTGAGATCACCTTACCTAGGACGTAGGGTCTAGTCAACTTTCGTCATTCTCCTATATATTATATGGTTGTCGTGTGCTATAAGCATTGGGCAACAATCATGCGAAATTTCCTCTTCATATCCAATTCTAGTCGAGTTCTCTCCAGGTAGAAATCTAAAATAGCTGAGACACCTATTCTGGAGCAAGAAGATCGGATGGTACGATTCTCCTGCGGCTTACTCTTGTGGTAATATGCCCGCTTTCTTTGCTATGGCGCGACTGAAATAGACGACTAGGATAGCTGGGCTCCAGCGTCTCCATCTATTCGGTATCAGACAAGGGAGCAAGCTCTCACGATGACAGCAGAGCCTCACGGTGAACAGATTGCCGGATCGGCAACGAGATCGCCCGTTGTTTAGCTTACCAACGTTACCCACTTGTGGTTTCACGTCCGAGACAATCGACTTGGGTCGTGTGAGGCAACTCAGCCATCAGATAGGCAGATAGGACATTTTGTCGGTACTCGGCGCCGACTGATCGATCCCCTTGCTTCGAGCGAGCGGCTAGATCTAAGGTGGCGCTCTAACATACACTATTTACCGCTTGGGAGCAAACTGTTCTATACATAGTTCGTTGGGTGATGGCCAATACGTTCGAGAACTTGAGGCGGGACTAGGGTTGACGAGGTTGCCAAGAAAGCAAAACCCCCTTTTCGAGGACGATATGCGCCCTATGAACTATTATAAGCAAACGCACTGGACTCGTCGCGACTCATTCGTCAGAGCGGCCCCTTGAAAGTAAACATTGATGCGTCTTTCCAGAAGCTCCAGTTGCCTGTAAGCGAGTGACATCAACATGCGATGGCCAAGGGTTTACCATGCGCACCAAGTGTCGAGATCGGAACAATGCTGAATGCATATCAATAGCGTCGCAGTGTCATATCCTTGCTATATACCAGTGCTAGATATACCTACATATAAATAAGCTGTAAGAGAGGTTCTAAAGTGGGCACGTTTCGAATCGTCTTCGTTTCAATGCTGGTTGAAGGTAACGTCGCAGATAAGAGAAGATCGTGAGGCATCGCTCGGAGCAACGATCTCGTAACCCTAAACCACACATACTGCGATATATGTACCTACCGTCAGTTAGGGCGCATGACGAGGGACCTGGCGGGGTTTCCCACCTGAGAGACTGTCCATGACACGGATATCTCTTAATAGAGCAACCTAAGCGGGGACGTTGCGTGCTGTATGCATCCGGCGCTGAGGCCCCCCGAAGCTGGGATCGCAGAACAGTTCTTCCTCGCTTCCTGGGCTTTGAAAAATCACCGAGTTGATCTTCTAGAATATCTATGCGTCATCCAAGGAGGTGACGGAAAATGAAAATATTGATGTTGGGAGCCGATAGTACATATGCCGATTTTTTTTTTCTAACTCTGCGCCTGTCAAATATCAACTCGATTTATATAAGTTTAATTTCGCGTTGAGGCTTGCAGAAAACGTGCGTGTTATAGGGGCTAGACATCCCGCTTGTCGGCTCGTAGCTGCAATGCGACAATACATTTGTACAAGTCCGTGCTGGATCGTATCGTGAGAAGAGCGCAGCCCTTTTGCAATCTGTCACGTCGACCTGTCATGCACCTACACGGGAAGGAGTGAAGCAGAGTGTGCAACCATTGGATGAATTGGCATCGCTTCATGCATATCTAGGGGCGTGGGTGTTCGTCCCTACGGGTCGACGCATAAAAATCGCCGGAGTTTTTGAACGCCTTGCCGTTTGCTGAATACCTAGTAGGGCAGGTACTTATACCTAAGTAGCCTAAGTACCTTGCTACCTGTATTGTGAAGCCTTATGAATCCTACCGGAAGGATACGCATTGAAAGAGGCTTGAAGAGGCCCGAGAGCATGTTAATTACTAGGTAGTTCGAGCGCTTGTTGGAGTGTATTTGGCATCTTGTATATTGACTCATTCTGTTTGCTTCATTGTTTACCTTTCTCTAGGTCGGTTCGCCGGCACCGTAATGTTGTAGTACAATCTTCCTGGGTGTGATCAATTTTTGCGCTGCTTCCTTCGAGACCTATGCGTTGGGGAATCCTTGCTATTTGAATACGACTGCTACCTCATAAGAAACGAGAGTTGAGCTTTAAGTAAGCACGCTAATACACGAATGGCCTGGTTCGTCCATAGTATGCTGCCGGTGATCTTCAATGTGATCTGTAATACGATCTCTAGATGTGTCTATTTGGCCGTCAAAGGCTTGGCTTATGATGAGACGTTAGGACATATACATACCTACGTAGTAGTATGACTACCTCGTTTAGGTCAGCTATGCGCTTACCTAGGTGTGTATCAAATGCCTGGACGTTTTAGGATCCCCATACTCGCGGAGGTATGCTAGTATGTAGTTTAGCTTCTATCGATGCCGAATAGCCAAAGATTCGTAACAGATTCGCCGATAGTAGTACATATGTACGTGTACTACCTTGTACACTTACGTAGGTACATGGGTGTAGGTCAGGTAGCAAAGGGAGCACCAGAACGATGCTAATCGAAAAAAAGTCTCTTCCAAGAGGAACTAAACGTCGAAAGCGGCCGAGTGGGCGAATTGGGAGTACGGTTAACTCGAGGGACGCCGCGCGCACGGTGCATGATCGGCAAGACAAAAATGGAACACAACTTACTAACCTCTTTTTCCCCTTTATGCGGCTTACGGACTGGATTTTCGATTTTCGGCGTGGAAGGATTGTGGAAGACTCTTCTCAACAGCAGATCGAGCTTGTCTCGGCGGGCTTCCCGAGCCCACGAAGGACAAGGAAAGATCAGACGAAATGGTTCCCGCAGAACGGGTACCGTTGGTGTGTGCTCGGGCGAGTTTTAATGCTAGAGCGACCTCATCCGATGATCCTTCAGGCACAGAAGAATTTTTTCCCTTGCCCTTCCACCCTTCCTGTCTTGTTGGAGGCTGAGACTAGTGACATGTTTCCCGCGGACTCTCTGGAGTCGCTCAATCGAGCCCCATGCAGGGTGGGTATGGCGACGCGTGACGCCTTTCAAGGGGCAGGGCTCGGAAACACTAGCGTCTAGTACCTGGGTACGTAGAGCCATGTAACCTGCAAGGGGTAAGCGGCGATTGTGAGCTTAGGTGAGCATTTAAGAGGCACTGTGCTAGGTAGTACCGGTAGGTGGCGAGCCATGACGGATTGGCTGGATTTCCGCCGTCCAATTCTCACCTCTGTAGAAGAAAATCCGGGTTGCTTGATATGGCCTGTCGTGTAGTCGTGTCATATCAACACGCTGCGTAGTGGTCTGATTGGTAACAACGTCGCCCAGGTGAGTTGTCAAGAAGGGCTCCAGGGCTGCTGTTTTGTGATGGGGCTTAGACGCACATACTACTTGCGTACGTACATTTCGTAGCTCTACTATGTATGAATCCTTTGAAAGTCAAAAGCCGGCATGTACCGCCATTTTCGGCCATACGTATCTGTCTCAAGTCGCCTAAAATATACTTGGCGGATCCGAACGGTCCTAAACGGTCCAGATTCTTGCTAGTCAGAACGCGAGGGACGCTCGGCTGGAACTCTTCGGTAGTAGGGTTACTAGTAGCCATGCTCGAAACGGATCGCATTCGAATACCGGCTATGTGGTTCATGGTTTAGTGTAAAGCGCGTCTATAAGTGGAAGCATTGCGAAAGCAGTTGATGGTTGTTATTATCCGCAAACGTGGGAAGCGAGGATGAAAGTGTAAAGCTACGGTAAGCGCTTTTTATCGGGGTTCATCCTTCGGCTACTTGGCTACCCAACGGACTACAGCTTTGAGTCGGCGACCGAAGTGGCGAAGCCGCTACAAGTGCGAGCGGACGATCAAAAAGGCTCTAAAGACTAAATCCTCACGGCTCGACTATCTGCGCATGCGCAACCTCTCCACCACCTACGTATGTATGTAGAACCGTGAGCGGCGGGACGGACGGGCAACGCTAAGGATGTGTGGCACAGTGCGCGTAGACGAGTAACGGTACACGAAGCTGACCGCATACTGCGCATACTAATGCAGGAACATTGCGGGCGGTCATGCAGTTCAGCCGTACTACTGGCTCGCCAATGCAGGTACAGATACCCACACAGTTTTAAATTCTCGACTCATCGTGATCCCCACCGAAACGGGATCGAAGAAGGGGAAGGAAAAAAAAGGATTGCCATCCACCATCTTGGATCATCAGCCGTGTTGTTAGGTCTTATCTTCCCTACCTACATCCTAACGAGGCTGGCGGGGAAGGGCATGGATCATTCCGTGGCAGAGTCATTGGTTCCTAAGAGAGTTATGACCTGGTTCGAACGCGGTCAACCGCGTAAATGTCTTAACTGTTGCGGAAAAACATGCAGGGATAATATGACTAGCTGCTGAAAAGGTAGATCCTACCAGGGCCTCAGGATCGTTTATCAGCGGTCGAATCTTAGGGGAACTTCGCTACTAGTATTCTCGCCCGTATGTTTATACATAGTGTAGGCACGTACTGCGTAGGTAGATAGCTGTATTCCTAGACGAATTTATCAACGAAAATACGTGGTTAAGGAGTTAAATGGCTTAAAAGCCTCATATGGCCCCGTCATGTGCGAGTATTGTTGTCTGTTTGTATCGGTCAGCTCAATGTTAGGTGTTAAATCTAGCGACGAGAGAGAAAAAAACGGCCTCTTGGCTCTCGACCCCCCTTTTCTTGCGTCGGCAGTCTTGTCGGTCCTAGAAGGGTGGGACAATATCGGGGCAGGGATTTCATTGGCCCTGAGAAGCACGCTGTCAAACAACCCCCACCACCCTCAGGACGGATCGCCATCGAGAGTTCCAGGTTCCAGAGACTAGCCAGGCATTTACATAACATCATGCGTTTGTTTCGAGTCTAGTAAAACAAAACTTTCTCCAGCGCTTTAACATAATTAAAGAATAGTAATTACAATCGTTCACGAAGCCTGAAATAACCCGAAGATGGAGTGTTTTATCTGCTGATTGCTTGTCATCACTTACCTACTTAGATACCCAGGGAAACGAGAAGAACTTTCGAAAGGGTTGGATCTTAGACTACCTAGTAAGTAGAACGATTGAGATGCCAATGCTTTGGAGACGAAAGTTCCTCAATGATAGTCTAACGGCTCGGGGAAGGGTCGTATCAATTCCGTCCTATGTTAGGATAGGTATCCGTCGACTCGGATCAGCTGGGCATACCTCCACGAGGATAGTGGCAGATCGACGAGTCTGTCTATTGCATGTATCCACGCGCTGTCGACATTCGACGCCGCCAACCGGGCCACCCAAAGTCCGGCCGGAACTACGGTCCCGTAGATGGAGACCGCGGCGCGCTTTCACTAGTGTGGGTTTTCTAGCCGACTAGGTCCAGATTTGAAGAAGGCGAAGACGGTCGACCCAACGAACGGCTGGGAACGATTCGATATGCCGCTTCATAAGTTGACGGTATGCCTGCGTGTGTTTAAAAAGCACATTCATCATGGCGACCGATGCTGGCGACGGCAGCGCGCGTCAGCAAGGATTGCACAAGCCTTTTTAGCCGGCGCCACACCTATTGTGGTTTGCCAGTGAGCATTTTCTGTCCTTTACATGCCCAGCACACCCTTTACATAGTAGACTGGAATAGCCGGATGGATATTCGCACTGTCAAGGATGTGCACAATCCTTCCATCCTAAAAGAAGACGCAGGCACCAATAGAATGGTACCCTGGAATTTTGAAGACCGGGGCAAACATACCTACTTATAACCACCTATTGTGTACCCAAGTAGACACTAGTAATTATTCGCAGCCTGAGATAATAGCAAGAAAATACCTAGACAATAATAGTAGTACTGGACTTGACAGCTTGACTCGGTATTGTGGTGTTCGGCATTGGATATTCTGAACCATAGTAGTACGGCTGAAGTCATCGTCAGGGGTATGGTCCCACAACCGACTTGCTGAGCTCTCAGGTCCTTTTTCATCATCTACCTAGGTCCATTCGACATTTAGCGCATTCGCTCAAGGCCCATCCGCTCAAGGCCCGTCTGATGATCTGCTTTAGGCTCTTTAGCACCCAGGTGTTTCTTTGCGGATAAGATAAAACACATGTCCTCGCACCAAAGGGGCACTGGAAGGCAACACCAGGATGGATCCGACGCGATTATGTGTCGAAGACATCATGGCCACCTCGTCTGAAGTTGTTGGACAACCCACCGTGATGACCTGTATCGGACGATGAAGAAGTTGAGAAGCATTTATTCTAATGCGTGTAGTGCGTGTAGGTAAAGAAAAAGACGGTGTGTGTTTCGTTACGAATATGGGACGGGTGTATGTGTGCGTGCGTGGAAGATAGAGAAAAAAAGAAGTGGGTTTGGTTAGAAAACCTTGGAAGGCTCCATACAATTGCACGATTGGTTCTTCAGGGGTAAAATATCTCCACAACATCCACCTTATAGTTGACCCGTAAATGCGTAAGTATTTAAATGCATAAATGCGCTAGCTCAGGTACATTCCACTGTATCTGGTCGGGCTGGGCAGGCGGTCACGTCTACTACATAAGCGTCCGTAGAAGTATCAATCAGTTCAGTATCAGAAACAAAGCTGGCCAATCAATTGCCCTAGTCTTACATCTTTGGAACCTTAACGCGCCCCCCCGCGAAACCGTATTTTGCATCTCTATGCTCTGCCGCACAGTATTAAGACCGTATTTATAGGCAACGGCATGTAACGGCCCCAATGTCGCCCCATCTATTAACGCTGATGCGTGCTAACTGCCCACTTAGGCCGCTCTCCAAGCCAGGCTAATCCCCGTCGCTGGTGCTCTTAGGCAAGTCGCTCTTACCAAAGTAGGTATTCTAGGTACCCTAGGTACCACCGGTACGGACTACTGCGGGCTGCTACATTGGGTTACTTTTGGTAGCTTCCGGTACCTGAGTCTGGTACCTGAGCCTAGTACCTGAGCAGTCGCTGCAGGGCCGTCGCCCTTACTCTTTTGTGCTTGACCTTCCTCCTTTTTCCCCCTCCTCCCTTTTTTTTTCGGCTGTCCTTCTCTCCATCTTCATCTTCTTTCCTGGTATCGTCACTGTCGTCGTTTATCGACAATTCTTCTACCCTTTCTCCCCCCATATTCGTTATTTCCTTTTTTCTTCGACCCCACACTCTCTTTTCATATTCATAGCCATTACGGACACCGTCACTCCTTCCGGGTCCATTTCATTCCTTAGGCTTAACTAACTCTCAGTATCTCAACACCAGACCGTAGTCGCCTGTTACCAACATACCTACTAGTAGTAGTATCTTGTATCGACGACAACGTATCATTATCCCGACCGCGCGCATAGCTTAACCGCTTCGGGACGACGCTCCTTGATAAACATTATCAACTTTTACATCTTCGAGATATCCTTATTGGAATAATACCTTCGATATTCGGGCGCGGTCAGGACAGCCTATCGATATCGCGTCTAAACTCACGGCATCGAGGTCGATCGCACCGAACTTATTAGAACTTTATATTAACGTCTACATTCATTTACACCTCTGGAGCGGACAATGGAGACTCCCATCAAGATGGAACAGCCCGGTTCCGCGGCTCCAACTATCGCGGCCCAGACCCATTCTACGCCAGAGGCCACATCAACACCTGCCACCTCGGTCGACACCAAGAACAGCATGTCCCCCTCGCCGTCTTCGGCCCAGTCGACCACTCAGTCCAGCGCCAACTCGAGACGTCCGCCGCGCAAGAGCACGCTTACCCAGCAGCAGAAGAACCAGAAGCGACAGCGCGCGACCCAGGATCAATTGACGACTCTGGAGATGGAATTCAACAAGAACCCTACCCCGACCGCCAACGTTCGGGAGAGGATAGCGGAGGAGATCAACATGACCGAAAGGTCTGTTCAGATCTGGTTCCAGAACCGGTATGTTCAATCCGATTGTTTCTCTGCGAGATCTCGTGACTAACATCAGCACGCGATAGACGCGCCAAGATTAAGCTTCTGGCTAAGAAGAGTCTGGAAACTGGTGAGGACATCGACTCGATCCCCGAGTCTATGCGAGCATACCTGGCCATGCAGGCCATGGAATCTGGTAAGGGCCTTGGCGGTCCTTACATGGGACGTACCGGGCTGCTACCTTACGGATCGATGATGTTGGGAGGCGAGCAGGGTGGACAGGGGAAAGTCCGTAAGTATCACCTTGACTTCTTGGGATGACTTCGGGAAGCTTACAATTCTAGTGATACACCATCTGACTTGCCGATCTCTGAGCATTGGAAAGTGGACGCGTGTTGGTCAGAACACGATGGATCTAATCATCTTCTACTCTCCTGAGAAGTGTACCATGACCTACTACATCAACAACGATCAGGCGGGATATAAGATCGAGTACAACTTCAACGCGATCAAGAACATCTACCTCGAGAATCCCGAGGGCGACGCGACCAAGCTTGGTGGAATTGTCATCGAGTTGAACCGACCTCCTAATTTCTTTATGGATTCGTCGCCAAACTCGAACGGCTTTTTCCAGTGCAATGACTTCACCGAGGACCAGCAAGCCACGCATTGCCTTGTCCACCATCTTGGTGGTAACCCCAAGGTTCTCAGCGGCCAGCTTGCCAAGCTCGCATCTCTTGAGTCCTTCACAAACCGACACAACCCGAATCCTTTCGACATGAGCCACGCGTTGTCTGTTTCTGCTCCCGTGTCGCCAACTAACCGCCCTGCTTCGCAGCCCAACTTCGGACCACCGCATGTCGGCATGTACCAGGAGTCCCAGTGGGGAATCAACCCGATGCATGCCGGTATGCGTGCCCCTGGCCACAAGCGCCAGCGCAGCAGATCGGTACCTACGGCCGTCGACTTCTCCATGTTCCAAAACCCGATGCCGTCGTTCTACATCCAGCATCCGGGTGACAACCAAGGCCAGCCGCACAGCCCTAACATCTACGCGCCTGTCCCGCAGCAACCCAACGGCCTTAACAACGTTGGGCCTAACCTGCGTATCGACACTCAGGCTACGTACGGCATGGATCTCAGGCAGTACCCGCTATCTGCTGCTACCACAGCCCCGTCGGAGTATTCTAGCCCGAACTTTTTCTCCCAAGGCCCCGAGAACACGCCTCTACCAGCTTCGAGCTTTAACACTCCTTACAGCGGAGCATTCCTTTCGCCGCTGCCCCAGATCCCGCAATCTGTGTCCCCGTTGTCCTACACGGGCCACGGTGACCCGGCCATCGTTGAACAATCGCCCCCTCTTTCTATGCTTCAGCGGCCAGCTTCTACTGACATGTATGGTATGGGCGAATCTGCTATTTCTGACGACGGACACGGCCTGAACGAGATGTACTCGAAACACACTATCAACCTTCCGATGCACCCACACTCTCCCGGGTTTATGGAAGCCAACCAGGCCGATCTAGACATGAACCAGCTGGTTCAGTTTGACACTGTCGACCCGTCGAGCTTATCCCCCGAGAGTATTCAGCATCACCAATGATTTCGACTTATTTCTGGTTGCGCGTTTTCGGATCCTTTCGGTGGCCGGAGCGCTATTTAATGCGTGCATAATAGTCGCTACGGTCGGTTTAGTCTTGTTCTCCTACTTGTGGCGTTACGGGACCTTATACCTCTTGTCGCTTTTGTGTGGACTTCCTTTTTCTCGAAAAACTCCCTTCTACCCGGTTTGCTCTTCGGCATACGAGACTTGATTTGTTTCTTGTCCCATTTCATCGATTTCATCGGCCACAAAGCTCAGCATGACGACATTCTGCTTCGGCATCCGATTGTGCATGTCTGGCACAGCTATCGTACTTTCTACTTTATCACATCGCTACCTTTTTTTCCGCCTCGGGGGAAATCATCCATCTTCCAAATGGCCAAGGCCATTTGCGCTAATATCGGGAATACGGGTCCTAATCCAATTCGTTTGCAATCTGGTTTGAAATATTACAGCTTGTTCTTATCTTTATCTTTTCCACATTTCACACTTTACGAAACTAAGCGATGTCTTTCCTGGCTGCGGGGCGAACAAAAACAGATGAACATGGAAGAAGCCCAGGAGGCTTGGGTTTGCGGATAGTAATTTTTAAACAACGTCTGCCGGAGATCAGCGGTCAGAGCTGGTCTGCTGGATTTGTTGGGCGGTTGGCATGTACCAATTGCGAGAGTAATGATCATTGATACCTCGGGAACGGACTGTCGAGGGTGAAAAAAGCCTGGGTAGGCGGTATAACCAGTATTTGATAGCGTGAAATCTGCGGCGAAAGCCCTGACGCTATCCAGTGTTAAACTGCGCTATGTCAAGGTGGATTACTTGACTAGCCCTTGTAGCTCGATGAAGATGAAGAAGAGATTCCCCTGTTTGCTGTCTTTTCCTTGTCACGACTTTACGGCGAGGATTATAATACATTGGAATATAGAAACATATATGCGAATTGAAATGTATTAAGGTGATTGCTTTTCTGTGCCTTTGACGCCCAAGTCTTCTGACCTATATCAAACGTTTGGTCTTGAGTTTTTCTTGGTAGCAAACTAAAGAAGTTCAGAAAGTTCAGATCGATAGTGGAAGTTGAGTCATGAGGCAAATATTTGTCGCAAAATTGACATCGTCACCAGATAAGTGAGTGTCTTACAGGTCTTAAACCCGAAGGAGCCCTGAAAAACGGCTAGTGTTCATACGATTGCCATCGCCCTTGAGGCAGTATAACATGGAGCCTAGTTGAAATCCTGTACGTTTGTATCAACTTAACTGCATCATAACATTTAGACTGCCAGTATACAACTCGAGGATATTCTGGGCCACCTTTGCTAACTAGGTGCCTAGAGAATTTCAAGAGAGTCTTCACCGTGCCTTAATACCAGCGTCAACAACCTGGATATGCTGCGGTTAGGTCTAGATTACCGTTACTATATGAGATCACAGGTAACACTGAGGCTAAAAATACACCCAAGACATAGCACAAGGCTGTGTTGTTGTGAATCTTTTTTTCGTGTGACAGCTCGACTCGAGACCCCTACTTTCCTCTAAGCTGTTTAAAATGGCGGGATGACTACAGCACAAGGGATATATGCCTATACCCAGGTAAATATCATATTCTTCTCGGTATTGGTTTAAGCAGGACTAATATGGAACTTCCTAGTTTGCGACATTCGATATCAGGTGACATTATCTAGCTCCCTGCGCAGCCTGCGGCACAGATTGCCGACTGTCTCCCGTGGCTGGCTGAGTAACGGACTGCCTAACGGCTAGATTGGGTTTGGTGTAAGTGGCATGGATAGGTCTGTTTCGTATCGTATGTAACCTTGCCGTTGATTCGTGTAATAGGTGCACCTTAGACAGTAACGTTTGTTCCATGTATAACCTCAACTTTGGGGCTGTTAGAAAATAGGGGTCCCGCAGAGCTAGACTAAAGTGCTGCTAGTCAGGACATAGAGGCGATCTTGTCTACAAGGAGGTAGCCAGTATTTGCCTACCTGTACTACATACCTACTACATATATATGTTGTAGTTGGGGCTCTAATCTCACAATACGACAACATTTTATATCTTCTATAGGTAAATTAATATATATGAAGATATACTATATGGCCTTTCACGATGTGTCTACTTCATATTTAGGTAATCTGCTAGACCGCTAGATAGCCTTGGTAATACCTAAGCTGTCAAGTAGCATAGTTGAGAGCGATGGATCACTGTGCCGCAAGTGTCAAGCTGGCAAAGCTCTTACACGTCCTAGGCTATGATATCATTTTTGTAGTATAGGCTGCTTGAAATGCGTGTTGGTCTCGAAATAGAACCCCAGCAGTCCTAGCTTGACCGGCTCACGTTACTGGATAAAGTCATGAGATAGCTTGATACCTAAGATATGATTCACATTCTCACTTCCTCAATATTTCAACCAAGTGAGTCTCTTGTGATTATTGAAGGCATTTTTTACTCTCAACTTCCTAGCTTACTATCGACATGGCAAGCTCTTGCATGGGTATCGGCATTTGTAACCGAATAGACGTCCCTTGCATGTTCGATAGACTTCTCACGCTAAATAAGTCTGTAGACATAGCGCGCAAGTGATACGAGGTGTAAGCAAAGCTGCCCATGATGATCATGCCTCACGTGTTGTTGTACTAGATAAATTGTGCGGCTTCATATGAGATCTTGGAAATGTGTGTTGCTAGTATGCAATGACTATCGTCGGAGTTTGGGGATTTGGGGAACTTGGGGATCGCCATATTCGTCATCGACAAATCGTGTCTTATAAACATTTGGCGTTGGGGGTGGCGCAGCATCTGACGTACGCTTTGGGTATGACAATTGTACAATAATGCTTCCAGCTTATTTGCGTAGGTACCTGTTGACGAGCCAATATGTAGTTCGAATTGACAGAGTAATTCGGCAATTATTTCATGTCGACATTAGAGATAATAATAATGTTGTTATTGTTAAAAGCTGGCTATTATGCCAATATTAGTTCTGTCAAGTCAAGTGCTTAGTAAATATTGACTTATACGCTGTGGAGTGTCAGAATGTCCCCAGTATTTATTTTCTTACAAGGATGAGACGAGCCTTTCGATCCATAACGGGAATAGATTAGCGACTAAAAGGACCCATCGATTCGGGTTTTGTGGCTTGCTCTTGCGGGCCCCAGATTTTTGATGGACTAAATTCTCTAGCCCCCGCTTAGGACTTGGCTAGTTCTAATTTTACAACTATTTTGCAATCAACTGTTCGCCCGCAGTTGAATCGTCTAACGACGAAAAGAAACGAAAAGGTGGAGGACATTCAACTCAAAGTGATCGTCAACTCATCCTCGACCGAAAGGGGCGCATGGAAGAGAACCGTAGACATCGGTCAGTTGGGTTGAAAGGTTTGATTCTTTTCTCACGTTCATGCGTAGATCCTGCTTCCTTGTTGGGCGACACGGATCTGCGGGAAACTGGGCTACTAGGCTACGTACCTGAGTGCTAAGAGTCTAAGACCCGAAGGATGTGGCCGAGTTGGTGGTGGCAGGGTGGTAACCCCCTCCAGCCCTCGAGACCTTGGAGTAAAGGCGTTGCTGGCGTCGTTAGACTTTGCGGCTATGCTCTCGGCCGTCGAACGACTGCAAGTGCTGGTCGGTATTAATCATAATCCCATCGATCAATCATATTCGATGTTGACCATGAACGGATGATGACACATCTCGCTTTGTTTTCCCTTGTATTCCTTTTTCTCTTTGGCTAATACACCACTTCCTCCCCCCTCCCTTCTCCCCCGTCTCAAGCGTATCGCGGTCTTGCTGCGTTGTAGTGATGAAGTACCTATTAGGCTACTTCGTATTCTTTACTTCTATGCTACCTGTGTCCGGTTTTCTTGTCAAGCGACCCTACTGCACTGCTTCGCTTTATCTGCAACATCTGCAACGTGCAATCTCACCCACGTTTTCAGGCTTCGAATTTGCCTATATCTAAGAGTTTGCGACAAAAAAGGTCAACGGGTCGAGTCCTTTGTATATAGCCGCCCAATCATAACCTGCCGATGAGTCCACGATTCCAAGTCGTAGGCATCGCTTGGCTCTATTCTCGGCGGCACCCCCGCTGTTAAACATCACCTGAATTATTGCCGCCTGGTCTTGGCGGAGCCTGGAACCGAGACTTCAAGCGCATGAGACTTCCCGCCTGGGATCATGTCGAACTACAATGACAATCCCGAGCGGGCTGAAACGTCGCGGCAGCTCTACTCTCCTTTAAATTCCAATTTTAGAACTGCGGACGTAGAAAATAGTGAAGAGCGACAATATCACAGTAGCTGGCGGCCTAGGCGAACGAACACTCGCAACTCGGCGCAACGCGTACGATTTTCTAACGATGTTCCCTACGAAGAACCGCGCGGAATAGACTCCGCAATCCGTGACAGCGCCGACCCGCGAGTGGGCTCTAACTACCCTTTCGAAGCTCAAACTTCGTCGTCGAAATCAACCGATAATCGAGAGGAACGGCATGTAGAATACGATCTCGATACAAATATGGAAGGAGGAAAGTCGCGGGGCCTATCTGATAAGGGCAAGATGGGTCAGGATATCGACGACGCTGATCGTGATACTCCTTTCCGGCTAGACAATTATCGTGCATGGGTCAACAAGCAACGGAAACGAGCGCTGGGGCCAGGAGCCAGGTTTGAACAACGCTTCAACGAATTATATCAGAAATGGATTATCGAAGGGCTCCTGCGTCAGAAGCCTCTACCGCCGAGCCGTGATGGTCGGCATATACCTATTAGCGCGGGCGCCGTCCGCTCGGTGCCGTTGATTGATGAAAGGAGCGGCGGGCACTATATCTCAAACTTCATACGCTCTAGTCGCTATACTAAATGGTCATTCCTACCAAAGCAACTCTACTTCCAGTTTAGCAAGCTAGCCAACTTCTACTTCCTAATTATTGCCGTCCTGCAGCTAATTCCAGGTCTGAGTACGACGGGTTCGTTCACTACTCTTATACCTCTACTCATATTCGTCTCTATTAGCATGGCGAAAGAGGGATTCGATGATTATAGGAGGTATGTCTTGGATAAGACGGAGAACCTAGCTCCCGCCTGGGTTCTTGATCCGGAGAGAACAGTCGAAAAGAACTGTAAGAAAAGCCGGAAAGGTTTCTTCGGAAAGAAACTAGGTGGTAAAGAACCCGAGGAGGAAGAGGGGATGACGGAGCTGCAAGATGTCGGTGGGCGCCAAGATGACCCGATATGGTCTGCAATCCAATGGCAAGATCTTAGGGTTGGTGATATCATTCGATTGCAAAGAGACCATAGTGTGCCGGCGGACATCATCATTCTTCATGCAACTGGTCACAATGGAGTGGCATATATCGAGACTATGGCACTCGATGGCGAAACAAATCTCAAGAGCAAGCAAGCCTGCTCATTGCTAGCTGAGCGCTGCGATACTATCGAGAATTTAAGGCGTTGCCGAGCAGAGATCGTATGCGAGGACCCCAACGTCGATCTTTACAACTTTGAAGGTCGTGCAACTCTCGATGGCGAGACCCGGCCACTAACCACGAGCGACGTTGTATACCGAGGTTCGATTCTGCGAAATACCGATGAGCTAATTGGCCTGGTCATCAATACAGGCGAAGAATGCAAGATCCGCATGAACGCTAATAGAAACGTCCGCGCCAAAGCTCCCAAAATCCAGGGCTTGCTTAACCGCATCGTCATTCTCCTTGTTTTGGTCGTGCTCACTCTCACAGTTGGATGTATGGGTGGGTACTATATCTGGAGGAATGCTTATGAGAAAAACGCTCCCTACCTGAAGGATGCTGGTGTGCCTTTCGCGCATATTTGGTTTGGGTTCATCATCGCCTTCAATACATTGATACCACTATCCTTGTACGTGAGTCTTGAGATTATTAAAGTCGGGCAGTTTTTCCTGCTAGATGACGTCGAGATGTATGACCCCGAAACCGACACGCCCATGGTTGCCAATACTACCACCATCCTAGAAAATCTAGGTCAAGTCAACTACATTTTCTCTGATAAAACTGGCACTTTGACAGAGAACAAGATGCGTTTCAGGAAGCTCAGCGTCGCAGGGATGGCGTGGTTGCATGATATGGATATTGAGCGTGATCGCCTGGAAAGCAAGGCTCGGATATCTAGAAGAAATACGAAAGGCCTAGGTGGACAAATTGACGGCTCAACGGACACAAACGTTGTCCCTGATAGGGACGAGCCTATCGAGACGCCCTTGATCAACAGCCAGCAACAGTCTACCTCTTCTCGGATACCAAGAACCCGACTAGGGCATTCTCTACCTATACCAAAGACGGAAGCCTTGCTGGGTTATATCAGCCAGAATCCCGATACTGTGTTTTCGAGGAAGGCCCGTCAATTTCTCCTCTGCGTGGCCTTGTGCCACACATGTCTACCGGAGGTCAAAGAGAATGGCGAGATTGCTTTTCAAGCTGCATCGCCAGACGAACTGGCGCTGGTACAGGCCGCCCAAGATTTAGGCTATCTTCTGATTGACCGTCCAACGAATTCTATCAGGCTTCAGTTCCAAGACCGGAAAGGTGAGCTTGTTACGGAGACGTACGAAGTGCTAGACGTTATCGAATTTAGCAGCAAGCGGAAGCGAATGTCGATCCTTATACGTATGCCGGATGGTAGAATTTGCGTATTCTGCAAAGGTGCTGATAATGTCATGATTGCTCGTCTCAGAAATGCGCTCCTTGCTAAACAGAAGGCATCCGACGTGGTACGGAGAGCCAGTAAAAGGAAGAGCGTGGAAGCCGAGCGAGCCATGAGCCGGTTAAGTGGCACGTATAGCCCTAGAAATAGCATAAGCAGACGCAATAGCATGTTCCGAAAGGGTAGCCGGCGTAAGTCTACCGAGACGAGTCGTCGCTCAGTTTCGGAGGACATTGACACTTGGTTGACAAGGCGCGAGACGTTGGATATGGACGAAGCTGCAGGATATGACGACGATTACAATACGCCGCGACAGTCTATCGTTCTCTCACCGACGCTGCTTGCTGGTAGTACGGAGGTTTATGACGGAATAGTGGACGAATATATGGCCGCGGACGATGGTGCTATCTTTGAGCGATGTTTCCAACATATCGGCGAATTTGCTTCGGAAGGCTTGAGGACTCTGCTTTTCGCTTATCGCTACATAAGCGACGGGGAGTATGAGCAATGGAAGGAGGTCTATCGAGCCGCCACCACGAGCCTGGTTGATAGGCAAAGTCGCATTGAAGAGGCGGCGGAACTAATCGAGAGAGACTTTGATCTTGCTGGCGCTTCTGCCATCGAAGACAAACTTCAACAAGGAGTTCCTGAAACGATCGAAAAGCTTCGAAGGGCGAATATCAAAGTGTGGATGCTTACTGGCGATAAACGTGAGACTGCGATCAATATCGCGCACTCTGCGAAGTTGGCCAAGCCGTTCTCCGAACTCTACATCCTCGACGCCACCACGGATGATTTGCAAGAGAAGATCACCTCCACCCTGATTGATGTTGGCCGTGGCATGATAGCTCATTCCGTCCTCGTTGTCGACGGCCATACTTTAGGTGTGCTCGAAAAGGATGATTCTTTGAAGATAATGTTTTACGATCTTGCCGTCCGCATGGATTCGGTCATCTGTTGCCGAGCATCCCCGTCTCAAAAGGCAGGCTTAGTACAGGCTATTCGCGAGACTGTCCCGTCCTCATTAACTCTGGCTATCGGCGATGGATCAAACGATATTGCTATGATCCAAGCATCACATGTTGGCATAGGCATTTCTGGCCGTGAAGGTCTTCAGGCTGCCCGTGTTGCTGATTATTCGATCGCCCAGTTTAGATTTCTCCAACGACTTCTCCTTGTCCACGGCCGCTGGATGTATCTACGGACTGCGAAATACATTCTCGCAACATTTTGGAAGGAACTAGTCTTCTACATCATCCAGGCTCAGTACCAGCACTTCAACGGCTACACTGGCACGTCTATTTACGAGTCGTGGAGCTTGACGGTGTTTAACGCGCTCTTCACTTCACTACCCGTAATCCTGCTCGGAATTTTCGAGAAGGACCTTAAGGCGGAAACCTTGCTCGCCGTCCCTGAGCTCTACTCGTTCGGTCAACGAAGTGAGGCATTCAATTTCAAGAAGTATCTAAGCTGGATGTTGTCCGGCGCGGTTGACACTGTCATCATCTTCATGATGGTCTGGGGTTTCTTCAAGGATATCCTTTTCACCGAAAATAACTCGCTCTTCCCACTTGGACAATTGGCATTTACGGTTGCCGTGATACTGATCAACGTCAAGATCTTGTAAGTTGGCACCCGATTTACCCCTTTTGATTTCGGACCCTTGTCTGACTAGATGTTATTAGAATATTGGAATGCCATCACAAGACAGCGATTACGTTCGGCGGCTTTGCTATCTCTATCATAGGCTGGTTTATCTGGAACCTTTTTATAGGGGCCATCTACCCGCTTAGGTTTGGACAGTACGTCGTACGCGGTTCTTTCGTCCACGAATTCGGGAACAAGCTAGGCTGGTGGGCTGCCGCAGGGGCGACGATCGCAGCTGTAGTCACGCTCGAGCTAGGTCTCACAGCTCTACAGCGGATATACTTCCCACGGGACCAGCACCTATGGCAGGAGATTGAGCGCGAGGGTGGCGTCAAGGAGGTCCTCAAGGAGCATGCCGCCGAGGAGGGACGTGCAGCCCCTCCTTCGAGAGGAACCGAGCAGGGAGATACCGAAGATGAACTAGAGCTGCAACGATCTCTAAGTCCTGTCCTTAGCGAAGGATCAGGGAGGAACACGTTCCAGGAAATGTATATACCACCAAATTCAACGCAGCGGGGTCATGGGCCCGCTGGGGCGGGCGCGCGGGGACGGATGATACATAAGGGGTTACGAATACAGACGGCATGATAGAATGAGATGACGGATGGATGGTTATGTTTATTTGGTTAACGAGATGACGTCTCGTTTGCCGGCCCGTATAGGTAAAGTTGGTATTTTGGAACGGATGACCCGGCGTTTTATGGGAGACGAACGCCTTTTCTAGCATTACGAAGCATACATATACCTAGCATATGGTTTGCAAAGCCAAGGTTCCTTGGTTCGGAACGGCAAAGCAGACGAGCAAGCGAAGGTGGAAATCTTTTTTTTTTCTTTCTTCATCTTGGTTTAGGCTTAGAGAATTATAGATACCCCTGACGCAATATAGAGTAGGTTGCATGTATCGAATTTTACGGCTTAACTTGATACTTACCTAGTCGTGGTTTCAGACGTGACTTATGAATATCGTATTTCTTGTTACGGTGGGTAGACTGTTGGACGGTTGGATAACGTGAAATATATTATAGCAACGAAGTGACGTAGTTGGATGGGTATTTGGTGAAGCTAATACTTGGGGGTGTATTATGGGACAGGATAGGTCTTATGATGGTTAGAACTAAGTTGTGGTACGGGCCGGTTGATATCAGCTTTGATCAGGTATACGCTATACTTCATGGATTTAAATTGCACTCTCCTATCAGCGACGTGTCTAGAGCCCTGATTTAAATAGATATTGATGATTATTGGGAGTGACAATATGAGCACGCGGCTTTTCTTGTCGTCAAATGTAAATGGCGTTGCGGGTCCCTCAATGCTCAGCAGGTCAGAGCGCATCTTTCCCCAGTTAAGCTCGTGGACCCTATCACGTATTCCGAGCGGAGAGATGAGATGGCCGTTTCACTGATGACAGGGGTTTTGTCGAGCGTTGCATCGCGTTATTAACATGCAGCTACTAGTAAATACACCTTCACTTTTCAATCTTTTCATTATCGATGGACTTTATTGCGACGTTATAATTCCCCGAACAGGGCTACAATTATGCGAAACAAAAGATATCAAATAACGCGAAGGACGGGATATGACTTTACGGCGGGGCTCGAGTTCTCAAGCCCTTGTCACGAAAAGTCTTGGGACGAGGAGATCGAAAGCGCGGCGTCATGACGTGCTGCAGCAGCCCACAGTGGACAGGCTACATGACAGACAGGTCATACGGTTAGTCGACTGGGAAAATCTACGTAAGTGTTCATTGTGGATGTTGATAACTGGATATGGCTCGTTGACTTATTCGCGAAGCCCCCTGGAAGCAGTAAGCAACACATATAGGTACATGGAAACGAACTACAAAAGATACTGTGCTTATATGTAGTGTTAATCAGACGTGGGAGCGAGCATTTACGGACTGGCTATCGACCTGAATGTGCTTCGCTATGGTCATGCCTTCACAGCTGGTCATACATCCATAATGAGACAGGTTAGATTAAGGTCTCGTTAGAAGGGGGCGCTTCACTAACAGAGGACAGTCAACATCTTCTCGCATATTATCGGAGCGCTTCTCTTCCTAGCTTTACCGTTATATGTTTTTAGAACCGAGGTACCGCCGCGATATAAACTTGCAACTACAGCCGATATCGTGGTCTGTAGCGTATACTTCTTAGGCGTCGGCATCTGTTTCACCTTTTCGACCCTGTGAGTTTAACAGGTGACCTTCGAAGTATACAGTACCTGACAAAGTCTAGCTTCCATACCTTCATGTGCCATAGTGAAGCTGTGTACGAGTTCGGCGTTAAGCTCGACTATCAGGGTATCCTATTACTGATGTGGGGAGCCAACGTACCTCTCATTTACTATAGCTTACCCTGTGATTCGAGTGGCCAGGTGGCTTACTGGACTCTGAACACCGTCCTTGCTGGGGCGTGTTCGCTTGCCACATTCCATCCTTCGATCGGCGGGCCTCATCTCGGACATGTACGAGCTGTTCTCTTCGCTGCATTTGGGTTCTGCTCAGTCATCGCTCCTAACTTGATAGGAATCCTGAAGTACGGGTTCGAGGAGCAGAGCCACCGGGTTGGATTGGCTTGGATAGGAGTTACTGCTTTGTGTAATGGTACGGGTGTGGTAGCATACGCTATGAAGGTTCATCTCATACTTCACGGATGATAACGGCCGATTGCTAACAGATTTTTAGTTCCCGGAAAGATGGTATCCTCGGGTGTTTGATTTATTTGGCGCTAGCCATCAAGTGATGCATATCATGGTGGTCTTTGCCGCCCTTGCTTATACGAAGGCCATGTTACAAGCCTTCGACTTTCACCACCAATATGCCATAGCGTGTACGGAGCGCATATATCCTTGAATACTCATGAACTTGAAGCCCTGTTGATCACCTCCAGTTCTCTTATGTGATTATCACTAGACTATGAGGCCAGTCTGAAGTCCAGTCTCTTGTTCCCAGCATCTTGGTGATCGGCAAGATAGACTAGCTTCTCCTCGGAAGTCATAGCATCCCACTTCCGATCTCTCTCACAGTTCCGCCATACGTAATACGCCTTCGCCATTGCATAGAGAAGCAGATTTAACCCTAGGATTCCGAGAAGGATGCTATTCCCTCTCCTATACAGGGGAGCGTCGTCGGAGCGATAGATGTTGGACGAAATTATCACCCCTGCTTGTAGGAACATGTTGTAAAGTGCGGCACCTACAGCCCGTGACCTGACGGTGTTCGAATTACGAGAGATCCAGCCGACCTGGACCGGGTGACCTTTTCTTTGTCAGCTGATATGTTTACCCCTTTTCACTTAACATGTTATGCATTCACTCACCGAGTGGGGCCGCTATGAGCAATGAGATCATCCCCCATGTCAACCATTTCGATGCTTTCGTCGTGTCTACGACTCGCAAGTATATCAGGAATGGCAGGCACCAGAACTGGAAGATCGATGCGCATGCAGCAAGTTGTCCCGTGTACTCTGCGAGGGTGGCTAGAGCGATCATGTTGATGACTGAGGCACGTGTTAGCTGATCTCCGACGAATGGAAAGGATTCCTCACTTTTTAGAACCAAGTACGGGATTGATAAAAGATTGGTTTGGAAAGTGTCGAAACCTAGGCCTCGTAAGGATAGGCTGAGGTACTGTTGCGGTGAGAAAGTTGGGATGTTAAACGTTAACCCGATGACATATAGGGGCCTTGGTTGATGTTAGTAACTTTCACGGTTCAGGGGTGGAGACAGGTAATCACCAGAGATCAATATCAGTCAAACTCTTCCACAGCAGCTTAGGGGTGATGGGTTGTCGGTTGTGCATCGTTCCTTTGCTCGGATCATCCCTTATGATCCTGTTCACCATAATTATCTCCTCGCTAATATCTGTCAACAACTACTGGACATTGACTGAATAGGGGTAGTGGTGTCATACCGTTCGGTAAACCAGCCGTCCTTTCCACGAGACCAACTTGCTGTTTCTGTTGGGCCCGGAGGCATCATAATGAAGGACAGGAGCCCGATAGTCCCGGTAATGAGTCCCTTTGATAATTGAGTCGGCGTCGTCATTCGATATCGGCAATTCTTACCTCTATTAGAAAAAGCCAGCGCCAACCCGAGCGACCCTCAACTCCACGCATATGAAGAATCCCATATGCGACAATCGCCGCGATTATATCAGCGACGAACATACCAGCCCAGAAGAATCCCAAGCGAATTGTCAATTCGTGGTGTTTGTAGAAGTACGAAAGGTAGAGCACGCACTGGCCGGAGAATATTTAGACTCAAGCGCATAATGGATGTCTAGGACTGGGTCTGGCGTACCTCTGGGATAAAGCCCCCTTGAAGAAATGCCAGCAACGCACGACAGACGAGGAAAGTGGTACGGCCGTTGAGTGCGAACTGAGATGCGGAGACTGCAGAGAAAAGAACGATCTGAGAAGGGATCCAGCGATCGGGTCCAAGCCATTTTGCTAATAACTGGGCTGGGAACTCTCCAGCCAGGAAACATAAAGCGTAGACCGTGTTCCCGAGATTATAGTCTTTGATGATATTAGCATACTAGACAATACTTCAAGGTTCACATAACTGATACACATACCGTTAGTAGTCATGCGCATATCTTCTAGGAAATTGTCCGTAAGAGATTGAGCAAGGTTAGCTCTATCTAGCTCCATAGCAGCGAACATGATAGACGTCCAAGCCATGATACGCCAATCGATCTTCCTTACAACCTTGTTCTCTTCCGCCCAAGTCCATCGTGCTCTTGGATCGAACCTATGAAGGTTTTCCCTACAATTTATTAGCAGATAATCGGCTACTTTCTTCAGAGGCTAACTTTACCAGTCCTCGCGGGGTTCATATTGAGATGCAATGTCGGGGTTATCATAGACGCTGGGCTACTGATTATTAGCTTTACCTCGAAGTTGTTTGATATCGAGTCTGATTGCACCTGTGTCGCAATATCGGTCAAGCTGTGCTGCTTTGTCTTTTGAAACCAGAATCGCTTATGTGTTTCCAACGTCCCCAGCGGAGGAATCGCATCAGCGGTTCTTTCTTCATTGGGACCAAGTTCAGCATCATCAGCTAGAGTCAGTTTCTCAGATACCTCTAACGGGACGACAGTCGCCATGGTTGGGATGGTCAATATAGACCGTTTAACCCAGGTATCTGGGCTAGAATCGTTTTGAATGTTCAACGGTAACCTCTCCTACACTGATTACTCAAGTAGGATGATAGGTATGCCCACCACCATTGATACTTACACATCATTACTGCAACGTATCAGCAGCTATGTCGCCATCGATAATGCGGGGTAAGACTCGGCAGAAATACTGGTGACTTCAGGAGACTGCGCCGCAAATAACTCATCAATGTTAGAAGATGAAATGAGGGGCCATCAGGGACCAACATACATCGAAGCCGAATTACTACTATCCCGATATACATGAATTTTATCTATTGTTGATAAAAGTCGCGTTCTTGACCTTGAAAGGGGGTGTCCTTGCCATAATTACCTAAGTAAGTAGCTAGCTTTCCCCCCTCACGTCATCTCTTCAGCTATTGTGTATGAGGAGATAGCTATATGGCCAAGCCCTCCATACTTCTTAATGGGGCCTATAACTGAGATGATGATCGTCTAAGACATAACCTTCTCACTGAAGCGAACTCGGGCTCGATATAAGGGTTAAGTACCCTTTCCCAGGATTAGGACACAGGACTCAGACGGTCGCTTCAACTACTACCATGTGGATTTTACGTTATGCTGTTTTCATAACATCATTATACCCATGCTTTGTCCATGGTTCAGCATTTGGTCCTGAAAACCAGAAGCCGATCACACATGCAAATGGCGAGACGAATCATGGACGACTTCGACCCAACATCGTGTTCATTCTCACTGACGATCAGGACCTTCATATGAACTCCCTTGACTATATGCCGTTTGTACAAAAACATCTAATCGACCATGGGACTTTCTTCAAGAGACACTTCTGCACGACAGCTCTCTGCTGTCCTTCCCGTGTGACCCTCTGGACTGGCAAAGCGGCTCATAACACAAATGTTACTAATGTGACTCCGCCTTACGGTATGTGATTAGATTGAAATTATAGGTCACTGCTGCTTACTAGATTTTTAGGAGGCTATCCGAAATTTGTTAGTCAGGGGCTTAACAAAAAGTACCTCCCGGTCTGGTTACAAGAGTCTGGCTATAATACGTACTATACTGGAAAGTTGTTTAACGCGCATTCTGTTGATAACTATGACTCGCCGTATGCTGCCGGTTGGACCTCTTCTGTAAGTTTGTTCATATGAAGTTATTCAGATGCTAACCGTGATAGGATTTCCTTCTTGACCCGTTCACATATTCATATTTGAATAGTACGTATCAACGAAACCAGGACCCACCAGTGAGTTTCGAAGGGCGACACAGTGTCGATGTGCTGGCAGAGAAAGCGCTAGGGTTGTTGGATGAAGCCCACGAAGCTGGAAAGCCGTTCTTCCTTGGGGTCGCTCCTGTTTCTCCACATGCGAACCTGTGGTCTCCGGCGTTCAAGGACGGTAATCATAGCGACTTAGAAGATATCGATTTCTCACCCCCTGTGCCAGCGGAGAGGCATACTAAGCTTTTCGAAGGAGTCAAAGTCCCACGCACAGCGAATTTTAATCCAGACAAACCATCGGGTGCTAGTTGGATCCGGAAGCTACCTAAACAGAGCCAGGAGACAGTTGATTATAATGACCACTTTTATGTGCAGCGACTTCGAACCCTCCAGAGTGTTGATGAAATCGTGGACTCCATTATTAGTCGCCTTGGTTATCTCAAAATCTTGGATAATACGTATATCATTTATACCACAGACAACGGTTATCATATCGGCCAGCATCGGATGCAACCCGCGAAGCAATGCAGCTTTGAAGAGGATATCAACATCCCGCTCATTGTCAGAGGACCGAACATACCTAAGGGATCAATTAGTGATATCGTAACTACGCACACCGACCTAGCACCTACCTTATTAGATATAGCAGGTGCTCACTTGAGAGATGACTTTGACGGATTGTCAATACCACTTACGGAAGACGGCTTATCACGAGCTGAGGAAACACGTCACGAACATATAACGGTGGAACATTGGGGGTTTGCTTCCAACGAGGGCCAGGTGCTCGAGTCCTATCCAAGGCTACACCTAAATAATACCTACAAAGCTCTCCGCGTCATCAGCAAAACATACGACCTACACTACCAGGTGTGGTGTAACGGAGATCACGAATTACACGACTTGACGACCGATCCGGGGCAAATGGTGAATCTTCTCCATCCAGACGAGGTGGCCCCAAAGACGATTGCCGGGGCTTCCCTTGATAAGGTCGTCGCTAGGTTGGACTCTCTACTCTTCGTCTTGAAGTCGTGTAGAGCGGAGACTTGCATTCATCCATGGAAGGCCCTCCACCCGGCCGGTAACGTTGCGAGTCTTCGGGATGCGCTCTTTCCGCGCTTTGATTCTTTATATGAAGAGAAGTCGAGGAAAGTCGAATTTGATAGGTGCGAGATGGGGTTCATACTCGATGCCGAGGGACCACAGTTTACACACAAGAACCTTGATCCCATCTTTGACCCCAAATGGCACGAATGGACATAGGTCGTTTACCGGCAGGTAAAGCCACATGATCAATGTTGCCAGATCTTTGTAATAGGTATCTTTGAATATAAATTTCCAGCCAAGTACAAGAGAATGTATCAAAGCGTGAGGTGATTCCGGCGTTCCCTTCAATGTCCCCTGGAAAGGTTTGCGGAGCTAGGCTGTTACTGTCGAAACGTCTTACAAAGAGCCGGCACGCAGTCGTGCTTGAGAAGCGTCCAATCAAGAAATCCGAGACTGCAGGTAGCCGATGGTAACTCATGAATATGACAGCGTTTATGTTGAAATAGACGCAGGTTATGAGTATCATTGATGTAGATTAGAAGGTTAAGTTACTAGAAGTAGGTACAGGTAGCTAGACAGTACATTATATTCCTGTGGGTACAGGGCCTAGACTCCCAGCCACCTAAAATTCCAGCAGTTTATGAGGATAGCCAGGTAGAGTGTGATACTAAACATGCGGCACGCCCGCGTCAGATAAATGATAGCATGACACATCATGAACAGGTTTATGTGTTTGTCCACGCTGATTCGCTGGTATATTAATGTTTAACCATGATGAATCAAAACCCAAATAATAATAGCAAGAAAACAAAGGACGATAAAAATAAGTTTAAGACCACACTCGAGGTATAATCTTGACCTGGCCGAGACCACGGCCCCCTCTCCCCCACCGGGCACATCTCTCCTCCCGCGCCGCCCACCAGGCGCGCTTCCTCCGGCCTCTCCACCTCGGCCCGCCTCGAGGTCAAGATGTTGGTCGTCCTGGGGACTTGTTAACCCCCTATATCAAACCATGTTAGCAATTGACAAGTACGCTTCTACGGGGATATATTGTTAGGTTGACCAACCCTTCTGTATAGGCCGGGGTGAGGTATTTGGTCGGGGTGGGGACTTGGCTCGGGGCCGGATCCGGAGGGCCCGCGTGGGTTGGGCCAGTTGAGGAGGGGAGTGGGGAGTGTGTGGGCGGAGATGAGGGCCGGGCGAGTGGCACCTCGAGTCTAAGTACGCAGTTTAGTTAGGAATCAAGATGGAGTAAATAGCGAGCTTTTGTCCAATGTATAGGCTTGCTAGCCTCAATATTGTTGATCCAAGTTTCGAAAGGTGTATAAGTAACTTACGAGGTAAGATGTTTGATTAATTTGATAACGCTAGTTGTAGCCATGTTGTTGATAATTGAAATGTTTGTAAATAGGAGGTAGGTATGTTAGATATCCAAACGAATGTGTTAAGCGATTGACTGGATACAGTATTTATGTTGGATATCTTGACGAACTTGATGCTGAAGAAGAGAAGAACTGAAATTTACATGGAGCAGAATTGGTAGACAAAATCTCATCACTCCAAAGATTACAGCATCGTGGTTACCACTCTTTCTCTATGATATCACTCAGGGGAAATTACTATGACCTTGTTTGACTTGTACTGTCCGCACATATATTGCAGGTGTGACATCCTTCTGGTGATAATATATGTAAACATTGCAGGTTCGATACACCAAAATCAAGAATCGCCCTTGAAGGAGCTACTTCCAATCCGTATGCGTGTGTGGGATCCTTCCACACTTCGGCTCGTTACCGATTTCATCCCTTCTTAGAGAAGCCACACCCAACTTGAATCTCAGTACCGCTTTTCGGCCAGGGCCACCACCCTTCTAATGGCATATCGTCGTAAATACAGTTGAAATGGCATCGGGGCTTCGAGGAATCAAATTGGTAGATTAACTTTTTCGAAAGACCCCAGGCCTTGGCAGTCTGAACCATGTCTATGGTCCAGTTGTCGAGTCGAATTCCAGATAAGACTTCATAATGTTGAGCATGGATTTGTAGGAAGGCAGTCCATCGCGGTGGCTGTTGCAAATCTCGCAAGATCCAAACCCTTGTAACAGTACATGGCCGGTTGGGATTTCCTAGTCGATTAACCAGGTTTCGCGCTATAGGTTCCACAAATCCTTGTTCTCTGACCACATTTGCAGCTGTCCAGTGGAAACCCTCGCGCATGAGAAGGGGCACATCGCCACACTTAACGTTCATTTGTCCATACCACGTCTGGTGGTGCTCATCTATGCTAGGTTCAGGCATAAAACCCAAGACGATAGAAGTTTCCCCAGGCGCGTCAAAAAAAAGCTTTCCGTTTCCAGCAGGACCAGGGGTTGGCTGAATCTGATTAGCAGTGCTCGGATTAGTTGTTTCGTCAACAGTTTTGTCAACAATTTTGTCAACTGCTTCGTCGTAGGTAGGGGGTGGGCCTTGAGAGCCATCGCCGCCAATCTTGGGTTTTGATGTTTCCGACATTTTTGTCATTTGTAATGCTGCAGAGGATTCGCAAGGAGATAAAAGGGTAAGTTGCTTGAGGGCGAGTCTTGAGAATACGCGGCGGGCTAGGTTGTTTTATACCTCTAAATATTTGAACTATCGATGTTTCCAAGATTCCTGTGCGCCTAGGTTATGTATTAGGTTACCTTTCTGCCACCAAATGGCAACTTTTAAGTTCGTGCAGTCGGCGGGAACATTTAGTTCTAGCAAAGGCCTCATCAAACTTCGTCAATCCAATTATGACAGCTTCTAGTAGGCAGTAGGCAGTTCTAATGTACATAGTTCCTTCAAATGCTAAGACCTGAGCGCCTGCTGCCGAGTAACCCTTCCACGGCACGAGGTATTTGAGCACGACTAGAGTCACGACAATCGGTAGCTCTGCTCAGTTGTCTTCGGCGATGCTGATGTAGGCGTAGTTATTGTTGGGGGCGACTAAGTCGTAGACGACACCACCGTCTAATGATAACAGGACACGTGCTTGGCCACGGTGATATGTTGGTGTTTGATATCATGATACAACCATAAAGAATCCAAAAGATAATAACAAGAAAGCAAAGAACGATAAAAACAAGCTTTAGTCCACATTCGAGGTATATTCTTGGCCCGTCCGAGACCACAGCCCCCTCTCCACCTCGGCCTGCCTCAAGATGCTGGTCGTCCTGGGGACTTGTTGACCTCCTATACCAAAACAAGTCAGCAATAAACAAATACTCTTCTACGGGAATACGTTTACCAACGTTCGTATGTAGGCCCGGATGGGTTCTTCGCTTAGGGCCGGATTGGAATAACCCGCGTGGGTTTTAATGGACGAGGAGGAGAGTGGGCGCGAGGTTAGCCTCACGCGGCCCATGTGGGAATGATAGGGCGAAGATGGGAGTTGGGCGGGTGGCTCCTCAAGTCTAAGTACGTAGTTTAGTTAGCAGTCAAAATGGAGTAAATAGCAAGCTTTAGCCAAACGTATACTAGGTTGGCTTGCTATCCTGGATATCGTTGATCCAAGTTTTGAAAGGTGTATAACTTACGTGGTAAGATGCTTTATCAATTCAATAACGCTGGTGGTAGCCATGTTGTTGATAATTGATTTGTTTGTAAATAGGAGGTAGGTATGTAAGATATTCAAATGAATGTGATGAGCGATTGACTGAGTAGGTATTTATGTTGATTGCAAGAAGCCTCCTCTGTAGGAGCTAGTAGCTAGAGGTCTTGTCAGAGCTGGTTAGTAGTCCAGGAGGGTCGGGGGCTGGCCCATATGAGATGATGATTGAAGAGGATAGGATATTGTATTATCAGGTTGATTTTTTGACTAGAAGTCTGAAATTAGGTATGTATGAGTCAAATAACCCTCACGGTGCGTTAGCACTTTCCGTTGTTATGGATAGACTCCATATATAGGAGACCGCGACGCTATTAAGTACCCTATCCAGGTACCTAGGTAATTTGAGTTACTTTGGAGGGATTCATTGGAAGTCTATTCCTTGCGGAGTAACATTGCTGTTTCCTATGTAGTTGAATCCCTTGAGTCAAAAGGAAGAAGTCGGAGTTAATCAGACAAAAGTCTAAAACATCCATATTATCAAGATTACGCCTATGGCCCGTGATTCACTACCTAGTCCTAAACTTGACAGATTCGGCGCTATCGTTTGCCTTGGGCCCCTTGGAAGTTAAAGGTCCGAGGACCTACAGGTACCTGGTATTGGACGCCTCACGTTAAGCTCTAGCCACCACGATACTCTAATGCCCAAAGCTTCACCAAACTTCGTCAATTCAATAGAACTTCTTCAGTCCTGTGCAAATCTAAAATAACATTAAACCTAAATCAAGTGATTGTTCTGTTTTCGCATGCTGTGAACCGTCCCCCTGAATCTATATAAAAGCGAGGCTGGTATGACTTTTTTTATTCTCGAACACCAAAAAAATTCACCTGCTCAGGGTTTTCAGGTTTTTTTCCGCTGGTGACATTAGCACCCATTTCTCCCTGTGGAGAGTCGTAACGATTGATTGCTCTCTCATCATTAAACCACTGAGCCAGATGACCAATGTTACGAAACACTGGTCATATATTCGAATATATACTTCCAGCCAAGTACAGGAGAAGGAAGCGGGACGTGGGGTGATTCCCATAACCCCTTCCATATCTTACTAACGGCTACAGAGGGAGTTGGAGGGAGTTGGTTCTCGCCTTCCTGAAGGCTGTCGGAGCTCGGCTAGTACGGTTTAAGCCAGTGATGAAATGTCTTGGAAAGAGCTGTCGCCGGTCACCGGTTGTCACAGCTGTGCTTAAGAAGCATCCAAATAGACTGTCTGAGGCTGCAAATACCAGATGGTAACTCACCTATTATTTAATATGTTATGCGGGTGGATTATGACCACCTTTAGAAGAGCAAGGATATTTTTCGAAAGTATGGAGGAGACGGGGTCTATATCGAGGGAATGTGCGATATGTGCCATCAATGTATTGTATTGACGTGTCGTTATATCACCTGGGGATGTCTTGATACTCGTTAATCACTGGCGGGTTCGTTTCTCTTCGACTCATATGAATTTTATCACGGCAAACTTCGAGTAATTAGATATCATTTAAATCCAACAAGCTTCTTGTCTTCTGCACAATTCATGCCTCTCTTTTACCTAGGTACTTTAGCTAAGTAGACACCCATCCACCTACCTACCTAATCAATCTGTGAAGCTATCTATAACAGGAAGAAGCCTTTCGCATCATGGCTAGCCGCCGAAGAGATCGCATTCACTCCAATGGTGGGTATGCTACAAACCTACCAAATTCAACATGGATTCCGTCGTTAGCATCACCAGCTACCGGTACGCCCGCTTACCCAAGTACTGGAACCAATTCCATGGGATCCTACTCGCCACATGCTAGGAACAACCATCTCTCCCCACCAGGAGCTCTGCACACGGGTTTGCTTCAGGAGGCTAGTATCCCTCGTGGACATGGGAACTCCGGGAATCCTTTTGACGACTACTATGCGGGTTATGATTCCAGGCTCGATTTTTCCGCGTCCCACAATGTTAGTCCAAGTACTAGCACAATGGAATCAACCTACCGAGACTCAAGACAATATACCCAGCCTGCTCAACACTCCTGGGTACCTAGAAACGTTGATCAGATGCCTTCGAGTAGTCCTCCAACCTCGCTCCCACGGAGTAATAGGAACACTATTGGCGACCACTCTCAGATTTCTCCAAGTTCCAGTTCCAGTGACAGGAAAGAACCGTGTCCTGAATGCGGCAGGAGAATCTTTCACAGAGGACTGAGGAGACACATCGAACGAATACACAGAACACCCCAAGGATCTCGAACTAAAGCTTTGCCCAGAACGCCTTTTAATGGAGGATCTTTCCCGTGTGACGAGTGTCTCTCGTCGTATGCAACCGAGAGACACCTACGAGATCATCAAAAAAGGGTGCACCGCCCCGACTCAGCATACAATCAATCATTACGTCCTGTCGAGGGAGGAATACCTTGCCCACGGGGTTGTAGTAAACTATTCGATAATAAGAAGAGTTTGTCTCAGCACATGAGAAACGTTCACGAAAGGGACCGGGGAAGTCTAACAAGCTAGCCATTCTACTGAGATGATGAACGGTAAACAGGTACGGGGTCTACCAACTTGTCATGATCATATAGTTAGAGGATGCTCTCTTTGCATATAATATAATACCTATATATACCTACTCTCTGCGATCTTGTGGACTATGTAATTTAGACCATAGTTGTGGCTAATGTTAGTAACAACCCTAACTTGTCACAATTTGCATGCCACCTATTCAGCTCCTGACCGTAATCCGAGTTAGGAAGGCATGAACGTGCTTCTATTAGATCGCCGAAATTCCGTATCAACTTCAATTGATCACGGCAATGGATCTTGCGAGCAGCTTCCCACTCATCCCGGGTTCTAGCATTCCAAAGTGATCCGGGACAGGGGAGTTGAAGTCTGCGGCAGTTCCTGATGCTAGAACACATGACCCCAAATTTTAGGTCTATCACACGACTCAGGAGAAACCAGGTAATAGTACACCTAGATTCGTGTTAGAGCAAAAGAATAGTGCACGAATAGTATGCGGTTAGGAAAGAGGTCAGTTTAGCCTACCTCCGTTGTACTTCCGCAGCAACCCAATCCTCCCAGGTCAGATGAGGATCATCTAGGCTGTCAATAGGAAACCACACGTTGCTGTCGATCTCGTAAGCCTTTTTGGCATAAAGCTAAGTACTTATATCAGCTACTGTATAATATACCTATGTTCTTCAATACTTACCTCGAACGTCATAAGCATCTGGAGGGTTATTTCCGGGATTTTATCCGCAGAAAGGTCGTCTAGAGCGAACATTATCATATACACAATCTGTGTCTGCATGCCTGACACCAACTCTCTTGCAGAGCAGTTAGGAAGGTCCCGAAGAAGCTGTCGATTCTCTTGGTTGATGATAGACCAAAACGAGTCTGGCGCAAGCGATTTGCGGTCGGCATACAAGTTCGCAACTTTCGAGCACCTGACGATATTCTGGGGAGGCTCGGGCTGAAACCAGAACCCGTGAGTAAACCACGCAAAAGTCTCTCTACTAATCATCGTAAGTGGGAGTCCTCGGAAAGATTCCAGGATAAATTTAGCGCTCTGCTGGGCCACGGGGTCGGCGCGAAGAGCGACTACTGATCGAGGTGACGAAGCCGGGAGGTCCAGGATAGTTGAAGAACCGAAGTTGGGCATTTCAGAGAGATGTTCCAATGGCGAATAAGGCACCTCCATAAGAAATCCAAGGTTACCCGTTGGGCTCGCTATACAGCCATTTTGACCGTTATTTTGAGTAACAAGAGCGGTTGTAAGCTTTTCATAGACACAATGTAGGCCTTTGGATTTGCAACGTGAGCACTCGGGCTCAAAACTACATTTTGCCTTGGCAGAATGGCATTCCCTGCAAGAGCGAGGTCGTTTTCTAGGACGGCTTCGAGTGCGGCGGCAGTATGCAACGTGCCGCTTGTAAGCAGATTCTGAGAAACAGGGTCAACGAATGCCGACTGAAGTCCTAGACTAGTGGAAGGTTGCTAACCTGTGGCAATGGGTTTACTACATAGATTACACAATTGTATAACATCTGGGGTTGTTGCGTTGGCAGACATTTTTCAAGTTACTTGAAAGTAGGAAGTAATATTCTTCTTACTTGAGTCTGGTCTCCTTGGGCTTATGCATGCGTCGTGATTGTTGATTTGTAAGCATCTCACTCCTTAGGGTGGCCCACTTTATTGAAATACCCTAAGACAACTTGGATGTAGATACTGGATAGGGGGATAGAATGTAGTTAGGTTCGATTCCTATTAGGCCTGTTGGTGCCTGCCTTTTATCCCTTCTATCTGATGTCCTCGAAAAGCGACAGCGACAAACACATGTATACAAGAAGTTGAAGAAATTAAGAAATAGCGAAAATGAGTCTCGGCAATATTACCTGCAGCCCATGAAAATGCTTATTTTCCTCATAGCATACTGTCAGCAAACTTCGAAACAGGAATGATTAAGGACTTAATATGCGAAAGTTGAAATGGTCTTTGCTGCACCGCTGTTGCTGTTTGTACCGATGGCGATGTTTTGGCTCCGTATACCAAGATTCTTCGTCCGATCAATTGAGAAGGAGCGGCCGGCATTATTCGTTATTGATAACTCGAATTGGAATAAGTCATCGCCGAATGATATAACGTTAGGCTGGAGCAGGAAGGTAAATCAATAAACTCTGACTATTTCCCCCTTTTCCAAAAAAGGGGCGGGGTAACTTTCCACCATATTCATTAGCCCGATGCACAATAGAATATTATACAATTAAGCATAGTATGCAACTAATAAGTCCAGAAACAGGGGTAAATACATGTCTCATGCCTTACACATCAGGCATCAGGGATGCTTCATTGACTTAGCTGGCAGCTTGGGCAGCTTGGGAAACCATGAAACCAGAACCCAGCGCATCTGTTGGTCAATTAACGGATATTACATCCTAGCGAAACAGCGAAAAACAGCACAATCAGTCACCTCAGTCCTATCCATCACTTTTCTTTATTATTGACCACGTCTGGTGGTACATGACGTACACTATTTCAGCCTCATTCGTCGGCATTGGCCCTGTCACAGCTGTAAATGTCTTGGCGAACAGATCCACGGTGCATTAGCGTCCACCCCCAGCCCGCGAACTTGCGGTCTACCGCATCATTCGACGCCATCTCATAGGCCCCAACCGCCCAGAAACAAGAAAATGGGCTTGTTGGTACCCCATCACACGTTGACGTGTAGTCACACATAAATATCGAAGACGCAAGCATGCAGAGCCGTTAGCCGGCCTAGACCTAGGTATATAATTCTATTCATTAGCGACTTCTCTGCCCGATCTTTTGTCTCACCGTGGCCGATTTTCTGTCCTTCTCCCAGGCTTCCCATCAAAACCTCAAGACAACTGGTTGTTTTTCTTTCAGGTCAAACCCGAGTCTTTCTGTTATTCCTCAATACAATATTCACCATGGCTCGAACTGACTCGCGGTTTGCCAGCCCTCCCTTCTTCCTCTTCAGCAATGCGTTGATCTGGATCTCGGCTGTCATCGTAATGGGCATTTTATCCTACTTCATCTCTCAAAACAACTATGTTCCCGGCCGCATAATCTACGAGGAAGTTATTGTGAGTTCTCGTCACCCAAAGCCTAAGCGCTGAAATCAGGCTCGCTAATGTAGACCACCTCTAGTCCGTTCTTACAGTTGCATTCTTCTTGATCTCTTTCATCCTTGGCACTTATCCAGGATACATCCTCTTATTCAACATCATATTCTCTTACCTCTGGCTTGTCTCCGTTGTTTTCACCGCAGAGGACTGGAGCTATGAATATGCGGGTGCTCTCCCCCACTGTGTCGAGGCTTTCAGCTTTATTGCCTTGTATGTTCACTCTGTATGCATCAGTCGCAACTCCTCGCTAACTCATTATCAGCTTCTTCTTACTCTTCAATGTTATCTCTGACTGGCACCGTGGCTACGGCGGCCATGTGCGCACCACGTCGGCTGTCTAAGGATTGATACCATGAATTAACGCGCTATGAACGCTCCCTTATGAAAACATCGCAGGGCAAACTGGGTTAATATGATTAATGATACACGAAAAGTAGTACGACTGAGAATTGAGAAAGTAAAGCGGGCGTGCTAATTTTATGAAATCAATAGCATGCATAATTTGACATATGTCCATGGCCGGGTCTGGATCATTTCCCCATGACAACATTGGCAGGGCCATTCTTTGAATATGATGTCTTCATTTTATAATTAGTGATATGTATTGAAGTGATGCTGGAGATATAAGAAAAACTTGAAAGCTCACTACACGACACTTCCATGGATGTGAAGAAGCTATAGATCTTTCATAACATCCATAAGAAGGTTTCCGTCATAAGCCTTGCACAGGGGCCTTGTCCAATACACGATCCGATTAAGTACCTAGGTAAGCAATCAATCAAAGGCACAGTATCAGCCTTAAGCCAGGACTAGACCGAATAGCGATTTATCCACTAAGATTTAGTGGATAACCGCTGTAACATCAGGGAGCGCAACCACTAAAGAAGACCTCCAGAGCTATGTAGCTAGCGGCTTATGGTGAGAGGATATTTCATCGGTATCAACAAAGGAGTATACAATACCAGATTAGATCCCGAGACTCAAATACGGATTTTAATGATTTGTTAAAATATTAGTATTTTCTATATTATGCCTACCTCATACCTAGGTGGGTATTTAACACTTGATCTGTTCTATAGAACAAAGATGCTACAGCTATTATGATTTCTTCGTTGCGGCACTTCTAATGGCAAGGTGCTCTTTAAAGGATCTAAGAGGGGAAGTTGGTAGAAGCATACCTCGGTGATCAAGACCAGGAGTAGATACCGCTTCTGTCATCCATCCTTCATGGCACGGAGCAAGATGCTGTGACCGTTGCAAATTATGAATACGGGGTCTTTCTATAGAAGGCTTTCTGGCACCCACTTCCCTCAGATTTGGGGACTGGACGGGATTGGCATTCGAGGAGCCCGGTTGGTAGATATCTGGCCATAGGCCTCCTTTTCTCCTCCCATCCCGGACGTTCTGCTCTATCTGCGCCTCACAGTAAGCAGCCTGCTCCGAAGCAGCACGATCTAGAGCACTATAGGAAGGTGCTCTCGCGGCTTTTTGATACGCACTACGAGCCTCTGCATAGTTTTCCATGGCTTCTAGAATATGTCCCTGATTAAGGTAGCATTTCGCGAGAGGGGGAGACTCACATGCACCCGGGTCCTTGGCTATAGCTAGCGCATCTTCGACCGCAACAGCAGCATCGTACAAGTCGAAGACGGTGGATTTCTTCTTGTAGCCATCAAGCAGCTCTAAGCTACGATGAAGGAGGTAGTTTACGTAGTTTTGGTTTTCAACTTTCTCGTCTTCCGTGAAGTCAAAGGATGGTAGCGATATTTTGGACATAGCCATGGTGTGTAGTAATTACGAGTGAGAATAAATTTGAATATTGCAGCGTTTAGTCTCTGATAGTAGGTAGGTAGGTACCTAAATACTGTATCAATAGCATTGTCTTAAATTTTCAACATCTCCTATTGTCTTGTCCTTTGGTTGGGATTGGACTTAAGACAATGAACGTTTGCTTCGTAATTGGAGGGAAAGTGTAATACAATCGGAGAAAGGAGTAAAGCACAGGACTATTATATTTGCCTTTATACGTGACTTTCTTCGTACTCTTTGTTTCCATTTTAGACCCGGAGGCTTTTCTCAATATCCGCGCCAAGACGAGGTTATATTATATGGGAATAAAGTCGATATAAGATCGAGAATCTTGCATTAATTCACTCAAGATGACAAATCAGTCGCCAAGAGTCTGCGCGGTTTTTATCATGATGTCTCACATATGATTTTATTGGTTAGCACGCCGTCCGCAGCCTCAAGACCTCTAGAAAGGTTGGAATGACTTTAGATTCTTGCCACTGGTTGAGAGATCCGTCACAACCGTGCCCAGAAAGAAATCTGGAATAACTAATGCCAAGTGAAAATTAATACCAAAGTCGTGCGCAATGTTTAAGATTTGTATGATCTCGTACACGATTTCCACAACCCTGATCCGACTGCCAAGCCGCATGTCATACCTTCGTACGCACAGTAGATTTGGACATGAAGGCCCGCCAAGTCGGGGGGCGCGGTTGGGCGAGTATAAACGTCTGACTGCGCACGACGGATCGGTCCGTAGGATCGGTTCGCTCCCCTCATTGAGCCCAGGTTTTATGGCAAGCTCCCTGCCTCGGCCGAGGAGTGCTTTAGCCCCCAATATCCCCGTGGGAACCCCGTGTTCTACAGCTTAATGGAATAACTCCGCGCTCCGCAACTACGTAGGGTGTCAGATACCTCACAGCTTGTGCGACACGCATATAAGTGGTAAGACGCCACGTGCGGCTTTTATGAATCTAGACTGTGCATATTTCATATACCTGGCCGTATAATAGCATGGTGATCTACCATCGAAATTCTACCCTCTTCCGCCCTCTCAAACTGAATATTTAAGATCCAAGTGAATGTTGGAAAGCTTCACCTAGGTGAATTTCCGCTGTGATGGGTGACCAAATGACGGTTACTGCGCTCGCAGACATTATCAGGAGGCAAGCGGAAATACTCGAGACCAGTCTTCCGCGGCACGCTTACACCGATTACCATGGCGATAAAAGCCTCAGCATCGCGAGGTCAAAACTCCTCGAGGCCTGCGATAAGCTGAACCATCTCGTTACCGGTCCTATAGAATGGTAAGTATGAAGATAAATACTTTACATAAAATATCCCCAATATTTCTATCGAGTTTATCATTCATCCGCGGAATAACGAGGCTAATTCTTCCGCAGTACGTCATTTACCACCACCACACCATCTTCGCTCATCTTGCCCCCCAACTTCCTCCTTTATTTCAAAAATCTAACACCGCCCCGCCCCGCAGATGTAATGGGCATAGCCCAAGGCCACCGCGTGCACGCGGCCCTGCAATACGTGTGCCACTTCCGGCTAGCGCACTTCGTGCCGGCGGACGGCACGCCGATCCCGTACGCGGAGCTCGCGCGCGCCGCGGGCGTCGACGCCTCCCAGTGCGCCCGCGTCCTGCAGCTGCTCATGACCTACCACATCTTCCGCGAGCCGGGCACCCGCATCGTCGCGCATAACCGCAACTCGCGCGTCCTGCTCGACGAGGACACCGGAGCCGCCGTCGAGTGGCTGACCCAGGAGTCGTTGCGGTCGAGCGCTTTTTTTACTGAGGCTAGGGCTATGAGTACTAGGCGGTGGTCCACCGGGGGCACGGGAGGCGTGGGGTTAGACGACGTTGCTATTGATTCGGGTACGGGTGTAGGTGTTGGGGAGAAAGGGGTTGTGAAAGGGAGAGCGAGAGCGGAGACCGCGCTTGGCCTTGCGCCTGGGGCCGTGGATCAGCCTGCTTTTGGGTTCATTACGCAGCAGCGCCAGACGACCGAGGAGTCTATGAAAGCGGATCGATATGCGCGCGCTATGGCGGGTATGGCGAAGCGGAGGCAGCTTAGCGCAGAGCATCTGGTGTCCGGGTTCGACTGGGCGGGTCTGCCTCCTGGCTCAACCGTGGTTGATGTAGGGGGCGGCAACGGGCATTGCTCAAAAGCCGTCGCGTATTGCAACCCGACTCTGAAGTTCATAGTGCAGGATGCGAATGCGGCGTTCGCTGAACAGGTAGGCGTGGATGAACTAGGAGACCGCCTGCAGTTCATGACCTACGACTTCTTCACGCCGCAGCCTGCAACGGGAGACGTTTATCTGCTTCGACGTATACTGCACCATCATTCGGACCAGGATGCTGTGCGTATCTTACAGGCGCAGCTCGGCGCTGTAAGGAAGAAACCGAGTTCCAGGATCGTGGTTATGGATAATATTGCCATTCATAGCGGCACGCTGAGTACGCTTGAGGAGCGCAAGACTAGGTGAGTACTTATGTAAACCGCTCTAACCGCCTTTCGTGCTAAATTGACTGTTTCCATAGGACCCTAGATATCGCGATGATGGCCCTGTTTAATAGCGTTGAGCGCGACTTGAAGGACTGGAAAGAGCTTTTCAGGATGGCAGACCCTCAACTTAAGCTCGTCAACGTTACGAGCCCGATCGGTAGCGCTCTGGCTGTGATGGAACTTGCGTTGGAGCAGACCTAATCTCGTTGACGGTTTCGATATCTTCACTCATTTCCTCGTTGTTGCTCATCTTGTGGATGAGATATAGGCGTATCTGGACATGGGTGGCCGTTGTTTCTGTCCAGGTTCCGGAACGAAGGAGGACGGAGGTGTTAAGGGCACTGATCGGACAGATGTAATAGGAGTTGGAGATTGATATTTCCTGGAAATGGGCTCAGATTGAATCATACGCTGCTAATGTCTAGTTGTCTAATGAGGCGGGTTACTTTATGGATCTATTAGTGGTTATAATGAGTCGTTGCTGTTTAAGAATATATCCATGGTTGCTTTGCCTGGGCAGATTCATATGGTGACCTTACTCTTGAGACCCTTCCATACCTACCAAATTTCCCAGGGGTGATGCTATCACACACTACGACGGTGTGGGAGACACTAGGTTGAGATGTGTTCTCTGAAATGAGCAGTGAAACTGGTTCGGAAGAGGCACGGTGCCATCTATACTTCCCTATCAACCAAGCAACGGTAGTTAGACGTACCTAGTAATTCACGTGCTCTGCTAGAAGTCTAAATATTAAAGCACTATAAGATGAATTCGTGGTGATATAGTGAGGAATCGGAGAGTCCCAATAGACTACGGGGAGCTGCTAACACATAGCAAGTCCTAGGTCGTTAACATCTACTCGACGAGCCTCAATAGTAACTTCATCAAATCATCAAGTTTCGAAGGGAGTCGAAGGTATTTAATCTCACACCTACTCATCCACTCTGCTCTTAGGTGGACCACTGGATTTCTTGTATTGATCGATAAGCGAAATATCGGAAAACGCATCGGATTCTGTCAGTAGCATGATCAATCTGAGATGTACTGCTATGCGCATGAGTTAGCTTGGATCTAGGTATGGTAGTGTTAAGTTTAATTACTCACTACTGGACGACATGCCCATTTCCTCCCACACCATAATTCATCCCTTCATAGCCTTGTCGAGTTGGCCTGCCACATAATTGCATCAGCTATAAGCATCGTCCTCACTCTTGGGTATCTTTAAGTGATGAGGTCAGCCACGTTCATGGGCATCTCATCGATCTGAGTTGAATAGTACACTGCTATATGTCAGCACCATGTAATAAGCTAGGCTCGGAGTCTGGGGAAGCACTTACGCTCGATATCTCTGAGAATTCGAACATCTTCACTAGTGACGAAGTTGATTGCGACACCTTTACGACCAAAACGGCCACTGCGTCCAATACGGTGGATGTAGTTCTCTCGGTTGCTGGGCAGATCGTAGTTGATAACCAAGCTGACCTGCTGTACATCGATACCGCGAGCCCAGACGTCGGTAGAGATTAGTACTCTGCTGTTGCCCTGTCTGAAGTCTTGCATGATACTGTCTCGTTCCTTCTGAGGCATGTCTCCATGCATGCTGCTGACAGTGAAATTCGCCTCGCGCATCTTGTCGGTCAGCCAATCGACCTTTCGTCGGGTGTTACAGAAGATAACAGCCTGGGTAATTGTGAGGGTATCGTAAAGGTCGCAAAGCGTGTCGAACTTCCAGTCCTCTTTCTCGACAGCAATGAAATATTGCTTGAGGCCTTCTAGCGTCAACTCGTCACGCTTGACGAGGATGCGGACCGGGTCGGTCATGAACTTGGTTGTCATGTCTAGGACATCGTAGGGCAGGGTAGCCGAGACAACCACAACTTGAGTCGCGGGAGGAAGGTATCGGTACACGTCGTAGATCTGCTCTCGGAAACCTTGATTGAGCAATTCATCGGCTTCGTCGAGTACGAGCATCTTGATCTGGCGAGTGCGTAGGTGGCGGCGACGAATCATATCGGCTACACGGCCTGGGGTACCAGAGACGATGTGCTGGCCGTAGTCGAGCTTTCGAATATCCTCCCCAACGTTGGTTCCACCAATACAAGCATGGCATTGGACGTTCATATAGTCACCGAGAGCCATAACGACAGATTGGATTTGCGTCGCAAGTTCGCGAGTGGGAGAGAGGACAAGTGCCTGGGTCTCGCGGATAGCCGTATCAATGACCTGAAGCATGGAAATGGAAAAGGTAGCAGTCTTTCCTGTGCCGGATTGGGCCTGAGCGATCGTGTCTCGTCCCTTGCAAATTTGGACGATGGCTCGAGACTGGACGGCGGAAGGTGACTCGTAACCGTACGCGTAGATGCCGCGAAGAAGGTTCTCTGTAGACAGGAGATAATTAGCATTTGCTTTGCGACAATGGATAGACACCACATGTTAAGTTTTACATGGATATGGTCTTACCTTTCAAAGACATCGATTCGAAGGTTGGATGGACTGTAACCTCCTTGGAAGTGGAAAACTCCATCTTTTCGTCTGCGCGACGATCGATACCACCGCCTTCAGCCATGATGAACGAGTATTGATCGCGCGAATACGATTATAATGGTTGGGGGTTTAAGTTGATATTGCGCTGGATTTAATTGCGCGCCAGGTAAAATGCTTTGCGGTCTTGATGTGATGCACAGAGGTCGTTGATGTTCAGTTGCTAGGCTGGTAAGCTAGAGAATTTTTATGGGGATACCTAAACTTAAGGCTGTGGCTACGCCCCACATCCGCTAAGCAACCATCAAGCCTGCCTAGCCCAGCTGCACCTGCAGCTTGAGATTGATGGAAATGCCGACCCCAGCCACTGTGGCAATAAGTCAGAGACCGTTTCTAACTGGACCCAAACAATTTAAAGTTGACGTCCTATTCCGTACTAACTTTTTTATATTCAGCCTCTTCAATCTTTTTACTACAGCAAGATTCATAATCACAATCACCATCCCATTTCCGCTTCGATTTGTAGCATCTCCCGCCTACTATAATATCTTGCTCATCTATTGAGAATTGGTGATTGGGTTTCATCCGACCATTCAAAATGCTCTTAGAAGAGCAAAGATTCCTCCACGAGGACCTCGAGCGCCTTGAACAGGGCATCGCAGATCGCATTGGCGATGAACCCAAACATGTGAGTTCTCCCAAACAACATTGCGATGATTCTTTTACTTACTATGTATCCCAGATCCGCGACCGCCTGGCACGTGATCATCAAATAGCCCAATTTCTTGATCGCATATCGTCGCAGTCCTCCAAGCTTCTATCTCTTTACCGCGATGCAGATGGGTCAAGGTCGCGTGAGATCCAACAAATCGGTAGCGGTGACCCAATGGAAGAGTTCTACAAGCAGCTTACCGACATAAAGACTTTCCACACCAAGTACCCCAACGAACCTGTCGAGAATCTCGAGCGCGCATACCGACCAAAGAAGGGACCCGATGCCGAATCTCAACCTAGCATCGTGGATACCATGTTTACTGGTGAAGAAGCATTTGGCCGTTTCTTCGATCTTCATACCTGCCACGAGCTTTATCTCAATCTACCTAACGCGAAGAGACTCAGCTATCTTCAATACCTGGATTTGTTTGACAACTTCACGCTAGGTGCTGGCGGGCTGAAGAGGTCGGAGAAGACGACGGACCAGTATTTTAAATACGTTGGCCAGCTTGCTCTAGATCTTGAAACCTTCATGCGAAAAACGAGGCCGTTGGAGAATGTCGACAAGGTAATCGCCGACTTCGATAAGGAGTTCGACGCCGCATGGGACAAGGATGAGATCGCAGACTGGAAAGCAGAGGAGTCTAGCGGGAAGGCTACTGGTAGCGCGAAACAGCCATCCACGGCCGACGCAGTATGGTGCGAAGATTGTGAAAGGGAGTTCAAGAATGAGAACGTATACAAGGGTCACCTTTCTGGCAAGAAACATGTTCGCGCTGCAGCCGAGCGGGCTCAAAGATTACAGGGCACGTCCGAAGAAGGGGGCGACTCGACCAACGGTAATCGGAAAGGTGGGATGTCGACACAGAGGCTGAAAGAACGGGCGATCGCAGAAAGAGAATTCCGAGTCAAGCGCCTTGCAAGCGCGATGAGTACTGAGCGAAGCGATACTCGAGTGAATGTCGAGCGAAAGCAGGGCATGACGGAGCGTGAAAGGCAGCAGGAGCTAGAGAATTTGTTCAGCGCCACCACTACCACTTCACAGCCTAAGGATGCCGAAGATGGCGAAGACAACGACGACGAAGATAAGATTTATAACCCACTGAAGCTGCCACTCGCGTGGGACGGCAAGCCTATTCCTTTCTGGCTGTACAAGCTTCACGGACTCGGTGTCGAGTTCCCCTGCGAAATATGCGGAAACTTCGTATATATGGGACGCCGAGCCTTTGATAAGCACTTCAACGAGGCGCGACATATCTATGGCCTCAAGTGTTTGGGAATCACGAACACAAGCCTCTTCCGAGACATAACAGGAATCGACGAGGCACTAAGGCTATGGGAGAAGATACAGAAAGAGAAGCGGAAGGACAAGGTGGATGACGGCAGTGTAGTCCAGATGGAGGATGCTGAAGGGAACGTCATGCCGGAGAAGGTCTACTACGATTTGCAGAAGCAAGGCCTATTGTAAAGCTATTTGGGTGTAATATTTTATGCAGGGTACTAGGATCTGCTCATGAATCAAGGAATCATGGCATGGTTGGGAATATTTGAAAGAGGAATGAAAGACGCGGTCTATATTTGCCAATAGAAGTAATACCATGAGGGTTAAGGGGCAAGAACAATGACACCCCTAAGGCTTCTCGTCTTCTAAACTGCTTCTAGGTACATAGATACTTCCGGGCTACGTCTTGGTTCGAGCCTTATCTTATCGATAACAGCAATCGAACCCCACAGTCCGAGGTCCACACTGTCATTGTCAAGTATCGTGACGTCTCACAAACTCTTAAATGTAAATAACCTATGCGCTTCCCACAATTCCATCCGAAATCGCTCCAGCTCATTTGACTTATTGCTGTTCGTGTTGAATCGGACAGCTAGAATAATTACCTGAACTTCATGTAATAGAAATGGAACCGTATTCTTATAAAGACGGGTCTCATCTCATCATTGAAAATTCGAAGCCTCATCGCTGAGACGCGCTCAGCCGTGAATTCACAAAATGACAAGTATATCGAAACCTATACCGCCGCTATACACCGTCTATATACTACGATCGACAGTTCGCCGTTCTTCGCTGTATATTGGCTCAACACCTAATCCCCCGCGGCGGCTCAAGCAGCATAATGGTGAAGCCAAAGGCGGTGCTGTGCGCACATCTCGAAGTAAACTGAGACCGTGGGAGATGGTTGGTCTTGTATCAGGCTTCCCCGGAATGGTGGCTGCTTTGAAGTTTGAGTAAGTCACTTGATTTGATCACACTTTGGGCTTTCTTATATGTAGGCTGATTGTATTCCAGGTGGGCCCTTAACAACCCTCATATAACATTACATATTCCGTCCGAATCTCGCATATCGGTATCGGCGGGTAGGAAGCGCAAAGGTCGTCCTAAGCGCCCACGACACACCTTGGCCTCGATCCTCTCCAACGTACATCTACTTCTTCGCGTTCCCAGCTTTGCTAGATGGCCCTTGGATGTTCACTTCTTCGCTCCCGATGCGTATGAAGCGTGGAAAAAATGGTGCAATACCGCGGACGAGTCTCTACGTGACACAATTCAGATATTGACGGACTTCGGTTCTTCGTGCCCCAGCTCGAAGGAGAGGGAGGGCTCTGACTCTGAAAATGAGTCGGAGCCCTGGGGCATTCATGCATTGCCGCTCGATTACGCCCCGATGAAAGAATACGTGACGAAAACAAAGTCGATATATGATTTCGAGAGGGAAGGTGATTGTGTGGTATGTAAGGAGCATCTGGAGCCGGGCGAGGGTCTCTATGCGACATGCTCAAATGCCGGCTGTGAGGGCACAGGTCACATCTCATGCTGGAGCAAACATATGCTCAAGAAGGAGTCTGGTGAGGATATTATTCCCATCTCCGGACAATGCCCAGAATGCAAAGGTCAGATCAAATGGATTGATCTTATGAAAGAAGTGAGCTTGAGAGTTAGGGGAACTAAAGAGGTCGAAAAACTTCTTAAGAAGCCCAGGAAACGCAAGGCGCAAGCCGAATCTAGCTAGTATTGGATACGGGTTTTCGGAATCTTACTATACTATATGAAGACATTTATAATGAAATCTCACGATATTAGTGTAGGTGTTGAATGATGCCGGTGGCATTGTACATTTTAGGGTATGGCGGCACGGTATTCTAACCTTGTCTGCTCAATCCTACTATCATCATAGGTGCCTACTTCAAAATAGACAAATAATACGGATCTTCATTTTCGACTGTCTAGTGTGTAAGCAATGTCAATTGGGTTTCCCGAAGTAATGTCATGGAATGCGTTGCGGGTTGTACAACATGAATCGGCAGCTCTTGTACGGATAGCGGCCTGGACTTTGGTGGTGTTAATACGGTCCCCCGCAAAAGACCAGTCTCCTTTTTCTGGTAGCAACCTTGGAACCCAGGATTTTTCAAGGCTCGGCTAGGCTGGGCCTTCCCTGCTGTGTGTGCTCGCGTGGTGCTCCCGTCATGCAGACAGGGGTAGTGTCCCACTCTTTTGAACGTCACTCATCTATCATTGGCTCTCTAGACGACTCATTGGTTATTATCCTTGCAAGTTTGCCTACAATATCAATTCGCTTTTTTTATGTTCTGACAACTTGCTCCAAATCTTAGCAGCCTCCCAGCTCCAATCTTTAACGACAAGTAATTTAAGGAAATTGATTGCGACTCTCGAATATCCAAATTTCACCTATGAAATTTTGTTCCGACTTTATCTCCGAACGAGGCTCTGGTTTTACGGTTGCCCGATAGATTTGTTAGATCAACTAGAACGCCTAGAACAAACTCGATAAGCTAACACGGTGGGATTTTGGTGAGGCACAGTATTGATGAAAAAAAAAAAAAAAAGCAAAAGAGATAGCTCAGACTAAATCCACAGGCCATCCTAGTCACCTACTGCCTAGCATAAGCACATCATTCAAGGATACAACCATACCTTCTGCTTTACAACCATTCTTGATACCGTCGGCATAGTCCGTGCAGCCTTGCCCCGGATCTAGGTACCCGGACATGTATTGGTGCTGAACAGATGATGGATGCAATTAGTATCATATACCTGCCATACTTGGACCGACATTTGCTTTTTTAACCGGCGATTATAATTGTTTCGATTACGGACTTTTCATTCCTTTCTATTCATCCTATTTAGATCCTTATCGGGTGAAGTGCGGCGATCTTTCGGTTCTAATGAAGCCTAGCGGCCACCCGCCTCTTTAATTTTCTTGCCTCTCGATCTTGACTCCCGCGACTCTTCGCAAATCTCATGATCTAACCAAAATCAAGTTATTGGCTACATGTACATACATATATACATACATATACGTATAATCTAAGTTAAGACACTTTAAGCGAAACATATTTCCTTCCTAGGTACCCACCTAAATATCCTACATATGTATGTAAGCGGGTAGCATGTGAGAGTGACCGCTTGTTGGTAGTGCGCAGGTGTATAAGGTTTGCGTATCGTACCATCGACCCCAATAGATCTTTTTTAGCTTCTCTGGAGGTGAAATGTCAGCCGGCAATTTATTTTGCCCGCGTAAGCCATGTCAAATATGACAGACTTACAGCGTCGATATCCAACAATTTCTAAGCTAGTTGAACATTTTAACCCCCAATACGGAACTCGAACATCCCTTCTTTGATAAAGGACGGAGCGAATATTCCTGTTTGGCAACAAAGATGTGGTGGAATAGGAATAAATGCATACCTAAGTAAATGGAGGTAGTTGGTTTAGTCTGTATTTCTTTGTTATCGCCAACATCACATGATTTTTGAAAGAGAATCCTAATGTTGCTAATTAATGCGAAAAGAGATGGGAGGAAGATGTGATAGCATCCGAGCATGGAACTTCAATTGAAGTTGAGGCGATGAAAGTTCCATGGCGGAATGGAAGTCAAAAGTAACATGGGAGTACAGTGAAAATACGTGCGACATAAAAATATAACGGTACATCTCCGATGAAATTTGATTTGATTAGACGGAAATAGATTGTAGATCAAGTATATCATAAGTACATTAAAAGTATCGAACCAGATAGCTACCTCGGTACAAAATGCGCAAGGTTCGACAGGCCTAGCTGCTTTAAATGGGACAGGACACAAAATCCCGACGACAGCTACGAGTCGCATTCACCCACATCAATATCCACTTCTACCACTTCCTTCCCTCTTCCTTTCCTTCCCAATTCACCGTAAACGTTCGTGCCTGCGTGACCCCCGTGTCCCGTTTTCTCCTTCTCGTCTTTCTTGCATTACGCACCGTAAGCTACCTGTGGCGGAGATCGACCTGCGTTAAGGTACGTACATCCACAACACCATCAAAGCTCAAGCGCAGTGCTCTTTTTTGCACTGACCACCCACGTTCCACCGTACCTACCTCTTAGGTATCCCGCTCTTATCCAATCTAGTCCGTTTTCCCGTTCTAAACTTACACGCCTATTCTATATTCTACATACCATACCTCGACGTCTCAAAAACCTTCTTCTCTTTTAAACCTCTTTCCACATTAGCATGCAAATTCCTTTAAGCTAAACTACCTACCTTTCCCCTCCAATCCTCTCTTGAATTAGACAACAACTAATTCTCTCCTGCCATTGAATATCTTTTCAACTCGGCTTTCATTATTCCTCTCTAATGATACGACTAATTTAGTAATTCGCGATATTCGAGGTTGCGCTGTGGTGGTTGAGGTGCACTGTTGGGAGAACAGTCCAACATTGATCTCTTTTTCATTTGTCGTCCTTGGACGCATAGCACTTCGCTGTATATCGTGGCTAAGTACACAGTCCGTATACCTCACGTTCATAGCACGTACCACGACATACTCTCGACCTTCAACCACGTAGGTCCTATATCTCACGGACTCACCGACGAAGTAATTATTCGCTACGCATTGCTTTTGCAAATACGCGCACCTATCTACACTTATTTTGAGCGACGGCACCATTTACGGCCTAATCATACGCTCATGCGATGCACATACGGCCCACTCTCCTTGTGACAGCCTCACAATCTCCACTAACCGAAGGTGACCGGCAAACGTAGCCCACCACCTCTTCATCCAACACTGCTGGATACGATCTTTCCGAGGATTCATCTTCTCACTTCATAGCATCGTTGTTTGTCTTGAACCATGGTCTCCACCCCCTCCGCCGGCCACGGTGGCGGCGTTGGAGGTGTCCATAGCGCGAATGCCAGCTCGAGAGCATCTCCTGCAGTCGGTAACACCAGCTCCTCAAGTCATGCGAACCATTCATCTTCGGCAACCAATGGCGCAAAGTCCAAGACACAGGTTAATTCGAATGGCTATCATCCTACGAATCCCCATGTACCTTTAAGCTCTCTGCGTAGCGCACCTCTAGATCTTACCTCGGTCGAACGAAGAGGCCAGGCAACGACGAGTCGAGAACCACCTAAGCGAAATAGACCGTACGGACTCGAGGAAGCGCCGACGTATCATCCCACCGAAGAAGAATGGAAAGACCCATTCGAGTATGTTCGCAAGATCACACCCGATGCTCGCGAATATGGCATCTGCAAGATAGTTCCTCCCGATTCGTGGAACCCAGACTTCGCAATCGATACCGAGGTGAGTTGACGGATTCCCTCGTCATGTGTCAGGGTTATCTTGAATGGCTATTAGAAATAGACGCCATTTGGGAACCACCGGTAGCTTGTTTTACGGGGGCGTACTGACAATCCGCAGAAATTCCATTTCCGAACTCGAAAGCAAGAATTGAACTCGGTTGAAGGCAGTAAGTTCTTTGTCACGAGGTGCCCTGACCTTCGTCGCGATCAGTTCCATTGACCTCAACGTACTAGGTACAAGAGCGAATCTTAGCTATCTCGACGCTCTCGCCAGGTTCCACAGGCAGCAAGGAACAAATCTAAACCGCTTACCCTATGTCGACAAGAAGCCTCTCGACTTATACCGACTCAAGAAAGCGGTCGAATCCCGCGGCGGCTTTGAGAAAGTCTGCAAGACGAAGAAGTGGGCGGAAATCGGCAGAGATTTAGGATACAGCGGAAAGATCATGTCCTCGTTGTCTACGTCGCTGAAGAACTCGTACGATCGATGGCTTACACCGTACGAAAATTATCTCCGCCAAGCGAAACCTGGTGTTTATCAACAATTGGAGTATGAGTATGGCGGCCCGCTTACACCAAGCCCGGCTCCTAGCCCTATGAAACGATCGACTGTGAACACTCCTTCGAGCCTCAGAGCAGAATCGCCCGCCCGACATGCCAGCGACGCTCTTCAGCAAAGCTTAAATGGCTCGAAGCAGGATCCGGATCGTGATACGATTATGGCTGACGCGCCGGCCGCCACATCACAGCCTACGTCAGGCGGATTTACCGCTATTAATTCTGGAGGGTTTACGCCTGTTAATGCCGGATTCACCAGCGTCAATCGGCCTGTTCCATCCGACCCGAAGGGTTTTACTCCGCCTCCGAAACATCACGGAAGCCCACATCCCTCTGGCAAGAACACGCCGGATCTGCGACCGTCCGGGCTCGGACCCGCTACTGCCCTTAAGCGTCAACTTAGTTCGGACAGCTTAGACTCAGCGAAGAAAGACACTGGTACTGACGACTCTGAGAATGGCAGTAGAAGGAGTAAGCGACTGAAGAAAGGTACGTATTTCTTTTCAGCTATCTACGACTTCGGTGGTCTGGTGGTTTCTCGTCTGCCTGTTACCTGCTTCGTCGCGTGCCTTTTGCGTCCCCGTTGTTACTACCGCTCTCAATTGATTTCCCTTTCGCTTCATATTTGACAATATTTTCAAATCATCCATTTCCATCTCCTTTTCTGGTTTCTTGTAGTTGAAGAGCACATGATTTCCTTTTACGGGGTTCCGTCTATTTGTGGAGATGCGATCGTGCAGGGATTCCGAATGCGCTCAATCATGCGTCTTTCCGTGCAGCCATGTACAGCAGGGAGGAAACCATACAACGGCCCTTCCGGTCTTCGCGGCCCATGATTGGCCCAATCGTTTTCACTACTAATGCAAGTTGACATATAGAAACCGTCCCTACTGTTGCCGGTTCTCACATGTCGCTGTTCCGTCCTTCAGCTCCGAAAATCCCGGTACCACGAGATGAATCATCTAGTCCCAGCGAGGTAAGTTCTTTCTCTTTCGGATTCACACAATCGAGTCATCCGTTAATCGTCCGTGTAGAAATGTGAAGCTTGCGGTAAAGGCGATGAGGTGGGCTTCATCGCTGTATGCGAGTCATGCGATCACGGGTACCACGGTACTTGTTTGGATCCTCCGCTAAAGCAAAAACCGGACGCCGAGTGGAACTGCCACAGATGTCTTGTTGGCGATGGCCAGTTCGGTTTCGAAGAAGGCGGCCTATATTCACTAAAGCAATTCCAGGAGAAGGCAGCAGACTTTAAGCAAGGCTACTTCGAAAATCGGATGCCGATCGATCCAGTGCTCAATTGTCCGCGACCAGTCACAGAAGAGGACGTGGAAAAGGAGTTCTGGAGACTCGTCACTAGCACCGAGGAAACTGTGGAGGTAGAATATGGCGCAGATATCCACTGCACCACTCATGGCTCTGGCTTCCCGACCGCCGAGCGCAACCCATGCGATCCTTATTCTACGGATCCCTGGAACTTGAACGTCATGCCTCTCCACCCTGAGAGTCTTTTCCGGCATATTAAGTCAGATATCTCGGGCATGACTGTTCCCTGGGTTTACGTTGGGATGATATTCTCGACGTTTTGTTGGCATAACGAGGATCACTTCGCATACTCGGTCAACTATCAACACTTCGGATCGACCAAGACTTGGTACGGCATTCCGGCCGCTGACACCGATAAGTTTGAGAATGCTATGCGAGAAGCGGTGCCGGAGCTCTTCGAGACTCAGCCTGACCTATTATTCCAACTCGTCACGCTTCTCACCCCGGAGCAACTTAAAAAGGCGGGCGTCCGTGTCTATGCTCTCGATCAAAGAGCCGGCCAAATGGTCATCACATTCCCTCAAGCCTACCACGCAGGGTTCAACCACGGGTTCAACTTTAACGAGGCTGTGAACTTCGCTCCTTCAGAATGGGAGCCGTATGGACTTGCCGGGGTAGAGCGATTGCAGCAGTTCAGGCGACAGCCGTGTTTCTCGCACGACGAGCTTCTGTGGACAGCAGCGGAAGGGACTGGATCCGGGTTAACTATCCAAACCGCGAAGTGGCTTGCGCCTGCGCTTGGGAGGGTACACAAACGGGAACTCGAACAGCGAGAGGAGTTCATCGCAAAGCACCGGGAAGACAGCCATCAACCCTGTGGCCTGACTACCGACTCTGATGAGCATTGCTCGCTCGCTTTTGAAGTCTCCGACGTTGATATCCCCGAGGAAGAATACCAGTGCGCTTATTGCAAGTGCTACGCCTACTTATCAAGATTCAAGTGCCTCCAATCCGGCAAGGTTCTTTGTATCCAGCACGCGGGGAATCATGCATGCTGCGATATGTCCGAGTCGGAACGATATGCCGGAGATCAACACAAGCTTTACTATCGCAAGACCGACGAACAGCTCGACGAGACTTACCGAAAGGTGGCGGACAAGGCCAATATGCCGGAGGCGTGGGAGGAAAAATATGAGAAACTTCTCGACGACGGAGGGAAGCCAGCGCTCAAAACGCTGAGGAACCTTCTAAGCGAGGGTGAACGAATACCGTACGACCTCCCCTCCTTGCCAGCTCTCAGGGAATTCGTTGACCGCTGTAACGAGTGGGTCGAAGAGGCGACTAATTATACGGTGCGAAAACAGCAGAACCGCCGTAAAAATGACAAGGTCTGGCAGAGCGGAATGCGAAAGTCCATCGGTGGCTCTTCCCAAGAGCAGAGAGAACGAGAACTCCGGCGGGTCGAGAACATCTACCGCTTAATCGACGACGCCGAGCGCATAGGATTCGACTGCCCGGAAATCCAGCATCTACAGGAGCGCGCTAATGCTATAAGAAACTTCCAGAAGAATGCCGAGCAATTCCTAGAGCGCGGGTGCGGCCAGGAATCCATCGAAGAACTCATCGAGGAGGGTCGTACATTCAACGTCGATATGCCAGAGCTTGACAAACTGTCCGAGATCCTAGAACAGACAAAATGGAACGTCAAAGCAAAGTCGAACCGAGGCGAGTTTTTGACCTTGAAAGATGTTAGGGAACTGCTTGAAGAAGGTCACCGCTTGGAAATCCCACTGTATAATGATAACATGAGGTATTTCGGTGACAAGTACGCGGCGGGAATGCAATGGGAAACTAAAGCGAAGGAGCTTATCAACGCGGAGGTCGTCCACTATCCGCAACTCGAGGCTCTCTCAAACCAGGTGCAAGTAAACACGCTCCCCGTCACGCAAGATACTCTAGCTGCCGTCGATCAGATTTTGCACAAGCAACGGGAAGCCCATCGCCAGATCCTTGACCTCACGGAGCGCTCCAAGGAACCCGATTATAAGAAGAGGCCTAAATACACCGAGGTGGTTGAGATCATGAAGAAGCTGGAAGATCTCAACTCAAAGCCGACAGGGACTCTTGACCTTGAAAAGGAGCAGAGACGTCACGAGGATTGGATGCGAAAGGGGAAGAAGCTTTTTGGCAAGACTAACGCGCCCCTTCATATTCTTAAAAGTCACATGGACTACGTCCTAGAACGCAACCTCGCCTGTTTTGATATTCGCAACGATACGCCCCGACTCCCGGCCGAGCCTGCGTCTAGGGCGGCGAGCGAAGAAAGGGGAGAAGAGGGAGGAAAGGTTCGGCGAACATGGGATATCAATGATCCGGCTCTAGTAGAAGTGTTCTGTATCTGCCGCCGTATCGAGGCCGGCATGATGATCGAATGCGAACTGTGCCACGAGTGGTATCACGGCAAGTGCTTGAAGATTGCCCGAGGAAAGGTAAAAGAAGACGACAAGTACACTTGCCCGATCTGCGATTGGCGAGTCAAGATTCCGCGAGACGCTGCGCGGCCTAAGCTGGAGGATCTCATTGCCTGGCAAGAGGAGATTCCGAACTTGCCGTTCCAACCCGAAGAAGAGGAAGTACTGAAGAAAATCATCGACAATGCGCAGAAATTCCGGGATCACATTGCGGCATTCTGCAATCCCGTGCTTTCCACGGCAGCCGAGGCTGGTGACCAACGATTCTATCTACGAAAGATTGAAGGAGCCGAAATCCTCTTGTCTTTCGAGACGAATTTCTTCCGACAAGAACTCCATAAATGGAGTCCGGTAGCGCCGGAACCGCCTCCTGTGCTCGACGTGTCTAAGAGCACACGCAAGCCACGCCCAACAAAACTCCAGAAGATGTTGGCGCAATTTGGCGTAAAGGATCCTGATGACCTACCGGAGAATATGAAGAGCAAAGCGAACAGCCTGAAGCGCAAAGCGATGAACGCAGAGGCAGCCGCGGCTGCAGCCCAGGCTGCGGCAGCGTCGTCCAGTATCGCCCTTGTTCCCCCGAATGCGACAAGTCCATCCTCTCACTCGTTCGGGTCTGGCGGTCATCCCTTCCTCTCACGGAACTCGCAGCCGTCGACTCCAGCTTTGACCAGCACCTCTCACGCGCATCCACCTCAGAGGTCCAGCTCAGCATCCTCTAGCAGACCCGGATCCTCTCTTCGGCCCGACGCTATGGACATGCATAACACAGCTGGCCTGCATCCAGACTTTTTCAACGGACCAGGACCTCGACTAAGCGCTCTAGACCCGTCCATGACGCTTGAAGATCGTTTACTGCGCGGGCGGGATGACGGATTGAACGACAATCTAAACCTAACCACGGACGCCGGCAAAGCCGATGCTCTCGCACTATTACGTACTACCGAGCTCGGACGTAAGCGGGCTGAGGAGTTGTTTGGTCCAGAGGTGTGGAATCACGGCCGTGATGATGCGTTCAGCAGAGCAAACGTGAGCCAGACTCAAGACGATGATAGGGACGTCGACAAGATGTTCCTAGATCTGACTAATGCCGATGACGACGATGAGGCCAAGAAAGAACGACAACGTGAAAAGGAACGAGTAAGCGTCACGGCCGAAAGCTTTGAGGCAGAGCGAAACGTGATGGATATGGAGGATTCGGACTGATTTTGGTCGATCCCACGACGTTTGGCATGGCATGAAGGGAGTCTCGGCGCTTAATTGGGCATGGAAGGTGCGGCTGACGATTAATTGGTGGTGTTAAGGGCTTTTTAAGCACTAACACGTTGATGACAAAAATTTCCCTCTGGAGTACCGGCTGGCATTTCTCTGCACTATATTCACGGCCACGGTAGAAGCAATCAGCATACGAGGATGAGCCAACATATAGAGGCGTTTTCACGGATCGTTTTGCGGATGAAAATTCCCTTTCATTTCCCCACAGTGTATGAGTACATGGTTCAGGCTCAAGAGCCGGGCCGAACACTATTGCATTAGATAGGCGTTGTTTGGCAGACCCGGTTCGGTATACCTTGTTCAGTTCAATGGAGGAAGGCTGGAAGGGGTGGGGACCAATACCTATTGAGTTATGCACGTAGGTATTTGAATTCACATTGTTCATTGCCAACGGCGAGTCTTGCGTGTTGAGTTATAAGTGTGACCTGGACTGTGACTTGTCTTAATCCTTTGACTGACACAAGCTACAACCCCACCTAAACCAGTAACATGTCACACGTCCTCAGCCTTCATTCGCGAGTTGCTCTGATCCCTTTCCCCAGGTACCTATGTAACAGACGCACGAGGTGCCGGAAATATGTAGCCGGGCTGTGTCATGCAAGTAACCTTAGCCAAGTAACAAGCTATGCCAATTTTGTGTGATTACCTTAGAAAGTCACGGCCTGTAGTTGAGATGAGATACCTTTCTCATGCGTATAAGCCTAGTCAAGATAAAAGGCTGTGAATGATATCTTCTCTCAACTGTATGAGACTCAAACCATACATTGTAGCACTGGTTACTCGGGTAATGCGTTGTTCGTTTCCCACGTTACCTCTGACAGCTTATAACTGCCCCTTGTCTACCTCCATAACCAGGTAATGGATGTTTGTATTTTTGAGGTGAGCCCCTGAAGCATCCACAGCTACTATCTATGTACGAAGAGAGTAGACAACGCATTATGGGTCTTCACTTGACGTGTAGGTACACCATGAGTCTTGATATAGCATTATGTCTGCTATATCTGTTGTCAACACGTAACAGCACATTTACTATATAACTAAAGACATTTTCCCATCATCCTATCTTGGATTCACGTGCTTTTTCAGCCGAATTCGTTATCCTATGATATCATCACATATTATTTCTCATATGATAAATTGGACAATACCATACGCAAGTACGCGCTATACGGAAGAACCGCGATGGCAGATGAAGTTGTGGCAGACACAGCGGTGCCCAACTGGGACCACCCACACTTCGACTCCCAACGTATGAAGGTCGATGATCTAAGAGTCGCCTTCGCCTGTGAGGAATTCGGGGGGATGCTGGGGATCTGCGACGAAACGTGCGAAGAGGTCAAGAATCAGGTGCTCACGGACGAACAAGAAATTGTTCTCCCCGCTCTCAAGTTACTCATAGGCTTTTCGAATCGCGACTTAGCATGCACCCTCGGCAGTAAGATAGGGGGTCTTAAGTTTATTGCCCTCGTTTGCGCTTTGGCCACGGCGTTTGCACCGCAAGAGTGTGCGCAGATGTTGGCAAAACTGATGAAATGTCATCTGAAGCGTTTCGAGGAACGACATCCTACAGCTGAGGAGCTGTTGCCTTTATTAAATTCGATGAATGCTAGATGCCAGCTCTCCGGGTTCGCCGAGCGCGTTGTAAATCACGAGATACTATTCATCCATTATCTTCGCGATCGACGCCATGACGCTACGTCAACAAGCCGGTTCAGCAAGACCCCTGATATGGATGCTGTGATTAAGATGATCAGTTTACTGAAAGACTTACAAGAGAATAGTACCAAAAGCCCCAACCTCAAACTCAAAGCATTTAGTATTCAAGCAGGTTTCTGTGCGCCCTGGATCGCCGCCTTCCTGCACTGGTGGCTGAATCAGGAGTCCATGATCTATCTCGAGGACGACTCGCCTTCGCAGTGCGAGAAGATCATGAACGGCAACACCAAGGTCGGCATCAAGCTCGTGTTTCCGATAGACGAGTTTTCACCACATTATATTCGTATTAGGGAGCTGTACTCGGAGTCCGTCTGGAAGAACTGGTACTTCGGCCTCGGAAAAGCGGAGCAGTACGGCGGCCTCGTGGATATTCCTACATACTTCCGCCTCATGCTATGCGCCTTCCGGCTTGACCGCGGCCAGGCCAAAAGAGCGATTGTAGAGGCCCTCCCGTACGCCCTGTCCAAGGCGCGGAAGGGGCTGACTATGTGCTCAGGGGGCTGCGTGGCTCGCGACCGCTGGGGAGCGCCCTGCTTGCGCGACCAGCAACAACGCCAGAAACTAAAACAGCAGCAGCAGCAATTACACAAAAAACATCAACATCCACAACAACAACAACCACAAGAACAACTAGGGGACAGGGCAGACGCACACGCATACACGATATACACAGACCGCTACGACCCCTTCCCCCCGCGCCAAGCCATAAACCGCATCCTCGCCCTCGTCCCCGGCTGCGCGGGAAAACACATGCAGGACCCGCGCAGCAAGGCCATGGGCACGCCCGTCTCCGGACACCCCGCCGCGGCCAACTTTTTGGGAATGCGCATCTTCGCGCCGCAGCGCGCGGAGTGGGGCGCCGCCGCGTTCGAAACGCAGTTCACGTCGCTGCTGGACGCGGGCGCGGCGACGCTGTTCGAGGAGCAGGTCGCGCACGTGGTTGCCGCGGTGCTGGCGCTGGCGCTTTTCGAGGGGGCGAAGGGGGAGGGGGGGTTGAGGGTTAGGCCGGAGCCGATGGTTTGGAGGGGAAAGGGGGTGGTGGGGCCGAGTACGGTTGTTTCGGCGGTTTGTAGGGTTTTTAGGGGGGAGGGGGGTTCTTGCGATGTTGGGGAGTGGCATCGCGTTTGTAGGGTTTTGGCTGGTGGGGAGGGATACTGGGGAGAGAAGGGGAGAGTGGAGGAGAAGGAGGAAAGGGGCTTCGTGGGGGATGGGGATAATGCGATTATTTCGTGCGGCGGCGGACAGGTGGTTTGGCCGGCTGTTTTGTTTGAAGCGGCTCTGCCGAAGGATGGAGAGAGTTATCTTAGGCTTCTATGGCGGCGTGGAGGCGTGTATGACCAGTGTGACATGAGGCGGTATCACAAAGTGGTGGGTTCCGATTCGCGAATCGTGCCTGACAAAGTACCTCGCAGTGCGTTTGAGATCCCGTCAAGATTGACGAAATCTAACATGTCAGTTGGAGACACGCATATCACACTCGGATGCGAAGCGGGATCTCGGGGGATCTTGAAATGCGCTCTCGTTAAGGACTCCGACTCCGATGGTGGTAGAACCAATGGCATACACGTCGACCCGGGCGGCATAATCAAGACCCTGGCGTCCGCAGAGCGCATCGAAGCCTGCATGCATCGCCACGACGCACCGATGGATATCCCTCTGCACATGACTATACACATAACCGACGTTGGCCCCGTAACCATTAATACCAGCGGTAGTAGTGCCTCTTCGCTCCCCGAGGTGTACTTATGCGCCCCGGAGGACGCCCTGCCCTGGTACTGGGACTGGGCTAGCAGAATCAAGCAGTTGGATGAAGAGGAAGATGATGATGAAAATGACGTGGCCCGGCTGCGTCAAAGTGCACTTTTAATGCACGCACGCACAGATACCGGGTTGAGACCAGGCGCCGTGGCGGTCGTACCTTCGGCCGGAGATGAGCAAGTGCGATTTCTTGCGCTCGCGAAACCGGTTGGGGCGCATGTAGCGGTGAGGCAGCGGGCTTGCGTGGAGTGCTGCGTGAAGTATTGTAAGGAGAATGGATTTGATATTCTGGTGCTGTGAATACTGGCGGTAATAGTTATGAGTCGGTACGAGAGAAGGTGGAATTTTGAGCTGAGTGCATAACTACCTACCTACCCAGTTACCAAGGCAGTCATGCATGATACTTGTAGAATTGCGTAGCACATAGAGAGCAAGTTCATAGGTGTTCTGACGACTTCACTGCAATCGGATCAATCTCTAATACTACTCTAGTAACAGCCAATTTGAGTCTGAAACAATATCGTTCGCTTTCTGTTTGTCTGCAGCATTATCCCAAGATGCGCCTAAAGCCGAACATCCACGATCTCCAGGCAGCGAGGCGTCTGGAAAACGTCATATAATTGACCTTTTTCGCTTTCAGTACCATCTCGATATGGCTAAAGGCAAGCGGCAACCGATCTCTTGCGGCTAATAACCTCGCCGTCTTGATGACATTCTTGATTTGCCGCCCATTGAGCTCGGTACGGGCAAGCTCCTGTAACTCGTGCTCGGTCAAGTTGCTGCTTGCGGAGTTAGGTTTGGCAAGATTGCGCCAAATCGATAGCCTACTGTTGAAACCAAGCTTGGGAAAATGAATTGTGAGATGTATTCGTGATTCGAAGGCAGGGTCGAACGCCGCTAGGCGATTTGTCGTCAGAAAAAGTACCCCTTGATGGTATTCTAGTGCCCGGAGAAAGACGGTTATAAGCCTGTTCTGATCCATAGAAGAAGGTGAGCGTTGCTCTAGAAAAACGTCACACTCGTCCAAGAGTAGGACAGCATTCCACCTAGTGGCCAGCCCAAGCACGCGTTGTAGATTATCTTCCACTTCGCCGGCTGTATCACCTAGTTCGCCTGCGCCCATGCTGTAGAGTGGCTTTTTCATCTCCTCTGCCACTGTGAAAATTGTGGATTATTAGAAACCAATTCAATGCGGGCATTCACAGAACTACAAACCTGATTCAGACGTGAGCGTCTTACCAGTCCCAGGCTCCCCACTCAGAAGCATGATCACACCTTTTCCTATAGTAGTTTATAAGTCAGACTAATGGTTCTAGGGCGGGCTTTCTCTATCCCCTCACATCTATATGGACATACCTTTGCCTCTGACTACGTCGTCGAAGTCATCTGACTGAGAAAGCTGACTGTTAACAAATGCGTATACAATCCGCTTGTAGTGTTGTGGTAAAGCAAGCTGTTTAAATGCGTTCTCGCTCCACTCTACCTCTTTCAATAGGTCGACAGATAAAAGGACTAGGAAAAACTTAGCACCTGCAGTTTTTCTTCGGGCGGAAAGATGAATACTAACCCCATTCTTTTGTCTTCAGACAAAAACCCTTGACAGAAGGATTGCATAACGGATAATATTTCCGAGAGAGGGAGTTGCCGGCTGATTCATATTAACACCGACGATATTCCATCAATGGAACCTCCAGTATGTGAGATGAGAGGAATCAGGATAATTAACAAACCTTCTGAGTTGCTCGAGTGACTAGAGGTCGATGGCTCATCAAGCGGGCCTAACTTATCAGGATCTACACCAGTGCAAGTCGTGAATGACTTGCAGTCGATATACATTCTTCCGTCATCAATCTTCTATGGGTGTAAGTCATGCAATATCGACATATGTACCTGGTTAGGCGTTAGAGCCATGACTTACGTAACGTGTCTTGAAGGTCTCTGATCGAGCCTCCCATGCTTGATATTCGCCAGAATATGCCTTGTGGTGAAGCCCCTTCAGTTCTCCGAATATTTGTCCCCTTTTCGTCAACCTATCCCGGATAACAGCGATGTCTCGCTTCAAACAGCTCGGCAAAACATTGAGCTCGGATATAGGTTTCAAGTCATTGAACTCGGATATAGAAAGACATTCTTTAACATATCCGAAGTTATGACCGTCCGTGTCGATAAAGCGAGCCGAAATGCTGTATACCTTCACTCCAGTAAGTAGTTTACCGTACTGACCACTCTCTAGAAGATATAGACGATCTTGACCATCGATATTTGAGTATATCTCTACCTCGGGTTCGAAAAGTGCCCAGATATAGTCGAAAGAGATGACATTGTTGTTTTTGAGATCACTGACTCGATCGATATGTGGCTTTATCTCTGGGCCGATGGCTTCACGTAGGAGCCTATAGTGTTCGCCATCCTCGCAATGGCTGGGCAAATACTGCTCGAGCTGCGTCCATCGGTAGAAGAATGGGTGGAAGGGTGCTTGAAATTTCAGGTCTTTGAGGTTTGTATTTATACCCCGATAGCCCTTGAAGACACAACCTAATTGCTCCTTGATCAAGGGACTCTGTATAATGATTGAATGTAGCTTAAGTATTGGATTGCCACTGTCGTCGACATGCTTTTCTTGTCGCCTTATAAGGGCGAATTTTTCCGAATCCCGTATTGAATTCAAGCCAATCGCTATGTCTTCTGGCGCCCATTCTTCCCAGGGGCCGTCTTTGGCGACGCGATAGAGATCCTTTGTCTCGGCCACCTTGCCAAACTCTCCTTGCTTTTCTTCCCCTGTCGCATGATAACTCTCATCGTCGTCGTCACTGTTCCCCAGGAACTCCCGGGGGTCAAGCATGAAGATTTCCATGACTTCGACTACTGATCTGACTTTGTATCATCCGGTTGATTTGAAGAGCAGGAAAAGTTTGATTTAGGTTATACTAATTAATAAGAGGCATATCTAATAAATAACACGAACGGACGATGTACGCAAAGCTTCGACCTAAATCGCATGGGACAGTTTCCTAAGTACCTCATGGCTGAAACATGGCTGGAAGCCTTTTCTCTGCAAGGTAAACATAGCCACAGTTACTACGTAATCATTACCAGCTTTAAGGCTCCACTTAATTAACAATGGCTTATCCCTTTAGTTGGCATAAGACTACAGTTCCCACAAACCCGGTAACTGTACATCGACGATGGCGCAGGCCCCTTAAGCCTGTAAGCGTTGAGGCTCTCGCAGTGATCTTCAGAGGCGTTTAACCAATAGAAGTAAGCTTTTGTGGGTGCCAGTGGAGCTCAAAGGTTGCTGGAAGTACAGTTACTAATCCTGCTGGAGCTATAGCCTTATACCAACTAAAGGGATATCGCGTATTTTCAGATGTCTTTATAAGGGTTGAAATATAATATGAAATACTTCATATAATTCGCGTTTCCAAATAATAGATATTAATAACAAGAAAACAAAAATACGTATATTGTAGGATATTAGCTAAAAGTTAAATATGATTTAATTCTTGCCCCTTTTATTATGTAGAACGCAGTGGTGGTAGCACAGAGAGCCACCAAGAACACTTGGGTGCTTGCGCCTATCACGTCCGCAAAGGATGATATCACTTGGTATGCAAAGCTCAGAAGAGCCAATCAAATTAAAGCGGCATTTGATCATGCCGACAGAAAATGTACCCAGGTAAGCACCGACTTACGGCATACATATTAGGGATATCCCTGATAGTTGATAGCAGCGGCCACGTCAGAGGGCTTGCAGGATCCAGGTTCGGCCCATTGGAAACCGTGAGAGGTTCTGTCCCCGGCTGATTGATGGGCAAAGGGCTTCTTCCATGAGTGTGTATATACTATGTTCCTACCAAGGCTTATAGCATAGGGATGCCCCGATAGTTGGCAGTGTCGGCCAGGCCCTCCTATCTACATCCAAAATGATTGATGACACATGTTATAGCCGGCACCCATCGCCTGGTACAGAGATACCTGGAATCCAATATGATAATATATCTCAGGATATCCCTAGGATCCTAGAAAATTCGTTCGTCAGAAAAGATGCCCGGTTTTGGGCAACATCCCTTCGCTTTCTGACTTACGACGACGGCGACGATAGCTTAGATGCCGTAACTACTAGTAACACGGTCTCAAACTCCAGAGAGGACCAAAAAGCGCCTTTACACGGGCAATGTCTGCCATGCAAGAACAAAGTCACCATTCCCCCGGGCCATATATGTGGGAATCATATGATTATGCGGGGTGATATACCAAACAGAGAAGCCGAGCTTCACAAGCATCGTGATCCGTGTGTACACGTTCGCGAGAACTCCTGTAACGATTGCCAGAATATCCCACTTTTTCCTAACGAAGGCAAAGTAACGAAATTCCGTATCCGCAGGGTTTACCAGCCGGGCAACACCCAGAAATACCGCTGTCACCACTTCGTAGCCGTTTCATATTGCTGGTCCAATGAGCCAACAGCCGAGGGCGAAGAGAAATATCGTGTAGTCGATGAGGATAAGAAAGAGAGATACATGCGAGCATCAAATGCTACCATCGACCGGTGTGTGGCATTCGCCCGCGAAAATGGCTTCCGAATGATATGGATTGATCAGGTGCGTGTATTATGCACAAATCTTAGAAGCAGGATAGCTGGTTTACTAATGTATCAAAAACTCCTAGGAATGCATCAACCAAGATGATACTGAAGAAAAGCAATTGGCTATACAGAGCATGGATTACGTCTATATGGCGGCTCGTACATGCATTGGGCTTTTCCGAGCGGAATTGCCACAAAAACATCTCGATTGCCTACGGGAAATCCACAAAACTTGTAATTATTTCAGAGGGTCAAGAGGTCCATCCACCGATAACCAGATGAGTCCTTTTCTTCCCAAGGCTCTGACTGGCACAATCCAGGAACTTTCTACAGGCCGCAAGTTTTTCACAAACCGTGAAATTTTCGCAAGTCGCCAGATCATAGCTGATACAGTCTCCACAATTGTAAATGACAGGTGGAATAGTCGTGCGTGGATCCTACAGGAAGCCTTTATTTCAACATTTAACATGATACTTCTCTTCCCTCGAGTCTCAGGCGTTAACGTCAGGGGCTCACTACTTATATGCCATGAACTAGCGCAGAGTGACATAGCAATCACACTTGAAGCTATGCGGCAATGTCTCTGTTCACTACCCGTACGACTCGTGCTAGAAAAGATGATTGAAGATGAGCGACGTGGAGAAAGCTCTTACGACAGTGCAGACGTGTTACCGATCACAATGCGAAGACTTCAATTTTTCTACCCTCCGGCAGAAGTGAATAATAGGGGGCTGACTGAGGCTTATCGAGCACCCGCAAGACCTCGACGAACTTGTTGTGCTGCAACGGCGCTAACATATCTTCAGCTACGTGAACTACAGAACGTGGAAGATAAAATAGCTATTGTAGCAAACATCTGCGGCTACTACTTTCGGCTGAATACAACAGAGGTTGCGATGACTCATAACAGCCTTGCTACATGCATACTAGCTCTCTCCCTTGCCAACAACGATTTCTCACTGTTGATTCCTCAACTTTACCACTTCCCGGGCTCGAATTTCCTCAGTAAGTCAACATCTGATATCATTCCCGTAACTATCTGTTAACTTACGATGACTAGAATTCCCCCAAGATGAAAACTCTCCATTTTCATGGGCGCATTCCTTCGTACGAAACTTTCAGTATCTTCATTCAGCCGATGGGAACCCGTTTGGGGCGACCGCTGTACAAGACACTCCTCTTTTGGTCTCAGTCTCTTCTAGGGGCCTTTGGTTAGAGGGTTTCTTGTGGCGCGTCGATAAATTCATATCATTAACGCCCCTTCAGACGAAATACGCAGAAGCTTGGCGGAAGCTTGCTAACGACAAAACATCGTCTTCTAACATTGTCAAAGAAAACACTGTTAAACTAGCAACAACACATCTCTTATTTGAAATCATCATGTATCTGGTCGCCATAAAGGAAAAAGACGTGGCAAATTCAATACTCCACTCGACTTTATCGTTGGAATGGTCTCGTCGCAACATTGAGTCTGTTGACCAACTTCCATCTGGACTTAAAATAGAGAATCGAAAGGAAATGTTTTCTCTAGATCGAAGCCCAGATGGAAAATACTATCAGTGCTGGATCATCGACAGGGTAATGGAGAAGGGTGGGTTTTGGGTAGGAAGGCTTGTGAATCCCCCGCCTGTGGAACTGGACGAACCAAGAAATCCCACTGGAGTCAACACGTCCCCGTCCATGGAATTGGATGAGCCAAGTAACCCCACAGAAATCAGCATTCCCCTGATAATGAACCTTTTCAATATGCTCGGATATTCCAAAATCCTCAAGGTCTCCTCCGAGCGTCGTACGTCTTCCTCCCGAGATAGAGAAAGGGTTGGGAGCGGGCATATCGGAATACTTCGCGTTCTCTCATTTTTGACGATGATAGGTGAGGGATTTGAGGCCGAAGGTAAATTTTTCGAGTTTGATGAATGGGTAATACCAGACATCAGCAATACTGAATTAAGACTTCTTTTGACTCCACCAACGCTAGCCAGGCTTTTCTGCCCCGTGTTTGCAGCTGGAGCTGGTGGCAGCAGTGAGAAATCTGCGTCTCGAGAAGCGATTTTTGATATAGATGGTACCCCCGACGGAGAAACGCTCGTCCTAACACCGCTCCAAACAATACTTGAGTCCATTCCAAGGCCGGCCATGCGTGCCATGAGTGTCTCATGGGTTGTTGACATGGTTTACCAAGGAAATGGTGACACCGAGAAAACAAAAGTTAGGGTGAAAGATAAGGTCCAGGGGATGTGGGAGCATGCGATCCTAAATGCGGAAAAAATTGAGATCGTTTAAGTCTTGACGCATGGGTATCCATACGTTGGTAGTTGCCGCTACACAGGGGTGGTGTTGTTTCTTGCTTCACAATTTATTTTGTCCAGCAATCCTTGGAAATTAATAACACGTTTAGTGAAATATTACTGATCGTCTGCCTTGGATTCTCCGTTTGAATTTCATGGTCGATGCGAAATGGTAGGATACCGTCAAGTCATCTCCTAGTAGAATCATAGTTGGCTAAGCAGATCAATGAAGCGTCATGCTTAACATATACCTATGTATAAGTCCATCATGAGCTTTACGGTATTCCCCAATGCCGTCCCCTTTCCCGCTCGAGGACCTGACTTTTACACAGTTCTTAGACTTAGTTTAACGCTTGAAATTAATTTTATTTCCCCCGTGTTGCTTCGAAGTAGTGTCATCCCCTACGTAGCATCACCTTAGCTGAGTCCGCTATTAACTGCCTCATTGGCAGTATTGTTGAGGTGTTGGAGCTTCTAGATTGTAGCAAGGCGTCAAGCATCGTGTTCTACGTGTGATAGCTCGTGAAATTGACGAAAACGCGGTCGACTTAGTCATAACCACTCACTGACTTAACCGTACCTGCCACAGACCCGCGCTGGGTCTGGTGATGCTTCCCACCACACTCGTAACTACCACTAAGGATGGCATTCGCTACATACGTTGTGACAGAAAAGGCGACTCGTCTGTTTATTGCGTCGATGTCGTTCGTCATCTTACTAAGCTAGTCAACCTGTGTATTTCATCTTCACATTCTTTCGGTATACAGAGGTGATTCGCCCGCGCCCTCAAAGTTAGGTAGGTATCTACCGTGTATTGCATTGGTGAATCGTTTGTAGGAGTCTTCCATTACTAAAGCCTAAGTACGGAGGTCGCCTTAGAAACATTTTTGCCAAGGGGGGTCCCCTGTCAGCTGGCAAAAGAGTGGGGCATTTGTCAGCCGGCTGGCTTTACAGGTGGATAAATTTTTTGCCCAGCTGGCTGCCAGCTGCTTCACCTCACTACCAGATGACGGTGGATTTTCCTATGGCGAAATGTTTTGAAGGCGTCCTCCGTAGATCCTTATATATAGAACTACTATCGTCCTTGACAGGCACAAGCGTAGGAAAGGTTGAGCTTGTATGTACCTGTAATAGGACTTGTCACGAGGCGGAACCAAGAGGCTGAGGAAGAACGACGTTGCGCGAAGGGCTCTAACTAATCCCTTCCAGGGGATGCGGTATACACACATAAACCTTCCTTTGCCTACAGCCAAGGGCCAACTGCCAACAGGGCGGCCTCGTACAAGCCGACTCCCGATCCTTCTGGGCTACTAGCTAACCCTGGCGAGACCTCTGACACGGAGGAGACTTCTGACAGGACTCTCCAGGTACCATTTAGCAATTGAACACTGTAATTATAGCTTCTACAATGTAGGAAATAGTGTGTGGCGGCAAGGCCAAGTTTATTCGTCAGCAGTACCAAATAGGTATCGTTTCTCTGCTATGCTAATGGGTATCTGATGTCCCAAGGAAGCGCCAAATCAAAGTTCTCAACATGCCCTAAACTCCTGAATATTCGCCCGTACTAAACTCCAAACTCCCCCCTTTCCCGTATTGTGAACCATTGTAAACCCTTATATCAACCCGGATGATGTCCCAACCTCGTAAGTCTACTAGGCTTGATAGTTGAAGTCGTACCCGCCTTGCCATGCGCCAGGGTCAGCAAGCACATAGGCCTGCTGGTAGCCAAAGGAACCCATTTGGCCCATGGCGGGCAGTTCTTCCATGGCCTCGTTGATCTGATCTGCCTGCATTCCTGGGACCTGCTGGTCACCTCCCATATCGAATGCCAGGTCTACGTTGACCTGTGGCTCGGCCGGCGGGGTGGCAACTGGCTGCTGTTGACCAGCCAACATAGTAAGAGCAGCACTGTAAGAAAGAAATTTAGCAATTATTCCTTATCGGAGACTTGGAGGCTTATCGTAATATCACTTACTTCTCAGTCTGTAGCTGCTCGACCTTCTCCTGTCGCTCGAGAGATTCCGCCTGGGAAGCCTCGTAGAGCTGCTTCCAGTAGTCGCTGCCGTTCTGTAGGTTCCGGCCCATTTGCTGCAGCTGAGCATTCTCAAACCGAGCTTGTTGCAGTTCTGCTTCAACCTCCCTCACGCGAGCGTGTGCGCCCTCTAGCTCTCTCTTCCGAGCAGAGGTTCGGCGAGGTTTCTCCAGCGATTTGATCTCGTGCTGGAGCTTGGCGGCGTGATTGCGAGCGAATTGTATGTCCCTTGTAGTCTCTGCAAACATCTCTCGGAGCTCGGTCGCTTCGTTCTGCTGAGCTCTCAGAGCTTCTCTCAGCTCTGCGATCTCCTTCTGCATCTCTGCGTTGCGCTGCTCTAGTTGGGCCATGCTGTTCGCGGCCGGAGCTTCTGAACTCGCCATCATGTCGGAAGCGTAGCTGAGGTGATCCGCTTGGCTATACTCCATTGTGAATGGTGGTGTATTTTGCAAGCGGTGATGTAGAGTGCAGATAAATGTAGCAGTCTGAATGGGAACGTTAGCTACGTTCTATGGTTTAAGAATCGTGTGTACAAGAAATGGTACGAGGATAGCTGTGCTAGTAGAGACTGGTGGGAAGTAATGAGAAGGGTTGCTGTACGATTGGCCAGCTCTTGAGTATCTACCGAAGTAACATGGCGGCATGTGTACGAGGATATGCAAATGATGGAAGAAGCATTGGGAGAGATGGGAATAGCTTAGGTAGGAAAGCGACAGGATGACTAACCGTTACTTAGAGATCGCAGGTCTTTGCCGACCAGGAAGATCTAGGAAAGAGATTGCGTCTCAATCAGAGTAGACTTCTAGGTAGTTGGTAAACTCTTAGGGTGCCGAGAGTTATAGGTAAGATAGAGTAGGTAAGTTGTTGAGCAGAGTAAACAGAGTGGTAAGGAAAGAAGATGAACAGGCGATGATTGTACCGCGTCAGTTATAGCAGCTCTGATCACTCTGGTTGGGTTGATTGGGAAAAAAAAAAGAGGAAGAACTGTAGGAGGGTACCCTGGTGTTATATAGATTATGAGCATTGGCCTTACGGTTGGGAATGTCCATGGCAACTGACGAGCAGTCACCAGGAGTGACATGTCCGTAGGATACTAGCCTTGCCCCAAGCGCCATCTGGTCCATGCCGATGTGTCACAAGGAGCAAAATATAAGGACATTAGGCAGGAACTTGCTCGGAATAGGGTCATTTTGTCCATGCTTGCCTTGAGAAGCATTGGCCTGTGGTCATGATAGTTCAGCTAATTGGTGATATGGAGCAGCGTTAGGTAAGTCATACAGCCAAACTTGGGCAAGAGCATATCAACCGATATCGTTTGATGCCTGTAAATCGGGCAGTTGAGCACAATTAACGGGTCTGTAACTCTAATTTGACTATATTGCTCCGGTATATCATGACACATACCACAGAGTGGTCACTCGAATACTTCAGTCTATCATAATAGACTCAACGCGAAATGTAGCCATTCGCTTCATACCTATTCAATGTACTACTGATTATTTTTCTTTCCTTCGAATGCCCTCATATGATGACCTATATCAGGCCAAACGACTGCATACCTTGCCGCTGTTGCTGCCGTAACGTGGGCCGTGCACAGTGCCATAGCTTTATGGCACACGGACCATATGTACCTTGAAGGTTGTTAGAGTAACTTCATCACTGAACACCTTGGTTCCTTCCTTGTCTTCCTAATCCTCTGTACTTTATGATACTTTTATGACCCATTATTCACAGTTTTCTATTTTTGTATGACTTTTCCAGCTTTTCTGAGAGGAATATTTCGTACGATGTTTATACCCAGTGCGCGGACCACCCCTTGCCCCCTTTGCCGGTCCTGTCTCGCAGAGAGCGCGTCTAGCTGCTATATTCAAAGTCGCGATTGAAGATACGTCATAATTCTGTGAGAGGCCAATTCATACAATATAGCATTGTCTATTTCTCAGTTCGAATTTTGGGGTCAGCATGCGTGATCTCTAACTCTTAAGCGTAGTAAAATTGCTACAAGTGGTAAAGTATTTGAATTATCCTGATATGACCTTGAGTCAAGCAACCAGGTTTCTATCGACCATTATTGCAAAGATAAGACATCTAATGTAGACATTCCCTATAAGAATACTAGATTCACAAATTCAGCTCAGGAATATTATCCAATCTTTACTTTTACGTCTTGAATTAAGGAGTGTCTGCTAGGATTCCCATCTCTACCAATTATCGTCCATTGAAAAGGCCAGTTGACCTGGTACCTTTCCTAATCCCTAATAGATACTGAGAATCAATCTATCGAAAGATATGAACTGCTTAATGATGAACTTGCTCGTCTATAAGTCAGTGTTAGGTATCTGGATATTTCACACATGTCTCCTAACCCCTGACCCACAATATGAGTGCTATAATCTAGCAAACAAGAGATATTATCTAATCTGATGGCCCGATAACCTAATTTTTGGTTGGACAAACAAGTCTAACTTCCTAGTAATTCTTTAGCGTCAACCTTAACTAACTTCACATGTTACCTGTATAAAATAGAGCACAGGGAAACTTGGGTAGGTAGGCGGGTATACGGAAACCAGCCTATCTTTGATAGTCACATACTAAGTAAGCCAACTAGAACAGTCACAACTGAACGGAAGAGTGTCAACTATATACTTCAATTTAAGATCGTACCAATCATAAATACAAGAATCAAACTTGATGACCCAAGCCAGGCCAAGCCAAAGCAAATGGGGTCGGTTTTGTTGTTATGTATATACACACATCGTACCATCCGTATCCTTATCCCTATCACACTTGATCCTTATCAGACTTGATCCTCTCATCTCTCAAAAACCACAACCCTTCAAGCCGTAGGTATCTTAGGTGGTCTAAGCTGAAGCGACGCACTGGTAATAATACGGGTTCCACGACTTGCACCCGCCCTCGGCACACGCCGTCGGGCCGGCAAAGTTGCTGCCGCCGCACTGGCCATACAGGCTCTGCGCATTGACGACACCGGTTGCGGCGGCAGTCGTAGTGGCCGCTGCGCTCGTGCACGCTGCGGCGGCACTAGTAGTGCTAGCAGCAGCGGTGGACGCAGCCGCCTTAGTCGATGTGGCTAGCGTAGTTGGCGTAGATGCCGCCGCAGTCGAGGTCTGCTGCGAAGTGGCCGCGGCAGCCGTGGTAACAGCTGATGTCGCGGCAGCAGTCGTCGAAGCAGCGGGTTGCGTGGCAGCGGCACCGCTTCCGACTGTCGCGGTGCCAGTGCTAGTGACGGCTGAAGAGGTCTGAGCAACGGAAGCCGAGGCACCGGCGATCAGAGTGGGACCGGGGATGGTGTACGAGATTCCGGTGGTGTAGATGTTGATGAGGATGCCGGGGTCCTCGGGGGTGTACAGCTTAGTGCCCAGGGTTCCGGCGGGCGAGTCCGTGCCGTCGCCGGTGATCTCGAGGTTGAAGCACTGGGGATACGCCTGGGCGCCGTTGGTCGAGCCGGCGGAGTGCAGGGCGATGGTCTCGTGGCGCAGGACGTAGTTGCCGGCCTTGATGGTGGCCGGGATCTGGACCATCCACGTGAAGCCGTTGGCGATCAGCACGTCCGAGCCCCAGTTCCCGGGCGCGGTGGTGTCGTCGAGCAGGCCGACCTCGTCGATCTTGAAGAACTCGAGCGTCTCCTTGTCGACGGTCTCGCAGGAGTCGCCGCAGGGCGCCAGGTAGTCGATCATCGGCCCCTTGTGCGAGTCCGGCCACGTGTTCCAGGTTATGGCGATGCTGTCGCCGGCCTTGACCTGCGCGTGGCCGCCGGCGTTCGTGGCGTTCTTGTGGCAGATGATGTCGGCGCTTGCGAAGCTGTTAGGCTCGACGAAGCCGTTGTCGGTCTGGTCAGTGGTCCATCCGACGACGGTAGGGGGGTTTTGCTGGTAGGGGAAGACGGTTGGGTCGTAACCCTGGTAGAAGACTCCGTCGATGACGATGTGGTCGACGTGTCCGTGAGCCACGACGGTAGAAACCGACGCAAGGGCTGCGAGGAGCGTGGAAGTTTTCACGGGAGCCATGTTTTATGGTTGCGATATTCGTATAGCGTAGTAGTGAGTGAGCGAAAGGCAGGAAGAGACGACAAATAGTATGAACGAGTTTAAAGTGTATCGATCAAGATAGCTGGTCTCACCAGGAGGTATGAAATGAATGACTTTAGTCTGTAAAAAGAAGGACAACAACGAAAGAATACGTAAATCGAGTTCGCAAACCGATGGCGATGAGGAAAAGAAGGATCTACCAGAGGGTATCACGGCTGATGTTATATACTCCTTCGACGATGGGTAGCATTGTCATGTATCCATGTCGATGATCATAAGTGCGATTCCCTAAGTCCCGCCAGGGATCATAATGAACTAGGCATCCCGCTGATTTGGAGGAAGGAATATGCAGATTTCGATACACGACAACTTGAACCGAGTTGATGGGCGGTTGTGATTGGCTGTTCAGGATCACGACGGGGGTTAGCCCCCTACTTTCAACACCCATGTCGTCCGATGTTGACCAGTTGCTAGGGTAGCATTGCACTTGCAATACCGGCGGAGAGCCAGCGATTTGGAACTGCGGGACTCTCACTCAGACGATTCGTCATACTATGCCTTGGCGGTTAATGCGTCTGAGAGTTTGGTCCTGCGTGGCGGGTGACTTGATGTAAATACAAAATAGTATCGTGAAACCAAATGGCATGGATACAGCACAGCAAAGTTGTATGCCTCCTACAAGTGACAATTAGGGATAAATTTAATTCAATTGATCGTATATAGATGCATCTCAGTAAAGTAATCAGCATACTACGTATTTACCATACTAGGCATAATAGACCCGCTTCAATAAGGCCAAATTTTGAGCTGGAGAAAAGAATCTCTAACACGCTTGTAGCCGCAACTAAATTACAAGGCCTAGGTGGACGTCTTGGCCTGACCACACCATCGATAGCCGCTCAGCCGCTCCTGCGTACATAGTAGAACCACATCGTCGCACGATCAGCGCAGAGCCGCGAGAGGAAGCTGGTAGGCTAATGCTGGAAGTTCGTCCCGGAACCCGAAATAGAGGATACGCTAACTATCTAGAAGTGAAATATGGATAATAGTATTATGAATTGAGTCCCTAGTAAATGTTGGAAGCCTACTTTCGTATATTGGTGAAGTCAACATCTTCACTGGTCGTCGAAGCCCAGTCTGCTGGAGCATTGCATTTAGTAGTCCATCGGCCATTTAGATACCACGACATGGCCGATGTGTGTATGATCATTTGAAGATCTACGAAATAATTATGCAAACTAGCCCTAAAGTCGCATTGGGCAAAGCCGGTTCAACCTGCCATTGTGAAGCGAAAAAAATCCTTACAAGAGAACGAGAAGCGAGGAAAATCAGCGGGGGATCAGCTCGGGGGGTAAAGCCCCACATCGGCCCCTGTGTCGATCTCAGACGCCCCACTCCGCCGTTTCGGGTAGCCGAAAACGGAAGTGGCCCCCGGGCGGTTTCACGCCACAACGTCTGGTCGTAAAGTTTAAGGGGTCGAATTCTAGAAAGAACCAAAGAGCCCACTAGACCTTCTACTATCGGCCTTTTCCTCATTTCTGAAACCTGTTAACCACACTTTTATCAATTTATAGACGGTGTATACGAATCGCTGTTTCTGATTCCGAACAGATTCGGCGGGTCGTCTGATCTTTGATGACAGTGGATGGGTGATGTGAGCTTTTTCGCGAGTTACGCTAATATGGAAGTATGGTAGTACCACGTTATACCCCGACTATTGCGAGATGAGATAGAAAAGGGGAATTGACCTATCTAGCCACTCGGCCGCCAAGGTAAAAGACATATCGGATGAAACCGACGGGTCTTTGAATGAGGCATCATTAAATATTTCCACCACTTAACCTGTATTTATCGATCATAAACTCAAGCTAGGCAGAAATTTAGGTCAGGTATGAAAGTTGAGAGTAGACTGAATTGACACGTCTATAAACTTTTCCAGAAATTTGTACATACAAGCAACTCCGCACAAGCGGAATCTGGGCTGTACTAATGAATAAGGGATATCAAGCCGTATCTCATGAAAGTGCTCTTTATCTGCTTTTCGTGCATAATGAACCCACTGCTGAGGAGGGAATAACCAGCCTAAAGGGCATCGCGAATCAACAACACCTGCACCAACACCAAAACTCCATTCGTCTCTTCTAAATTCGGGCTTGTCGAATAGGCAATGAAGGAATGTAGATCAAGAGAGATCGTTCATAACTCTTGCTTAAAACTCTCCCTCGCCACCACCTCCGGCCACCCCAGCCGTCCACAAACCCACGAGGCCCCACCAGCTGACCTTCCACCCTCTCCAAAGACCGTCGAAACCCTGACCCTTTCTGTAAATCACATCTGCCGCCTTAGGTGACTTCAGCTTTCTGCCGCGGGGCGGAGCCTTAATCTTGGCCGCAACGGCACGAGAGCCTTCTTCGGTCACGATCGAGTACATCGTGCTGACCACCCCGTTGTACGGTCCGGGCGGCACAACCGTGTCCATCTGACCGGTCTCGTCGAGAGCGTCTAAATACGTGGGCTCTGCCAGCACTGCTACCTGGCCACGGCGTAGGACGGTTTCGAGGGGTAGCTTGATGAAGAGGGACGCGCAGGAGGCGCAGAATTTGGCGATTGAGAAGGTCATAGGGGATTGCTCGCGGTCGATTAGGAACTGGGAGCGGAGCACGAGGGGAGTAGATAAGGTAAAGAATGGGTGAACGAGGGAGTTGAGGATGGTGGGGGCGATGAGAGATGAGGGGCACGCCCAAGAGGGGAGTGCGCGTAGAGTTGCCAGGGTCCGGCGCGAGCTACGTCCGGTAGGTATCACGATTAATCGTGTCCTCACGAGGTCGAGAGGGGCTAGAATCAAGCCCGTCGCAACGGCGGCGGCGGCGGCAACGCATAGCGAGGCCCAAGGATAGGGCGATGCAACGTCGACTAGTCTATCGACGTCGTCCTTCAGCCCTAAATCTGGGACGTTCAGCAGCGCGCTTAGCAAACTGCGCGACCAATTCTCAAACAGTGATTGCAGCACCGTGTAGAGGAAGGTGGCATTTGTTCCTTTCCAGACACCCCATGCCGACTCCTTCGACCATAATTGTGCTATAACGTCAAATATCGAGTCGGGCCGTCGAAGGACTAGTTGGTGTGGGAGGACTTCGGCCTTTGGGGGCGGTTTCGGCGAGCCCAACGGTGACGAACCCCTCCTTCGATGTGATCGCGTGGACGGCGTAGGCGTATATGGAGTACTAGAGGTGAAATATGCAGATTCCTCTGGGTCGGAATCCGATTCACCACCCTGCAACATCTATCAGTACCAGCATAATAAGAGTGATAGGCCATAGTGAGCTACTTGATATACCTCGTCCCATACAGAGCGTTTCGGGTTCAAGGGGTCGGGGCTGTCGAGACCTGGACTACCAAGGCTTGTCGGGCTCATAAGACCCGGGCTTGGTTTCCTCGGAGCCTTCGTAGGCTCGGGAACATTCAAGTTTCCCAGGTCATCTTGAATCCTCACTTGCAAAATCGTCTTGGCCACCTCGAAGGGCTGGGCCATGAGCACCGACGTGTACTTCCATAATAACTCGTCTATAAACTGCTTCACGGACTGGACTGCTGACGGTGATAGGTCGTCTAGATGATCTTTATAATCTATATCTGGGAAGATGTCGCGTGCTCTGGACGCATATTTGTTTGGAGTAGTTGGGGTTGCCGTCGAATTTCCATGCGAAAAAGGATTCGGTTGAGGCGGAAGAGTTTCGACCTGCTCTCCTATAGAGGGTGGTATGTAATAGGGGCGCAAGGGATTCACGCCTTCTCTTGTTGAGGACATTGTGGGCTGGATCGGGTTCGTACCGTATGCCTTATAATGCGGTGAGCATGTTCTGTCGTGAAAGTGGGATGGAACCTAGGAAATAATTGTCGTCGGTGGAGAGGTTACCCTAGGCGGTATTAGGTAAGGTGGGAGGTTGGGATTTACAGTTGTACTCCAGGCCTGGAATTGTACAACGCATTACAAGGTGGATAATGCTAAAAAATGCAAGGATAGAGAACGGACGAATGGCAGTTATGCAATCAATTGTGGAAACTAAAAAGGTTATGCAACTTGATTGACCCCTCATATTGATAAGAGATAAGAAGATGACAATCGATAAAGAATTTTGAGATCTATGGGTCCATCTAAATCTCGGAGTTAAACAGAACTAAGGCAGTTCTAGCGATCGGTCGCCGGTGGTAAAATCGCCCTCGGCCCCGCTCCCTCGAAGAATTTATCGGAGCTATTCAATTCACCTTTTTCTGATTGGTCGAATTATGTCGCGTCGCATCGCTGAAATCATTTTCAAGTATCCTGGTTCGTTATTTTTTTTTAAACTTTCAATGTCGTTAGACGCAACCTGCGTATACTTGGATGCCAATATAATGCTTGTTGGTCCCTAATCGGAGTAACTGCGCAATGAGAGGTCTATACGATTAGAAGATAACCTATACAATACAATTCTCTGACTCCTCGTTCCTATACTCTACTCGATTTCCGTAGCACGAGGGGTTTCTCTTTATCCCACGTCCTCGCCGACATCCCCGAAATCTTCAGTCGCAACTTTTGGAGTTTTGTCCTGACACGATGGCGACACCGCGAACCCTCTCTCGAAGCTTACAAAAACTTCGATACCCCTCCTTCCGATCTATATCACAACTGGGCCACCCTTCGTTTTCAACATGTAGTAGGATAAAGTCTCATTCGCCGTTAACATGTCAGCCTCGAGTCGTCGCTCCTTTATTACGACAGTTTAGCACATCCCCCTCACATCAGCATGGCCACATACATAAGCCCAAGGAAGGCGAAGAGTAAGAGTTAATATCGTTGTCTATCACACATCTCCCGAGCTAACTTGTAACCAGACTCTACGTAACGTTCATAGATAAGGAGGAGAAAGAGCACAAATTAGCGGTGGCAGAGGGAGACAATTTACTCGACATTGCGCAAGCGCACGACTTAGAGATGGAGGGAGCTTGCGGAGGATCGTGCGCATGCTCGACGTGTCATGTGATAGTCCTCGACGAAGGCTTTTATGAAAAGATGCCGGAGCCGGAAGACGACGAGAACGACATGCTGGACTTGGCGTTCGGCTTGACCGAGACAAGTCGGTTGGGCTGCCAAATCGTGATGACAAAGGAGCTAGATGGTCTAAGAGTCAAGCTACCCTCTATGACGAGAAATCTGCAGGCGAGCGATTTCAGTTCGAAGTCATGAAGGACATGTCCGACTAAATACGTAAAAGGTCTAAGGAAATGAAGTGATGAAATCGGTGCAATGTACCAACACGACCAGGTGCAAATAACGGCGTGGCAACAGCGTGAAACCAGGCGTCTGGAAAATAGGTACATACTGAGCCGTCAAATGTATTATATTCGCGACGGAATAGCTGGCGTCGAGATAGACCGAACCCCAACTCTAACGAGGTCATGTTCATGAAGTATTTTGGTATCATTCCATGTCATCCGGTGTCATCCAGTGTTCAAAGTCTACATTATGTATATGCGCATACGGGGAACTCAAGCCTCCTCCAATGCGCCTTTCTTCAACTTGCCGCCACCTCCAGCAATGAGATCGAGGAAACCCTGCCGGCTCATCTCGTTGACCTTCTCCTGCCGCCTCTGCACACCCACTATACCATCCTTCCTCGCGTCCCTGTCAGCGTCAGCCGCTCTCTCCTGCGCTTCCCTGACAGCTCTAAACAGCATGATAACACCCCTATGCGCAACCTTCTTCAGCCGTTTCTCCGTCTGCTGGATCTCCTGCGTAGTTGTCTCCGGCACACCAGTCTCTTCGTCCACGATACCGACGAGTACGTCTTTGACCCGGCCTTTCTCTTGCGCCAGGCGCTTCTGCTCGCGCATGTGTCTCCGTGCCTTGGCCTCTAACGCGCTGTCGACGGCGTCTTTGGCGGCTTGGTGGGCTTCGGCGCTGCGCGAGAGGACCGGGTCTGCGCGCCGCGTGTTGGACAGCTTGGTGGATAGGATCTTCGACATGGACGTCGCGAAGGCGTCTGGGTCGTTGCGTTTTGATTTGGTCTTTTTGGTAGTTGATCGGTCGCCGTCGGAGTCTGTGCCTCCATCCTCTTCATCCTCATCTTCATCCACATCTTCGTACTCGTCTTCGCTGCCTTCTAATTCGTCTCCTGAGCCATCGCCTTTGGGCGCATCGCTGGCATGTTTCTTCGTTGACGTCTTCCGTTGTTTTGTAGCAAGTTTTGTGCGCGCTAGATCAATCTCTGACTCCGAATCCGATCCGGAGTCTGAATCTGATCCGGAAGGAACATCGTCTACTGCGATATTGTCGAAGTCATCGTCGTCCGAATCGAGGAGATTTACAGGCTTGAACTCGGAATTGTCGCCCTCTTCATCCGAGTCGCTGTGGTACTGAGGAACCTTCTTCTGTTTCTTATTTGGCCTCTGCGACTTCGATTTCGAATTGATATCTTGGCGATTTCGCTTTTTGGAGTTTGGCCCGGCCATTGTGTATGTTGTTTTTATTTGTAAATTGTTGGTTGTACTTCCGTCAGGTACTCGTAACTTTTCCGCCGAAAAACTTCAATTGAATTATAGAGACCCACTTAAAAGCTATCTGATAAGATAGGACTACGTTACACAGGCTACAGCATGGTACAAAGGTACTTGCGAAACTCTAAGCTCGAATTTTCCACTAAATCTGAAGATTAAGAATGAAGATTCATGTGAAGTTCATTACATCACTTCCCTTCCCTTCGCATCACTAGTCTCTATGTCTCTTTGTCTCTATCACAATGTCTATATTCATGAAACGGCGGTAATGAAGTAAATGAGCCAAGCTCGGATAGCGTTCCACGGCCCTGGATGGTAGAGTTGCCAAGCATCGCTAGTCATTCATAATGGCTAGATGAAGATGAGCTGAACCTCGCTTCTGGACTTTGCCATGTTATATAATACATTCGACGCCTTACTCACTTGCACACTCTCGTTTGGATAATATATTTTACTTCAGTATGAAGCCATTCAATCTCTCCAATTTCTGAACCACATCCAGACCCACATTCGTTTGAAAAAGGAGCAGCATTAAGGGATAGGGAAGATCACTGGAGGCTCGAAGTCTTAGAAACTTGCCTATACACCGTCAAAGGCACATTCAAGAAGTAAGATCTTTACCTGATAGACCATCCTCTTGCATATCAACGCAATGGCGGGTATCTTGGGCAGCTACAGCGACAGCACATGCAACACGCACAATGCCCTGCAAAACATATCCGAATATGCCTGCGGCGTAACCTTCCAATTCAAAAGCTCCGACAATCCGCCCGATATGCACTACGCCGTGGTATCTCTGCAGAAATGCTGTGCGAAGGCGAACCAGCCCGTGATGCGCATACCCGGCAACACGGGTTGCGAGATGCAGTTCTGCGAATTGCCGGCCGTCACCTCGTCGTATACATCCACCATCTTATACGGCGGAGCCACCCAGACGGCCGCGCCTACCGTCACTCAGGGTGCTGAGATTAGTTGGCCTAGCGACGTCGAGTCCTGCATGGCATTCGTGTACGAGGGCGATCTACCGGATGATATCGCGAAAGACATCTCTAACGCGGGGAACTGGTGTGTTGCCCGGATGTACGATGATGAACTACCGTCATCCGATGTGTCGGCTGCTGTGACAGCGAGCCCGGCGCCGGCGAGTTGGACATCGGCGGCTGCAGACCCGTTCGCAAATGCGTTCTCATCTAAGAGCAGTTCCTCGACGAGTACAGCCGCGAGTTCCACGTCGACGAGTAATGGATGCAGCGTGTATGCTGACCAGAGAAAGGCGGGTGGAATGGGTGTATGGACTGTCGTCGTGTTGATATCCGCTAGTTTGGTTGCGGCTCTTTAATCCCGTCTTCATTGGCATATTGCCGGTATCACCGCATGCACGGAGCACCAACAGCAGCAATGGGGCACCAACAGGCGCCGCCACCGGAGCCACGACGCGTCAAGCATCCAACGAGATCATTTTCAAACGGTCTCTTTTTTCATACCTTATTGTGGCGTACGACGTACCACCCATAGATCCCCACGCCGACCCCGAAGTCTAGAAATTCCGATGCAACGGACAATAGGGTCAAGCTGAAGCTTTAGATTGTCGATTTCAGTCGGCCGGATATAAGCGGGAAGATGAACACTCAAATGCATCACTTCAGTTCACATACAGCCTCATCTATAAATATCTACATTATCTAATAAACACTTATCATTTTAGATGACGATCTACTTATCTGCAACATAAAATATCCATATCCTGGTGCGGGGAATAAAATCCTCCACTTGCCTCCCTTGGGGCCTCTCAAATAGGCAGTTGGTGTGGAACGTTGCAATCAAATTGGTCGTTGCTTTGACCACATATGTATATCTTACCTCCCCGTCCCCAAAACTTGCTTTTACGTAGCTTCGATGAAGACAACCCGGCTACACGGCTCGCCAACACGTGCCTTCTCATTTACCTAGGTCACATATCAGACCTGAGTAAAGAATAGGCGCGCATTTCCCCATCAATCGCGTAATTTTCGTAACGCCACGCAATAATGATGAGGAGCGCAATCGTCAGTGGCGTTCTCGCCGCGAGCCTGGCATGCGCCCAGTCTCAAAATGAGACGGGGCAGCATCCTGGATGGCCGCGATGGTGTGGAAAGGTTTACGAACCCGGATATCCCGCTTTTGAACCTGGCGGCGAAACGACTGAGCCTGCTCCCATCAACTCAGACGGTTCACCAAACCTATATGTGCAGTTGAAGCCGCGGCATAGCATCTACCTGGCTGGAGAGGGAAAGGGCTCCTTTGTCGTCAACGCAGCGCTGTCGCCTTGGTATGGGGAACCGTGGACGAACTCCACGACAGACGGATCAGCAACAGAACCATTCACAGAGTTGTTCTTCTCAATCAGCCTAGCATCAGACAACAGTGCCGGCGGACCGATAATTAAGGGTAGCGCGCCGATCAACGCGACAGCAGCCGTCTTCGACTTTGACCTGTCTGGTCTCGAGCCGCGCCTAGCTCCTTACGATATCGTGCTCTTCGGGAATTCAAAGTTCGGCGAACAGAGCTACATGGCAAATAGCTCGTTCCGGTATCTGCCGGACATTGCCCCGGGAGGGAGCGCGACGAAGATCGACAATTTGAATGGCGGACTGCTGTTCCGGAACGCGCAGACGGGTGGCGCTTTCGAGCCGCTGCTACCGTATGGGTTTTACGGGTTGTATAATGGGTCTAACAGCACGGCAGAAAGTCAGGCGTTTGTGAGCGAGTACTCTAGCGACGGAAAGGGCCTCAACGGAATTATCTCCCTCGCTGGATTCGCCGACACGAACCCGGTGTATAACAGCATGGATGCGTCGAGCATGCGTTTCATGTTTGACCTGCGTAGCTCTTACAAGAACCTGACTGATGTTGAGCAGCGGGTGAACATTGCTAAAAACCACAGCTCACTTTTCGCATATTGGACAGCTGACGAGTAGGTTTCCGCATGTCTTGTTTGAATTTTCTGCCCGCCCCATAATTCAGTAACATATACTAAGCGTTGCAGGCCCGATGGTTGGCAAGTCCCCTTCGAAGTCACCCCCGCGGCACAGGAGCTGATTCACGAACTTGACCCGTATCACCCGGTAGCGGTGACGCTTAACTGTCAAGATTACTACTTTGGAGAGTATTCCGGTGGCGGAGATATCTTAATGGCGGACCCGTACCCGATCGCGATCAATAGTACGTTCTCGAAATGGGGTACGGCGTGTAATACGACACTTGGGGATTGCGGTTGCGACAACTGTAAAGGAAACGTACAGGATGTGTCAAGCCGCCTCGACGATTTAATCCAGTATGAAAAATGGCTGGGCCGCTGGCCTCTCCCTAAGTTCATCAACCCACAGGCCTTCTACGGCGAAGACTATTGGTTCCGATACCCGACTACTGCCGAGGCCTTCGTCATGAACTCTCTCGCCTTCAACCGCGGCGTCGCGGGTACCTTCGCTTGGACATGGCCGACTAGCCAGGAGTTATTTGAGGCTCACTCGCAGATGGCGGCCGTAGTCACTAACGCACCTGTGCGTGACTTCCTACTAGGCGGTCAACCTGACGGTAACACCAATGTTGCTGACGAGCCGCTCGTCGACGTAGCTTACTGGGTAAAAGGAGGGCAGATGATGGTAAGCGTTGTGAATGGAGCGTCTGACGACTTGACAGGTCCAGTCACCTTGGGGTTGCCAGTGACTGCTGCTAGCATCTCAGCCGTGCCGTTCGGCGGATTACCGTGGGGATTATCTGATGGGCAGTTGACGATAGAAACACTTCCTGCCATGTCAGCTAGCTTCGTCATTCTCGACTTGAAATAAGTCAATGTCATACAATGATTATTATAACCTAATAAGGCACCTGACGAGATCGCGTCAACCTGCAATAGTTGTCTTGGAGGTAATATTCCAACCAATTACGGCTGAATAGCGCTGCGCGTCTATGATTTCTGATAGTATAGTGGTATTGTGACACCACATCTGCAACCGATAGAACCGGCCAGAGCAACATCGCCACTCCATCAATCCAGTCAATCCATGGTGGCGCAAGTAGGTATCACCCAGTGGACGGCTGCAGATAGCCCACAGACGCGCACTATACGATATACGATATCTTGTCACAACACCGATGCGGGGTTCCCCTTTTAGTCAATTCAGAAGCTTCGAATGTGAGTCTGGACGTGCTTATTAGTGTTTATGTATCTCTGTTCATGACTAGGTAGGTAGCTACTTATTGCGGTATATAAAAACAAAGGAGAAACGCACTCGCCGTGCCTGATTCCCCAGCATGTTCATCACTATCTTCCGCTAGCTTGTTACCTAGGTACACTCAAGATGGATTCTTTGCTCTCTGTCCCGCTGGAAGGTCTTGGCCTGTTCTCTCATGGACACGCTGCCCAGGCCGCTGTATCATCGGCGCTCGCGGGTGTAGTATTTCACCTCACTCTTCCGCAGTGGATGGATATAGAAAATTTCCTGTACACGCTCATCGCAGTTTTTACTTTAGCACCCTTCGGACTCGGCACTGCTCTCTTTCTCAATGGATATTCTCTTTTCGACAGTTTCGCGAGGGTGTCCATCCTCACACTCGGCTTCTATGGCGGTCTCTTTTCCAGCATGACTATCTACAGGGTCTTCTTCCACCGACTAAGGAAGTTTCCTGGGCCGCTTGATCTTAAGATTTCTCGGCTTTTCTCCGCTCTTAGGGCGGCGAAGAAGGTCCAGTACCAGAATGTGGTAGCTAAGTTACATGACGAGTACGGGGACTTCGTCCGCACAGGTAAATGAGATAACTATCATTGATGTTTGAATGCTGGTTAACTGGATTCCGATTAGGGCCGCGAGAGATATGCGTTGTCCGAGCATCAGCCTGTCAGCTCATCTATGGTACCAATTCGAATTGCCGGAAATCAACGTTCTACGGACAAGTTGATTACGACCCTAGGAAAACTCACATTGTCGGCGCGACAGATCCCGACGGCCACCGACGTAGGCGCAGGGCCTGGGATAGGGGACTTTCGAGTAAAGGTATCCCATGAATATTGCTATATACACAGAGAATTGTGATAATGTCTAACTTACAAACGACAGCATTGCAAATGTACGCACCGCAGGCCAAAGCTCTAGTCGACAAATTCGTTTCCCAGATTTCTCGGCAGAAAGGACCAATAGACGCCAGAGACTGGTCCATGTACCTAGCTTTCGACATCATAGGCGAAGTCGGGTTTGGAAAGACCTTTGGATGTGTTGAAACTGGCCAAGATCATCCCGCAATCATGGCCATCCATGACCATATGGAAGTGGTAGGAGTCGCGGGTCACGTCCCTTGGCTGCTGAATATGTTCAGTCGCCTACCGAGCAAGGGTTACGCCCCCTTTTATCAATACAACTCTGCTCTTTTAGACTTAACGCACCAGGTAGGTTTTCTCCAACGGGATGAATTAATTGTAGCTCGTATATTTACGGTACGCAGAATTACGCGAGAGACAAAGCTCCCCAGGTCATTATGGGTTGGCTGTACAAAGCCGTCGCCGAAAAGGATATATCCGCCTCTCCTACGGCAAAGTCGCTAGAAGAAGACTGTCGCGCATTGATAATAGCGGGGAGCGACACGAACGGCGCCACACTGGTGACTACCCTGTTCTACCTCATCAAAAATCCCCATATCATGAAGAAGCTGCAAGCTCAGATCGACGCCACTATCCCTACCCCGGCAGACTGGAAACTTGAGAAGGTAAAGTCGATCACGTACATAAACAACATCCTCGATGAGGTCTTACGTCTGAGACCCGCTGTCATGGTTGGCGGTTACCGGGTAACGCCGCCAGAGGGCATCTACGTAGACGAGCAGTTCATCCCTGGGAAGACTCACGTGTTCGTGCCGATCCAGACGATTCAGAGAGACCCGCGCTACTGGCCACAGGCGGAAGAGTTTATCCCGGAGCGGTGGGGAGAACGATACGAAGAGATGGGGACCGCTGACGCGCCGTATATGCCGTTTAGCTTGGGTAAGCCCTAACTAATAAACACTTGCCCACCTTCTGAAGGGTTAGTACATTTCTAAGTATCTAACTTCTCGCAGGCCCTTACATGTGCGCCGGGAAACATTTGGCCATAATGAGCCTAAGTATCGCGGTTTGTGGCATTGCACAAAACTTCGACCTTGCCTTCGCGCCTGGTGAGACGGGAGAGCCTTTCTACAACGGAGCGAAGGATACCTTTACTACCACTTTGCCGCCGCTCATGGTCCAATTCACGCCGAGGAAGAAGTGAAGAAAAGGGTTTTATTAGTTGTAGACACGTCTACTATGATCATAATCTTACCGGATACTCTTGCTTGCATGCTTTTACTATCACGGAAGTGGACCTTAGGATATGGCTGAAGGAAGAATGCAAGATATCTTCTCATTACCTCTACGTGGTACATCACTGGTATTTACGTTAATCACCCCTCAATTCTTTATTTTCATGCTCACGCCAAGTCGCATTTGTGGCATAATCCAGACCACATTTATGAAAATCGATAGGTATATACAATTTCAATGAACTATGGGTATATCTATATGTAATTAGAGACACTCTTGGTTGGAGATGAGAGAGGTCAAGGCTATATGGGTACATATTTACAATTGGGATTAAATAAGCCTGGATGTGATATCTTCGTTTGATAGTTTATTTTGACCAATTGATGAGATCGCCCAATGCTGACAAGGGGCCAACATGCCCGATATAAGAGTCCGGTCGAAGTAGGACGTAAGTCGGTTGGCTGAATCCCAAGTCCTTGTGAAGTGTAGCGTCTTTATCGACGTAACCCGACTGGCCATTTGGCTTTTCTCCGAATATTAGATGGACCTTAACGGTGACAGGGCTCTTTTCCATGAATATGGCTTCAGCTCGTTGTAAATCGCCCTCCGAGGCTGCTTCGGTGCCAAAACCGGATAATAGGATGAGATGATAGGATGTAGGATCAGCCAAGTCGAGCAAGTACTTCTGGCCTTCCGGTCCCTCAATCTTGCCATCAAGCATCCTGTCTCCTCCACGAACATTGTTTCCCCTGAGAAGTGGAGCAGTTCCTACGAAACCATAATCACGATATGTAATATCGAACTCGGACATGACTTTGAACATTTCCTGGACGCGGCTCATTTTGCCAAATAGCCAAGGTAAGAGCCAGGGTAAGAGGAGATTTCGGATGAATACAAATATCGGGTTGGTAGAACTCATGAAATTGAACACTCGATCCGTGCTCTTCAGAAGGTTCTGCCCGACGGGGTATCGTTCCCCGTGGTAGCTGTCGAGAAAAGACGCTGGACGTTCCCCGCGAATGACGGCGGCAAGTTTCCACCCGAGGTTGACGGCATCCTGAATTCCGGTGTTCATACCCTGCCCGCCGACCGGGCTGTGGATGTGGGCAGCATCGCCGGCGACGAAAATCCTGCCGTTGCTGTACTTATTAACACCTCGGTGGTGTAAATAGAACCGCGTAAGCCAGACTGGATCGTGCAGCTTCCCTTTCACCGGTACCATCTTGTCGAAGAACTCTTGGAAATCTTCAAGCAGTGGTTCGCCCTCCCTTTTCTTAACGTTGGCTCCTGACGCGAAGACGCGGACCATCCCGTTCTTGAGCGGCAATACGGCCAATACACCTTGGCCGAAACACATTATCGCTTCGCCGTTGGGAGCCTCCCGCTCCCATTCTATGTGCGTGTCCGTGAGTATGAAATGCTGCTGGTAGGATTCCCCGTCGAACGTGAGCCCGGCGGCTTGGCGCACCACACTTCGACTTCCATCGCAACCGACAACGTACTTGGCCCTTATCGTCGTCGTCTCCCCTGTTGTATCCCCGACCTTGCTAAACGTGGCTGTCACACCATCAGCATCCTGAACGACAGTTTTAGCCTCGAGACCTCTCTCAACCTTCCGCCCGTACTTCTTCTCCAGGCATTCATCTAGAAAGTACTCGGTATCTTCCTGCGATATCAATTTCTGGAACGGGAAGGCCGTGTTAGGTAACGCCGCATTGTCTCCGACCTCGATTCTAACTACTTCCTTTCCGTTGACGCAGTATCTAGCACCAGTCGTAGTGAAACCTCTTTCTTGGAGGTCGCGGGCGATACCGTGGCGGCTCAGCAGCTCGAGCGTGCGCGGTTGCACAACTAGAGCACGGCTCTTGTCCGAACGGGCTAGGGCCTTGTCGATGAGGCGGAAGGGGATTTTCTGAGCTGCTAATTCTAGAGCTAACACTACCCCTGTAGGACCTCCGCCAATTATGAGGACGTCGGTGTTCTCCATTTAGGTACGTAAGTTATCTGTTGGTGTATTGAAATCAATATGTAATGATGCTATGAAATCTGGAAGAATTGTTCAAGCTTGAGTCGATTTTGCTAAATCATTTATATGTCCATGGCTGAGAACTAGCAACACCATAACGGTCCACATAAATTGATTACCTCAGACAGCTCAGGCGAAATCTAGTAGGTAGGGCTGGAATATCACTTTCAGCTAGGTGGAGGCCGGAGTCGTCTTTATTGCTCCGCCGATGAAGCGGCATATTCGACCAATCAGATCAAAGGACGAACGATCGGTATCTCGGTCTACCGCCGTCCCCTTGCCGATTTTGCTGCAGGTAGCTTACTTCCGATCTTAGCCGGAGAAAATCATAGCCCGCGATGTATGAGTCAGCGGTTGCACCCGTGCCGAATTCGTGAATTATTTTTGGATGCTTGATTCGTAAGGTTAGACGGGCACTGCAGCATGCTAAGTTAGATTGATCGATCGCATGACTAGAGTGACCGAGAGTGACATTGACGTCCATCCGCGGAAATGAGAGATGTCGGGTTTCTATGCAAACGCGAGTCAATCAATCGGTGAGCGCCGTCCCGATTGTTGTATTCTCTTCGAATTGAAAAATAGTTCACCTGCTAATTCACCGAGAACTGCTTTTCTAGTTATAATCTCGGAAGAACATATGGCAACGTGATATGTAAAAAAAGCTGTAGCATGGTCTTTTTACACGTTTGCATGTATTTATGAAAGATATCTTAGTCAAATTAAGCTTAACATGAGCAATAGCAATTTCCAATCGGAGCTCCGGTTATTGAACTTTGTGGCTGACGGCTTCCGTAACCGTGGCCGGCTGTGTCACCCGAGCCCGGAGCTCCGGTCTGTGGAAGCAGCTTTAGACTAACCTAAAATGAACAACGGACTTATGTGCCAAAATAGGGGACTTCAACTCACCATACAATCTACGAAGTTCTACATACCTACCTAGTCATACTAGTTCTAGAAGAAATAGATTCTAGTGAGGTGCAATTACGACCAATTTGGCCTTTGCGTAGGTAATGATGAGCCAACAGACAATAAGTGATGGGTAATAGGTGTTCGATTACACCAACAACGAACCCTTTAAATGATCACATAGAGACAACCAAGAATAAGTACATGTGTGCTAAAGTTTGATTCAATTTAGACCTAGCATTGGTCTGAATATCACGAAATGAAGTCATATTCATGAACTTAAAAGGCTAGCTAGGAATATAAGAAACAACACATCAATTCACTTCCTAATCATCCTTAATGTCCTAGTCACCCTACGTTGCTCTTAGGGCTAATTTTAATACTGGCACTGATGAGGCTGCCGCCGCACCCCCCTTGCTTCTTACCACAGATGTGGTCTCATTTTCCGTTCACGTAACCTAACCGCGGCCATTAACGTCATCACACCTCTGCAAGAACGTGGCCTAGCAGCATCACCAGTACAGCTCGATATCACAAATGAGGATTCAGGAGGACCAAGGTCAATTCAACGTCCTAGTTAACAACACTGCCATTCTCCTCGACCTAGGCCCGAGCAATGCACATCTTACGGTGCGATAGCGCTTCGAGAAGACCTCCGTTTCGAACGCCTTTGGATATCTGGGAATCGCTGAGACTGGCCTACCTCTTCTATGGAAAATGCCGCAGATGGCGGTGTTCCGCGCATCGTGTGTTTCCTTGAGGATCGGGAAGGATCAGGTCCCTAGCCAACGCAGAACCTCAATTCTGCGTTCTACGGAAACGATTTCGGCTTGAATGGCCGTAGCAAGGCGGCATCGAACATCCTCGCTCTGAATTACGTAGTATGCGACAAGGTTAGACAACATGGGAGGATCGATGTTGATACGAGACTCAGCAAGTACTAAAGACACTACCCTGAAATCGGCGCGGAGAGCATCATGCAAATGGCTACACTAGGAACAGGGGACCGACTAAAACAATCTTTGATAGAAATATTCAAGCATGGCTAATCTATTACAAGATAACTTTTATCTCTACTAGAGGAAAAAGTCCATTATGCCAATTTAAGCCAAAGTACGGTACCTAACCGGATTTCGGGATATCTTGATTTTGTCCCGTAAATTTAGCCCGAACTTTGGGGGGAACCACGATCTAAACATACTCATCTCTTTTGGCGGAGTGATAATATGGGGAATTATACAGGGAACAACCAGCCCTGAGAATATTATCATCCATGATGGGGCCCCACGGGACTAATCCTTCAAGGTTAGTGTCTGGGAGCGGACTCCTCGCGATGACGGCTTTCTCTCTTCACCCAAGCTATTTACCCGCCGATCCAAGCCTATGTAGGATAGTTCCCGGTCAACCCCACTGGAGAACCATGCTCCTCGGTGGTATTTCAATTGCAGAAAAAACGTGCCGATGCAACGGTTCGCTGCACACGCAACGCGTCGAACTTGATAATGCCCACCATGACCAAGGGTCGTCCTTCTGGCAAGGTAATACTAATAACTTGACCATGCCCACTCAATGTACTCATGGGATCCTCGATCGTCTAGCACGTTTGCCCAGCTAGCATGTATCGACTTTCTGCGCTTCCCTTCGTGGTTCTCGCGGGCTTGTTAAAGTCTGTCGTGGCTGATTGCACAACCGAGGCTTTCGCCGCCATCCTTAAGGATAACTCCAATGCTACAATCAACTTAGTTCAAGCTATCCCTCAGAACGGCAGCTTCGGTCAAGGTGCGCTCGACCTTCCCTTCCCCACGAATGCGACAAAACTGCCAGCACTCTGTGCCGTTGCCATCAATGTCAAATCCTCCGAAAACTCGTCATATGATTTCGGTCTTTTCCTCCCAGACAAGACCTGGAATGGCCGATTTCTGACTACGGGAAATGGTGGGTTCGGAGGTGGCATAAATTGGCCTGATATGGGTATTTTCTCACAGGTAATTTTTCAAACAAAAGTCTTTGTGAATTTCTGCTAATAGTTGTGACCAGTATGGATTTGCCACGATGTCAACGGACACTGGCCATAACTCTTCGGTTGATGATGGCAGCTGGGGACTTAACGCTCCCGAGAGTTTGATCGACTGGGGCCACCGAGCCATGCATGGGTCCATTGTGCTTGCCAAGGTGAGTCGAATTGCTATTATGGGTTATGAGTAGGGCATTCAGCATGAAGAAATTAGAGCCTTTAAAACTCCAATGAGCGACAATTGCCTTTATTTGACTTGGGTATCATGGAGGTATTACGGTTCCACTTATACGTCTACTTTCAAAGAAACCCAAAAGAAGAAAATTTGACTTCGCTCAGAAATTGCCCTAATAATTGCTATGATCCAAGACCGGTATCTAACATTTGGATATTAGGAGATTATTACAGCATATTACGCAAGCCCGGATGGGATCAAGTATTCTTATTACGCAGGATGCTCGACAGGGGGTCGGCAAGGTCTCAAGGAAGCTCAGTTGTATCCGGACTCTTTCGACGGAATCTCCGTTGGTGCTCCGGCTTGGTGGACTGTTCATCTAGCTGCGAATACTCTGCGTCTAGGTCTTTCTAACCGTCCAGATACTGCCCCTGGCCATATTGACCCTTCGATTTTCACCTCAGTTATTGTTCCAGAGATTACGAAACAATGCGACCCCCAAGACGGCTTAGTCGACGGCATTATTAACGAGCCGTATTCGTGCAATTTCAACTACGAAGCGCTCTTGTGTACACCGACTTCAAACCAAACGGCGTGTCTGACTCCTGCGCAGTTGGATACCCTATTCAAGTTCTACAACCCCTGGATAGATGCCAACCAAACATATGTGTTCCCATCTATGGCAATGGGGGCCGATCCGACTTTCTCTCTAGGAGACGACTTGACTGGTCTTGGATATGGCCTGTTCAGTTGGTGGATTTACAATAATTCCGACTGGGACTACACTAAGTTCACGTATGACGATGTTGTGTTTGCGGATTCCATCAACCCAGGTGGTGCTACCGCCGACCATTTTGACCTCAGCGCGTCATTGGATCATGGAACTAAGATCATGATGTATCATGGGGGAGCCGACGCCTTGATCCCTACCGGAAGCAGTGTTTATTTCTACGATCAGGTGACCCAGGCCCTTATACCAAAAGGCATTAACCCCGACGACTTTTACCGCTTCTTCTTGATTCCCGGCATGAACCACTGTTCCGCGTCGGACAATGCTCCTTGGTACATCGCCAGTGCGAGCCAGACAATCGACGGGGCAACACATTCTGTTCCTGGATACGAGGATGCGGAGCATGATATTATCCTGTCCATGATGAAATGGGTAGAGGAAGGAGAGGCTCCGGAACAGCTCATTGCGACGAAGTTTGTGAATGATAGCGCTCCACTGGGTGTCGAACGCCAGCGGCCGCTTTGCCCGTATCCCAAACAATCAAAGTACATCGCAGGGGACCCGAATGAGCCCACTAGCTGGGAGTGCGCAAGCCTATACTGATCATGAAATGCCCAGTCAGATAGGATAGATAATACCTACGTAATGTATGATCGAAATAATAATTCAGATACCAAACTACCTATATAACGGATCTATGAGAATTCCGATTAACGCGGATCCTGTTAACTCCAAGAATTTAACCATGGAGTGGTTATTCATGCATTGCTCAAGTGCATGTACTCCTTAACTTTCTAGTCTTATAGGAATGCCGCCCAGCGCTCTATCCTGTTTCTAGACTTAAAATCTTTCTCCCTCATCACATAACGGATATCTGATACTACACTTCTTACTGAAGTAAAACGTCCTTTGGTCAGGCAGGTAACCTGCACCAGTAGCTAGTGGTCGGGGCTTTTGCCCAAGTTATCGAAATATGAGATTATCTCGGTGCCGGTTGGTGTACACGAGTTATCCCCGGATTAAAGCGCATGCAGAATGGCGGTCGGTTTATAAAGCGCTCTTCAGCGTGACGAATAAAGCATCAGCATGGGCTAATATCGCCCCATGCCCATCTTCGATCCAACCCTCCGCATGGTACTTCCGTCCCTCGACCTTCAAGATCCTGGCTCGCGCCATAATGGTCGCGCAAGTGGGAACTGGCTTCAGAAACGTCGTGTTAAGATAAGCCGTCATAAATGGTAGGTTCTTCATGGTCCCCCTCTGCTGGTTGGTTGGTATGAGAAGGCCGATGACCTCGTCAAGGATGGCCACGACGATGCCGCCGTGACAGATGCCCGGGTGCCCATTTAAGCCTGAGCCTAGGGTTAAGAACATTTTAAGAGAGTCCACGCGGTCCGTCGGCAATTTGGGTTCCTCGTAGACCTCTAACATGGCTAAGATGGTAGTTTGCGTTTTTAGGGTCTCCGCGTACAGGCTGTCTTCCCCGTTTGACTTCCGCTTGCGGCTAGCCGGAGAGCCGGAGATAACTCTTCGGCCGCGTAGGTGCTTAGCACACCACGGGATAGATGCGAAATGCTCATAGTCGGATGTTGTAATTTGGAAACTAGGCATCTTGATCTTGGACTGTCTTGATGTTGATGGAGGTAAAAACGCCCAGTTGGTTCAATTGTGATGATTTACTTCTGGGCATTAATTTGGGGCTGGTTGGTTACAGGAACAGGAACAGCAGGATTTGATTGGAGGTTGAAGATAGAGTGGCTTGTTTATTCCGCCTAACCCTTGTATTTTTCCGCCCTCACTTCACCTTTCCGGACGCCTCTTGTCTTATCCCTGCATTATTAAGCGCCGAAGGATGGCAGACGATGTTACTCTGACTAGCTATTATGCACGGACCACTCGGATGTTTCCCTCGCTCTACTATCTTACCTAATCACGCCACCCCCTTTTCTAAGTGGTAGCTTTAGACAGCGACTTCACCAACCAAGTCAAATCAAACATTCGCATTCAGTTGACTTCAACCAAATTTGAGCACTTCCCTGCAGTTTCAAAGCCGATTCGACCATTTTTCGTTTTTATATTGATCTGATGACCTAAGCATTTTTGGGTGGGTCGTCCTTTGACCCCTTTGACCCCGGGTATGCCGTACGTACGTAGCTAGCGAATTGAATTGACCAGTGGGTAGGTTGAATGACTGAACTTCCCTATTTTCTTGGGGTCAAACCAAAGAAATCCGCAGAACTGGAAGAAGAAAAACTTCTATCCATCCTCGAAAGTCTTCAAAATCTCCTTATTTGCGACCCTTCGTACTCAGGGGTGGAATCATGCGTCGTGGGGTAGATAAGCCTTCACCTTCGTACAGAAGAACTAACATCTGTGCCGCAGACGCTCTGTCGTCCGGATGCTTCTCTGCCATCGCGCCATATGGCATAAGTTGGGATTTAATAGCACTTGAAGCAATAGCAAAACACTGCGTGAACCTCAGAGGAAACCTTGACCTCGTCCGGAATCCACCTGCGTTGGTGATCCATACCAAAGTCATGAATAATGACCATATATCAACCTTGTGCGTCTGAGGTTCTTGGATCGCTACATTTTCCGCCTCCGGAGCCATGTAGCCTGGAGTTCCAACGCCGACCTTCACTGCGGTTTCGCCGGTAGAAAAGTCGTGGGCAAGACCAAAGTCTCCAAGTTGGAAGAACGGTTGTTGTTTGGAATCCATCACGTACAGGATATTTGCGGGCTTGATATCGCGGTGGATAACATTCTCTGATGCGAGATAGTCAAGTGCTTCCAGCATTTGCTTGAGGTAGCGGTCGATGAATTCGTAGTCTTTGGCCATGGTAAGCGGCGCGGTGGTGGACAATAGCGAATACAAGCTTCCTTCCTTGAGTCCGAGGAAGATCTCTAATGTTTCTTCCTTGAAGTCGTACTGATAATGGAAGATTTCAAGAATGTTCGGCTATGAATACTAAGTTAGCATGTTCCAAAATGAAAGAAATAAGGTCCCTATTGACATACGTGTCTTAGGCCGTTGTGGACTCTAGCCTCGCGCATCATCTTGAAAGTTATGTCTGATTTCCGATGCTTCACCTTTTTGACCGCCATCAACTCTCCATCCTTATTCTCGCACTTGTATACCTGTCCAAGGGCTCCAGATCCGATTGGTTTCAGTACCGTGTATTTTACTACTTCGTTAGGTTCGAGTTGTAGCCTTGTTGCTAACTTCTGCGTTGCTTGGGCTGAGCTCGCACCTTGCTGAGGGTTGGTGGCCATGGTTGCTGCGATTATTGAAGGTAGGAGAAGGTGTATGTGTGAATATGGAGTTGAAATTGATTGAGAAAATGCGTGTGGATAGAAGAAATAATAAGGTAATGCGAGTGTGGAAAAGTATTTCTAAATAGTCTACCAATGCATCAAATGCCCAAATGTGCATTGCCTGGTCGGGAACCAAACGGTTGTGAGATTGACCAGTGCATAGTATCTTCCTAGATGATCTAGAATATATAAGTCAGGATTATTCGTCTGATTAAGAAGAAGGTTCGTTGCGTATGCGGTGAGTGAAATTGTCGTTCTAGCTCGTATGTCCTCCCTATTCATAGAGATTGAGCCTAGCACTAGCGAAATACTACGACGACGACAACAATAAGTACTCGGTAGTTTCGCATGAAAATTCCGATGATCTCGAGTTACGATATAAGAAACCGCGTACATCACCAGTGAATTGAATAACCAACGGAAGAGCCTGTGACACAAAGGGGTATCTTCCACATCAGGTGGGAAATAGATTATGATCAGTTTATAAACAGAGTAGTTCCTAGCCCAAGTTAATTATGTCGGTAGTCGTCATAATACAAAGGAACTGGAAGACTTTACGGAGCTATAAGTAAGACTATCTTGAGTTGTAACAGACCAAACATATCTACGGAGTTATTGAGACTATAAACTACTTATATATCGTGGAATTACGTGCCGTGGATGTCTTAGAAGCGTGAAATACCTTACGAGGTGTTTCTCGGTAACAATGAGCTGGGCCCTTGCAGAGAGAAAGGAAAGTCTAAGTTCATAGGGTCTTCGGATTGATTCCTGAGGATGAAAAACGTCACAACAGAATTCAACACCGAAATTCAAGGTTTTATCTTGACAGACTGCGACGGTTTCAAAACAGATCAGTACTACCTACGTCGCCTGCCACCTGATGGAGAACTATAGCCAAGTGCCTAGCATTTCGTTACAAGAATTCAGGGGGTTTAACGATGCCATACTTAACACAAATATTCAAAAAGAAACATCGCCAATATAATCATGGCATGCGTATATACAAAATACAAATGGAATCACACAGTAGATACAAGCTAGTTCAATCTAATTAACTCATTCTATTAAGTGTGAAATAAAATGTAAATGCTCTGACGCCTCATGCAAGTGACGATATAAATTTTATCCTATCGCCTATCATCGCATCGCTATCACATGTCAAACTTTTCTGATGTTCTTTCCGTTCTACACTTCACATGAAAAAAGTTGAAGATTTCAAGTTTATGAAAAGAAACAATCCCTTTCAAATTCAATATGAGCTATTTCTTTAGTTGATAAAAGACTAATCTCCAACAAACCAGTAGCGGTACATCGGCGATAGCGCAGGCCCTTTATGACTGTAAGCGTTGAGGTTCTCATAGTGAACTTCAGAGGCATCTAACCAGCTAGAAGTAAGCTTCTGTTTGTGCCAGTGGAGCTCAGGGCTTGCTGGCAGTCCAGTTACTAATCGTGGTGGAGCTGTACCTAGCCTTATGCCAACCAAAACAATATCTTGATTTTTAACTCATTTATCCCAAAAATTTCCGTATCCTTTCCCCCCTTCGCCCTGATAATATGTCCTAAAGTCCAATATTACTAATCCAACTAGTCTCGGTTCTTTCAGTTGTCAAGGCTAGGTAATTGCTTGTTACAACTCCCACATACCTTAATAAGTTCATCGAAGGCTTTTTATCCCTCATCGGTAGGCTTTGTGGTTGACTACGTGATATGTATCACTAAGAATAGAATATATTATGGAAGTCTAAGTATAGAGACGGTAGCAATCATGATAGAGGTAAATTAACATTAATACAGGGTGATTTTGGTGATATATGCATCAAGTGCCCATTTATTAGGAGAGTTGATGACAGCAACCATGGTTACACGGATAGATGTTGCCATTTCTTTAGCAATCAGATTCCATGATAGCACACTGGATATTGACATGGGTAAATACCTACTTATGATGATAAAAGTTGGATTTCGAGAGAAGCACCTGAAGCTACCTGCTATCGTAACGGGGTTTGCGAAAATTTCAACGTTGCATTCCTTGGCGGCTTGGCTCCCGAGGTATCTCTTTCGACGACATTTGATCTCAAGAAAACTGCAAACTTAGGCTTCACCGGTACTCTGTGGTAGTTTTTTTACGAGTTCGCCAAGGCTTCTTACATTTTCATGATTGATAAGGTTGTCATCAGCCGGTGGTGTAGTTAGGGTAACAGTCCTAAGTAACAACCGCAACAGGAAAGCGGTCTACCACGCAGTGATTAAGAAATTACTCTTATCTCTCCTGCATCAAGGCGGGTGACTTTATTAATAAATATCACCGTGGTAATTGGACGATGAGACCCCCTTATTCGGCGAGTGACGGGAATGGTAGCCAAGCGTTCCAAAGGCCGGGAGTTTTTTTTTCTTCAGGTCCAAAGGCAGGCTGATGCACGACACTACTGTGCATCTAGCCAAGATTAGAGCTTACTGCTATCGTTGCTAATCAAGGGTTCTGCCCGCCAAGCTGCCGCGATCTATGCTAGTCTATATCACCGGAGAACAATACCTGCGCACTTACCACCCCGTCCCCGTATGTTCAACATTCGGTACTTGCGCTGATAGGACGAAATAGATTAAATAGGGAAATGATTGTCAGGTGCATCTTACAGGGGCAACTCCAACTTCTCTTTCTAGGTAGTCTGTAGAGCCTCCAAGAACTACTACTGGGCAACCTGCTCTTCCAGGTAGAGCTCCTTGATAGTCGAGACCGTCCATATCCAAACCTTCTAGAAGAAGAGTCAAAGCTGCGCATGTTGGCTATCGTAAGCTGAGCGTACTTTGTAGCTCGACTAACCCTACTATAAAATGCCAAAGAATGATTGGCTAGCCGCGCGTCACGCAGCGAACCTACAGTTTTCGTATCGCGGTATTCTCCATGTATGGGAACGGGCGGCAGATACATGGTAATGCGGATTAGGCAGGTAGCTGAGGTCTAGGTGGCTTCGCGCGGACGTATTCTAATATCAATAGCCTGTCTGAGAGGCGTTATCAACCTCCTTCGTTATGTAAACGACTATAAGAAGTGTCGTCAAGCTCTCAGCTGAAATGATATCTTATGCCCAGAACTCAACAACCTTCTTTCTTGCTTTCTAGTTCCATTTTAGGAGTAGTTTCTTTGTAACTCCGATTCGAGATGTTCTTCAGATCCGTTGCAGCTGCCGCTCTTCTGGCCTCTTCGGCCGCGGCCCACTTTGTGCTCCCACGGGCCGCCGGAAACGCCACCAGACTTTGCGGCACTCCTGATCCGACTCCCGAGCAAATCGCCACCTCGGAAGCTATGCTCAAGAAGGAGCGAGAGTTGCGTGCGAAAGGCGAATTCCGCGCTCTCGCGTCGTTCACTGTGGACACTTACTTCCACGTCGTGGCATCGTCGACGAGCGTTGACGATGGCTACATCACTGTAAATGAATGATCAATGTCTTATTTCCATCACGAACTCACTATTACATAGGCGGACATGATCGCCGACCAGCTGGAGGTGATGAACGCCGATTACGCTCCTCACGGCATCTCATTCAACCTGATTGGCACTGACTACACAGTCAACTCCAACTGGGCGTCAGACGGAGACGAGATTGCAATGAAGCAAGCGCTCCGCAAAGGGTCATACTCAGACCTCAACATATATTTCCTCGGTAACCTTGGAGGGGGTCTGCTCGGGTACGCATCGCCAATCTCGAGATAATTCCATGTATGGTTAGACGCTGACTTCTAGTCCAGGTACTGCTATTTCCCCACAGACGCAGCAGAAGGCTCGCTAGAGTTCTATCAGGATGGATGCACCATCCTTGCTCAGTCCGTGCCGGGTGGTAGCGCCGCTCCATACAACCTAGGTGGCACCGTGGTCCACGAAGTAAATACCTACCCAAACTCGAACTCTGTTCTAGATATCTAACTTATGACGCTTTAGGTCGGTCACTGGATGAATCTTTACCACACCTTCCAAGGTGGCTGCAGAGGCAGCGGAGACTCTGTCGATGACACCCCTGCTCAAGCTTCTGCCTCTTCCGGCTGCCCCGTCGGCAGAGACAGCTGCCCTGGCGGTGGTGTGGACCCAATCCATAACTACATGGATTACTCTGATGAGTATGTCTTCCTTTCTACTAGCTGTCATTAGCTTAACTTCTGTTCATTGATTAACCTAATCTTGCAGTGCTTGCTACGAAGAATTCACCGCCGGCCAGGAGGAGCGCATGTACAGCGCTTGGACTAATTACCGCTCTTAGACGAGAATTTGATGTGGTATGTTGATTGGTTATACTAGAAATTCGATAGCGTCGTAGACCCAGTAAGACAGCTAAGGTCACTTGTAAATGGAATCAACGTCATTCATACCATAATTCCATACCTCAACTTTATATCATGATAGTTGTTTCGAGTGAGTTGCCCGTAATATTCCCGATAGAGTCAGCAAAGGGGAGGGAAGTATTGATTTTGGGCAGATTTTCGGTTTCTGACGTCAATGTAATAGTTCAATAAATTAGACGAGGTGTTATATTAGGTAGTCCTGAGGATAAGGGGTCCTGGTGAACGTAAATAATTTAGGGCTGATGGTGTTAACCTTTTAGCGTCTCCCAAATGATCGGCAGAGTTCGCTAGATTAGAGTCAAATTAAGCTTAACATGAGGTCCCTTGGTATTTTCTGACGTCCGAATTAACTTTTCCTTTCTCCACGCCACGCCGCCACGTTCCGAAGATCTGTGACACCCGAGAACCCGGTAACTCGGACGGGTGGCTTGGTGGCTGAGTGGAAGTACTGAATAGGTACACCCCTTGATCCTTAGAGGCCATCAAGGTAGAGACTTTTGATTCACCACACATTATCCATTGATCCTTGGCGAAAAAACGGCGTGGTCGAGGGCCTTAACTATATTTATGTTAGTCTAAGCAGCTATGACAGGTCTCATAGCCAAGCCACTTTCTTAGAGGCTTGAGTTCCTTAATCCGAATATGCAAATCTGACGATCTCATACCCATCTCGATCCTTGCGTTCTTGTACTATGTAAGACAAACCACGTGGGGATCGACCGGGTGATACCCACATAAAACCATAACTTGCTGCACGGAAGCGGCGCTAGGACGATCACGTACCGTAAATGAAAACTTTTGAGTTGTGATTTATCAATTTCGATTTTCCCTAGTCGAGTCCAGAATGTTGGTCGTAGATCACCAATCTTAGTAACTATCTACCTGTGGTAAATAGGTACCCGGGTATCAACAGACGTTCCATGTAATTGCTCGCAGAAAATATTATCGTTTTATATTTCCTCGCGTTCAGCTGCTCCTAACGCTTAACGTCAAGAGTAGGGGCAGGTGATCGACCGTTTTGTTTGTCTCTGAGAAAGCCAATCATTTACAAGTCCAGCATTCTCCAATCGGATCGTACCCAACACCCCAGTCTGTCAGGAATCTGCAGAATAGTGTCAGGTAACGCAAACGGATCACCTTCATGATGCTCTTCTCACCTGCAATATAAGGAATATCCATGGCAAACAAGTTCTCCCGACTTCTGAAGACATTTTTGTGGGACCGCCGGCATCTTGAACGGTTTACATTCTGAACTAATCTTGTCTACGTCTGTGGGTGATGTGATGGACGAGGCAGGGGTAGCGACAGTGTTGTTCGCTACTATGTTCGAGCCGAGGACTTGTATATAAGTTTCGGCTAACCCTTCGTAATGCTTCAGAGGTCGTGCGGCGATCACGCACGATAATGCTAGGATAGCCAGAATCCTCAGATACATCGCCGCAAACATTCTTCGCTCTTAGGGCCCTCGAATTGCTGTAAGTGGATGGTCTGGTGTATTGTTGGTCATTCGCAGCTTTGAAATCAACCCAATAGTGTAAGCATGCATATTTTTTGGTGGCAGTTATTGATACTTCGCTGGTTATATATACTCGGTCGAGATTGGTGACTAGGCCAGATAATCACTGACATCGTTGAGTCCTCGACATGATTGCCGGCTAAATGCCATGAGTTGATAGAATCATAGGAAAACACCGATACACCGCAAAATTAATAGGTTTTCATATCTAAGTTGCTTGCGATTGGTTACCCACACAGCCGAATCGCCGAATCAACACGTCACGAGAACATTCTACTACCTAGGCGGAGACTACATGCACCCTTTATATCTCGTCGAAGGACAATGTTCATGCCATGGAAATATTCCTTTCACTTTAGAACCCCTTGGCACTGCTTCTAGAAGTTTCCAAGGGGTTGGGTATTGCAGTGCGAAACATCCAAATAACAATTCGTAGGTAGTAGTATACCTATTGACGCAAAGGGATATTCCCCGAGTATACGGCTAGGTCCCAATTCCAGAGTTCATTCATCATTATCATTTCTCTTGATATCCCTTTCCAGTATTATCTATTCCGGGCCCGCCATATAACCGTGTAGATGCCAGTATTCCCTTTATTTTGCCTTCTTTTCCCATTCTATTAAACTGTACCAATGCGTTGAGTCTCTGCGTCGATGAAGCTTGTCGGCCGTCTTCGTTCCGTCATATCTGGCTTGCCAAGCACAAAAACAGACGGATTCTGAATGAACATATGGTCCATATCTTCAAGGGTGCGATTTGATGTCTCTGGGTAGAAGAAGAGGACTATTGGGAAAAAGGCGAAGGCAAAGATAGCAAACACTAACTTCTGTCAGAATTTAGGTACTGCAAGTCAATCTCCACATGGTAACTCACTTAGGAAGAGACGCCATTTTAGATTATCGACGCCTGCTTTGGTGAACTGTGTCACTACAAAGCCAAACAACCAATTCGTTGCCGTTGCAGCTGCGGCACCGCGCGTGCGCCATCCAAGAGAGTTCACCTCAGCGCTGTAGATCCACGGTACACTTGCCCAGCCTATACCAAAAAAGACGTGATAGACGATGAACATCGCAGTCGCCAAGTTACCCATCTACATATTGTGTAAGTATAATCCATGGGCAAGGGGATAGCATAACCTAACTATTTTTCTATTTGAGAAATCAGCATCACTCTGTCGCAGGGCAAGAGCTGCGATCAATTGGCAGGCACCTAGTGCAACCGTGGTGTTCAACATCAACCTGTCACAGGAGTTAGCTGTCATCAACTAATCAAGAAGCTTAGATCTCGTTGTTTCATACTTTCGTCGTCCCAAACGATCAATGAAGAATAAACTTCCAAACGTGGATATGAAGTAGACAGTCGCGCTGACAGCAGCAATAAGTCTGCTCATTTGCTGATCGAAACCGACAATCTCCGTTAGTAGAGTAGGAAGATAAAATCCTAGGAGGCATGTTAGAATCAACTAGGAACGATATGAAGAAGCCTGGTATACCTAGCGCATTGATTCCACTAAACTGCTGCATAAGTTGAGAGCCACATGATAGTAGAAGGCGACGGAAGTTGTGCGTCTTGTCTCGGAAACAGAGGACGTCCAAAATCGGCGTACGGTCTTCTCTCTCGAGGTCAATCGCCACTTTGATTGATTGGAACTCGGCCGTCACGATCCTATCATTGATCGGGATATCCTTTCCAGCTAATTGGGCAAGCACTTCCAAGGCCTTCTGATCCTTACCAGCCAGTAACAGCCACCTTGGTGATTCCGGCACGAGAAGCAGCAGTGGTGCTACGGCGAAGAAAAAGATGACCTGGAAGGCAAGGGGAAATCTCCACTGGAGAGCTCCGCGTTGAGAATACAGGCCGTAGCTGATCCAGTTCGCTAGCGCGAACATCGTCACGTTGGAGCCAGTGCCGATTCCAACAAGTCTGCCACGATAATGTGATTTTACACACTCGGACAAGTAAACGGGGGTTGTGGTCGAAGTCAACCCTATGCCTAGCCCGTTCACTATACGACCAACGAGCATCTGGGGTAGATGGTAAGAGCTGAACTGCAAAACCGCCCCTATCAGGTTCAATGTTAAACCGAAAATGATAGTTTTCCTTCGACCAAGTTTGTCGCCGGAGACGAATGCTATTATGGAACCTAGTGCGGCACCGATCTTTGCGAATTGTGTGTTGTTTAGCTTCAATATTCTTAACTGCATCGCATATTGAAGCAGTAGTAACTGGTGCATTAATACTTACAAAGAAAGTACTAGAGGTAATCCCAGAGATATTGGCATCGCGGGTTTCTGGGAATTGCTCTTTGAAGTTGTCGGAGACGAGAACGCCGGCGAATACCCCCTATTCCCCGCCAAGTTGGTTGGTACCGTATCATTCATGAAACATCAAGTATCAGTGACATACCTGGTCGTAACCAAACCAGCAAGAAGAAACTAAGATACAAAGTTAACACTTGCTTCATCGAGGGAAAGTTGATATACTTACGTGTATCGACGAGGGTGATCATAGCGATCAGCCAACCGCCGTAAATACGGCTCTTGCTTCGAATCATCTTCGATGATATTAAAAATATTAGATAGAATGATTATGAAATTTTTGAATTATAAACTAAGATCATTAAAGTGTATATGGTTATGGAGGGGTTGAGCTCTAAAGCAAGCGTTTCGCTGGGTAGAGCGAAATGATGCTGCCAGGCCTTTTCGAAGAAATGAAGCGATCGTGAGCGAGATAAGTAGACGAATTCGAGCTCCGAAAGCGACTTAGCGTTTCGTTGCCGACGCCGGCTGTATCTCTCGCGAGTCCGGCCTTGGCCTACATCCGGAAGCTACCGTGGATGGTAACGAATAGTAACGCTGCGGCTCTAACCGTGGTCGAAGTTGGGTGGCCCTGTGGAGCTCTCGTCAACTACCTAGATCGGGGACAGCTCCACGATACCACTCATCGTGTCCGCTCATCGGATTCATATGCCCGGTAGGTTGAGCTGCAATTCCTATTCTCGCAAAGAATTTATTATATTAACTTGAGTAACCCAGGAAGGATCTATGGGCGGCGTGGTATTCCCAGATATCGTGACACATAGTATTTGATATGCCACATGAGTTTATTTCCTCAGATTATTTCCTTCGGCATTCTCCACACCGTCTGATTCCCACCTACTTCTAACATACCTACTTAATAAGAGTCTAATGCCACGGACCTGGCTTCGGAACGAGTTTCGGTCGCCTGCTTGATATGCACTGCTTAGTGTAACCATGAAACATAGGGATTGACAGCTCTTGTCCGAAACAGCGAGTTGAACAACTATCTCTCCCCAACTTTTACAGCGGATCATAAAATTTTCACTGATACCTAGGTAGCAATGATGTTCGATTTTCATGTTTTCTGCACTTCTCAACCAACCTTTACCATTACAGTTATCACCACTTCCATGATGCCGCCCTAGTGTCTGACGCAGAGGCCGGACATGTTCGCATATTTAGGTGCCCTACGAAGTTTATTTCCGGCTAGACTCCATTTTCCACCCTAATGTCTTTCTAAACGACCTTCACACCGATAATTGTAGTGCCTATCCAATGGCACAGCTTTTTTAAGCACTATCTACGCCGCATCATGTTATGGTAGCTCCGACGTGGAACTTGGATTTAGCAGATAAATGATATGGCAGCTCCGACGGTTTAATCGCATTGTCTTCCGCTGAATTTGCGCTAAGTTTGACTACATCGATCTAACGACTCCGTAGAGCGGCCCCTGCGCCGCGCGCCCCCCTATTCAGGGGTAAGTGACACTTTATATGCATCAATGCATGATACCATTACAACAATAGATAACTGAGTAAAAGCCCCGATATAACGAATAATCAGAATTTTCATATGGATTTCTATCATAATGATCGAAACAAGCCAATATATTTGCACGGCACGTTTACCATAACTCTATGATATTGAGATTTGATGTTATTGTTAATTAGTATCCATGGTTACCGTCGCTTCTAACCCGCTCATGATGATCTCTTATCTAAATAAGTGAGTCGTTACATGGCATTGATGCATAATCTTTTACTACCTACAATTTGCATATCTATTTAAAGGAACAACCTTCCATTCCCCTATTAATTCGGCGCAACAGCAATGATCCATTTAGAATTGGGAGTTTGATACGGCTCGCATAGAACTTTCAAGGAATTATGGGTGATAAAGAAGACTATACTAGGACTTCAAGTAAATGTTATTCTATCAAACTACCTACATGATTAGGAATGTAACCCTGTCGCTAATCACCGCTTTCACATGGTAGACAACATGTGAAATTTCTTAAACATTTGGGGATCGATAATATAAGCGGCACTAAAAAAACAGGAGAAGCCATGCTAGAATTAACTACATTCTCCATGCGTACGCACCCAATACTTTTTCATGATTGATGCCCGAAAAGTGTGGAATAAGAAAAGGTCAGTGCGGACAGTTGGCCGATTCACGATCATTTCCCTAGTCCCCTTGAATTTGTGTGTAATGGCATAGAGATAAGAGGTGCATCTACTCCACCACTGAAAGTGGAGTATTGCCTGCGGAGCTTCCCAATCAAGACCTTGGCGACCCCTACTCACCCAGGTAAAAAAAGGTAGCGGTCTGGTCTAGAAGCTAACTAACGCATGGGAACAAAGTTCCAGCCTCTTCGGGCTACGACAACATGCACATGTTGACGGGACCGAGGGTCGCAGAAGTGAAATTATATGAACCAATCATTCGCGTCTTCTACATATGGATCTATTATCTGCTTACGAACTTTGCACTGGTGTGATCAAGTTCTGCAAAGACTGAACTGGATCTAAATTCCTCAGGTGTCCAAACCTCAAGGAGTCCATACCCGGATCTGCTGGTAATTCAATGTTCCACCTCCGTTTGAGAACGTCTCTGATCACATCATAACACGCTCCAATCCTAATAGTCTCAACTGACGGACCGCTGAAATCTAACAGCGTCGAGCTTCGACCGTGCACCCACCACTTTAGAAGCCCGTAGTCGATCACGATGTCTGCTATGTCAAGGAGTTCCTTGTTGATATCCTCTATACGATACTTCGTCCCTGGATCGATGTTAACGCTCGGTTTCTTATGATCATCGCAAAGTTAACTTACCGGTCCCCGACAAGTTCGCTGAACTACCTAACAGCGGCATGTTCTCCGCGAAGGTCAAGCTCGTTATCGCATCCTGAAATGCGCCCGCATTGACGAGAAGCGAGAGACTGCCGTTCACATCGACGGCCTCCAATGTGACGGGGTCGATGTTCTTGACCATAGGGTGGTCGTGGTTGTACCGCGCAATGACACCAACCGGGATATCAAGGTCCTGGCTGAGATGGTCTATGATCTCCTGCTGCATGGGAGAAACGATGTGTACTTCTTTGTGGATGGCGTATGACCCGATTCCAGCATGGCGCTTGTGTGCTCCTCGTTGCTTGGTGAGGAAGATCTTCTCGAGCGCTTTAGCGCTGGTGGCCATCACAGCATATCCAACGTCTGCTGGACAGATTGCGATGCCTCCTGCCTTCAACACTTCGAAGACACGCTGAGCGTCAGCTTTTACGTCGGGACGGGTCATGATGAAGAGTCTGTGGATTTCAACTGGATGAAGATGGACTGCAATTCTCATAATCTCAAGAGAATGTATTCCTCCTTTTATAAGCCGACAACATCACCATGCCCAGAGGACACTGCGTTTTTCCTCTGCGAATATCGGCGGCCGCAAGCCTCGGGCGCAGACGCAGTAGTAAGTTTGACAGCTGCACAATCCGTGTAGGGAATCCGGGTGCATCGATCCGGGGTTATCTCTTGTCGAAGAACTGGTTTGATCGCTATAACCTGTCTGTCGGCGGCGTTTTTGACGTCGGATGAGATTGCGCCAGACGAACGTGAAGCATTGATTGGTGTACCGCGGACATCTCGGACTGGCCATGACTAAGAACGGAATTGATTTACGGCCTCATTGGTCACCTAAGTGCATTATACAGGTTTAAATGCCGGGGAGTAATTACCTACACAACGGAAAGGACTATAAGAATAGCTGAGTAATAGGAATCTTCGTGCATATCCTGCAAGTCGTGGTACTGGCATGCATGTGATAAGTGATAGGATTCATTTCCTGGTTAGTAATATCATTGGCTCTGGAGGGAGGCTAAGCCTTACGAGATTCCATGTTGTTTGAGTATAGGCAGGCAGGTATACGTCCATCATTTAGAAAATAACTTGGTAATGGTTCCATGCATGATCCTTCCAAAAGCAGTGGAGTCATTCATGAATAGGCTCATTAGCGCACACGGCATCTTATGACGCATCATAATCTATAGTCGATCAGCAACACCTACATATCGCGGCGTTCATGGACGTCCCGAACCTGCCGCTATCAGCTTAATCAACTATAGGTACTGAAGAATACTCTCTAATGTCGGTATTACTCTCCGACTGTGACTTCGGGCCATCCTTCCATCCCAACACCATCTAGTAGGCCATTATTATCCCCTTTAAGGAAGCGTTGAAAAAGGCTCGTCAGATAAGCTCTCTGGATCTCCATTATCCTTGTGCCATTAATTGTGCCTAAGCTTTGCTCAGACTTCGGAGGAATACCATAAGGCCATACCTCTATGATCACGGGTAAATCCGAAAAGTCCATGTGCTTGGCGCCGCTGACCGTATACTCTCGTCTGAATCCCCGAAGGTTAGGCCATGTATCGGCCCAGGTCTGATCGCCGGTACGATTATGACCTTCCGAAGTCAAGGTCATAAAGGGCGCGGCCGTACCCTTCTGTTTCTCTGATCCCCAGTAGCTCCCGTCCAGATTCGCCCCGACGACAAAACGTGTGTCATTGGATGTAACACTTAGGGCAGTAGCTCCACCTAATGAGTGACCGAATATTCCCACTCTCTCTGTATTGAGTTTCTGTTTAGGGGGTCCCTGTCCGTTGAAGTGAGGAATCTTATCAGTTATTGTGCTGTTAGATAGTGCGTTGAGGACAGATATAAGGTCGGAGGTACGAATATCAACATCATTCGCAATGGTTGCGTTAGAGCTATTAAGTGGGAGTCCATATACAATTCTTCCATCAGGATATTCGACGATTGCGGTTTCGTATGGATGGTCAACAGACACTATGAGCCAACCGTAGCTCGCAATCTCTATCAGAGTATCGCTATAACACAATCTGGATAACCCCAGTCCGGGAGTAAAAAGCAATAGTGGCGTGGACGGGTCGGCTAAGGGTGCGTCAAGACATGCGCGAGTTATGATATTGTGGAGGCTGCCGTTTGGAGCTCCGGAGCCGTTCTCGAGGTAAGAAGCCACCACTGGAGGAAATTGCACTGCAGGTCTGCATTCATGCTCCCGCATAAATGGCGAGTTGGAGGGATATGTCTCATTTGTTGGATAAAACAGAGAAATTGCAAGGTCGCGCGGCTGAGTTTTCGGTGTCCATGGATCCTGGCGTGTATAGTCGATTACTTCAAGAACCGTTGTCCCAACATTAAGTGGCCCAGTTAATGACGGTATGATGGTGTTCGATGCTATCGCAAGAGAAATGAGAAAATGAAGGCCTGCTATGACAGACCACATCCTGTCATGCTTGTACTTGAGTTAGCGAGCAAAACGGGTAGCTACCTACTTAGGTAGATATCTACAATGTTTGCTGCATTAGAAAAACGCTTCGTTCTTTATACTCCCAGCCTTATATTGCATCAAGTATTTAGTAGGAAACCAGGTTTATTGACATTGATTTCTTGACGCCATTTATCTCACATTTAAAGGAGACGCGGGGAGTGGATGGTTCCGGAGGATGAGACATAGAACACAGTCCAATATGAGTACCGTTACCCAAGTGACGTTTGAGTTGGATTTAAGTGGTCTATCTTGAAACCTTGGTAGAATTATAAGGTTGGAGGAATGCATCGTGTAACATTGGGATCAGAACGAAGAATGTACAGAAGAAGAAAAAAAGAAAAAAAGTCTGAGGCTGAGAGCAAATGGCTAAATAGCAGCTAGTTGGCTGTAGCCTATATAACGTTTAGGACAAGTATATAAGGGGCCCAAGGCCCTAAAGGGTTTTATGAAAGGAGTAGGCGTTAATCTAGGTCTATTACTACATGCAAGCTAGTCAAAGACGAGCTACCTGCTACTCCCACTCACTCTGTGACTGTTTCCAACGGCGGGCCACACCCCCGACAAAAACGTCCTCAACTCGATGAGAGTACAGTTTTATTACTTTATGGATTGTGTAACTGATTAACAAGTGCCTGTGATGTCTCCAAGTGCCGTCATAACATTTTGAAAGTTAGCCAAATATTGTCTGTCGTTAGGCCTCGAGTAGGCATTTATCATACTAGAGTACAACAGATTTTCTTGGTATAGCCTACCTAAATGCGTAAACATAACACGAGTGCAAAGTGGCTTGTGCAACTCGTCCAACGGTGTGCTGATTAGATGACGTACGAAAAGTCATCGTTACGAGCTGACTTGTCTCATTGCCAGCACTCCGCAGGTAAGAGCATTTTGTAAGCTGTTCGGACAACGGACGAATCTATTATGTCTACTATGAGTAAATCATATACTAAGGATGTTTCATGGCACCCTGGGCCAGTAATGCATGATTGGTGTTATTAAATAATACATCAAGTTAATTTTGATGTTTATTCCATGTGTTAGCTTTCTGAGTACCTTGCTGACGCCTTTTTGGTGGCTGACGCTTGCTGGATGCGGATCACCGAGAAAGTTACTTCATCTTCATTAGTGAATTGTTAAAGAGAGGCTCATCGTTTCGTAAGTACGAGATGACCAGAAATGAATTGGGTATGGTTCTGAGATACAACTTGCGAATAAGTTAAAATTAGTTACGAAGATTACTCCATCGCTTATAAAATGTTATAGGAAGAGTGGGATGGAGAATGGCTCGGGTTTATTAGGTAAGCTTCGGCAGTCCGTCGCTCTTTAATGCCTAAACCGTTAAATCCGGGGAAATATCCTCGTGTCTGATTGGTCAAAGAAGTACGACTGGCATGACAGCGTGGTATGGCAAACTCGTATTCAAAATATCTATACCATCATATTCCTACCTTATAGTAGGCTATCATTCAGCCCGACGTGCTTAAAAACGAGGTTCACTCGACTTCAAATATGCTATGAGAATTCACTTCCAACAGAAAACCAAAGTCGGATCAATAATAAATACTTTTCCTCTCTACTCTATCAATTACCAACCCAGCAAGAAAACTCGAAAACCACCATGGATTCCCAACGATACACAACCAAGGCCATTTTAGCCACTTTCCTGAGTGTTGCTAGCTTGGTTTCCGCAGCTCCTTTCGAAGCTCGTGGGGCTATCGGTTCCTCAGCCGGCTTTAGACTTATTGCAACCGTCGTCGACTCCAGCAAGAAACTCTCCGTTCCTATCGAGGGTGCGGCACTCCAGGGCGCCCATGTCGGCGCTGGCCTCAACACGGCTGTGCTGAATGCTACTACCGCTGGCCAGATCTTCTACCAAAACGGCACAACTGAGGATGTCCGCGCCGGCAAATCCAACATCCTCACTGACGAAGGTACCCCGCTTTACCCGTACGGGCTCGGTCTCCCCCTAAACGAGACCGACCCTACTTCGCCAGTTGTAGCCTCCATCAATGGCGGTAGTGGCACCTTGGGTGTCTCGCTAGAAGCCACCACAAGCCTCACACCTGGCGTACTGCACTATGGTATCGCTGGCTTCATGGCATGCGACGAGGCTCTTGCATACTACGGCCCATCGTGGAAATTTGCCGTCGTGAAGGCATTCGAGACTACTAAGGAGGCACCCGTCATCCCGGAGAACTGCGTCCAGATCAACCTGCACCCGCTTTGCGCTACTCTGCCAACCCTGCCCGCCGGCAGCTACTCAAGCCACAAGTTCGCAAATGAGGTCTTTTGCTATGCAGATGCGGCTGACATTAAATAAAGTCGGATGCGCTTTTTAACTATGAGAGTTGGAGAGTAAAACCAAGGAACGGGAAGATTTCGAGGTCTCTAATGTTGTGGCGCATCTAAGGATTGATCGAGGAGGTTGTGGATAGACTTTCATTTCATCATTTATTATTCTGTAACTTAATATTAGGAAATCATTCCAATGATACTAAATTCTCCTAATAATTGAACGATAACAGTGTGATGACTCACATGTTACTGAGTTGCAGGCCTTTCGTTCAGGAGTTCAGGGGTTTATGAGCTCAGGGGTAAGTAGTAGTATGCTTATATAAGCAACTATCGGAGAGCCCCCCCCTTTAGTAAATATGTGCTAGTGTATACTTTCCTTGGGTTTACGAAAGGAAGTTCTGTCAAAAGCAGGGTCATAGCCAATCCCTGATCACAGTTCTACCATTAAAGTCTGGTGTTAATGTCCTATAAATGTATTATTTCCAGAGGTTAATACCAAATACAGGTCCAGAAAGATTAGGTCACTTTGGCCTATAAGAAGCTAGGAGTTCTTCCCACAAATAACGGATATATAATCAAACCATTGCCCTACCTACGCTTTAAAGTGTTAGTAGAAAAGCTCTATTCATTAGATATATTGTGGAAAGGCATGTGAGTCAGTATCAAGAACTTGAACAAATGTTCTTCCTCGGTAAGTGACTACAGGAATTATCATGAAATATTACTAAGTATACCTGTTAATTCCTAAAAGAATCCATGATCTTGTTGCGTTGAAAAACTCCTTTGACCTATGATTTATTTTATAAAATACTTAGCATCTTAGTTAGAAGCGCTTGACTCTTAATACAGCGGTGACTCGAGATTTCATATTCATATTAGTATTAACATCGTCTCGTCCCAGTAACAAGGTTCTTAATAGACATGCGAATGTGATCGTTTTGCTTCTTGAGAGGTATAATTATATATAACTATAGTTCTAGCTGCTTCATCCCTCCCAGTAGTGAAGATCTAATTACCCAGATATCAAAGCCCACCTTATGATATATCAGAATAAGATTTGCGCCTTCCAGTACAAATAGCATCGAAGGCGAATACAATATGGATACTGTGGAGTTCACACTCAATGGCCAGCCGCTAGACAATCATCATCTAGACGATCCACAGGAACACCAAAATATTCGCAGTAGCAGGTCGCCAAACCCGGGTCGAAATGAAGACACTAGTTCGACAACGAGTATAAATTCGCAGACTTACATAGACCATTTCCAATGGACCTCAAACAATTTACCAATTGGAATATCGTATAATTCTCGATCAAGGATATCAACACCTGGTTTCATGAAAGAGTGGACTGATATACCGATCAAGCGAGAAGTTTCCGAAATTCGCATTACTGAGGTCATGAACCTGCTCGATCAAGTGGGAAATTCAGGAGTTCGTCGATCTCCACGAAATCACTTTACACCTCGAGTTCCCTTTCCTTCCGAACTGCCGATATGGGCTCTACTCGCGACAGATTTTAGACTAATTCGAGCAATCCCGGATGATGCCCGTATATGGTGTCCATCTTGTAAGCGGACACCTGCGAAGGAAAACTTTGGCATAACTCCCACCAGCCAAGTTCCCGTGGAAACATGTCTCGAGTGTAGAAAGGGGCAGACGAAACTACCATCTAACCTCGCAATTTGTTGGAGTGCGCCTTCTTACCACGAGGGATGCGGTAGGCTTCTTCCTAGAAGTCAATTTTCTGGAAAATACGATCGCGAGGTTTACACGGGAATTTTCTGTCGCGACTGCAGAGCTTTCGGACACAGTCGAGCAAGATTGGAGGGACGTTATAACGAGGCAAAATAACGGAGAGCTGATTGCTAGGTAGTTAAGCTCCGAAAGCAAATCTTTTTAAGATGTAATTATAACGTCTCAGGGAGCATATCTATAGATTGGACTTGAGTACCATGTCGGCCAGACATTAATAACAACCCCTTTTCCTCACTTATATTTTCCGTAAATTATTATGTATTTATATGCGTGGATAGTTTCCATTAGGTTAAGATTAATTGCTGGAAGGGGAATCACCGATTTATAGGGGCTCTTCATGTGTTCCTACATTAGGTAGAATATTAGCTTTGACTCTGCTTTAATTCTCCAAAGTCTTCTGCGTTATGATATTGATAATAACTACCTACCTATTATTCAAATAACGAGAATAGGGAGAAGGGCGACAGATAGACTCGACTCTTGAAATATTAGACATCAAGCTGGCAGGTTGGTTAGCATTGAAACAAGTCCCGGAATTCAAACATACAAGACCTTTAATCAAGAATACGCCAGAAAGATGTCGTAGACACTAACCTACTATATGAGATATCCATACCAACCTGTTCACTACTTGTCATATTTCTGCAGAAGCACACAGATATCGTGATTAAATTAATGGCCTAGCCTAGCCTTTTGCTGTCTAGCATCCCATTAAAATTCACCCCACCCAGCATGTTTTCATCCCTCCGAACTCGCCAAACGCCCTAATCAAAGTCATCGAGTAAACACCTCGGCCAGAAAACATCTCAGACCATATCATCACCTCTCCTAGCCGTCCCGCTTCCAACCGGCTTCCTAGAAAACGTCCCAGCGCCGCCCTGCTCATTCCCAGCAGCATGCCCGGCACCAGCATGCCCGGCACCACCAGCACCACCAAACCCGCTCGCCGCGCCCGCGCCCGCGCCCCAGCCCGCCTTCCGCGTCCACATAGCGTCCATAAGCTCGACGCCATCATACGTGTACAGGCAAGGCTGACCGCGGTGCAGCGGTACATGATTCCACCTCCAGTCCCAAATCGACGCGTAGCACATGCGGTAAGCCGAAAACGCCATGACGGTGCCAATAATAGCGCCGGCGACGACGTCATACCAGTTGTGGAACTCGTCGATGGTCAGGGCGCCGGCGATCAGCGTGGCGCCGAGCACGGGCGCGTACACGGCGACCAGCTTCCACATGGCCGGGTGGTAGTTAGCGAAGACCTTCAGCTTGGCGTTGAGGTAGATGGCGAGGTACACGAAACCCGCGAAGGCGGCGGTGCTGTGGCCCGAGGGAAACGACTCGAGCGAGTCGTTGATCTCCTTGGTGTCGCCCGTGCAGATCTCCTGCGTGTAGTATATGCCGTTGTAGCCCGCGGCATTGTACCCGGCGCCTTTGACGCCGGCGGCGTTGCTAGCGCGCGAAATGTCCGGCTTGCACACGTCGAGGAAGTGCGGGCGCAGGCCGCCGATCAGCCACTTGAGGAAGACCTGGAAGACGGCGGCGGTGATGAGCGAGTAGAGCAGCCCGATGACGGCGTTGTTGACGTCCCAGAAGGAGCGCACGCGGATCTGCATCAGCAGGATGATCACGATGGGGACGATGGCGGCCAGGAAGGCGGCGAGCCAGATGGGGATGATTTCCTTGCGGAGCGGGTACGCGAACTCGGGGTAGACGACCTCGCCGTCGGAGAAAGTCACCGCGAAGGATCGAGTTGGGGCCGGGTGAGCTTCGTATACCTATATTAAATATCAGCAATGTGGTTATAGAAAATGAGTCTTTAGGAGCGCGGAACGTACGCCGAGTCCGATGGCGCCCATGCATATCATCGTAATGATATCAATCCATGTGACTTTCAGCCATTGGCCGAAACTCGGACGGACTGCCATGGGATAGCCCATAGTATCGTAGGCTTGTCCATTGTGACGCCCATTGACGGGGCCGGCACCGGCACTGGTACCGGCACCATCAGCCCGGCGACGACTGAAGAGACCCATTTTCAATGTAGTAGAGATGGGTGGTTATTATGTGATAACGACGCTTCCAGTTCGTGAGAATATGCAGTCCGCGAGTACCGTCCCGTTCCAATCCCGACGAAGTAAATGTTTTATGTCTCGGGGAGAGACTAAAAGCTACGATGCCGTTATGAGATTGTGAGGGTATGTACAACAGATTTGGTTGACTCCCACTATAAATATCAAATATTTAGGTACTAGGATACAGTCACTGTAGATTGCGTAGTAGGGTTCGACAACCGTGCGTTTGCGATTGACGTCATGATTTTAAGCTCTTCAGCCGTGACATGGACGCGACGCACTAATGGTCATTTTCAGGCTTAGCTGAGTACCCGCGTAACTTAAAACGACTCCATATCAGATCGCTCCTACTAAGCGAATCCAATCAACAACCCTAAGACCGGTAATTCAAAGCTTATAATCGCGATGTGTTAGGTAAGTTGAAGCATGGCGTCGTGTTTGGTTGTGTTAGTTGTCTCCGCTAATTTGATTCGTCGCCCCCAAGTCTGGACGTCATGGACTGCCAAAAAAAACCTGGCAATGCTTGTCTTACTACCCAATCAGGTAATTGAACATCTCGAAACAGTCCAGTAGCCGTCATGAGAGGAACCTTGAAACACCTTTCTCGTCTATCACTCGTTGTCGTGTTATTTAACCGTTGCATATATTTCAGGGACTTCATGTGGTAACATACGCTATTCATGATGTCGTTGAAATAACCTAGTAACGCTAATCCTACCGGTGGGGTGACTAAGATCGCAGTCCAACCCTAAACAACGCGACACTATTCCTAGAAGGTAGATGACTTACCTAAGTACATGTAACCTTGTCAACTTCACTGTTAGACACTATTTAGAGAGAATAGATTGTGTCCAGTGTGTAGGGAGGCACATTTAATAATCATGGTAAGATCGCAATCGTGCGAGGATTTGTGCCATGCAATGCGCAAGCTATGAGAATGCTTATTATCTGCTCGTTAAAAAACTGCGTATCGTCATCGGACATGGACGTCATTCAATTAAGTGGCGGCGAAGCCTTAAGTGGGTCGCGAAACCTTCGAATGTGGGTTTGGATTCGAACTAACACCCGACTCTCTGGGCCCTAAGCGTTATTAGCTTTGCAACCCCATATAGATGAAGTTTGTCAAAACTAAGAATTGGGGAAGTTGCCATAAAGTCTTCAAGAGGGATAGAGAGAATGTTTGATTACGTTTGCTTCCGGCTACACTTTTATTACCCCCACTTCACGTTTTCGAGCCCAGCGCCGTGGCTGCGTGGCTTGCAGGTAATTGTTACACTGCCACCACCGAGAAAGAGAATTAAGTCGATTATCGCAGCGATCAAACTGCCAAACCAGCTCAAGATAAGCCCGGGGAATTTTATGCATACATTGTACTATACAAACAGATCTATGTGATATTGTCCATCTAGCACCAGATCATGAACAAATGAGAGTCTAGGTAATGTACAACATGGTGGTGCAACTACAATAAAACAGGGGCAATTTCCCCGGGAATTTGCTTTGTCCCTCAAAATGCTCGCCTCCTTGCATAAGCTCCGGCCCTGTCCTGCCCTTCGTTACCCTCGTTACCCAAAACTCCGACGTACTAGAAATAATAAATTGCCTAGAATGAATAAATTGGGCAATTCTTCACCACGCTGAGTGGCCTCCATCGATAACAAGATTGTTCCCCGTCATGAAACTGCTGGCGTTACTCAGCAGAAACAGCGCGGCACCCTTAAACTCGCTTGTTTCTGCCAATCGGCCCACTGCAACATATTAGCATGAGGCCTCACCTACGTACGATTAGGATGTTTGGCAACCTACTCATGTTTTCGCTCTCCCACTTCTCACGGAGTCCTGGGACTTCCTCGAAGTTTTTGAGCACCATTGGCGTCAGGATGTGTCCCGGACTGATGCAGTTCACTCGGATCCCGCCCGTGCCGTCTTTCCGAATTGGGCTCCACTCCATCGCAAGATTCCGGGCCAATTGGACAACTGCAGCCTTAGAAGAATTGTAGACCTGTGATTTATGGTTAGACCAAACAAGTCAGCAACGGAGATCATCGAAGCGACATACGGGCGATAGCAGCCCCTTGTTCGCAATGCTGCCAGACATGCTAGCAATGAGACACATGCTACCATGAATCCTGTACTTGAACATCTGACGAGCCGCGCTAGTCGCTGTCATCATCACGCCGGTGAAGTTGATATCCATCATCCGGTTCACTTCTTCCTTGGTCCATTCCACGGCCGGGGAGAGATGCTGAACGCCAGCTGCGGCAACGACGCCGTCTAGCCGTAAATGCTTATCCGCAATGTCCGCGATAGTCTGGTCGAGTCCCTCGATATCCTGTACGTCTTGCTGTATGTAGTTGAGAGAGCCTCCGAACTCGTCAGCTCGTCTTGCTGCCTCACTCCATTGTTCATTTGCCTTTGGTTCACGATCGAAACAGTAGACTGTAAGTTTGTCATTAAGTATGCCGCGACTCGGCTAGAAGCCTTGCGACAGCGCAAACTTACCATTACCCCCCGTCTCTGCGAGAGCCTCCGCTAGTGACAGTCCCAACCCCTGTGCACCACCGGTGACGATGAATACTTTACCGTTCAGGTCGAAGTCCGCTAATTTCTTTTGCCCGATATTCTCTCTGGGGTCAGGCGCAATGCCAACTGCTGGGTTTTCCCTCGAGTCTGGTGGCTTAGGGATTACTTTCGTCTTTCTTCCAAACTCGGCGAGCGAGGTTGGTGTCGAAGTGTGCAATGGTCCAAGCTGTACGGTACTACCCATCATGGTCGTTCTGGCAAAGGTAGATAATGTGTGTGGGAGTCGTCCACCAAGGGTTCTCGCGTAGATAGACATGATTTTATATGTATTATGGTTAGGCTGTGCATTTTACCATGGGAAACTTGGACGAAGATCATTTGTAGCTTCGAAGAAAGGTACAAAAGCTGCTGGTGTCCGGTTTATAAATGACACTGGTCCTACGGTGTACAACGGTCGGATAAAAAGATCGGCGCACTAAAATCAAGAAAGATCGTGACTTCACTGATGTCAGCTTTCTAAAACGGGTAGCGTACGTATACCTGACAAGCGGTGTCCCTTCCCACGAGGCGTGATGTCTCGCCAAAGCGGAGCTAAATCACGAGTAAGCCCCATTTGAGGCTGACCCGTGCCGCTAACATGAAGTTTTATTGCCATCCATCCTTACTGTCATCCAGCCATGCGCCCCAGAGCCACTTAGTGTAGCTAACTTGGCATATCGGCGTTACGTCTCAAACTAATGAAGCGTCGAAGGTACAGCCGCGGAGCTCTTGCTACGTTCCACTTAGGGGGGGCGCTGACGTCTGACAAGGCGCGAGACATGGAATTTGTTGTCTCTTTCTCGAAATCCCATCATCTGAGCCCAATGATGATATCTCCTCATATTACCTGAATAGGAAATTCTAAGGGAAAATCTACCAATGACGCGACCGGGGGGTAATGGTGAATCTGATGTGAAGGTTTTCGTGGGCCATTTCAGATGAGATCCTTACAATTGGTACAGCATCTCAGCCAATCGAGAATCCCGGTACTGGGTCCAAACGTGGAAATGCCCCAAAATAGGTAGAGATCCTCGGCAGCTGATCTTACAACCAAGAGTGTTCTATGTCGGTTAAAGATTGCCTGTCTCCCGGAGCAAGTGCTCCTAGGGAAGAATTAAGTGCTCACCTCACAAACTATGTTTGTCTAAGGGTTGGCAAAAATTCGAATTTTAAAATTTGGACATGGTGGATAGAAGGTTACCAAACAAATGTGAAAAGAATAAGAATTCTGGAGCTCAATTCCTACTGGGTATGTTAAGAGCTAGGCGGGAATATGTTGATGCTGGGGAAATTCAGAGTTCTTTCTAACTTTAGTGACCTCCTTCAACATATTCCCCCATCATCTCAAGTAAACCCCGCACGGTGTGAGTCGCACTTTCTATGTCTGTACCTGAGCTATCCTGCTACAACGCCGTTTAGCTTTCGGTTAAGGATATTTGACATCACGATGACTTCAAAACTTCTTAATTCGTAATATCTTGATTGCTATTTCCCCCACTATTAGGAATGGTCCCGATTCGCCCCGTGGGGTAGGGATTAGGTTAAGAATTCCCGAGCTTATCTCTCCCTAAACGTATATAATGTTTAACGGAGGTACCTCCGGTCTTAATATGTAGGTGCTTCGTGTGGGGATCACAACGTCCCTAGCTGCTTGAGTAGGTGTCTACCGTTGGGTGGATCGAGACATTCAGACATTGGCATATATGCTGTGCTTCACAGCCGATCCGTATGATGTTCAGAGCGGGAAATGTTGTCGAGCGCGGACGGCGACTTTAGCTTGTTTCACGGCTAGATACCTCGGAATGACATAACTCTCGCGGACGGCGGCGGCAATGCTCGGGAATCTCACCGGCTCCGTTCTAGGTAATACAAATCAAAGGCATACATCTAAGATTCACCAATGAATCCATGCTTCATATTAGTACCCATCGTTTTACCGCCAAACGCCATGCAATGCCCACATTATGAATCGACACCGAACCGATTATGCGTTGGTATTGGATCGTCCGTTCCTATTCACGTTACCGTCTCCCGCCTCGTCCACCTCCCATCATCCCGCCCATACCCATGCTCTCCATCATCTTCTGCATATCCATGCCCCCCGGCATTCCACCTCCGCCGCCGCCAAACATTCTCGCTAGGCTCGCCATGTCCGGCATACCGCCGCCAGCTCCGGCACCTCCCATGCTCTGTAACCGTTTCTGCATAGCAGCCATTTGCTGCGCTTTGTTTCCTCCGCCCATAGCCTGTTGGGCGCGTTGCATGTTCTTCATACTACCGCCCATCTTCTTGGCCATACCTGCCATCATCCGCTGTTGCGTGAGCAGATCCTCAACCTCTCGGACGCTGACACCGCTGCCGCGAGCCACCCGCGTCATACGCGTTGGCTGCTCGATGAAAATTTTGCCATCGCTATCAAGTTCTTTTTCGGTCATGCTATCGCAGATATAAATCATTCGCTTTAGTCGTGCGCTCGATTCCTCGTCGTCCATACCCGCCATTCCCGGTAGGTTAGACATGCCGGGAATCATACCAGCCATCTTTGATAGGGGACCCATCTTCATGATGTTGCTTAACTGATCTCTGAGATCTCGTACCGTGAAGATTCCTTCCGTTATGTGTTTTATCGTCTCCTTCTGGTCCAGTTTCAATGATTGCACGTGTTCAACTAAACCTGCCATATCACCCATTCCTAGTAGCTTGTTGACAAATTGTTGCGGCGCAAACCTTTCTAGATCCAACATGTGTTCTCCGGTACCGATGAAGACTATAGGCGTATGCGTCGCGGCAACAGCAGAGATGGCGCCGCCTCCGCTCGCGTGACCGTCCGTCTTGGTAATGATAATTGCACCAAAGTCCGCCGCTTCCTTGAATGCCTTCGCCTGTGCTTCTGCCTGTTGACCGATAGAGGCGTCGAGAACCATAATTGTTTCGTTAGGAGATACTGCGCTTTGAATATCAACCATCTCCTGAAACAGCGCTGATTCTTGTCGGTGACGTCCAGAAGTATCTACAATGATAACCTCGAACCGCTCTTTCTTGAATTTCTCCACACCCTCCCTAGCGACCTTCGCGGGGTCCGTCTCGGTTAAGGAACCGTAGTATGGGATCTTTGCTTTCGTCGCATTCTGTTTCAGCTGGTCAAAAGCACCAGCTCTGAAGGTATCGGCGCAGACCAAACATGATCGGAACCCTCTGGCTTGGTAATGCCGCGCCAATTTTGTACACGTAGTCGTCTTTCCTGCACCCTGTAAACCAACAAACATGATAACATTCGACTTGCCCTTCTTAGGTTTGAAGGGCTCTGCGTGGGGATCGACCAGTTTAACCAATTCATCGAATACGGCTTTCTGGATTAATCGTTTCTTATTTACGCCAGGTGGGAGATCCTTGAAGTTGACTGTAGTGCTTATTGAATTTTTCAATTTGCTGACAAGTCGTACGTTGACATCGGCTTCGAGGAGGGCACCCGAGATTTCGTTCAGCATAGATTTGAAAGCCTGCGATGTGGTTAGCGCATTCGCCCCATCTCATCGAACCTCGTTGCATTGCATCTATTGCATACATTGCGGGGTGCGACGTCGAGAAAGAATCGCACGTACCTTTTCATCGAGGTTGGGCGCTCGAGTAACATCGTGTAAGGCACCGCTAATGCGGCGGCCAAGATCTTGGAGAACCATGGTAAGAGTCGACGGCTATGTAGCCGTTGAGATCCAGGGCACGGCGAAAGTGATGAGAACAAGTAGATTTCAATGTGGAAACAGCTGTAAGACTGACCGGGGTCTACTCCACTGGGCACATGGGCACTGTGAACCTTGGAAGAATATGATTTTCCGATGCCCGCAGCTAGGTACATTGGTACTGATTAGGTAACTCTACGGTACCCCACCTGAGGTGTCCCACTCTGATAGGGCAGACACGGATAGATTCCGCCCCTTTTCTAATCTGATCTCTCTTTTCGAGCCTCCAACAACATTTTACGTGCATAACGCCGACCGCAACCTAGTACACAAGAGCGTACGATTCAGATTCGAATTATTTGGATTGATCAAAGTCCAGGTGATATTCTGTATTCGCTTTCTAATGCTTTCTAAAAACAATCCTAGCTTCCGGTGTACAATATCTGCCATACGATAAACAAGACCCTTGTATACAGATGTAACCTACCTAGATTAGGTACTCTATGCTTGAGTGTCTTCTAGGGCTGTCTCACCTGAGTACTTAATCTCGAGCTGAGCACTTAATCGGCTTTAAGGATCCAGTCTCCTGGTCTAAATCCCACCCCGGATCTCTATTGCTCCGAAGTTATAACTGCTCTCCTAGATGGGTTGGGTAGTTGCTGATAAATACGTAAGAGGGAATTCGAAGCGACTAGTAGAGGATTGGTTGGAGTACCTAACCTTGCTTACCCAGTATAGAGATATACTAATGCTATATTTGTCTAAAAACCCTTTGTGAACAGGAAATCCGCAATCCCCCTACCACAACGGAATTAACTCCTCTAGGTCCGGTAAGGCCATTGCTACTATTATATGCGCATTAATAAGCATTTAATGTAGGATGGATCAAAGTATGCCATACAACATACCTATCCAAAGTGCATACTCGACATTTACTTTCAGTCCCGACAATTTGAACAAGAACAGGTTCAGAAATTCAACGATGTGTATCTACACTCCAGTCAGGTATTTAAGGTCTAATCTCATCCGCCGAGGTCCATCCCTTAACACTTTCATCTCACACATCACATAAAACCACACCTAGAGGACAATTCATACATTTCAGTCGACACAAGTCTCGCCATGGCAGTATTAGATGCATTCACAACCGGCGATCAGGCCGTCGAAGCCTTCAAATCTCAGGTCAAGGGACGGACCTTTGTCATCACGGGTGCTGGCATGCCAAGCATTGGGAGCCAAATGGCCATTTCACTTGCGAAAGCCTCACCTGCACATATTTTGATCGTGTCGCGGACGGGAAAGAAGGTCGATCCGGTGCTCGAGAAAATCGCCGAGATCGATAGCTCCATTAAGACCACGTTTATTCAGGTCGACCTAACAGATCATGATTCGGTACGGAGAGCAGCCAAGGAGATCCTAGCCGCGACACCCAAAATAGATGTACTCATCAACAGTGCTGGGAATATGGCTATTAAGGAGTACACCGTTGACAAACAGGGCATCGAGATTCAGCTATCAGGCAACCATGTCGGCCACTTCTTGCTGACGAACCTAATCGCGCCCGCCTTGATAGCTGCTGGGTCCCAGCTTGGTGGAGCCCGTGTCGTTAATCTGACTAGCTTCGGCTACCTCTGTAGCCGCTTTCGTTTCGATGACTGGAATTTCTCAAACGGAAAGACCTACGACCTGTGGTCGGGTTACGGCCAGGCCAAGACGGCCAACATCCTATTCGCCTTTGGTCTAAGCAAAAGGCTTAAGAGCCACGGCGTCACGTCGACAGCTGCTCATCCCGGTTCCAATGGTGATACCCAACTAGGTAGCCACCTAACCATGGATGACTACGCTAAGATACCTGAGGTTATGAGGCGCAATATGGGCAAAGAATGGGAATGGGAGACACCTCGATTTAAGACATTCGATCAGATCTCCTCTACTTCGCTCGCTGCTGCTCTGGACCCAGATATCCCCGCTAAGTCACCGGCATACTTAGTGAACTGTCATCCTCACGAGGTGGCTGAACATGCGAGCGACCCTGAGGCTGTTGAAAAATTGTGGGAGCTGAGTGAGGAACTTGTTGGACAGAAGTTTGAGTACTAAATGAGTACGACGTGCAATTCACGTGGCAAGGACTGCTTAGGACGAGGTACATACGCATATAAATGTCGAATTCACAGAAATCTTATATTAGCCATTCCATCCGTCCGAAATCCGGGGAACCGGGATTGAAGGTTTCGAATAACGAATGTCATCCTGCTGCACCCCAACATCCGAACTCTCTTACCCGATAAGGCCGGTCATTTACCGGATGGATTTCACTTAAGCTTTGTCGGCTCATTTAGCCCTGTGGAAGGGTTGGACACCTGCAGTGCGACTCAGCCGTCGGCTATATGGGTCTGGGGTATTGATTTCACGATTGCATTTTCTGGGGTTGATGCAACGGAACGTCAATGCGATCCGGTAATAGGGATGCCGAACAACCGCAAATCGCATTAACTTTCAAGTCTCTAGCCGCTGAATATTCAGAACCTATTCACGATGCGCTACGTCTATTAGTCTCATCAATATCACCTATATAAGTTTTACATCGAGTTGGTCTTCAGTTCCAGCTGCTGCTTCGCTATTATGATGTGTTGAGAGAAACTTGAAAGGTACTTATATAGACTACCTCGTACATATGCAACTGTTCTATCTGCAAGTATCGATACACGGATTGAGCTAGGAACCATCACTTAGAGTACAAGTAAATTGCCTGCCATATCTGCTTACCCCTGCTCTCTCGACCTTCGCATTTTAGTCGCGGTGCGCAGCCACGGCGGCTAAGTCCACGTCTGTCGCCGGCCAAAATCGACTCAGGTCACCAAGCGGAAGATTCAGTGTGATACGCATTTCTCCTGCCATAATGATGACACACATATACCACCCCAGGGCTGCCACAACGAATAACAGAGCACCACCAGCCTCGAAGATGATTAGCTACGATCAGCACATTTCATTAATGGGAAAATGCATACCTTTTGTAGACTGACTGCCGCTTCGAAGTTTCCAGCCGCGAGTTTGAAATAGGCACTCGACAAGATCCACACCGCTGAGGTAGCGCAGGCGAAGATCAGAGCAAACACGGTATTAACCTTAAGGGTGAAAACGAAGAAAGTAAATAGAGCAAAACCCCACACGATAAGATATAATCCAATTACAGAGTTATACTCAGGGGACATCTGACCGGTAGGGTCGCTAAGCGTAGCATACGGCGCGCCTAGCTGCAGAGTGGGTAACTGTAATAAGCCGAACGACAGCCAAAACACGGCGTATAGACCCATAGCCATCATAGGGAAGAAGTTTCCCATGATCCACTCAAAGACCATGGCGAAGATTAGCAAGACGGGGCCGACGAAGAAGAAAATGCCCCTGGAAAGTTGTTATTTAGCCGGGACCCACATAAGACGGGATAAGAAAGGGGTCCTTACGCTACCGGCGTTGCCCCTTCAGCACCTGCCCATCCCATCAATGTCATCGCGAAGGTGAAAGTCGAGATAACGAAGCTGAACTGTTTAGTTTTATTCAATGTCCCTCGACAGTGGTTTTCATATCACTTACCCAACAATACCGAGCGGTGTTGGATTGGCGAAACGCCTGTTGTAATCTCCCACATGAGGAACCTTCGGAGTGAGATAGAGCTGATGAGGTTAGCATTGATAGGGTGAAGAGCGCTGTCGTAGAGGTCCTACTTTCTCGAAGAGTTCGGGAGGCATGGTCACAGTGGTGTCAGACCGGTGCAACCCCTTCTCCTCGTCATGATTGATAATTCTGTGGTTTTCCATTGTGAAATGATGCATATGGAATAGCAGCTGAGATGATGAGAATTGAATTGAATATGGTCGTTAGAGCTCAACAACTACTTATTCAGAGAATGGCCTCTCGCAAGAAGTGGTATTACTTCAGCTTTTAATAGCTGGAGATTGCAATGCGCAATATTCAATATATCATTAGCCTAGAAATATAGATTATTTACTATTCTAAGAGATCCCCGTACAGGCAAGTCAAACTGCCGGACCTCTCGCATCCGTCCAATCGCAAGCTGAGAAACGCTTAAGAACCGTGGCTGCTCCGTGGCTGGCATTGCTTTCACATACATTTGTCAGGCCTCTGCCGAAGCCAAGACAATAGATGTCCCAAATAACTAAACCGTAAATACAACTTCCGGTGCGGGGCCTGGCTGTAAACAGAAGTTGGCAAGCTTTTATATGCCTACCAAGCTGGAAATCGGCTCTTAGATAATTTAATCGAATATAAGGTAAGTATTATCCAATTCGCTGTCGTATAACCTACAAACACAGGTGCAGCTGAAAGGAGCTGGGAACGGACACATTTATTTCTATCATGAACCTCTTGAGTACCGTCGCAATTATGCGAATGACCCGAGAACAAGTGCCTAGTTGGTAAGAGTTTCTATTGGAGCAAACCAAGCTTGTTCAAGCGGATATACCTACCTGGGTATATCATCGATTGATGAACGATGAACATGGAAGGTGGACAAGTTCTTAAGGTATATGCTATGCCGAACCTAACATGCGCAGACCTCATGGAGGGAGTAGGTGATACTTAAGGCGCTCCGGGAAGGGCTTGGCCGCACTTTTTAGTGCCCTCCAACGGCAATGAGAGATATTTTAAGCTGCTATTCTGGAACCCTGACTAAGAGAAGGCGAATTGGCTCATTATGTAAGATTATATGCCGGTAATCTTATATACCTGTTTTCTAGTGCAACTGTAGCTTCAATGGAGTTACATGTGGCTTGGACCTGGGTCTGACTTAGATAAACCCTCTGGGGAAGTATCTAGTCGTTTTCGTCTTTCTTTACCCAGCAAGCCCCCAGCCCATGTACATATTCTCTCGCTTTTCATAAAAGGAGGTTCCATGCACGGATCTGGAAACAAATTCTAGTTTGCCATGAGGAAATTATCAGATTAAAATGTGTGCTTTATTGAAATACAGCAGATTTATACTTGCATGTACTTACATATGTATTAACCTCAAGTATTTTCAACTTCGAGGATCTTTCATGGATGAGACTAGGTACCTACTAGGTATGTGCTATATGTATTGAATTGAACAGTTTCTCGGATATTTGATTCACCTTATACGTAAATGCCTACCTCGATAGTTCATATCATCGAAGCGGCCATATTTATCAAGCTTAGAAGTCTCTCGTCATTAATTGGTCCATTCTAGGCAACTCAACCCAAATTTAATGGTATTGTACTAAGGACGGTACCCTGATAGTTTACTGGAGGTTACACCAAACTGATCATCACAGGGGTAAGTAAGGTGAAGTTGAAGGGATTCAGATGAGAGTCATTGAGGAAAGACGAGTGACTTGAATGAGGAGATTGGAAAGCAGTTCATTCTTATAGACCTTTGCTTCCCTCTAAAAATGGAGGAACCTCGAATCTTACAGGCAAATTTTACACTAGAGAAATTTTCTCCCACGCCATGGCGAAAGCCTTACTCCATGATTCGACAGTATGACTGAAAGCCCCTATTCTCTTGTACTTTCCATCTGCAGCTGGTGCAATGATTAGTCCCGTCAAATGAATGTCTCGTGTCACCATCCACGGCTTATGAAGATCGAACACCGCCGCAATAATGTCATCCTCCTGTGTGCCTCTTATGATCTCATTGACTATTATGTAACGTGGTGAGTCCTCGTCCTCTGGCGTAGTAAAGAGAATTGTAAAGGTGTCGTTATCGAAGGACGGGTCGACCTCAACAAATAAAACCGCCAATTAAGAGCCCTCGGGCAATCACTGATCGTTTGCGTCTTCGATGGGTCTATCTTGTCTTCTTTCTCGATGATCATTTGAATTAACTCTGACGACAATCGTAGCAACCCTGTACTTAATGTCAGCTCGGCACCCTCCTCCAATACCTAGCCCAATGGCGCAAAGTTTGACATCGGCGGCATGATGCATTCATGAACAAATGCAATTGGGCAGCTGTACCGTGCTGGTATATTCTTGAACTTCACTACACTATCGCAGCTGGCCCAGGTCCAAGTCGCTGCTCGCCAAGGTGTTGGGCGGCTGGTCATGATACATGGGTAAGTAGTCCATAATAGAAGGTCACTCAGCAGGTTTTTTTCCACAAGCCAGCAGCATAGTTGGCCAATGTAAGTTCCTGCACAGCTGCGGAAATACCGGCGATTGCAGGTAGTTTGTCCTGTGGCACCGACAGCCGACGAGAAGAATACTCCTCAACTGCACGATGCAATGGACCTTGCAACACCGCCCTAATTTGCCGCGACTCGAAGTCTTGCGCAAAATAGCTGACATAAGAATCGTCTGGCGCATTAGATAGAGGCCGCTGGAGGGCCTTTTCATTCAGCTCGAGAGGCATTGTACCATAACGGACACTTCGCCGATCTATATCCCAGTCCTCAATGCCCCCAGAACTAAATTGTTTGGTTTGACAGGTCCAGACAGTGCGTTCGCCGTACAAAACGACCCTCGGAGACAGAATCCTTTCTTGGAACGTCCACCCACGTTTCGAAATCGGTTCACTGTACATCCGGTAGGGCATCTCTTCGCGTATCATGACCCTGCTTTTTCTTAGAACATGTCGTGGATGGGAGGGAAGCCGTACAACAATATCTCCCTCAATCCTCGCCGGATCGTCTTTATCTTCAACAGGACAGAAAATTTACATCTGGAGCATATCCCGGGGAATATCATCGTCTTTATCAAGTTTACATCTTGCACGGTCGCCCAGAAACCCATCACAACACGATGGAGAACCACTACCTATAGTGATATAAGCATTTTGATAGTTAGAGATCATCTTGGGCAGTTCCCTGAGTTTATCACCGTCATCGTCTTGTATGATGCAAAGTGAATCGATCCAGATGTACCGCAGACCAAGTTTCCGTGTCAATGCAATACCATGCTGCAGAGTGAGCGGCAAGTCCGACTCCTTGAATCCTTTTGCCATGTTATTCACATTTTTCCTGACAAGGGCTAACTTCTGAGGCCCGCCCCGGCAGTAGCTTAATGCGACATAGGGCCCCTCTTGCACTCTGGTAGCAAGTCTCAGGCAATTTCCGCTCTGAATCTCGATCAACCTCGTAGGCAACACGTCAGATTTTGGTTTCGGGCAACCGTGATGATTATCGATGCAATTCTGAAACCAGCCTCGGACCTCAGCAATGCTCTTGTCGGAACTAGGTGTGGTATCGCTTAGTTGATATTCGAGGTGTTTTGCTGCAATTTCATCTGAATATCCTTTAGCAACATTCTCAAGTAAAAATAGCCCAAAATTCGGACTAGAAATCTGCTTACCAGCCATTGCATAGACCTCCAATACGAGGCTCCTTCGTCCCTTGAGAAAGCTTGCAGGATCATCGACATTGGTACCAACTGCGTCGAATTGAACCCGTCCGTATCTCCGGCTTTCAGCGTCATAGTCTTGCGGGTGTGCTGCTAGAGCAAACCAGGTGCCGGGAGATGTATCATCGTAAAATTTCAACGTGGTTACTGCCTTGACCGCTGATTTTCCGAGACTCTTTGCCTTTCTGCAACAGCTTCCCAGGATGTTTTCACCGTGATCCTTGCCCGTTACCCTCACAGAATTCTCATTTGAGAAGAAGGTGACAGCAATAAGCCCGCAGAATTGACATCTTTTCTCAGTAGCGTCAGCTAGGTCACTCAATGAGAATTTCCATTTGATATATTTTTGTTTATCCTAGTATACTTCATCTAGGGCAAATACAGCTAGGTCGCGGGAGATACCGATACAGAGCCTACACTGATTACCAATCTCTCCTGATGCCTGCCTCGTCGTCTCGATGATAGGGTCAAAGCTGGTTTGGTACGCGTATCCCTCGCCGAGTAGACTTGATTTTCCATGCGGGTTGTGTTGAGTAATCCTCTGGGTCTTTGATCAGGGCGATAATTTCCGTGCCAGCATAATGGTTATAAGTGGATGATTGACATGGCCGGAGATGGATTGTGCTATGCCGATGCCTATATCAAGTTGAGAGTACTCGCCGAGAGGAGTACGTATAACTTGCATTATGCCTGGATTTAGTTGAATGGCCGTTCTTTGAATATTGAAAAGGTAATTGGAAAGTAATCTCAAATTAGGAGGTTAAGGGTTATCTTTTTAAATTTCTGCGAAGTAATTTACCTTTAACATCTTAGGCATCCTTTAAAGCGACCTCTGAGGCTTAGGATATATCGCTTCCATATTCAACTCATTAGATCATACAAAAGTCCCACGAGGCAGCCAATGAGCTTTGACATACCGGATGTTGGGCAGCTTCCAGCCTAACGGTATGCGCATGCGCAACAGAGCAGCATACCGGGATCAAAAACCCAGGCAGTGATTGATTCAACTCAGCCATTGGTACAGCAGAATAATTATCACCCATTGTATCTGGTGCCAGGTGTTCCCTTGACTGAGGCTGTATGCTACAGTACCGCCTACTATTAAGTTGAAGGCGTACAGCAAGGCTCATCAAGATCAAGCGGTGGGGGAGACGAGGCTTTCTACAGCCTACTTGTCAAATTCCTCTCCTAGGTACTTTAACAGGTATTAGGAAATAGCCTACCGAAATGAAACGAGTGGCTATGACCATCGCCAATGAAGGTTGGTATCCCAGATCTTACGGATAAAGAAGCAAAGCAGTAGCGGATCCTCTACCGAGCAAGCATAGGGTCATATCTATCTTTCGTTATTAGTGTATTCTGCCTCCTGGCGTTGCTCCTAGTACGATAGAAGCTCATAGGTCGCGCCCGAATCAACCTGTTTCATCCACACACGGTTTAAGCTTGACGCCGCCGTCTTGATTCGTACAAATGAATTCAAAGTAAGACCTCTGAAGCTGACCCGATTCAACCGTCGCGTACAATTTCGATCGGGAAGGAGTCACGTGGGAACCGCCAACTCACCAACACCATGATACGTACGATCGCCGACCAGCTTTGATAATAAGCCTAAGCTGTAACTGCAAGAATTATAGCGAGTAAAACTGCCGTAATTATTGTAAGCCACAGCGAAGCATGACGAAATGGATAAACCCTCTATACCGAATCAACCTATTACAGTCCGTCACTAAATCTTGATTAGGTAAGCTTTTAATTCTTCATTAGGTATGTACTAGGTACTTATATAATAAGCACATATCTGTTATCTAAAGCTACCACAACTTAGTAAATACGTGATTTGGGTAGATATTGTTGGGATACGATCTGGGATTGATTGTGGTGGGCCTTAGAAGTTGGCTGATAATACTGGAAAAGCGACAGATAGGGGTTCGTTGAATGATTATATAAGCAGATGTGCCACATAACTTAGAATTACACCCACCTGATTATCTAACCAATCCCTCATATTATGAATGGATATTCATAAGTTTAACCAACGTTTATACTTTTATATTCATGTGTTAAAGTGGTTTCATATAAGTTAATAGTAGTATATTCGTAACGAAATTTGGGCGTGGTAACTACCATTACCCCTTTAACTAGCATTTTGCGCCAGAAGGTAAAATACGCTTGAGCACTCTTAGAAGCCCGGTTCTGATCGACTCTTTGTAGACCGTGGGATTAATCGGTACAGATCATACATGGCAAAACAGGTTGCATCATCCATGATTTTGGCTTCGCATTCCGGGTCCGGTCCACCTAGTCAGGTGAACAGCAGCGATGCCCCATAGCCCCTGACTGATGCAAACCGCCAGTTAAAGAAATATCTCGGTCATAAATAAAACACCGGATGATATCGAATAGTTTTCATAACTTAAAGTTAGAGAGAACAACCAATTAGAGGTCAGCCGGATGTACCCATCCGGTGTTAACGTCTGTTCACCTGGAGTTGTGATTATTGCCGTATTAAACCCGTCTTCACAATTTTTGGGTACCAATATTAATACCGCTACCCTCAACCTGGTTACCGTAGGTTCATTATTCAGAGATCATCACTATTGCTACATCGCTTTATGAGAAAAGTAGTTGACCGCACAACTTCTTCAGGGGGTGGGGGGTGGTATAAAGAAAAGTGGAGGTATCTTACTACGTAGAAACCCTTCACCAGCCGTGCGTTTCCCCGGAACTCCGTAGCTGAGCAACAACATAGGTAGTCTTAGCTTGGTAGTAGATATCCCGACGTCTGTGCTTCGGAAGTTTTCGATAGGTTTGTCTGATTTGTCTATCAATCTTACATATGATAGCTGAGTCATTCAAACTATCCACAATATTCCAACGTCCTGCCATAGCTTTCTTAGAGATGCTTAGAAGCGTGATCTGAAATACCTACCTATATTCCTAGTGATATAACAAATTTCAGGTAGAAAGTGGCTAGGTCGCATGATACGGGCCTTAGATTGCAGCAGAACTTGACCTTGAAAATTAACTCTAAGTCTTAGTCAGATCGATGATATTTCCTATCTTTCCTTAACTCCATACCTAGAGTAAAAGCAAGGGTGTAGCCCTAAACACTTCATTGAAAGTGAGAACCGAATTCCACCATAACTCACAGGTAACATGATGAATAAACTCCCATATACCTGGGTAACGGTCTTGTGACAGGCTAGACGTAGAAGAAATTTAGATCTCGGTAGTAGGTTAGGTAGTTGATAAATTTAGCACGCAGTGAGCCTCATCTAACCCATCAGCTATGAGAATCAAGGGAAATCTTTTCACCAAAGGCAAGCGAGTGAGTGCCCATCAAATTGCCAAGTTTAATCTGCCTTTTCCTATTCTCCACCCATCACAAGAGTCCAGACTACATTCTAGATCTCGCAGATCCTATCCAGACTGCCACTTCAGGGGAGATTTGGAATATTCTCGGTTCCAACAGACAACCAAGCTGCCAAGATAGCGCGTTGAAATGAACGATCAGCAGTTCCAAGCTTCAACAACCTAGCCATTGGGACTCAGCTGTCCCAGAACGCGGCAGTTGGAAGGAAACCCAAGATCTCTGCCGGCCCATCTGCGCTAGAACCGTCCTTGATTTTCTAGAACATCTGCCAGCACGTCCACGTATATGAGTGCTGATGCGACTGTAGAGTAAGCGAGTGGCGCATACATGATCTCCCGCCCAGATCAGCATCTGGGCAACATGTTGGGACACATCACGCACCCTCTGGAGTTCGCCACAGCACTCCCCCTTATCCACCTGTCCATGCATGAAGGGTTGACCCAGGTACGCCACGACGGCCCGTCTTCGCGCCACAGACGAACACACTAACTAGGTAGTGACGACTTGCCTTCTCATCCCGTCCAATCTCGATCTGCTGTGTGACTGTAGGGTGGCGCCGGCAGTATGATATTGCCTCATCGACCTTCCGCCCCGAAACCAACACGTTCTCGCACCACATACACACATACGATCGGGTCTTCGAGGCGGCTTGGGGGCAAGTCGACGAGGAAAATAATCGCTACGATCGTAGGTAGTAGGACCTATGCATTCGCATACCGGTTCATCCTTTGGCGCTGCTTACCCCGCCCGGGAGAGTTCGAAAGACGACGCGTCACAAGCAGACGTGGGCGAGCCGTGGAGCCGTAAGGGGCGAGCAATGCCTAAGCGACGAGTATGGCGATGTCTTGCGTTCGTTTGCCTGTCTGCGCCGTCGCATTCTCTGTGGGATAGATGTATGTATGTCAGCCCGTTAGCAACCCGTGTCGTTGCAAAAATCTGTCATGCTGCTAAACCGACACCCCCTAATTTATCCTGAGGCTGCATCATGCAATGCAAACACTATACTACACCCCCCCACTCCCCTGCCCAGTTAAGATAAGATCTGGTGAGTCCCTGTCGAATCAGCCCGGCCAGGTATCATGTATAGACCCGGTGCGGTCTCGAATCGGATAAATAGACTCTTGGCTCTCTTGCCGTTCGCCTTTTCCCTGGTTCAGGTCCAACTTCGGCGGCTCTGCGCGAAGAACCCACCCGGGTATCAAGGGGCAGGCCGCTGCTACGTAGCACAGCGTCGTGAGGGACCACCGACTTGGCGGCTTATTATAAATCGAAGAGGCTCTTCACATGTCGCATTTGTCAGAATTTCAGATCGACGTCCGGTCGCCGAATTCGGTGGGAAAGTGGAAAAAAATTTGACGCGACGAGTTAGCTTTCGTACGATCTCGTTCGATAATTATGCCGAGTAAGAGAAATTTGAAATAATGGGGAAGCGTCCTGAATTACTTAAGGAGACAGTGGATCTTTACGGCCCCTGATTATGTAATTTGAGTCTATTCACAAAAGGGTTACGTACTATGGTCCACAACCCTGTAACTCGCCCTTGAGTCTTAATTTGGCAGAGCAAATTAAACTTGAAAAACAACTTGATAAGTCATACAGTGAATAATGACATATTCGAAGCGTAGTTGAATAGTCTTGAGTATATAACAAATTGACCTCACCTCCTTCAAGCCTCTGATTACGTAACCAGGGGTCAGGGGCTAAGGCAAGACAGGCGATGAAGCGCGAACATCTGAAATTCTCAAAGACACTTAAGAACTAAGACTAGACAGAATCTATATCACTATTTGGGACAATATTTATCTCATTGCGTGTCTTGGTTGAAAATACTTCGTTCACATCTGTCAAAAGCACTCTTAGCTCCCACTCTCGACGACACTATCTCCAACCTCCAATTACCGCATTAGGAAACTAACAAGAGCTTCAGTCGCATCGATTCAGATGTAACTAATCATATTACAGTAATCAATCTACCATAAATCTACCTCCGTCTTGGTATAGGTATATAAAAAGCATCGTGTAATTGTGTGTGTACCTTGGGCCATCTACCACCGCTGAGTTCGTGTAAAACGCTTCGACGACAATTGAAAAAGAGCAAGAAAAACCAACAATAAAACGGGTAAACGACGCTGAGAAAGTGGTATGTAAATGCTTCGACAACAGTATAACCCAAAGGAGCCCCCTTTTTTTCGTAAGCCGCGAGCCCAGCTCTAACACAACAACGCCGCCCGCCGGTACCGTCCCCGATACTATCAATTCATCAAACATAAATTAGGTAGCATCATTAAGTGGATTGATTTAGTTCAATCCTGTCCGTGTGGATATAGTTTGTTTTTTTTAGGTCGAGTCTTGCTCGACCTCACCGCACCGCATCGTTCATTGCGGAGCCTCCTTCTCGATCTTCTTCCGGGAGATGTACACCTCGAGCCCCTCCTGGACGACGAAGAAGGTCGCCTTGGCCTTGAGCTCGCGGCCCGGGTAGGCCAGCTGGAACTCGAAGTCGCGCAGCAATCTAGGGATCACCTTGTTGATCTCGAGAAGTGCTAGGTTTCGGCCGATGCAGACGTGGGAACCACCGCCGAACTGTTTTAAATTGTCAGTGATTACTTCATTTGCTTGTGAATGGAATATATGGGCATACCTGGAACATGTACCGCTCCATCACCTTAGCATTCTCAGGATCCTCAAGCCATCGCTCCGGACGGTAGACGTCGGCGTCCTCGCCAAAAGTGGCCTTGTCGCGGTGCAGTACCCATCCGTTAAGCGCGAGCCGCGTGCCGCCGGGGATGTGGCGACCTTCGATCTCGATACCCTCCGGCGGCACGTATCGGGCGATGTTAACACCGACCGCGGGACGCACACGCATCGATTCCTTCAAGCAAGCCTGGAAGTAGGACAGGTTCTGTGCATCGTTCCATTGTACGTTGCCTTCGGCATGAATCTTGCCTTCTTTCACAGCGGTCTCGATTTCTTCTACCAGTCTAGAGTAAATGCGTGGTTGGGAGAGAACCTGCCAGAAAAATGATTGCATGGTCGAGGCCGTCGAGTCCGATCCAGCGAAGCTGTTACCGTCATGTCAGCTGACTTGCACTTGATATAAACAAGGACGAATCTATTGATACTCACATAGCACCATGTGCCACAGCAAAGATATCACCCTCATGGAACTTCACCGGGTCTTTCAAGTGGCCCTTGATCAAAGAAGACAAAAGGTCCTCACGGCCATCGCTACCAGCACCCTTTCCATCACGGTCGACCTCGAAAGGACGACGCTTCCGCATCTCGTCGCGGGCGATCCTCGTGATGAGCGCGTTTTCGGGGTTGAACGCGGGGATCCACCTCCAGAGCGGGTTCCGTCGGAGCAGGCAGTCGATCTCGGGGATCTGGCCCACGATGCCGTTGTACTTCTGGCTGTTGTCGATCGTCTTGATGGCGCTCTCCTTGTCGACGCCCGCGGCCAGGAAGCCGAACGAGCGGCCGAAGGCCACTTCTCCCAGGACGTCGAAGGCGAAGAAGTGGAGCCAGTCGCCGAGGTTCACGATGGGGTTCCTGCCGGGAAGCCCGGCCTGTTGGAATCCGGGAATGGCGGTGTCGGGACAGAACTGGTCGAGCCGGCTGACGAGGAAATCGATGGTGTCGTCGATAAAGGGGCTTAGTTGCTTCATGGCTGCCATCGAGTACGGGACATTGGCCACCTTCTTCTTCATGGCGTGGACATCCTCGCGGATCTCGGTGAAGATATCCGGGTTCTCCGGTGGCGGAAATACCGAGTAGAAATCCGTCTTGTAAAACCGCTTGCCTGCCGAGAGGACGTTTCTGGCGACCGTGGGAGACGAGAAGGAGAGCTCATTGGGAGAAATTCGTACGATGGGTCCATACTTCTTGTGGAGTTCTATGTGATGTAAGTGTGTTCGTTCGGAGGCCGTGGAGATGATTTTCCAGAGTCGTGAGAACGAAGCTAAGAACGGTCCCGGGTACTCTCGCAACGGAGACGCATAGCGTATGTATAGGATACGGGCGATGAGGAAGAGCGGTATAAGAAGATACCATTGCTCCTTGAAGATATCCCACGCTGCCAGGAGGACAACCCTGGTTGGGGAGATTGTGTTCTCGTCGCTCATGGTGAAGGACTTTATATGAAACAAGAGATATATGAGACTTCCTATGAGGTTTGGATGGGAAAGTGGTCTCAGGTAGGTTTTCTAAAGGGAGACTGTTGAGGGTTCCTTGCAAGTTTTTATTACACACCACTCCTGTTGAAGGAGATCTCGTGGGATACAAATATAACTAACGAATAGAGGACAGCAAGGCGAGTGATGTCAAGACGTTCCTTGATGAAGTAATGGCTTAATCACTTGGATTAATCAGAATCGTTAATCAGACTTCAGGGGTTCTCAACAAATCTAACAAATCTACCCTCCCAAATTCATCAAGCATGGTCCAGATCTCAGGGCAATTTAGATATATGAAATACTCGCCAGTACCTGCTGGCATGTCGGTAAATCATACCGATTCGCACGGCGTCGTCCCCGACCAACATCGTCTGATACGTTCATACGCGATCTCAGATGCCATAGATTACTCAAGCACTTATTAACCTCGGCGCACATCCGGTCGACCAATCAGTGAACTGCCGACGAGATGCTATAGCCCACGGCTGAGGATTTCAAAACGAGGCCTGGGCGCTATTCACGGTGGAGTATGGTCAACATTGGGGAATAAGCGGGGAGGAAACGAGACGAATCCACCATAATCCACCGTGGTCCATAATGCAGGGATACGAGCTGAAGGGTCAGTGGGTTTTGGGGGTAACAGGAGGTTTGGGAGGTAACAAAGAGTGTGTCGGCAACTAAAATGAGACCGGCTGGATTCGCTGATTCGTATGCCCTCATGTTCGTGGGGAAACAAGCTAGGATGAACGCCCTGGAGTAGTCGTATAGCATTATTAAAATCAAATGCCGGAGAAGCACTACGTAAAACGTGGTATCGATCTCCACACTAGTTAGCGAAGACTTGGCACCAGCGCCGTGGTTATGGGTGGTTATAAATATACCATTGCCAACCATGGCCCTTAGAAACGTCATCGGAACCAATCCGAGCAGATATCTGGCGATCCACTCGCCTGGTTCTCTGGTTTACGCAGACACTAGCTAGGTATCCTACTAGTCGTGGTCTAGCCATAGTCAAATCGTAGTCGAGAGTTGCTGGTGCCGTCAGCCCGTGCGGCGCTGTGACAATGTGACACCCCTCCCGCTACGTTACCCCATATCTTACCAGCTTACCCATCTTGGGTAAGTGTACGCCGCACTAAACAGCAACCAACGCGGTGAACAATCGTGCGTTTGTCGTAAAGCCAGATACATCATCTTCGATCACAAACGGAGATACTACCTAGTAAGTCATAATAGTTGTATTAAGCATCGGTGCCTAGTATCAATTGGTATCATGCCGCCTATCCATCCGGTGTGGTACTCTTTGGCGAAGAAAAAGCAAGAAAAAGCGATAAAAACAGCGAGGCAAACCAAGTTAGATCAACTAACCCACATGCGCGGTGCCGTTTAATCCCACTTTTTGACTTCGGCACCGTCGGGAGGCTGGGCCTTGTACGTCTTGCTCTGGGCTTCGGCCCAGTTGGTGCTCAGAGACGTACCGTTGCTCTCGACGAAACTCTTCATCATTGCTCGCTTCGAATCAGGGTTTGCATTCCTATACAGATCCTGGAAGAACGAGTTGACGTCGCTGTCCTCATCTTCGCCGTCATCGTCGACATCCTCAAGCTTGTCCCAATTCACCACTTTCTTAGAGGATGTGGGGTAGGCTTGGGCGCTGGTGGCCTTTGCCGAACCTTCCTTGCTGACAGTTGGAGTAGGCTGAGTCGCGGGGCTTCCAGCTTGCGTTAGACCACCCTTAGGTTGAGCAGTAGTCGTAGCTTCGGTTGGTGCACTCGGGACCTCTGAGCCTTCCACGGCTGATACCATGTGATCATCCAGACCATCCTGGAGCTTCTCTAAGAGAAAGGTATACCAGGCATTGCGGTTTACATGGCAATCATCAATGCCCAGCCGCTTGGGGTTCTTATACCTGGTGATCGTTAGTGCTACATATTCCCAGAAATCTTGACGGCAGATGGTACGAACCCTAAACGTCGAATGAAGGAAGTGAATTCTTCGAAGGAGGGGTGGGACTTGGTGGTTCCTGAGAGGTTGTTGAATCCTTCGGCATCCTCCCGCTGCAGCATCGGCCATTTTCCTGCCGTTTCCTTCTGAAGGACTAATTCAACCTTCATCGACTTGACATTGTGTTTGATTTCGCCAGGCTTAATCCTACCCCAGAGGTTCAGGTGGACATATTCAGGATGGGTGTTTGGGAACGGTCCCATAATAACATTCTGCTTCTCCGGTCTCACGGAGAAGCGATCCGCGGGCACATTCTTGACGAAGAAGTCCGCGTTGACAGTGGTGTTTGTCTGGTAGAAGTTGGTTCTGATGAGGTTGCTCGTGTGACCGGCGACGAATTCATTGTAGAGAAGCTCCCAGTCATCGTTAGAACCACCCTCCGCACTCTCATCGCTCTCTTCGGTGTCACTGTCGACGCTATCCTGGTCTGACTCGGAGAGCTTGGGAAACTTCTCCATCGGGTTCACTTTACGACCAGGATGTCCAGCAGGTAACTTCTCCATCTGGGTTAGGGACTGGATACGCCATGAGAGCGCTTGGTTTCGTAGAGCCGATTCCTTAGTTCTCGAACCAGAACCACGCAAAGCGGTAGAAAGACCTTCTCCTGCAGCAGGTGTATCCGCATTCTTAACCTCAGCAGCGGTCACCATGTAGTCTCCAATCTCGTTAACTTTCTTCTGTTGTCCATCATCCTCGCTAACCTTTGCCCCGTCGACGAGTCTCGTGGCCCAAAAGGCACAAATGTCGGCGTCAGCATAACGGCCTAGTCGAAAGAGGGTGACGGCACGTCGAATCTGAGCCTCGATCATGTAATCTCGGTTTGCGCGCTGAAAGGATACCTCCAGAGCCTGCTCGGCATCGCGTAGGGCAAGGTCGATCTCATTCGTTCGCACATAGGCTTTAGAGCGCTCAAGAAGCCAAAGAGGTGCCGGATGGTCTTTAAGGGCATCAGTCAATTTGTCGATTCCCTCCTTGTATCTGCGATCGGCGACAGCTTTAATGCCTTCATCGGCAAGGCCGGCGGCGGCTGGCATTGTGACGAAGTCTTCTAGTAAAATATTTCAACGGTTGATTTGATTGGATAGTTGGATGATCGTACGATTAAGTTGAATATGGTATGAGACGTCAGTATTGAAGACGTCCCTATGCTAGGTTGTGGTGATGCGAAAAATGATGGATGGTTGATTGATTGATTTGTGGTGGGGGTGTATTGATTGAGGGTGGGATTGAATGAAACGAGATTAGATTAAATGAATTTCAAGAAGTGTCTTGAAATTGTGACATGGATTAATCAAAATCGTACAAACGTTATTCAAAGAAGGTGACTCCAAGTTCACTCCAGTGTTGGAAGGAACTCCAGGTCTTGTTGTTTGTTGGCACTGCAGCCTTAGAGATAACTCAAATCTGCAGATGGAACTCACTCGGTGCGGCGCGTTTGCAGGTGGTACCTGAGATTTGGACTATGGAAGCTACTAGAGCTGTTGGCGGGGTTCACTATTTCTGCCGGGCTTAATTCTGAAAATGGTAAGCGGTACAACGTTAACCTAAAGCTAGGACCGTGGTAGCTGCTTACCGCCCAGCAGCTTCCAAAAGTTATGTTAGATTTAATAAAGCAAGAACCTAATATAGTGGATCACTATATAACGTAGGGCTGGCTACGTCAGTTTCGAAAGAAACAGGCAGACACCTCTAGTATAAAAAGGAGAATAAGGCATTGATAGATTGGACACTGCTAAAATTACCGTCATACGTGTGGCATTAAGTATTATTAGATTTTACTACCTACTATGTACTTCGGATCAATCCCATTCTCGTGTCATTATGTTATGCAACAACGCTTGTCGCTTCCAAGAATCACGCCATTAAACCACCGTCTCGTTAGGATATTTCGTCGCAAACATCCCAAGTGCCTTCATCGTGAAAGTAAATTTGTAATTTGGGTATGAAATCATGCAGCTTTTGTTGAACACTCCTTCGATTGCTTCTTGTTTCCATTCGCCATTCGGTTGTTGTCTGTCCATGATGAGCTTGATACCCTTCTTAAGGGGCTTGATGTCAGGGTAATCAGCTTTCATCAAAGCTATCAAGGCCCAAGCTGTCATTACGACTTGTGACCCTGTCGGGTGTTCGGTGTACACCATTCTTTCACAGGACTAGAGATTGTTAGATCCCAGCTTTCTAAACAGACCTGGTTAGATAAGGTACTAGGAAGAAATCAACTTACTCGATAGCTTTCCGACCATCCTCCATCCTCTCTCTGTTTGGAAATTAAGAAATCGCAACCTCTCTTCGAGTAGGAGCTATTGCTGTACGTCTCCCCAATGCTTCTCAGGCTCTCCAGCGCAAACATCGTAGCGTAGGTAAAACATATGGCCCAATTGCCGTACCACGATCCGTCCGGTCTCTGTAATGACTTGACAGCTTTTACGGATCGCGCAACGAAGTCCTTGATTTCTTGAGGCCTGTAATCAGGCCAATGTTTCTGGAACAGCGAGAGCGCAGTGACTACCGCTGTTGTGCACTCCACGTAATCGTATTCGACCATGATCTTGCCAAAAACCTCTGCCGCGTTCAGCATCTCCAGGCGCTCGCTGCCTCGTGTCGGTTCATACGATGAGCAAGCGCCGGACTTGTTCTGGTAGGTTAACAGAGTGTCAATGGCGTCAAATATGCGCTGATCCTCGAGGAGTTGAGGATATCCCGGAGTTTTCTGCAGAAGAATGACCGCTTTCAAAGCCTCAGAAATGCAATCGCACACGGCATATCCTTGGTCTCTGGTACTGAAAGCCCATGCGCCCTTTCGTTGCTGGCGGTAGCATATATCCTGATCCTTACAGTTCTCGCGTATTTGCTGATCGTCGAGAAATTTCAGCGCTTTTGTCAACATCGGTCTCCATCGAGGATCTTGCTCGAGCTTCGAGTCAGTTGCAACTTGGATCAAGAATGATGTATCCCAGCATTGCACACCATTCGTGCCATTGCAGAGCATGCCTTCATTTTTGACCCACAACGCATCCTCGAGTCTTTCCAGGTGTCTCCGGACTGAATATGAGCCAGGACCATCACGAATATAGCATACGACCGTATTCATAGCCGCGTTTACTGGTGCCAAGTCTGCGAAGTCCGTATTTTCATCTTCCATATCAATAAGCTTACTAGCCCAGTCCTCGGCTTTTTGACCTAGTGCCTTGGGGCGGAGGTAAGCGTTCCAAATATTGACGAGGAACCAGTTAGCGGTATTAAGAAGCCATGACTTTGGGTGGTAGTTATCGATGGGGCATATACTGTTCCGATTGCCGGCCCAGTCAATCTCCTCCCACGGCTCGACGAATAGTTCTTGTCTCAAGCCTCGAATAATATCCGTCTCTTCGCACGACCATTTCTTCTCGTAGACGTAGCCCATAGGTAGGAAAACTTGGCGCATGTGAATCCACCATCTCCAAGGAGCAAACGGTACCCAGTCTGGGAGTAGCCATAGCTCAGCTGGGATGGGGTTGACGATATCCCATTTGCAAACACCTAGTATACTCAGCCAAAACTTAGCCCAATGAGGGGCAAACGTAGCTCCTCCAAGCTTATGCAGCGTCCCTCTAGCCTTAACCATCACCGGGTGATCGGGATCAACGCCGACGATACGGAGGACGGTATAATTCAATGATATACCGAAGACGGTACTCTCGCCTTCTATATGCAAACCCCAGCCCCCATCTTCCGGATGTGCTCTCGCGAACAGATAATTCTTGATCTCCGTAGCGACGTACCAAGGAATCGGCTTTTTCGTGACATACCAGGTGATGACTATGCCAGGTAGAAGGAATCCAGGTCCACCGTACTCGCATCCCCATTGGCCCGAAGGCAGTTGGAGCTTCTCGAAGAATGTTAATCCATTGACAACGGAATCGAGAGGTTTCGTGGGTTTGGGTAGAGCAGGAAGTCCCTATGATAAACGTAAGGATTAGTTACGTGTCAAGATGGCGGGATGAAGCTCTCACGGTCTCTAGTCCGAGGTACCATTTATCGGCACAACTCTGCGGCCACTTTTCCACAGCATCATCATCTTCCAGATATCGCCAAGTATGTCTTCCATTCTCATCTAACATGCGCCATCGTGTTAAATCGGTCTTCTGTTCGAGTTTTGGACGTTTGGAAGCTGTTTCGAGGCTATCATCGCTGAGACGTTTCCCGTGTTGCTTCTCGAACGATATGCCGTTACCTGTGCCATTGGATTTTCCATTGGCTCGTGGGGTACCATTGGTCTTTGCGGAGCTGCTCGATCGAGTTGTCACCATGTTGAAGATTACAGAGGAATTGACGTTGATTTAGAAACATCAGAAAGGAGGTGTCGTAAGGTTTAAAAGGTACGATTCCAATTTCCCACTAGACTGCAGCTATACCGCAACTGTTCGGGAAGGCGATCCTTCCGATTTTCCGCCTATTTTGTTCATATGCACGCATAATTAGTGGATACGGTTACTGCCATTGTACCTTGCATATCGCACTACGGCAGCCGCAGAGCCCGTAGTGTAAGGTTCCCAGATAGCGATTCCCGCAGGGGACAGGGATTCCGTAAGAGCTTAATCTGGGGAATGTAAGAGGCTAAGAGCTCCGTCGATCCCCACCCTCTGCAAACCTCTAGGGCTGATTTATGTAGGTACCTTCCTGCCTTGCACATGCATCTTCAAGGACACGAACGGAACATGCAATTGCATCCCTTATTTCAATTATCTACATGGTATTTGGTACTGTAGAATAGAAGGAGCGCCCTTCCATGGTCATTTGTTATTTATTGCCTTCCAAGATTGTGTCGTTCTAGATCTATTTCATCATACATATCAATGATCATTTTAAAAATGATAAGCCAAGTCATGTCAACGTACATCATCCTGCAGTATGAGCGAACAGCAAGACTACAACACTGTCGCCAACGCTAGAGATGCCACACAGGATACGCAAGGACGCACCGTCATTTCCAAGATTGAAAGCATTCTAGAAGATATTATCGATGCGCTTAGCGAGAATCGAATACTCACCATTCCTCTACGCAGTCGCCGGTCGGGCAACGAGAACTTGATTCGATTTCCAGCAAACACAGGTGCCGAAGTAAAGAGATTCAGTAGGTTCACCTCGTGTATTGCACCTATTTTTGTGTGTCCTATATTCACTCACAGTTCCGCTTTCTACTCTCAAGCGTGTCTTCTTCAGATTCTTCATATGTGCCACGAGGCGCTGGTCTCCGGTCACGTCATTACAAAGAGGTCTATTATCCTGCATCATTCTATTCCCAGGACTAACCGCTAAACATCATCAGAAATATATACTACCAGAATCCAGACCTTTTCGGAAACCAACCATACGTAGACAACTTAGTCGACGATGTCGCCTTCACGTTCGGAGTTGGTAGAGATGTGCTAAACATTGTACGAGTTCCGTGGATGATACCCTTAGAGTCTAATATCAACTACCAAAACAGGTTGCCGCCTACAAAGGCCTTGTCGCAGGAAACATCACTATCAGGTTGAAGAGTAATTCTGTATTGGATTGCAGTTCCGATCATAATGTGAGATCTCACGGTTCAAGGGGAAACCACATAATTACTTAGGTGACTAATATGATACCGCAAGGGTATCTTGATTCCACATGCCGAAACCATCCATCAAATTGATATCGGTGAGGCCAAATGGGTCATGGTCATCGAAAAGGAGGTGAGCCCTTCTGGCATCTAACCCTCGGGATGAATGGATCTTATAGCTTCACCAGGCCACCTTCCGTGGACTGGCTGCGTCCCGATATTATGAAACGTCAGCTGCCGGAGCGGGGCTTCTGATCACAGTAAGACCTCATCCACGACCTCTGTGACCAAACGATTTCGGTCTTCACTGATGGTTTCTCTAGGGCAAAGGTTATCCTGATCTCGTCACACGGCAGTTCCTTCACCTTCTCGATTCTGCCTTTCCCCAAGTGCCTATTCATGCGCTCGTGGACTTTGATCCCAGCGGCATTGACATTATGCTCACGTACAAGCATGGGAGTCGTAGTCTCAGCCACGAAGAGAATATCACAACACCCAGGCTTTCGTGGCTTGGACCCAAAGGTTGCCATATTCTAGGCCATACTAATCAGCGCCCTTCAGTAGGGAACCACTCTCAGACACACCAATCCTTCGATTTTACCCCACCATCTAATCGAGAGATGTTAATACCTCCACCATCTGTGCCAGTCTCATCAGCAAATCCAGTCCAAGTCTTATCTAATCTCACTGCCTTTGATCGACGTAAGGCGACAAATCTTTTGAGTAGGCTGATTAAGGAAAACAACGAGATGACGGACACAAATATGGCTGAAAATGGACTAGTATGTGAGTTGCAGCTAATGCTAATGTTAAACCTCAAGGCCGAGATTCAAGCTGTAGATGATGCTGGCGACCTGACTGGCTGGTTGGACGAGAAACTTTCGGATGGACAATACTGATCGATCAAGTGAGTCGCATAAATATGGTATCCAGCGCTACTTCTTGATTGTAATACCCTATACCTCTACTTAAGTTGATAAATGAGTTCACAATCAATAACATTGACTAGGTAAGTATTGTGACCTTAGGAAAGAAGTTATTAATTTTTGCTGTCACGTGATCTTTTGCAATTCACCGTGCTAGCGTATGCATAATTTTCAACAGTGCCATCATAAAAAATACTTCGATATTTTTAGAATTTCAGAATTTCTGAGTCCCAAATCGATTTTCACCTCCGACGCTATTAATCTACTTAGGGAGTCATATATCCTCGTCAGATTCACAAAGCTATCCTTAAACTTCCCCCGGAAACCATTTGTGCCTGAGAAAAGGAACAACAAATTCCTCCCATCCATCCTACTAATTTAATCCGTCACTCACGACTAAAGCACGGACCAAGCCAGGGTTTTGCCAAGTCAAGATAGAGAGATCCAGTTTACAATAAAGGAGTAAGGGGAACTGTAGGGAGATAAGCAGAAAATGGCACCGAAGTTGTCAGAAGATGAGATCGATGATCTCATCTACCTGGCCAGGATTGGCGACGACACTGAGCTCACGGAGATGGTCCAAGAGCTCACTAACCGTGAGGCTGCCACACCTGCCGAGATCTTAGAGGCTGCCAGAGACGACAGCAAGGCAACTTGCTTGCACATGGCATCAGCGAATGGGCACGCAAGTAAGTCCTACCAGTTCATTTCTACTTGCTCTCCATATCTCATATATACCCCATTCATTCTATGCTCATAAGCTTAGGATGGAGGATTCTAAGATTGGACATTCAATCAAGAGGAGATTGCATATGTTGTAATCCGTACCCCATATTCGATCTATATTGCAACCTCAACTCTTCACTGACGGGGACATTCGCTGACACGTCCAACATAGAAACCGTCACATCAATACTATCACACTTTCCTCCTCCCAAAACGTCAAAAGCAGCAATTACTCAGGCGTCGTCTACAGAAGATAGTTCGCCCTCAACAGACGTGTCAACAGAAACCTCGTATGTCAACCTCCAGAACTCGTTTGGAAACACAGCCCTACATTGGGCATGCCTAGGTGGCCATCTAGATGTCGTGAAGCTATTACTGTCAAGGGGCGCCTCACCCACAGCGGCCAATGACAAGGATCAAATCCCACTAGACCTAGCGGCTTTCAACAACCATATGCATGTCGTGGAGTATTTTTTGTCTCAAAGCAAGGACATCGAAGGGGATAACGCAAAGGAAGGCGGGCTTGAGAAAGGTACACAGAATGTGCGGATGGAAGACGAGAGCCATGGTGGAGAAGAAGTTGGTTCTAAGGTAGAGCCAGGCGGTTAGATTCAGGTTACATCATTAAAGCTAAATAATAACCATCAACGGATTACCATATGACTACTCACCCTCGTGCCATGGCTATTCGGAATGCATACCCTTACTCAAATTGACATTACCAAGAACAGATTTCTAGTCATCAGCAGAACGGGAAAAGAACTACTGCCTATATGACCACGGAGTTATATACTAAAGGATATTTCCAGGCTGGTGAGGTACAAAAGAAGAAACATAATACCCAAAGATACCCCAAAATCCGCAGCCAGATATTTAAACCAACATCGTGTGAGGGTCTCCTCCAAATGACAGAAGTTGCAGCTGTTTCAGCCAAACACACAATGTAGTTAGAGAGGAAGAATCGAATTTCTTGTCTCATCATGTTCCTCTGGAGGACTAGGTGGACGAGTCCATGGCATACCCCTGAGAAAAGAAAAATCCACAACGCTCTCAAGCTCTTCTTGGCAGACGTTTGCCACCAACATTCTGTTCCTCGCCAATACTGAAAGCGGGGCATATAAGCGATGATGGTCTCAACATGTAACTTGTGCCAGAAAATGCCCCAAAATCGACGGAGTGAGTATGCTTCGGCAATGCTACCAAACAAGCACGGCCAATCTGAAGGCGCGTCCCACCGTAGAATAGATACAAACAAAACAGAAAATACATCATAAGCCAAGTTGATAATACAATAATCACTCAAGATCCAGTGGAACGATATAATTGCCCGTAGAAAGAGGTCTCGAGAACCCATGGGAGGCAAGAGGCTTTGCTTCGCAGGGGCAAAGTCTTCGATGCTGATTCCGAGCTTGAGGATAGACCCGAAGGCTAATGATGTAATAGAGCGATTTATAAACCATAGAATTAGGATTCTCATTACTCTTGTGGTGGCAAAGAGCACGCGAGTGGTTGTTACTCCATTCTCCATATGAGGCGTAACATCTCTCTTAGTGAATGGCAACCGGCGGAAATTGCTCCATGCCCAGAATGTTTCTCTTAGATCATCCTTCAAACATGTTGGGGGTTTGCCAACGACTTTTTCCTGGGTGAATAGAGTAGTGAAGGCATGTAGGCCGGTCGTGATAGCGAATAACACCCAGATTTCCGAATAGGGGCTTGGAATCAAGCTGTCCCCAATTATACTTCTTATCGTACTAAAGAGATGAAGAACGCCTAAGACATATCGAAGATAACCGGGAGGCTCTCTGATGGCGAAGTAGAAGAGCAAAGCCGCTAAAAGAAACCAGAAAGCCGAGAAAAGCATGACGAGCTGTGATATGGTTGATGGTGAGGCACGTTCTCCTAGTCACCTTGCTATGATTGGATGTCGTCCATATCGAATATAAGATGATGTTTTGAGGGATATATATGCCGAATATTAGGTAGTTTCATAACCTCTTGTTGCATTGCTTAGAGAATGCTAACATATCGATGTCGTAATATCAGGAACTGATCCGATGCATCGAGAGGATGCAAACTCGATCAGACGCCCATTAATAATCATAATCACCATACCTCTAACATGAACGGCGCTTAGATATAAAATATTACTTCAAGATATTTCCTTGTTGGTAGTACACGCCGTCTTGCTGGGACCTTCGCGGACACAGGGGATCCCAACCAGCAGGGTCTCAATGCGCTCAACGAAATCTAATATTTAAAGTGCGTCTATATCTTTAGATAAAGCAAACGGCGTATCAATATAGGTAATCAAAAACCCATCTGTGGGCTTAGATGATTCTGCGACGCTTTCGAGTTATCCGTTACCCCTTACGACGTGATTAGGTAACCTAAGTGAGATGGTCTATTAGACAGCAAACAAGATATAATAAAATCATATAAACCATACACCTAACTCGTTTACTGTAACATACACTAAATAGGAATTATATATCGGGCTTGGCAATTGCGGATTGAAAAGCCTTTCTTAGGCGATGAATTTGATGTAATTACTTACCGACTCAATACGTGTATATAAGAGTGAGCCTGGATACCTTCATGGGACTTCCATCACATACCTATTCTCAACTTGACAGCCCAATCCAACAAATTCTCTAAGTTCGTTCGCTCATATACACATCTTCCAATCCAAAATAAAGAAATATCAATTCAAAGCTCACCATGTCAGTTCTTGACTTGATCATCCAAGCAATTGTTGATGTTATTGACGGCGCTACGGCCTCAAATGGCAAGAGAGAGATCCCACTGATTGCAGGTCCTATGGGCGCACGCAACATCATCGACACTGAGTCTGTACCACGCGTTGACCTTGCGAAGCGAATCAATCTCGACGCGGGACCTTGTGGCGTTCCCCAGTATAACTTCGATCTTTGCGGCAAGTCGCTTCACGGCGTCACTATCAAGAGTTCAACTCCAGGGCAAGGAGGTAAGTTCTCTTGCAATAGAACATGATCTATTGGCTTTCACGAGACTTATATTCTTCCCAGAGGCCCAGTATGACAATGTCCCGCCTACCTGCATGGTTCTCTCTACAGTTCTGGCAGGGAATTGCGACATGAGCGAGGGTCCTTACCCAATCCCCTGCGGCGCCGCTTGTCTATTATATACTGGAGTAAAGGACGGGGATCTAGATAAACTCAACAAGGCGCTTGGGGTAGTATCAAACCCATAGGGATTTTTCTCCTTTTCTCTCCTTTTTCATCTGGTTTAGGTTGTTACCGCAGGCTGCACAGGATAGGTTTAAGGGTGATTATGGAGGATCAATCTGTCGAGAGAATCGGGGTTGGTGTCTGGTGATATGTTCAATGGTAATATTGGACAAGTGTAGTTTTCCATTTCAGATAATTAAGGAAAATGAATTTCACCCCTGAGATGATCGAACTTCGAAACAGGGATTGGAGTAATTCGGCTGGGCGGTAAATGTGGGGCGGTTTGTGTAACTTGAATTACTAAGGTAATGTTAGTGCATCGGCATTAATCAATAAAACCGAGAGATCTCCGAGCTTGTCAGCGCCTGAACCTATTAAATTCTTCTGTTTTACATCAAATATCTCACTGAAGAACATCCAGCAGCCACTCAAATCGACCGGAGGCTTTTCAAGCCACATACAAAATAATGTCGGACCCAACGTTCGACTCCAAAACCGCAGCGTTCTTGGAGTGGTTCAAGTCCTGGCCGGGTGCAACTTTTCACTCGGATATCACGATTGAGGATCTCCGCAAGACGGGAGCCGGAAGAGGAATCGGTGCGGCACAATCAAGATCAAAATACACGTAATAACATTGGTTACTAATCAATGTTGTTTTTATCTTAGTTGCTACCGCGGACATCCCTGAGGACACAGTGCTGTTTAATATTCCCAGGACATCAATCATTAACACGCAGACTTCCGATCTCCCTAAACGCATACCCCAAGTCTTCGAGACGACAGGCTTGGAGGATGCCGACAATGAGGCAGACGAGGATGGGAGTGAGACTAGCGGGCCTCCCGATAACTGGATCTCACTTATTCTTATCATGATTTACGAGTACCTCCAGGGAGATAAGTCACGATGGAAGCCTTACTTCGACGTGCTTCCCACTCAATTTGAGACGTTGATGTATTGGTCGGAGCAGGATCTCCAGGAATTGCAGGCCAGCGCGGTGGTCGGCAAGATTGGTAAGAACGAGGCCGACGAGATGTTTCGTACTAGAGTGCTGCCTGTGATAGAGGAACATGCAGATGTCTTCTATCCAGATGGATCACAAAGGCTTAGTGAACAGCAACTCTTGAACCTCAGCCACCAAATGGGCAGTACTATCATGAGTTACGCGTTTGATTTGGAGAATGATGACGAGGAAAATGACCCGGAAAACGACGACGAGTGGGTGGAGGATAAGGAGGGCTCCCTTATGATGGGTATGGTCCCGATGGCGGATATTCTGAATGCTGACGCTGAATTCAACGTGAGTATATTCCGCATTATCGTTTCGCAGAACAGACGTTGACTGTCTATAGGCTCATGTTAATCATGGCGAAGACAGTTTATCTGTCACGACACTCCGGCCAATTCCGGCTGGCACAGAAATACTTAATTACTACGGACCTCTCGGCAATGGGGAGTTGCTCAGACGCTACGGGTATGTAACAAGTCGCCATGCTCGGTATGATGTTGCGGAGATATCCTGGGACTTGATATTATCTGTATTAAAAGATACCATCAAAGTGGACGAAGCGATCTGGGGTAAAGCGGTCAATGAGCTCGACTTGGAAGAGATTGAAGATGCTTTTGTTATTGAACGAGATTCAGGGGAGCCGGATTCTACAGGCCAGCTTCGCGAAGAAGCCCCTCTTAAGGAAATCCCCGCGGATCTAACGGAACAACTCCACGCGATACTTAAGGCGATCAGGAAGGTCAGCCCAACGACAATCCCAAACAAAGACACGCGAGATGAGATCGCATTAGTAGCCATGCATCGCGCCCTCGAGTTAAGATTAGCCCAATACCCGACAAGCCAGGCCTTCGACTTCAACTTATTGTCCAATGATAAGGTTTTCGGTCGGCAGAAGATGGCCTTGGCTGTGCGATGGGGCGAGAAAGCGCTGCTGCAAGAAGCGATCAACTTTGTGCTGGAGAAGCTGTCAAAGGTCAAGTCAAAAACCGATCACGAAAGTGAACCATACGCGAAAAGACAAAGGACGAGATGAAGTCGTGATCATACCATCTACACGAATCTAATGCAGGTCGGGATTGTGGTTTCCGCCGTGTTCTTCCGAACTATGGTTCACCACGTGGTGTGCCAGCCTGATGGCCTGACATCTGGCACAGCGTGCCAATTAATTAGGTGGTGCAGGTAGCGTCGATATTTCACCCCCAAATTGATATACTGTGGTTGCGAGTCGCAGTTGGGGCGTCGATCACAACTGGTATTTTCCGACGGACCTATCACGTTTTCTAGCCGTGCGATTTTAAAGATGGGCGGATGTGTGAAGATGCAAGGACTAGGATTGAAAATAAGGTGCAGCTCAGAAATAGACAGTTTTAGCTTAGATGTTAAATTTAGGCCTCGCGGCAATCACACTTCTAGTTCCTGAGGCTGCATGCCAAAGAGGAGTTCGGAATATCTAGATTGATGACTCTTAACTTCGTAACCCCAACCATGGTCCTTGGAACCATTTCCTAAACAGTCATCGTCCAGCCTTATGCTTATCTTCCCAATAGCACGTGTATTTTCCACGTCGTCTATTGTATGCAATTGTCCAAACTAAAATTTACCTACAACACCTAACATTTTCCCTGGTTCCCGTCTATTCCTATTCCTTACCTACACCCGCCCTACACCATACACCGTATACCATACAATTCGGCATACACAAGCAAGGGATGGGTGACATTCGTCTATTCCAACGACCGACAACCTGGCACAGCTGTGTGATGTAGATCAAAGCCTCGCCTCAACACGAGAGTAGGTAAAGGACTAGGTGATTTCTTATTTTCACCGACCTTTTCTTTCATGATCTTTTCCCCCCATTCGTCTGAAACTTTAATATCTAATCAAGTTACACGTAGGTTTCGTACTCACGGAGCCGTTCAACCGTGGAATGGTCGAATGATCTTCCCCGCTTGGCACTACTCGTATCGCATCACTGTTACATTCTTCCATCGTACTACATAGTGAATAGTGACTTGCCCTCGAAACTATTGAGCAAGATGGCATACCTGTGGCAATCCATCGTCATTTCGCTCTTCGCTCTTCTGGCCGCGATCGTTGCCATACTTCTGTAAGTGGTTGTCGAAATTACCGCCAATTCTTTTCAATATATATGGGACGAAGCTTATTGACTGTCACACCTAAGTAGATGCGCTCGTTGGGGTGTATGGGATTGCCTGTGTTTCTATCCAAACCAATGGTTTGGCACGAGCGGAAGACGATTTCCGAAGACGATTCAACAGGCGTTAACACAACTGGAGGGTGTGACCGAGAAGAGAACCCGTCGTAACTCACAGACAGAGGCAGAAGAAGCGGAATGGTGAGATCTCTCCTTAGTTCTTTTTATATGTGTCTCATGATACTGACTGGGAAGACAGCCCAATATGTCTTGGACCCCTTTATCCCAGAGAAGCCCGTACATCTACATCGGTGGAGGAAGATAAAGTGGACCTAGAGGCTGGCCACGGGATAACAAGAACGCATACGACGACCACCGAAGTGACGACGGTGGAAAGCAAGGACCAATCCGTACAGCCTATCAACGACGACGTCCTGAAGATGAAGCGATGCACTCACCTCTTTCACGCTCGCTGTCTGGCTACATGGTTCCTACGCAAGAAGTACAGCTGCCCCGTATGCCGAACGCCATACTATCAGGTGGTCGAAGATGACGACTTCGTGGAGGGTTATCCAACGCCACCTCCGATGCCGATTGTCGGGTTCTGGTAATTCGTCATTATACAGCGTACCTAACCAACACGCTGTGGCTGTCCACCAGCATATGAAGCTGTGTGAGCATTACCAAAGAACCTGCTATAATTTACTCATTGAAGAAAGCATACGAAAAGAATAATCCGGAGTAGGCTAGGTATCGAGAGGCTCAGAAGTGGATTACTGAAGGAAAAGGAACAGGGAAAAGGAAAAGGCGTTTAGGACAAGGCATCGCAAGGAGTGGGCGTTTAATGAGGAGAACTTCTCGAATGACCCGTTTCGCGCCAACACACATGATACCCCAAATGTAGCTACTTGCTTGAATGAGACCACAATGAATTTTTTGGAGATGATTATTGACTGGAATAGGTGTGAAGTTGATTGATGTTGAAGTCTAGCGAGAGACGGTTGCAGTTATCAGTGTTATTCCTCAGAGCATCGGATCCCAGGTGGGGTATAGAAGCCACCCACGTGATCCCTTAGGTCCCTTGCAGCCACTACGGGTCTCATTTAAAGTTAGCTTCTCCACATCTTGATCGGCCTTAAATGATATGATTTCATCGATTGCCTCGCGTTTTTCGAGATGACCTCACGTACATCATTCCTGAGGATCGGGAAGAAAATTCTAGTACCATTCCATTGGATTTAACCCATCATCGTAGGGAATGGTCCGGTCAGCTGCTACACGTGTAACACCAGCAGAAGCTTTTCGAACTCGATTAGCCTCCAAACGGAGCAAAACTTCCCGTGCGCCTCGTGCTTTGGATACCTACTAAGCTTCGATTCATGACGCGCGCACCTCGTCTCTATGGATCTGAATCTAGTGATCAAGGTCCGACAGGGAGAACTCTTACTCCCTACGTGAGGGAAGTACCTAGTGGAATTTTAGGTTGCAGACTTCCTCTTCTTTCATGCTTTCATAGATACCTAGGTAATGATCTCATCCGTGGCTTTTCTCGTCTTTCATTTGCGAATGCCAAAGTTGCATCTGCATACTTTCTACAACCAACTCCTTAACATCTGATTGATCAACGCCTCCAAAAGTTAAGTCAGGCTTGCAATATCTTTTATAATTTCATACCCACCATCCAAAGTTTGTATGTTGATCTCCTTTCGACGTCTGATTCGCTACCCAAAGGCCGAATCAAGACGTGCTCTCGGTTCCTTTGCTCCAGGATCAAATTATATACCTACGGGCTCCCGGACACATCCCCTGGTTACTTGCACGATGGTTCCAAAACGAAAGAGGTCAGCTGTAGCTCCGCAGCAGGACATCCAGCCAGAATTACCAGAACGCCCTAATGCTACCCCAAGGCGATCGGGGCGTATTGTCAAGAAACCGAGCGAGGTATCACAATCCGATGCCTATCCGTCCAACAAGGAAGCTCTCCGCGCAGCGTCGAGTCAGACCAGGGGCAAGAAAAAACAGATGTTGAGTCAAGGAGAAGACGTATACGGGGCTATAGATGGCCTTCGTGAGATGGAAGATAATTTCCGCGATGCTGTAAAACGACAGAAGCTGGCACTGGATGAAAGTTCATTATGTGGTACTTTAAATACGACAGATGAGGATGCCCCCTTTATGCCGAGGCCTATTAAAGCCAACCCAGACACCGTTCTTACGAAATCCGAGAAGAAACTATTAAAGGAGAGGGCTGCGGTGAAGAATGAAATTAACGAGACTGGACTTGAGAATGGAGCCCACGAAGACAGGGAAGAAGGTGATGCAGAAGAGCCCGACGCCAATGCTTTCAAGCAAGAGGGCTCAAGGCCGCCTCCTGTTAATAGTGATTATCTACCCTTGCCGTGGAAGGGTAGAATTGGTTATGTGAATCTCCCTGGGCGTGATGATCCTTGATGTACAGACATAACGTACGATTCTAACACAACCTAGGCCTGCCTTAACACCTACCTTCGACAATCGAACCCTCCTGTGTTTAGTTCAAGAACCTGCCGAATATCGTCTATCTTAGATCATCGTCACCCTCTTCGAGATCCATCTCAACCTGAACACCCAACTAAAAACCGGCCGGACAAGGACGAACCAGCCGATGTAGCCAGGGGTAAGAAATATGTCGAAGCCCTCGGTCTCGCAAATGCACGTGATATTGTCAAGATGGTACGTTGGAATGATAAGTATGGTATTAAATTCATGCGCCTCAGTTCGGAGATGTTCCCCTTTGCCAGCCATGAAGAGTATGGCTATAAGCTGGCACCTTTTGCTTCTGAAGCGCTCGCGGAAGCTGGGAGAGTCGCGGGTGAGCTTGGTCACAGGCTAACAACTCACCCTGGACAAGTAAGTCAACACACCAAATATTTGGGGAGGAATCCTGCTAACGTACTCTCAGTTTACCCAACTAGGATCGCCTCGGAAAGAAGTCGTGAGAAACGCAATTCGCGATCTTGAATATCACGATGAGATGCTTACTCTTCTACGTTTGCCTGAACAACCCAACAAGGACGCTGTTATGATCCTACATATGGGCGGAGTCTTTGGGGACAAGGAGGCTACCCTTGATCGGTTTAGGGAAAATTATGCAGGGCTATCACCAGGGATCAAGGCGAGGCTTGTGTTGGAGAATGACGATGTATCGTGGACGGTGCATGACCTACTCCCGATTTGCGAGGAATTAAATATTCCACTCGTTCTTGATTTCCACCATCACAATATTATGTTCGACAAAGACAAAATTCGTGAAGGAACCAAAGACATTGTGGAGCTTTACCCGCGAATCAAGGCGACTTGGGATAGAAAAGGTATTACGCAAAAGATGCATTATAGCGAGCCTTGCTCTGAAGCCATCACCCCTCGGCAGAGACGAAAACATCGACCTCGAGTCATGACTCTGCCTCCGTGCGCAAATGACATGGACCTTATGATCGAAGCGAAGGATAAAGAGCAGGCCGTGTTCGATCTAATGCGAAATTTCAAGTTGCCGGGATGGGATCGCTTCAACGACGTGATCCCATACGAGCGGGAGGATGATAATAGACCTCCTCCTAAAGTGCCCAAGAAGAAACAGCGTAAAAACAAAAATGCGGATGAAAATGGCGAAGACGGTGAGCCGGAAGAGGAGGCTAAGCCGCTGCCCGTGATCCCGGAGTCGGAAGTAGGGATGGGCGGCCCTGATAACCGGGTCTATTGGCCCCTCGGCATGGAGGAATGGCTCCGCCCGAAGAAAAGGGAGGTCAAGAACAGCAAAAGTAAAGGTGACGAAATCGGAGACGACTAACCTGCCTAACCTCCGATTTAAAGAAACGCATGTTGGGTTACATATGCCCGCAGCACATTCCTCGGACCGTGCCACTGCATAAACTGGGCAACAGCTTATCAGCGCTGAAGTTATATTCGTTTAGTATTATGCTGCGGTGTTTGATGCTCCGCAACCATGTTGTTAGACTAGGTACTCAGGTAGCATATGGAGGTGGCTTCGCATTCTCGCAAATGTATGGCAGGCTTATCTCGACAAATTGTTTAGTTCTATAAATAGATGATCTAATCTTCGTATCGGATGTTATGCGCGCGTCTGACTATTGCTGACTGCTGCTTAGCCCATGCGGAACGTTAATTCAAGGTAGCTGAGACTCAGATATCATCGCCCAGATGAGCTGACTCAGCGTGAAGTTGTATGTCCTATATTGTCGGGATATGCTAGGGATATCGGTATACTTATCAACTTGACAGCATGAACGCGCTTTTCTTATGACAATTCTTCGGTATAGCTGATGTGGATGACTTTGTACCTGTTATCTCGGGATGATAATGGAATAGATACTGCCTAGGTGGTCGGTGTCGGAACCATGCCCGACCAGAGTTTCACGACGTAAGGGTCTGGTACCCTACGTACAGCTTGCGTCCTGTCCTGGCACCGTCCCCTTCTTCGCTAGATGCCGTCCTTGCCAGCGAATCAGAAGCGGCCAATACCGACGTGGACATATCTTGTGAAGTAATGGGAATGGCCCCATAAGGAGGACCCTGAGAAAATGGGTAGGGTATGTTTTGAGGCGCCGATGAAGAACAAGTGCCTATCTCTAGAGTGGTTTTCACAACGTCCCTTGGCTTTTGTATGTGCTAATACGGCTGTATAGAGGCGTTTATTTACCAGCCGTGCTACCGGCCTTAGAGTTGTCGCTCTTAACCAGAAACAGATGTTGGTTAGGACGGGAGATATACTCTCGGATACCAACCGAGCGATATCAGATATAGCAATGCAGATCTAAGATAGGTGATACCCCAGCCCGGCGATAGCGCCATATTGACTGGATATGATGAAGCGGTCGAAAGGAGGGTGATGCGCTACCTACCTAGACGAGAGCTCGTGGTGCTACTAGATTATCGTTCTCTATAGCCTGTTCTAGATTGTGAAATAGGGGTATGTGACAGCAAGTTCAACATGTCAATTATCTAATGCCAATTCACTATATTACCAGCTCATCAAATACCTAATCTAAACCAAGACTAGGTAGGTAAAGGTGTTTCCCTCTTGCAAGTAGCTGAGCTGGGACTCGAAATTGCAGCCGTATCTCTTGTCTAGTAGTACATACCATACCACGCACGTCTCGACCTTAATGATCTCACCGCTGGAAGCACTAACCGCTGGAAAATGTTTGCATGCAGTGCAACCGACGACCCGAGATAACAGATTATGCTAAGGCCGATGGCGACAGAATAATCTCGATCATGATGTGTCAAGTCTCAGAGCTAATGCCTTGTTGTAACAGTGCCCCTGAACTATCGCTGGTAAGCCAGTTAACAAATCCACTTACCAAGTTTAGGCGATAGGTGTCCATCGACACACCACCGACGACCGATGGACGGGTTGATATCACAACTTTTCTCAAGCCTCAAAAAATTTCCGGATAAGCATGTGCTTGCAGCCATCGTTCTTACTCGCCACGTAGCCATGCCCGCCTTGCATTCTATTTCCGCCCATTTGTCCATGCTACGTGGATTCACGTACTAATCTTACGACGCGGCGCCAATTCAGGGGTTCAATTATATGACGAACAGGTGCGCTAATTTATGTGCGTCGTCAAGATAAACAATCAACACATTGGGCCCTGATATCCAATGCCCGATTGATTCTTTTTAAGTAGGGGAGGCTAAGCTCCGAGCGTGTAGAGCGGCAGAGGAAGAAAAAAAAACCTGAAATAAGAGCTCGTTAGGGCGATGGTAAAATCCCCATTAGGGAACGAGGAATTGGGTAGACAGAGCTCCCGTATTACCGGCTCAATGGAAGGGTCTTTGTCGCCTATAGACAAACAAGGCAGTTCGCGGATTGGCGCATGCTACGTATGCGTATACGTCAAGACATCAGTAGTGAAGGAATTGAATAATACCAGGAGTTTTTCGGATATTGCTCAGTGACATTGACAATAACATAGATCGAGGGTTCGGTGGAAACGGACCCGAATTATCTTTGGCAAGGAATCGAATAGTCGACGATATCCGAGAAAGAGTCGCAGTTCGCATAATAGGAGAATACTGCGTAGGTGGGATCAAATAGGAGAGAATGCGACTTATTGTAGCGACTAAAACCCCGTTGTCAGGTTGGCGACATCGACCCACGACCCACGGGGGAAACCGCGGAAGGAAAACAAAGGTATCATGAGGTCACTTGGAGACGGCCGAAGCAGAAAATGATGTCAGGTTTACCCATTTTAAAGGTGTTTCGGGAAACGTCCATGGATCTTGAGAGAAGCTCGAGCCAGAATATGAACAGGGCTTCTATATGTCGCAAGGGCTGAACGGGTCAAGGGGTGCAAATTTCTACCGAACACAAGGTACAAATACTTATCATGAAAGATCGAATACCTAACGTTTTAATGTAGAAGAATACGCAGAAGATGTATCTAGAAGTTCAAGGATTGAATGACGATTTTAAGTTCTTACGAGATGGTGGGATGATCATTTACTTGGCTTGTCACTCCGCAGAAAGAGGCTCGTGCTTCAGGAAGCTTGCAGGCTTGTAGGTACCGAATACCTACATCTTCAGTAATTGAAGTGGAAGAATATGTACCCAGGTACCTACTTATCCCACACTGCCACCACCCTGCACCTTCTATAACTAGCAGGGCCAAAAAGGCTAGAGGGCAGTGAGGGCTATTAATACAACTTCGACTGTGACTTTGACTGCATTTACCAGTGCGATGTAAGTACCTAATGTCCAGGTTGTACAAGTACGACAGTGAGTAATGATAGAGTTGGGCTATCGTCACTAGCCTCTCGACCTCCAAAACCTAACTTACCTAATTGACTCTTTCAAACATTGAAGCGACAAGATCGTCAATTTATCTCATCTCATCCCTACTCTTTCAGCTCGCACAAGTCCATCCCTCGTCGCCATCTTATTCAGCTTCAACTTTTTATACTAGCTTTTCTCTGCCTTTCATAGGTAGATTCAACCCGATATCCTTGTGTCACCCCCTCCATCAAATCACAAAGTCTCCCCACCAAGTGAGACATATAGACACACGACATAGTTGACAACACCACTACCAAGATCGCGAAGTGCCACACCGATACATACAGCTAAGCGTGGAAATACAACATACATACATAGCCTTCCATCCCGAAAATATCCTTGAAGCAGCTTGAAGGAGAAAAGCCACCATACATAGCCGACGGTACTTCGTACATCCACACTTTATATGCTATACCAACCATAAATCAACATTCCCATCTGGACGCAAGCCTTACGGTGCAATCAGCATCATCGCTAAAGATCAGCATACCCAGCCATTCGCCATCAAATCACAAGCACACCAGCAGAACCAGAGACACCGGCGGTACCAGAGGCCAAAAGAACCCACTAATTTCCCTGCAGGGTCCCAGCTTCTTCCCCGCGCTCATCCGACTATTTCCAACCTTGACCTCCACAAATCTGCCAGCCCGCCAACTCGTATTCCCTACTATTAACCTTCTACTGTTATTACTACTGTATTTCGGATTTGTACTATTTTATCGCCATTGTCTCGAGTTGTTTTCGATTCTTCCGCTCCCATTATTCATCGTCAGGCCCTTTTAATTAATCGACTATTTTACTTCCCAAACGATTACCAAGCCATCTCGTGAAGACTCAAAATGGCGACCGTGGAGATGAGCCCCAAGTCCACCCATATTCCTTCGGGACATGAGGTTAAGCGCCCTAGAGGTACGTCATATTTTGCCATCTACTTTTGCGTCTCGTGTTCCCTCTTGCATCTGCAGCTTCGTTATCGATCAACACTGTGCTAATTGATCCACCGTCTCATAGGCATTTTAAAAAACTCATACACCAAATCGCCACCTCCCGAGTCCCCGATTAAGGAGCAAGACTTGTCGGAGAAGGAGCTTACCATCATCAACACACAAACAAACGCCGGCCATCGACGTTCTTCTAGTGCCGCCAGCCGTGCCCCAGGCTCACGTCGCCAATCGACACGCGCCACCTCTTACGATCCCAGCCACGCACTCGATAACAATCAGCGCTTGAAGTGGGATGAGGCGAACCTCTACTTGACAGAGCAGGAGCGCACTGCTACCATGAAGATTACTGAGCCGAAGACTCCCTACGCTCGTCACTATGAGCCGTCGGAAGATGAGGACGATGAGATGCTTGATGGTGAAAACTCGCGTAAGGAGGAGATTACCGAGCTATCTCTTGGAGAACCCGAAGAGGATGTCCCCGAAGGAGAATTTGGGATCGGGCGCAAACAAAGCAAGGTCCATGTTAACGACGAGGACGCAACGCCGATCCATGATGCAGAAAACGAATATATTGGCTTGAGCCCTGAAGAGCGTGAGAAGCACCGCAAGTTCGAGCAGCTACGGAAGAAGCACTACGAAATGAAGGATGTTGCTAAGTTTCTCGGCCATCCCGAGAACCTCGATGAGCTCGAAGATGAAGAAGAGGTGCCGCCGATGCCCACTATCAACGGTGCCATGGTCAAGGCAGGCGACTAGGGAAGCGGGCTACGCAACCCTCCGCAAACGATCTTACTAGGGAAGAGGGTATGCAAACTATGCAGGTGGATACAAGGACGATGACGATATATGGATGCATGCAGGATGGAGTTTAATGGCCGGGTGGAATACCTATTCTTTGATTATCTCGTTGCTAGGGCGCATTAGATGAGTCTGGTGTTGGAGGGCGACCGAGCTACTTCTGTCGGTTTGGGAGAAGATGAATATCGCGGTCAATCACGTATTGTAGTTATATATGCTCTACTGGTACTATAAGGGCTTTGCACCTTAAAGATCAATGATACGATGTCATTCACTTATTCGTGATAGTTTAGTTTGGGGAGTAGGCTGATTGACACGACGTGTAGGAGTAGTACTACGCTCTCGGACCATACATCTTGGAAAAGCTCCGTAACCTTAACAGACAGCATAGGTTCCAATCACATATATACCCAGACAGCTCTATCTGTCTTGCTGTCGACTGATTCAGCAGTCTGGCCCCTAATTCGTTACTATATATATAAATTCCATCGCCCTTCTATAAGCGGTGTTTAGCGATACGGAAATTCTCGTCTAGGTGGCCGTTCATAGCAACCCTTTCCGAGCTAGCTCGACCTTCCTCGCGGCCTCGCCCGGCTTGAAGCCCCCCTTCGACACGCATATCCGGTGGCCCTCGCCCATCTCGAATTTGTCCTCGTTCGCGGGCCACGGGCAGGGGCAGTGGTGCGGGAAGTGTACGCACGCTGTACTCTTGTTAGTTTTGCGATCGATCTAGGTATACCTATACTGCTAGGTTGGGTTGGGTGGGTGGGAATACCGAGAGTGTCCGGACACAGGTAGTTGTCGCAGTGCAGGCGATTGAAGTTGGTCTGGTAGATGGACGAGTCGCTGGGGCCGTTCTGGGGCTGTTGTCGTTGTTGTTGCTGTTGTCCGCCGCCGAACATCTGGTCGAAGAAGCCGAATTGGGCGGAGGCGAGCGTGGTTAGGGAGAGGAGGGCGAGGAGGATTTGGAACGGGCGTGGGAGGGAGGAGGGCATTGTGAGAGGTGTGTTTGTGCGATTTTTATATAGATTGGGAGTAATCGAGTCCTGCATGAAATCTAGGAGAATATATAGCTGTGGTCTATATAACGATTCTAATTATCTAGTAGTGAGGAATTCGGAACAATGAAGAAGATATCAGGATTACAGGCGCGAGTGTAGCTTGAAATCGCAATGCTGGCAACATTTCAAGTCTTATCGTTATCGGTGGGTCTCAACCCGCACCGGGCTTAGATGACTAAGCCGAGATTTTGTGGGGTTTTGCGAACCGAAGCTTTTTAATATCAAAAGCTACATCGAAATTCCTCCCGACAACGATTCGAACGCCAGAAACCGACGTCCACGGCCATGAGGATCGCTCAATTGCAGCAGCCAATAGCGGCTGCTGCTTCCGGCTTAGGAAAAACAGCTACGACAACTACGATACGGCAATTACGCGATGCGTTAGGCCAGCTGAGGATAGGAGCTAGTAATGCGGCGGTTGAGGGTCGAAGACATGCCTCGCATCAGTCCCAGGGAGCGTACAGGTTAAAAGACACGAGCACGATTCCGAAGAAGCTCGGTGCGAAAAAGACTGGTGGTATGTCTACTATGTCCTCTACATATTCTTCCCAACTTTAGATCTCTAGCTCCTAGGACTTGAACAAGACCAAGCATAAACTCGAGGGAAAGGAATAAAATGAAACTAATTCGACAAAACAGATAACTTCGTGATCCCCGGCAACATAATCTTCAAACAGCGCGGCACGAAATGGTTTCCGGGCGAGAACTGCGACATGGGCCGGGACCACACGATCCACGCCACGGCGACGGGGTACGTCAAGTACTACCGCGACCCGGCGAAGCACCCGAAGCGGCAGTACATCGGCGTCGTGTTCAACAAGGAGGACACTTTACCGTACCCGCAGCACGCGATGCGCAAGCGGCGCCTCAACATGGTCGCGGTCCCCCTCGCCCCCCCGCCTCCCCCGCCCGAGCTGTCCGCGTCCGGCATCCCGACGCAGGTCGTGCGCCAGGGCGAGGGCCGCAAGCCGCACCCGCGCGACGAGCGCGTGATGAAGCTGCGCGAGGACCGGTCGTACGCGTACGCCGAGGAGAGCTGGAGGCTCGGCACGCTCGTGCGCACCGAGAAGCGGAAGATGGGGTCCCGAAGGGTGGCTATGCGGCATCGCAGGCGCAAGGCTAAGGCTATTGCTCTGGAGATGAGGGCTGAGAGGGAGGATAAGATTGCCCGCCGTAAGGAGGCGCTGGATGCGCAGCGGAAGGCCCGCGCGAAGAGGATGAGGGAGTATAGGGAGAGGAGGAAGGCTGAGCAGGAGGCGGAGGCTGCGGGACAGGGGAAGGGGGGCGGGGTGCCGCCGGCGGGTGAGTCGGCTCCGGAGCCGCCTAGGGTTGATGCGTAGAGGGAGAGGGATACCTGATACGTACTCCCGAGTGTATCATTATGAAGCTTGGTACATACACACATAGCACCGCTCTACTGAACCGGATCAAGAATGGCTATGCTCAGGACTTGTAAACAATGAAATACTATTATCCATTTACGGCTTTTGGAGTTTGTTGAATGTTGCTGATTATCTAGCATGTTGGTGTTGAGAGCGAAATTCGCTATGGTACGTTGATTCCTTTTCATAAACGCCAATTATGCATCAGACTAATCATTCATGAATCTCGAACCGAGATTGCGTATTGGCAATGTTGGGATGTGCCCGGGTCTCATATTGTCCTGTCCTGAGCATGGGGGGATGCCCACTCTGTTCAACAACAATGCTCTTTTGGAGGTCCCCTAAAATTCCAATCTTAGTCTCTGATCTCTCTGTCCACGCGATCTAGGTGAAGCTTTCGGAATACCTAGGCACGCAGCGCTACCTCCGGATCAGAAACGCCACGAAATCGTACTTCCTCGAGTCTCGACGCGGTCTCAAATTGAGCAAAACTTGTCGGATGTTAAAAACGTCATTAATAATGGGCATATTCTCGCAATAGAAATGTCAGCGTGCGAGGCGGAAAGAATCGAACGACATCGTCGTCGCCGCGTAGCGGCTCAACTTAAGAGGGAGCTGTCAACTTGTATGGCATGCCACGAACATAGAATAAAATGCGACAACGATACACCAGCATGTGGCTATTGTCAATTCAACGGGGAGGAATGCTTATACGCAGACACACTATTAGGCATAGCCCGTCTTTCCTCGAGCAGGAGACGATGTGCACGTCTTGCTACCGGCTCTAACGCAGGGATTGTACTCGACAAAAATGTTGATACTTTAGTGAAGGTTGATTTGGTAAGGGCGGAAAAAAGCGCCTACGAAACGATACTACAATGGCCTTTCCTTCGTGATCTCAACGTCGAAGGCCCTGTCAAGTCGTTCCCCTTGCAAGCTCCTACTATGCAAGGTCTAGCCATCGAGCCACGCGATTGCGCATTTGACCTAGAGCTTCATAATGATATATCAAGCCTATGCGAAACTTTCCTACGCTTCGTTCATGTCAGGAACCCTATCATCGGAATTTCAGAGTTTAGACGGTACGCTCGTGAAGTTGATGAGCATGGGCCGGGCTGGGACGGTCCGGGATGTTTTATAGTGAGTAAAACCTATGTGTTTATTGATAACTTCTAACAGAGTGTCAATCAAGTTGCTTGCGTGTGCACTAGCCAAACTCGGCTTTTATGGCTTTTATGCCGACACCGCAAAACGTCTTATTAGACGATGGTCTTCATTCATCAGGGAAGACATTCTATATAGGAATATAAGAGAGGCCAACGCAGAAAAATTTTTCAACGAGGCTCAACGACGCTTGGGAATACTTCCGAACTCTCTCATCGCAATACAGTGTACCTATCTTGCGGGTCTCTATGAACAATCCGTTATGAGGCCCTTAGATGCTTGGCATAGGTTCCATAGTGCTATCGTCCGTCTTCAAACTTCACACCATTTGTATCCAAACAGCGCCAGCCAGGGGGAGCAAGGAGATGGACGTATCGACCGGTGTTTATATTGGTTATGCATCAAAGCGGAACTGTATGTGTATTAAACCTGACCCAAGGACGAATTTTTACTAATGCAATCTAGTGAACTAAGAGCAGAGCTGCAGTTACCGGTTTTTATAGGGTTCAGTCTGTTTAATTTCAAACACCCCAAGCCTGCCTGGATGATCAAGCAAGAGAGTAGTGCCGCCGAGACTGAATTCCCTCCCACACCTGGTTTGTATGACTACCACGAAGCCGAAATCCGACTTCGTGGTATTATGAACCATGCCATTAACGACCTATACAACCTTCAGCCCTCCGAATGGTTGTCTGAAATAACCAAATGTATCAGGATATGCGCAGCATATAGCGAAGAGCTAGAGTCTTGGTAAGTTTCTATTTGAACCAGCAGGTAATCGAGCGGCTAACTAGGATGCATGTATTCGTAGGCGCGAAGACCTTCACCCTTTACTTAATTTCCCTCCCCCTATTTCGGAAACCTCGATTTTTCCCAACGTCGCAGACAGCATGCTCGCCATCCTCCTACAAGTCAATTACCTCTCTGTCATTGAATTGCTCCATCGGCCATTCATATACTGTATCCTCGAGCGTGGTGAGTATTTAGATGCGACAGATCACCCGCTCATGTTTCCTCTAGCTCGACAATATCTCGACGCAAATAATGCATTGATAAAATTGATCGCTGGTACCTACTTGCATCACGAGAGTACTTGGACCCTCGTGCGACGTTCGTTCGGATGTTCTCTGATCCTGCTTGCTGCCGTGAGATACAATTTTTGCATAGACGACTTTTTGGAGTTACCTGAAGATTGGCGTACAGTTGTATCGATGTCGATGGGGACAATCAAGAGATGGGAGAGGCCTGGAGCTGAAGAGTTTCCATGGATGCGGAGAACTTTGGAGCATCTGCTAGAAGTGGTCGAGAAATGAAGAAGCTGTTTATCTCAAGGCCATATTATTTCTACGCTTTGGGGGAATAGACGGATGTTCTTTGATGGCGCGAGGACCTTGCGTTTAGATTCTTCAGGGAATAGATATGGGGACAGACTATTTGTGAAGATAAGAATAAAGTTGAATTTCATTCCTCGCAACATCTCGCCGCCCCTTTTCCGTCACTCCTAACAGAATACACACGCATATCTGCATGCCAAGCCTTCGTCTTCCTATATGCGCTAAGCGGAATCAATGCCGTATTAGCCGCATATCACTGTGTCCGGGCGTCAGCTGAGGATCCTCATCTCACGCTGCCCCCCAAAGCCACAATGTCTCGCGCACTTCCACCAATGACAATGATCCGTTCCATGTCAGAAGTCCGGGGTATGATCTCGATGGCGAAGAGCCGCAGCTAGGCATCTTACAATTATTAAAAAATATGACAGGCAGGTAGGGTACTAGACGTAATAAATGTAGCCACCTACCCTTCGTAGGCATTTTCTCGAGAGAGAGAGAGAGAGATAATTATATTTGGCGTAAGTATCGTATTCTTCGCATTTTGAGCATCACCAAAATCCGGTGCGAGTTCGATGTACCACACGCGTCGGAGACATCCGCGTTCCACGCGAGCCTGAGGAAGCGCTAGTCGCGGCGTAGGGCTGAAAATTAATCAACTCAATATGGCGGCCGCCCTTCGCGAGGACTCGAGTGGTCTGGGAAATCTCGAGGCCCAGATGGAGGAACAAGTGGCGAGCGCTAACACCATCGCTTCTGAAAATCGGAACCGGCTTCGAGAACAAGGAGTTACTACTAATGATCATGCAGCACCGCCAAGCGAGGGGTCCGAGTTTGATGATGGCCTTGATATAGAGAAGTCCATGAATAGTAGCGTATCGCACTGGGATCCGGATCCGGGTTTCGCATATGTCGATGGCGACATTGAAGGACATGGCTATAATAAGACTACAGTTGACATTATCGCCGTGCCTTGTGTCGGCGCGTCTCCCGTCGATACTTGGTCAAGGGATCCTATCGGTGATGGCTACTTCAGCTTTCCCTCGTCAAACGAGTTGGATCGCTACCCCACGGCCATGCAACTACCAGGGAACAGCGTCCTTTCGCCCACCATTAACCGCAATCTGCCTCCAGCTACTCATTTATGGGTTCGACAGGGGATCAGAAAAGAAGTGAGCACGGCACGGGTGATGCTATATCGTCATCGGGAACTGGCAGAAGGTATGACGCTGGACCAGGCGGCGGACGACCTCTTGGATCAGGTCGTGAAGATGCGCGCTGGCCAGACGAAAGCTAGACCCATCTTCTTCATCTGCCACAGCATCGGGGGACTAGTCACAAAGCTTGCCCTAGTTAAAGCGAACCTGAACCATGAGTTGAGGCCCCTAATCTTCGATTGTCACGGAATCGCTTTCTTTGGTAAGACGTTTCTGGTAATAGTTCCTTAAGGTCTTGAGTAAGACTAACACGCTTAGCCACTCCACATCGCGGCTCTAGTTACATGTCGATGCCTCATCTGCGCGAGAGTATCCAGCATCTGCTATATCTAAAAAAGCCACTGCCTAGGTCCATTGCCCGTGAATTGCGGATAGGGAATAAGTCGCTGCTGCAGATGCATGATCAATTTATGGACATCGCTAGCGAGCTGCGAATATGGACCTTCTATGAAACCATCGATTCACAGTTATCCGGACTTGGCTCATCCGACTTTGACGAAGTGCACTTCAGCGCACCGTTGACCTCCATCAAATCGGGTTTACTTGGGAGTCGGACCGAGCAAGCACTATCCCTCGAGAGCGACCACGCTCATTGCGCCTCGTTTGGACCCCAAAATATCCGTACGATGCTTTCATTCATTGCCGACCTAGGCGCTGCGATCCGGAAGGCGGAGGAGCTGAGTGACAAATACGTGCATACGCCGTTGAAGCTAAGTGAAACGGTCAAGCTCGAACTCATAGGATTCTACGGTGACCCTGATAGCGAATCCAATCAGGATATCAGACTGTACATCTCGAAGCATAGGTTAAAAGACTTTCTAGAAAAAGGGCCTGAGAAATGTCTGCAAGAGCGGCTGAATACTGTGGCAGCTAGGCGGCATAAGATGGTACCTCCATCGAGGCGCCCGATATCTAACCCATCATTGATGCCGAGTGCGCTCGGAATACTAGGTAACGTTCAGGAGCTTGGCCAGAAAATCTTAGATTCAGTTCGGCCTAGTAGCTCGCCGCCGGAAGGTCACGGAACAGAGACACCGGCTGGTCAACCAGACATCGTCGTGACAAGCCACGCTTCACGGCCATCCGTCACCGGCGCGGCAACGGAGCCAGCGATTTCATCGAGAAGAGGCCGTGGCTTAACAGTCCCTGGCTTGTCAACGCCAGGCTTCCATACTCCATCTCATAGGGGAAGCAGCGAAACAGCTAGGACAACTAGGTCGGACCCCGATGAGCTCGAGACCTCTCCAAAGACAGGCGATCCTTCCCAACAATTAAACCCATCTAGGACCGAGCCCACCGGTTCCACCATTGGTCAAAAGGAAGCAGGCCCTGACATGAAGAACCGCCGTGGTCGTTCTCACGGTTTGCAAGACATCACCGCCGGGTTTTCCCGACCAGTCGCATCTAGAAGGAAGTTTATGTGGTTACATATGCCATTCAATAACCCCCATTGGATTACGGTAAGGAGTGCCGCTATTACGGCCGTAGCCGCCTTTGCTGACTGGAGCTTAGAAAATTTTCAATAAATTGTCCGAGACTGAAAATCAGAATTATTCGAAACTCCTTAGCAACGAAAACTGGTCCAACAGGCACGTACAAGGTCGCCACGCAAATCTGCATGCTTCGTACGTCAAGCCTGGTTGTGCTTTCGTTCCTGCAGAAATCGGTAAGGCACTGTTCCCCCCTACACACCTGATTTAGCATCGAAGCCTCGCAGTGTGGCTGACCATTGATAGGTTCCCCGCGTCCTCCGTCGCCTGCTAGAGCCGGCAGGAGCCCAAGTCCTGGGATAAGTCCGACTTATCTATATTTATATTTGCCATATCTGCATTACGATACTTACCGAAATATCGTGCGACGGCGGAACTTAATTCAGCGACGGATGGAACATGGCAGAGCCCGGCCCGTACCAAAAGATATCGCCGAGCTCGATTCGTTAGACTCCCGGGTAATCTGGGAGTATATCGGACATGATCCTCCTCTTAACACGCGAAGAACACTGGACCAATACGGATATCCGTCTCTTCGAGAAACATATGCGCGAGATGACGAACAGATGCTGTACAAGCTTACTAAAGAGAGGCTTCCAATCCCGTTCATGCGTAAATGGGATGTGTATCATTCGGATGAGGTAAGAGGGCCGTTGAGCGCCCTCTCACCAGGCAGTCGATTAGCATCAGCTGCAAAAATGTTCAAAAGCCAAGAAACGGCATGTCCGAAGGATGAAGGAGAATTGAATCCGGAAGATAATCTCTTAGATGGAAATGTTCTCATGGTGGACCAGCTGTGGCTTTGGGCTGTGGATACGAGTAAGTTGCAACAGGAGAACACTCCAAAATTTGATTTGGCTGTCACTAATCCACCTTCGAAGCTACCTTGATGACTTTCTTCCCGAAGCGCGAGTCCTATCCAACGGAAGGGCCTATGTTCCAGCAGGCAGATCTCAGAAATAGCGTCTATAATGAACTTAATGGAGACCTTAGCGGACGCTGCGAAAACGCGCTAGATCTTGCGGCCTTTGTAACCTTGCATGCAGTTACGGTCCTAATTGACAGGACGTCTCACCCAAATCTCGAGATTTTCCGCATTTTTGAGGAAGCTCTCGGAATACTAGTATGCAAATTTAATGTCTAAGATCCGTTCGAAGTAATCTACTGACAATTTGTAGACTGAGAGGATGACTTTGTCGCTCAAGCGATTCCGAATGCAGACGTTCCGAGATAAGGCGCAAGAATCGGATTCAGACGAACCCGAAGACTTCCGTAAGGAGAGCATCAAGCAGCGGCACAAACGCGAGCTTGAGCGGGCCGAGCGGGAGAATCGCGAACACACATCTGTTCTGCTTGAACTTCGAGATATGGACGATGAGCTCACCACAATGAAGAACCTATTCTTGGAACAAGAGGATACGATCAGGCTAATGAAAGAACAATATGAGAAACCTGAGCTTCTGGGATACACCGAGAATGGCCGTGGGTTCCTGGATGAAGCCTTGAGGCGACTGCAAGACTACCATAAGACGGTGCATGACATGATTCAGCGTGTAGATGCTACCAAGAAAGATGTACGTACCCTTCCTAGCTCTTCGGTATCGAGACAGGCCCGTTAACAAATTTTCGCAGTATGAGAAACTTCAAGAGATGGTACAGCGCCAAGCACAAGTCGATGAAGCGCGGTGGTCGCGCCGACAGACCGAATTGGCGAGTTCGCAAAACCTTTCGGTCATGATCTTTACGACGTTCACCGTACTGTTCCTACCCCTGAGTTTCTTCACCAGTCTATTCGGCATGAACACGAAGGAATGGGGCGGCGATGACGACAACTTCGTTAGTCTGGGTGAAATTGGTCTCATCTCATGTATGTCATCCTTTATACCCCCAATTCCCGGATCCCAGCTGACATGATTGCAGTACCCGCGTCAGCCGTCCTCATCGGCGGGACGCTTATCGCCGCGTATAGTAGCCGCGTGCAGAGCGTCGTGAAAGCCAGCTACGAATACACGAAGTCCGGTGCGCAGCGGATAGTATCCGGGGTCACGCACATAGGGACCGAGGACCCGCGGCGACAGGAACGGCGGGACAAGCTAGAGAAGGAGACGCTGGATTCGCGCCGGCGCGAGCGCGGGTTCGACTTCTGGGAGACGGTGAGGTCGGAGAAGCCGCGCGAGTACAAGATCCCGGATATGAACCGCAAGAGGCTGCCCGGGAGGAGGCTGACACGTGTGTACGATTTGGAGGATCCGATGTGAATGTTGTATGATAGGTGATGTGGTATTTTGTGTGTATTGTAATTGGAACGGAGACGAAGGATGATACCCGATTGCGGTAAGCGTGTGTGGAAGATCTTAGAAAGCCTGTCCCAATACTAGATAAAGTTAATCTGAAGCTATTGCAACCAACTTAGATTAATTCTCCATGAGGTTATATATCAAAATTTATCTTTGAAATCCAACGCCGCTTTTGATTGTCCCGTGAAGTTGGTGAGTTCGGCGAGTCACATAGGTGGGGTACTGCGTCTACCCGTGAAACAACAGACAAAAGATCGTTCGTGATGTGTGTTTGTCCGTGGAAGTGGGGCTTTAAACATAATAGTAGAAGCCTCCATCCTACAAGTGTACTTGATCTCTCAGTTAACCTGAAAACTATTTCCAATTCGGAGCGCAGTTAAGGATCCTTCGAACTCAACATGGCGTCCGAGAATACCACCCCACCGAACCGCCCACCACCATTCGTCGTCAAGCCCACGTCGCACCATACTCACACCTTCATCCTCCTACACGGCCTAGGCTCGAATGGCGAAGAATTTGGCCGGCAATTCCTCGACACCGGGATTTGCTCTGACGGTCGGAAACTGACCGACGTTTTCCGTGGAGCGCGATTCATCTTCCCCACGGCCAAAAGACGACGCTCTAGCGCTTATGGTCGAGCTAAGTTGACACAATGGTTTGATATCGCTTCTTTGGATGATCCGTGGCATCGGCCGGATACGCAACTAAAAGGGCTTGCCGAATCCTCTGCGGAGATTCTTGGCTTGGTTAATGAGGAAATTATGAAAATACCCCGCGACAACATCATTATTGGTGGGCTAAGTCATGGCTGCGCAATGGCCTTATCTTGCTTGCTAGCACTGGATTTCCCGCTTGGGGGGTTTATAGGAATGAGTGGGTGGCTACCCTTCCAGCCTGATATCGAGGAACTGTTGAAGACTGGAGATGGAATTGGTGATGATGAGGATCCTTTTGGGTTTGATGATGACGACCCGTTTTCCACAACAGACGGAGAGGCTCAGGAGCAACGGGACACAGCCATCGACGTTCTTAATTTTTCTAGAGAGCTGTTGTGCTTGCCCAGCCCGAGCAGCCCAACCCAGGATACCACCTCGATAACGACTCCGGTGTTTCTCGGACATGGGGATGCTGACGAGAAGATCAAGCCTTCATTCGGAGAGAATGCATCAGCTACTCTGAAGTCGATCGGGTATAAGGTAACTTGGAAACGCTACAAAGATCAAGGACATTGGTACAAAATACCAGATGAGATTGACGACATTGTCCAGTTTATTCAGTCAGCTTAGATTTAGTGGAGAGTCAGGAAAGGGGTCAACTAATCCTTAGGATATTATTATATTAACTATATTTTCACTATTTCATACCATTGAAAACCCAACCGAACCCGATCAAACTGAGACCTATAGATATATCAATGTGCCCCCGCTATCTAAGCCTTACCTAGATAGTGCCTGCTCACTGTTGCCAAACCCATTTCTTGTTGATTGGATCCCAGTACCTATAACGCCGAGCTTGCTCATCCCAGACCCATTCAGGGGTAGCTTGAGATGCGGAAGCTTGGGAAGAGCCCGCCCCTGAACTCTGGTAAGAGGATGTATAGTTTGCCCCACGAGTAGAAGTTGAAGACGATCCTCCAGCGTTGGAAGACGAGCCGCCTTGGGCGCCGTCGCTAGAATATGGATCGACTTCCATCTGGTTGAACCACGCTTGAGATGTTCCAGCTGGAACGAGGGACTTCCTTTCGAGATCTCCGAGCACGTCTACTGCCCATCTTTGGCGGTACTTCGGTGTAATTTTCTGCGCCGACGATTTAACTTTGTTAATGTCCTTAGCCTTGATGTCTGCGACCTTGTTGTACGACTCGACTCCATGACTGTTAAATCGTTTGTTCTGGATTTTGAGGGTGTAGGGCTTATTCTGTGTTGGACCGCCATCGGCGTGGTACCAGGTACAAATATCAGCACCAGGGGCTACGGCGACCAACATCCAGTGTCGAGCTTGGCCTGCCTGGCGTTGCCTGCAAATTCCAACATAGAACTCTAAGGTGGACATCGTGGGATTAGTTCAGGGGTTGTAGTAAGGGTTGGGGAAGAAAAGACTGGTGGGAAGGTCGACATTGTTGGACTTCGCGGCAGGCCAAGGTTGATAAATAGTATTAGAGAAGAGTGTTTTGATCATAAAACTTCCTATTCATTCTTCATTCACAATACAGCACCACCTCTTACATTCATCACCTTCCTCTGAGTGGAATGAGAATTTTTGAGTCTATATATGAATCAACTCTAATAAAGAAGTGATGAGGGCGTACCACTCAGCTATGGTCTTTCATCCTCTCGCCTCCTTTAGCAAATCAATGAGTTCAACAAATATAACGATACTTAGCCGCTCTGATACTTCATACGCAAGTGGTTAAGGGGTCATACCATCAACTGTCATGATGAAGGGCAGTATATACCCTTTTCGAGGCAACCACTGGGTCAGTAACATACCTATCAAGAGTGAATAATGATATCTTGGCATTTTTAGCTGCGAAGTCTTCCAAATCAAGTGTCTCTATTCCCATAATGGTTAACTTACTAATACTTTTAGCATATAGTGAAATCTATTCACTGCCATAGTCTTGATCAGATTACTGTGTAGCTAAAAAATAAGTGACAAGATCATAGAAGATTTCTGTTTACTAATACTTTGTTCCATTTCACGTAACATAGGCTATCCCGCTTGTCCCTGGAGATAAACAGAGACTCATCTCTCCTTAGTCACTTGAGACCCTCGAAACAGATCTCTGATCAATAACACCTTCCTAGTACCGACACCACCATAAGCACTCTAATCTCAACACCTAAGATAACTTAGCCTATTTGAAGGTTCACTGCGTTAGTGATATATTGGTGGCGCAACCCAGTCCATTGAAGCCAATGTGAAGGATCTAAGTGTCGTTAGAATGGCTTTAGATCTTCAGCTGAAGACATGATATTGCCTTTTTGCAGCAGGCGCAGCCATTTCTACCCATCAGTTACCTTCTTCTACCTGTATGCACATTTTTGGCAGATAGTGAGCAAACCTCGACTGCAGCCCCTATTTCTGAACCCTTTGGCTGCCCAGGGTCCTTCCGCGTCTACCTCCAACCCCTATGAGGAAGATGAATTGACATTTTGTGAAGTGGCGTGACGCTCCACGTGCTGGTTTCAATTATAACGGATTATATTTAGTTTGATGTTGTACTATGGCTAATATTGGTTCATTGTGTGATACTTCACGGGTAATAGATTAGTAAGCTATCTCATACCCGTCTCCAACCGCAACGCTCCGGCCCATGATGTCATCGTTCGGCAACACTCCGTTATCATCCGCACTTACCCTCCCATCCATACTAAACCTCTACACCATTCAATGAGACGGCACCTAGCTCCCACCACAGCCCGGCAAGCGCTCCGCCTTAGCCACCACTACCACTTCCAATATCCCCACTCTTCCTCCATCGCCTCAACTCACTTCAAACCCCTATCCCAATCTCAATTCCAAACTCCGTCTCGGAAAATGGCATCCGTAGACACCACCGAACTCCCCGCCCGCACCACCGGCGCCGCGGCCCAGCTCGCGGCCGCGCACGCCGCAGAGCACCCGCTCAAGCTGTACGGGGGCTGGTTCTGTCCCTTCGTACAGAGGGCCTGGGTCGTGCTGTGCGAGAAGCGCGTGCCGTACCAGTACGTCGAGATCAACCCGTACGCCAAGGCGCCCGAGTTCCTGGCGCTGAACCCGCGGGGGTTGGTTCCTACTTTGGGTGTGCCTTTCAATTCGGACTCGAAGTCGGGAAGTGTGGAGGGAGAGGAGGGAAAGGAGGTTAAGAGGAAGCCACTGTACGAGAGCGCGGTGATCTGCGAGTACCTTGATGAGGCGTACGATGATGCGACGAAGTATGGCCCGAGGTTGTTGCCGGAGGACGCGTATGAGCGCGCGAGGTGTAGGTTGTGGATTGATCATATTAGCGGGAAGATCATTCCCGGGTTTTACAAGTTCATTCAGCATACGTCGGAGAAGGAGTACAGTATCGAAGAGGCGCGCGAGAATTTCCTAGGACATATCAAGATGCTTGTGCGTGAGATGCTGGAGGGTGAGGAGAGTGGCCCGTGGTTTCTCGGGGATAGGTTTAGTCTGGTGGATATCATGCTGGCGCCTTGGGCGAAACGGCTTTTTCTTATTGATCACTATAAGCCAGGTGGATTGGGGATTCCGGCCGAGGGACAGGGTGGTGATGATGAGAAGATCTGGGCGAGGTGGAGGAAGTGGTTCGACGCCATTACCACTCGGCAGAGTGTGAAGGATACTTGGAGCGATGATGAGCAGTACATCGTTGCGTATAGGAGATACGCCGAGGATAAGACACAGTCTGAAGTCGCGAAAGCGACGAGGAAGGGTGAAAGACTTCCATGAAGCAGACGATAAGATTGAGTTAAGTTCCCATTTGTTTGAAGCTATTCCGAGTACAATCCCGTGTGGGATAACTGTTACGATTTACGAAAAAGGGAAACGGTTTGAAGGTTTTCTTGTTTTCTCAATCGGAGGCTGAGCCAATCCTCTGAGTTACCTAGCATCGGATACCTACAAGCTTATATAATTATCTCTATTTATATATAAACGGCTTCTCCGAAGACTCTTTACGGACCGACTGCATTTTAGTAGAACTACCCGGATTCATCATCGACGAGGCTTGCGATTCTTTTTATTCATGGGACTTCCTATTCCGTCTGCGGGGGATCATCCTACCCTATGGTCAGACCTGAAAACTCAGCCCCACGTCCCCGCCGTTGGCTGGATGGGAAGCCAGTAAGGATTCCCAAAGCCCAAACCGAAGACGTTTCAAGATAATGGCATCTTTCATGCATCTAAACTCATGTTCCCTGATTCTCGATTTCCATGGGACGAGATATTAGATGGCGGACGGCAGATCTTCATGGTTTCCATTGGTTCGGCGTCGAACAGGTACTTTATTTGTTGGACGGCTCGTTTGTTGTTGAGTCAATGTAGCTTGCGTAAGACTTGCGAATATTAGAGAGGTGTAGATTCTTCAGGTTAGTCTGCTGCGCTAGGGCGCCATGGGATATATCTACGACGGGAATCCTTCTTCTTAATAGGTATATTTTTGGTTCAATGCAGGACCAGGCACAAAACCAAGACATCGAATTTGGTACCTAGAGAAGTGTGCGCATGTTCGTCCTATTTCGGCAGCTGGTAGTGTCGCAGATCGATCGCCGCCGATCAAGGGTAGAAACTTTGTTCTCTGCCCTTATTCTTGTCCTTAATAAACTCTGCCAAGCTTTCGGAAACGCCAGGCGGTCCAGTCAGGAGCTATCAAGATCGTCTTCCCCAGATCAGCACGTCCGGGAGTTTTTCTGCTCGACCTGTTGCACGACAGAGGTGTCGTGATGTCCAGAGCACTTGACGTCAAGTTGACTAAGACCCGAATTATGCCGACCAATGTGTGCGTTACGTTGGTGACCTAGCCCGTCGTCGCCAGGGTCCTTAATAGATATTTTAAACAGGGATACAGTTGGAAATGCCGTGCCTTACGCAAGCGTGCCCAATGTGCATGTGCATCTACATGGGAGGCTTAGCATTCGATGCCAAACACCACCTTGGAACCCCCTTCCCCCTTCTCCTCGCCTAAGCCGTAAGCCGTATATAATACCAAGATGGGTAGCCGCGAGGACGGCGTGAGCCTAGTCGGGCTAGCATTTCTTGGGCTCATTCTCTTTCGTCGTAACTTACCACAACAGTCATTCGTGATCACTTGATTACACAGTCTTCCATTCATTAGAGATCTGTGATCGTTCTTTTCGACATATCATCATTCTTCACCGCAAACATGAAGACCTCAACTTTCTTTACCTTAGCCCTCACTGTCGCCGGTGTATCAGCTGACCTAGTCCCGGCCCAACCCCCAACCAAAGTCAAGCGAGACCTCGCAACTGTAACCTCTGTCGTCTCTCAAGTCTCGGCCGCCATCGCCAAGCTCGACACCGCCGTCAAGGCCTTCGACGGATCGGACATCAGCACCGTACAGACTGACGCTCAGGCCCTCATATCGGCCCTCACATCCGGCGCTTCCTCTCTCAGCAGCAGCGGTTCCATCTCCTTAACAGATGCCGTGGGCCTCGAGAGCGTAGTAACCCCTCTAGGGACCGCGGCCGAGACCCTCGTCGAAGACGTCGTGGCCAAGAAGGATCAGTTCGAGCAAGCTGCCGCATGCTCTGTCATCGGCAACGAGATCTCGAGCGCTGGGACCGCGGCGAAGACTCTTGTAGATGGAGTCGTGTCCCAGGTCCCGGAGGCGGTGCAGAGTATTGCGGAGGCGGCCGCGAATAAAATCGTGGATACCTTGACGAGCTTGGTGTCACAGTTCTCTTCTGATAACTGCGTAAACTCGGGAGGCTCTGCAAGCAGCGCTGCTGCTGCCGCTGCTTCGTCCAATGCTACCGCGGTTGCTATCCAGGACAGCTCTTCTTATGTAGTCGTCGCTTCAACTACTGCTAAGGAGGTTGCCACCGACAGTGCAGTCACTGTAACCGTTACGGCGCCGTGTGCGTGCGCCGCGTCCAGTTCATCGGCCGCTGTTGTCTTCACTTCTAGCACTCCGACCCCGATCTTCCCAGCGAACTCGACGACCGTCTTCCCTACCGGCACCGGCGCGGTAACCACCCCGGCATCCGCAACCCAGTCCATCGTTACTGCCGGCGCTGTCGCTCACGGTGCGGTATCAGGCTCGATGGGATTCGTTGCTGCTATCGCTGCTGTTCTATTCATGTGATTCCAAATATACCCAACTTGTTTTCTTTCTTGTTAAGTGGTTGTTATGGTTATGATTAGTAGGGAACGAATGATGGTCTGCGTATATCATGAGCACCTAATGCTGGATCTTTCAACCTGCGCGTCGGGGCTGGCGTACCCGCTGGTGTACATGTGTCGATCCTTGTGTATAGCGAATAGAAGAAGCTGTATATATGATGTCTGAGAGTGACTAGTCTTTGTCGAAAGTGATTTCCTTTTGTGATTTGAGAGAATGATGTAATTTCAGGCGACATTAACCTGCGATTTTTTGAGATTGGTAGTTGGTAATACTCACATACGTAGGTAGATGATCTCGGCCTAACGTTCTGGACTTGATCCTTAAATCCACATTCCACTTCCCGTAAGATCACGGGATCTGGGGGGATAGATAATAAATATTGTAGATTTTTAGTAAACCGGGCCAGCTATTTCCCACGATAGGACCACCTTTTTCCAGAACGATGCCTCCTGAAAATTGGGAATCATCCACTCAAATTCCTGGAAATGCAAAATATAACTGAAGGTGAAGGTTAAGAATGAAAATTGGTCGACTAAACATAAAATCTATTTTAAACGAGTAAATGAAGTCAGGTAAGTGATGCCATAAGGGACGTTGTGTGTAAGCAAGTCCTGACAAGTTCCAAGTGTTGAAGGCCCTTGCCGGGACTACCCATTTGCTCTTCCCTTCGTAAACTTCTCCCGTCCTACTCCGGACGTTTCGTTATGCCAGCAATGATAAGAATATTAAGCAGTTGTCGGTTCAGGGCAGGGCGGAGGTGAAAAGGTAGGTGTAGGGTCACAGGCCGGGAAGCATCTTGTCTAGGGTTAGCGAGAATAATTTGTGCCTACATGCGGAAACCGGCCGAGATTTACCCTCCATAAGTTAGAATAGCCGTCGGTGGAGATCCGCAGCTTCGAAGGAAGTCCACGCAAGCAGTACCGGTGCTGGTGCAGACGGAGGCTGAAGAAGCTGTAGTCGGGATCGGCGTGATAGATGGAATTGAGGTGACGGTCGTGGTGGGTGAAGAAGTACTTGTCGGGATTGCCGTTACGGACGACGAATCCCCTGGGCAAGGTGGTGGCGGTGGCATTTCTTGAGTGCACATGTCGTAACATCTACCGTATTTGATACCTATGGCATAAGGGTCAATTTATTTCCTTGATTTAAAGGTACCATGTTTTCAAAGGAACCCAACGCACCACATTTGTTGACCGCGTCGAAACATCTGGTGCGAGGACAAGAAACCTCCTCGGCGGGGAGAGCGGCGGTTACGGCCCCGAGAGCCAGAAGGGAAGCAATGTTGAAAAGCATTGTGAAGATTTGGTTCAAGGTGACTTGTTCGTATGTGATTCTATGGAAATATGAGATGACGAGAATGAAAGCTAGATCTGACAAGCTTTTTATATCTTTCAAGATATAGTATCTCAGCCCCGCAAAGCCTCACAAGACGCTTGTCTTTTCAACCCCTTTGCTGTGAGCTACCCACCTTGATGATGTAGACGATACGAACTCGCAAAGCTTGGCAACTGCTAAGACTGCAAATACACTCTTGATCGGAAACATATTTATTACTCCATCTGGTCAGATTGATACCGAGACTGGTTCTGGAATGAGTACCCAGGCTGGATAGGTTGGAGTAGGCACCATAACATAGGCTATTAGCCGCATCGTTAGCTAAGCAAGGAATCATGTTGCGATGCAAAGTGGCATCCTGCAGCAATCTCCATTCGTTCCTGCATACGGAGCATAGCAGTGAGGAGCATTTTCTGGATATGTCAGATCTCAGCCACGATGTGGAATACGATCATCTGTTTTAACTGCTGACAGCTTGAGATCGACAGAGAACTCCGTATTGAAACGCTGGCGATATCGATCCCAGCAGAGTGTTAGACCTCTTGTCGTTCGATCAGTCAAAATTTCCATTTCAACGAGACGGTGTTCTAGAAAAGATGTACGAATACTAGCCGATATTAAGCTGCGGTCAAATTAACCGGAGGCCCGGCACTGCTGTATCAACATTTCATCCACACTTGGCACCACAACTCTATCCCGCAGTATATTGCGGGGAGTTACAGGTTGCTAATTATAGCGTAATGTTAGCTGTTAAGATCTTGGAGCTGGAGAAATATCCAGGGTCTCATAGGTTGAGAAGGCGATCGAATTATAAAATCCGGGTTAAGTATCTGGAGAAATTCGTTCCGCAAACCGAGTGGTGATCGTGCGGAACATGAGAGGCTGAACATCTGGACATAGCCAAGTAGACCAGGTATCGTTTTCGCCTGATTGATGCGATCCCTATGTAGAAGGTTATCATACTAGATGACGCCAGCTTTTGGCATGCCATCGTCGCTTTTCAATGCTCCATAAGCCCGGTAACTTTTCAGCAACATTAGAGCCTCGAGGGGACACACGTTTCGATACTTGAGGATTCAAGAGTCCATAATTATGAATGACGTTAATGAGAGAATAGTCGCGGTTGATAATTGTTAGGAGTAGCCGGACGAAGAGCCTTATTCCGTATCTCATAAGTTGAATTGTAGATAAATTCGGCCAAGACGCTAGACTGTAGTTAATAATCAATGCGCTTTGACCACATACATATTCTTACGTAACGTGACTTTTGGACTCAGTCACGCAAATTACCTAATCAGTATATTAGTAGGGAATATTAATCCCTGCCAATCCGCGACCGAATCCTCCGATTCAATCCATCGTTCAAGAACTTCCGCCAAACTCTTGCGATGCACAAAACTTCCCGAGAACAATAAAAAGATAGGACGGGAGCGTTCGTGACGGAATTAGACCCGACTTCTTATTGTCACGTCTTATACTAGCCACGATCACGAGGTTATTGCGCGTTGTGTGATCTCTTCGTCGTGACAGCTATCAGCTGTCCAGTGCCGAATGTCACGTTAAATGCTCCATAGATCTAGGCATTATATACCCGATGCTAGATGTCGCTCGCTAAAGATCGAGACTAGCGCCGGCTCCCGCCGCAAGTTCCCGAAAAGAAGTCAGCTCGCGGGCGAGGCCCTCCCAACATCTAGGCTCGGTGGTCTTGATCGTCATTCCTTGCGTTAATATTTGACGGGATTTATATCATTTCTTACTTTTCTAGCCACGCAGCTTCGATTTCCTTCTCGGAACTGGCTCGAGCGAGAGCGAAATCGCTGCTTTAAGTCGAGTTTCTCAATGGCCTCAATGGCCGCAAGGGAACATAGCTCACGATCTTGCTGCTGCGTTGGCATATGCAGAGAAGCACAATGAAATCATGCGGGGATACATCATCCACTACTCATCGACTAAAGTGGCAATGGTTTGTCTCAAGCGTCGAACAGATCATTCAACGGATCAGGTAGCAACATACATCTAGGCGTCTATGTAGGATTTCTGGGCCAGTAGCCTACCACCTGAGCCAGTAGCTAAGGTAGGTGTAATACATATGCGTGCGTGTACGCAGCATGTAGGCCTCCCACCCCATCACAGCCCACTTAGCTCACTGCCCCCTGCAATAATTAAGAGGGACACAACTCCCGTTGACATCATCTTTTCGATCTTCCAGCAGCTATTCGCTACACCGCCGAATCCTGACAGCGAGACTCGCAGCAGTGGGACATTTCGACAAAAGAAGACCCCGAAGCTCCCAATCGACGGGCATTGCTCCCTGCATAACATACGTCTAGGCGCGGCTTTTTTGCATGATAGGTCTCTGCCGGTTGCCTTCTAGACGTCTCCAACGGCCATACGAATAGGCCCTGTGTTTCCTCAACTGCGTCTTTAAAGTCTCGTTACGGTTCTTTGCGCTTGTGGCTTACACCCTTCTCTCTTTCGAAGCAAGGATCTATCGACTAAATATTGAAAAATACACTAGAAAGCCTGGAATTGCACAATCATTTGTGATACTCATATTTCACACCATGCCATCTCGATCGAGAGGTCGTCATGATCAGTACGACGACGATCCATACGTCTTCGACGACCCCTACCGCAATTCAAATTCGCCTATTGGAAATGCGCATTACGAATACGTCGGCACCGAGGAACCCTCCGTGGTATCTAATAAGTCTCGCCGACCCCGATCTTCGAATCCAGACCCTTATCTGCGACCAAACCAACCTAGAAGAGATTCCAGAACAGAAAGCCCACCACGGCGCTCTGGACGCCAGAGAGCATATACACAACCAGAAAAGCCCGATAGAAAATCACCACCTAGAGCTTCGCGACACAACTCCCCGCGTCGAACCAGCAGCAAAAAGGCGCCCCAGAACAAATACCAAGAATTCAGCGAACGACCGGCTGTGAAACGCACCAAATCTATTGGCCAATCCGGCCTCAAATTCATCAGCGAAGCAGCCGCACTATACGCCGCGACACAAGGCGGTTCAGGCGATCGCGAGCGCTCTCCAAGTCGCGACCGTCCTCGCAGCTCACACCACGCTTCAGAACCCCGCCGTCACCATCACCATCGCCGGCACTCTCCCAGCCCGTCTCCAGACCCGCCCATGCGACGCCAGAGAGCGTACAGCGACGACACGCGGCGGCACCGCAGACACCGATCGCCCTCGGTAAGCGACGAGTCGGACTACGACCGCGACCGCGGCCGGCGGCACCGGCGCTCGCGCGCGAGCTCCTCGCACGCGTACAGCCCGTCTCCCGCGCCGCGTCGCCGCAACGCGAAATCCGCCTCCTCGACCTATCGCTCCAAGCCATCGTCCAAGTACCCCGAGGAGGCCACGGCCGAGCGATGGCAGATGGCGGCGCGCGCGGCCCTCGAGGCGGGAGGGCTGACCGCCTTCCGGCTGCGCAAGGACCCGGGGAGCTGGACGGGCGAGAAGGGGGCTAAGGTCGCGACGGCGGCGCTGGGGGCCGCGGCTATCGACGCGTTTATTGATAAGGATCCGCGCCGCGCGAAGACGAGCGGGGTTAAGGGTTTCGCGGAGAATACTATTAGTAGCTTGATTGCGTCGAAGTTGATGGGGGTTAAGGGGCCGACTAATCGGAAGGGGAAGTCGAGGTATTAATTAGGGTTGGAGGAGGGGTAGGGGGGTTGGTGGATGGATTTCTGTTGTTGCTGTATACCTACCCCTGCCTGCCTACCTTCCTAGCTATGCAGGTAGGGTGTACGGTGTTTGAAGTGATACCTACCGGATATTTTCCCCGCATTTAGGGTTGGGGGCGGAAGATTGATGACAGATTGACGCTCATGAGAGAATGGGTAGGATGAGTATGGTAAACGGGATCGGCTTCATGTCGCCACGACGTTACGACTGCCTTTTCTTGTATACGATAAAAGTTAGACGGATAGCATCCCAGGTGTTTCTGGTTGGGTACTCGACTCAGTCTCAGGATTTATGAGGTTATTAGTTAGAGTCTTTATACTAGCTTTTTCGTGAGCTTTATCGTCGATCTGGGCTTACCTAGTAGGCAGTTGTGCGATTTATCCTATCTCTCTAACTTGTGTGCTGTAAATCTGGGGGATTCATGTGGGCGGGTACGTTAGCGATAGTATATGTAGGGTGGGTGACTATTGAATATTATATGACGATATCCCAAGATTTATTTCTCCGAGACTACCCTTGTAAGAGCTCCCGTCAATAGCATCCTGATTATACCACAGGATCGTATGCAGTTAATCTAACGTCTTAGCTGCCTTTTCATTATAGATCTCGTCCATGCCTGTTATCTTACTTGGGGCCGATTCGCTTGCAGATTTTTGAAATGAGACACCACCACCCCAGGTCGTCCATTGCGTATACTAGGTAATTTGCTAGTGGTTGGTATCCGAATTTTTCTCTTTGTCTTCTCCTTTCTCCATACGATGCATGCTAATAAGGGAGTCGAGTCTAAAGCACACATCGCTATATACCTATATATATCCATGGTTGTCGAGTCGTATCACTCATATATTGGGGCATACAAACATGGCTTGGGAAGGTGCCTACATAGCTTGTCGGGATTGACAGCATAGCCGATGCCTTGAGACCTGGTCACCTCATCTACTCCGCGTCGTTAGTAGACAATATGTAGGGGAGTGGGTGATGATTGCTAAGGCTATACGTAGCAAGGGGAGTCGCACTGCTTCGTTGCCTACTCCCTACCTACCTAGTATGTCTTCTCATCAACCCTCCCTAGCAGCGGATTTAGACGATGACTTAGAGAACTTTCAATGTTACTATATGATATAGTGGAATTCGTATTGGATCTAAGCATAGCGTCTGCGGTAGCAGTTGTGTATGAATATGGTCGCAAGCGAAACCTACTTAATTCATTGCCATTCTTTAGAGGCGACCTAATTCAAGCATACTCATGTGATTATAATGATTCGACAAACCCGGGAGATCGCATAGTGCTCGTTATTTTCTTGGATAACTATAGATACTGTCAGGGGCTATGGGCTGACTCACGAGCATTTTACGCACAAGTTCTCTCTTCTGATAAAAAGCTCGAGTGAAGAAGAGTCCCAGGTTTTGTGCCAGGAAACATACCGGAAAGCTACGGATACTGTGTGTAATGTCCTTTTTCGTCCTGGTCCTGTCATCACGTCCCCCCTGGGTCCCCCTCCGCCTCCCACAATTTTTAGTAGGTATGATCTTTCAAGCTTTCTGGCGTTCTTTTATACGAATTAGGGTACTTCTTGAACACTATATCGCCATCGCTCGAACATCTACCGTCCCATCCGATCTCTTCTCACCTAAGCAACCTAGTCTACCCTCCTAACAGCCGATCTCCTGAGGCAACCGGATAAAACCCGGTAACCACCTGAAGATTGTATTAGGTTTATAAGTATTGATAATTAATAAATTCCCAGCCTTCGGGCGATCTCAAATTAATACAATTGTATACTAGGTTCCAAGTAATTCTTCCAACTAAAGTTTTGCCATTTTGTCACGGGGGGTCGGGGTTCGATTCTAGCTCAAAGTAATAGTATTTCTTTTCTTTTTTCCCTCTTTTAACCTCTTTTAAGTGGGCCCTCCAATAAAGAGGGATATACAAACAAAGATATGACTATACAGAGGAATATGACCCTAAGGGAGATACATGAGGATATTCAGCCATTTCTAGCTGACTATGATTACGGCTGTCGTTGGTATAATCTAGATAACCATGGTGGTGTTGATGATGTTTAGGAGGGTTTTAATTCCTTAACTCAGTTAAGAGAACTGTATAGGTAGATAGGTTTGATAACCGTTTCCATAGCCTCCAAGATATGAGCATCCTAAGTAAGCATTTGGCTGATGGAGGAAGAAAAAAAATCAACCATCATGCTTAATATACTATCACACTATGTGTTTCAATGAGGTATCAAGAAACACGAACACTCCGTACAGGTTTTCGTTGCTATGAACCCGAACTCAAGCAATTCCACGGTAGGGTAAGGTGGGTCTAGATCAACGACGAAAATCATATGCTTGATAAGGAATGCTCGCGCTTCTTGAAATAAAGCCATAGCTTTTCTTACCTTATTTGAAGGTCGTTCTAAATTTTGACTCTTGTCCGCGCCGATGTTTCCAGCTATGAATTAATGTGGTAGTGATATCCAAGCTTCGACGCCACCCAGAATCGGCAGGAAGATACATCACGTTTCGGCTAAGTTTAACACAGAAAGCAACGCCCTTCTCTGATGGAAGCACGAAGAAATAATATTGCTCTTGTCCTAGCTCTCCAGTGACGACCTCCCAATGGGTATCCCAGCTTCTTGTTACTTAATTTTTAATAACAATCCAATTGATTGGCCTATCATGATGCAATTGGGGTTGCTCCGATGTTCAAGGTGCCCTCTCACACTCCGTACCATACTAGGTAGTAGATAGAATGCAGCCTTTGACACATTTTCCGATGCTTTGCTAGTCTAAACGTGTAAATGCCTACATAGAAGTCGTCGTACAATTACTACAGATAATAAATGAGAGCATCAAGTTAGTTTCTTCTTGTCTTTTACACAATGAAACCAAGTCAAATTCCGACCCTTTATAACGTAACATGACCGTGTTCAAGTCAATTTCCTGATATCCCACCAATTATGAGGTATCATCTTTCATCTAAAAATTCCCTTCATAGTCAATTGCTTCATAGATCATTCGAACCTGGTTCTAAGTTTGGCGTCCTCCATTACTGAATAACTGCATCCTTAGAGCCTTTAGTTATTGATGGGTTAATCAGAGGTACGTAATACACGGAATATCAATTACTCAAGTATTTCTCAACCCACTATATCCACAAATAATAGGGATTCCTTGATGAAGAGTCAGCATCGTCGATGAAAACTATCTCGTAACATAGTGTCCAGACAACCCAATGGCTAGTCGAAAGGCTGGAATAATTTCCGATCTCTCTTTCTTGTCGGTCATTTGAACGTGGGTTTGGTTTTCGTATGATGTAGATGGAGAAGAGAGAGTTATCATCAACTCGAAGCACACATGAAGGTATCGTGGGCTGCTGTCTACAATTAACGTTGAAGCCGTGGTATAACCTAATGTACTGCGCTGTACTCTTATTGAGGATTATTGGTGCCTAATCATCGCTATTCGTAACTTCATCATCATATGAGATCCTAGATTGAGTATGTGCATGAGTGCAGCCACATTGGATAGAATGCTAAAAGGCAAGAAGGTAAGTTTCGATGTTGTAAGAGGGAAGAATTGAGGCGCCTAGGTACGTATCAGTTATAAGTGAATAGATCGGTTCGGCTCGATCCGAATGACAGGGATATAGAGGCTAAACCCAAAACGGACATTTTTGGTACGCCAGGCAGACTGTCGATTTTAATTAACTGGGCAGCTGACCTTAATAATTAAGTGCCTATCAAATTTTTTTTCTGATTGGCTTGATTTAGTTCTATTTAGAGTTTCTTGGGTGTTTTAGTGTAGCAAACTTCGGGTTACTAGTTACGACGGTCGAATTAATTATGTAATCATGATATGAATGACCAGGGCAGCGAGATTTGAGCCAATCAGAAAACGGCTCCACCATGCATTTTAACCATCCGCCAAGCTCGAGGCTGATAACCTGACTTCTTTCCTTCTCAACATCCCAGCCTTGTGGTTCCGTATATCTCGATTCTTTTATCTTCAACACATATTCGGTGAATCAAAACTCGATATAATACGAATTACTGATCGTCTCAAACGTTTACCCGGGCTGATTAGGGTCAAAACTTTCTCTGATTGGTTCGTCGCCTGGTAATCGCTGTTTGCCTATCCTCAACTTCCTTGTCTACCTAGCAACGATAGCATCAAGGCGGCCGCACGAGCTGATTTACTCACTCGATACCCACTAAATCGAATCACAACCACAGTGAAATAACGTTATTAAAGGAAATATTCCATTTTTCTCGTCCAATCATACTTAACTTGCCGTTGCCGCCGGTGGTCAAAGTGTTTAGAATTCTAATCACTCCCCGGACCCACCTCACTTTCAAAACTATATAAGGCTGGACTTCCCTCCCCAAATCTCTCCCTTTCCTTTATTTTCTCCAGCTCTTGTCTACAGAAAAAAGCCTCCCTGTAGACCAAAAGCTATCCTCAAGTCTAGTTGCCCGCCACTTCTACACTTGGTACTTTTGCATTTCGCCATCCGCGCATCTGCATTCATCGCCTTCTGCCAGCCGCTTACATTATATTATCTTCTTGAGCGCTGCCGACATTAAAAGGCAATCATTATTGGTTTTCTACGAGTGGTTTTCGGAGTTTAGGTGAGCATCTATCTTTCGTAGGCCGATTACGCATTCCTGAACTCCAACATTCATCACTTTCCATACCAATATACCATTAATCATCCGTTAATCAATACATCTATCATCTTAATCCTTTGTCAACCTATCTTCATGTCTAGATTTAATAGTATTTCTTCATTCGTGTTTCTGTCACTAACCCGCGTCAAGTATTGAGGGTACCCGACAGCTGTCGATTAGTACGCCTTGTCTCGCTCTACCCGCTATTAGGGCCAGCAGACAATTTATCTATCTCGATACCACTCGGCGTTGATCTCGTACCAACTGGACGAGTATCTACATACGCCCCATATTCTGTCGCGAGACGATCACCTTGTGAGTATGTAATCAATCTCGCTCGCTTCTTTCTGGCTCGGCATTAACGAGTCAACAGCTCCCACAAATCAGTTCGCACCAGTCAGAAGCTCGTTGCAATGGCTGCGTCCGCAAACTCTCGTCTCCCTCCCGTGGACTTGTCCGTGGGAGGTAAAGGTCCAGCCTTCGACCAGAAGCCACTATGGAACCAAGATACGGTTCGCGACGTGGCTGAGTCTGTTGGCGCGTCCAAGATCGGTGACGATAGTCTCCGTACGCTCACCCAGGACACCGAGTATCGCATGGGTCAGGTCATAGTGGAATCCTTGCGTGGAATGCGAAACTCGGAGCGGGACAATATGAGTGTACAAGACACTAGTGGTGCCTTGAGAGTCCTGGACGTCGAGCCTATGTTCGGTTATGACTCGAACCGTCCCCTCAAATATGGGGAAGCCAATCTAGGCTCCCAGGCCCTCTACTATGTGGAGGATGAGGAGATTGAGCTGGAGAAGATGATTAATGCTCCACTGCCAAAAATACCCAAGGACATGTTCATGACAGGTACGTCTCGTGACACCCAAGAAAATGACGTTATCTTCATAATACTAACTATCTACCTATAGGGCATTATCTCGCTATTGACGGAGTGCTCACGATCTGTCCTGAGAACCTTTCGCCGGCCGAGCTTAAGTCGCACGACTTGCTGCCAAAGGGCTCTGGTGCCAATCCAGCACTTGCTGCTCTCTCGGGTCAGGACCAACCCGCTTTCAAGCCTTCTGTGAAGCACGCTGTATCACAGGAGCTGGTCCTGTACTTTGAGAAGATCCAGGCTGCCATCCTGGACGACAGCGACGACGAAGAGGTGGAGAGATTGCGTGCGGCTGCACTGGAGTCGCTTGCCACTGAGCCCGGCATCCACCAGCTGCTGCCCTACTTCAGCACTTTTGTCACCGATCAGGTGACTCATAATTTCGACGATCTGTTCGTACTTCGTCGGATGATGGAGCTCGTGCATGCTCTAATCAATAACGAGCATCTGTTCCTCAACACGCACGCGCCGGCTTTCGTCTCGGCAGCCCTCACAGCGCTGCTACATCGCAAGGCATCACACAGCGACATCCAATCAGCGAGTCAGCAGTACCAACTTAGAGAGTTCGCTGCGAACGTGCTTGGAGAAATCGCGTGGAAGTTCTCAAGGTCTATTAAGACGCTTCGCCCCATGCTTCTACGTTCTTGCGTTAAAGCCATGTTGAACCCGCAGCTACCTCCTAGTGTGTGGTTCGGGGCCATCTCGGGCATTGTGCATAGTGCCAACAACGGAGCGATTAAGATCCTCCTAGTCCAGAACCTGAAGGACTTTGAGAAGGGCATGCTTGTCCCCCTACTCCAGAAAAATACGGAACTCAGCCGTATGGAGTTTGAGGCCATAATCGGCGCTATCTTGAAGGGGCTGCAGAAGCTTACGGGTGATGTTCTGCCAGTGGCTAGCATGAATGGGTTCTCCAGCGACGCTGAAGCAGCTCGCGTCAAGGCTTTCGTGGGGGACATGATTGGTGACCGGATCATCCAGCTAGGTGATCATAAGTTGAACCTAGCAGTGTTGGACGCCCAGTTCTACGACAGCGACTGGATGGGGGCCAGAGAATAGGTTGGAGGAGCGTGGTGATGCTTGGGGCTTGGATTTCCTTTGTTTAGCATGATCGGAGTCTTAGGGATTTGAGGTTTTCTGGAGTTCCTGGGAGGGAATATGTTTTTGCAGCTGCTTGCTAGGCTTTTTTCTGCGCTACATCTATAGAGCGCAGAGTGCGAAAGTCAGACTTTACGTCAACCGCACCTATCGCCATGTTCAGATTGTACATCACACGATCTCGCTTGGCCTAAGTCATACTATGCGACTACATAAATTGCAGAGCATAAGTCACTGGCTTATGGGGATAGACATCAATTGCTGTTCCTCACGATATGCGCCCAAACATGAGTGACTTTGTGCATGTGTCTTAACCAAATTTGATTGTAAATTGATTCATTTACTGCTTCTTTCGTAATCTACAAGGAGAACCTAATTCCCATGATTCGGAGGTAAACTAGGCCCTGTACTAGAGCTAATCCACTCATCTGCCCATCCTATCATACTTCCAAGGCCCTGTCCCCCTCTCTTCCTCTCCTCCTAACCAAATCACAGCAGGAATACGGCGCCAAGAGTCGCGGCAACGCTGGTCCCCAAAACGAGATAACTAGTCTGATTGATGACGGGCTTCTGGAACCCCCTCGCAGTGTCCCAGACGAGATGGCGGATGCCGTTGCTGAAGTGGAAGAAGAAGGGCCAGGCGATGGCGGCCTTTAACCCGGTCTTCAGGACGGGCGGTAGGGTGGCGGCGGCCTCGGCGAGCGTCGCGGACTCGATGTGCCAGCCCGTCAGAGGCGCTACGAGGTACGCGATCGAGAAGGCGTACAGCGAGGTCGACAGCGCTTGCCCTGTAATTCGCGTCCAGATCGAGGCGCCGAACCACGTCTGGCTGTAGTCGTACGCCGTCAGGTGCGGCGAGACGGGGCGTTGCTTGCGTTGCGAGGCGAGGAGGGATTGGGCGTCGGTTTCGGTGAGCTTTTGCGTTGATGCGCCTCTGTTTGGGGGCGGGTGGTTAGTATTAGTGTGTATGTCCCGGATGCTTGAAGCGCGGGGATTGAAGGTATTGCTGGCTGAAATCTGCGCTGCGGGTTTTGCATGTGAAGACGACTTTTGGGGTAGTAGGTCTGATGGAGAAGGGGAAGCGGTTCGGAATCGAAGGTGTTTACCTAGTCTGCGAGGTTGCGGTATTCATACCCAGAGCAAGTCGCGGGAGGTTCTGGGAGAGGAAGAGCGCATTGGGCTTGGCGGCGGCTGTGAGTTGAGAGGGAAATCAAGCGTTAGCGAAACTTAAGCTATGACGTTGTCCGGTCGAGGGGTTGATTGACAAGCCGTCGCAAGCCACGTTCCTCCACGTTGGGATGGGGAGAATAGATGAAGTATAACAAGAACAAATGGGATGATAGGTACATACCTTGCCGCAGTGCCCGAACACCAACTCTCTGCGCGATCATCGTGTCGAGATGCGATCAAAATTCCCTTTAATCCGTCCAGTGATCCTGGAGATCGATTTGAACTCTCGACCAGTCGGAGACGACGGACGACGACGATGCCAATATCGTCGAGACAATTCAATTGTAGGAGGTACTCGCAAGCGGACTCGAGTTCGAAAGAAGCGTAGACGGTGATGCGTTCATTGAACGTTAGAGTCGGTTAAAGATTGAGGAAATCCAAAGTTAATTCCGTCCAATCCCACCTCTACCCTCGGCTTCTAATCGAACCAATCAAATTGCATATGATCTATGATGACCACCGTCACCAAAACAAGTACCGAAGTACCACTGAGATCACGCTAAGCCACAAACCTAGGCATTTATCACGTGAAATGGTCTGTGCAGCAACAATCGCTCAGACAAAAATAATCTGAACGCAAATTTGTTTAAATCTATTTTCCTTCCTTTCTTTCCTCAGATAGCACTGAGCATCCAGACCACTGGTGGCTTTCCAGAACAATGGAACATCGTGTCAAGGTCACCGACGGTGCAAGCCGTTATGGGTGTCTCTTAGAGTAACTATTCTTGGGAAAGAAGGATCCTTCGTTAATCTCGGCGTTGAGTTGCTCCCCGTCTCGACGTCGTTTCATTCTGAGATCTACATTCAGATACTTGATCGCATACATTCATGCTAGGGATATGTAGTAGAATACCAATTGCATGTATTGTACCAGCTCCTGTTGTTCTTGTTTCGACGATATCAGCATCATAACGTGCACATACAGCTTAGTCCAAACTAAGAATCAATCATGTACCAATACGAGGACAATTAATCCTCACTATGAACATGACGATCCTTAAATTATTTCATGATATATCCCAAATAAAAAACAAAGACACGTACACCTGAAAATGGTCTAGGGCCGTTAAGGAGCAAACATTCTTTTCTAATCCACCCAGAAGGGATGTGGATTAGGGGGGCTGCCAGTGTCTACAAACAACCACCTATCCTGTCAGCTAGCTTTTTATGAGCCATAAGTCTATCATCTCAGGCCAGCTATCGTGCTCGACATAGCTTGAATAAGCAGCGTACAAGTGCCTGGATTAAAATCAACAATGCTGATTCCGCAATCCGATATTTTTTATCATACACAAGAGCTTAGCACTTGGAAGTTAGAATAACTTTCACTTGACAAGATGAAGGGATTGGAGAGTTAAAGGAAGTGGTTACGAAGCTTAGTTAGTCTTGTAACCCTCAAAGAAAAATGCCGGCCCATAATGTGTTGCCCAGGCCCCTTTCGGGAAGGGCCTTCCCCATACACAATTACCATATATAACATCCTAACACTGTCCAAAACTTTATTGACGAGCATCTTTCACTACATCTCTTCCATAGAAAACTGCTCTGATTACTATAGAATATCAAGGACGTTTATTTGAACATTATTCATTATTCTAGTCTTAACGGAATCAGCATTATACCGTGTATATAAACATGGCTGAAACCTAAGTCAAGGATCGTCTACGTACCAGTAAGAGGATGATAGATAATCAATCCGATAATAAAAACTTTGATACAAGATTGGGAATGCTATAGAAAATTTCTGAAGTACATATATCTGCACCTTTGAAAATAACACGGCGCTGTTTGTCATTGTGGCAACCACTGTCGTCACCAGCCGCCGTCCGTACAATTAATAAACGAGTGTAGGCTGAAAACCCTAATGTTATTTATTCTCCTGGTGTCTTCTTTCCATTATTTTCCTTTTTTCTTTTCCTTATTTAAGAATGGATACATTCCTCAAACATCTTAACACATAATTCACGATGCCATTCAACTAAATAACCTAACCTGTGGTTATAATAATGACCACATTCATACAACAATTCCTCGGAGTATTAATCAATATCATTAAATCGTTTCTTTCCTATCTACCTTACTCTTTAGGCCGACCCCCTAGCACATTCTCTATTGATCTAGGTTCTATTTGAGGTTCGTCACACATCATATAATCCCCCATGCTTTTGTCTCTGCTATTCTTTGACATGTAGCACTACCCTATTCATCGCCTCCCTAATGCATCTAACCTTTTTATGTATAGGTTTGACCGGGCGCCGACAGGGCCGCCAGGGCCGACACATCGGTGCCGATATATTTGTCAACTTCATGCAACTTTCCATTAAACAGCTACTCCTAAGCTTGACGGAAACTGTCTAACTTAATATGTTGGCAAAATGAGTTATCTTCCGAAGCCTTCGCCGAGGTAGGACGTCTTGATATAAGTACCAATTATTGCTTCATAGAGCTGACCCATTCCAGGTGTCTCACCAACGCAGGTGGATTTCAGAATCGAACAATAACACGATCTTCTATCGAACGGGGCGTTGCGGCGCGATGATGCTACTCCCTACGGAAAATAATAACTATTAGAGCATCGCATATAAGGGATTAAGAAAACTCTAAAGCAACCTTGGATAGTCCTCGGTTTTGATGACCACCTAGCCCAGGGTGAATTCATCGTTGGGCTCGATCCTAACCTCATCAAACCCCGATATAAACAACTACCTAGTAGTATCTGGATCAACCTGACCCTAACAGAGGAACCATACCTCTCCCTAGTCCTGCCGGTGTCTTGACACCCCCTAACAGCGACCAACAGCTCCCCAAAGAAGCTATAAACCGCACACAGACGCCAGCAATCATCATCTAGAGCGTAATCTCTGGAAAGCCACCCACTCCGATAGTTAACGACTATGAAATACAAGGGGTACATGGCATGGAAAAAGATGTCGCTAATTTTGTCGATCATCGCCAGAGTATTACGCAGATTTATCTGTGTTAACCTTTCCATATATCAACGGACCAAACTTGTCCCCAAGCGAGATTGATGATTCTATCAGTCTGTATCCCCGAAAAGAGTAAAGCAGATAAGACCCGGACTTCACCTTAAGAGTCAGATATCACTAAATGACTTACCGAAACCGCCTGGAGGAGTACACCAGGGGGATTGTCGGTGCTTCTGAAGTATACTTGTGGGGGCTTTTTGGTTGATCGCGTTCTACCTGGTATTTACCAGGTCGAAAAGACGTCGAGGCAATGTGCCTCGTCAACCACTAATTGCAACATAAAGGTTGCCTGCTATTTCATTCAGCAGCTGGTCGTCAGCTTTGGACCAGAGCAGGTCTGGTCTAGTGGAGGACTAGTTGAATCGGAGTTCAGCCTATCTGAGACAATAGGAGACGTATTGGCGTGTTTAGAACAGAGTAGAAAAAGTGCATTTCCTGTATGTACACCAAGTACTCTCAACCAGAGTATAACTTGGGGGCATTAACCTTCTCATAGAATATCCAGTTAACGGTCTTTATTACCACGAATTAAAAGGCACCAAAATGAATATAAGATATACAGGTACCAAGGTACCTCAAAAATGATGATATAAACAAAATTTCGTTGCTAATTATTGCCGTAGTGACCGTTGTCGTCACCAGCCGCGGTATCCAACTACCCTGAGATACAGAACTTATTATCACTTCCCACTTTTTTCTTCTTTCACTCCATAACTATTCTCGACGTGAATACTGCGAATTCATCCTACCGTCTTGGTAAGTCAATGGCCCTCTTCTGATTGATACGAATCTGAGTCTATTTTCTATTAACACCATTCTTACAGATTTTGCACATCCGTGTTATTTTCTACGCCCCGAAATCACTTTAGGATTGATATCCTGAACAAGTATTAATAATATTCTGTCAATTCCGACAACTTGATAGCCAAGGCGCTACCCGTTCCTTTAGTAAGTCTCAACTATCGATCACTTTTCACGTCCGTTTTTATTGCTTCGCGTTTCCTATTGCCATTCTTACGTACAATCTGCATTACTCTATCGAGGAGTATCGTACTCTTCATATCTGGCTGCTCAGTACCTATTCTTTTCTCCTGCATATTGTCATCGCTTGCCACCATCAACATATATTGCACCCTTAGCTATACTTAGACCGTGCCTATCATTTATGATGCTCATGTAACTAACATGTTCTTTAGTATCTCATCATGGAGGACGATAAGCCTAACAATGCTCATTCGTGGGCTAATATCGTTAAGACATCGAGACCCAACACTCCACGAACCACCACAAACCCAGAAACAGTGAATTTCGGGGTCGCGTCTAACCGAGAGCCCATATATGAGGCTAAGGAGAAGCTGCATAACCATCACGATGCCCCGAATACAATTCCTCGCTTCAATGCCGAAGGCCAACTGGTCCAGGCTGTGGTTCCTGGAATTGTGGCACCCACGGTAGCTGAATTCGACGGCCTGGTGGCCTCCATGAAGGAGACCATTTTTCTACTTCACAAGGATATATCCCAACGAAGTCTAGACCTAATCTCAGCTAAGGCATCTCTAGCCGGAAAGGATTCACAGATAAAGCACCTTGAGAATATTATCCGAGAGCTTAAGAAGGAGCTAGGAGCAGTAACAGCTACGGATAATGGAACCCATTATGAGATCATCCGGTTAAGACTAGAGAATGCTAGTCTTCGAGAGTCTGTCCACACTGGAATCATAAATGTTGCCCAAGTGTACGGACCTGGCAGTTTACAGCACTTCGAAGATATTGGAACAAAAGGGGTAGAAGCTGAAGAGAAGAGGGTCGATGATTCTGTTAACCACCATCAAAAAGTCGAGCAGGTTCCGTATGCAGATCCTGCTCCGGCTTTTTCATCTGGCAACGGACGAAGCAACGGACGACAGGGTGAATCCAAAGCGACTCATAAACGAGTCCATTTCAAACAAGGCCCCCCTGAAGGAACGATTCCTAGTAGCCAAGTGTTTAGACCTACGAATCTAGCTGTCATTACTGAGGTAGCCCTCTTCACCTTCCCACTAATGTTAGCAAACCAAGCGTGGCTAACTAAGATTGCGAATAGGTCGATACTATAACCCGCGATGATCTTGACAGACCAGACTCCAACAAGACCGCTGTGGATAGTAGCGCTCACCCCATCGATGTAGAACAATCTACAGAAGGTGTCCCTATCGTCCGACTTCCCCCTCCTATCAACAAAACTGTCGCTGGCTCGAAAGCAGCTATGAACGCAGGTACAAAGGCTCGAGATAGTTCTAAGAAACCTGCAAGCGTTTGTTCTCCTATAGCAAACACTTCTCGAGCTACTCAGGATACGTCCAAGTCATCCGATCGAGACGACGGATGGACTCAGGTACAGACCAAGAGAGTGTCTTCCAAAGACAAATGGAAGAAGAGACAGGCGGCAAAGAAACAAGCAGCAAAGAAGCGGGCATCAGAGGAAAAGGCGTTTAAGAAGAAAGTCACCGATGTGACCACAGCTGTCTCACCAGGCCAAAGTATGTCCCCTGGTACTAAGCCATCTACCAAGGCAAAGGTAGCTCTGAGCAGTGGTCACAAACCGAAGCCTATCAAGAGGCCTCATGGGACTGTCATCGGGTCAGCTTCCAAGTTTTCACAGAAGCCTAACCCACAGAAAGATCAATCTGCTAAAGAGGACGAACGGGTTACCGCGGTCGTCACAGAAGTTCCTGTCAATGAGGCAGTTGAACCTAAGCCCTGGCCCCATGCTCAGGGCCAGACGCAGCCTGTGAGCTTAGCAGCTGACTGAGTATTTGGGAGGACGAGGCCAGACGGTCAGGAGCCATTAATAGCTTGCCTAAGCTCTTGATAGCATCAAGAAGCTAAAGAGCGTTGGCCTTCTGGGGTACTTGATGTCTTCACTTGGGACATTCTAAATGGATGTGCTGGAAATATCTCAGGGTGGATAGATGCCGATAGATCCTAGGACAAGCCGTTCATTAAAACAAACGGATATTTCGTCATTTCTTTAGAACAAAAAAGGTCACCCCTGTATTTCGCTCGAGTAGATCCATTATTATGATAATTTCGCGCTCCACAGATATACTCATTTCAGTTTATGTCTAGTTCTCAAGCTCCAAATACCCCAACAGTATACGAGATGGCAGAGCTTCACGGAGACCTAGGCAATTGCAACAATCCTTGATGCCCAACCACTCTATAATTCTTATCTAGGGTCGGATAAGGATGAAAATGTTCCTCCCTTTGTTAATTACAAGTAAGATCTAAACGAAAGATATTAACAAATAAATAGGAAGTTTAAATATCAGGCCTTGTTTACTCTAAACCAAACAAGGCTTGATATTTGTTTAGCTTGCAGAATATTCTAATATAAAGTGGCACGACCTGTGTTTACCATTGCAGCTGACCCTTTTTGCCATTCGTATGTCTACTGCTGTTATTGCTACTACTGCTCTTGTGTCGAGGAGATCCGAAATTGGGACATGGGATGCTGGTATGCTCAACCAACGAAGCAACCGCCTCAAGGAGAAGGAATAGCCTCAAGCTAAGGCCATGAGCAAGTATAAATACCGAGTAAGAACGGATTATACGTCATAGATGTGCGCTAGTTCTAACTGTAATAATCATTCCATTATCTGTAGGTACATTATATGAGTATTTTGTAAAATAACCGTTATTTTTACATATTACTTTAAAATTAACTCGTACCTGAAAAGTATATAGTAGTACTGAAGCGTCTATTACATCTTCCAAGCGTCACCAGATGATTGGTTCCTGGTAAGTCGTCCCTGGCCGCTATCAAATCAGCCAGCTAGGTACCTTACCTAGTAGGTCATAGAAGCTATTATTATTTTTTCCTTTCTTTCCTCTCACAAAACATACAAGTTAATTCTACGACATTTCAGGACAGAACTTCACTTAACAGTATATTATTCTGTGGAAAAAAAAAACATACCTTCATTAACTACTCTCGTCTCTGCTACCACACCATTCTTTCACGTATTATTATCGTTTTTTCTTTACTTGATAAAGTAATAATGCCACAGGTAAGTCTTTTATCCAAGCTGCTCGTGTACTTCTTTTCCTACTCACCGTTGTCTACGGCCAACCTCCACATCCCATTTTTCATTTATATATACCCTTCATATACCGTCCACACGAAGCCGTTCGACGCAGATCATTCATACGATAGATTGCCGTTCTCTACTTGTGAATCCTTCGGGCCTTTATCTCATGATTACTAATTTAGAGTGTGCTCCTAGTCTCAGCGGAAGCAAATTCCCTGCTACGTACTGCTTCACTTATTAACAACCAACGGTCCTAAAAATCAAACACATATATTGTTTTAAAAATCCTGTCCACTCCCCAGGTAAGATACCGCGAAACTTTTACTCTGTTTTCTTGGCACATCTAACGTCGGTATACTTAGATGGGGTATCTCAGGCACAACCGTCAAGGTGGAAAAATCCGAGCATAGATACCATAACCCAACTTCAGGCTGATACAACTCGGCAATCGTAATATGCTCAAGTACATGTGGCTAAATTAGCCCCAAACAGTATGACGGCTGAAGGCCTAGTAATCACTACAGGTTGGACGACTGAGTGGGTTGACGAAATCGAGCAAGATATCAATCATCGGAGTACCATTAAACAGATAACCTTATCTGGATGCGATTTAAGCAAAGCGACGACAGCAAAGAACACGTATCCTTAATTCTGAGGATTTGGCCTAAGTGGCCGTTGGACTTAAACTACGTATGGGATGAAGATGATCCCACCGCTTCGAGGGTCATAATCACGACGACCACTCTACACAGTCTCCCAAAAGAAATCCAAGCGTCTACAAAGGCGATGTTCCTCTATTATTGAGTACTACTATATCGGGATTGGCGCCACAAGACATACTCTTGACGACCGGATTCAATTTCGCCTTCAACACGGTTGACTCCGAGCCCATGTTCGTCACCAGTCAAGGTTGATATTCTTATTTGGCATGGCTGTGGTCAACAAGTTATACAAGCGGCACATATTGGAGGCCTGCTTCTGATGTAATGGAATATTCTTCCTCGTATTCTGGCTACGGCCGAGCCACCGCGCTTCTCCGTCAGGTGGAGCACCTTTCTATCCAAGGCCAAACCAACAAAAGATTCAGATATAATAGTAATGGGAGAATTTGTAGCAAGCAGTGATTAAGGCTATCTCCAAGCAAAATCTTGAAGAGAATGCCTGCTGGCAAGAAGCAACGTTATAGGGTTCGAGTTGTACGTCCTGTAAAGCGTTAATGGACGCACGATATGGATGGTATTTGTATTATATTATAATGTTGTTCTACATTTTGACAAATAGACTGTTTCCATTTCTAGGTTGCCCATTATTGCGACGATATAAAACACAGTTAATCTTGTTCCTGAGCGTTCTCAGCTCACAGTTTCCCTCCTCATGAAATGTCAGCGAGCACAGAGCTCACAATTGAAGGTACCTACGTCCAATACAGTAATAGGTGACAATCAACTGTAACTAAGTTTGGAGATCAATATCCAATAGGTAGTGATTGTCCTAATATTATCTTTATTTTTGCCATATTTCCCTATGTATTCTTCCCTTGTATATATAATGAACATGAAGTATGTATTTCTACATTTTGATTGTTGTAAATTTACTACAATTAGGTCCTCCAAACAAGAGACAATAAAAACGCACGGTATAATAATCAGGTACTTAAGCACCGTTCCAGGTGTAGATTTAACTTTTTGATTATCACCATGGCAGCCGTTGCTGTCACCTACCATGGTAACATAAAGCCCCAGTTTTTGGAACTAATGTTCACTTTTCATTTCCTCTACCTTTCCTATTCTTTTCTGCTTTAAAGACAATCTGTATCAGCAAAAACATCTTTGCACGAGTCTGCACAAAAAGATTTTACTCTCTGCATAAAAGATCGTCTGCTATTTTGGCATAAACTTGCCATATCCCAATAAACGTAAGTTTCTCCTCTAAATAAATTATTGCTGCCTCTCTTCAACGTTGCGCGTTTACGCAAGTATTCTCATTTGCGGCGCAATACCTACAAATTAATGTTCGTCCTCATACATCCACACGAATATCACCATATACACATCGTCAACCTTCATCTACAACACATGGCTATCCCTACATAGATGAACTGGGTCAATCCTCCTTTGTCCCATCGATTATACTGCGTCTATTCTGTCGCCTTTTACCCTACTCTCAAGCTCTAATTGTCGATATTGTAGGCTTTCTTCTCTGCTATTCACTTCCATCAAGTGTACTAAACAAATAACTTTTAAAGTATACCCTCGTCTTAGACTACATTACTTTCGTCAGATTATTAACATCTTCAAAGGAAACGTTACTTAAACGTAAACATTATGCATACTGTATCAAACCATCCCACGAGAACCAAGACATGGGCCAATGTAGCCCGTGCTTCTACTCAGAAGGATGAGCGGCCCAACCATCAGCTACCCACTACGCCGACATTTAAAAGCGACTTTGAAGCACAATTCCGTGCTACTAAAAAGCTGGAAATATCAGCTAAGCAACGCACTATGCCAGCAAAGGACAATCCTGATATATCGGCGCTGAAGTCTCAGATGGCGGCAATGAGAATGACTATCAGAACACTGCAAGATGATATATCGCGCCGTACTCTCGATTTGGTACAAGCACGCCAAGAAATCGAAACTAAAGACGATTAGATCAAAAACCTCAAGGGTGTTATTTCCACCCTTAACGAGCAGGTAGATACTTCAGCGAAAGATAAAGAGCTCATAAAGCTTAAGTTCGAGAATGCTGGATTACGAGATGCTCTTCACACAGGAATTATCAACATTTCTCACCTCTATAGACCTAGAAGCACCCAGAGTCTTAGGTAGAAAGAGAACAAGGACAATCTGAGTACCACGGAAATACCGAGCGGAAAACACCACCGAGAATCCCAACACGCCTATGAAAACTCCGTGTCGTTATCCTCAAATATCGTGCCTGAACAATGGTGAGCTGGGACAATCAATTGTCGATCTGCTCGGAGATCGACGGCGACGTTCGACTGTTCCCTGAAAAGAAGAAAATTAGCCAGAGATGTCAATGGAATACAAGTTGGCACATATCAAGAAAAATCAAGACTTCTTCAGCTAATTCACGAAAAAGACGAATCTAAGTCCAAAATATCTGCTCTTAAGGCTATTCCAAGCGCGGAGATTATGAATAAGGACATTGAGGTACTTAACGCAACAGTTTCAGGTTTAAAGGACGACATAACGCGTCATACCTCTGATCTGATTGAGACCAGATCTTGTCTACTCAGCGAAACCGCTGAGGTAGACTATCTCAAGTCAACAGGCGCTACGCTTAATGAACAACTAGAGTTAACTAAAGCGAAAGAGAACAGTGAGTCTTGTAAAGATATCGAGATTAAACAACTCCGATTCGAAATCACGACATTGAGAAACGCCCTTCACACAAGATAAATCTTAATCGCACAGGTTTATGGTCCTGTGAGCGTCCAGGCTTTCAATGCCATCTGTAACCGAGTAACTAAAAAAACTGAGCAAGAAGCAGTTGAATTTACCAACCAACTGCAGCACAGTCCGCACAACCAGCAGCCAAAGGCTACGTCGTCACCGTACAATGGATGTCAGCACTCTACTGAAGCGATGGCCACGACTAAGGTCGATTCAGTCATTAATACCGGTTCCTTCGACCATGAGAAGATTCAGGAACCTGTTGCCAGCACCGTTGGTCAGCTTGACCGTAATGATACTCCAATTAATGAACGTTCTGACATGCCAACAACAATTGAGGAGCTGGATGGTAACGCTGCTTGTCAGGGGCATAAGTGGAGAGAGGGAAAGCAGGCGCTAGCCTGCGGCTAGCTAGCGGCTAGGCCGCAGATATATAAGGGAGGCTTCGCCTCCCCTAGATTTAAGAAGGGTTGCGCGATACTTTAGTCACTATTCTACCCATTTGCTACCTACTTGCTACCTCTCACGTTGACTTGCCGCCCCAGACCAAGGTTGCAAGTGACCTCGAACTTCGCGATCCGTCGTCCTTTTCTACAGCCTCTAACTGGGTATTAGGACGCAACAACAAGAAGTAGGACAGCGGTTGCTTGCTTGGCCTGAATGCTGTTCTAATATAAGCAAGTCCTGTTTGTAACAGTAATGTCACTAGCCCAACTACATATTCAATGATACAAATGAGGGAAAACGCCTCGAGTTCACTTTCCCATAACCACTAAAATTCCATATCTGATCCACTAAGGTTAGTGTTCATCTTCCACTTGTACGGTCGCCCATCGACTCTGAAAGTTAGCGATGATTAGTGATGGTTGAATCTAATACCTAACCCCTATTCTCAAGGGTTAAGAAAAGGGTTACCTAGCCACAATTACCAGCCACACAGCCACCCCCTTTTTGGGTTGTACTGGGTACTAGGATATTATATAGATGCTACCAGCATTAGTTAGATAGGTACTCACCTCCACGAGCGTCTAAGTACATTGCGTGCCGACTAAGGTGATAATATTTTATATCATAATTTTATACCTAGGTACACAGGTAGATAGATTAATACAATTCAGGATTGATGATTTGCGTGCCTTGCTCGATTACAATAGTCTTTGTGATCAACGTATCCTTTCAAATATGTTCTTTGTTTAACCGGCAAACTAATTTACCTGTAGGAAATATGTATGTACTGTCCAACCGCAATTTATTAAATCAAACAATGTATTTCATGGCGAGACACAGTCCCTTTCAGCTCCTGAATCTTATCTCGTATCTATGATATTCATTGTTGATGTTGAGAGCTTAAATTCACCTGAAGAGGATTCAAATAGAGATGCCATTCAACGGACTAAAAGCTACAAGCATACCATTCAACCAGTTAGTCTTCAGATTCTAGGGTACTAGTTATCAAAATGCTGTTTTCATCCATATACCCAGTAGCATTCCTGCTAGCATCCGTCGGTACTGTTCATTGTGCGGGGACAATAGAGACGATAACGGTGATATCGACAATAGTAAAAGACATACAGCAGAATGATCCTAATTTTTGGAACGCGTCAAAAGTCCATGTCGTCAAGCAGGACCTCTTCTCACCTGCCATAGTCATAGAAATTCTAGAATCGTATACCAAACTGCTACAGAGTCCTGCGATCCGTTGTAACTACCAACTCCGTGGCGCTAAAGGTGCGTCCCATGCCTTATCATCCCGTTGCCAGACCTTTGAGGACTGGTGGGCGCGTAGGCGGTGGCCCGCCGTCCCATCGGACCCAATGTGGTTTCAAGGTACGTTGGCTGAGGGACTGATCGATACTGTCAATAGCACCGTCCACAGACATGTGCCGCAAATGTATACGATGAGCCGGCATCTAGATGTCGAGAGTGAGAATGAACAATCCAACCAAGAACAAACAGACTTCCACTATACAAAGCTACGGACAGACGCCGAGAAAGCCGTCACTGCGTTGAATGCCGCGGTTGAAGGTCAGAGTAAAAGTATTCCTAGGATTGATCCTATGGTGTCGACGATTGCTGCTCGTGCCAGGAGATTCGCCGATAATCTCGAGGAATTCCACAGAATTATGGCTTACTGCATCAAGAGAAGTGGAAGCCGGAATACGGGCGATGATAGTGGACCAAATGTAAATTCAAAGATGCAGACAATGAATGATATCATTTCACAAATGTCCGACTCGGTTTTCAGACATAGCAACTCCCTTGCGTCAAAGCCAACTATCCAAGACGACGGTTCACTAGATGAAAAGATTTCGAAGTTGTACATAAGATACGTACTTGATTTCCTTGAGGATAGGGAAGTTAGCACCGATGGCTTCATAGCTCGACAGGGGATCCACGACACATACGAGCAACTCCGTAATGGTCTTCAACTAACTCAAGGTATCCAGGATGTAGCTGACAGAGTCTTAGCTAGTACGAGAAAAGCGTTGGAGAAGCAGCAGCAAGGAGAAACCTACAAGTGGGCACAGATCTCCGTAGAAGAGATGGCTACCAACCTGGACAGAACCAGACTCCTCAGCGGGTTTACTCAGGCGTTAGTAACCAACGCAACTGAACTGACTAGGGACATGGATATGGCAAACAGAAGGTGGGCCGACGAGGCTGCGGCGTTGATCTCACGCGCGAAAGGGCTGGAGCCTCAAGATGAAGGCGAGGAGCCGAAACTGGGTAAACGAGTACAGACTATAAATCCGCAGACGGGATTGCCGCTTACGACACAGTACTTGTACGAGTATGAAATTCGGGCGCCGTGGAAAATGGCAGGAGATATACGGAAGGCGGTCGACCAGCTCGAGTACGTATGGTCGACGGTGGTGTCGTGCGAAGACGAGCTGGCGTATATGGACATCTGCGAGGCGACCAACTTAGACCCGGAGAAGAAGAAGCAAGAGCTACGCCGGAGGTTCCGGTTGCCCAGCGGACGTGGTGATCGGGACGTACCGTCTTGCGATTCTTTTTCAAATCCATTGCTTATGAAACGCATATGTATAGATGAGTATAAGCTTTAGTTGTTTTAATGTTTTCCTGCGTTATATGATTGGATAGTCTAACAGTTTATACGTCTCATAGTTAACAACAGGTAGATTTCTGGGGTTTTACACTTAAAAATTCAAATTATATCTATTTTTCAATTGCAAAATTTGTCCACTTTTCACCAGGAACGATGATAACGTGGATCCTTGAATCCTTCAACAAGATATTTCCTTTAACTTCCCGGCCAAGAATTAGGAGGCGAAATACTGCTCACTTTACTCGGCGTACCAGGTTCGAAGTATAGAGCATGAATGGTACATCATGATTTTCCCCTGATATTTTCTCGAACCTCTTGTATGAATAATGCTACGATCTAAAAGTTATGTTCCCAGCTGATTGTAGCCGAATTTCTATGGGTGTTCTACCTTCTAATCCCTAGCCGAAGTCTCGTGCCAGTTAAAAAGATCCCACGTCGAAGCAGATGATCTAAGGCCCGGCTGTCTACTAGTAACCCTACGTGTTCCGTTCCGGAACCTTCTCTAACGGCGTCACTTTTCTCATCACTCTCGCAGGAGTACCCATCGCAACACTCCACGCCGGAACATCTTTCGTCACAACGGAACTGGCAGCAATGGTACATCCCTCGCCAATCGTAACACCAGGCAGAATAACCACATGTCCGCCTACCCAGCAGTCGTCCCCAATAGTCACAGGCCTAGCGTACTCAACATCGTCTCTACGACTTTGTACCTCCGTTTCATGAGTAGCTGTTAGAATGGAGACATTTGGTCCAAACATGACGCGGTCACCTATGGTAACTAGCGCGCAATCTAGGATTGTGAGGTTGAAGTTGGAGTAGAATCGGTGGCCCAGGCGAATGTTGCATCCGTAATCCACAGCGAGTGAGGGCTCGATGAATACTTCATCTTCGATATGACCAAGAAATTGTTTTAGGATGTTTTTCCTAGCATTGGCTAAAGACTCGAAAGTGGCTTCAGGGTCATCTGGAAAGTAATTGTTGTATTTGTGCATCCATCTCCTAGCGTTGAAGCGTGCTTTCATGAGCTCGGGGTCTTGAGCATCATATCTATCAAATAGAAATTATATTAGTACCTGGTGTCATTCTGACCCAACCTTCCCCATTAAGCGTATAGCATCTCATAATCCTGCATATAAAACACTCACAGCATCCCGGAGATCATCTTATCAAACTCGTCAGACTTTGGCAAATGAGCGAGACTAGCGGCCTTCTCGAGCTCTTCTAAATTCTTTTTGACAGCAGCCATGATTTGATTCCAATCCCGGTGCCAAGATTCCTACTTGAGATTAATACGCTATTATAGCAGGTCAGGGGCAGGTATGGGAGGTGACTGATGACTAACCAGGATAAGGGGTTTTTACTATTATGCCACTTTGAGGAAAGTACTGCTAAACGACTATCCCGCGCCGGTTACTTCTAGTCACAAAAGCAAAATATAATTTTGGTATTGAATAACTAACTCAACATTTTAATGAAATTGAAGTGGATTCGGACACGTCAGTGAAAGAATATTCGTTAGACCTCGCTTGGCTGGCCAGTTCGGCTCGGTCAGCCACACGATAACAAATATGTGGCTTGCCATTAAGTACTTACTAAGCACCGCCACCAATGACTAAGCATCATCTCGTAATCATATCCCGGAAATGAACAATTAAAAGTATCTACCTTGTAAACTCCTTTGAAAGCATCGTGAACAATGCGCATTCTGATGACTCCCCTGCGCTCTCTTAGGAGGGTTATACCTGCCAGGAATGGTTATAATGGTTATCTAGAATTGTCGTCGTGTCGAATCCAATGCGCAAAGATATTCATTTTCGCTGGCCGTTCTTGCATCAAGATCTCTTGACACTTGGCTGAAATCCATCATCACATGGAGCCACGAACTTGCACACTGGAGCGTCAATCAAATGCACACGTTCCTCAAGCCAACCAGGCCTTCTTCTTTCCGTGGTCAACATGGCGAAAGTTGCCGGCACTAGCCTGTCCTTTGAGACGAACGCAATCCTGCGTTGCTTCTGGGCAGACCGTCTAGAAGGGTCGATTGGTTCTAATTGACTACATCAAGAGCTAGCAAAAGTCATATTAACACGCTACTGTAGAAGATTGACTTATATAGGGCTAGATTACACACGTCCGCGCATTTCGTCATCCGGGGTAGTTGCCAAAGTAATGCATACACTCCGACAATCATCTCACGAACCGGCTTTAATAACGACGGCTTCGTTGACTAATCCTATACAGGTTCTGTAAAGCTACGATCACCAATGGCGTCATCTGCAACTCCATACTATCCGACGTATTAGTTTGCAGACTGCTGGAGTTGATTGAGGTTAAGTTGAGACACCAACCATGACCAATTTCAGGGGCTCAATGACGTGCTTTCTGATGTGCATAAGAAATCGTCGCATAGCTGCCGGTAAACGAATCGGCTCTTGGCTTTCTTAATCGAAAAGATGTAATCTTATCTATGCTAGAACTCATCACGCGTTATACCCTGAGTAAGGCGCGATCTGTCTACGGAAAATGCCATACCTCGATTTTTACAGCTATAGTTGGCCGTATTTAGTATATGAGTAAACAACCGGTTCCTGACTAACCCTACCTACTTCACACGTCAACTCAGATTCTACGGTAGTGCTTGAATTATCTAATAGATATAAATCTTCACTATGACGGTCGTAGTAGAGAGAGCGGCGGAAAGCTCGTCAGACACTGAAAATGAGCAGCCCGTTCAAGGTGAGTGTCTTATAATCCCTATTCTCTAGGTAACTTTGCTTATACCGGTTAGTCAAATGGTACCGATCAGTATTCTACAATGCCACGATCCTTGGTATGTGCAGCTTCGCTGCGCCAGGACTATGGGGAGCAATGAACTCTCTCGGAGCCGGAGGCTCCCAATCACCTTATCTCGTGAATACCGCGAATGCCCTCACATTTTGCCTCATGGTGGTATCTTGCTGGTTCACTAGCGGCATCGTCAAGTATATCGGCATTAAGGGTGCCCTCTTTGTCGGTACTATCGGATACGCCCCCTATAGCGCCGGTCTCTATCTCAATAATCGATACGGTGTCGAATGGCTTGTACTCTTTGGTGCCGCCCTCTGTGGAATATCTGCCGGTATCTTTTGGGCTGCTGAGGCAGCTATCGCCATCGCATACCCAGAACCGCGTAATCGAAGCAGAATAGTCGCCTACTGGCTGACTTGGACAAAGATTGGTCAGATTCTAGGGGGTGCCGTGAACTTGGGTCTGAACGCAGACCGTAATCAGGCCGGAAAGGTTTCCTACAATGTGTATCTCATTTTTATTGCCCTGCAATCAAGCGGAACACTTGTCGCTCTACTCTTGAGCAACCCATCTCAGGTTCAGCGCCCGAACGGAACACCAGTCCAACTTACCATACTCGACAACCCCTGGAAAGAATTCAAAACAACAACGAAAACCTTTGTCACCAAGAAGTTTCTTCTCATCATCCTCTGGATCGGTCAAGGAGTTTACGCCGAAGCAGTCTTCTTCACATACAATTCTCTTTGGTTTAGTGTACGCGCAAGAGCTTTGGGATCGTTCTTATCCGGAATAGTGGCGGTCATATGCGGCAACCTGCTTGGATTATGGCTAGACCAACATCAAATTTCACTAAAGACAAGGTCTCGACGGGCTTTCGCGGTTATAATGACGCTGCAGGGAGCTTGGTGGCTATGGCTCACGATTAACGTCACCGAATATCGCAGAACTCAACCGCTTTTCGACTGGGTCGACCCCGGGTTTGGAAGGGCCTTTGCGGTTTTCGTTTTCCTCGTCGCCGGCTTTCAGCTCAACTACAACTTCTCGTACTTCATAATCGGACAGATATCATCTGGTCCAGAGGAGACTATCCGACTCGCTGCGCTACTACGAGGAACGGAGTCGGCCTGGCAGGCCTTGAGTTATGGGCTAAATGCCATTCCTGTCATTGCTTCTGTCGGCGGTCCTTATATTAACTTCGGTCTATGGGGCGCTGCGATTATACCCGTTTGGTTTGTAATCAGGGACTTTGGTGTTGACAAGGAGAAGACTGATATCGAAAGTCCGTCTATCGAGACTCATGGAGAGCTACACAAGGAAACGGGTTCTGACTGAATCTGGTCTGAATATGTTAAGAGAAAAATTTGATAGATGTTTTTATAGGTAGCTAGATCTTAGACAGATGTACTTAGAGGGCCGCCCATCACTGTTGCCTACTATTTTCTGATCCAAAACTTCGGTTTCATTGATACCTTACTGTATCCCGTACTAATTAGCTCGTATGGTATGAAAAGGCCATAAAAACTGCGGATATTATTCAAAATCGAGGCCTCAAAGTGACATGTTTACGCTGCTCGGAGATTTAAGTGGCCTGCGATTGATATCGGGGCTGTTGGAGAACTGATGTGATCGTAGTCTAGCTTCGCGCCATCGATAGACTCGTCTTTTCGGAGCTTAGTTACATATCAACTTGCAATCAATCTCCTCTCTAATAGGTGGAACGCAAGCGCACGCCATATTAGTCTCCAACTCCGCTTCGGGAACTAGACTGTATATAAGTAATGATAGGTGGAGTAGGCCGATTCCTTATACTACCAAGGCCGACACTATCAAAACATTAGAATATCGCTTTACGAATGGGCAAGATGGCGGCTAATCTCGAATCTATGAAGCACCTCTCTCCGGACTCCGGGTTCCCGATTACGATCCATCCGCACTTCTCGCCTAAGATTAGAGATCACATCCCTCCGGATCCGATTCGGGAGGAGATATTCCCGGACAAGGACCGGGCATCATTTGCGAATCCCGAAAAGAAGGCGCTATTCGCGGTCGCTAAACCGGTTGACCTCACGGAGTCCATCGGAACCGTTCTGGAGAACGTGCAACTCTCGCAGCTAACTCCGCAGCAACTGGATGAGCTTGCGCTGCTGGTCAATGAGCGTGGCGTGGTATTCTTCCGTAACCAAGACCTGACGACCGATGGACAGGTTAAACTATTCGAGCACTATGGGACTTTAGATCGGCACCCTGCCCAAAAGGATGTGCGCCACTTCGTAATTCGAGGCAGCCGCGAGGATCATCGAGAGATCAACAAATACACTCCATGGCCATCAGGGGATTGGCATGCCGATACTTCCTTTGAAATCAATCCTCCGTCATACTCCTTACTTCGCATGGAAGAGCACCCTCCTGTTGGTGGAGACACCGCCTGGGTTTCTGGCTACGGTTTGTACGACACATTGAGCGATGCGATGAAGAAATTCGTCGAGGGCCTGCACGCAGTACATACGTCGCGGTTGCAGTACGATACGATCTTGGACCTATGGGGTCTTGGGCCAAATCGCCCTCCGATCGATTCCCATCATCCAGCTGTCCGGACGCATCCGGTGACCAGATTGAAGGCGTTAAACGTGAACACCGGATTCGTGACCGGGTTTGCCGAACTCAAGAAGCATGAATCGGATAAGCTGCTAGATTTCTTCGACTACCACCTCCATTCCGCGGATGACCACTCCGTTAGGTGGAAGTGGGACGTTGGGAGCGTTGCGATGTGGGATAATCGATGCGTATTGCATCGAGTTATTCCAGGCTCGTACGAGGCGCCTCGAAGGGGTATCCGTACGACGGTCTTTGGGGAGAAACGTGAGTCTCCATTGTTAATGCCTGGATGGCGTCTGTCACGCACAGCTAACAGGGTACAGCGTTTTATGATCCAACAAGCGAAGGGAGAGCGGAGAGAGAGCGAAGACTCGAGAAGGCGGCAGCCAACTGACTGCCTTGGGATCCCAATGATAAGGAGAATCACATCAAAACGTCTGCTTGAGAATAGCAGGATATGCTTTGGGGTTAGAGGAGAGGAAGCCGTAACGGAAATCGACGATATTTATGACTGATGGTATTGATGAATAATGTACTTAGGTGTACACATTTTCCAAGGCGAGTGCTTGCTAACAATACGGCTCCACCATCATACAGTTGGTTTCACAGCATGACAGGTGCTGGGGTGGCTGGCGATAAGCGAGCTCCTGCAGAGCTCAAGAGTCTAGACTCTAGACCAGACTCTTGCCTGAAGTGGCTTCTTATCTAAGACTCAATTCGATTAGTAAATGCTGGTGTCTTAGTCAGCCTCTTACAGTTCAATGTTGAGAACAAATTTTCATAGGTTGTGATATTCCGTAGAACTTTCCACTGTCTTATTGGTCGACCATTTTTATCTTGAGTAATTTTCTTCGGATGGGAGGCTGGATGTTACCAATCAATACGCTAGGTACCTGCCCATGATATTTCTGTGGTAAGATCCTTTATACATGGGTACCTAAACGTTAGACAAATTGGATTCAACACTTATTAGATCGGGGTTTTTTCCCCTTTGCTTTGAGTAGACGCCTGGAGCTGAGATCAAAAGATGAATATCTTTTCGCTATTAGGAGGCGGGTCGATACGAAAAACTGCGCTTGATCGACTTTCGGATGTCGGTCGGTTGTCGGGTTACTTTCGCCTGGATGACACGTGAAAGTGCCGTTTGACGTGCGTGCTGTGCTCGGTGATTGGGCGGTTTAGCATGATGGAGGTTACCTTTTTATTTCCTCTTCGTCCAAGCTGCCATCATCTCACAAATATCTCGCAAGATGTGCATCTTAGAATGCTACGAGAAGAGTTGGAAGCAAGGAGGCTTAAATATCCTCGGTTCACAACCTTAGCTAAAACAATATTAAGTAGTAGAACAAGACTAAAATATGCAAGTTGTTCGAATTCGATTAGTCTCACGCGCGAACCCCAGGATATCCATACATGTAGTGTAGCAAATAGTGTAGCTCCCCGCTTAAAGATACTAAGATATTTATGTACTTGCGGAAATGGGTAGATGTGTGCTTGTATTTATTTAGGGCGGGAATAATGAACGTTTGATATCTTGAATGGTGGTACATATTAATAACGGAATGAAGATATTTCAAGTTTCTCAATTATTGAGAATATCGGAGTAGTATCAACTCTTTAGCGTACCTCTTATGTAAGAGGGTTCGAATCATAGGTTCGTTCCTGTAAAAGTCCTTTTGTTTCGATGAATGAAAGGACGATAATAGAGGTAGGTACCTACTTCTTTGAGAACATTGAAATTTTAGTACTTTCCAAGACCAGTTTTCATGACGTATTTCGAAGGCTAGTAGAAGCCGGAGCCGTGTGTTCCAAAGGCATCTATGGATCTTTAGTGGATTGATGCAGGCTAACCCACTAAAGAAAGGTCAGCTAAGATCCACCATGACTGAACGTATCGAGTGCCTTAGCAGCAGCGGCCCAGGCTGCCCAGGCTGGTGGTCTGACAGGGAAAGCCTGATAGCCGTAATCAGAACGGGGCGCCGCTTTCGCCGGTCCCCGCCATTTGCTACCAGCGTAAATTTCCCAACGTGAAATTCCCTCCAATTCTAACCGCCAATGTTTTTTTTATCATTCTGTAGCGTATCATGTCCACAATCCGTAATAACGCAATACCGCCTTTTCAAGCCTCGAAACGACACGGACCTATGAAGAAATTAGCCGTCATAAACCCAGAACCCCAAAAGAATTACACTCATGTTCAAATTCAGGATCTGGGAGAATGGATTTGGAAGACATGAGTGTGCAGATGGTCGCCGCGGACACAGCAGCTGAGGTCGCAGCAGAAGTCGCTGCGGCCGACCCTTCGAACAGACATCCTAAGAAATCCAGCCAGACCTGCATTCCTTGTAGAGTGCGAAAAGTACGATGTGATGGACGTCGCGACGTATGCCAGAATTGCGAGCGATTAGGATTCACGTGTTCATTTCACGATGGCGCTTCTCCAAACCAGGATGCCGAAAATTTGACGAATTTCACTCTTCCGCGAAGACGTGTTAGATTAGCCTGTGCCAATTGCCATTCTAGGAAAGCCAGATGTAGCGGCGAAACTCCAAAATGCGCTAGGTGCCAGGCTCAAGGCATTGAATGTGTCTACAAGCCAACCAAGCGATCCGGGGGAGCAAGCGGCACTGCTCAGCAGACACAGCAAGGCGCCACCGATTCAGAACTTGAATCCGTCACATCTGAGCCGCCGGAGAAGCGAGTAATGACCAGCAAGGACAACCAAGGCTCTCACCATGGCCCTCAAGGATTAGACCACCGTAATTTTGACTCGAACGGGATATCGATGTCCACGAGCGTCAGTCATGAACCGTATGTATTTTGAGGCTCCTCTCGTCATTTGGGTTAACTGACGAATGCGCAAGATTTACTTTTCCTGATGAAACTTTGATCCAGAAGACGTTTAACAATTTCTTCCGCCACGTTCATCATGTTCCCATATTCTCTTTTCTTCATCGTGCCTCGCTTATGCAACGTTATCATGCTGGCATGATGGACAAAGCGCTGCTTCTTGCTTTAGTAGGAATTACTTCGCTACTTATGGATTTAGGTCCTGGTACACGAGACTATGGTGCTAGATGTATCGACGAGTGCCAGAGCATGGTACTGCAGGATCTAGAAAACCCGTCGACTATTAAAATACAGGCTCTCGTACTTATTATGAAGCACCGGATGCTCTCGCGGAAGTTTACAACCGCTTTCATGCTAGCAGCAACGGCCACACGTTTCGCGTATGCCCTCCGACTAAATTATGAAAACCCGAATCTTTGCTTCTTAGCTAGAGAATCTCGGAGGAGATTAATGTGGGCACTTCTTACTATCGATTCGGGCATCAATGGTGGATGCCCAGATTTTACGCTGATGCCATCCGAATCTATGCATATTCAACTTCCTTGCACCGAACGCAATTTTGAATTCGATCTTCCACAAGTCACCGAGTATCTACGACCTGTCCCAACGCGACCTTTCCCCGACGATGTTGGTTCTTTGGCGCTTCATGTACGACTTTTGTGGATGAGAAGTAGGGTTCTATATTGCACCAAGAATGTGTTAGGAATGCCAGAAGCCGAACTTGCGCAACTGCCAGAACTAGTCAAGGTGCTGTCAGAAGAACTGACTGGCTTTAACGACCACCTTCCTGCTTCTTTCAAGTTTTCCGAGAGCAATCTTCAGCTACGTGCCTATTCCCCTCGATTGTGCGTCTACATCATGATACACGTATGGTGGCGACAATGTTATTGTGATCTTTACCGGATGTTTCTGGTAGGGCTCAAAGATGCATTGCCCCAGTCTGGTTTAAATCGACTGGATCCCCATTTCGTATCCTACTGCGCAAGCCAATGCTACGAGCACGCTCTAGCTATGGCCGATATTTTTAAACTAATTTTATCACTCGATGGAGGCCTCCCGGTTACCGACCTTGATTTACCTGCTTGCGCTTACCAATGCGCTCGAATTGTTTACTTTGCCTTTCAAAATAGCCAAGCCGAGGTTGGACTAACCTCGAATCAAGTACATGAAATTGGAACAAGATGTCTGACAATAGCGAAGTCGATGGATCACGTTCCTGCCGGTACTGCCATTGTAAGTTCTGTCACTAATCAATTCTATTGTGCTGTGCTGAGAACGCTTGCTATTCTAGGTTGCTGATCTCGAGAAATTAATTGCTCGTGGCCTCTCTACGGATGTCTCCAATAATCATGTGCAGAGCCCTAATGCCAACGGGTCTAGTTTTATATCGCAAACTGTATTGTCACGACGTAATCCAATCCAGCAGATGCCAGTCATGGACGAGAATGGATTTGCTAACATTCCTATAATGTCTCCCTCCGCCCACATTTCTTCTCCGCAAGGTACTCCGATTCCACATTCGGGTTCTCGTCCACCACCCGCGCACAATAGCCGTGGCTCACTACCTGGAACGCCAATTGGCGATTTTAATATGGGAAAACCGAACCTTGCGCCCGTGATGCCCCCGGATGGAATCGATAATAACAATGCCTTCGAAGGCGCGATGGATGGCTTTGATTTCAATCTAGAATCATTCGGGAACACTGGACTTGAGTCGACATCGTGGCTCTCTAACGATTGGTTGAGCAACGATTACTCACAAACGACCGTCTGATTTTACTTGGGAAGAAAGATCTATGCACTCTATTCTAGTGGATCCATTCCTCATGAATATGAAGCAGTCGTCTCATCTTCTCCAGAAGATTGATATATCAACGCGTCTAGCCATCCCCACTTGTGCTTGGCAATTTAGCAGTTGTCATTGCTGTTAATTAGCCAGAGGGCCTAATAAAAGACGACCGCGCTCTTCTCCAATGGAATTCGGTATGCCAGTACTTGCCTAGGCCAGAAATATTCCACTCCAAGCTAGGGGCTGCTTTTATAGGAAAGCGATCATTGCCAGGCTTTTTCGAAGGGCATCCTCTTGGCTTACAGTGCGAGTTCCTCGTGGTGTCTCGTGCCAAGTCGGTTATGTTTCGGCTCCTGCCTCAATGGTTCCGAAAATGACTGTGGCCTGAATCTTCCTGATATTCCGAAGTACCTTATTGCTACCATTTCATACGATCTTTGGAGATTGAGCTTAGCCGCATATGACCTTAGGCCTATATTTGTTGCCTTATCATTTTGGTCAACGTGGGCAAAGGTTCCATTGAGCAATCGTGTTCGGACACGCGGAAAAAACTCAGCTTATATGGTCAACGCGATTCTAGTGCTCAATGACATCCAATCGATACTGGATATGGTCGCTAGAACCCCTTATTGAGGCTTGGATAACTCACATCAACAACCGCATTTCGACTATTGCGCCCAGATGGCAACTCGATGCAAGTTTCCAGTCTAGTCACGGACGAGGTCGGATGGTGGGTCGAATCTAGAGTGGTAACTTAACACCTATTTTGTTGCGGTCCCTTTACTGAAGACGAGCGTAGTTGCCGCACCACTTACATGGAAGATCTTCACAAAGCTTCTAATGATCAGAGGGACCTGCCATGTTCTCGGAAGTGTGAAAACAGAGATACTGTTTTTCGAACCAGATAAGTCACTTGTAAGTATAAACCCGGTACATTGGTTTGAAAGATGAGGATGTCAAAGCTTTGAGAAGCCATTATGCTCACATCTCATCCATTAAAAGTATTTAATGGAGTAATGGGGTGCGTACGTAACAGTTAATACTAAATAAATCTATATTGAACTTTTGGCTGCTACCCAGAGCTATATTACCTGGATGACACTACTACAAATGACGGCTGGCAAGAGCATGTGAATGAATTGCTTACCTAATAGCTAATCGTATAAGGTTCGGAAGATTATGCCAACTTTCCCCGCTAAAATTTTCGATACCCCACAATCAATTCACAGAGCAAAATGTCAACCTTAGAACCCCACCATCAATCCCAGATTTGTCAAAAGCCTACATCGAACAAGACAAATCGGCAATATGGCGATAATAGAAAACCAGGAATTGGCTGAAGCCACCCAACCAGGAAATACTCAGGCAGAACCAGATGTAGTTGCGACACTCTCGAAACCAATCCATTCCCTTGTTGTCGATACTGGACCTCTAATTAAGAACGACCCTCCCGTTAGCACACTCCTCGCCCAGTCGCACGAGCTATATACACTGCCCTCCGTCCTCTCCGAAGTACGCGACGCAGCCACAAGAGCGCGCGTTGAAACCACACTTCTTCCGTTCCTGGAACTCCGCAGCCCAAAACCGGAGAGCGTCAAATTCGTCACTGACTTCGCGCGGCGCACCGGTGATCTCGAGGTCTTGAGTAAACCGGACATACACTTAATCGCATTGACGTATGAGCTAGAGTGTGAGAGAAACGGAGGTGATTGGAGATTACGGAAGACCCCGGCGCAGAAGGGGTTGAATGGGAAGGCGCCGAAGAAGGATGAGGATGATGCTACGGAACAGAAAGAGATAGAGAATGGAGAGAGCACAAAGGCCGAGGAATCTTCTGAGCCTCGAGATGGAACAGAGCAGACCCCGTTAGAGGTTGATGTGGAAGAAGCTACCAAGGAGAAGACCGAAACACAAGAGCAACCAACTGTCCAGCAAGAAACAGTCACCCAAGCGCTTGACTCGCTTAGCCTAGAACCATCCGCATTACCAACAGTAGACACCGTACTGAACGACGCCGCGGCGCCAGAGACAAACACGCAAGAAGCAGAAGAAGACGATGATGAAGAAGGCTGGATCACACCCTCGAACCTCAAGAAACACCAAGCCAAAGACCAGCTCTCCGGCCCCGAACGACCGATCGAGAAATTCCTACAAGTGGCGCTCCTCACGTCCGACTACGCGATGCAGAACGTGCTGCTGCGCATGAACCTCAACCTCGTGTCTCCGAGCCTAGCGCGCATCACCCGCGTCAAGACGTGGGTCTTGCGGTGCCACGGCTGCTTCGCTATCACCCGCGACATGGGCAAGCAGTTCTGCCCACGCTGCGGACAGTCCACGCTCACGCGCGTGAGCTGCTCGACGGATTCGGGGGGTAATTTCACCGTGCATCTGAAGCGCAACTTCCAGTGGAATAACCGGGGTAATGTGTACAGCGTCCCCAAACCGGTCCACGGCAGCGCTAGCGGGAAGGCGAGGAGCGCTGGAGGAGGGAAGAATGGGTGGGGTAGGGAGCTGATATTGGCGGAGGACCAGAAGGAGTTTGTGAAGAAGAGTACGGATCAGAGGAGGGCGCGGCAGAGGGATCTTATGGATGAGGATTACTTGCCGGGGATATTGACGGGGGATAGGAGTGGAGGTGGAGGTGGGAATGGGAAGGTAAGGGTTGGGGCGGGGAGGAATGTGAATTCGAGGAAGAGGTGATTGATAGACATAGAATATATTGATACCATGATTTCACTAATATTGTTTGAGAATTAGATTGTGATAGGGTTGTGGTGTGTATTGAGAGTAGGTTGCTATATGCCTAGAAACAACCCCCTACACAAAGGCATGGAAGATACTGAAGGTATGGATTTCATGCCTCATGTCCATCCCGTACACACTCAATAATCACCAAATGTGAAGAAATCGACTCAGTACTTTATATCCGGGTTTGTCAAGGCCACTCGTTGCATTCCTTGTCCTAGACCACAAACAGCACGGAAGTCATAAGCCCAATAGTGAATTGAAACACTAAAAATTGTTTCCCAATATCCCCGAACGCCAAATCATATAAATGGGTATGTAGTGACCATAAAGCTACGGCTCATCGGGGCGTATTCTCGGTGTTTAGAGCGAACCGTGAACTGCTTGTCTTATTCCATCTTCATTGAAACAGGGCGTCCTTCATTGCGAGTTCTCGGCAACCTTGTTCTCTATAGATAGTGGATTTGTTAGCATGTCTCTCTCTCTTTATTTGTATCTCTCTCTCAATCTACCTATCCTACAAACCCCTAGGTTGGGAAATATACGGGTAGATAATAGGTAACAAGGTAGAATATCCGCATTAGAAAGGGTCAAGCTTACTCTGCTGCGTCAGCAACAAGCCGAAGCGCTTCTTGAGCGTTACCCGCTGTCGCGACCACTTGTCGTCGGGGGAGAAGCGGGCCGGGTGCGCGGACTTGGTGACTTCGCCGTGGAGGACCTTCTTGAGCGTGTAGATGCGCTTGCCGCTCTCGTCTGCCGTGTACATGAGATGCATTTTGACGGTCTGGTTGTTTGGGTTTTTTTCTTCTTTGCTGTGTCTTGGTCGGGAGGTGGGAGGCGTGAATATGCACTTATGGCGGTTTTGAGAGTCTTGGTGCGGCCGTAGATCGGTGAGCAAGAACGACTAGGAGTTCACTATTGTGTTTATTGAGATCGTGGTCGTGTATTGAGGATTGCTGAGGTTGAGGAAGCTCCAGAATTATTTTTTTCTGGCCATCAATTGATGCATGGATTAAATATGGGTACTTGACCAATCATATGGATTTTTGGATGGGCATATTTCTTATCGATACAAACACAGTATTGTTTTCGATGTTATACTGGCTTTAAGTAGACAGGAAACAGGTTCAACAGATGTCGTTTTCTCTATAGATTAATTATTACAGAATCTAATCCGTCCACTGCTTTTCTGGTTCCAACCCCGTGACTAGATTCCTCAGATTCAAGCGCGTACTATATAGAACATTCTCCGTAAACCCGACTTCACGCACCGCCTCTCCCGCGTTATTGATATCCGAGTCTCCACTAATCTTCCCCCTGGGTCGGTGGTGAACGAATAGACTAGGTACGATACTCACGCAGCGCATGCCGTTGACGCGCAACCGGCAAAGGTCGCTTAGATGGTTGTCGAAGGGCTTTTGTTGACCCTCAAGGCCCATGTACTGTAGCGCCTTCTGGGCTCCTGCTGCGCTGAGCGCGTATGCGAAACTGCATACATTATCACCAGGAACGTACACGATGCGGGTCTGCGGCGGATAGTCGTCCCAGCTAAACGACCCGTTGGCTAGTAAGTGGCCCGTTGGTGGTACCGTTGGGTCGTTGCGGATAAGAATCTTACGAGCATCGCGCTGCTCGTACGGGATCTGAAGATGCTCAGGCAGGTCTTCGTCAAACGTCGTTATACAGGAGCCAAGCCACAGCATATCCCAGTCTAGACCGTACGGACTGGGCGATTTCAGCCTCTGATCCTGGTGGAAACCTTTCTGCAGAGCGCGTGCGGCTTCGGCAAATTGCGCCAATAGGCCTTTGACGTGGACGTCCCAGTCCATATCGTCTTCCATGATCAGAGCTGACGATATTCCGTCCTCGACGATGCGGCGCATCGCGTTGATGTGTCCGCGCCAAGATCCTAGGTTGCTATCTGACATAGTCTCGCGGTTCCATCCCTAGACCGGCCGTGTTAACTTCTCTACTATTACCGGAGATTCGGCCGAAAGAACGGGAACTTACGAATGGCAGAGCCTTGTCGGGGATCGCTTTCCCAAGTACACCATCTATCCAGCTTAGCTGAAACCCCGTCAGCGACGACATTAGAGTTAATGCATCGCGTTTATCGGAACGCTCCGGTAGCCCTATAACGAAGACCTTCTCAAACTTCAAACCCGGAGTTGGTTAGTTGGCTAATAAGTATAGCGTTGCGACAGTAGAACTCACACCAAGTGTCTTGTTGAACACGTCTGATTTCTCATGCTTTCCTTTTGACGAAACCCATCTTGTCGGACTCGAAGTTGAGTTTAATTGGTTGCGAACAGATCCGGAGCCCAAATATGTGAGGAAAATGCAGCCGAACACCACCGCGCATATCACCAAACTAACATTGGGTCGTCCCCCAATCATCATCGTGGCCTGATCGACGCGTCCCAGCTAGTGCTCAATTAAGTTCCATAAGGAATGTTTCAAAGCTCGAAAACTGTTGGACTGGCGAATATTCGAAGTATGTAAGGGAGAAAGTGCGCAACGTTCAACCAACAAGTCACGTTCCACTAGTACGACTTTCGCCGACACGAAATGACTAGGTCATCCGAAATCACGAACATTTGTAGTAAGAGATAACATCAGCCGCAAAAATAACACATTGTGATTATACCTCAGCTAGATCCTGACGATCGTAGATGACGCTAAACAAACACCCTGATTGGCGCCACCATGCTCGCTTTCTGACGGTAGGCCAATCAATCCCTGTGCCTCCGGCGGGCGGCGCCGATTATCAGCGCCTATTCCGTCAGATGTCAGATTTAAATCCAGCATGATATAGCGAGTCGGAGAGAAAGGGGTAGTTTTTTCGGCCAATCGCTCCTTCGATATCACGTCGCCCACCGGGCCATCACCGTTCGATCAGCAGTATGAGTTGGGTATCGCTACTCAATTTTCTTTCGCGTAGAGTTATGTACTTCAGAGGATATGGGCCTTGATTATATATTCTTTCGGACGATATCTAATTTTCATCTTTCTTTCAAGTTTACTTACCTAGTATGTTACAAAGGGCGCTTTCCGACATGTTCATACCAATGGTCCGTTGGCAAATCGAACTTGATGGGGTATCATACTAAATTTATTTCGTTGCTATGGGAAGGGACAACGAGCAAACCCACGATCCGACGCCAACGCTTAGGTCTAAGTCTACCGTAGGACAGGGAGGCGCAAAGCGTGTTTTCCTCATTTTCGTCATGCTAAAAGGATTTTTTTATTGCTAGAGAGGCCGCCGGATTTTCTGTCCTCATGGGCAAATTTCGCCTCCGCATTTAAGGCCAAATCCGAGACCGGTGAAGACCAGTTCGCGATACCAAAGGTATTTTCAACGGCTGAATATCTGGTGGATGACGGCCCTGAGAGGCTATCGTCAGTCCGTTGCTGGTTGTACCAGCGCTGTTCACCAATGGAAGGCACTTCTGCGAGCTACATTAGGCAGACTAAGGAATTCAGGGGTACTTTACCTACTGCATTGATGACTACGCCGGCTCGATTAGAAGGTTTCTCTGGATGGGTATCAATTTCATTGAGCTTGAGTGTCTGGACATTAATTATTCGGATATATTAATCTCATAAATTTAGCCTTGAAAGCTATCAATCAGCTAGATCTTCCTAGAATATGTTACAAACCTTAACCCTTGCCCCTATTTGCTTAGTAATCGTTTTCACCACCAACCAGGAGTACGAGAATTAGACCTTCCTACGCGCGATAGTATCCCGGATTTACGTACTACGCAAAAGTCCTCGAGAGCCTCGGCATAATGAGGTTTAATACCGGAATATACAAGTAGACTTTCGACCTGAACCCATCAACCGGCCATGAAAAGGCCATCCAATTTAATGTACTGTCGATTATCGATGCCAAAAACTCACTCGGCCGATCCGGTCGCTTAGCCATAGTGTCATGCGATGAAGAATCATAGGCCAAGTTCAAGGAAAGTAACCAACACCACACTTGACAAAGGAGAGAATTGGCGAAACGAGTTTCCGATCCCGTCGCATTGGTTATCCCCACTCCTTAATCCGGGGTAAGCCACTAGACGACCCTCCTTGCATTGGAACTCGTTGACGGAATTTCTATTTATGGGGTAGAGCCTCGTGACAGATGTATGGATTTCAAGTCGCAACGGGAAGCAATGATCCAGCCTCGAGCGTCATGGAGGTTTCAGAGTCCTTTGCGATGACTTCCAGGTCAAAGCCGTGCAGCATGGCCCATGCTCGCACCGTGTAGCTTTTTACTTTAGTGATTGATCTCTCTGTTATAGCAGGCATCCACTAAGAAAGATCACTATTAGGTCTGGACTGAGTCATAGCTTGACGAGCTTGGACTCGTACAGTACCTAATGTACTGGGCAAACTCACCTGGGCTCTTCTTGATTTGTACATTACCTAGTACCTACTCTACATTTTTTTTCCCATTCAATACTTCTTCATGAATTTTTTACGTCCAAATTAAATTAATTCATTTCGTAAGGAACTCTAAAATCGTACCGTTCAAGGTCCAATCGACATACCTCGATCAACCAGGCTTTGTAGCCCTTACATTGTTGCATCACACGCACCTCGGCCGAGGCTATTCTTTATCCTAGTACTTATTTCTCAAGTCCAACCTCGCCTAACAACATGCTCCTTTACGATTTCCTTACTCAACTGCCCTCGATGTCTACAATATCGAAGGGTGTCAGTACTCTATCCTCCACCATAGTGGGTTATATCGTTCCTGCGGTTTTGTCTTGGGTAAGTGATCGAACTGCGAAACTCGAAGGCCTTTTTGATAGGAGTTGTCACTAACAGCTTCAACTAAATCAAGCTATTTATATACGCAACTTATCAAATCTTCCTTCATCCTCTCCATCGATACCCCGGCCCACTTGCCGCTAAACTCACAGATGCCTACAGTGGCTTCTACGCCTTCCAAAGGCGGCTTCATCTGAAAACATGGCAGAACCAGCGGGCGTATGGTATGTTGTACCAGCGACACTAACTGAGGCTATGACACTAATCCTTAATATAGGCACGGTGGTGAGGCAGGGTCCGAATAAGCTCGTCTTTAGTACAATCAAGGCTATACAAGGTGAGAGTCATAATCAAAAGGGGTGTTTTCTTCGTGTTACTGACATTGGAGTTCAAGATATATACAAGAATGATCGGACTACGAAGCCTGAAGCTTACATTGCTCTAGGGCCTGCTTTAACTGTAGCTGCCACCCTAACTGCCAGAGACCGGCATGTTCACCGATATAAGCGACAGTTAGTAGGTCAAGCTCTTTCGGAACGGTTTATGCGGATATTCGAACCTACCATGATAAACCAAGTCGATTTGTTTATCACATATCTGCTTCAATCGGCAAAGGAATCCATTCCCGTCAACATAACCGAGCGATCTAAATACCTTAGCTTCAATCTCGCCGGACTTCTCGGCTTCGGATACGATTTCGGTATGCAGACTAGCGAAGAGAACAAGTTCATGCCCATGATGCTCGAGGCCGGGGAATACTGGAGCAACATCTTCTTTCAGTGGCCTAACACTCGCAAGTTCCGACTCGGATTGGTATTCGTCCAAGTTCTGCGCCAGACGAGAGGGAAATACCTCGCCTTGGTAGAGAAGATGATAACCTCTCGTACCAAGCAGGAAAAGGATGCTCAGCAGGACCTTTACTCGATCCTTGCAGGTTCATTAGACACTGGTGCCGGGGGTCTCCGGCAGAGCGAGCTTTGGGCCGAGGCAAATCTCTTCTTGCCAGGAGGTAAGTCACAGCTTTCGCACTGGACTTTCGTCATTGCAGAATGTTCGCTAACACTTGATAGCCGGAGATACGACAAAAACGGCGCTAAGCAGCATATTCTTCTACCTATCGCGGAACCCCGACTGCTACGAGAAACTCGCTCACGAGATCCGGTCGACTTTCAAGGACGGAAGCGAGATCCGGGGTCCGGCCTTGGCAGGGTGTCACTACCTCCGAGCCTGCATCGATGAAGCCCTACGAATGTCGCCGCCAGCCCCCGGAATTCTCTGGCGGGATCTTCACCCTGGCAATGACGACCTGCCTTTCATCGTCGACGGACATGTAATCCCTCGGGGTACCACAGTCGGCGTGAACATCTACTCCATCCATCACAACGAAGAGTACTTCCCGGACCCGTTTAGCTTCCATCCGGAACGATGGTTAGACGACTCCGCAACGCCGGAGAGAAAAAAGATCATGCGCGAGGCTTTCATTCCGTTTTCCCTTGGACCACGTGGTTGCGCGGGAAAAGCCATGGCGTACTTGGAGGTTTCTCTCGTTGTTGCCAAGACGTTGTGGTACTTCGACTTCGGCCGAGCGCCGGGCGGTCTCGGTGAGATAGGGGCTGGGGCGCCGGGTATGGGTCACGGAAGAGAGAGGCAGGGGGAGTTCCAGCTATTTGATACTTTCACCGCAAGTCACGATGGGCCGTACCTAGCATTCCGGAGTCGTGATGGTGTTGGTATTGAATCCTGATTTTTTACGGGGGTATATTGTGCTAAAACTGAGGAGCAAAAATTCAGAAGCCATAGAGGAGATGGTAATGAAAATATGCGGTTCTCGGCAGGGGGTGGCCTCAGGTGAAAGTCCCCCTTGAACCTGAGCTAAACAGCTAGCTCAATAAAGTAAAGATCGGCAATAGGGTAGAATATGAACCCCTAAATCGGTCAGTGATTGCTCTGGGTTTATGAAGACAGGTGAATACCTAATATAATGGACGCAACCTGTAAGTAACGAGTCCTCCAGTGCTGTATTAATTACATAGAAGGTTTAGGTGAGCACCTGAGGTGAAAGTTCCCTTCGAACCTGAGCTAAACAAGCCTAACCCTATTCAGTAAAGATCGACACTGGCTTTAGTTGAACCAATCACTGACCTCTGTGGGAGATTCGCCCCACTAGCAGTCCTTCCCGTATAAGGTTAGATGTTTAGCTCAGGTTCTTGATGCTTTCCGTTTTGGGTTAGCTGTTTAGGTCAGGTGCAGGGGGGTCTTTTACCTGATCCAAGTACTGCTTTCACCTCAGCTGCTCACCTACCTAGCTAAACCTTCTTGTTAATCAATGCAGTATTCTTTCTTCAATAGGTACAATTCAGGTCTATTAGATTGAACAACAATCACTTTACAAAGTCAGAGCAATCACTGATCGACTTGGGGATTCGTGTTCTGCTCTTTTGCCGATCTTCACCTTATTTAGCTAGTTGTTTAGCTCAGGTTCGAGGGGAGCTTTCACCTCAGTTACTCACCTAAACCTTCCAAGTAATCAATACAGTCAGTACTTGTTTTTCAATAGGTACACGTCAGGTCAGTGTATTGAATAATCACCTCTCTTCATAAACACCACTGGAAAGCAATCACTGACCAATTTAGGGGTTTATGTTCCGCCTCATTGCCGATCATTGCCACATCAAGCTAGTTGTTTAGCTCAGGTTTAAGGAAGTTGTTTACCTCACCTTATTTAGTGGGACTGGAGGGGCAACATGGGCAATTACCCCGCGGACTTTTAGAAGATCCTATCAGCCCGATAACGGCCAATTGAAGAGTTACATAATACTCGGATACATGCAAGTTCAATTGAATTTTACAAATTAATTGATCAGAAGCTTGTTACATTTTGTCGATGCGGCTTCTGATTTGCATTGCTCAATATTCCTACATAAGCACGTTGGCTTTCACCGAGTACATGTGCCTCAAAGGATCAACTTGATTGGGAATCCCAACTTTGTTTTTCCGCTCCGCCTATTGTCGATTGTCGATTGTAGATCACTAATTGCTCATACCAAGCAACAATTTAATTCAACTTTTTACAGCAACACGAACCGTCCAACCACGATTCATTAATACTTAAGCCATATGCATCTGATGCGCCAACCCATTCAATTCCCTTGCATCAACTGAAGCTGCCGCCAGAAAAAGTAAAATGGCGCACTTCACCGAGGCCAAGCAGAGTAACCAGGAATCATTAACGATTGCTTCTTCCAGCAATTCCGCTACGGGTGTTTCTGACGTCGATGACTCTGTGAATGGTAGCGAGAAGCGAGCGCACGACGGGAGTCGAGATAGTAGAAAATCTAGGAGTAGGAAGAGAAGAAGAAGGGCAAAAGACGGCGGAATATCTGAGATGAATGGCCATGACAGCTCATCGAAGAGAAGAAACAGCATAAGCAAGGCTGCCCGGGATCCTAGGGATGAGCCTCCGAAGAAGAAAAAGAAGAAGGTCAAGCCCGAAGTGCCCGAGGGCACCGAAACACGGTCCCCGAGCCCTGTTATTGACTTTGATGGCTTAAGCCGACCGAGTACGTAAGCGAACTTTCCGACGGAACATTCTTGCTGACATAATCCAGGTCGTGGCACGCGAGAGCGACTTGAAGAGAGCTCCGAACAGGCGGCTCAAAGGCTCGAGAAAATGAAAGGAGCCGTTCGAACAATCCTAGAATGCGTTGGGGAGGACCCAGATCGAGAAGGCGTGCTAGATACGCCCGCAAGATATGCGAAGGCTATGCTCTTCTTCACCAAAGGGTATCAACAGAATGTCAAGGACATTGTCAACAACGCAATCTTCCACGAAAATCATAACGAGATGGTAATCGTGAAAGACATTGAGATATTCAGTCTATGTGAACATCACTTGGTCCCCTTCTTCGGGAAGGTTAGTTGAACCTGTCTACGGTTCTGTGCTTCATTCTAACTTGACGACATCAGATGCACATCGGATACATCCCGAAAAACAATGTCATCGGCATATCGAAGCTACCCCGTATCGCAGAGATGTTCAGCCGTCGTCTGCAGGTACAAGAGCGATTAACGAGAGAAGTTGCCAATGCCATTATGGAAGTACTAAAACCTCAGGGGGTAGCTGTTGTCATGGAGTCGAATCATCTTTGCATGGTTATGCGAGGAGTGGAAAAGACAACTACGAGCACCATTACTAGCTGCGTGCTTGGTTGTTTCGAAAAGAAAGAAAAGACCAGGAATGAGTTTCTGAGTCTAGTTGGGCTGAACAGAGGATATAGGTAGGCATCAAGGAGGACGATATAACGTTAACGTATACAGGAACATGGATGCATATTAGGCGTTATCGGTCTAGAGTATGGGATCTCAACATCAAACTCATCATTTAGGACGGGAAGGTAAACGCATTTAACATTAGAGTTACAGCAAGCTCAACGCCTCGAGGAAAGGATAGCATATGGCGTTCAGGGGTAAAATCACTTTTCAACATCAACGTTATGTATAATCAACTACATAATATACTTACGCATTCACTACTGAAGACACCCAAGACATCTACTAACATATCCCTGCACGTAAAATGTGACATTTCTTATACGAAGCTTGCATTTCCCCACACTGTGCATCTCAAACACGCACCATGTCCTGCCAGAAATGTATTGAACTCTTCGCTTTCTGGTATGAATTATTGGATTACTTCGGATTAATGTTACGTAGCGAAGTCCGATAGAAGTCCAATTTGTAAGCAAAAGGATAGCTGATGACACCTTGAGGGACAATTCACTTGTATTGGTAGCCCTCAATTGAACCAAACAAGCCAGGATTCGAGAAAGCCAATAGCAGTAATGGTTCTCATTTTTAATCAAATGAGACGCAGCATCAACATCCTACCGTCCTGGATGAGAAAATCAGACCCGGCCACGGCCCTGTGTCGCCTATCCGGCCAGCACCGCTCGTATCACCATCCACTTATATCCAGCTCCGAGAAGCACTGATGACAAATGAGAATCGGATTTCGTTCCGGCTTAAAATTCCGATGCACATGGCGATTACGTTTGATGCCGGTAGCTTGCGTACTGTTATATAGGTAGGACGAATCGTCCGACATATAAGCTGTCAGCATCGCAATCACTACGTAACATAGATCATCTACCACATCACGTATCCGACTAACTCCGAACCCATACATTTGTATCAGACATACCTAGATAATCTCGAATATGAGTACGATCAGTAAAGTTGCAGTCGCCGGGGTAAGATACTATTAATCATGTGATCCAAGATGAAGACACAACAGACTAAAAAGTTCCATTCTCGCAGGCCACCGGTCTCCTTGGCAAGCCTGTAGTGAACCAACTTCTCGAAGACGGTTTCACGGTAACAGTGCTCGCTCGCAAGGGAGCAAGCCACGACTTCCCTTCCGCGGTCACCGTCGCCGAGGTCGATTACGAGGCCCCCGCAACCCTCGTCAAGGCGCTCTCGGGCCAAGACGCCGTCGTCTCAGCCGTCGGGTTCGCAGGCCTTCTGCAGCAGATCCCCCTCATCGAGGCCGCCGTCAAAGCGGGGGTGAAGCGGTTCGTCCCCTCGGAGTTCGGCGGCGACGCCGAGAACGACAAGATCACCGAGCTGCCCATGTTCGTCGACAAGAGACCCGTGAAGGAACTCGTCGAGAAGGAGGCGGCGCAGGGTCGCTTGACGTATACCCTGGTCTCTTGCGGCCCGTTCCTGGATATCGCGGTGCAGCACGGTATGCTCGTCAATTTCAAGGAGCGCAAGATCAACCTCTGGGACGGCGGCGAGAGGCCTTTCAGCACGACGACGCTCGCGGCTGCTGCTAAGGCTGTTACTGGGATCCTTAGGCATCCCGAGGAAACTAAGAACCGCGTTGTGTTTATCCGTAGCGCGTCGCTTACGCAGAAGGAGGTCTTGGAGAGGGCGAAGAAGGCGGCTGGGCCGGAGGGGTGGACGGTAGAGACTCCGTCTGTTGCTGAGTCGCTCAGGGCGGCGTATGCTGACCTAAATGCGACGGGGGTGGTTAATAGGTTTGCTTTTGTGGTATCGGCCATTTGGGGCGAGGGGTACGGGAGTAATTTCCAGAAGCTGGATAATGACTTGCTCGGTGTTAAGGAGTTGAGCGACGCGGAGCTTCAAACCTTGATTGAGGGTTTCGCGAAATAGTTTTATACTTACCTAGGTATTCCGCTAATGTAGGTAAAGGAGGTGTATGGAGAAATAATGTTAGTCATAACATAGGAAGAGGAAATCTTCCAAGATCAATGATGAGGATAGGGGCTTAAGGCAAGGCATACTCAAAGTTCACGGGTTTGGCAACGCAGAATATTAGCTGATGAACAAAACGTATAAAATTCCGTATAAAATTCATGGCCATTGTGAATTAATAGCAAGTCGCTTGAAGCCTTGTTCAATGATCAGTGTCACTTGAGCCTTGGCTAACTTCCCGAGGCTTATTCTCCCCCCCCGGGGCCCCGATGGAAAATCTCCTCAGTAATCCATCAGAGTTCCCAAGTTAGATATGCTAATCCTGAAAAAATATATCTTAAATAGCTAAAAGGTTTGGGTGTAGTGGTCCTTGAAGTTTCGGGTCGCTTGATCATACAGAGAGGAATTTTTCCCTGAGAGGGTCCCACCAGTCGATAAATGCATCTATGGCGTAGATAATAATATGGACTGTGATGATAGATATTAGGACGATTTTCAGAACATCTGTCCATTTGATATCGAGTGGAGGGGATGATGGGGCGCCGAAATACTCCTTTTGATGACGGTACTGCCTAGGGATCTCCTCCCTCTGCTTCAGGAAGTATGGGCCGTGTGGTGAGTCGTATGATGGCATCTTCGTTGTCTGTTCTTGACTATTAAGCTTTCGTTTAAGCTTGGAAGTGGTTCGTATATGGCAAGGTGTTGACTGGGTGAATCTTTTCTATGTTAAAAATATGAGGATGGAGTGTTCCTTTATATGTGTCATGTTCAAAACCGCTACGGATTCACCGTAAGTTTGCATCTAGGAAAAAGAGGAAGACAGAAACCAAGAGATATTGATCAAATCTCGCTTCTGCCTTAGATCTCAATGTGACTCAGTGCTCGATAAAGACGGGAAAGACACTTCCCTCGGCAAAGTGTGTAGAATCTACTACAGTCTGTAGAACATGTCCTAAGTGACCTGTAACGAGTATTGGAAACATGAAATTTCTAGTTTACTTCCAGCTTGCGGCAAAGCCTTACGTTCCTTTCATGGGTTTCAGATGTCGTTAGGTAGTTATGATGATCATTGGAAGTTGTTGGAACGAATTTTCTCTTCCAAAAGTATGTACAAAGACAGGATATTGACAGGTCGCTATCAGATTTTGAAAAGTTATAAGTCATCTATCGTTTCCTCACTCAGATACGTCCAAAGCTTGTCTAAGCCTTGCTTCGTCTCTTGGCTTGCAGAACACACGATATGGCTTCGGCACCATTATCAGATCTTTCGGGTTCTTCATATCTACGCTGGGATCGCATCGGATCTCTTCGGGGGCCTCCAAGCGGAAGCTACTCAGCAATCTCATGAATATGATGTATAGCTCGCGTGTTGCAAGGATATGTGCCGCGCACATCCGATATCCTAACCCAAAAGTGAAGATGGGTGCATCTGGCTTCTCTAGCCATCGTTCGGGAATGAATTCGTCGGGGTTGGTCCATAGTTTGGGATCTGTATCCAAAATGTCATAAGCCAATAATTGGGGGTCAGGAGGGGGATCTTTCGTCTTACCATGATTACATGCCCACGCATTCAAGTATACCGTGCTTTTAGCCGGAATCGTAACACCCTCATACTGAATATCCTTGATAGTTTCCCTCGGTAGCGACAGGGGAACTACTGAGTAGATCCTAAGTGCTTCTTTTGCGAGCGCAAGCACATAAGCGCACTTCTGGTCATCGGCCGCGTCGCACAACGGCTCATTGGACCCCTGAAAACGCTGTATCTCCTCATACGCCTTATCCTGTACGTGGGGATTCTGAGCAAAATATGCAAGCGACCACTGCACCGTAGTTGAAACCGTTTCGAATCCGCCGGACGTGATGGATAAGCTGAAGGAAGCGAGCTCGACGTCGTTGAGCTCGACCTCCTTGTACTTGATCACGCTCGCTTGGATGCAGGGCTTGTTAGTACCTTTGGCCACTTGTTCCTTGAGATCTCCGTTCAGCTTGGATAGGTATTTATCGCGACGCCGCCGTAATTCGCGTGCTTTGACGAAGGCCTTGTTCCTTGGGTTCAAGCGTAGGAGTGGAATGTGGTCTTGAGGATTGCCGACGGTAGATCTAGTCTTGTTCAGTTCCTCTTCGACCTGCACGATCTCCTTGAATAGTTCATCTTCAATAGAAGGAATTCGCACGCCCCAGTTGATTGTCATCACTAGTGAGAGGCTCAGCCGTTGAATCATGGGAAGTGGATCAATGGCGAGCGTCCCTGCCTTGCCATAGTTGAAAAGGTCTTGAAGAAATGCCTTCGTCTCAAGATCTAGGTATGGGATATAAGTCTGGATGGCCGGGCGATTGAGTGCCACGGCCGCTGCCTTCTTCTTCCGCTTCAAGCTATCGTCATAGGGTGAGGTGCCGATCGTCAAGCCGGCAGTGGTAGACGCTACCTATCACAGTTAAGCGTCGTCAACGAATGCTCTCCGCAGTAAATGACTCGTATGCGTTACCTTATGAAACGTATAAGTTATCGGCCGAGAACTGAGAGCTTGCGAGTTGGAACTAAATATTGTCTTTGCGGCTTGGGCACCATTCACCACGACCACGCGATTATTCCCTAACATAACTTGGTAAACGTCGCCATACTCCTTAGCCCATTCTTGATACTTGATCGCCGCGTTCGACCATATCTCGGTTAGATTCCCTACAATTGGCCAACCCCTCGGACCCTTCAATCCCGGAATTCGAGACCGACTCCGTACGATCTCATTGCCGACAAGATAAAGCGCGGCCGCGGCGAGAGTGCCAACAATAAGTGATTGCAGTAAGCTCTCGGCCAGCTTATGCAAGATACGAACGGCAATTGACTCCATGGATTCTAAGTTTGGGAGATTTGAAGGCATTGTAAGTACGGGAAAATATTTATGGAACATTGTTCTCCATTTTCTGTAGAATTGGGGAAGATATACGACATGGTTGCCGTAGTAGATCCCGACACCAACCTCGGGCCCCTCTCCCCTCCAAAGCGTGCCTGGGCATGCCAAAATCCTTCGCAACATTTATTGCCACCATTCCCGGGCACATGACGCAGGGCGTATGCATAAATAGTCTTGGCCGGGCACTGGCCGGGGCACCAACATATGGAAATGATAAAACTAGGGTATTCTACGGCCGGGAATAACTTCGCTTCTATTATTCCATTGCTACGCTCAGTAAGTACCCAATTTTGCGTTCTTTCTTCAACACCCTTGTATCAATCATCCCTCAAGCGGAACTTCCACTTCGGATGCTCCATTGGACTCGCAATCAGTACTTGCATCTCTTTAATAAACGGGCGATCAGGTCCTATGAATCTGATACCATGGCCAACGCATAGTGCAGCATACTTCGTAGCATTTTTGATATCGCCAACCCCTATGTACTCGATCGCTGCCCTGTAGTATGCTTCGTTGACGCGGGTTAAAATGCCCTCTTCTTCGTATAGCCATACTAGAAGCTCCGCCATTTCCGGCGACGCTTGCGACGTTGCTGAGTGGTCGTCCAATTCTTTCCGGAGTGCGATTACCTGCTTGACCCTGGAGTCTGACTCCGCTATTGACGATTCATTCCCGGTGCAGCGCTGGCACGTACATTGGAATCCCCATTCCTTGCGTAGCTTTTCTTGCCTTACTGATTGGACCTGAAGAGGACTATATACCTGATTAATAACGATGTCTCGTATCGTCGGATGATTACCAGGCTAGATCGGTGAGGTGGAGATTGCTAACTCACTCGTAGTAGGCTATTGTGAGCTCTTCTCCAACCATGATATCTCGGACAACGAGCACCTTCTGATGAAAGTCTAAATGATCGAAGTAATAAGCACAATTTGGCCGACAGTCATGATTGAGCCGTGATACTGAGTCAAGGTTAGTTGTGTTGGAATGGAAGTCTTTCGATTAAGGGAGGGGGGCACTGTAATGGATAGTTACGAACCTTCAGTAAATAACGAATAAAATGGATTGTCTCCATCATGGTAACCGGTCTGGAATGAGTTCGTCTGTAGAATTCTATAAATCTTGTCGCCATAATCGCTAGCGACGCTGTGCGTGGAGAGGTTGAGTAAGCTTTCTTTGTGTTGAGAGGGCAGATCATCGACTGCACGAATGAGTAATTCTGATACAGCTTTCTTCCCCAAGTTTTGAATAGAATTTCTATTCACCATAAGACCGGGTGTGCGCGCCATTATAAGTTCTCCTGCTCTAATCGTTCTTGTTGCGACCAAGCCAATATCTTTACCCTCGATCTCGGCTTCCCGGTAAGGAGCCGCACTCGGCTCTACTCCTCCATTATCACCCTTGAATGCCGGTAGTGTTGCAATTGTTGACATGCTCTTTCCAGTAGTGATAACAGAGACCCCTTCGCCGTGGTTGAAGGATGGGTTGGTAAATACACAGAATTTATCAGCTCGCGTTCCGCGACAAAGGCCGCTTGATTTCCATGTCTTCAGCGGCGATGTATTCCCATATGACAAATTTTTAGGTTCCGTGAACTCAGTGCTTGGAGATATACAGCTGTCTAAATTGCGTATAAGAAGTGGATTGGGAATTACACATGTTTGTTGTTCTTGATGGGGTTGAGATAAGCTTGCCACTGTTAATGTGAATTGAAGAGATAGCAAAAACCGAGACATGGTGTTCGATTATGATCAGAAACTAAGATGACCCTCTCTGATAATAAGATTCGTCGTGAAATAAGAGAACACCCATATTCCGTAGGCTGTCTAAATAACGTCGCCGAAATTTCGTAGCGGAGCCAAGCCTCCGAACTAAAGAGGATCCCGTGTCGGGAAGACGGGAGGGACGGCACGAGGCCCGTCGACAGTCCCAAGAAGTTGCCAGTATCCACACTAAGAAACCAGTTAACCTACGTAGAATTGCCATTCCTCCTGCTGGATTACGGAATGCGAAAACCACGTGCTTCCACCTAAATAAACGAGCCTTTTCCGTGGATAATAGCGACCACCGCGGCGGGCCTCCCCGGCTATTATACAAGATCTACAGGATCCTATTATCATTGATACGACTTAAGTCTACTTCACTTTCCAGAGCAGATCATTTCCTAAGTGGACATTAGAGATGTGACGACGATTACCTAACCACCTGGACACCTAATGAGCCACTGATAGAATTGATATCATTTGCAAACTTCATCTCCATTGCAATTGTCTCGCTAACTTATAAAAGCTAACTTGGAATCAACTAATTTCAGACGGAAAAGTGAAATATATTAGGTAACTTTGATATTATGCTGGCCTCCTTGGAATCACTGGAGAGACTTATTTTGAGGTTGCTGGTATTAGTCGTGATGATTGAGCTGGAGTTGGGGTCAGGGTCAGGGTTGGGATTAGATTTTATCCCCGGTGAAAGAAGGAAAGGCAAGACGAAAAACTCGTGATCGTGATATGGCGAATAATTCTCGATTTGGCTCAAAGCACACCGCAGCTAGAAACGTCCGCCGTCCATTGGCGCTCTTCGTACCCAACTTCTAATATGTGATTACCTAGCTTTGTACAAGGTTAGAATACCAACAACGCGTTTGCTTATTTAAGACACCGATAACTTAAAATGATACTCTAAGACTTTTGACATGAAACGGTAATATAAATTCACAAGGCCGAATGAAATCAGATCATCCTATCGCACGTACCTAGTAGCCATAGTAAGATCATTGGCTGGTGATGAGTCGAGTATTCTAGGTGGGTCCCGGTCCTATGTGTGTTACACAGGTATGAGATAAAGGGTTATCTTAACTCTTTATCAACCCCTATTCTCTCTTTGTTTATAACATGCAACTCTTGAAGACTCGCTACCTTTTACACGACATTATTGTCTTATAGTTTGATTAGTTGTTGCCGACATAATCTATTATCCATGCACTCAAATATCGCAGAGCAAAACTTAGAATGTTGAGACATACTGCACCATGTGAGGTAACTACCATCATGTGTCTTGCCAGGATGCCTTGATGTTGGATTCCAAGGTTACTGCAACCAGAGCCAGACATCAATATCACCTACTCAACTCGGCTCTAGGTACTTAGGATCGCCAGCCAATTGAAGGTCGTCGCTGCGGCACACTGCGGGGTTTTGAGTCCGACTCGCTAAAATTTATCATTTAGACATGGAAAAGGGGGCAGGCGAAAACTCAGACGCCCGACCACGTTGGGGATCCGAACATACTTTTTCATTTACTTCTCGGCGCACACCTAAAAAACGTGAACGCGATATGTGACCACGCATTGCAACCCTCTGTCGCGCCAACAGCCTGTCTTCACGGTATGGATCAGGTATATATAGGTCGCTATCCCACAGCGAGTAGGATTCCGGCGCATTTGGCTTTCGGACCATCGAAGTAAGTAGGTTATCTTGGAACTATCGATTCGGGCTGCCATGTTTCCCCTTATTTTGATGGTGATGGCATCTGCTGTCCCGATGCTCGAAGCAAAACCCTTCGCTAAGAAGATTACCAACAGTACGAAAGCTGCTTTTGGGCCCCTCACTTTCAAGGGTGACGGCACGTTTCAAATAGCAGTGTTCGAAGACTTGCATTTTGGAGAAAGTAACCAGTCCTAACCAAGCCTGATGATGTCAAGAACCTTAAGCTAACTTACCTGACCCAGATGCATGGGACCAATGGGGCCCACAGCAGGATATCAACTCCGTCAAAGTTATCAATGAAATCCTTGAGGCAGAATCTCCTGGGCTTGTTGTCCTAAACGGTGATTTGATTACTGGTGAAAACACCTTTTTGGAGAACAGCACGACCTACGTCGATCAGATCGTTGGGCCGCTCGTAAATAGGGGTCTCACATGGGCGTCAACGTACGGCAACCATGACTACGACTTCAACATCTCCGGCAGTACCATCCTTGCTCGAGAGAAGCTATGGCCTAATAGCCGAACACAGCAAATGGTAAACAGCGAAAACTCCGGCGTGTCAAATTATTACCTCCCAGTCTATGACAGCGAATGCAGCAACGAAGGTTGCGCCCCCGAGCTACTACTTTGGTTCTTCGACAGCAAGGGAGGATACAAGTATCAGCAGAAGAACGCGTCGGGAAGTCACGTTGGAAATCCCGACTGGGTCGATTTTAGCGTCGTAGACTGGTTCCTAAAGACGAATAATGAACTTGTCAGCAAATTCAACAAGGCCATTCCCTCGCTAGCGTTCGTTCATATCCCGACATATGCCTCGTCCATCCTTCAGCAACAAGGCGTCGATCCCCACGCCGAGCCTGGGATAAACGATGACAACCCATTAGCTCCTCAGGCCCAGGGCTGGTGTTCCGATGGACGGAATGACGGCACTTGCACGTATGGGGGACAGGACATTCCATTTATGCAGGCCATCTCCACAGTTCCGGGGCTTATCGCCGTCTTCTCCGGGCATGATCACGGAGACTCGTGGTGTGACAAGTGGGATAGACAACTTCCAGGTATGACAGTAGCGCCCCAAAACGACGTTATACTCTGTTTCAGCCAGCATTCGGGATATGGAGGTTACGGAAATTGGGAACGAGGATCTCGCCAGCTGCTTGTATCGAAAGCAAAATTGCAGGAGGGAGCGGTTGATACCTGGATCCGTCTTGAGTCCGGAAATGTCGCGGGCAGTGTTACCTTGAACAGCACGTTTGGACGGGATCAGTATCCGGCAACGAATAATACGAAGACCTACTGTCCTACTTGCGACTATAGTTCGACGTAAAAGGAGAAGTATGAAGATTATGTACATGTATCATTAACTACGGCAGCACTGGATATAACAAGATAATTACTGGATATAAAAATTAATTAATTATAATCATCTGAAACAAAAGATATTACCATGATATGTACAGTTCGCTACAATATGATTGGTTACGATATACGAGAAATAGTTCGATATTCTAGAGATCGTTCGAGTTGTTATAAGCCAACTCCTTGGATTCTTATTTCCACGAAAAATCCATGAACTATCGTATATACTCCACTTCAGGAGAAGCTTATAGGCCAATAGGTGATAAGAATCAAGTCACATTACCATGCAAGATTCCCAGATTATCAATAATTTTCCGACGACGGCGGACGGGGTAACACATGGTATCGCGACCTACACATCCCCTTCATTCCGTACAACAATACCCATTATATAGACGCATAACCCGCAGATAGTTCCCAAAGACACAAACGGTAATCACTGCACATCATCATCTTTATCCCATCACCAACACGATTCTACCTCTCTATCCCCCACCATGGAGAAATACGCAACATACCCCAGCCTGCGGGGCAAAACCGTCCTAATCACCGGCGGGGCCGAAGGCATCGGCGCAGCATCGGTCGAGCTCTTCTGCCGCCAGGGCTCGAACGTCGTGTTCCTAGACTACTCCACGACCTCCGCGCAGGCGCTCCTCGCCAAAATCCAATCCATCCCCGGCGCCGCGCAGCCGTCCTTCATGCACTGCGACGTAACAGACCTAGCACGTCTCAAAGAATGCGCAGCCCAAACCATCGCAAAGCACGGCGGCGTAGACGTACTCCTCAACAACGCGGCGCGCGCCGGCGCCGCCTCTCGGGTCGCCACCGCGGACGTCACGCCCGAGAGCTGGGAAGACGACATCAATATCGGGATCCGGCACCAGTTCTTCCTAACGCAAGCCGTGCTTCCCTCGATGCGCGAGCGTGGGGCCGGCGGCAGCGTGATTAACATGGGGTCCATCACGTGGCGGATCCCGACGGCGGGGCTGCCGGTGTACGCGCTGTGCAAGGCGGCGGTGGTGGGCATGACGCGCACGCACGCGAAGGAGTTCGGGGGGTACGGCGTGCGGGTGAATAGCGTTGTGCCTGGCGCCGTGGCGACGCAGAGGCAGCGGGACGAGGTTATGACGGAGGGGTACCGGGCGGAGGTTATGGCGGCGCAGAGCTTGAAGAGGGATATTTTGCCCGAGGAGGTGGCAAGGTTGATTTTGTTTTTGGCGGCGGATGATTCGAGTGCGATTACCGGGAGTAGTTATGTTGTTGATGGGGGATGGGTTAGTGATATATAGGGGTTGGTAGTGACACAGCTATGTAGGTAGGTAGTAAGGCAATCTCATATATGGGATGGATGTTTTCAGATAACAACAATACATTTAAGAAGTGTTGAGAAAGCAATCTATGTACAAAGACCGATGTTCCCCCCTTTTGCCTCAACCCACTGATGCACCGTATTCTAATGCGTAGTATAAACGATAGACTATATCCAATCCCTATCCTTGAGTCCCCACCCGACACCCCCCCCTATATACAGCTGGAAGATAAATTGCGAGCTGTTAGCTTAGTTGCAGAACGGCTTTCCCTTCGCGGTACGGCCATAGCTGATGCCGGCTATTCGGAGGAGATACATTAGTATTGTCCTTGAAGTTTATGGAAACTGGAATTATGGCTTACATTTGTAGTCACCCCTAGCAGCGACGTTGGCTTTGCATGACTGGTCAAGGCCTGCATTGACCTTGCCTGAAGTGCCGCGGTCGACGTTGATCGTCACGGTGCTATAGTTGCATACATATGCGATGGCAGTATACTAGAGTTATAATCGTGTTAACGTGATGATCATATGGTGAGAGAGAAAGAATATTATCATCCAAAGGAGATATACTTACGTATTGGACAGAGAACATGGTCTTCGCCTTCAGGCTTCCATAGCGGTCCATGATATCTCCCAGGTCTGAGAGACCAATCCTCTTGTCGTCCACGTCGAACTTGGCAGAGAAACACTTCGTGTCCCAGGCAAATTTACGTGGCTCGAGCACAACCGCATCCGAGTCTGTTGTGTTGACCTCGGGAAGCTCTCGGCTGCTGATCTCTGCAATAGGGATGAATTCGATGATTTCACCAGCGTCGTTGTGGATGTAGACACCATCGCCGCGGTCCATGCCGTTGGAGTCAATGGGTGTAGAGGCCCCGAGTAAAGCAAGGGGAGCAAGAAGGAGGATGGTCTTGGTTAAAGAAGGGAAGATCATGTTGGGCAACAGTTTTTCAAGATTGAGTAGGTACTGAAAATTGAGTGGTTGCTTGGAGTCGGTAAGTCTAGTGAAGAAGCTTATGAGTCTGAGATGTGATTGTGTGATTGTGTTGATATCGACAACTTTATTGAGGACGCTTCTGGCTTTATAGAAGTCAACAGCCATAACATAATGGCGATACTCTATGATTACTCTATATCTCCAAAATTATATTTAGGTATTAGGCTAAGAGGATCATTCTACTATTCAACTAGTTGTTTCAACTCTCATGAAGTCACTCGGGCCAATCATATTGGCGTGGTCAGCAATGTCGACAGGGGAAATTCCCATATCATACTAGGCATACGTCAGGTGAAGTGAGGCTATTCCTACCTATGTGCTGTGGATCTATTTTAAAGTTTTAGAGAGGCGCTGTATTTGCCGTGCCGTACTAAATATACTACATCTATTCCATCCCGCTCTTAGCGGATTTTTTCAACTTCTTGGAGAATTAGTGGCATTTAGGTATCCATATTCACAGGCGGCCGGGACTCGAGTCTAGATCTGGCATGGCCCCTGCTAGGATTGAATACCATGCAGGTACTAAAAGCCCTTACCTGGAAGGGGGATCCATCACAACCCCATAAAAAGCTACGATGGGTGATATCTTCAGATGAAAATGGGTAGATAGCACGTGGCCAACGGTGGCACAGCACGAATAGCGTCGCCATGGCATTACATAAGTCTCTATCCAATGGTGAGTTGTCTTAACTAATTAGTCCTAATTGAGCCCATCTTACAACTTGGCGATAACTCCTTTGCCGCCAACTGAACATTTAGAAAGTTTTTCGCAGAGTAAAAAAATAGATATTCAGAGTCTTGTCTTATTTTTTGAAGTCGCTACTCTAGTTTAATGAGGGAAATGCGGTAAAATTGGGTGAATTAAGGGGTTGAACTCGTTCAAATCAATTCATGTTGAACCACCCAAACCCCTACTCAAGAACTCCGCCCGGTATTGGGCACGGCACATACCGGGACTTGAGTTCACTATCGTTTACGTCGTAAGTTTTTAGGTTATATATAACATTGAACGGTCAGCTCAATCCTTCTGCTACAGACACCGTACCCAGTAGGTTCCCATGAACGCTCGATCGTTGGGTTCGACGTTACATCGTAACATCAATCCCTCAGTCTTGTCATCTTAAAAATAAGAAATGTGAGACAAATCTTCTTAGATATTCTTTCTTCCAGCCCTACATATATTACTTTAGGACACGTTAGCGGCATACCGGAGTTTGCTCTAACCTTGAATGAGTGATAGTACTTAGATACCTACAACTATATTCATGACAACATTTGACATCCGGCTCGTGGATTGATACATGTAGCGGAGGAGAGACTAGCACGATGAAAGGAACCAGACATAGAATACTTACTTAGAATAAGCGCGCGCTTCCTATCAAGAAAAGCATAAAATAGGATCAACATGGATGCCAAGAGGGCGCCCAGGTGATTAGCTAAAGCTGGGCGAAGCGAAGGAGCAAACCATTGCCATGTGAGCTTCTCAACGGAAGCCGCGGAATTCGATGCAGGTACCGAACCATTGGTCACTCCTTCGGAGCGGTGGACACTTTAGGTCTCCCGACCGCTTCATGACAGCTTCTACGGGCCTGCGCCGCGCTAAGTGGATCCAGCTGAACGGACATCAGGGGGTAGCTACTAGTACTACCTATATATACCGGTTCACGTTCTTGGATGACATGCCACCATATTATGTACTGCACCTAGGTAGCTTGAGTAAGAACAGACTCTTGATTTTATCCGATATGGGATTTTGGGCTGAATGGTTTGCCACAAATCGTGCGGCGCTTTTCATGCGAAACTCCTTTCACTACAAATCCACAAAGACATGGGATGAATGGGATGGCAACGTTAGACAATAGACGTAAATAGGTATCTTGTGAGCATTCTTTGTAAATTTTAACTACTTACCTAGGTACTAATACGCCTCCGAAACACATTAAACAGACTAAACATATGCAACTAACCAAGAAGAGTCGACGATCGTATGCGATACTAATAGGAATTAGCGAAATATGACCTGTTCGGTGCTGACATATGCCATTCCGGCTCCGATAAATCGGCCACTTCTTTCGTCAAATTATGGTTCATCATCAACTGTCTCCCAACGATTTCCGGGTTTGAAGACTCACTATTCTCTTGCCACAAGAACGATGGGTTTGGCATGTGGTGCGGTGCCTTTTGAAATGCATTGAGTGTCTCCATGATTTCCTCTGCCGTTGGAAATTTGGATCTCAGCGCTGATTGGAATGTGGGATATGTCTCGGGGATCTCTGTGTATGTGTATTGGGGTGCAGAATATGGTTTTGCCGGTTCATCCTCCGAGCCATCTTCCTGTGGATAGAACTCGGTACCGGACCAGCTGGAGCTTGATGACGATTCACTGTATAGTTCATCTTCTGAGCCACGTGCCGGTGGCAATGGTAACTTAATACCCTTTTCCTCTTCCATGCACCTGGTACAAGCGCACGTAAACCCCCACTGTTTAAGACGCCTTCGCCTTTCCTTCAAACTCATAGGGTCTGAGACGCTGGTTGCGGTCCAATCGTAGGAGACATAAAGTTCTTCATCGGGCCTAATGTCAGCTGTTGTTGTCATCTGCATTCTGCGTCGCCTGACAGAGATATTCCAGTTAACGGTCGGGGCGCATGAATGGTTGTAGCGGCTGAATTGTCGGTATACCACATTCCAATCACTACCTGCGGATGCGCAATTTGTGTCGCTTGTCCCGCAGGCTTTGATAAGCTCATCTACAACCGCACTCATCTGTGGGTTAAGTATGTTCCAGTCATTACGGCCAGCTCTACTATACTGCCTTCTACACCAGTCTTCAAAAAGTGCATACTGTTTCTCTCTATACTTTAACCTTTGAGGGTCGCAGTGAAGTTTATGAAGCTCGGATTTAGCCTCATTAGTTAACTTGTGGTATGCGTCACAAAAGTTATAAAGCTCAGTATCATCAGTCGGCGCATGCTTATAAGAAAATATTGGGTCTTCCTCGAGAAGAATTGTTCCTCTTGGGATATATGTTTTAGCGAATACGCCATATCCTATTCCCTCGATTGGGCGGACCTCGACTAAGTCGCGGGAACCCATACTTGCTGAGAAATGCTTGGTTAGGCCTTTGATCTGAATGTTGAGTTGTTATGGAGTTTCGTAACTATAGTAAATGCCGGTGCTAACGAGATGGTTGTTGGATATCATATGAGATTCACAATAAAGCCCTAGTACTTATAAGATGAGGCCCTGAACAGAAATAAAACAATACCATTGTTATCTCTGAACGTGATTCTTGTTTTCACTAGCTCAGAACAAAAACATTCTTTACGTCAAAGAATAGGACACAATTGTCCCTCTTTTCAGTAAGGAAGACATAGCAACAAAAAGGCAGTGTTCTCAAAGTAAAATCCCTAGTCAGTTGTAAAGCAACCACATGAACATATTGACTACTTGTTAACTTCCAGAGATGGGTCAGATCTTATCTTCCGGATGGCATGGCGCTTCGTCCTTTTGGTGTTCGATAGTATGCCACTCTACCACAGTCCAGGTCCCGCAATATTAATGCAGATAGCGAATCAAGGGTGTCACTACTAAACCGAGTACTGTCAACTTCTCGGAATATGAAGCCGTCTTTTTAAGGCTCTTTATGATACTTCTAAATGCATGCTTACATTCTACTTTCAGCACTTGCCCGGCTATATAATGGGTCAGGCATATACCAGTACCTTCTTCAGCTGCAAAAGACTCCGTACCCGTAGCCCGGCAAATGTAGATGCGCGACTCTTGGCGCCGTCTCGATCTCAGTTCTTGGCACCCCTTCAGTGGGAAAAGAATAAATCGTCACTTGGCGTTTACAGGGCTACATGCCCATAGCTAGGCCCTGTGGCCAATTAGATGGTCATATGCCGGTTTACTAAGCAATTCCACTCACAGGGATATACCCCAAAATAACGCCAAGCGAAACCGATGAGCGCTATGAAACCTAACCGCCCCAATGCTCTATCATGATTCATTTCCATATTCTGTACCTACTTTACTTCTCAGCTTCTTTAACAACTCAAGATCTGGGTCCCTTCTGTTATCCAAGCGTGCTTTTTCGGCTTGCAAGAGGGCCGCTGTAAATCAGACTTTCATCATTGTTTATGTTCAATGCGTTGTCGCTTTATTGAAACACGATTCTGCTTACGCAAGTTTTGCTTCTTCAGAGTTGAGCAGAAAAGACAATGATCATTCCCAGAGCACACCAAACTTCATCTCCTCTCAACGTTTCTCTCCTCATCCAGGGAGAAGCACAGCTACATACGATATAAAATGCCAAGCATGCTAATAGAAGAAAAGGTGGTCAAGGAGGACGGGTGCACGAGGCTCCGACTGGAATATACCCCTTGCAATTCGGAATAGGCCGAATTAAGTGTGGATAAGCATAAGAACCATTCCCCACGGATCGGATCTAAGTTAACGTTTTGAGCTCTGGAATACCACGTCCTATTGCATAAACCCGGACAACTGCGCATCCCTTGTCCGAGTTCAGATGACAGGGGCCTTTCGGCACGCCGTTTGCCATCTTCGAGGACGGATCAAACATCTCCAAGCCCCCCACTCGAATCTGACCGGCGAGGCAGAATGTCGGCTTCGCATATTGGATCTCCCCTTCAGCCGTTTACGCAAAGCCTTTTCCTTGAGATCTAGGATAAGGCCCTGCCGGAGATGTCACCTCGTCTCGTCTCTTGCTTACGGCGAGATGCCCCTGCATAACATCACTTCTGGATACATTGCCTGGGAAATAGTTGCCGGTGACAACAAGATATTTAGCTTGGTATAAGTCTTGGTATTATACATCTCCCATCATTTCCCAGGCTGATCAGGAGAGATGCCCTCCCGTTCACTCTTTCTCACGTCAACCTAGGCGTCTTTCCAACTCGTGTGTTTTTGCTTCCCTTCTCCCACGGTCGATCCGTTCGTTTTCTATCTTCATTTTGCCTATTTTCACCCGTTCGTTTCGTTTACAGGCTGGGCCAGTTTATTCCCATAGAGTTTAGAGCTCCATTCGTCTAATATTTCCTTTTCTTAATCATCCTGCTCAGTATTGAGCTTTTCCATTCAATATCTTCCGGTCTTCCTCATCTGCGTAGTCATGCATTTCTCTACAGGCTATTTTCCAACACTTTTGGCCCTGGCAGCCGTAGCAGTTGCTACCGATGCTCCACCAGCCGAAGTTATTCATGAGACGGTCTATGAGACTGTACACGTGGTAAGTAATTCTATCGATCACTAGGTACATTCAATATCATGTCGGAGAAGACCATTGCCTCCAGGACAGGAGCATATTTGGTCAAGAGTGTACTTTACGTTGGGGGCAATGCAAATATACCCTACCAGCTTACTAACTTCTAGTTTCCTAGACATTGGCACCAGAGACAATAAAAGAGACGATACATCTACCGCCGGAGACTATAAAGGAGACAATACACTTAACCTTGCCGCCAGAAACGCTGAAGGAGACGGTTCATGTTACTCTGCCACCCCAAACTGTAAAAGAGACAGTACACGTTACGCTACCCCCTCAGACAGTGAAGGAGACAGTCAAGGAAACATTACATGTAACACTCCCTCCAGAGACCGTACATGTTCCGGTGACGGAAGTTGTTCATATCACGAAGACCGAGGTTCAAAAAGAGTCTATTACACTACCTCCGCAGACGGTCCACGTCACTATTCCGGTCACTAAAGTAGAAGAGAAACTCGTCACGGAGACCGAAGAGCGGACTGCAATTCAGACAAAACTCGAAACGAAGGTCGAGACTCTCAAGGAAACCCTACCTCCCCAGACTATCAAGGAAACCGTTCATATCAGCGTACCCGTCACCCAAGTTGTGAAGGAGACAGTACATGTCAGCATCCCAGTTACCCAGATACAGACCGTGAAGGAAACCGTTCAAGTCAGTATTCCGGTAACACAGCTGCAGACTGTGACGGAGACTGTTAAGGAGACCGTCCACATTAGCATCCCCGTAACTCAAGTCCAGACGGTGAAGGAGACGGTTGCGGTTAGCGTGCCCGTTACGCAACTAGAAACGGTCAAGGAGAGCATCGCTGTTACGCAGGTCGAAACATTGAAGGAGACATTGCAGGTCAGCGTTCCGGTAACGCAGGTGCTAACCGAAACGGCAAAGGAGACGGTGCATGTCAATGTTCCGGTTACAGTGCAAGAATCTGTGGCTGTCACGGTTCCGGTAACAATCAAGGAATCGGTAGCCGTCTCTGTCCCAGTGACAGTGAAGGAATCAGTTGCTGTCAATGTCCCGGTAACAGTGAAGGAAAGCATTCCCGTCACTGAAGTCAAATCCGTCTTGGAAACTGTGGCAGTCACGAAGACCGAAGTCTCGCAGCAGCTCGAGACAGTGGCTCTTACCAAGACGGAAGTCCAAAATGAGCTTCAGACATCGGTGGTGACCGAAACCGTTCACATATCCCTACCACCGCAAACCGTGAAGGAAACAGTCCACGTTACCCAGGCCGTGGTCGAGACAGTGCGCGAGACGGTCCACGTTACTTTACCACCGCACGTTGTGACGGAGCTCGTCCATGTCACCGTTACGAAGGCATTGGAGATATGCCACCAGACAGAAGTGCTAATCCCCCTAGCCCACGCAACGCCTCCCCCTTTGGTCCATGAGACGATCGTGGTACCTCCCGTGGTCCACGAGACGTCAATAGCCCTCGGACATCTAAATATCACGTCTGTTGCTCCCCCGCCGGTTGCGCACGAGACAGTGGTAGCTTCGCCATTGACCAACGGCACAGCTGCAGCCCCCGCCGCGATCCCGCCGCCGGCATCGTCCCTCGCGTTGGGATATATGGCTCCCCATAATGCTAGGCGATGGCGCGCGTAGATTCCTTGGTTTGTGGGTTTTCTTACGTAGGTAATCATGGGAAGAGCGAAGATAACGATAGATTCCGGGGTTAGATTTTGATACACGGGATGCTTATGAGGTTGGATGGATTTGACGTATTTTCCTAATTGCTCGGCTTATTGCTTTCTACTGGTCATAATTTCCGACGTCTGCTTCAACATGTCTCGCATGGATGAGAAAGCGTACCTAATTGGATGTTCTGTTTGCTCGGCTTTGGTTCCAACGCGTTGCTCGTTTAGACTAGTAGATGGAACGGATGTGATTATGCCTAATTTTCAGGCTTTTCTTCAACTTGAGTTGTATTGTCAGGATATTCTGAAAGAGTGCTAGCCGCCAGTGTCAGCAATAGTAGATATAATACAAGCAGTGTGATTCTCCTGTTCCCCTATTCAAACCCTCCACCCCCGTCAGCTTCGTGATCCTCTCCTCCATCTCCAATCGTATATAATCTTGGTCGATACTATTAAGGTTACAGTTGCCTAGCGGTGTATAAACATATTTCAAACGTTTTCGATAGGGTGTACTCGTGGAGATGCTTTTAACGTCGATATTCCCATTGCTACTAAACCCGGTCCGGGTCGAAGACATGCCAGCACGGCTAACGATCGGTCGCGAAAGGTATTCCTTGGCTCAAGCGATAGGAAATTCCTTGGAATTATTTGAAGATACACCCTCCTTTCTCGACACACACGGTACTAACGATGAGAGGTTTCATTTGACAACGATCGCAGCTTCGTGGGATTTTCGGCATGCCGGGGCCGCTCTGGCATGGCTGCTCGCTCGGGGTCTGTGTCTCGACTTGCTCGTTCTTCAGGTCGGTGTAGAATAGACGGATCCTGCGACATTGTAGGACACGATAGGCCCTGAACGTCTCGCCTTCGTAGCGCAGGGCGGCGACCATGTCGCATAGTTCGGAGATGAGTTGCTCGTCGTGCGCTCTCTGCGCCTCGGTCGAGTATCGTAAAAAGCACATTTTATTGGCTATTGCGTGCTTGGTACGGTGGGATATCGTAAAGGAGGTTCGTAGAAAACGTCGTAAGTGGTTCGAAGATATCGAGGTTGTCGTCATTCGTTTTCGAGGCGTGGCAGTTCTGCGAGGAGGACACGTCCTAGATATCTAGGATATTCTGTCAGCAAGTCATTTTAATTATGGATTAAATCTCGCTAGAGATGTATCTTACCTACGAGCTCTAAGAACCTGCAGGAAGGCAGATTGCAATTTTTAAGCAAGGTGCTTGATGGAATGGCATCGTTAGGGTGGGTTAGAATGATCTCTGCTATTAGCCATCCTATTCTAGATTGTCCCAAGAGTAGGCTCTGGGCACAATTCTTCAGTATAGGTACCATTCTCCTTTGGCATTCGTAGAACTAAATCACCTCGATTTCGACGTTATAACCAATATTTATGGTGTAGTGATTGTTACAGCAGTAAACCAATCTGTCATTCTACAGCCCAAACTACCCTGTTAGAAGATACTTGGGTATTTAACTCATTCACCGTCCTCTATTCAGACAACGCCTTTGTAATATCTCGTATTGCTCTCCTCGAGGAAGTTACTCAACGACTAAGGTTCAATTCCACGACTACCTACAGGCAGTATTAGATGTTTAACAGCAATATCAATATACATTGATCCAACCCCTATATTACATGATCCCCTTAACTTGTTCTACCTTTTGTTGTTACTGTACAGAATAATTCGTCTATTACATCATATTTGACTTTTTTAAGTAAGTAGTTGTCTTGATAATACATGTAGCTCGTTAATGAATATGACTTGAGATGAAATCTCTTTCGTACGCTCAATGCTATTCGCTTATAGTTTCTATGACTAAATCTTAAGTTTGACTCTAGGATTCCATTATAGATTGTTCAATGATTGCGAAAAAAAAACTGCTCATATCAGAGGGAATGCGTGAACACATAGGTGAGCAGCTGTTCTAATCAGGGTTCCCTAAGACGGTCAACCACCCCCCTTGCCCCCCTTTTCACGGCATCTGTAGGAAACGACTCATAACAATAAGCTCTAGTTTGTGTTTCTATGACATGCTTGATATTTTTCTATGACTAAGTAAATTGTGTCACACAAGGGCTGACCAAATATCTGGAATTTTCCTATTTAACCACAGAAATCTCAACTAAACTTCCCTCAAATTTCTCACTTCTTTTCCTAACACTACAGCCATAGCTAATAATTTGGCACTCAATTATACAATCTGACACTCTATGTCAGTATAATTCTAATTTAATCTATCTAACTAAAATAAAGAGGCTCGATTAATGCTTGATTATGAGCCGTAGGTAATATCAGTCCACGCAAAAAGGAAAATGGACTAAGCACAGAATTCATTCCGCTCGAAACATGCTGTGCTGCAGCAAAAAGTTCGATGGCATACGCAATTCACCCTCGAGGCAATACTCCTCGATATTAAGGAGAACTAACTAGACGATGCTACATTCCCACGGTCGCTTCATTCCCGCAAGTAGATGCTTGACAAGGGTCTACGCCGGGCGAAGGCGTCCCGCGTCGAATGACCCTGAGTACGCCGTGAAGATTTTGATCTTCCGGGCCGACGTTGTCCGCCCAATCGCGCTACGAATAGCCGCGAAGGTGGTACCTCCACCCATATTCTCCGCGGACCGGCCTCAAGAGAGGCCTTGCGACGGCTATCTCGGACATTGTCCTGGGCCTGCGCTTTGGCTGCCTACCGCCACAAGACCTCCCAAGGATGGTGGAGGACGCCGCGGTCGAGCTGGTTGATCTTCACGCCACGGCAGTTGGTCAGCTCAGGCTGCGTAGCCTTTATATGGGTTATCCTACATCCCCACATTCCCACATTCACCCGGCACTCTTCAGCCCTACATATTGACCACATCTTACATCTATTAATTAACTTTCGACAATCAATATGTCGATGATAATTATAGGGTTGCGCAAGAGCAGACGCAACAAGAACAAGCACAGAGATAAAAGACAAGCCCAGTATTTCGCACTACATCTACTGGCTACCAACATGTCTCCATCCCTTCATCACCTCAAATAGGTCGCCGACAATCACAAGTTCAAGCAGGCATTCCAGTAGAGTATCGGGTACATTGGCTCTATTTCACCTCCAACAGGAGTCGCTCCTAAGCCAGTAAGGGGAAGCTCTTCTAATCGTTTCACTCCTCGCTCTTCTATTCGGTTGCCAGGAAAGGCAAAGGACGAAAAGTCGTTCCGAAAATCGGACACCAACTAATCATTACTACATTTATCAGCGTGAGTTTCTCCGTCTACCTGGGTAGTCGATGGATCACTTGTATTAACAGGCGAACAGCCGGTAGAAACCAACATATAATAGATACCTGAAACGATTGTGGATGATGGAACTTCCATTGTACCAAGGATGATATGCTCGTCGACGATGTTCAAGATCTTGGGATTATCTTTGTGGAAGATTCAGTGGCGCCTAGAGGTTTATTGTCTATTGCACAACCTCTCGACTCGGGATTCCAAGAAGCTGCAAGTCAATACTTCGTTACATGAGGGAAACCCCCTCACGAGAATAACGAATTGCAACCCCCTTATTATCTTTGCTGGCCTCTGACGCCGACAAACTGAACTCTACCGTTCAATTCGAGGGCTTCGACGCCTTATACATGGAGAAGATATGTTAGGTGTACTGATAAGGTTGACATTTGCCGAGGTAGGTAAATCCACTAAACGTAAGCAAACTCATAACTAACAAGCACAATTTAGCAGCCTTCGCGATAAAATCGAGCCGTCGCTAGAAACGCAGAGCTACTAAAGGCTCGGGACGAGTTAGAGCTCCTTCGCATTCAATGCCACAAGTCATTTGCGATCATCCTGACAACATAGTCGGGGAGTACATGTAGGAACCGAGTGCTAGCCTGGTTGTTCTGTGGCCTTCCCTAGTGAGAAGGAACTGAATGCGCACTTGAATATTCACCATACCTTTATCCTCTATTACGTCTCTTTAAATCTTCCTACATCAAGTTTACCTAGGTATCATCGTATACCAGGTACATACAAACCACACTGTCGAAAACATAGCGGATGGCTAGGAATACAGGCGGCCAAAGCCATCATCCTTGTGCCTTAACGAGAGGCGAACGTAATCTCATGGAGACTACCTAGTATAGGGGTATTTTCAGCACTACCAACGACCAACGCATATGCCATCCTGTCGGGATCGTACGGTCGTCCTTCATCCACCAACAACATTACCACACCCATGGTGTACGGACGTAATATTGGATGTGCTCTATGACCGCGGGTACTAGACCCGCTCACGGGTGCGGATGGATGACACTGCCCAAGTATGGGCGTCCCTGGGAGCACTAGCTGCCCGAGGACGGGATACAACAGCTACGTTCTATCAGGGCTATCTAAGTAGTCTAGACGACATGGACGGTCCTAATGGCAACGTCAGAACTAAGCAAGTCCTGGGCATCTTCGAAGCGGCATGGACAGAGCACTACTGCATGCGTCAAAACATGTCCTCCGATTATGCGGAGTTGTTCTTACCTAGATGACTGCACAACGACACGAATTACATTTGAGGAATGTTGGAAGCAGGTGGGAATAACCACATTTCCTGTGCGAGCAACCTGGCCCACCCTCAGCCATTTGGCCGAGATCAATCTCCCCCAGGTTTGAGATGGTGGAGCAGTGAGTCCCTGGCTAGTCCACGCAACAGCTGCGGGCTAGTTTGCTAGCTGTGAATACAAGCTCGGAAGTGCGTTTTCGATTACTAGGTCCCGAATCGAGCGACAGAGCTTGTCGCAGGACTCTCCTTCCTCGTCCAGAGGAGGAAGTACCTGCTGGCTCTGATGAGGAAGGAAGGACAGACTTACTGGCTGAGAGGGGTAAAAAGGCATTCTAGCATTGAGATAGCTAAAAAGAACAACTCGTTTGTTGTTGTTGTTTATGTCCATTATTACGTTCGTCCTGGACCAGGACGCCACAGAGCTCATCTACGCGAGCACGTCTAGTGCGAGGGATCTTTCGAAGGAAGAGACATCATTTCAACCACATCTCGACGGCGTCCGTACGGGTGCATGATCACATCGTTATTCTCAGCAATGCACATAACGAGTTCTTACATAATTAGCCGGGTTGTACTCGACTTTCACGACCACGGAGAGCTGTGGCGTCACCTGAAGGTCCATAATAACTCTGTCTGGGTTGATCTTGTGGGTGATTGAGCTTCACATGATTTTCATACTTCGATACTTCGCAGCCATCTGCGCTTGCGACGAAGGCTGCTCAGAATAGTCCAAGTAAGGACAGGAGCTTCTGCGAAGTCGTTGATGTCGACAAGACATACCCGTTGCTTGGGTGGCTGTGCGTCCCGTTCATTTGTTCGGCCAGCGCTGGCACATTTCCATGGTAGCGAGTTCTATGGGACAGTAGATGGATTGACATTTTCTAATTTATGGGAGCCCCTTATTTGTCGGAGGTGTCGGAGGCCTTCTAGGAGGATTGCGAGCATATTGCTCAGTCGGATCGTCATCTAGAGAAAAGAGATCAGTTGGTGGCTATTACTAGGATGGAGCAGATGGCATTTACTATATATATCGCGATACTAGACGAGAATCTTAAGTGTTCCTCGCGGAATAATGCCGTTAAGACCCTACCTGCTAGGCCCGCACTGTGACAGAAGGTTCCGAGAAAATTGTTGATGCTTTTAATTGGGGCTAAATACTTAAAGTGATCAGTAGGCCGTAGATGGAAGATACGTCTCACCGCACCGTCCTAACCGTTCTCCCAACCTCTCCCCTCTCCACCGCTTCCAGCCTAGGCAAAACATGTTCCCACACCTTGTCAGACAAGCTCTCAACATCCATATCCGCATCCACGATTTGAATATCCTCCTCCTCCTGCCTGAACTCGCCCTCCTCATTACCCGCACTGTCGCCCGCTCTACCCGACCCATTGCCCAGCCTCTCCGGATCTCCCCTCCTTGGGACCTTATTCGTGGCGCTGCTGCTATTGCCGTTGAGATCTCCCATGCTAAGGCTCCAGAACAGGTCCCTGACGCGCCGCTGCATCTCGCCCTTCTCGTACACCTCACCGCCCCAGCCACCGCGTTCGCGCGCCACTTCTTCGTCTAGGTCTAGGAACAGCACCATGTCAGGTCTCGGGAGACCGACTTCGGGAGCCTTGGCCCAGGACAAGCTCAAGGACTTGATGTTCTTAGCGGCGCTGTACACGATGCCGCTGTGGTAGAAGCGGTCGCAGATGATTGTATGGCCGGCTTCGAGTTCAGCCTTGATTTTCTTTCTGTGGGCACATTAGCAAGATATTGTACCAAGATGTTATCGCCTAATAGAGCAAAAAAGGCAAGGCAAAGAGGAAAAGAAACTTACACAGCCTCCCACCGATTCGCGCTAAACAGCAGGTGAATAACATGATCCTCGACCTCCGTCTCGCCCTTAAGGTACGAGTCGATCATCTGCCCAATCGGTGTCGTCCGATCTGTACGCAACCCGTTAGCCCAGCTCAATCAAACCTCCTCTCTCCTTCCAACCCCTTTCACCTCCCACATATCTCAGGTATCCGCAACAACACACTTCATAATCCACGCTCAGCAGTACTTACCAGGAAACCGCATAAACCTAACCTCCCGCCCACTCTCCACGCACCGCTGCTGCAAAAGCTTAGCCTGCGTCGTCTTACCCGCACGATCCATACCCTCGAACACCACGAACGCGCCTCTCACCGGCTTCCCCCTCTCCACGCCATCCATCGCGTCTCCCCCCATCCCTGCCCCCCCAACCTCACCACCCACACTCCCACCAACACCTGCACCTGCACCCGCACCCGCTTCCCCAGCACCACCCTCCTCACCATCCGCATTAGACCCGCCTTCGCCCTCGCCAACCCCCTCGACCGTCGCCGCGGGAGGAACGGGGATCCGCGCCTGCTGCGCGGGATCGGGGGGGTCGATTAGCGGAGCGGCGAGCACGGGCGGCGCGCCGGTGGCGACCGTGATCGAGTCGCCGTCCTCGCGGTCGGCGGCGGCGCCGACTACGATGATGCCCGCGCCAGCGCCTTTGCCCATTTCGTGGGCCGCGGTGGCGGAAGGGGGTTTAGAAGTTGATTCCTCGCTGGTGGGGGGAGGGGATTGTTTATTATTACTAGTAGTACTAATTCCAGTAGTAGAAGTAGTGGTGGTTGTGGTGGTGGTAGAGGCGGCAGCTGAGGCGGGACCGACGTTCTCCTGTTTCGGGGAAGACTGCAGGGCGACGGCGGACGAGGCGATGGTAGCTGCGGTCGCGAGGTCGTTTATCGAGGCCATTGGGCCGTTTTACCTTTTTTTTCTTTTCTTCCCCGCTTCCTCTCTTTTGTTTCTTTTAAGCAAGTAAGGGGGTTAGGTAGGTAGCCAAGTGAATTTGTCCACTACCGAGCTTTCCTAGTAGCGAATAGAATACCCAGGATGCTTAATGAGCTAGCCACCAGTCAATTCGTAAATAGGGTAGTACGTGAATATGAAAAAGAACCAATTATACTCTCGTATGAGAATTGAACGTTCTGCGAATGTCGATTGGATATTGAACACGTCCAGATCTCAGAAAGGGGTCGCTAAGGGGCGTACTTAAATGCTGGGGTGTGAGATGATGTGGGATGATGTAAAGATGTGGGCGAATCTATCGCGAGCTCTTAGTCTCGATGTCGAGGTGGAGCCGGCCGGCATTACGTAATCCACATGTCATTCGTTCGACGGAGTGGCAGAAGTGGTACAGAGTATACGCTTTGCTTTGCTTAACCGCCTGTTTGACGCAGCTAGTTATTGTTAGATCCTGAGACTCGAGTGGTCAATTAAACGCCATAACTTTCTAAGTGGTAGACATGATCACGAGTACATGTGTAGATGTGGTACACCTTCTGTATTTAGCTGTACCAACCTCTGTTCCTCGACGAGGACAGGCATAAAGCAGCATTTAGAGCCAGCATTGAAGTATCTCAATGCAAATGTGGGCTCTGCAGGAAAAGCAACGTATGTACAAGACTCTTACAATGTAAACAAATGCCATACCACCACGACCAACCGGTCCAGACCTTGCCATTACCATCGTCCCCCTAAACGCCAGTGATATCGCCTCCCGAGCCTATAGTATCTAGGCAATAGGCGACTGGAAAATGCCCATCAGTAAAAGCAAAAACACGCGGAAAAATTCATCTCGTTTTCATTAGCATTCCGCACCCTGTGCCACCTCGGCAGTTCCCGTCTCGGCCTCGTCCTTAGCGCTTCCACTCTCCCATACCTCGAAACTTTCACCAGTGCCTTCCATTGGCTCGAGAACTGCTGCGCCAGGCGCAGGCTCATCCGTCTTCTGCATCAACTCGTCGACCGACTGCACACCGTCTTGGGTGATAGGCTCTGCGGGAATATCGGATTCGGCAGACTTCATCTCAGGAGCGTATTCAAGGCCGCTATCTGCTTGTTGCGGCTGACCATCCTCGTCCTCATCGCCGGGCACAATGATGATAGAGTTCTCGTCACAGCCTTCCGAGTAATAGTCACGGACGTCCATCTCACCCAATGGGTTGCGCTCCTTCTCAAATACCATCTCGTCTTCGGACATCTGTCGAGCTGCGCGCGGTCGCGAGGTCTGAGATACATCATCCATGGGAGGCACGTTTTCCTTGCCCTCGGCTCGCTCTCGTTGACGGCGGCTCTCGCTCTCCTCGTCCGAACTGATGTCAAGAACGCAGGTGCTGTGCTGTAGCAGATTGGTCATCTCCTGCTCCGGAGTGTCTTCGTGAATGTCGAAGAACCAGGAAGACTTCATGTCACCCTTGTCAAGACTGCCACTAAAGTCTAGAGAGTTGGACAACAAGGACTTCACAGCAGGTGACGTGTTGCGACCGCCGTAACTCGAGAGCGTTCCCCTAAGAGCTGCATCGAGAGAAAAGGGCGCAGAGGATTTGCTCGAGAGGTCAAAGGTAGGGGGATCGACTCTAGCGAACCCACGTCCATTGCGTCGTCGAGATAGAATACCGGTCTTCTTGCCGCGAGTCGGCGATCGACCAGCGGGTGCTGAGAGGGGAGAGCTCTTAGCTACGCCCGTGTTGATCTTAGCAACAGGCGACTTGGGGTTGAGCACAGATCGAGGGCGCGACACAGGTGACTTGATTTGAGTGACGGCAAGGATGTCATTGGTGCTGGCTGACTTGGTGAGGGTGAACGAAGATGGCTTGAGAGCGGCTTCCTTAGAGACGCTATCCGAGCCCTTGGGTCTCTTAGAGTAGAGCAGCGGGTCTACATTCTCGAAGTCGTCGGTGTCCAAACTGTCAGAAGCCTTTCGCTTCACGGGCGACGAGATTGAGAGTGCTGTAGACTAATTAGCATGCCGCGGTATAAATTTCGCATAGGCATTAAGCATTCTCAAGGCGCACGTTTCGAATAGTTTGTGCAATTCGATTGTGTTCATTGGTATTAAGCCAGTGGACAACAAGACACCACGTAATTAAAACATTCAAGGCTCCCCAGACACTCCAGATCTTCCCCTAGACTTACCATTCTGTCTATTCTTTAGACTTGTCAAGTTCTGTAGGCGTGCCCCATCGAGGGGAGCGAAAGGTTGACGAGTAACAGTAGCCATTGCGGTAAGTTCTGACGTGGTCTTGATGGTGAAGGGATCTAGATGCCCAATTGATCCACGATGTTGTGGTTCTAATTCGACTCAGTCAAGGGTAGTCGAAGGTGGTTCTATGGAGCCCGATTGCCGATGAGTGAGTCACGATGATGACTAGGTAAGGTTGTCAAGGTTTGATGAGGAACGATTGACACCTGATGCTAGACAAGAAGTTGGACTGCCACGATTGTTTGTTTATTTTGTTGCGAACAATCGTATATAGTCGAATTTTTGTCTGCGAAAATGGGAGGGGAAGTAAGAAGAAAAGTGGGCGAGGGAGTGTTGTGGTGGGAATTGGTAGATCTTATTGCACCTAAGTTGTCGTCTTGATTAGAAAGGTCGCGCCGACAGAGACCAGAAAATGGAGAAAGGATTGGCGCGGGTGGTCAATGTCTCGAATGCGCTGCACTGTCGAGATTGCCAGACCAAGATTGAATTAGGAAGCGCCCGTCCGTTAGTGAAGAGAGGGGGACTAATGGGATTAGAGAGCGATGAGTGGGCGAATGAACGGATGGACTGCTGCAGGTCTGCAGGTCTAAGTAGGAAGGTATGCGAAAGGTATGCGAAGAAATTAGGAGATGGAATAGAGGGAAGGATTGATTGATTCTCGCATGCTCAGGTTTCAAACAGGCTTGGTGGGCTGCGGCAGGTTAAAGTGCTTTGGCTTTTTCTTCTTCGTGTTGCGGACGCGTGGTGTTGGTGTAAATGGGGCTTGGGCCAATCAAAAAATAGGGGCAACTTTACCTGCTTATGACATGCAGTGACCAGGTGGACCTTGCGCAAGGGCTGAATTGTCTCTGACTGGATCGGGAGGAAAAGCTGCAGGGAATTATAGCGATTGTCTCTCGTTCTCTCATGCAACCCCCCAGTGCGGATATTTGATTTGTTAGCTTGGTGGCTCAAGCGTCGAGACGGTCTCACCAGGCAGTGCCAGAAATCGACTTGAATGCAAGCCTATGCAACTATAAGGGACCAATCATCGCGTCCGAATCCAAGCCAAGGTGAACTCGAAGGAGCTTCAGTCGTAAACGGCCATCGGAAAGACAACCTAAATCGAACTGATTGCGCTTCCTTGTGGGACTCGACCTGTTCCAACGCGCGAATCGAATGCAGGGGTCCGCGCTTTTCGCGTCCATAAAGAACTGGTCTCCCCCTCCCATCCATTTGCTCATCATCACCGCGCCGGTCAGGTATGCCGCAAACCATTTGCCAGGGAACACCATATCGCAAGACAAGGTCCTTGTCGACCTTGAGGCATGTCTTGTCTTCGAAACCAGCGCCCGAGAGGAATCGTCCCAGTTTCACGATATCAAGATATTTTATTCTTTCCACCCCAATATTTTCCAAGCACGGATTACGCTAGCCGTTATTGAATGCCTAGCAAACAGAGGAACAAGCGTCATCCACTGCATCTGTCCGTTGCGATCAGCGATATAACTGCAAACCCAGGGTCAGATTAGAGACTAAGATCGAACTCGGCTGCAAGAGCACTGGGCTAGCCTGACTACAGGCAAGCTCCCATCGGAGAGATCCCACGGTCTGACGTGCTTGCCCTTCTCGTCACGGCTACCATGGCTGAAGGCTGATAACCAATGAGCTATATACGCATGGCAGCCAATATGGTGCATTAAGAACTGGAAGGCGACTAGGCCGCATATAACGCGACCACCTTTCTAGCCTATGGGAAAAACAAGCGTTGGAGCAGACGATGCCAGGGCGGTATCAGCCTTGGAGGAAGCCTTATTGGCTCAGGTCAAGACCCTCCCCCATGCTCTTTCAGCCAGTGGAACAGGGTATATAGACCGAACTTGGTCGCTCGTCAGGTCGTGAGAGGTCATCGAACAGGACGTGACGACGCGCTTGTGGACAGTTCGAGATCACAGTGAAACTTCGGCAGTTAGTCCAGAATTTGGACAGAGCCCAAGATCAATATCCTCCACAATACCAGGGAGAGATTACTAGTAGCGCCCATGATGCTCATTCTCGAGTAGGCAGAGGTTGAGTGACCGTTGGACGGCCAAGACGCCCACAGCAATACGTGGGGCCTCCTGAGTCGATGACGGATGATCCAAGTCCTATCATGATGGCCTTAGCTAAGCCTCCCCGAGATGTCTGTCTGCAGTTATCTGGCTATTGGTGACAGTTAATTCTTTTTCTTTTTCCACGAGCTTCTGTTTATGAGGCGCTGACGCCGATAGGAGAGTGCCTGAAGCCTTGCTGCCACCAACACTTTCGAGTGTTGAAAGCCTGACTTGCACTGCCTTTCTACAGAATGATGATGAAGATAAAGAGGAGTCAAGTTAGAGTGCCAAGTTTAATTCTACGGATCTTAAAGTTAATCTAGTCGGCGAGATTAGGTTTTCAGCCTACTTTGTAGGTGTAGCTTCCTACCATATTATCCTACCTACTCATAGGTAGTCTACCAGGATATGTAGCGGCAAGTGCAATCAAACAAGTTCATCACGGAGTACAAGCGTAGGTATGTACCTCAGTACATAATAGTAGATGTTCATAGAAGGACGTCGTTGACTTTCACCGTTTTACACTCCTGCATGCACTACTACATCATGCCCCTAATTGCCATGCAGGAGATGATACACTCTCGCTTGTCATAGAGACAGTATTACTCTGCAGCATCACGAAGGCAAAACTCTGCAATAGTAGATTGACACATTAATTTCTCTCCAAGCCTTGGACCATCTTTGTATGAGGGCTCGTCCAATATTCGAGGATATCTAGAGCACGTCGTGATGCTGCTCCAATAAGACAGCATGCTCCTGGAGTTAGCGCCCAAACTACGTCCGCGGGCCCATCTAACGCACCCGGTCAGCTGGGCCTGACGCACATATAAGTCAATCGTAACGTCTATGTCGTATGAAAGCTAACGATAGGCTAGGAGGTCGCCGAAGTAGAGCTCCAGACCACTCTTGAAGATATGCTTCATACCTCACATCAAGAATCAAACTTACATTCGAGAACTATTTTTATCAAACGGTGGCAATTCACACAGCATTGACTACTCCGGACCAGAGAATCGGCAGCCCTGAAACAGACGTGAATGCAAGAAGGCATAGCCGCACCTGTGCATTGCCCTGTTTCCTCTCGTACAGCATCGAAAGAACCTATGATCTACTAGTCCGCAGTAGCCGCGGATTTTCGGCCTTAAGTGGACGTAAGACCAACTCATACTGCTTGTGGCGATTTGCTTTCCTCTCCTGCATATTACAACCTTACAACCTTCGAAATATGAATGGGAATAATATCGTAAAAGGATTCCAGTCGTCAGCCATCGGCATCCACATGCGGATACCTAGGTACACACTTCCCCGAGCATTCCCGGACGAAGTTTCGGACCTTCGGTTCCGAAAACTAGGAGTCACTGCAGGCATCTCCTAAACTCGATCCCCGGCTTCTACCCCGACCAAGCTCCGTCATCTCGCCGTCGCATTCTCCATCCCATGCTCCTCAAATCATTCCAACACCCAATTCAGCTCATTATACTCCGGATATTCCCTCAAGGTCTCGATCCTGCCCTCGCCGACGACAAGAAACGTCATCGTAACATTATTGATATACACTAAGTCTAAGGAACCTTTCTCCGTCGCCATGACCTCGACATCGGTCCTATTACGCTTAGCGACCAGGCGCAAGACCTCAAAGGAGTAGGTGTCAAAACGACCGAGCAGACTTTGTGTATCGGGCAGCCGCTCCGCTGCGGTGCCGTCGGCGGCTTGCGGCACCCGTGCTGGATTCTCGTTGATCCACCAGTTGGTGTCACGGGCGAAGAACAATGGCACTACATGCCATCGCCGCTCGCTGATGCAGGCGACGTAGGACGTTACGATCACCTCGGTGGCCCTAGTGAGGATTCTTATCGTGCTAGGTGCTGGTCAGACCTCATCTCTCCTCAAGTCATTATATTGATGGGCTATATTGCTTGGTCTTGGAAAGCGGGGTAGCGAAGACATTGTGAATGTGAAGTTGATGGCTAGAGAATGGCTTGGATTGGGAGAGTATATATGCCTACGTTGTGAAGCCTGGTCATGTCTTCATATATCGACGTCGATAACTAGAAAATGCCCACAGGCCTTCAGAAATATCACCTATCGGTGATAGCTACCTAGGTTAACATACTCGTTTCAACCATGGTATCCGGTGATATAAAAGCGACTCCAACCTAGCTACCTACCTAGGTAAGTACCTATCTGAGTAGACTGGGCTTTTTTGAAAGGAAAAGTATTTTCAAGAGGAGTATTATTCGTAGTCAATTGATGACATTGTGGGGGCAGCGGCTCTCACGATCTTGTGAGGTAGTAATAAGCACTGCAACAATGTGCCCCAGCATTGCGGCTCGCGTAGGTATATACTATACGTATAGATGCTAATGACGGACGTCAGTTCCAACCTTGGAAATTATCCCTTACCTAACATTCGGTACTTTCAGCTATATCAATAGTTTAAGTTTAGGATGATTCTACGTACTATTTCCAGGCTACAGGAGCGATCAGCAAGCCACATTTCGGGGCCGAGATTACATACCGCCGAATTCAGTATGACGACAAACAATTTCTCTCATTCAACATCACAAAAAAGCCTTGCAGGTGCTAAAGTATGCCCGCGTCAATCTCCGTTTGCTCTCAACTGGCTAGCCACGGCAGAATCAAGTCGGTGCAGACTCTCCACAGTAGCTTTGTTGTCGCTCATCAACCGCAGGGCACTTTACGAGGTACCAGTCGTCAATCATGATGAGCACCGCAAGAGAACCGCCAATTATGTACCTCACGGCACCACCACCAATACGTTAGCAGGTAGGATGCGCTCAACAATAATGTTACGTTCCTCAACCGAGATATTACACAAAATCTAGCGTAGACTTTTTATGAACATAGCCCTGTGTCTATCGTATCAGCGCCATACTCTTGGAGGAGGAGTTGACCAAGGCATCTAGACGTAGTGGTCTACCTTGAAGATGCATCACCTACGGGGCTTATATCGATACTGATACAGGCTTGGCATGTAGCGTTTCTTACACCAGCACAACGACAAACCACCCTCAAGTTGCTTCTTAAGTCTTCGAGCACCTCACTTCGCGTTCAAGTCTTCCCTTGAGCTCATACCGAAATCACAACGGTAACTTTTCAATACTCCCTCTCGATATATTCCTGAGATTCGCCTTCTCACCCTGCATCCTACCCAATCGAACGTGGAGATAGAATGGTGGAGATAGCAATTATCAAGTCTCAGCTAGGGAATCTTGTTAAATACACGGCTTTGTCGTACAAGTGTGACAACCCTGAACCAATCCTCCCAGGCCTTCAGAATTGAAGCATATCCAATGCCCGGAAAATATTTCAAGAGGCTCTGTTGCGCCTTTCCCTGTGCAACCGAGGTTTTATTTGTGGGTGGATGCGATTTGTATCAACCACAACATGCAAAAACGAGAATCTCAAGTTGTCTCTTACGCAAGACAACTACAAAGGAGCTAGACGGTACGGACATGACTAAAAAAAGTTGGTCACTGTGGCAGTCGTCAGCCTGAGCATCGGTATCGCTCTCGTCAACTTCTTTCTCCCTGAATTACTCCATAGCACGCTCACGAGTTGGCAACCCGCCGTGTCAACGCTTTCTTAAGGCTAGCTAATCTTATTTTCCTTGCCGCACGCGTTAGGAGGTAGCTTCAGTAACTCGACAAGGAATCAAGGGTATCAGTGGGCCAATAAAGTGGTTGGAGCCAGAAATTGATGTGATTAGAACTACGATCGAATTTTGCAGACGACACTGGACGGCTACGGTCGAACTAAAACGCCCACACTGAAAGAGAAAGTAAGTAACCTTGTGCGGAATTGGGACATCTTGGTACTACGCACGAAGAGAGATGATGAGGTCATGTCATCCCCAACAGCACATAACCTGCGGGGCCGGCACACTGTAGCAGCCAGGCTAAACAGTGTGTACAGGATGAGGACTCTTATCCCGCCCGGTATTAATCTTCACCGAGGGTGGATGATAAATCTACTACCGCTATTTCAAGCAATACTGCTGTACTTTTTAATGGGGAGATGCCTCGACTTCGCCGGCTGATAAGTGTTCGCAGCAGCCTTCAAGTTATGAGCTATCATAAGTACAAAACGAAGCGAAAAAGCAATTCTTGTATGGGGTACCTATATATCTGTGCTCGTGGTCCTATCGTATTCGTGAGGTGAAGGGTCTTGACGGCAGGGAGAAACAACCAAGAGAAATGCAGAATAAAGGGGGGTAACCCTTAACACCTATCCGCCTAATAGGTCACCGGACTTCTTCTCCCGGCATTTGCCTCCTAAGTCTATAAGTCTAAGGTAGGTATATACCTCTATCAGCTGCAAATATGTCTGTTTACTGCTAACTCAAGCGCTAGTCTAAGCCACATACCTCCGTGCAGTTAACTGGCCTCTAGACTTCAACATGAAGCCGCCGAATAAAGTGATAGCATCGCTATGTCAGGTTTATACCGAGCTAGAATGCCTTGTCTTCCTTTCTTGATTTCTGCGAAGATATTCGGTGGCTTTCTTGAAGACCGGTGAGGTGATCTACCTTCCATCAGATGGCGCCGCCGTGGAGACACCCAATCAAGGACTTAGACTTAGGGATACAATATGTCATCTCAACATACGAAGCATGTGCCACCCATACCCCGCTCTTTTTAAGGGAAATGGAGGCTTCGTTTGTAGTAGCCCTGGTGAATATTTTATTTAAAGAGTGAGAATTCCAACAATCTTAATGGGCTTAACTTCCGTCTCTGGATTCTCGTCATCTGGTACGCGGTTAAGATTCCTTGAACCGCAACAACATGGCCGAATCAGCTCTAGCTACGGTAGGAGCCGCGGCGAGCCTCGTCCAGCTTGGCGACGCGGCCTTACGGTTGTGTCGCAGTATCTCTAGTTTCATAGGCGAACTGAAGGATGCAAAAGACGATATGCGACACCTCCGGAGTAGTGAGTAACCGTATCTATTCCCTTGCCAAGATCTTAACCACTAAGCACTACCTCTCCATAGAACTCGATGATACGAATTCCCTTATGAGGAACCTGATTGCCTATATCCGCGAGTTCCAAGACGCCCCTTCAACGAGTAAGGAGCACGAGGTCTTACCGGAAGTAGTTGTGGGTGCTGTCCAACACTTCCATGATAGCCTCAGGTCAGTTCGCGAATGTCTACCACCTGATCTATCACCTAGCTTTACGCAAAAGTTTTGTTTCGTTTTCGATAAGAAGAAGATCCGGAGCGCTATATCCAAACTTGAGGGGTGTAAGGCCAGTACTTCGTTTGCATTGAATATCATCTGTAGGTACGAATCACAAGTCACTCGAATGCTAATTATCACCATTACCCAGGTATTGACGTTAGATTGTGCAGCCGAAACAATATCAAGTTACGTGATGGCTTGATCAGCCTTAGAATAGATGCCGAGACAATAGCTGCCGAGCAGAAAACAGCCTTACAGATCTCCTCACAGCAAACATCCCAAATACTGACTGAAATTCAAGATATATCTCAGCAGCAGTCACAGTCACTTAGGTCTTTGGAACAAGTCGACAAACAAATTTCAGACACTACGGCCCAGCTTCAGTCTTTACATACAATGATGACAACCCAGAGCATTCATCCTCAGCGGCAGCGCTCTACTCAGACGTTCACCGCCGTTGACGAAGACACTCTTGCGAAGCTCGTGCGGATTTGTGTGATGCAGACGGTTGAAATGGTCACCCCCGATGTGAATAGAGACGAAACGAGTAAGATTAACGATCTTAGCACCAATGTCGCCTCACAAGCTCATCGCCAGGGATTCTTCGATGCGAAAGAAGCCGAATCATCGCACGCGCCAGCGCCAGAATTTTCAATTCGGAACCGCAATCGAGCTCGGAGATCCAATATTGTGCGACTTTTCCAAAACTATAAAACCATTCGACTAAGATGGGCGACATTCAATTTGCGCGTCACCGGGTGGAGACATCGTCAAACGGAGTCTCGAAGCTCTGCCTCATACTTTTCCATCGAGATTGATTTTATACCTCGGCGCTTTGTTCCCTTTGGTATATCTTCATCTTATACGAACACCCCGAATCGCGCAGGGTACTACAACGTCTGCCCCACCATCCTGACGTTTAATATTATCCCTGATAGCATACCGATAGACCGCATTTTTGAAGTTGACGAAATAGATACGCTACGACGTTTGATAATGAACCGTGAGGTGGGCGTGAGGGATCATACTAGATTTGGAACTCCTCTCCTCAAGGTTTGTAGAATGTCCCGGGAACCACGGATAATATTGACATTGTCTAGCTGGCACTAAAGTTTAGCTCCGCGAAGTGTTTTCAATACTTGGTATCTGGAACTGGAGTTCCAATTTCAACAGTTCTCAGTTTTTCAAACATAACCGATTCCACTCTCGTCTATTTTTCGGCAGCTGCTTATATGTCAGTTTGGAGAGACATTCCAATCTTCAGAGCCTGTGACTGCTGGCGTGCCATTTTGGACACTGGTCTGTTTGTCGATTCTCATCAGAGATTCCTTCCACAGATTTGGGCCATTATCTGGATGTATAGGGAAAAGCGCTCTGCAAATCAAACTTACCCGATCCTGGAATATGGCTTACAGGTCATTCAGGAATATAAAAACATCGGATTCGACATCGAATTATTCGCGTGGCTGAAAGATGAAGTCTTCGTCAACTCGCTGTATACCTTTCTCTATCACGAATTCTGTCTGGAACTCAGCTTCGAAGCTGGCGAAGACCCCATGAATGCGCCGTTGAAAGACTATGACGGATTGCGTCCTTTAGAATGTGCGGTCAGCTATCTGGACGGGTTACCAATCGGTAATGAACTCGATTGGAACAAGTTGCCCGATGCCTTGTCACCACGCGTCCTAGTCTTACTCATCAAGGCTGGAGCAGACGTCTTCTACGTTAACGACCACCCCAGATCGATCACAGATCTAGCGCTCGAATTGGGTGTCGAGCACCTGTGGAAAGCGGCGCTTATTGAATGTGGATACGATCCGAGCGAGGTCAAAGCGGAGAGTGAACGACGGAAGATGGTGGCTAGGAGACTTCATCCAGCAGAACGGAGTGGCGTTGATACTGGACCGATGAACTCTACACATGACTTGAGACATAGGTCTGCGGCAAGGACTACATCGAGCGAAATGTCGGCGGTGGATTAAACCGCTACAAGGGGCGTTGGTTATCCTTTATCCGAAATAGGGGGTTAGTACAATTTCTTTTCCTCAGCTAGGATCCGATCAGGAGTAACATCGGAAGGAAAACCAAGGAGTTCAATCACTTCATTTCCAATTGTTAATGAACACGGCATCAAGAGAAAACGAATTTAGTAACATTTCATAATATATTATTGGTATCATGCGTGTATCAAGTCAAATCAAATCATAGCACATCATCTCATCGCCTTTCCATCCCCTGTTCCAAAACCCCAGATATCTTCATCCCTATCGCGGAATCCGCCTCCGATCCCCTCGAAGGCTGCAGCGGGCGCGAAAAATTCGACGGTTTGCGCTTTAACGTCGGCGGCGCCGTTACATCGTAGACCTGGCGCGACCCCCTCGGCACGGCCACCGGCTCCGGCGGCCTGACTGTTATCAGCCGCGCTTCTTCCCCTCTTTCACCTTCTCCTTCGTCGTCCGCGTCGGCGACGCTAGGGGGCGAGTAGTTCGGGTTCTTGATAACGCGGATCGGCTGCCGGACGGCGATCTCCGGCTCCGCCGCGTAGCGGACGGTGGACAAGCGCGAGCGCTGGGCGCTGCTCGCGATGCTGGTGCTCGGGGAGGCGCGGTGCACCTTGGGCGGCGCTGAGGAAGAACGGCTGCCGGACGACGACGCGGTGTAGTTCGAGGAGGATATGTAGGCCGAGCGGCGCTCCGCGTTCGAGCTATGTAATGGCGTTTCTGTTGTTGTGGGAATCTTTTGAATGTTGATTTGTTCGGCGATGTTGTTCCATTCGCTTCGCCAGCCGCCGGGGTTGTATACCGGCTGAGGCGGAGATTTTGAGAGAGATGGTGCTGGTTTTTGTAGGAATGGAATTCCCCGCGACGGCACGGCGGCGGTGGATATGTCGTATGTCGCGCCGAGAGGGGAATTCGCCATTAGCTCCATCCTATCGTTTGGCAGGTCTTTCGTTCTTATCATTAGAGGATCAGGGGTTTTGGGCGGCTTGGAGCTTCCTATTTTGAATATCTCTGCTGTCGGGACTGTCAATATAGACGAGCTCGTGCTTTCTTGCCGCTGCAGCGAAGCTCTACGGGAAACGCTGAGGTCTGCGGACAAGTCGTCGGATACTTCGCTGCTCTGGCAGCTCAAGAACGACTTGCTAGATACCCCCGTCGTTGCAAAAGGGGTAGGGTTGCTTTCAATCGTGGCAGATATTGCGATGAATGGAGGTCTACTCGGATTTAGTCTGAATCGATGAATGGAAGACGAGGTTCTTACAGTGCTCCAAGGCAGATAACCAAATCCAGATACGGCGTCATTTTCGCGAGACCATTCGAAGGTGCTGCCTTGGCAATCATGACGGCTGTCGCAACAAGAGCGGCAACCCATACTGCAATACCGAACCTTGCGATAAGCAACGCACTGGCGTGGAGATAGTCGCCATAGATCTGTGGTGGCAAGTTGCCTCTCCTCCTATAATCCTTTCTCGCCCCTCGTATATGGATACAGACATACACCAACCCAATACTGGCTGCGAATAATATGAGGTCCCGGGCGATACATGCCGTTTGGACTTCAGCTGGTTGTAGCAGTAACACGACTGCGAGACTTAGTCCTGCTACGGATGAAATAAAAAGGAATATGAGCGAAGCGAGAAGTATTGAAGGTCGTCTTGTTCGTTTTTGTTCCGTGTTATACTGCTCAAGCGAATGGTAGAGTAGCTGTGCGTGCTGCTCATCTACCGTCCAAACCTTTTCTAGATCTCCGTGCTTACGAGCCATTAGGGTATCGTCAATATATCAGCAGGACCGGCCGGCTGTCCAGGAAGGAAGTATAGGTTGGTATAAACGAATGACGGAGATATCAAATCCGTTCAATTTAGGAGATCATAATAACAGATGAAAGAAAAAAGTTGCCAGCAAATTTCAAGAAATGAAGTCTAAACTCATCGTGATATATTCATTTGAATACTATCGACGAGGCTGGACAGGATTGGAAGAGGCTTATCCAGGCCATCCCAAGGAATGAAGTCTAGGTCTGGTAAAGGTAATGACGAAGCTATGTTTAAGAGAATGAAGTCGACCTCGCCCTTTTTGGGAGAGCTTTGCGAAACGGAAAGCCACTTACACATATTGGGCATTGTATTTACCCAAAAAGACCCTAAGTATCCACTGGTACCTTTCTGTCGGTACTTCCTTTAAACGTCCATAGGATGTTTGGGAATACGGATTGAGCCGAGTAGGCGAAGTGTTTTATGGATGTCGAGACGATCGCGGATCATGAGATCGTGGAAGAAATAGTGGGGCGAGGCTGGCACATTCCAGGAGGTGGCCATTAGCCAACCTGGGAAACCTCACCACTAAGCCAAAGCGCTAACGCCGCTGTAAAACAGTGAGGGGGCGCCTAAATATGGAAAATGGTTGCATTGAGCCTCAACCGAAGGTGGCTTATGGAACACTTCCAGTCTCGAGTCCACGCAATGTTGGCTAGAACCACTGGAATGTCCAAGTTTCTTATCAGGCGGCGCCTTGATCTGCTAAAATTCATAGGCTCCGTAACCTGTGCGGTTATGATAAAAGTCTCGAAAAAACCTCGTAATTACCTAGGTAGCATATGTAGAAGGAAGAATGGCGATGTTTCGCCAGATCGTTTCCGTCAATATCGTTCGACTGCTGCAACTCGCTAAATCTCATATAATGATATACAGAATACAGAAGGGGGAATTACCCTAACTCCAAGACCGGAACACGCCTGTAATAATGCTTGCTACCCAAGAAACACGACCGCCCTTTTGTTTACTCCAACTACAAGGCTCTTGCAAATCCAAGGCCAACGTATCTTACTTCATCAACCGTAACTATTATCAACTTATATAGCCAATATAACCAATTCATGCGGGAGCGAGCTAACGCAGCATGTATGACAAGTCTGGGAGGTTTTGTATGATACCCTTAACAATAGCGTTTTGTTCTCGCTCTGAATCTGAACTCTGAATCGGACCAAGCACGGCTTTTAATGGAGTCGGGGTTTCTACTATTTGATCTATGCTTGCCCGAACACTTTGACTCTCGCGGGGCTTCGAAGAGGGCTTCGGTTTAGACTTGAGCGAACTCATCAAATTCGACGCCGACCCCGATTTTGGTGATTCGAAAATTGAAAAATCAGCAAGGGGCCAGGGATCTTGCCTTAGTGACTTTGGTGTTCCAGCAGATAGGCTCTCGAAAATAGAGAAATCTGCAAGAGGCCACGGATCTACCCTTGGAGCTGCACTTAATGTGCCTGTTTGATGAGATACTTGCTTCGGTGCCTGACTAATCTGTGGAATCGAAACTGATAACTTGGGTGCCGAACCGTTGCTTTGCGCGACTGCCGCGGTCTTTGTGTTCGCCTCCAGTATGTCGTTGGTAGGGACAGTTGGTATTGTTGAGCTGTTGCCATTCATATTATTTAAAGGCTGTGTTGTGAGAGCAGGACCGGGAGGAACATCTACTCGGGGAGATGACACCATCTCTCCCCAGTCATCATCTTCGTCATCTAGAATAACTTCAGTGTGGTTTATTTGTAGGGGCGTTTGAACTGTATCGCTCCTTCTGGTCTCGGCATTGATGGCAGTTGGTACTGTTTGACTTTTTGGTGCTGCATGTTCGGTCTTTTCTTCTTTGATAGGAAGCGCCAGAGGTGACCTAATGCTATCCGAGCTCCAACGGAAGCCGGCGTTGGTGGTCGCCTTCTGGATAGGTGTTCCAGATGGGGGCAGTATTGGACTTTTGATTGACCTCCTTGCTTCAAAGCTAGACCCTGTGGAGTGTACGGACTGTACTGGACTTTGAATTTGAGGCGCATTGGAACTATCTCGTGAATGCGTGACAGATGCTTTCCGAGCAAATACTTTGGCCAAGTCCACAGGAGCTGCCGAAGAAGAGTCCCAATTAAAGACACTCGTTCGTGTCCCAGCTCCTACAGTTGCTCGACCAGCAATTGAGTCTTCCTCCATCCACCTTCGGACGATCTTTATAGTATCGCTGTGTAAATGAGATTTAGACCACTCTACCCTATGATAGTTATCCTCATCACCTGAGTCATGTTTGCGCATCGACCCAAACCGAGAAATTCGATACCATGTTTTGCGCTCTGATATTGTTGTGAAATTGTCTTGAATGATCCGATCGGGGACTTCACTGGTTTCGCCTGTTTTCTCGTCCGTATCTTGAGGAAGATCGGGAAAAATTTTGTCGATTGATTGGAAATCCACATCAAAACGAATAGGGCCAAATTTCTCAATAATTTTCTGAATCTCAGCTGAAGCTGCTCGTAGTGCCTCGTTTTCGTGTTCAATGGATTTATCTTCTTGATTTTGGGTGGCCGTATCCTCGACTTGAGCTTTCGGTGTCGGTGATCTTCCAGATGGAGTGGAAGCATTTATAGCAGATGCTGGTTTGCTATATTCGCTCCTTGCATCTTCAAAGTCGCCAAAATCCGCATCGTCTTCGGTTCCTGCGCCTCGGCTCTGACTTGGTGACCTCACTCGACTTCCTCTGCTTGGGGCGTCAAGTCTCGGTGGTGACGGCTCCTCCGTGACAGCCTTCGCTAAGTCATCGAACAATCCTACAAGTTCTTGAACTTTGCCAGACACCTTCCGAGTCGTGGTCTGCAAGCGCGATTTGGGATCTTCGTCAATTGATGTGATCGGCGAGTCTTGACGCTCGACTTCATCAGAACTACCAAGTGAGAGTGAAGATGATGGCCTAGACGGGTTATCGTGTATCTCCACCTTGGGCACTGAGTCCGCATCTAAGTCACGGGATTCTCGAGGACTCGATACCAATGATGGCGATTCACGTTCCTGTAACCCATCATCCAACGGCTCTATGCGCTCTTTCCTTGATTGAGTACCCTCCACGCTCGCCTCAAGTACTCCCACAACATCTTTCCTTTGCGTCGACGGCGCAGGAGTCTCAAGTGTTTCGGCCTGGTCATCTACGACGGCTATGCCCAGCGCATTCAAATCGACTATTGGAGGTTCAAGTTTCTTGTCTTGCAATGAAAGTTCGGCCGCCCACGGATCAGGGGAGTGATGTCGGAAGACGGAAGAAGCTCGAGATCGCGGAAGAGGTCTTAGTCCCGGGGAGGTCGCAGCACTACTCGGCAACGCGATTGAACTCCTGTTTATCGATTCGGGTCTTGGGCTAGGCTGGGAAATCCGCGAGGCTGGCTCTGCCCATACCCCCCAATCCAACGCGTTCGCCGTGGTGTCGGTCTGCTCGGCACCACCAGCCCAAACCCCGAAGCCATCGTCATTTGCCCATGGTGATTGCACTTGAAGGTTCGAGGTGCTACCGAAGAAAGCTCTTGGTGGTGGGCTGAGTAGATCTTTTGGCGGTGTCGGTGTTGGAATCGGAGATTGGTGTTTGGACGTGGTATCTGATGTTGCCCAAGGCGAGCCCCAAGGATCGTCCATGATCGCTGGGGGCGATGCTCATGTTTTCTAAAACAAGGCTGAAAATAAATTCAAACGCTTTGCATACAGCTACAACAATGAAGCAGTAATATCGCGAACTATAAGGTAAGACATGTCGTTGACAACATCCTGCGAAAAGTTGTTTCCCGGATGACTTGCCAAGAATATCGTGCTGCACTTACTGGAGCGCGAAGGCTGGAACCCTGCCAATTGATGATCGTTCATACGTGAAGGCGGTTCAGGGGGGCACAAGTATCAAGTATGGAGCTTTTGCATGACGAGGATCAAGCAATCTCTTGGCTCGGGAGCCACGGAAATGGTCATGGGTAAAGCCACAGTCACCTTAAGCTTAAATTAGTACCTCTTGCCGCTGTGTGGCTTGCGTGGCTAGATTGGACATTACGACGACCCACTTGCAGAATCTGGAATTTCGTCATTTCCATCTTTGGTCGTTGGTGGGGCTCATGGCGGGGCAATCTCTACAAGGTACATACCTAAGTGTGCCACCTGCAGTGGCTTTACCTGCTGATAAATGCGACGCCGGTACAGGCCGATTCTCCTACATTCTACATACAAATGCTTCAGGTCGTGAAGAAGTGGTCTGTGAAGCATGAAGCTCTTCCAACCACCCTGAATCGTTCTATTTCTTGACGAGAATTACCTTTGTCTTACTTTGGACCTAATTCTCTTGAGACTAACCCGGACATATTCAATCTTCGTCTTCGATTCTTGCAATGTCTCTCGTTAAAATCAAGCATATTCTTCTCGTAAGTTGGTTTTTCTCCACGATAAAAAGCAATCCTGTTATATTTCATGACTAATATATATAATATCAGGTCCTCTCGGGCAAGGGTGGCGTGGGGAAGTCGTCGGTCACCACACAGCTCGCTTTGTCACTTTCACTCGGCGGCTATTCCGTTGGGGTACTCGATGTCGACCTTACTGGACCTTCAATGCCGCGCATGTTTAATATTGAAGACGCAAAGGTTACTCAAGCGCCAGGAGGGTGGCTTCCCGTAACTGTGCACCCTGCCAACCCGGAGGCCGGTATAGGCGAGCTGAAATGCATGAGTCTTGGCTTCCTATTGCGTGGAAGAGGCGATGCGGTCGTATGGCGTGGCCCCAAGAAGACCGCAATGGTCCGGCAATTTCTCTCAGACGTATTGTGGGGGGAGATGGATTTTCTACTCATCGATACACCCCCGGGGACATCTGACGAGCACATATCACTTGCAGAGACATTGCTGAAAGATGCACTCCCGGGACAGGTCTCCGGAGCGGTAGTAGTGACTACACCTCAAGCGGTCGCCACAGCTGATGTCAGAAAAGAATTAAATTTCTGCGCGAAGACGGGCATATCGGTCGTCGGTGTCGTCGAAAACATGGTCGGGTTTGTTTGCCCGAATTGCGCCGAATGCACCAACATATTCGGCAAGGGAGGAGGCCAAGTCATGGCGGAAGACTTCCACGTCCGCTTTTTAGGAGGGGTCCCTATCGACCCTCAATTTGTCATGTTAGTTGAGTCCGGACGACGACCTCGGTACCCAAAAGGGACCGTTATCAACGGAAAAGACTTCTCTGAGACCGACGAAATCAACCACACAGGCACGCCGACCGAAGAAGCCAAAGATGCTAGCCTGCTTGCAAACAAATATCTGGATTGTTCCCTTGAGCCTATCTTCAGAAAGATCACGCAAGATATTATCACAGCTGTCGGATGATGTCGGGCGTATTGTTATCAGCCTAAGTTTCTATCGTCTAGAATCTTGCATGCAGTGTGACGGTAGGGAGTTATCTTAAGATCCAGTGCGCACGCATGCGGCATCCCGAGACGACTTGAGTGGTCGAACATGCGTCGCTGTTACTATACCTAAGACCGATCCTGGTATCTATCGATTATCTACTTCCTCGTAGAGGAGAAGCAAGTTTCTGCGACGTTGGAGACGAAGTGCCAACCTATGATAATCCATATCGCACAGATTGGCCAGGGGCGTAACATTCACCAAGCTATGGAGGTCAAGGTTGCATTGATAGGGCTATTGGGTAGATAAAAATTTCCCCATTACCACTACCTCATTGTCGAAATCCCATGGCTATGGAAACTTTCTTTTTGTTCTTAAAACAGCAAATCGCAATGTAACGAATGCAACCGACTTGGTGACCTGGGCTATTCTATTGAAGAGCCATTTACGCCGTGCCGCAACCGGTACCAAGGTATGTAGATGCTGTTTGCAAATAAAAACCATCCAAGTAGTCTAGAAATTGACGACTAAATTATTAAAAGGGGGGTAACAAGACAGCAATGCTACATTTGCAATGTCAGGCACGAGATATAGAGTCGGCATCGATATGTTCAAAACCCGATGATTTTTTTTAATCTTCATCGCGATTGATAGGTGCTAAGAGGTGGTATCTTAGATGTGTGCGATACGTAGGAGGTGCATCCGTGGATTTATTGTCGTACAAATGTGTAGCACGGATGCACGGCCCCCAAAAAATAGAAAAGTTGGAAAAGCACATGCGCAGAAAGTGCATAGAAAGTGCATGCAAAGTGCATTCACGAACCAAGCATTCTCCACTTTGGGCAGGGCAGTGACCTCACACCTACCCAATCTTAACAAAATCAGGTACCTGCCCTACTACTGGGTACCACATGCAAATGGCCGTCGTTTCCGCCCACAACCACTTTTTTGGCGTGTTTAAAGTTAAAATCCTTCAGACATGGGAAATGCGCCTAGCAGCAGCCACCAGCAGCCTAGGTACCAATTAGTATAGAGATACATAGGTACGATTAAAATTCTCTCACCGAAAGATTGTGATTGGATTCTCACACTAAAAGTTTCTTCGCCTCTTAAATCTCGATACCAATACGAACCATCGATCTTGGAGATGACTAAATAATTTCCAAGGTTCAAAGTTGTTATCTTGTTATTTTGCATTTTACCAACTGTGTCCTGTTTATGTATACCTTCAATTGTGAGGAATATATACAATTCCGAGACTAACCTTAGCTTTTTCCGACTACAAAAAACGTTATAAAATATTTTGAGGTACCTAGTCAGCTTTCAATTTCGTTTTCATCTTCCACCCCCTCCACCAAACATTGAACGCCCTCCTCGAAATTTGCCCTTCAAACTCCAAATTTGGTTCACCTGCCGCGTCACACGACACAAGATACACGATACGATCAACTTAAAGTATTCCATTGCAGGACTTGGCGATAACTGTCAATGCCAAAAAGAAATCGAAGCATCTGAAATATCTGCAACGTAATTCTGCACAGCGTCTGCAGTCACAGCTGTAGCAGAACGCACAACACATTTGATCACTGGCCTGATTTTCCATGAGCCCAGCAGACTTGCTTCGCTTCCTCTCCAAGCCCGCAAAGTACGATTCACCAAAGAATCCATGGACAATTAACATGCCATTTTGCTAATTACTGTAAACAGGCCCAGATAACACCCGTTTCGAAGGCATTCGACCAAGAATTCTAATTTCACGTACTCTTCACTCTTACCTCCCACCCCTATTTGCAGATACCCTCGTCTGCTAGGTCCGATACTCCCCCATAGGTATCGGTTTCTGCCAGAACGAGGCCCTCAACAAGGCGTCACGATTCCTTGGTCAAAGGCCTTCTTCCTCCCCCTTCGAGCTCGACCTCCCTAACGTCCCCTTCGTGAGACGTTAAGAATACTTGCCATTGTAGCTGGCTCCGCCAGCATTTAAAAATTCCCACCGACCTGTGGGCCTACTCTCTCAAACGGACGCCGCAAGGTTCGTTTGGGCGGCAGTCAGTGCTCCGCAGTAGCTACAGTACTCGTCTGCAGCAAATATCTTGATATCAGAACGACAAGCCATTCCCTATACTTATATCGGCTGCTCGCCCCCTAGAATCCTATACGGAGATGGTCAACTTCGAGATTCCTACCAACTATACATTTTCGCCATCTGAGGGCACGCCCCATTTGACTATTAATCATGATGTTGCTGCGGACCTAGACTCCACCAACGCCTTTGAAGGTATGATTTGATATAAATATCATAATAATGAAAATATGAAAAAAAAGCACTTGCTGACTTTTACGTTACCTAGGCCCGGAGAAGTTGCTCGAGGTTTGGTTTGCTCCCAACCCGAACGCCCTTCCGCCCGGCGTTAAGCCAGATGGCTTGAAGTCGATTGCCAGTGATACTTGGGTCGGGATGCTTGATATGGTCAACTGCAAGATCCTCTCGGTTCTCGAAGCGGAGCATATGGATGCTTATTTGCTCTCCGAGTCTAGTATGTTTGTGTTTCCCCACAAACTTATCCTTAAGACTTGCGGAACCACGACCCTACTTCTTGGCCTCCATAGGCTCCTTCGAATTGCCGCTGAGCACGCTGGATTTCCTTTCCACAATGCCAAATCCTTGGATGACATCCACGCTGCCGCGACGCCTTACCGAGTGTTCTACTCCCGAAAGAACTTCCTCTTCCCGCATAAGCAGCAAGGCCCTCACCGCAGCTGGAAGCAGGAAGTCAGATATCTCGACGACATGTTCGAAGGAGGAAGTGCTTATATGGTCGGGAAGATGAATGGTGATCATTGGTATCTATATATCACCTCGCCGGATACGACCCTGACGCCACCTCGTACGCCCGAAATCGAGAAGCTGTCTGCGAATCCAGCTAGCACATTTAGGATTCCTGCCGGCCGAGCTTCCGTATTCAATGGTGGTTTGGAATGTAACGACGAAACGCTGGAGATATTGATGACGGACCTTGATCCTGAGAATGCGAAGAAGTTTTACCTGGAGCAAGCGAGTGCGGTCGCGAGCACCAGGCTCTCCGAGCAAACTCAGGAAGCTCGACAGTTTACTGTGGACAGTCTCGGAGACTTGTCTGCCAGCACTGCCACGATCAAGACTACAAGTACGATTGAGAGTCTTTGCGACGACACATTCGACGTGTTCAGCAATGGAAGTGACTCTGACCTTCATGATCCCCACACTCCACTCTCCGAACAAGTGGACCCCGAATGTCTGACTACCGAAGGCCACGCGCTGGGGACCGTGGTCTCGGAGGCTTGTGGCCTTTCAGATGTTTACCCTACCTCTAAATACCCGGATGCTCGTATCGACGCGTACCTCTTCACTCCATGCGGATTCTCCGCCAACGGCATCATTCCGGCCCCCCAGAAGCACGGACATGACGAGGACGCCAAATCAGCCCATTACTTCACTGTGCATGTGACCCCCGAGCCTATTTGTTCGTTTGCCTCCTTCGAGACTAACGTGCCCGGCGGCCAGAACGGACGTGAAACTTCAGATATCATTGAGCACGTAGTTCAGATCTTCAAGCCTGGTCGATTTAGCGTTACGCTTTTTGAAGCCAAGGCGGTCCGAATGTGTGATGAGGAGTTGGCTCCAGCCGGAGCCGGTCGCAGCAAGCGCGTGGAGAGAATCCCAGGATATCGGCGTATTGATCGTATTGTTCACGATTTTGTTGACTACGAACTTGTCTTCCGATACTATGAGCGCGAGGGTTGGGCCGGTTGTAGTGGACCCCGCGTTGGAGAGGATATTTAAGATCCTATTCGGCTTCGGCTTATGGACGCACTCATTTCTGATTCAGGAATTTTCAGTTATGTTCTTCAAATTCGGGAGCAGCTAGCAGGCGGAATTGCGCGGGAGGTTCGATAGAGATGATGATATGGACGAGCACGGGGTCAGGACATTTCGTTTCGACACGAATCTTTTACACGACTTGTTTAATGGGTTCATTCAGACGGATCCTAGTACACTCGTTTGACACAAATCAATCAAGGCCATGGTTAGCCAAATTCGTTCTCATTCAAACGTGACTATAATACTTGTGTTCCTTAATGGTGAAGAGGTTACCTAGAAGTTCGGTATGACTTGTAGTAAGTTGCGAAATTGGCTTAACAATTGGGTACGTACCCACCACTTCAAAAGGGGCGTCCCAAAATAGGGGTAGACCGCTCTTAACATGTTATATTCTCAGTCTCTGGTTATATTTGTAGAGGAAGCTCGTCATTACGAGGATTAGCAAAGTACTAGAATTTAATGATATGTTACATATAAGTTTAATGGGGCGAAGAGAGGTAGCATTTCCCCGAATTTGAGTAGTTCTCTGAGGAATATGAAAGCTGCCGGCTCTTCAAAGGATTGAAGGAATGATAGATATTAAGGATCAGCGATGAAGGCTGATGATGTTCGTTCCAGAGGCCTAGGCACTTTGGAAACTGGAAGATACTCATCGAAAATATAAACAGCCAGCCTTATTTTATAAGTATATGTCGTGTAATTAATACTCTTGTACGAGAAAGTTGTTCAGCTCATACGCTGAATTGATTGGCTAAGTGCAGGTGTCTATTGATGTCTATCCGGCACCAGAAACGGCTCACAACCCATTTATCCGGTTCTCAGCATGTGAACAGTTGAAGGACGAGAACTACACTACCATCAACGAGTCGCTATATATTTCCCTGGGTTGCCTGTAATGATATCTCTCTCCCACAAAATACAATATCGCAGTAAACAAGCCAACATACGGACTCATATAACAAAATGCGGCCCCTAGCAAAACCTAAAGACGTGATAAAGGCCCTCACAGGGTCATGGCTCTACCTAAACGTGACGACGTAAGTTTCCTCCAGCCAGGCGGCCGGCTTCCCCCGGGACGCCTCCTATCTCCTCCCTACCTACCTACCCAGCTCACACGACATCCTCGACCCTAAGATACTACGACAACGGCACGATCGCGCACTCAGAAGAACCAACGCTCGGCAAGTTCCCCGTCGGCATGCTGACATACCAACCAACATGGATGTCCGCAACCTTCATGTCCTCGCGTCCGGAAGACCGGCCGCCCGACCTAAACATCAACAGCGCGGCGGCGCTCGCCGGCCCCGACGACGAGTGGGCGCTCATCGGCAAGCACACGATGGCGTACGCGGGCCCCTGGCGCGTGAGCCAGACGACGGAGGATAAGGAGGTGGGCCAGATCGCGCACGGGCCCATCAGGGTCGCGTGGCTGCCGAGCTGGGTGGGGGGCACGCTGGTTAAGGATTATGAGATTTATGATGCGGGGGGGACGCTGAGGTTTTTGTATAGGACGTCGGATGGGAATCGTGGGGATATGTGGTTTCGGAGGTTGGGGGTGGAGGATGATGATGATGGTGATGATGATGATTAGGTGTGTAGGTACCTGGGTCACAACGACCCTAACAAGGTTCGTAAAGGGGCCTTGGAATAGTAGTAAAGATAGTGACTTACCATTGAAACCTCCAGACCTACAATTTAGTTTTTCATTGAGAATAGAATGCAAGAGATCATAAACGATATGGCTCAGATATTCATTATTATTACGATTACCTCTTATATTTCCTGGATCATACTTGATCGATGATCTTAAGCTCCGGCCCCTCGATCTTCTTCACCTTTCGCCCCTCCCACCACGACATGAGACCTGCTAACATCGAAACGCCACAACCCAGTCCTATAAAGGTTCCCGTAGCCCAAGTCTAGTGACGTAAGTTAGTTATACAATGCACAGAGCTATAAAGAGGGGAATAATGGATGCGACATACGGGGCGATCAAGTCGGTTGTATGCCCACATGAAATATGACAAGGCTACTTGGAACAAGGTATTGAAGACCATCATGATTATGGTGAACGCCAACTTCCAAAGTGCTGTGGGAGGCGCCACGTTGCCTGTGAACGTCGTCGCTGGCTTCTCCGACGACTCAATACTTCGACGGCTGTCGTCCTGCACCATATCTGCCGGGCACTCCTCGTCCTTGCGGGCCCAGAGGGGAGGACGAAACCACCCCTTATTCTGAGCACCTAGTTTCCCCATAGCGACTTTGTCGTGACAGCACGTTGCACGAATGAAGAAGTACAAGTCCCGGAAGCGCCAGGGCGCTAGACCGAACCCAGTAACGCAGAACAAGGCGTTGAGGATCTGGCTGTCAATCTCAAGCCATTTCTTCCTGGGGGAATTGTCGTCGTCGGCAGTTGGGTAATTCATAGCTGGCGCTGCCTTTAATAAAAGGAAGAAAAGCATAGCCTAATGAAATCGCTGGTTAGCAAAGAGTCACTTTAGACTGCACTAGACTCAAAGGTTTGAAGGTGAACATACTCCCCATGCCTACACGTCAGTTAGTACTATCCATAGAAATGATCTAGGGAGCGTCGATATGCTTACCACTATATTAAGAAAATAAACCAATATGCAGAAGCCAGCTGGCGTGCAAATGAACTTCCATAACGCCCTAAGACCATTGACGATTGTCGGTCCCCATGGCTTCTTCGGTTCCTCGCTGACCTGTTCAAGCAGAGTCCGCTGCCGTTTCGGACGCGGCGCGCCCTGCTCCCCGAACTCTGGCACGGGACTCACATCCGCTGTTGGCTGAGAACTCAACGTCGTGACCGTGCGGACCGGGACTAGTTGACCGTCCGGCTCTCTCACCGCCGTGAGAGCGGAGTGTCCTTGCGAATTGAAGTCGATGCCTCCAGCCTCTTCCGGTAGGCGCAGTTCGGTGAGATTAGGTGCTTGTGCGATTACCGTGCCGGTCGCCTGCCACATGCCCAATTGGGGGTTGGTGTTCATGAGAGAGATAGAGGCCCCCCGTACGCGGCCTACTATGCCCTTTCCATTTGGTGGCTCGGCCATGGCTGGCGGGAGTTCCAATCGTCGGACCTGTGAGTAGTCTAGTAGTAAGAGGCTCGGTTTATGAGGCTTATCGCTACATATATCGGTCGCATATCTGTAAGGATAGATTTTGAGATTAGGAAGTTTGCTCCAATGTTAAGTGCTGTACGCTATGTAATGCATTTACGCGTATTCTCTATGATAAGATGTGTAAAGGTCCCGGGATCAATCAGAACCTGATCGGCGCATGGTCTAACCCAGAAGACTGGGATATTCATACACCTTTCTGGATAGAGACGGAACTAGAAGAAGCGCAAACGCTAGACAATAGAGTTGAGTCTTTTTATTGTAGTCCGACTTCTTTTCTCTATTGTTGCTCGGGAACGTCGACCCTCCGTAGCGTCGCTACCTATGTATAGATCGGAAGGAAAAATTGCGCCGGGGGGTTTATGAAGATGAATTTGGCATCCCACTTTTATGTGTTTGCTCTGCGCAGGCGAATCGGCCGTAATAGGTTCCGTGATCACACCCACGGGTTCCGACCTGTCGAGAGCTGGAGCTGCTGACATCTCCAGCGGTGGGACCGGGGTGACCGTCCGAGGAGGCCGACGAAGCTATTGAAGGAAGCGATGCCATCCATGAGTTGCCTAGGCATTTAGCTCGATATAGACCTCGGAACTAATGTAAAGATATCCACAGAGATTAACGGTATTATCCATGCGGCTTTCTATTTGATAAACGTCATATGTAGCTAAATATCTGAACCTGCCTGAGTCGTACATAAGCTTGGCACGCATCGGAAAGCGCGTATTCGCGAACACAGCAGCACTCATCCTTCAGGTAACATCGTACACTACTATATTTTCAAGCAAACATGAATTACATGGTCACATGGTTATTAGGGAATTATAGGGCGGCCTTTATATGAATATCCGATGTGTGAATCGCACTCTTGTATTATTAGAGGACTCCTGGTTCCGTGCATTCTCTCGCGCATCTGTGCGCATTGGCATAGGGCGTCGTCATGCCATACAAGCTGAAATCCGACGCTCCGGGTCATCTCACCGTTGGTCATGGACTTACTCGAACCTCAACTCAAGTTACGAACGATGGCCGGACGACCGTGCAGTTCCACCGAAGCCCCAGGGAGCTGGCGGCGTGGTTCAAGGGACTGCACGACAATCCTCAAGGCTCGAGGAAGATTTATACCCCCCGTAAAGACAGTGCTGCATCATATACCGAGAAGACCCCCGGCAGCGCCGGGCCCAGGCTGAATATCGCCATTCACATCGTCGGTTCCAGAGGAGATGTTCAACCATTCATTCCGATCGCCCAGCTATTGAGCAAGCCTCCGTTCGGACATAGGGTTCGAATATGCACACATCCTGTGTTCAAAGATTTCATAGAAGGCAAGGGGCTGGAGTTCTTCAGCATCGGGGGCGATCCTGAAGCACTCATGGCTTATATGGTGAAGAACCCGGGACTGCTACCGAGCCGGGAAAGTTTTAGGGCGGGGGAGATTTCAAAGAGGAGGAAGGAAATGGGCGAGATTATGCACGGTGCTTGGCGCAGTTGTATAGAGGCGGGCGACGGTATGGGTGATAAGGTCACGGCTTCCGACGTGGCTGATGCAAGCGACCTATTCATTGCGGACGCCATTATTGCGAATCCCCCTTCGATGGCGCATATTCATTGCGCTGAAAAGCTGGGCATACCTTTTCACATGGTCTTTACGATGCCGTGGTCGCCGACACACACGTTCCATCATCCCCTCGCTGCCATGCAGTATGGCCAGGCCGAGATTGGCATGGCCAATTACCTATCGTTTATGATGATGGAGCTTCTAACTTGGCAAGGGTTCGTTTTCATCCCGTCCTATAACTTGGGTATCTCGCTAACATCTCCCACAGACTGGGCGACGTCATCAACAAATTCCGAACACGCACCCTGAAGCTGGATCCCATTAGTCCATTATGGGGCCACCACTTATTATCAAGACTCCGCGTACCGTTTACCTACCTCTGGTCCGAATCACTAATACCTAAACCGCCAGATTGGGGGCCGCATATTCGTATCACTGGTTTCTCTTTCCTGCACCAAGCCGCTTCATATACCCCTCCCCGTGACCTAGTCGAATTTCTAAGTCATAGTGATCCTCCACCTGTGTATATTGGTTTTGGATCTATCGTCGTGGATGATCCGCAAGCCTTGACAGATCTCATCTTTAAAGCCCTAAAGCTAGCTAACATGCGCGGAATCGTGTCCAAAGGCTGGGGAGGCATCGGCTCAGGAGAAGTGCCGGACCACGTCTACCTCATCGGAGATTGCCCCCACGACTGGCTTTTCCAGCACGTGTCGTGTGTTGTACACCATGGTGGCGCAGGTACGACGGCTGCTGGACTCGCCGCAGGTTGCCCGACCGTCGTGGTTCCCTTCTTCGGCGACCAGCCTTTCTGGGGCCAGATGATTGCCCGTGCCGGCGCGGGCCCGGCTCCTATCCCCTACAAAAAGATCACGGCGGAGACCTTGGCGGAGAGCATCACGTTCGCATTACGACCCGAGGTGCAGGCCGCAGCGAGAGAGCTAGCAGCAGCGATTTCCGAAGAAGACGGGGCTAGTGGCACGGCGAGAGATATCCAAGAGCGACTAGATTCCGAGGGCTTGAGGTGCGATATCTGCCCTACTCGACTCGCGATATGGCGGCATAAGAAGACAGACGCACATCTAAGTAGTTTCGCCGCATATTTTCTAGTCAGTAAGGGAGTGATCAAGCCTAGTCAACTTGCGCTACTTCGCCACAAGCCCTGGTACGTCGATGAGGGTGCCGAAAGTGTCCTCATAGGCCTCATCGCCGCGTGTAGCGGCTTCTTCACCGATATTGGGCTCGCAACATCGCACTATGTGAGAACGCTGAAGTCTGATCCAAATTCATCACGACGAAAGTCTTCCGTTATCCTACTGAAGGGCAACTCACATCGTGGGCGAAAGGCATCGCTGGAGCCGTGCCCTCCTGCGGACTTATCAGCTCCGCCCCCTGACGGAGGTTTCACGGTAAAACAATTGGAAAAGCTTGCTCGGAAGATGGCGCAGAAGCCGGTGAAAACTTCTAACGAAATTCCCGGGAGAGCTACTTTCGGCGAGCAGATCCAAAAGTTCGAATCCGAGAGGAGATGGGTGACTCGCGAGAGAAGCGAGCAAAGCCGCGCTTTACATATCGCTCGCGCCTCCAAACGGTATGCCGTGGAGCTCGGGCATGCTGGCTTGAAGGCGCCTGTGGCTGTCTTCTATAATGTCGCGAATGGATTCCGCAATTTTCCGTCGTACGTATGCGGCGATGATGACATGCGGCGGCGCGATGAGATTCGAGGATTGAAAAGCGGCTTTAAAGTGGCTGGGAAGGAATTGGTACTCGGTTACTACGAGGCTTTCAGCGGGATTCTGCTTAGGCCATACAAAGGTGCGAAAAAGGAGGGTCCGAAGGGTTTTGGAAAGGGGTTCCTCAGGGGTACCTACGGGTTACTCGGGGGCATCGCTGGAGGTAAGTCGGCTGACATTGGGTATTGTGACAGATTAAGTGTATACCAGTGCTAACTTGTGCTTTAGGATCAATCGGCCTGGCGGGATACACACTCAAGGGCATCGAGAAAGAACTCTCCAAACATCGACTAACCGAGCTCAAAGCAGAAATCCTCTTAATTAGATTCAGGCAGGGCCTCGAGGACTGCTGGCAGGCAACGGAAGAAGAGAAGCGGGAAGTGGTAGAACGGTGGAAGATGTTGCATACAAACGATTCCCACGCGGTATAGATAGATGTTAGAGGCTTCAGAACGCATAGAGCGTGTGAAAAAGTCGTAGTCACGACGAGTGTATTCTTTTTCCCGGACGCCTAAACTAATTACCCTAATGCCCATCCATTGAAATAGCTACCCTTTTTTTTGTACCCGAATCTCCCGTGATTACTCCCTTGACTTGAGTTGGAATTTAGGCGCAGATAACTGCCTCCAGGTCAACGGGCTGTGGGCAGCCGTACACCTTCTTCGCCGAGGGAGTGCTGTAGCAGTCCGCCTGGCCCGCGGCGCAGTTGAAGGACTCGCAGCCGTCGCCGGCTCCCAGAGTGTTGGCAGAGTTGGCGAAAGGGTTTCCCCACTCCCTATAGGATTATTAGTAAACATGAAAGGACCTGTGATGCGCGGTCCGGACTGTCCGGAGTAACTCACGAGCTGAATTCATCTAGAGGATGTGTTAGCCTGGGTGTTCACAGAGTAAAATCAAAGGGGGTTACGGATTTTTTACTTACAGTAGGCGTAATCGGGGCTCGAGGTGAACGAGTAGCCGAAGAAGAGCGGAGTGGTGAGGGTCTTGGTGGTCGCGATCTTGACGGTCTGTTTCATGCGGTCAGCTTGCTTGTTTCCATTTGAGTGGCTTGGAGGATGGTGAGTGAGTGAGTGAGAAACTAACCGAGCCAGCCGGGCGGAAGTCCTCAGTGAAGGTCTGTCCGGCCGTCAGGGTGGTCAGAGGGCCAGCGGAGCTGCCATCGTAAGGGAATGATTGCACGTAGATGGTAGAACCGCAGTTATTCTTGACGATGGCCTGTTGGGCGGAGACGCCGGTGGCGACGAGGGCAGCGCCCATGACGGTAGCGAAGAACTTCATTTTGACTGGTGGAATGATGATGGATATCTTGGTGGTGGATTTATTTAGGAGCTGAGAGGTGGTTGTTGGAGTAGGTAGCTGTTGATGATGAGGCGAGAATGAGCTGAATAGTAGGGGACGGGGCGAGGGTTTATATGTGTATTTACAAATGGATGGCTATTAGGTAAACTACAGCTTACCTATGGCTTCGCTTAAAGTCATCACGATCATTACATTCCTAGACTGACCGCTCTATAGGAAATACGAACGCCAATTCTCGTATTACCTTGTCACGAGGTTGTGGTCGTGATATCGTCCAATTGATGTCGGTTTTACTCCTAGGATCCCGTCCCCGCACAAAGACGTCCGTATGGTTCCGGATGAATTGCAAATTGGCTTTATAGATGGCTTACTGGTATGAGGTATTCTCCGTACGGAATACAATATCAACAGTTGGATAGATCTCATCGAGTATAAGACATTCTCATTGTCTGAAAACGGCCGTGATGAGTCAGCAGATGCCCTCATGCAGACTGCATAGGCTACGACACGTGTAAGCGATTGATTCCGTTTAGTTCTTTATTGAGATCACCCAATTACACTTAATTAACAGTTAGAATCGTTAAAAGTATTATAAGTACGTAACATTATGAATATAATGAACTAATACGAACATTTCACATTAAACTTGCCCTTGCATCCATTGTGTTCTTGAAAGGACGAAATCCACTTGCATGCTCACCATACGACCGTTGTAGACATAATATGAATAGTAAACGTAATAGCCTACCTAGAACGGTTCTGATGTAACATTACATCGCGATTGAGCCATTTATTGGGGTAGGTAATAGTCGCAACATGTATCTGCAAAAGTGGTTGCAGTAAATTGTAACCTTTCTAAGGTCTAAATAGGGGGACGTCCGAAGCCCCTTTACGGATATCAGCTACTACTCAGAAATACTAACTAGACACCTCCTAGGAATTATTTTAAGCATGATGATATAACCCCTCGACATCCTCAAGTGCTATAGCATTATTAAATGTGCTTGCATGTCGATTACACCTTTATTCATCTCGCTTGTGCGATATTAAAATAGAAAATTTCGAATTTATTTCCTCTATTTGAGAATGCTGCGACAAACCCCGGATCTTCAACGCCACATCATTCCACCAATTCCTTGGAAATATGTCCCCTAATAAGCCACGCGTGACATCATATAGTCGCTCAGAGGCCAAGAGGGAGCGGATATATGTGTCTTCGGCCTTTGTTGGAACCCCAGACAGTCGAGGGCTAGGTAAACGAGCGAAGTCCCCGTCGATACCAAGAGAACACATGTGCGCTTTAGTTAATTTCGAGTTTAGATGATGGTTTCATTTCTTCCTCAGTACTCATTTCATAGCATTCGATTTGACTGTATTTTAGTAATCACATCCAGGCCCTTGCTTTTTCTTGCAAGATGTGAAACCCACTTCCAGCAATGCAGCTCCAGTGGCTGAGCTTATCCTTCAACTCTTCTAAGCTATTGATGATAGCTGCACAAGGATCATGCGCGTAGCGCGCTGGAAGAATCGGGCTACGTAATTGTATCGTCGTGCTGGCAGCTGATGGACCTAAGCTCTCCATAAGCCAAAGTGAGCCTCAGTGCATGGCAAGGGACAGCGTTTCCCCGTTGGTATGTAGCGATAAAACTCGAACTCAACCGCCACTTTCTGAAGTCGGTGTATGATTTCCCCCTGAATCCCCTTTCGGAATATAACATCGTTCCCGAAAATGGGAGATGTAGATAGGCATATTCCTACCGAGGGAGTCCAAGTTCAATATCCTGTGGGTTGTTCGAAGAACCTCTTGGCGAAGATGAAGGATCGCTGTTACATACCATACGGGAAGTACGCGATTGCGACGTGGAGCTATGGATACTCTTCTTTGAGTTGATGGGATGGCTATTTTCAGGGGAATTTGCATATGATGACTTCTGCCTGGAGAGAAAACGTCGGAGGAAGAAGACTGGTTTTAACGCTGGGGCGCATGCGCACCAGATGGAAATATTTATTTCCACCATAGACCAGAGGTTTACCTAGTGCACATTAAACTGGAACTCGAGAACATATGAGGGAAATTTAGAAGACGAATACGTACAAGCACGCCATTACGGAAGGGGTCAGTTGCTTCGGTAAAAGTGTGGATCGAATACAATCGAGCACAGGAGCAGACTGTCGCTAACCCGCCCACGCCAAATATGGCATATAACCCGCGTCGATTGCCTTGCGATACACGAAGACTTCTCACGGTAGGGATAGGAATCATAAGGATCCAAACATCCAATACAATGTTGATGGTAGCGGAGACTATCCATGTAAGCTAGGTATTCTGGACAACATAACATGGTAAGCCATCGAGTGTACCTACAATAAAAGTATGCAGTGACATCTATGCATCTCCCTGGTGCCGAACGTGTAACGTCCCACACCTTTTTGATGGGTTGACATTGAGTAGCAACTACAATGATGTAGATGACTAGTAAGACGGCTATGAAAATGTTCGTGAATAAGCAAGTTTTCTTGAAATTATCGGAAATAGCTGGAAGAATTGGTGAGTAATCTGGAATCTTGACAACGGGCAAACAAGCATACCGAATCTATTGTACATGAACAAGATCGATGATTTTACGCATGTTATTACGAGGTAATATGTTAGCTCAATGGCTAAGGCGATCTTTGGACTTCGTCAGTGCTGTAACTTAACATATCAAGATCTTCAAAGATGGACTAGGAGTTTTGACGAAACTTACCTTAAGTTGAGTTTCCATATCCTCATCCGACAGTGTCCCTATCGGGTGACCCAGTCCATTATTTTTGTCTAGGTAGAGAAGTGCGAGATAACCAATCGTGAAAATCTGCCTATTGTTAGCACGAGAGAATCCAAGACAGGATTGTCAAAACATACCAAAGAAGCAATGGCCATATAGTCATCCAGGCTAGCTATCTTTAGAACAAAGAATCGAGCCCATATCCGTATGATCATCAGGATAGCTGTTGGATAAGATGTCAACTAGATACTTGTAAAGAAGGGAAAATATTCGATAATATCTTACCGGTAATAATCGTTAATACCGTTGATATTACGACCAAGGCTGTTATCTGATTGTAATCGGCTGTCTCCATTGTTGCCATTGTAGAGCACGTGAGGCTCTGCTAAACAGAGCAGTAACATTTGTCGGGAGCTTCCAGCAGCTTCGGGTCTGAATCCGACGTGGCTTACTGGCTCCCCTGATTTCGAGGACCTTGAGATACAAACGTCAAGCTACTTGATGATATAACCATCCCATAAGAAAATAGCTGAGCACTAGCTTGTGAGAATTAGGTACCTAAGCAAGTGTTGTGGTTTGTGTTGGCATGTCATATATATATAAATAGGTAGGTATGGTTTTATTGATCTATGAGTTGATCGATTGTGGAATATGGGGCAACTTACGTTTGACCGATGACGGTGTCGTGCTATTTGGCACTAGGAGGGCGAAATACTCGGCACGTTTTCTTTTCTTCGCCTCAACAATGTCAGACCGCTCAAACTTTATTTCTAGTTCCTATGCGCAGTTTACTTTTCCATGTTTCCATGTTGCCGTAGCCATCACCTTAACCTGTCTAAGTCTAGAATTCTAGCGTCGAGAGAACTACTGTGTGTCTATGGACCTCCCGTGTTCCCGCAGGAAGACTTAGGGGAGTCCGATGACCTGCCTACCTCTTAGCTCAGCCGTGCCTTGGAAGACAGGCAATAATTATCTTGCTAGTGCTAGGGTGGGACCTATACATATGAGAAACTGGGGTAATTATAAGAGAAATCTAAAGAAGATTCTCGACACGTGCCATGTCGTCAACTACATGAGGCCACTTTATACCTACCTACGCAAGGTAAGCGGGTGCTTCGGACTGAGAAAGAGGACCTGTTAAACTTTAAATTGTCTACTAGTCTTCCTTTGAAGCAACAGATCAAGGCACGATCTCAACAACAGATGTGTACTGAACTCGTCAATCGAGAACTTGGTGGAAACCATCAAGCCCCGGGTCGTCCATGCCTCAAAGAGCTGTTGAAACATAATGCTCTAAGTTAACCCACCCGGTACATCTTTGCCTTGAGACCTAACCCATCCTTGTCGGCTTCATGGGTTGTATGGAATATTAGAAGTAATCATCTTCTATCATCATGACATAATTCTCCCCACCAACGTTTAGGAGCAACTTGAAACTAGTGCATTTGAAAATTCAACCCGGATATGAAACGAAGAATGATATTACCGGTAAGTGGTCGTTTATTCCCTTGATAGATAATTACCTAAGAGAAGTCATCCAAATCCTTGACCGGAGAACATCTGATTATCTTTCCTCTACAATGTCAATGTTCGAAGCGACAAAGGGCCGGGGATTATGGGTTATTGCCACGTTGAGAACGATGAAGGCAAATAACTAACTGACCATATTCAACTGGTCATCCCATATGCGGAATAGCCCTGTTCTGTCAATGTCTTCATGTCTTGATATAGAGCAAGGAGATCGTTGCTCCCTTCATGCGAAGGAAAAGACCACAAGGAATATGTTCAACCCTAGCTACAAATTGGATCCGTTCACCCAACCCATCCATGATCTGAGCTTATTAATCTATCCTATTTCAGGAGCGGTGGCTTAGCCGCTACAATAGGAACTCAGATATAGAAACCTGAGATAGTCGCCACAAAGATCTTGTGACAATTAGCCATGCTTCGAAGTTAGACAAGTTAAGAGTCCAAGCTAAGGTGCTAGGGAATAAGGATATTCTCAGTCTTGATCCATTAGTCGTACGAGAAAAGCGTCAACGGCCAAAAGGGGCCAATAAGAGAGTTTCGACCTGACTCGTTAGCATTAATCTATCATGGTAGGCACCTACGCAAATGGCGATTCTCGGAGAAGTCTCCGGTAAAGTGGGTTCATGAATCAATTCAATGTTTAAGTCGAGGAACAGATTTACTGGTAGCTTACGTGATGAAAAATCTAACATAGGGGCATGCGAGATGTGGACGAGAAGAGAGGTTTTGAAGAAGTTTAAGTAGAAGAAAAGAATTCATGAGCGCAAACGTTTATCCAATATATCGTTTATACGATTGATATATACCTATATTGTACCGAGAACATTGTTCTAAATACTCCGTCTGCGCTATTGAGATATACCTCTGAGATGGTGTAAGTAATTACGGATATATATTGCACTCTCTCCGTTTCCGCCTACTTGTCAGGTAGTAATTTTGTGCTAAAATAAATATCAAGAGGTCTGGTTGTATCGGCGTACGGCATGAGTCTCCTTTCGGAGAAGTCGAAAAGGGGGGCTGTATGATAGCATCATGTGGTAGTTCTACAATGGTTCTTGTAGTATCTTCGTCTTGCCATAAGTGTCCAAACTCCGTATGTGTTGACTTTGTAACCATGGGCGAGCACGGTCCGCTAAGTAGTCGTCGGTGGTAACTGGGCACACCCCACGTAGGTAGGTATCACGCAGTGAATCATGGGATCTTCCTGTGTTAGTATGGGGTAGCTTGCGGATCATACGATGGCTACAACATGCCTCGCCCATGGCGACCATGGCTTACGGCCTCATATATATCCAAGTCTACCACTGAAGCTGGCCCAAAAACATTGGAATCACCAATTCAGCATTCTACTTCATCAGGATGCATAAATATCCATTGCCATTAAATATTTTCGCTCATCTTTACGTTCTTGGCATCACAGAGCTAGATACGTTGTACCGACTATCCGCGTACCCGCGCGTGAAAGTATCTAAAAGCCATGTGCCTATGGAGGAGAGTGTATTTTAGCTGTCGACACGAAGATGCCAACGTCACGCCACCGCGGCCTGTAAAGCCCTGCCCGTGGGCCATTCTCAGAGGATCCCTAGCGTTTCCGGTCTATTGTCCCGCAGAGAAGCGAGGGTTATCAGTCCGCTTCAACTTTCAAGACGCTGTAATACGCGACCGACCATGTATTCCTTGCCAAGAGATGCAACTGAAGCGGCGGCTTGACGAGGAGTGGCACGCGTTCAGCCGTGAGTTCCTATGGAAGTCGTCGGAGAAAGAGATGGTATGTTACGTGACGAGTCGCCAGGAAATGTTTACGAACAACCACTTTGAATTCTGGGAAGAATTACAGGCGCTTTTCATTGACAAATGCAAGTACGAGATGCGAGACAAGCCGTATATGTATGGAGAGGAATACATGGAAGAGCCGAAAGAAGAGGATATGTGGGCGGGAAACTCTAGGAGTTGATGTAAAGTACTGCAAGGAAGCAGACTGTCTTGTATATCAAGTCAATGAATCGCACGCGACGTCAAAGATACATCCTGGGTACTTGTAAAGGGGCAAGGAAAAAGGAGCTGATGAGCCAGGGGCGATTGTCGTTAATGATGTTGCTATCAATTAAAATGCTGTCTAAAGCTGCACGCAAGACGACGTTCATCTTACTGTCGGTTATACGTTAGAGCCCAAATGTCGACTGGTCTCTTCCACGAGCCGCAAACGAATTTAGGACCTCCTGAAGTACCTACCTGATCTCCTAAACCACCTACATAACATAAACTTCCTTTCGCTATCAATGTTCCATGAAATATAGCGATGGCCTTCTTTTTTCATCTTTCCATGAAAATTTCAAGCGGTGAGCCGATCGAGGGGCTGCCCGAGAAGTCCGAGCTTAGCCAAAAATCAAATGCTCGTGTGCTCTGAGATGGCCGTCAAACTCCGGCGTCACCTTAGCATAAGGACACGTAAGATATTTCCACAAGTGGCTTTCGTGTTATGTTCGACGGCGTAAGTATTCGATCTTCAAGTCTCTCGTTGCGTCAGCTCTTGGATTCCCGTCTTCGTCTCCGCGTGTTCAGTGCTCAGACGCTGATGCTTGATAAAAGCGCTCGCCACCATCGCCACACCGGCCACGCCTGTGTACATGATGAACATATTCCTGATGCTCCACGCGAAGGCATCTTGAACAGCTAAGCGCTGAGAAGCATCCTGGATAGTCTTGACGATCTCCACGTTCGCAGCTGCTCGGTCGCCCGACAAGGCGCTGAGAACAGACCCGCTAAGACCGGCGGCTGCGAGAGATGACTGACGGGAAGACATGCTATTCTGGAACACGACTCCGCCGAGCACGATGGATAGCGCTGTTGCTAGGTTGCGGGTAAATCCCAAGGCTGCAGTGGCTGCCGCTGTATCGGCCTGCTTGACAGTGTTTTGGACGGCCAGCATGGGAGCTTGGAAGAGAAGCGCAGGGCCGAGACCACCGATGATTTCGAGCCCGATGATTTTGGCAGTGGATGTGTTGGTGCCAAATGTGATATACAGGCCTGTGCCTAATGTCATAAGCGTTACTCCGGCCCAGATGATTTCCCTGTAGCGACCTGTTCGATGAATCAATATACCCGCCGAAATGTCCACAGCTGCTTCAGTTATCATCATAGGTATAATCAGGAGACCACTGTGGAAAGGCGAAGCTTGCTTTACGCTTTGAAAATATAGCGGCAGGTAGTATTCCACACCGATAGAAACCATACTATGCATGAAAGCGAGAATAAAAGTCGCGTTGTTGGACCAATTCTTGAATATGCTCAACGGCATCAAGGGGTACTTAGCAAGGCGTTTCTCACTAAACACGAAGAAACCAATCATCGCCGCCCCGAACACGATCAAGCAAACAACCTTCGGACTATTCCAGGGAAATATCGCCCCACCGAAATCCAGCCCGAGAAGCAGCAAAATAGTGACGGCGAGAATAGCCAGCGTGCCGAACCAATCGATAGCCCCCACGCCCTCGCGCAGCTTCGTGCGCGGATTATGCACGTCCAAGAGAAACAGCAACAGCACGAACGCGAGCGCGCACACGGGTAGGTTAATCCAGAAACACCATCGCCAGCTCGCGAGCTGTGTCAGCGCGCCGCCGACCAGCGGCCCCGCCGCCGCGGCGACGGCCCATACCAACCCCAGCAGCCCGAAGTACAGCGCGCGGCGGCGCGCGCTGAACAAGTCGGAAATCGTGATGGTCACGAGCTGCATGAGGGCGCCGCCGGCGGCGCCCTGCAGCGCGCGCGCGGCGATCAGCATCGCCATGGAGGAGCTGAGCGCCGCGATTACGCTGGCGCCGGCGAACAAGGCGACGGCGCTTAGGAGCGCGGGTTTGCGGCCCCATATGTCGCTGCATTTGGCCCAGATGGGCCCCGCGGCGGCGTTGGCGAGAAGGTACGCGCCGCCGATCCAGATGTAGCCGGAGGCGGAGCGCAGGGAGGAGGAGATTGTGGGGATGGATGTTGCGACGATGGTTTGGTCTAGGGCTGCTACGAAGAGGACGAGCTACATAGCTATGGTGTTAGCTACGTACCTAGGTAAGCATCTACATGTTTGGACGGGAATTTGGGAGGGCGAAATGGGTGGGTGGTTGTTTACATAGAGTGAGATTAAGATGGAATAGATGCGCAGCTTCGTGCGGATTTCAGGGGCTTCGAGCACGTCGAGGGGCTCGATAACTTGATCGTTGGGGCGTTGCTCTGCTAGCTCCACTGGAATGGCTGGCGCAGCTGGGGGCTCGGCATCCATTGTCGTCTTGGGGTTAGGGGCCGTGATGTCGTCCATTGTTGTTTGCTTTTGCTCAGCCATTTCCGAAGAATTTTCTGAAGAAACTGATCTTTTTACATTTAGGTACTGCAGAAGAAAGTGATCTCAACACTCATCTTACACGAGATATATAATTAACGTTACCGAAATCTCGTCATATTCGAAGAACCAATCGGTAAACAAACTGTGTAGCAGGGTTCTAAACAATACTACTAGTATTTTACTAGTACTAGTACTAGTTTGGTACTAGACTAGTATTTTTTTTTGCAAATACTAGCCTAGTAAT